AGTAGGAAATTGATTAAATTCTAGAGAAAAACATGACAAAAGTGGTAATATAAGCTATTTAGTGCGATAGAAGGGCTATCCACCTAATAATAATACCTGGGAACCAAGATCGCACGTCGAAGACACTAAAGCCCTGGATATCTAGCTTATTAATATAGTACCTATTACCCGACGATGTACATGCTATATGGCTAAGGGAAAATAGCATTCTATTTAACTAAAACAAGATGGTGCAACGGCCTAATAACACTAACCTCCCACCCAAAGAGACAATTTAACCCTTGAAGGGAGAAAAGACCGCATTAACAAAACAACCCAGGCGACTAGGAGTCGCAGGAACAGGAGCTATAGGCGAATGCAATAGAGTGCATTTAGGGACAGGTATAGATATATTACTATTTATATATTATATTTAAGATTTTCGAACTATATATCTATACTCCCTTACCAGCCCAGCCACCCTCTCCTGCGCAGCAGGGCGACTAGACTGGGGAAGTCTAATAAACATGCGATGTGCAGTAACCATAAAACAGCTAAAGGACTAGTGGTAACCTCTGGAGCAACACAAGGGTGTTGCTGGCCAGTATAATAAACATAGTTTAAACAACCTAGCAAGAAAACACATGCTGACGCAGTATCTTGCTCTAAACAAACAAGGCAACAGTGGTACCAAGGACTACCCCCTGGGCCAAAGGCAAACCATCCGTATCAACATGGACCGGCGCAGGGGTAGTCTGCACCTGGACAACCGAAGCCGCTAATAAAGACAAAGGGGGCGATAAAACTTTCGCACAAATTAGTAATATTACCTTATATAAACACACCGGACTTACCAGACATGTCCAGAGAGGGCGATTCGACTCTGTCCGGCTCTGCCAAAGTAGAAGAGGATGGAAATCCCTCCCATTCCAGCGAAATTAAGGGGGCGCAGGTGTGAAAACAACATTATTTTTAGAGGATAAACAAGGACGAACCCCACGGAGAAGGCAACAGTGTTATGGTGCGGATTCTCCTGATAGAGGCAACAAAGCTTTGCAGCGAACTATCTGCGAAAACACCTATATTAGTAAGCTCAAAACATGCGAGAAAGCACTGGAGGAGCTATTACCCTTATTAGCTAAGGCAGAAGAGTGCGCACGTACCGCAAGAAGTTGGGTAGTTTAAAAAAAGAAAAGGAGAAGAAAAGAGAAGAGAGAGAAAGGAAGCAAAAAGCTTAGTATTTAACAACAGAACTAAGCTTAAACGGGCGAAAAACTGCAGTGAATAAAGCAGAACTGTTGCTATAAAGCGACTACCTGCGAAAATATACCTATACTTACCCAAGCTCCAAGACATTGTACCAAACATCGATCAACCGCATAAACTATTATAGGAAGGACTTAAGGGATTGGAATCTATAACACATTACCCATTATAACGTATATATTCATACTACAGTCTTTAAGGCTTCGAGGGCGAAGCCTCTTGGAGGGGAAGATAGTGTTAGAAGCGCTCGGAAGCGTGATAGCTAGATCCTTAGCTAAGATACTTAGTCAGGTGCGAAGTGTTTATATTCGCACCCGCGGGCCTGAACTCCTGAAGGCCAGCGATTAGTTCTGCAATATACGTGGTCCTATCTTCTCTCCCATATAGACACTCCCTTTCGCACTGTAGCGCCCCATTCAGCTCGTTACCAACCCCCACGCATAACAATACTATCCTAATATACAGAGATAATACCTCTGCGATTACGCTTATTAATTAACCGTTGTTAAATAAACACTTAAAATATATTAATGTCGCATACCACTTCGCGCGTGATCTAAAGGAGCGTAATATTATTACTATTAAGTATATCCAAACTCGCAAAATACTTGCAGACGGCATGACAAAGCTGCTACTGCAAGAGCTGCTAGAACGACATCGCAGCAAGATGGGATTAGTAGACAGTGGGAGATAATTAAAAAAGGTGGAGAAAATAAGTACGCTGGATAAAGATATACAAGCTATATTCTGCAGGACAAGTCTAAGTGGGAGTGTTGGAAATCAGGATGCCTAAGGCACCTTTGTATATCCTAGTCCCGCAGCGATGTGATATATCATATTCAGGGGCTAAGGGACACGTAGATATGAGGAAGCGTTTGTCTACGCTCTCTCTCCTAGATAGTGGAAGATACTCACCATGCGATACTAGATCGCACCCATAGTTTCAATATACTATCCAGTCACCGCTATCCTAGCACCTCACAACATAGCTTCTTCCCCGAGATTCTCAACAACTCTTATGGTTAAAAACATGTGTCTTGTTCTTGAGATTATCTAGGAATCTTTATAGATAGTTGGCTTGCAACCTTAGGGCCCTTTTAATACCCCCAAAAACTTACTATAAAAAAAAAAGGGAAGCAATTAAACATATTAATAACAGATTATATAATACTGCACTTTTTCTTTAAGATACTACTACTAGTGGTTATAAAGGTTATATACCCCCACAACTATTAACTATATCTTAGATTTTGCAACTTAAGGAGGACAGTTGTCGCCGTGCTCTTGCTTACCAGAATACTACCAAACAAAATACAAGACATAATTAGCTTTTATTCAGGATAATACTGTTACTCAATTTTATTACAAACCCAGTTATATTATGGTGTATGATTCTGATATTAATTTAGACAAGGATCCCGAATTCGAGGGTAAAATGGACCTTGATAAATCAGAATTAGACTTAGAGTCAAGCTCTAATTTATCAACGGAATTTGGACGAGTAGGGCGACGGTAAGCAGAGTAAAGGTGGGCAAGGCAACAGTAAGCAGAGCGAAGGTGGGCAAGGCGACAGTGAGCAGGGTAAGAGTGAGCAAGGCAACAGTAAGCAGGGCGAGAGTGAGCAAAGCAACGGTGCATAGGGACAAGGCTAGTAGGTAACAGATCGGTGGGACTGTTCTATGGTGTTTATATTTTATATAAATACTGTTACAAAATTCTGTTACTTTAGTTTATGTTTCATGCCTCACTACTCACTGAATATATGGAGGATCAATAAATGGGTATTATATATATTAAAAACAAGGTAACAGACTTTAGTAACAGTAAAGGTAGAATCCCAGAAGTTTCCCTTCCCTTGCCAAGACTTTCGGGAAGGGATTCCCATTATATAGGATTCGGGATGGGATATTCCCATTCCCATATACTTAAAAATTCTGGTCCTGTTTGTATCAGGGAGTCCCATGGGATGGGAATCTCTTTAGAAAATAAGAGTATGGGAATTTCCCTCCTAAATTTTTAATATCCCGAAATAATCCCTTCCCGATCTTAGCACGGGACGGGATATTCCCTTTCCCAAAAATCCCATCCCGATTTCCCATGGGAATTTCCCTTCCCAACGGTCAGCCTACAGCCGAAGATACCGGCCAAGTGGATTAATGGTCTTAATAATTAACACCCACTCTTTATTTTCCGGCCCTTGAATAAGTGTATGTCTTTTTCCACTCTCTGCTATTATTATAGAGTTTGTACAGATCCCAAGACCAATTCCATGCTCATCCATATTCCACATATTTTCCGGTTGTATGCAGTATTTGGTGGTTATCTCTTGGGAAAGCTTATAAAAAGTACGGATCTGTTCTGGTCTGGTTCCCTGTACGCGGCCTGATGGTATCCTTCGGCCTATACAGCTTTGAATGCGTGGATTCCGTCTTTTAAAGCTAGAGAGCCAGTCTTTTCCCAACGGTGCAGTGTCGCCATCAATGTGGAGGATTCGGAGGGCAATTTCACGCGTACGGGTGATACTAGTGTAGTGGAGGAATTTGGGAGATTGGCACGTGACATTTGTATGGATAGCTATTATCTTAAGTCCTCGTTCGAAGAGGTAATAGACAATCAACAACCTTCTCACAGACCACGGGACGCAGTTGCGTAAACGGAATGTTGCCTTCCCTCCTACCAGGAACTTGTGGGCTCGGGGCCCACAACTTCTGAACTGTCTAAGAGTGTTTCCTTAACCTACTCTTTCGGAGTTCTACCACTTTCCTCTTATTCACTAGGAGGAAATCCTTGTTCTGGCTTATAATCCAATCAGCAAGAAAGCTCTCTTGAACTGGAGTTAAACACTGCGAAGCTTAATAAGTAATAGTTTTGTAAAGTACACCGTCATCCAGCCTTGAAGGGTGGAGAGAGGTAGGTTGTATAGCCTTGAATCGGCTCGAAGAGATAGAATTCTTTTAGAACTGAAATCTTTAATAGCTGCTTGAATGGTTCTCTCGCGATCGTCCATATTAAGGCCTGTTTGGTTGTGTGGTAGGTGGTTGTTTTGAAAAAGTGGGATAGAACGCGGTGTTCGGGATGTAATCACAGCTAATTTAGTGTGACCGCGGAGACGGTAGATAAGTGAATTGGGAGCCAGACTTGGTATTACCAAGTCTAGTTGACCATTTTGCAGTGGCGTGGCAATTGGGTGTACCCTGTAACCTAGTCTTACCCTTTTCGGATTAAGGAGATTACAGGGATCTACAGGTGATCAGGATGTAGGTGGCCGAACTTAGAGGATTCGGGGTTAACACCGTTGTGCGTAGCCAAGGTGCTAGGAAGGAATCGGTCCGAATACCACTTCTTCAACAGGCAGGACCTATCTGGTTTTGGAAACATCCGGCGACTGTGCGGGCTCAGGATGTGGGGTTCGACTTTTAGCTCTCTTTCTTTTCATATAATTGGCGCCCCACTTGGCACACCTATGATATCATTCCACGGTATCAAAGGATTGTTTTCGCAGGAGATACTGGCCCTGAGAGCGCACGGTATCATTCACGTAATAGATACGCTTAAAGTCACTCGCCTCCGAATGGCCGAGCTTTTGTATCGAAGACCGTTCATGACAGATATAAGTTAATGGTTGAAATCATATTCTGAAGTCCATGCAAATATAACAACAACCACAATTTTACCAATAGCCCATTACTGTTTCAAAGCCCAGACTATCATTGCCCCTGCACATTGACTGATATATCAACTTTTCGTTTTCGAGGATGACAAAGAACATTCAACAAGAGGCCAGAGGTCTCTTGGATTTGCTAGCTACATCCATCAAAAAAGGGCTTGAAGTCAGTAGTGTGTCGGCTTCTATTTATGATACGGCATGGGTCGCCATGATTCAAAAGCCCGATATAGATGGTAATACACTGCCATTGTTTCCGGAATGTTTTCAGGTACTACTGGACTTCCAGGAATCCGACGGCAGCTGGTGTTCTTCCATTAGTGAACTTGACGGAATCATCAATACGGCAGCTGCGCTTCTAGCCCTACAAAGTAGGCTTTCAGTAACTCACCAGCCGCTCAGAGGGGATCTAGAATTACGGTGCCACAAAGCCAGAGGCGCATTGCTGTCCATGTTGCGAGAATGGAACGTCGACGCCAGCGATGATCGCGTGGGATTTGAGGTCATATTGCCTGCGGTGTTGAAGCTGCTGGAAAAACATGGTATAACTTTCGACTTTCCAGCTCGCATGACTGTACAGACGATGCACGAACAAAAAGTCGCCACACTATACACAGCACTACGCGGACAGGAACAAGTATCTTTGGTTCATTCGCTAGAGGCTTTTGTTGGGGAGCTAAACTATGACGAAATCAAGCACATGAGATCAGCTTACGGAGATATGATGGCCTCACCTTCTTCCACGGCGGCATATCTTATGCACTCGTCAAAGTGGGATGATGTTGCCGAGGGGTATTTACGAAAAGCCCTAAGTCATACAAGTGCCACGCAGGTGACAGGCAGCGTTCCCAACGTATTTCCAACGACGATATTTGAGATTGCGTGGGTAAGCAGCCAAGCTCTTTTACCCCAACGCATCTATTTAATACTAAACAACGCCAGACGGTCAGCACTCTTCTCGATGCTGGCTTTACAATGGACGAACTAGGCCTGGAAAGACTCCACGCTGTGCGAACGTACCTAGTCGAGGCTATTGCCAACATGAATGGCGTCGTCAGTTTTGGTAAGCTATTTTACGATCAATTTCAGGAGTGGTTATACTGGGCATTTTCTTATCGAAAATAGCGCCGCATTGCCTGCCAGACCCTGATGATTCCGCTGTCGCGCTGTCGACACTTCAAATTCTTGGTGAACATGTCGACCTGCAGCCTATGTTCAAAAGATTTGAAGGCTCAGATCATTTCATCACCTTTATAGGTGAAAGAAACGCCAGCTTGAGTGCCAATTGCAACGTTCTGATTTGCATACTGCGACATCCTGACAGTCATGCATATACTGGACAGGTAGTCAAGTGTGCACGGTTTCTATGCACACTGTATTACAGATCTCAGTTCAAGGACAAATGGGTAGGTTTATTCCTCATAGGGGATCAATGAAAACTGATGGGTAAAGAATCGATGTGAACAATACCCCATGATGCTGCTGGCAAAGGCTTTTACGCTTCTATTAGCTCGAGTGGATCAGAAAAATCTGGACATGGACAAGTTTCCGCAAGAGATCATCGAGGAGAAGATTCCGGTCATTTTGCTCGATATAATGAACCGCCTATTTCGAACGCAAGGTAAAGATGGGTCGTGGGGCTCCACAAATGAACTCACATCTTTTTCGTTATTGGCTCTCAACGCGCTCACAAAACTTTCATGGCCAGGTTCCATAGTTGGGGAATTACACGCTCGTATCCAGCGAGGTAAGAAATACTTGTTGATATCGGAAAATTGGAGCTCTGGCCAGCATACTTGGATTGGAAAAGTTGCATACTCCCTTTCCAATGTTTCCCTTGCTTATTGTCTGGCGGCCATGAAGGCCACTCAGCACGCTGGGACAATTCAGCCAGAGTATAAAGAACTGCAATTCGTTAGCATTCATGACACCGAACTGGACTCAAATCTTCAATTGCTTGCCGAACTACCACTTCTTGTGGGCTGTCCGCAATGGAAGTTGGACATATTATCTCTTCAGGGAGCGCTCTTTATCCCGCGACTTGACCGTGTGTGTCAAGATATACTGCCTCTGGCAAGGTCAGATCGGCCGCCATGCTTTCCTTATATCCCATTCACTTGGATTGCGCCAAGCGACGGAAGCAAAGTTCTTAATTTCGACCAGCTTTGGGACATGATGGTATGCTCTTTCCTAGGCTTTCGAATTGACGAATACTTAGACGGTCCGATTGCACAAGACTATGAAAACACTGCTACTCATATTAGGCACATGGTGGAACGCTTGGCTGGTCCGAGACCCTCACTTATTACCAAAGAAGGGCAGTTGGAATCTTACGAACTAAACCAAATCAACAACGCCCTCAGTTGCTTGTTTAGGTTTTTTCTCCATCACCCAAAGGTCCACGAGAGTCCTAGATGGATGGAGCAATTCTTGGCCGAAAAGCTAAAACAGTACTTTCTGAAGAGCCTTGCGCATCGCGAAGACAGCTTCCTCTTGTCGTCTCAGTCGGACAATGAGAGCCACGACAAATGCCCTTTCATCAACTATTTTGATTGGGTACGAAATACAGGATCAGAAACAATATTTGCTCAGGTCGGCTTTGCTTTCTTTCTCTGTTTGCTTGACCCTCCGTTACAACAGCCTCTTCAGGACGCAGTAGTCAGGTACATGGTTAAGGACTTCGGCCTACATATTGCAACTAGGGTCCGTCAGTGCAACGACTTGGGGTCCGCAGCACGCGATAAAAGAGAACTCAACCTCAACAGTCTCGACTTTGTTGACTTTCTGGATGGGGTTTCGGACGTAAAAGAAAAGCTCAGGCAAGTGGCAGACTATGAACGACGATGTATGGAGAAATTGCTGTTGGAATTAAACGAGAACCTTAATAAGCCGCTCATTGATGCTTTGCGCCTATACGCTGACACAGCAGAATTGTATAATCAATTATATGCACTGCAAGACCTGAGTTTGTCTCAAGCACGAACCACGTCGAGCTGTGCATACATATAGGCAAGATGAGAAGAGCTTAGTTAAACATATCTCTTGCACTGATATAACGGCATAACAAAACGGTACAAGAATTTTGACACCGTTGGTGTATCTACAGTTAGTCAGACCATGACTCAGATCGTTGATCGTCATATTAAATTCAGAAGTGCAACAGAAAGTCGAAATAAGTGTTGTGGAACTCAGGGGAAATGGGGCGTAGGGAGCTATTCTATCAGCTACAGGCCAACTAGCATAATTAGGAAGTAGATGTCATTCAGTGGAAACACCAGGAATCACAGTATCTCAACCAACTGAGTCTCTTGCATTCCTATCTGGGTGCTCAACTATCTAAGGATTCAGGGGTTAAATCGATCGTCAGAAAATTATAGTGTTTCCGTAACACTCCCCTTCGTTCAATACCCCGTAGCCTTTCCATAAATGAATGAAATGAAGCCATACAGACTTCTAAAACAGGAAATAAAACAAAACAATTGCGGAGGGGTGTTGAACGCCTCTAATAATTAATTAAAGGTCCTAGATGTTGCATATAGGATCTTAGTTCTCAACCTATTTAGTTGCAACTTTTACATTTCTTAATTTACCGTACGCCTTTGTAGTCCATCCGCAAGATTTAGATTAGGATATAAATTGCCTAATTACATGTTAATAAATCCCTGATTGCATGGTATGATCGAATATGCTTGCTCCGCAGGTAATTAACCGGTTGTTTGCAAGTGCCAAAGCTCCCTGGTATAACACCTAATCTAACTGCTCCGCATGGCTTGCGAATAGCTATAAAAAAGCGTCTAATCCAGATTGCATGCTTAGCAGCTTCTGCAGCAGTAATATATTCAGCTTTAGTAGTAGATGTAGCAGTTATTGGCTGCTTTCTACTGCACCAGCTAATTGTCCTCCGCCATGAAAATATGTACCACTGTTAAGCGATATTTTTTATTTCCATATAATAAATAAGTATCATTATCCCATTGTTCCTTTACTCCCCTTTAAGCTATATTAATATATACTTATAGTCTTCTTCACATATCGGAGAATTTTTCGATGCTCGAAGATAAATATTTGGTTCTGCAAGATATTGGCTTATGGTTGACATGAATTAAATTCGCTCTGGTTCCACCAGCCAAGTATTAAGCGTCAATATTTTCTTATTTTTATAGATCCCGGGTTAGTTTGCGGGAATTTTATTATTTAGATAATCTGGGACTTAATGAAGTCTTAATCTCTTAATCTAGCATTCCAAATTCCTCAAAATAGAGTATGCATAGAACTCTGGTAAGCTGATAAAGTCCTTTCCCAGGTTATCCAATCCTAATATCTTTTGTACCAGACCAGAGTCTTTTATGGGATAAACTTTTAGTTTCTTCTTAGTAGCATCTAGATTATTTGGATCTTTCTAAAGACTAAGATATCATCCACATATAAGGCTATAATAACCCCGCGGTTATTAATAAAGACTCCTGGGTCTGCCGTGCTTTGCTTGATCAATAGATTAAAATTCTTTAACCTTTTAGTTCAAAGTATGCAGATTCTTAGCCTTACAAGGATTATAAAGCTCGCAAACATTTTTGGATTTGGATTTTGATTAATTCCTTCTGGGATCTATGTAGAGTTCCTTGTCCACTTTAATCAACAAAGCGTTGTGCTCCAGAAGTGGCTTTTAGATTATATATTGCAGCTAGTGAAATAAGATCGCAAGCTTCAATACCACTGTCAAAATCTCTTTAAATCTAATCCTTCTTGTTGGGAGAAGCCTAAGAACAAGGCTGCCTTGAATCGATCCATATATCTGTGCAGAGTATTTAATTAAATACCATTTAGTGAGATAATTTTAGTTAACTAGTTTCTTAACATATCTCCATGTTCCGAAGCGGATTAGGTTGCTTAATTCAGTCCGGATTGCTTCTTTCCATTAGGGTCCATGGACAGGATCAGATATTGCTTCCTGGTAGGTCTTTGGGATTAGAATCTATCTGTCGAACTTGCTATTAGCCTTGGTTTTAAAAGTAAACTTATTGTTGTCACCAAGATGAAGCTCTAGCGCTACAGCTAGATTTGTAACTTCATGGATTCGCTGCAGTTCTGCAGTGGATATGCGCGGAGAAGTCTCTTTTACCTCCCTCTTTTCTCTGCGCTTCTGGACACGTAGCTTTCGCCCATATATTGCCTCTGTCTGGTTGGATTCGATTGCCGCTTGTGAAGGCTTTCGAATTCTGCTTGGTCTGCACAAATCAGAGGTGTTTTCGGGGGTTGGTTACGACAATTGCAGTTTCAGTTACGGTGGTTAAGGGGATTACTGAATATCTCTCTGCATGTGACCTTCCTGATTCGGTTGGTCAGGTAAGAGGTTGTGGTCTTCTTTGTCTGCTTGTTGATCTTTATTTTCAACCTCTTCAACCTCCTCAACCTCTTCAACCTCTGCATCATCAACCTGGTCATCAACCCGGTTATAAACCTGGTCATTGACCTGTTGACTGTCTTCTGCAGATTCCTTCTCTTCTTGATTCTTGTCTGCATGTCCTGCAGATATATAAGGTATCTGCATGTCTCCTGAGCCGGTTTGGGGCATCGGTTGCCTCTCTTCAAAAGCCTTTTAGTATTTTGACTCTTCCCCAATATCTCTGCTTCCTGGTTCTCTGCTGATAAAACCTTTCTTGTCTTCCAGGAAAATGGGGTTCGTCACTCGATGGATTGTCCAATCCTTTCTAGTTATTACCAGGTAATGACTCCTGCTTGATTTATAGCTAATAAAGACTTTCTTTATTACTCTTGGTTCAAGCTTATCACCATCCTTTGGCTTCCGGTGAAACCAAACTCTGCAGAATGGGGTTCGAAACTTTGAGATATCTGGTAGGTGGCCTTTCCAAAGCTTAAACAGGGTCTTCTTGGTGTCTCTAACCTGTATAGTCCTATTCCATAGGTAGTTTGCTATCTAAATTGTATATGGCTAACATTCCTTTGGAATATCTACCCCGATTAGTATTGCCCGTACTATCTCTAATAACAGCCTATTTAACCTCTCAGCAACACCATTTTGCTGAGGTGTATCTGGCTTAATAAACTCTAATTAAATCCCCAGCTTTTCTGCCTATGTCTTTAGTATATAAAATTCCTTTGCATTGTCTGTGCATATCACCAGGAGCTTAACTCCTTTCTCCCGCTTCACCTAAACTAACCATGCATCTAGAGTCTCCTGGACAGTCTCTACCTTTCAGTCCTTGGTTAAATATACCCATGAATACCGTGTATGGTTATTTGTTAGTGAAAGGCAATATCTCTATCCCTTTTTGCATTTGGTTTTACTATATGGTCCCCAGAAGTCCATATAAACTTGTTGCAGCGGTTTTAAAGCTCTTGGAACCTTTTATAGTTTTGTTTCTTCGCACTTTTAGCCTGTATGCACGTCTTACAGGACTGTAAGCTTTTTATAGCTTCCTTATTAGTAGTAAGTCCCAACTGTTTAATTAACTGCCTGAATCTGGTCCGTCCTGGGTGTCCAAGTCTTCTGTGGATTAGTTCCCAATCCACCTGCTTTATTAGCCTTGCAGTTTTATCCCATTCCTTGCATTTTTAGGACTGAACAGCTAATACATCTTTGCTTTTTACCCATCCCAGGTAACTTATCCGGCTAATATTGTACCCAGTTGCAATAATATTCTCTTTGCCTCTCTTGCGGAAGAATTGGTATCCCTTCTCGGTATGCTCGTTCCAGATGCCGCCTGCATATAAAGCTTGCGTTGAAAACAGGGTCTCTTTTATGCCTGGCATATATAAAGCGTTTAGGATTCTCACAGTGTTCCCACTGCTTAAGGATATCTGCATTGTGCCTTTTCCTGCAATCCTTATTGCCTTTCCTGCTGTTCCAAGGGTTCCACCGTATCTCTGGTCCAGAGATCTAAAGCTTCTAATATCTCCGCTTGCCGTACTGGTTGCACCGCTGTCGATTATGGGGTCTCTGCTCCCCTTTAAGCAGTACTAATAGCAACATTCAAACGAGAGCAACAGCATGCGCCGCCTAATCGCGGTGTTATTATCAATAACATAATTAAACGGTGGGCCATTGATGTGTTTGGGGAATGCTTTTTTGACATTGATTTTAGCGCCCTGAATGGCGGCACTGTCCGGGCTCAAGATGCTCTTCTGGCCATCCTCTGGAACCTGGGAGGACATCTGATCCACTATTTCCCGGTGTTTGAAAGAATTGGTTGGCCTCTACGCCCAACACGACCCCATTGCTTTTCCATGATTCGAGAGCTCGAGGAGGCTCTGATCGACGTAACCGAGAAACTCCAATACACCCAGACACCGTCTGGTCGATCTGAAAAGTTGATTTACCGGCTGAAGCGAGCCCGTGATAATGGGCGCATGTCGGACTTTCACTATCACTTAAACCTCAAAATAATGTTCTTCGCTGGCCATAAAAATGCCAAGTTCGCATTTATAGCAACTCTGTGGGAGCTTTCTCAAAACCCGCAAATTCAGGACAAGTTATACCAGGAGATTGCAGCACATAGCCCTTCTTTATCCAAGGACAACCTCAAGGACTTGCCCTATCTCATCGCTGTACTCTCTGAAACCTTGCGCCTCTATCCCCCAGTCAGTCAGTTAATTTATCGCAAAACGTTGGAGCCAGTTAATCTAGGAAACGGCATAACCATTCCCCGGGGAACATGGGTGGGATGGACGGCATATAGCGTCTATACAGATCAAAATACCTGGGGACCTACCGCCCACGAGTACCAACCGGAGCGCTGGGGGGATAATTTCCATGCTATCCAACGAGCGATTAGCCAGCAACCGGTTCGAGGGAGTTATATTCCATTCAACGCTTGGACTCGTAGTTGTATTGGGTCTGAGTTTGCATTGTTACAACTCCGGGTGACGCTGTATGAGGTCGTCCATTACTTCGAAATCACTAGTGCCCCAGATTATCATTATTTGATCAAGGAGGCAAGTTCCAACCTGCAGACTTGTTGCGATATTTATTAATATAATTACTAACCCGAAGGTAGAACGCTTCTCTCGAGCCCTATAATTGTCGATTGATTTTCAAGGATAGATTATAGCCTGGGAACGTTTCTCATCGCTTAGCACTGGTAAAGTTATTTCCGAAAATATAGTCCATGCTCACCTATCCAGCATATAGAGAGGCACAAACATCGCTAGGAATACTCCGTACCTCAATAACATTGTGCCAATGTGTAAACAGAGCACCAACCTAACTCCATCTAGTTATTCTGGGCGTGGTTTCACCGGAACTGTAGAGTAAATCCTGCGACGCTCTGCCACTGCTATAAATACACTGCCCATTGCATCCGCTTTAATCATGGGCTGGCATCATCCCGTTCACGTGCCTCGATGATCTACTCTCTGGGATTTCATGGTACCGACGTTCTTTTGAATTCTTTTGAAGATTACAACTGGATGTGTGGTTCAGCGAGCCAACCGATTTTCGTAGAAAGTCGAGCCTCGTAGGGCTCTCAATAACCACGCATAGACCCCACCAACCCATTAAGATACCCTTCTTCCACGTGTCAACCACCCGGCAGGCGGTGATAACTGTCCTGACGACTACTAGCCGTACCAGCAGCATTGTGTTCCGTTGTTTTTGTAAGGCCGCGATTCTAAAGTCCAGTAACAGCACTTTATAATAATGGTATAACGGTCATACTAACTCGTCTGGTCCTTGGTTGGTACATCAGTCAGTGGTAAAGGAGTTTCAAGGCAAGAGGTTCTACGGTTATATTTCAGTTCCGATCAATGGGCACGCGGCACAGCAACAGACTATATAGCTTAGGACATGGCGAGAACTAACTGCTTTGTTGGGTGGGGTGAATAATTGGATATGGCAGGGATACGGGGTCCGGGTCTGTACCCTTGTCACATCCAATCAACTTCACCATTTTACGTCAACTTCCCATATAAGAAGTGCCTTCTCCGGAAGTACCTGCTCCGTACATTGCACATCCTCCCATTCATATATTACATGAGGTTCAGGTCCTTTTGTGGCACGGGTTTGGGTATTTGGGAGAAAGGAAGCACACTATTCGATTCATTCAGCTTCAGCTTGGGGTCGGTCGATTTAATGGGATTGCACTTATAGGAATAATCGTCGGTGGGTAATTAATGCGCATAACCGGCTCTTTATATTGCGCTACACTGGTTGCGGTACGGCTTTCTTACTAACTGACCTATCGATCAGCGACTTTCATACCTACCATCAGGTAATACCGGCCACTCCGGAGTCAATATTTCTACTTATGAGATATCTCTCTTACTGTAGTTTGATGTAACAGGATTAATTACAGCCGAACTGATATGGAATACAGCCCTAGCTCTATCTTTCATTGTCCTAAGAAATGGAATATTTAACTGTTCTGCACATCTAGCTTGGTGGAGAACGACTCCATAATAGAGGGCTGTGGAAGATACACAATTTTAAATCACCACTAAAACTTTCTTCCACATATTCTTGGGGCGCAAGTAATGAATTTCTTACCATCTACAACCTTTCCGAGACTACCGATAGATAAAAAGCTAGATCCCTTTTCTTGGTTTCCCGGAGTATAGGTCTTGTGCTGCATACTGTATACATTCTTTCGGTTCAATAATCCATATGTGTTTTGGTGGCTTTCCTTACTAACTAGTCTTGGTTGGGGAAGATTACTTGAGAAGTATATCATGAGCGCTAGCCTCGGGCTTCCTGGCGGTATTCAGTTCCAATGGACGGCCCTTTACATGCCTAAATTTCGAAATGAGATGAAGTTGGACAATTTCCATATGCAACTAGCAGCACCAGCTAGCTCGAATGGGCCAGCAAGAGATAGGGTGAAAAGCATAGCCAACAAAATGGAAGAATAGAAACGGTAAAAGTATGGCCAGAACCACATAGAGCTCGGTTAGTTCGAGATCAGGCCTATGCCTCATGTGGCACAATCGTATGCGTAGGAACAGAAAGGGGGTAAAGGAGATTTGGCTGACAGAAATCAGTGGAGATACGATGGCAGACAGAAAAGGAGGCATGTTTCCCTCAAGCTCCTCTTAATCTCCTTTACCATCAACCGCCCAAGCTCTTTGATCATAAGCTGTAACATTCTACCAATCCTATTATTTATCAATTGTCTATTAATAGAACGCGTTTGTAACGCAATCACCATGCCCCCTTCGCCATTTCGTCAGACGAGGCCTCCTGACAGCCCTCCCCGGGTGTTGCCATTGCAGAATGCAGACAAAGACGGCCACAAGTAACTCCTTGTCGATGCAATTAAGCAGGCTTTGGCGGACAAGATGTCTGCGGAGGCTCAAGCGAATCCGCCGAAACAGCCACCTCTCAACATAGGTCGGCTGGGTGCAACTTTTGGGGGCTTTTTCGGACCCGACTGGTCGGTCTCCCGAATCTACAACGGCGAACGTCGTGCCGCCTAATACGCCGCTCCTTCCTCGCAAGGAGACCGAGGGCCATGTAAAGGAACCTATTGGTCTCATGGTGCCTTCTCCCGACGATCCTAGCGCGTACGCAGAGCGTGCAGCGAATATCTCCAAGTCGGGGTTTGTCGATGTCGTGGGTTTCCAGCAACCAGCCGATGCCCAAGATGAGGTGGCCCCGAAAAACTCGCCCACGACTATATCTGCACCGGACATGATGGACCAATTGAAAGAATTGTTCCAGGCCGCCCCAGAGCAGAAGTCTGGATCGACTGCGCACTCCAATAGTCACCCTTCCAAACCTGTCATCGCAGACATCATGCCAGCAAATACTCTACTGGCTTCTAACCTGGGGAATGTGGCTATAGGAGATGCGAGAGAGCCCGTTGGCCTGATAGCCCCTTCCTCCATCGACCCAAGTGCGTATGCAGACTGCACCAGTGCAGCCGCAAACCATCATCTCCCAGACATTGCCCAAACCAAGCCCATTCCAGGTAGTGCCCCTTCTGAGACGGTGACAATGGGCCACTTGAAAGAGTTGTTCGTGGCCCTGCTTGAAAGGAGGTCCCAATTACCTGCACCATCAGTGCTTGCCCTGAGGATGCAGCTGCTCAGCCGGCAGCTAAGGGGCCTCGAGCCAGAGGCAAACGAGTCATAGAAATGTACGCGCCCTCGGATATTGCTGGGAACACTGGAGGCTAATCACAAAATAGTTGGAACAAAGGAACGGCCAGGTATAAGATCGTAGACTCAAGCGAGCCTGAAGTGGATGACATGGACTAATATGTGTTTGTCGCTCGATAACACATACGTAAGGCCTATTCGTCCTCAAATAGAGGAACGAAGCTCACATGGCTCTAGATGAAAAACGACAGTGTTCATTGACGTGAAGTCCGAAATCTTGCGTAACACCCTGCGTAAGGTGTTAGGTAGTGTAAAGGTGATAAGTCTCATGGAATGCAAACAAATAGTAAGCGATGTAAAATTACTAATACGAAAGGAGATGCTAATCCCGTACTAGATTGAGCAAACTGTTTTGTTCCATTTCCTGCCAGAGCTCAGCGCAACGCTCAAGAGTCTGACATCAACCGAGGATTTTCTCAATCCTACAGTCCCGGTTATCCCCTCTCCGAATGACCCAGATGCGTACACAGGTTACACGGGTGTAGAAAATCGACGAGGCTCCCTTGACAGGAATCATCTTGGGCACTCTGACCATCTGGGTCTGCTCGTTGACCACATCAGTGAAACCTACACTGCGACCGTTCAGCGCCTTGAGCCGCTTCTTCGAGGGGGAAACGACACTTATGATCTCCTGAATATGGTGTTCAAACCAGGGTGTTATGTCTATACCACTTGCTTGGGTACTGGAAAATCATTTTGTGAGATTTTTGATGCTGACGAGGAATTGACGACGCTCGGCATCTTATATTACAAGCTGGAATATCACTATCTGGACAACGATGGACAAGTATTCGGCGAGGTTGGCATTGAGCTGGCTATTGTCGAGTATCGAGGATCGAAGCTGATACATTTCCTCGAAGCCTTTCCGTTGGCCTACCATCCAGACCGCAACCGGATCTGGCAGGATCTAGTGAAGTGTGGGCGCGACTTTCCTGAGCTTATTGGTAGCAGCGCAGGAGGTGCTGCGGCTCCTATTATGTACTGTCGAGGCACGGCTTTCACCGTGAAAAACGATAAGGCGATTGCGATAAATATTGACAGTCGAGTCGCGTTCAATCGCTTGCAACTGTTAGAAGACAAACGCCACATCCTTTTGTCAGTAATAACCTCTCGCCTGTGCAGCAAAGGCGAAGTGGCTTTTGATGACTTCATCGAAGGCAAAGGATGTAGTCTGAATGTCCTACTTTAGCAATGGCCGAGGGCAAGAACGTGTTGCTCTTGATACCCCGGACTATCAAGCAGCACCCAGTATGGCGGACTAAATCGAAGTTCCGGGCAATAGAGATTTCTTACCGAAACAGAGGTTGTACATAAAGCAACGACTACTACGCACTTCTAAATCTATCTACTACCGGCCTCTAAAAATAGTGTCTTACTATCCCTAAATATTACTACTACTCCCGGGATACTAGTATTATAGCCTTGTACCTCCCAGGAGCCAGTCAATATATCTGGGGAGCTTTGAAATGCTTAATTGCATCATCTATTCGAGGCTCTTCTTATATAGCTATGTTGGCACCGTGCAAGAACAGCAGGATCAACAGGCCTTTGACAGTGTAGCCTTCTTTGACCTTGTTCCGCGCCGAGATTACTCACCAGTTAACTGCATACCTGTGGTATATTTACTTGGAATAGTACACGTTCGAGGCCATTGTCCTGCACTACAAACATGTGTATTTTCAAAGCCGCCACGTCTATGGCCACATTAACCTTCCGGGTAAGTTTAGAAATCCAGACCCTGGGTTAGAGTGAACTAACCTCACCAGCCCCAAAGCTATCGAGCGGAAGAAATGGTGTCGCGTTACTGAGCCTGACGGAATCTGAAGTGGAGAATATCCGAGAACAGATCCGGGACAACAGCGGACAAAACAATGAACTTCGTAGCGCAAATGCGCAACTTCATAACGCAAATGCACACCTCCGTATGCAAAATGTTTACCTTTGTGACCAAAACACGTGCCTCCAGAGTGAGCTGTCGAGATTATACGCGAGTGAGAGTTATCTGAGGCAGTATGTGGAGGAGCTCCAGGCTATGCTTAAGGTTTTTAAATGGCAAGAGGAAGAAGAGTTCCCAAAGTTAGTTGCAAACCAACCGGTGCAGCCGTCCTTGATTAGGCTAACGGAGGAGGTATCGCTATGAAGTTGGCTAAGACAATAATCATTCTATAGCATTTATCTATGATGTATTATCAGGCCAGAGGGCCCTCTGTGATGATCCTGTTCACCTTGGTAAAATGGATAGATTCTATCTAAGGTGGCGATCTAACGAAACATTAAACGTAGAGAAGGAAGGAAGGAAGAAAGAATTCTATTATACAGGAAATGTGGGAATTCTCTACATTGTGGGATCAACAGTGAATAAAGCAGACTTGGTGCCTCAGGCAGGGTTCGACCTAGGTCCTGACATTACCCCCTCCTCAAGGCGTTGGCTGTCCCCAGCTAACTGTGCCAGGAACTTGTGGTTCACTGGACCGCGTAATTATTATCGGGATAATCAGGTTTAAATTAGTTATTTTAGGTGGCTTCCAACCATGCATCCAGGCGTTTAGGTGGACCGTAGCGTGCAGGATATTGGTTATAGTAGGCGCGCAACTTTTCAGGAGCGTTTTTAAGATTAGAGGCTGGATACCACTTTGGATCCTCGTCATGGCCTATTTATTAACATAATAATATAGCTTTCCCCTATATGGTCGTGATAATAGAATGTTGTTTACTTTATACTCGAGATTTTTGTTAACTTCGATTAGGGGCTCGGGATTTATAATCTGGCTAGATAATAGTTCCGTTGACGTAGCACGCCGTAGTTTCTCAGGGGCGAACACTGGATGTACCTTAATACCCAGGGGCAAGTTAATCTTAAAAGAGTTACCTATTTTTTTAATAATTTTAAATGGTCCTGCCTACTGATTTACCAGTTTCTAACTAGGTTGTCTATATAAATTCTGTTGGCGCCAGTCCTGTTTTAATACTATTATTATATCTCCCACGCTAAAGTTTACTTCATGTCGGTGCTAATTTATATATCTTTTTTAGGTTTCTTAAGACTATGCGATGTTTTGTTTTACCTATTTTTAAATCTCCTCCATGCGATGGGCGAGGTCTTGCGCTTCCTAGCGGCTAACTAAAAGTCTCTGTGGTGCGGCGGCGCTGGTCTAGTCGAATAAGGTCCGGGGCTTATATCCTTGCTCTGCGAAGAAGGGGGACATGCCAGTTAATTCGTGAGGCAGAGCAGCAGTAGCAAAGTCTATTAATAGGAGAAGTTCTGACCAGTTATTTTAAAAATAATTTACAAAAGGAATCAGGTGTTGCGCAAGATATTGGTTAATAATCTCTATTTAACTATCTATCTGCGGGTGATTTGCTGTAGAGAGTTTTTGTTTAGCACCTAAGATCTTATAGAATTCGTCCCAGAATTCAGAGATAAACTAAGGACCTTGATTAGATACAATCGTGTCTGGAGGCCCTCCTTATAGGTAGATATAATATAGGAAAAGCCGTGCTGTTTCCTTGGCATTAATATTTTTTAAGCACGGGATCGAAACGGGTTGTTTAGTTAGACAGTCCACCACTACAAGTACATGATTATATCCATGGCGGTCCTTGGGGAATAAGTGGAAGTCTATCGAAATGTACTACCACGGCCTGTCTAGGATTAGTAAAGGCTGGAGAAGACCAGGGGGCAGATTATAACTAATATTCTTGTGTTTGTATATTATATAATTATCTAGATAGCACTTCACGTCACGGCTCTATGTCTCCCAGTAGTAGCGAGCTTTTACAAGAGCCAAGGTCTTTGCTCGTCCAGAGTGTGCAGTTAAGGGTTGACAATAAATTTTATTAAGTAGGCGGGCTTGGAGGTTTTTAATATTAGGCACTACCAAGCGCCCTTTAAAAAAAAGTAGTTTATCTTGTATAGACTAGTTTTCTTGTTTATTATCTTAGGTAACTACTCTATTTTCTTCCAGGCTAGAAGATTTATGGTTTACACGGAGTACTCGATCCACTACATGGAGATCTGAATCTATAGAGGCTAGTAGTGGTGCTGTGTTTTTTAATAAGGCTACCCCCTTTTTAAGATATTCTGGCTTAAGTAGTGTCTAGTGGTGATGGTCCCTGGACATCGGGCTTGGATAGCTCCTTCGAGTAAGAGCATTAGCCAGAGTGTTCTCCTTGCCAGGTTGATATTAAATTAAAAAGTAGAATTATAATAGGAATTCTACCCATTAAGCCTGCCGTGCATTAAGCTTCTTAGTGATTATAAAGTACTCCAAAGCTTAATAGTTAGTAATAATACTAAATTAGTCTTTTTATTAAAGTCCTTCCAGTTTGGCACACCACTTCTCTAGGGATTGTATAATAGCCAGTAGCTTTTTATTATAGATTTTGTAATTTACTTTTACGGCAGACATTGTCTTTAAAAAATATGCAACCGGGTGCTATATACCCTTAACTTTTTAAGAAAAAACTCCAGCTACCACTCCATCAGAGGCGTCAGTTTCTAAACGGGTTGGATAGTCTAGTTAGTAGTAAACTAATATTAAAGCAAAGGTAAGTGCTTGCTTAAGCTAATTAAGTGCTTTTTAATATATAGCTATTTATTAAAACAATATGTCCTTGCGAGTAAGGTTAAACAAAGGCTTTGCTACGCAACTGTAGTCCTTAATAAAGTATTAATAAAAATTGTAAAAACCTAAAAATAACTGCACGCCTTAAACAGTACTAGGTGTAGCCTATTCTTGGATCACCTTAGTTTTCTTAGGGTCGACTTTAATACTATTTAGTGTGATAATAAAACTAAGATATTATATATACTTTATGTGAAACTTGTATTTATAGATTGCAGCCTGGAGGCCGGCCTTTTATAACTATTAAAGTATTTTTTGCACATGCCTAATATACTTTAGCTTGTCTTGACTATAGATAAGAAGATTATCCACAAAGATAGTTAAGAAATTGTTAAGGAAATCTATAAAATAATTATTTATTAATTCTTAAAAAGACGCCGGCCTGTTTGTTAAGCTAAATAGTATTATCTTATACTTAAATAATCCGTACCGGGTCCGAAAAGTGGTTAGTTCTTCAGAATCAGAATGTATTAGAATTCGGTGGAATCCCTATTAAATATTAAGCTTGGTAAAGATCTTCGCACGGCTTAGACAGTCTAGGACCTTGTTAATTAGGGGTAGTAGGTAGTAATTCTTCTTTGTAATTATATTTAGCTTCTAGTAATCAACACAGAAACGCAATCCTCCTCCAGGTTTTTTAGCTATTAAAATCGGCGAGGTAAATAGGGTGTTATATTATTATTATTATTCTTCCATATTATAGAGCATTTTTCAGTCAGAGACTATGCATGCTCTACCTACCACCCCTGGGTGGTAGGATTTAAACTAACAAACAGATACGTACATAGTGGGTAAAATCAAACATAACTAAGCAATATGACATTCTAGGGGTGGGGGGGACCTTAAATAAGGAGTTGAAACATGCTAATTTCCACTGTTTTTATTTTTATTTTTGCTTTTTCTTTTTGTTTTCCCTATGGATCCAAGAGCCACTTTCTAGTGGCGATCCCGCTTTCCTTTAGGAATTTGATCAGTTGTTCTTGCCCTGCTTTCTTCGTGAAAACACTAGGCGTATTTCGGTCTTTTTTGTCTAGGGTCTCTATAGACCCTTTTCTGATGTCCCTGGTTGCCGGGCACTGGAGGAGTAGGTGGTATGGAGTTTGAGGTTTATTGCTGTGGCATGACGTGCATATATCACTATTATAGTTAGGTGTTCTAACTAAATATGATCTGAAGTAGCCGTGCCCTAGCTTTAATTGGATGATGGTTGACCAGGTCTGCTTGGGAAGCCTTAGGGGTTTGGCTTCCATGAAGCTATGGAATTAAAGCCCCTGTATTGATCACTTTTTTCTTAGTATTTTCCCATGCTTTATCCCAATCCTCAAGGCATTTCGCTTTAAGCTCTCGTTTAAGATGGCTAACTGAGATAGGGCACTTATGGTATTTACTTGTCCATTCTGCCCCATACTTAGCTGCTTCGTCAGCTTTAGCATTTCAAAAATTCCTTGATGGCCCGGAACCCAGTGAATATGAATATTGATATTCTTATCCTTAATCCTAGTTGCCCATTTAGAGATTCTTTGGTGTGGCTCGTAGTTGGTGTCCGCTGATTGAAGCCTTTTAAGGCTGCTTGGCTGTCTGAAAAGATGTAGATATCTAAGGTTGGAATTTGAATAGTCTTAAATGCTTGTTTTAATGCTTTTGAATAGCAAATAGCTCCGCGTCGTGGACCTCGTATTCGTGACCTAGATTCCATGCCCAAGCCTTTTTTTGATTTTGAGGATTATTTTCTTGGAGGAAGATTCCTGCTCCATTTTGACCGCTTTGCAGCTGGGATCCATCTGAATAAAAGATAATCTTGTGGTTGTCTCTACCAGCAAGCCATTGAGATATTAGCGCCTTGTGTTCCTGGGCTGCTTGCTCTTTTGGTTTGCTAGATATAGATATATCTATTATTTGGTTTAATGGCTGGGACCAGGGGGTAGGGTGTGATCTAGTGTCTGGAAGGTGCCTTTCCATGTTTTAAAAGAGAAAAAAGTGCTAGCAGTCGAATTAACTGGCTAGGGTGTTTTCTTTGTGTCTCTAGGATGGTATTCAGGGTCTTCTAGATCTAGCCGTCTAGGTTTCTCATTCCAGTCTAAAAACCTTGATTGGTCAATGGCAAATTCCCCCGGGTTTAGCGTAAACGTGGTTGGAAGTCTGCTTTGGATTGCATGGGATTTTATAAAATAAGCAGTCCTGAGTACATAGTTTCTGCAGATTTTATTAAATCTAACTAATGGTGGGGGCAGGGATGCTTCTATTTCCATGGCCTGTATAGGCGATGTTTTAAAAGTCCCTAGAATTTTCCTTAGGGCTGTATTTTGCAGTTTCTGGTAGTGGTCTACTAGGTACTGTTGGCCTTTCCACCATAAAGGGACTCCATAGTCTGCAATAGACGAAATGCATGCTATATAGAGTTGTCTTATAGCTTGGAAGCTTAGCCCCTTTTCTGTATTTGAGAGCCTCGCTATTTGGTGAAATGCCCTAGTTGCAGCTGCAACTCGTATTTGCACGTGTTCTTTGAAAAGGAGTTTAGAATCTAATGTAGATTCCTAGCCATTTTACCATAGGGCTTGGTTTAACTATGATATTATTATCTAGTTTAACCTGGATGTCTTGGTTTTCTTGGTCTGGTTGTTTAGAGCTAAAGTGAATAAGCTCTATTTTATCCTGGTCAAACTGGATATGGTCTTTGGCTCCTTTTTTAAACATGGCATTGGCTACCAGCTCTATTTGCCTGCAGTTATTCTCTAGGCTATTAGAGCTAATAGTAAGGCATATATCATCCATATAGCTAGGCTTTCGGGTATTTCCAAAGGCTTTCCTTGTATCACTATCTAGTTCCTCATACATTTCAAGCTGAAAGAGCTCTCTAATATATATAAGGAACAAGATGGGTGATATAGGTGATCCCTGGGGATCCCTACTTGCACTGGGGTCTCGTTGCTGGTTTCACCGTCAAAAGCTAGGAACACTTTCCTGTCCGACATAAAGGATTTGATCCACCGGATCAGGTTATGTGGAAGACCTAGTTTTAGACATATTCTAAGTAGCTGGTTGGTAGATACATGGTCAAAAGCTCCTTTTACATCTATAAAAAGAGCTGTAGTAACCATTTTATTATGTTTTGCCACCTCTATGTCATGGACTAGGGATAGTGCTATATCAATTGCTGATTTTCTTTTTTCTTCCCCATTTGGTCATGGTAAAGGATTGATTGCGGGAGTTCAGCTAGATAAGATAGCCTAGTTGCAATAATCTTCTCTACTACCTTGCCTAGGCAGTTAAGCAGGGAAATAACTCTGTAGGCCTTGGGCTTGGAGTAGTCCCTTTAGCAGACGCGGATTTTTAAGAATAACCCCTTTGGCAGTTTTCCAACATTTGGGATGATAACCATTTCTAATTAGGGCTTTATAAAGCTCGTGGAATCTCGGAGCAATATTTTGGTAAGCCTTTTGAATAATTAAGAATGAGATGTCATCAGGTCCAGGAGCCTTTTTTGTAGAGCTACTAAAGATAGCAGTGTACACCTCGTTTTCCCTGGTTTCTGGCCAGTTGGTTGACTCTGCCTGGTTGGTTGGCCACTCAATGGGCTTAGCCTCCGGGGGTTTTGAAACAGGGTGGAAAGAAATGCATGACATTTATCTTGAAAGGAGATTGCTTGCTTCTCTTGATTCTCTATAGAATAGGTCAAGATAGGCAGTTTTTGAACAGATCTCTTTTAGTATAGCTAAAAGCTTTGAAAATCTCCCTGTTCCGAGCTTCTTCTAGGAATTTGTTCCAGCATGCGGATTTAGCTTGCTTAATCTCCCGGAAATATTGATTTTTAATCTCTAGAAGATTTTCGTAGAGCTCTGGACATGGGTTATTTTTCCAAAGTTTTCTAGCTTTTCCAAGCTGTTTCCTTAGTATTTTAAGTTCCTTTGACCACCATGCTTTTGACTGGGCAGATGGTTTTCTTCTTGGGATACTAGCATCTGCAGCTATTTGAATTATTTCTTGCAGATTTAGAGCTGCGGTTTCTAGCTCTATATCGGTATTAAAGCTCCCCTGTCTGAATTCTTGGCTTGTATCTAGCTCGAGGATTTTCTTGCTGAATAATGCCCAATTTGCCATTTTTAGGTTATATGGTAAACTGACCAGGGGTTTTCAATTTCTTGTGTTTTTACTTCAACAGAATAAAGCAAAATTTCGTGGTCTGATCCCGAGGCGAGTTCTTGGTCAATTTCCCAATTTACTCTATATTGATTTAGACCTTTGGTAATAAAGGTTAAGTCAATAACAGAGACATTTCTCATTCCTTTTCTATGGCATGTTTGCAGGTCAGGTTTATTTAGCAGTTCACATTGATGTTCTTCAAGCCATTTAATCAAAGTATCAGCCCTGGTAGGTGATAATGTCTTTGAGTTCCACCAGCTATGGTGTGCATTAAAGTCCCCCCTATTACTGCATGTGTGGAGGGGGTAACCCTAGCTAGGGCTCTTTCTATTGTCCACTCGGCGCCTTCCTCTAGTGATTGCTCGTTATATATATTTATTAGCTGCAGATCTTGGATTTCTGCACCTAAGATATCTATTACCAGCAAATCACTATCAGTGCTAATATCGTTTCTTTGGCAATAATTAAACCTAGATAGCTTTCTATGGTAGATTGCTACTCTAGGTCTAACCTTGGTTTGCTCAGGGAGGATTGGGGTGTATGCTGGGTGGGATATAGTAAAGCTATTATCAGGCGCTATCCATGGTTCCTGGATGATAATAAAGTCGATATTAAGCTCCAGGCCTATTTCTAAGCAAGATAACATAGCATTCTGATTGCGTCCAGTATTATTTTGCAGGAAATAGATTCCTAAATCAGTGTTTTTCTGATTCATTAGTAATCTAATTCCATGTTACTGTTTGGGATTGGTCTTTCTGTAGGCCTAGGCCTTGGTTTTGGTTTGACTTTTTCCCATTCCTTGCAGTTTTTGCTATCTGCTCTGTGGGCTTGATTGCAATTAGCGCATTTAACCTGTGTGTGGGGACATTCCTGGCTTTTTACTTCGCATGTGGAACATTCATGGTATTGGGTTTCATGCCTTTCTGCGCAAATAGCGCATTTTGGATTATTCTTGCAGTATTTGGCAATATGCTTGTATCCTTGGCATTTTTGGCATTGGGCAGTTTTCTCTATATATTTAGTAGCTCTACATAAAGCTCCTGCAACACAGAGTTGATTTTTAATTGCCTTGGATGCCATGGCTTCATTCTGCACGTCCACTACAATAGAGGAGTGATTTTTGGTCTCGCGGACATGTTCTGGGGTCAGCCATGTTGGGGCCCTCATTAGTTTTAGACCTGGGTTAAAGATTTCGATCTCTTCCTTGAGCATCTGCATGCCTTCTTGGGTTTCAAAAGGCCTGGTGGGGACCATGTGAATAACTATTTTTGCCCATGGTTCATCAAACATCCACTTAGTATAGGGGATAAGTGGTTTCCAGACATCCAGCTTCTCTATTAAATAAGGCGCCTGAATACCGTCCATTGTGGTGAGGATAAGGGTCCTTTTAGTAAAGGAAGTGCTTGCTGTCCTTACTATAGGTTTGTCTACCTTTTCTTTTATCTGGAACTGGTGGTTGATTTGGTTTCGGAGCTTTAAGGAGTCTAGGTCTTGCAGAAATTCTGCAGAAACCTCTAGAATAAGCCTACTACCTTTGTAGGCGGCCTGTTCTACCCGTTTTGGCTGATCTTGTTTCTTGGTTGGGATAACTACTTGCGGTTTTATTCCTTTTTGGACTGCTGCTGCGTATGAAGGCTTTACTGGTTTTGCTTTGGTTGAGAAGAGGCTAGGGCTATTTTATCAAGTTTTTGATTAATAGCGTTAACCTCTTTCTGGAGTTTTTGAAGTTGATTGTCTTTGGAAAGCAGGGATCCTTTAGCTTCCGGATTTTGCAATTTGTCTTGGATAGCTGAGAGGCCCTCCAGATGCATATCTAGAGCTTCAAGGATCTTAGCATTTGCTAAACTATGGTGGATCTCTTGCAGTAAGATCTTTGCAGACTCAAGTTTTTGGATATAACTTTGTTTGGCATCACTTTCTATTTGTTTTTGCAGAGCTTTTTCCATCTCCTTTTTATTAAGGAGCACCTCTTCATCTTCAGACATTTGACTTAATGACGCAAAGGAATTAGGGCTCTCAGGAGGAGAATTGGAATCAGGCCTAAACTCAAGTCTTGCCTTTGGGCTGATGAACGAGTGTTTTCTTTTGCCTTTGGTCCCTTTTTTTTTAGGGCTTGGTGGCTGCGATGGGTTGGGTGACGAGTCCCTAGGTGGGGTGGTTGGGTCTTCAAAAGACCCCATTCTTCTCTCTGATAGACAAGGGAAAATAAAAAAGAAAAAAAAAAAAAAAATAAACAGGTAGAAAAGTAAACCAGGTAGGATCCTAAAACTTTACTAGCTAGGGATCTAGCTAGTAAGTAGAGATTTTTAAAGGGAATCTCTAAACCACAAAAAAGCTTTTAAAGGGAAGCTTCGAAAACCAGCGTAAGCGTACTAGCTCAACCTCTACTGTTCCCTATATCTCTGGTCCAGCACCAGTTTTCCTATACCTATCTAAGCTAAACAGCTTTAGAAAGATATTGCTAGGAGCCGTAGTACTGGGGATACAGCTCACAGTTTCTTCTTGCAAGTAAGCTTAGGCTTTCTACTAGTGAATTCTACAGGGCAGTCCAAGCTTCCTGTTTTTGGTGGAGTAAAACGCAGGAAAAAAAATCTCACCCCTTTTAAAGAGAAGTGGTAAACTAAAAGCACGGTTTTTATTGTTTTTGCAGAATACCCGGCTAAAATAACTGCTATGGTATGCAGGGCAGCTAGGTCCCCACCTCTTATCCCTCTCCAGGACAGTGATGGTGTTATAGAGGCCTAGAGAACTGTAACTAGTAGCGGCCCAAAAGTATCACAAGGATATCAAAATTTCAATCACATGTAATAGTAACAGGCTTATCTAGGAGTTCTTTGAACCCCTAGTAGGTGCGGGATTAAATAGGGTGTTACTTGGTGCAATAAACCCCTTATTAAGATTCTTTATAATATAGGCCTTGGCGGCTTCCAAGTGCTCTATAGACATCTTGTATAAGGGTGAGTAACCGAGATTTAAAGGTTCTGTTAACTTAATTTAGTGGTTCTTTAAACCTCTGGACAGGGGTAAAGTATCTAATGCGCGCTTGGAAAAAATATCTATATATTTTTAATACTCCGCGGGGAGCTAAGCCTTAATATCCTTAATCTCTAGTTCCTTTAGGGATTCCTTTTAGTCTTCAAGAACCATGTCTATTTTATAAAGACTTGTAATAAAAACCTCGGTGTTTTTTTTTTTCCCATATGTTTTTAAAGGCAGAGGCTTTAATTATAGCAATATTAACTAATACCAGAGGCTGTTGATCTACTGATTTAGGTGTGGGCTTTGGTGGTGCCTTTATCTAAGGCTCTAGTTTATTTACACTAAGAGCTTGAGCTATTTTTTTAAAGATTCTGGACTTGTTCTTCCCTTGCGGTATTTAGATGTGTCCTAGAGCGCTGCCCATTCTGGGGTTCTTTTAGTTTTTCTAGGCTATTAAATAGTCCCGTCGATCAGTATCCTTCTAATGCTTAGTAGCTACTGGACCTGGTTTTTAAGGATCTGTCTTGGGAGATATACCACGTTTTTAGCCGCCACGGTCTCTTGCAACGGGGGTTCTCCAGGCTATATTAGGCGCTGATTTCGCATGTTAAGCCAGATATTATTTTTTAACAACTATTTTCGACCTATAATTAGATTGTGCTGTCCGAGCTCGGTAATTAATATTAGTTCTCGCAGGAATCGGCGGCCGTCGACCTGCAAATTTAAGTAGATTAGATATATTAAAGGTATCCCTGGCTCTTTATTAAATCCTTTTACTGGGAAGGAGGTTAGTAAGGAGTAAATAATTAGGTCCAATTATCACGCAAGATCGTATGCCAGGGAGGGAGTAATAAATATATAACTATTTACTCCGGTATCTGCAAGAGATAAAGTTTGAAAAACAAATCTATTTTTACTAACTAAACTAGGCACGGTAAAACTGTCTCCGCTAAGTAATTAGGTTAAGTCTAGTCTGTTTCTTGCAGATGCTAAGATCTCCCCTAGGAAGGAGGCTTGCCCTAGGGGTTTTCTTTTTTAATTCCTGGGTTTCTTTGGTAACACCCTCCGGGAGAGTCTCGACGTGTACTTTCTTTAGTTTAGGCTTTTTTTAAAAGGGCAGTCCTATACTATATAGCCAGGCTGCTTGCAGTTAAAGCATCTACCTTCCTTTATTAACTGGATTCGAGCCTCCTAAGTTATTCCACCACGCGAAGCACTGGTTGTGTCCTTTACCATGGGCTTAGGGTTGGTAGCATCAGTACTCGTAGAATTTCCGGGATTAGTTAAAGACTTCCCGTCTTTGCGTCTAGCCTCGTTGTTAACTTAAATAGTATAGTAGGCCTGGGCACATGCAGTGGAGTATTTATCAAAAAATATAGCAGTGTAAAAATCCCGGGTGGTTAGGTTTTTTAGTTTTTTAGTAACCTTTTTAAAAAGCTCCTCTTTGTGATCCTCCTGGTGAAGCTAAGACTCTCCTGCCAGTTGTAAAAACTCGGCTAGAAAGTTATAGTATTTCTGGGAAGACTTTATTTAAAGGTCACGTAGCTGTCGACGAGCATTTTGTTTACAGTTCTGGTCATGGAAAACACTTTTTAAATAATTAAAAATCTCGTTAGCAGTCTTGTATTAAAAGCCAGAATCTTCACGGAATCGGGGAGCGGCATGCTCTGCGGCGCGACTGCTAAAATAGCTTTGCATGTAGGCAATCTTTATAACTTCTATAGGATAGTAATTTATATTAGCTGCTATTTTACTTTTTATCTAAGCCAACCAGTCTTTAAATTTGGGGTCCTTTCCACTGCTTAAAGAAGGGGGGTTAGGGATCTTAGCTAATTTACATGTCTTAGTGGTTAAAAAAGGGACACTGGTTTCCCTGCCACGTAGATATTTATAGGCATAGGCATCACGGTACTTGTCCTGTTCCTTAATTAAATCTGCGAGTGCTGCGTTCTTCTGTCTAATAACTTCCTGGATTTTGTTTACCTTGTTTTCTTGCTCCAGGTTCCACATCCGCAGTATTTCCTCAAAGAGTCCATTGGGATTATCCAGGGCCTTAGTAAGAAACTTATTCTTTGTAATAGTCTCTAGGTTATTAGTTCCTTGAGGGAGGATAGAGATACACTGTTAATCTGGGGCTTGTCTTCTCCTACCTCCTAACCTGGTCTTGCCATTTTAAATATCTTTAGAGTTCGTTTAATTTGATTTCATAGCGATTCGGATTAACCAGCTTGGGGAACGCGCTGATATGCGTTAAGGGAGAGATTAGTTGGCTGGAGCTGCTGCTTAATTAAAAGCTTAGCTTGTACGGCTAACTGGTCTCTAAAAAAGAGAAGAGATGACGTTGATGTAATATAATAATCCTGTTTACCTTGGTAAAATGGATAGATTCTATCTAAGGTGGCGATCTAACGAAACATCAAACGTAGAGAAGGAAGGAAGGAAGAAAGAATTCTATTATACAGGAAATGTGGGAATTCTCTACATTGTGGGATCAACAGTGAATAAAGCAGACTTGGTGCCTCAGGCAGGGTTCGACCTAGGTCCTGACACCCTCTAATATATAAACCTTGTCCAGCCATTTGCGAATGCACACGCGTGTGCTCTACTATACCTAATGTACCGGCAAGCGACCTGCACCCCAACCGCGTTTTCAACGCGCCTTAATTTCTTAGATGATTAAAACACCATCCATACCACCAAAAATGCCTAAATCATCAAAGTCACGCATTGAACAGGTAGGCAGAATCCTACTGGCTATATAAGCTCTAAAAAACAATGAAATTTGTGGTGTGAAGAAGGCGGCTCAGACATTTAATATACCTTTTTCTACACTACGTGATCGCCTAAAAGGAGTCTCTTTTGAAGGCGATATTCGTGCCAATAGTCATAAATTGACTACTAGTGAAGAGGAGTCGCTTAAGCAGTGGATTCTATCACTAGAAACGTAGAGTGCCTCCTCAGCCTGCACACGTACGAGAAATGGCCAATATCCTGCTTTTAAAATGTGATACGACTTCTCCCCCTACTACTGTAGGGGAGAAATGGGTATACAACTTTACCAGGCATACACCTGAGCTCAAAATCTGCTTTGCACGTCGCTACAACTATCAACGTGCTAAGGTAGAGGATCCTAGGATTCTAGGAGCCTGGTTTCAGCAGGTAAATGAGGCTATTCAGTAGTACGGTATAGCTTTAAGTGATATCTACAATTTCGATGAAACAGGGTTTACAATGGGTCTAGTAGCTACTGCCAAAGTGATTACTAGATCTAATATGCCAGGCAAGCCATTTTTATTGCAGCCGGAGAACAGGGAATGGGTTACCTCTATAGGATGTATTAGTTCTAATGGATGGGCTTTACCTCCCTGTATTAACTTTAAAGGCACGGTGCATATAGAGGCCTGGTACGAGGATCAGATAGTTCCATCTGATTGGAGGATTGAGATTAGTCCTAATGGCTGGACAAGCAATGAAATCGGCCTATGTTGGGTACAGAATCATTTTATACCTATTACTACCGGCCGATCTGTGGGACGATACGGTTTACTTATTTTAGATGGCCACGATGGCCATCTAGAGCCTCAGTTCGATCAGATCTGCGCAGAGAATAATATTATACCAATCCGTATGCCTGCACACGCTTATTATAAGCTTCAACCACTTGATGTTACTGTTTTCTCGCCTTTAAAACGCGCGTACGGAGGCCTGGTTGAATCTAAAATGCGCTGCGGGTTTAATCATATCGATAAACTCGATTTCTTGGAGGCATGTCCCGAGGCCCATACAGAGGCCGTTACCAGCAGTAATATTTATAGTGCTTTTAGAGCTACTGGCCTAGTTCCTCTATCTCCTGGGCGCGTTCTATCTCAGCTGACAGTTCAGCTTAAGACCCCTACACCTCTGGGTAGTAGACCTAGCAGTCAAGGCAGCTCAGCGCCTAAAACGCGTCATACGGTCAAGCAGCTGAAGAACTCAGAATCTGCGTTTAAAAGCTGCTTAAAAATTGGTCTCGCATTCCTGACTCGCCTATCAAAACCAGTTTAAATCAGCTGATTAAAGGCGCCGAACGAGCTATAAATGATGTGACAATATTTAAGCATCAACTTGAGCAATATCAGGCTGTATATGAAAAGCAGATTAAAAAGCGAAAGCGTTCTACTAAATAGATTACTTTGAAGAAGGCACATCAGTATCTGAGGCCCAAATTCGTATAGAGCGCCAAAATCATGCAGATGAAATTATCCAGACAGATAGAGCTCTACCTAGATGTTCTGGCTGCAATGTACAGGGTTATAAGGTTACGCAATGTCCGAATCGATAGAGCTACTTATCTTTATAGCTAATTGTTGACAGGATTTAATTAGCTATCCTTTAAGTTTGTCTTCTGAAATACCACTCTTTTACAAGTGCTTTAAATATTCTATTCGCTTAATATTTTTGGCTGGTAGCTGTGCTCTTTCCCATGAGATTGTATGACGTGCTCCTGAAAAGACTCGCTCAGGTTCGTCTCTTATTACCGGAATTAATAAGATGTCAATTGACATATATAACAATCTTGGCCAGCGCTTTTGTTACTCATCTTGACACCACCAAGGTAAAGCGGTTGTACGAATCTTATGTGGGGACATAGTGTTATAGTCCTCATATTCATTCTGGTGGTCGGGCAAATCCATCTAGGTCTTCAGCAATTCGGTCAAAATCGTCAAGATCTTGAGTATTTGTCTCGTATGATGGCATAACAATACGGCTTGTGAGGCAGCATGTCTTCCACGCTGATTAACTAGATTTGCAGGCCATCAGGGCAGATGCCTAGAACAGTTGGCAAATAAGTAACCTGCATTAAGCACAGTCTCCCGTTTCCCCCAGCAGTGCTGAATATCAATTTTTTGTATATCAGGGCGAGCAGAGAGGTCGAACGGAGGGGTTGTCCAGCATCGTGCCTCTACCACGGCCGCTGTCATAAACGGCTGACGACGGCTTGTCGACAAGAACACTCGAACCCTGCACTTCCACATGCGCCGTTTACGTTGCAGGGATTGTAAATCCCTCGGTCGGGTAGGGGTTATTTGCATCCCACCGGAAGCAAGTACCATGGCCAAAGCTCCCTAGACCACTTGTCACTATCTTGACGAAGGGGACAGATCAGGTTCCGCTACTAAACCCATGCGGATCTGCTGAAAGCTCCGTTGATCTAATCGTGCAGCCATCCAGCCCGGAGCTTCCGGCCCGGCTAATATTGGCTGGGGTATATATATAAGCTGTCGGAGACAGCATTGCCTGATTGTTGAAAACTCCACCTGTTTAATAATCGACAGGCGGGGTTCGTACCCACTCGATCTCGGCCTCGGCCCGGCAACCCTTCCTCCAGTGCTATATAAAGACTACCACGCTCAGCGAGTTCCCTTCCTATCCACACTACAATCAGTATGTCTGCCGCCGATCAGGTCCGACTGTCCAATTTTGAATCTATCTTCTCTCTCGATGGCAAGGTCGCTGTTGTAACCGGTGGATCCAGAGGCTTAGGACTCCACGCAGCAAGCGGGTATGTTTTTTTGTCCGCTCCCGACTCGCGTTGCTGCAAAATAAGCTACTATTTGTCTAACTTCGCATACTAGACTTCTTCAAGCCGGCTGCTCCAAAGTATACATTACATCCCGCAAAGCTGAGGCGTGCGAAGAAGCCGTGGCGGCTCTTAATGCGCTCCCGAACAAGAGATCGTGGGCGCGCGCAATCTCCGTGCCGGCGGATAATTCGCGCATCTCCGAGTTGGATCGGCTCGTCGCGGAGGTGAAGAAGACGACCGATCATGTCGATATCCTTTTCGCCAATGCGGGCGCCACGTGGGGGGAGAAGTTCGATACTCATCCAGAGGCCATGTTCTCCAAGGTGATGGATTTAAATGTGAAGAGCGTCTTCTATTTAATTCAGAAGTAGGTTCTTTTTTCTGTCTTTCCTTCTTTCTTTTTTTTTTTTTTTTTTCCTGCCAGTGAGAGTCGCTCACAGTTATAGATTCACTCCTCTCCTCTCGGTTCAAGCCACACGGGACGATCCCTCGCGCGTCCTGATCACCAGTTCCATTGCGGGCGTGGTGCTGGGCACTCTGGGGAAGAATGCTACATTCAGCTACTCGGCCTCTAAGGCGGCCGCTATCCACCTGGCGAAGAACCTCGCGGTTGAGCTCGGCCCCCGACACATCCTGACCAATGCAATTGCGCCGGGTTTCTACCCATCCAAGATGGCCGATGCCTTGATCAGCTTGCAGGGTGGGATAAAGGTGTTGGAGGAGAAGTCGCCGAACAAGCGGGTCGGCAGGCCGGAGGATATCGCTGGCCTGGTGGTGTTCTTGTCAAGTCGGGCAGCGAGCCATCTAAATGGCGCCGTGCTTATTACGGATGGGGGGGCTCATTTAAAGGGGCGGTTGTGAGCGATTGGGTTGGTGGAGAGATATATATATTATATTGGAGCTGGCACATTAAATATGTATAATATAACTGGCCTGGAAAATATATCGTTCTTGAACCCGCTCTTGCGAGATCAGCACAGACAGGAACTGTGGTCCTGTATGTGGCGCCGGGCTTTCATAAAACCCTGGCGCACTGATATGTGTCGTGGTATAAACACGTGGGATTATTTATAACACAGTCCGCGCTGGGGTTATCTCTATAACAACAGTCCTCTTCGCTACAGGTCTAAAATGAGTGTGGAACGCGTGTCCTTCCATGGACCGTGTCGCACAGGGCCTGTAACTGTACACGATCTGAAAGGCCAATCTGATGGCCCTCCTCGAGCCCATGGGGGTTTTCGGTGCCGCAACGATCTGTTTGCCGATTCGATGCTACAGGCTAGTAGGCTGAACGGGCACACGCGATGGTGGGGTTGTTTGCGAGACCAGTATAAAGATGAACGGCACCCGCACCGGGGAATATCCAGCAGGACAGCTCTGGAAGTATTACAGGGATCCGTAGCTGGTAGGGACCATCAGCATGTCCCTGCACGCCCGGCGCAAGGGGCCCGAGTCTGACTCGCGACAAGGCACATACTCTACATTATAATGGCTAACACCCTCGCCTTGGTTATGCGAGATATCTGAGTGAAGATGACCCCTCAGCCCCTTCCCATCTATGGCCGAGGAGACCAAATCACCCAGCAGGACCGGATATCATGGATTTTAGCGTTCTCACTAATTCGGATCCAGTCCGCGACTAGTTTATTCTCCCCAGCACGCCGTGCGGCAGGGAACCGTTCACCGGGAGAGAAGCTACTCGTTTCCCAGTTTCCTCAGACCAGGCTATGCACAGCACTTTCGGACAATACACCATTGGTAAAAACTAGGAGTGTGAAAGGCCTGAGTAGCACAAGATAATATCCAGCGCAGGGGTGCTGCAGCACTTCCATTCCAGTGGGATGTGCTGGCCGCCTGGTTGGTGATGGATATTATTCCTGGAAACTCCCAGTTTTCAGTCCCCTAGGGACTCCCTAAAAAAAAAGAAAGAAAGAAAGATTAAGAAACGAGGTGGTATGGTCTGGCAGATGTTTAATTTATATTTTTTCTGTCGCGGCCTTAACCCCTGTCTTGTCCCGGCATTCGTTGTTCTCGCATTAGCCTGTCCTGTGTAGTATGTAGTAGCATATCCTGGAATTAGCAGACTATAGGAAATTGCTAAACAAGACTAAAACTAAGAACCAGATTTTGTCCCCATTCGAATCCTAGTTCCCTCTCGTCCTCTGCGCGAGGTCAGACAAAGGCTGGGTCGCTGTGTGGGGCTTCAGAGACGCTGATATATTTCGCCTTCCTCTCGAGATGTTAGCAGCCTACTCGACAAATACTCGCCCCCGCCAGGGTAAAGGGGCACCCCTGGTGCACAGCAAGTCCAGTTTAAGCACCGAAATTTATAAGACGGCAGCCGTCAACAACAACAACAGCTACAACTCCAAAGGGTTCGAATTCGGCGGCTCTCTGGGGACCCTCGCCCTGATAATCGGCCTCCCTCTGCTAATATACTACATGTGGATTTGAGCGACATACTATAGCAGCAAATTGCCTCTCCCTCGGGAGGGTCAGAGCTGGCCGGCCTTTGCTAACTATCTAATGGGTCTCGTATACACAGGCGTGTTCCCTTATCTCTAGGCCTGGCGGATTTACTGGACATTCTACGCTTTCGAGGCCGCCTGCTACGTCCTCCTGCCGGGTTTCACTGGTTAAGGCAAGCCCATCGCTCCGCCTTCGCCAGCTTTTACGTCATGATCGTCGTCATGGCCGCCCTCTACATCACGGAATATTTCCCCATCTACACCCTGCCGGACGAGTTCGGTCCGATCATGCCCGTCGCCATTGTATCAGGCGTCCTGACCAGTGTCTACGCTTACGGTTCTGCGTGGGCCTGTGGCGCGCAGCATCGCACCACTGGCTAAGTGACCTATGATTTCTTTATGGGGGCCGAGCTGACTCGCCTTTGCGGGATCCTGGACTTTAAAATGTTCTACGAAGTCCGCATTCCGTGGTTTCTACTCTTCGGCTGCAGCTGCGCCGCCGCTAAGCAGTATGAACAGTTTGGCTACGTGTCCGGCGAAGTCCTGTTCCTTGTTCTGGCCCACTATGCGTGCGCTAAAGGAGAACAACTCACTTTAACCACCTGGGACATACATCAGGAGAAATTCCGATTCATGCTGATATTCTGGAACATGGCTAATGTCCCGATGACGTACTGCCACGGCGCGGTTTTCCTGGCTTCCCGGCACCCGGCCACGTACGCGTGGGATAAGACCGCCTTAGCCCTGTTGTACGTCGCTTAGCTCTTCGTGTACTGGGTCTGGAACACCGCGAACAGCCAGAAAAACTCCTTCCGGATGATAGAGACGGGCACGTGAAACGGAGAACGTTCCCGCATCTACCCTGGCAGGAGGTGCACAATCCTAGAACTATAGCCACGGACTGCGGTGAGAAGATTCTCATCGATGGCTGGTACACATACGCGCGTAAGATCCACTATACCTGTAATGTGCTCTTCGCTCTTGCCTAGGGGCTCATCATGGGCTTCGAGAGCCCGTTCCTTGGTTTTACGCGGTGTTCTTCTGGGTTATCGTCGCGCACCGGACGCAGCGGGATGTGGCCAAGTGCCGGTGAAAGTACGGGTCGCCTGGGTCAAGTATGAATGACGGGTCCTGTATTTTTTTATTCCACTTAAGTTACCTGCATCGCATGTCCCCAACACTCTCGGCTTGCAGCGGTGGCTCATGACCTTCTAGTATGTGATATAGATTGACGCAACCGTCCCGCCGTCTTAGACGGGAAGGAAGAAGAGACGAGTTTTGCCAGAAACTTCCCTTGAGGATTATCGTTGAAGTCACGCGAACTAGTCAAGTGTAATAAACACGCGATGGTTTTTAAATGCGGTGAATACGGGTACTACTCTTTGCAGCTGTCGAAAGGTAGCTTTCCAAGACATATGGTCGGCTATAGATGACCACCTGGTCTGAGGAGATTGTGTGCGGTGGGCTTCCGTTCTCCGGTTAGATAATACCGGAGTGGCTTGCAAGACATTGTCTGATCTGATTAATAATGGTGACGGCCAAACGCATCTTGTTTTCTTTTGCAATAGCGAGGATATATATACATAGTGAATGAATCAGTGCGACCGGCACTTGGTCAAAATTAATCTTGTGTTGTCAAGAGTGCGATTGAAGACGAGATGGCTGCTTCAGAATCCGCGCGTGCAGCATGCTGGATTGGAAGCACCAAACTGAGATGGACAAGATGGTGCAGTCGACGGACAACTGCGATTAACCTTACCAAGCGACTGGAGCATATCGCCAATACGTTTCCATTAGATTCGCGACAGGACAGTCCAGGGGATCGTTTGCATCCAATAAATCCCCATTATTAAGATGGCTGCTGACGGTCTATTTAATGAATATCTCAAGACGCTTCAGTGTGGTAAGATACGTATATTGAATATATATTACCCTCCCATGCTATTGTAAAGTGTAGAACTACTGGCTAGGCCTAGTGGACAAAACATATGAAGACTTCGAGTACATTGGATAAGGGCACTTATTAAATGTCGGCCTTTAAAAGGCTAAACGGGTTACCGATGTCGGCGAATCGGACCCTTCACGTCCTATTTGCTATAGAATAAAGATGCCGTGCCGATGGAGAGATGATTTGAAAGGCGGCAATATTGAGAGGCAAGTGGATGTATAGATGATAAATCCACCGGTATTTTAACAACCTAGTGTTAGAGGCTGAACTGTCACGGTCCTAAACCTAAATTGAATGAAACGAGATCTATTCAGAATATAGGGCGACTCATATTCGAAACAACTAACTTGAGGAGCTATCTGTAGGGGTGTTGCTGGGAAGGAGGGTGTAGGATGTGTGCTCACGTGATTGGATAGGGCTAGGGCTGGAAATCAGGTGATCTGGAGGTCGTGGGCCCCGGGCCCACGACTTGACCTTGACCTTGCCGTGACAATTACCAAAGTTGGGGACGATCCCGTACTCGCGCACATATTGCCAATTCAGGTTGATTCCATCTGGTGCAAACGATGTTTCATCACCAACTTATCCTCCAGTCGACTCTATGCCTCGTCAGTCTGAAATGCTGGCAGTTCAATGTTGAGACAACGGTCAACGAAGAAGTCCAGGAGACGGAACGCCTGCCTGACTCTCGATTCTTACTGTTTTCCTGCAAGGCTACCTGTATTGTCACTCCATCAGTGCCCTGCCATTTGTTCAGAGGAATATGAAACACTATCCTGATTAGTGCAGAGCATGCTGGAAATACCGAGGGGAAACTCCCTCGTCTTCCCATCTGGTTGAAACAGACATGATTAAACTCAATGTTAGTTCTCAGTAGCACGTTATGCAAGCTCAAATAAACGACAATATTGGATAGCAATGTCGGCTTTCTGTGTTCTATCGCTCGAGCAACGATTATCCGCTTTTGTATAAATATGACGATTCTGCATCCGCCGAAATAGCTATAATACGAAAACTTTGAGAGTCCGATCGAAACAGCCCATTCTAGAAATATTCAAAAACTCTATTTCACGGCTATGTCGGAGGTAAGTTTTACACATCTCCGATACAGACTATGGCGCTAGTGGGTATGGTGGCAAGTCAATTATTATATCAACCTTTAGATACCGCCGTATTTCGTCATCCAAATTGACCCTTATTCTTATGTATTTGGACTGGAGTATTCGCTTAGTTAGAAGGCTCAGACCTTCATAGGCTCATGGAGTTGATACTAGTCAATACACTTAGCGAGCAGGTCAACAACTGCGTGATCCAGGATATGTTGAAATACCCCGATGAAGTAAGCGGCTCGGAGAAAGTCCCGCAGGACTGCCCCTACACCATTATTGAGAATTTCTTGTAGGGGGCCATCGTCTTGAAGCAGGGACAGTATTGTCTGCTGGTGGATGATAGCGATTCCCACTTTCAGTTTGATAATATGAGAAGTGAGTACGAGGGGAGTAATCGTGATTTCTGCAATTCGATTGTGAATGGCCAGCATGAGTTGCGGGCTTGTGGAAAGGCGTTTAATGCAGCCAAAGAATCCTGATGTGAGGGATTTAGTGAGGCTATAGCATCCGTCGAAACCGAAATATCAATTGTGATAATCACAGATTATATGAGAAAATTATATACATGGAAAGAGAGGTTGTATAACAAATTAAATAGAAATACAATTCTGGCCGGCGAGAAGAAAAGCCGAGTGCCTGGCTAGAATCCTCCTATGAAGACTTGCTAACCATGAGATCGGCAATCTTTTCAGCCAGCATATCTGTTACAACTGTCAGCACCAATCGAATCGTGTGTTGCATAACGAATGAACTTACAAACAGTGGATTGAGGATGGCCCGGGGGCAAGATGGGGAAGGAGCTGGCGTCAACAACCCTGAGTCCGCTGACGCCATACACCCGAGCCTGGCTATCGAGTACAGCCATCTCGTCATTCTTGGTACCCATCTTACAGGTGCAAGCCGGGTGCCACAGTGTCATGACGTGATTACGAATAAATTCGAGGATCTGCTCGTCCGAGCTGACTTTGTTGCCGGGGTAATATTCTTCGCCGATAACGACGGGAGCCATGGCCTTGCTCTGGAACGCTTCACGCATGCGCTTGAACATGGCGATGGCGATCTGCTGATCGGATTCGGTGGCCAGCAAGTTGGGGTTGACCAGGGGGAGGTCTGCAGTGTCGGCAGATTTCAGGGTGATGTTGCCGCGCGAGGTTGAGGCCACGAGGACCCCCAGCATCGAAGCATACTGCAAGCCATCCTGGGGCTGAGTCGTCAGGAGGTCGGAGAAGTTTCCGATGTAACCGGCTCCGGAAATATACTATTTGATGATCGTCAGCATACATGTACAACAACGCGAGGGTAGGGGAAAGGGACACTGACCTCGGCCTCGGGCCAGTCCTTCGGGAACTGCCGCAGAGTCTTCTGCACCTGTGCCGGGAACGAGGAGCGCAACTTGGCTGGGATCTTCTCCCATGCGAGAAAATCGGCGATGGGGTTGGTAAGGGGGCCCTTCTCGGTGGCGACGCTGTTCAGGAATTGACTGAGCAGGTAAAGCAGGTCGCGAGCAATCTTGGTGAACGTCGTGACGCTAACGCGATAGCTGGGCCCGAAGAAAGGATGATCCCACATGTTCTGGCCGACACCGGGAAGGTTGACAACGACCTCGATTTCATGCTCCTTAAGCGTGTCTGCAGGGCCGACTCCGGACACCATGAGCAGTTGGGGGGATTGAAATGCACCGGCAGATACGATAACTTCTTTGCTGGCCTTGAGAGTAGAGATCCTACCGAGGGGACCTTTGATTTGTACGCCCGTTGCCTTCTTGTTCTTGTCGAAGATAATTTTCTTGGCCAACGTGTTCGCATGGACGTGCAGGGATCTGGGCGGTGATTTGAGGAACGACGACTCGGAGCTGCTGCGGGTCTGGTCGCTGGGACGGATGGTTGACGAGCAATACTGCGAGCCCATCAGGGAGCCACTGTTGAAGTCCTGCGCCTCTTTGATGCCGATCGCCTCCATGCCCAGTTTCATCCAGCTCGAGAAGGGCATGGCGTAGTTGGCATAGGAGACCTCCAGGGGACCGCCGTTTTCTTCGAAGGCGGACCCGTCGTATTTGGTCGAGGCATTGCGGAATCGGTACTCCGTGTTGGAGGGAGTGAAGTGAGTGCTGCGCTTGTAGAAGGGCAGTACCTCGTCAAAGGAATAGCTCTTATCATCGACCGCATCTGCCCATTGCTGCATGGATTCGACGGTTGGTCTTGTGCGCGCGCGATATTAGTGCTGTGCTAAAACAAAAGCTCTGATCAAGACGCCAGCACTTACCTTTGATAGATCATAAAGTTCAACGCCGACGACCCACCCAGCGTTTTACCGCGTGCAAAATGGATAGCTCGATTATTGGCACCAGGGAAAGCCTCGGTAATAAACCCCCAGTCAATCGAAGACTTCACATTGGGACTGGAGCCCACGGGCAGAGCATCGGCTGCCGGAACGGCAGCAAAAGACTGCAACTCGTAATGTCCGCCAGCCTCGATCAGAGCGACTTTAAAGTCCTTCTCTGCCAGGCGAGTGGCAATTACATTGCCACCTGTGCCGCCGCCAACGACGATGTAATCGTACTCATTGGTGCCCAGCAGGGCCTGGACACCCAGAAGAGGGAGAGCGAGAGAGAGAATGGCCTTGCGCAGCATGGCCAGTTTCTACGCCTGGAATGTTCCTGGAGTCTGACAGCGGACAAGTAATCAAGGGGGAGGGCGTGCAAGGACCTCGGCCACGACACCGAGGGACCAAACCATTCTTATAGTCCGCGGAGCATACATTCGACTAGAAGGAGGGTAGCAGCCGAGCAGGGTATTCCTCGACCCTCTTGGGCAACGGATCTGATCATGTCAAGAACACCCCTGGTCGACCTACCAGAAAATCCACCCCAAAAATTGGATCGGCCCAATATTAGGGGGTGTGGGGGTGGACTTTATCGGCAGATCCGCACAGCTTTAATGCCTTGAGGGCCGGCCGAATTAACGTTTGGGGAATCCATATTTTCCATCCTGAAACGCCGACTGAGGTTTAGACGGTTGCTTGGGAGCTGAGACCATGGCTCGATCTTGCTGAGTGATTGATCAGGTTAGGTTATTTTTAAGGATCGAGGGACTTTCGCTCATCGTCGGTGGATCCTGGGCCGGACAGAACCTTATTATTATTATTATTCTTCTTCTTCTTCTTTTTCTTCTTCCATATTATAGAGCATTTTTCAGTCAGAGACTATGCATGCTCTACCTACCACCCCTGGGTGGTAGGATTTGAACTAACAAACAGGTACGTACATAGTGGGTAAAATCAAACATAACTAAGCAATATGACATTCTAGGAGTGGGGGTGGAAGAGACTACAGGTCAGTCGCACGTGGGCAAACCTGTAAAGGGCTAGTGCCCGTTTAACCTCTCGGGCCAATGTCCTGTTGTCCCTACTGTCCCCGTTGTCCCTATTGTCCCTACTGTCCCTACTGTCCCCTTTTGGCCCATTGGCCCTTAATTAATGTCACGTGACTCTCCACCTTGTTTGTTTACCGCTTATTTTCCTCTTCCTTTCTTCCTTTCTTCCCTTCTTTAACAATTCCTTCTTGTACATAACCTATCCTGTAGGTTTTATGGGTTTAGCCCTTAATATTAGGAATCGTTCATCTTACTTACCTTATACTAAAACAGAATAAAATAGAACAGAACGGAAAACAGCTAATACTGAACAGAATGGAAGGAGAATATAACCCACCAAGTGGGAGTATAAAACTACCAACATGGGCCGAACCCCTATTTCGTTAAATAATAGAACAACAGCAAATAGCTCTTGGTCTACAACAGGATTACTTCCAAGGGCAAATCTAGATATTACACGCGGAGCTCCAAGCAGCACTCCAAATAACTCTAACCCTGGTAACCTTAAACACCACACCAAGCGCAGCACCTGTACCTAACCCCCTACCTCCTACACAACAGCACCCTCGCCCGAAGCTAGCCGACCCCGAACAGTTTAACGGGACAGACCTTACGCTTTTCCCACAGTTTTAAGCCAACTAAAAGCGAAGTTACTGATAGACGAGGCCTCTCTTGGGGAGAGTTAGAATAAATATGGTACGGCTATAGCCGCCTGGGAGGCAAGGCAGCAGCAAGGATCCATGCATGTATTATAGCTAATAAGTCCTCTCTAAGCTTTATACTTTAAGGATTTTACAGCCAGCTGGAAAGCACTGAATGAGAGGGAAATGGTAGAACTCCAAAGGAGTAGGTCAAGGAGACACTCTTAGACAATTCAGAAGTTGTGGGCCCCGAGCCCACAAGTTCCTGGCAGGAGAGAAGACAACATTCCCTTTACGCAGCTGCGTCCCATGGTCTGTGAGAAGGTTGTTGATTGTCCATTACCTCTTCGAACGAGGACTTAAGATAATAACAATCTATACAAATGTCATGTGCCAATCCCTCGAATTCCTCCACTACAATAGATAGAAAATCTATTTTATCAATAGCTTTAATACCACTGCTTATCATTTCTTGCACTTTTTGGCCATAAAAGCGCTTTAGAGGTGCAAAACAGCTAACATCAAGCGGTTGAAGGAGGTGAGATGAATGAGGAGGCATATAAAGTGGAATAATTAAATGTTCTATACAGTATCGATCAAATTCAGCAGTTGCATGGCTCCCGTGGCCATCCAAAATAAGCAATCGATATTGACCAACGGTGCGGGATCTTGTATGCTTGTCGAAGACTTCTTATAGCCATTCTAGTCCCAGATTATTATTGGTCTAGCCATTGTCGCTAAGACTTAATCGATAATCTTTAGGTAGAACAGAATACCACTGAGATTGATGTTTCTTCCCAGAAAAAAATAATCTGCGGGGGTAGAACCCAGCCACTTGCTCTAATAGTCACAATCGATGTAATCCATTCTCTATTGCCTGGTTGTATAGATCTAGCATCGGATTTGCGTGTTTCCGCGCCACAGACAACTTTAGCAGTAGATGTAATTCCCATTTGAAAGCCAGTTTTATCCATATTGTAGATATCTTGTTCTAAAATACCATATTTTTGTATAGTATTGTAATCACAGCTAATTTAGTGTGACCGCGGAGACGGTAGATAAGTGAATTGGGAGCCAGACTTGGTATTACCAAGTCTAGTTGACCTTTTGCAGTGGCGTGGCAATTGGGTGTACCCTGTAACCTAGTCTTACCCTTTTCGGACCAAGGAGATTACAGTATTTTAAACTAATTGAAACCAGCCCTTAATAACCTGTGGATCTTCACACTTTGCCCGCTGATAGTCATATCGACGATTATATCTTGACTTAATATCATCGTGGCGTGAAATAAATCGATTAACCCATTTTATCACTAACTAGATCTGAGATAGAGGCCTGGGATGACGACGAAGACTTTTGACGTGCAGATATTAAAAGTCCAGCAAGATATCGAACTTGGGAGATCCGCGGTGGTAGACCACGCTCAGCCATATTAATAATTCATCTTTTAATGTATCCTCTTCAAGATTGGATAGCTTTCGTCCATTTGCGTCTATTTCTTTGCGGGAGGGTATTCCTAGAAATCGACGTTGAAGCTTTTGAATAGGCACATCAAATGTTCTAGCACAGGCAGCATTTGATGTAAATTGGCCATTATTCCATGCTTTAATAGCCATTTTCATTCTTTCATCCTCTGAAATAGACGTCATTTTAATAATATTGATAAGAAAAGGCTTCAAAATATAAAAATATTGAGCTTCTAAAGGTTGGGGGGAAGAACTTCAAAAGAAGCGGTGAGCGGCGCGACATTCGGTGTCTTGCGACATTCGGTGTCCGATTACGTTACATAACAGATGCTGACTAAGACAATGCAGACCGGCATCCGGAGCAGAGGGATATCCCGATGTTCCAACACTAACTACCCCGACGGTTGGCCCAGCCGTCGGAACGGGACCTTTTCCGGCACTCGGCGTAGAGCTGACAGATCCGAGTATGAATACTACTACTACTACTACCACCCCCCATGTTAGTTCAGGAATATGTGCGCTAGGTCCAAAAACCTTAACCTATGCCTCTGCGTATTTTCTAAGCACCTTGGTTGCTGCTGCACTGCTGGCTCGCAAGCGGATATCACCCGATGGTAGTTGGCACGCAGCAGTAACCACAGCACTGCTTAGAGCTGCACTAACAGTCTTTTTAGCTGCTGCAGCACGTGCCTGTTCAACCTTTTAGCGAATATTGTTGTTACTGCTCCTTCGGAGTTGTTCTCTAATTACTGCGTCCGGGATCTTAACAACAAAATCACTGTCTACCACCAGTTCGTCGGCAGACACACCTGGGGTGGAGGTTTGACCGGAGGAACCCTTGGTAGACAGGGCGCCGGCTGTCTGCGCGTCCCCTTGCCACCTAGTATAGTTAGCTCTCCAGAAACTGGCTGAATCGAACGATCCTGCCCGTGGTGTACTGTCTTTAGTAGACTTTTTAATGCTTTTAACTTTCTTGCGGATTTGCACATTTTTAATTTCCAGTCGCTTAAGCGCGTCTCTAACCTCTGTGAGGACATGTGTTTCCCCTTTATGTGTGATTTTCTAAACACTGCGAATAAATCCTAATACAAAGTTATTGGCAGACAGATTCGGACTTTTATTAATGTGTTCTAGCACCTGTTTAGCTGCTCCTTCAAGCTCCTTCATGGTGTTGTATTGGAAACGCGGCCTTCTTGGGACGCGTTCAGGGTCGCGCCCTTTAGCTTGTGAAGGCGAGAACGCGTTCCTCGCCATCGCCACCAAGGAGACCCAATTAAATTGGTATCAGTCGATAGCGATTGGAGTCACAAGTAATTGATCAAATTTTGAGCCGAGTGCGGCTTGTTTTAGCGGCGTAATTTCAAATATTCGATTCGCGCAGAAAGAGATGTTTTTTTTCCCATTGGGATTGTGGGACGGGACTTGAACCCTTTTGGGATCCCGAATCCCTCCCAACGGTCAGCCTAGGTATCTCCAACTCGGTAGTTGACTATGTATTCCCGACAAGTGGTTGGACCCACCCACCTGCTGATAATGCCGTATCGTAAATGTTCCACAAATCTCAGCTGGCCTGGAGATTGATGGTGCCCTTATTATAGGTGGCAATCGTTCGCATTCAGGCTAGAATATCCACGGTTCTCTTGAGATGGATCATACTTAGATGTAATTAAGATTCGAAATAGACCACTCCTAGAGGCTTCCTGTTTCAAATTATTAGCTACCTAAATATTAATAAAGAGCTGCCCACCCGGGTGCTGGATATAATTTAGGCCATGATAAGCAAATCATTTGCTAATAAAATATCCTTGTGTCTAGCCCGTCTTCATTACGTGAGAGAGGTTATTTTAGAGCTTTAAAATGCCTAACTTGTTATCTCCTATTATGAAAGCCGAAAGTCACCCTACTGTTGTGGTTAGTTACTGGTGGACAGAAGAATGGCCGTGGCTATGTCCAGGTAGGGTCCAAGTGCTAGAAGAGACTTCTTGGGTATTTGAAGGGTAAGCTGCATTTTAACTAGCTGTTCTCACACAGTAGTAATATCGCATATAGCTCTTGGTCAGATCCACAATCAACTACGCAGCGTGCCCAAGCACATCGTTCGAAGAGGTGGCTAAGAAAGCTTTCTTTTCATATCTACTTATCACGTATCCATAATGGTGTATGTGACAAGAAAAGCAAATAATTTGAAATTGCGCCCCCAGACAGTGCCGCTCTAGACACGGTACTCAATATATACCGTGCGAGAAGTACGTCATCTTTACGTATAATAAATGTCGCTGTTAAATAAATTTATGTGTCAATGTGTGAATCTTGGTATCGTATACTGGGGTAAACTGCATAGCTCATTACACATCTCGTTAGTTAAATTTCTTTTACTAGTTATGATTTGGAGTCCAGTATTAATAATTTAAGCCATGAATTTGAGGTGATTTACTCACCCAACACCATACTCGCCCCCATATTCACCTATTCTCTTTTCTTTTACGCCGGTTCTTTAGCTGCTTCACCAGTAATTCAAGATGCACTGACTAGGGGAGATTACAGGTCTGGTTGTGAAAAGCCGGTCCGCAGCTGCCCCCCCGGACAAATGGCGGACTCAGCCCGTTTATCGTCTTCTCGCTCTCCAATCCCCGGAAACCTATTAACGACGTACAATGTGTACATTTTGCTATCCATTGATTCTTTGGTTATTGCTATATCTCTCGGTTTTTGGTTATTGGTTTGCGGTATATTTGGGATAAGTGAACTGGCCTGAATTATGCCTTAACAATGTCCAAGGGAAAGGGGTGGGGGAACAAAAGGTGGATGAAAAAGTTGTCCACGGCAGCAAATGGCTACGTTTGAGAGCGAACCAGGAAAAAGACCAGCATCTCTATGAAAATAATTATTCTGATGTATCCCTCGCTCTTCAGGACAAGGTTCTATCAGTTTATATGTCTTATATGCTGCTTTATAATTTTCCTCTCTTACCGTGTCTCCTGCCGATTCTTTATTTTCTTGCGTTTATATGGGCATCCCAAGAGGATGAGAAGCTCCGAGATGAGGGCATTCGCGAAGGACAGCCAGTACTCGACGTTGCGACGGTGAAGGATTTAGTGCGCTTCTCTTACATTCACGTCCGTGTCCCGCAACACTAGCGTTTTTATTCAGTCTTTCGATGACAGGACATGCCGCGGGTCTCTAGGAACTGTTTTCCAGCAGGTGTCGTGATTCAGAGGAAGCTTAATTTTTCCTATTATTCTCATCGTAAACTTGAGGGTTTATATACAAGATGAACATCAGATTGATTTCTAACCAATCTGGTTCCATACGGAATTTGTTCCGTATATATAAGCCCCAAATTCTACATGATCGAGCCTCTAAAAACTTTATGTATCCGCGTGTAAATGCTCTACGAGTCAATTTGTCGTAGTATTGCACTCAAAACCGACATTAGCACATTGCGTGCAACAAGGTCGAATACCATCACAGCGAAATTTTTGCCTCTGCAACGATCGCGGGTCTGTGCGATACTGCTCTGTGAGCCGCTGCTGACCTTGATCGCTTTTATAAGAAGAATTCCAGGCATTTTAGCGAGTTGCTTTTGCACATCTGCCAGGGGAATGGAAAACGTCCGCTGACTCCGGTTAGCAACTTAATAATTCCGCGGATAGAAATAAGTGCATGAAATATTGAAGTGACTTTTAATATGCAGTCCACTATACCGGTATCATCAATCTACTTTGGAGGATTATTCCCTCTTATGGCCCCGAGAATTAATCGGGAAATAGCAGCTGTGGAGGCCAGAGCTTCGAGCGTTCCTCACTTTGGGCGATAAACAGCCAACTACAGGAGGTCCATTTGTCCAATGCAGGTAGGACTCATCGGTTCTGCCTCATGTAAATGTCGAATAATATGGCTGTTGGTGGACGGCAATCATGTGACTAGATCGGGGTAAACCCCCGCGGAGCACAACAAAAAAATGATCATGAATAACCAAAAGAATAATCAAGACGAGCCCAACCAGCTCAATTCATTCAAATAAGACCTTTTTTACCAATCGTACTCTATTTCCTCTTCGGGACTAGCCGTATATCTGACAGTAAGTTGTCTATGCGGTACCTCTTCCTATTATAGTGGATCTGGATATATGTACATACTTCGTACTCTGATGTCTTTCCCAATTGCCACAGCAGCTCTGGTTTCACTGTCGTTATAGGTTGAAAGCGACATGCAATTGGCTCTAACATTGTTCAACCCTTTGGCTTGTGTGCCACCAGCTTGCACTCGCCTCTAGGTCATTATTCGCCCGGTAGTAAAGTCAGGTTAAGACTTCAGGACCTGGAAATGTCACTTCAACCCAAACAGTTGGTAGCGTCCCAATTTTTGGTCAATAGGCTAGTGTACTTTAAACTTAGTTCTTATCTATCTAGAAACCTGGTTCTCTTTTTACAGTGGTTCTGATTGACTCCAGAAGTGTAACTTATGCGTAGCTCGGAAAGTTAGTGTGTTTTTAATATTATATTAATTTTACTTTATAACTTCGGCACTACATACGCGTAGATGACAGGTTCAGAGTTTTCCTTTATATTTAATAAAAAATATATAATTTTTATAATATTATTAGTTACACTGCTGTAAGTTTTTAATTATATAGATTGTTGAAAACCTCGGGGGAAGAAGCTATGTTGTGAGGTGGTAGGATAGCGGTGACTAGATAGTATATATTGAAACTATCGTGCGATCTAGTATCGCCTTTTTTTGAGTATATTCATCTATCTACGAGACAGGGCGTAGACAAACGCTTCCTTATGTCTACGTGTCCCTTAGCCCCTGAATGTGATATATCAGATCGCTGCGTGCCTTAGGCATCCTGATTCCCAACATAGATGTAATTTTTTACTACAACAGAGAAAAGCAACACTATAAGACTAGATGGGCTCCTGGGTCGACATATTGGCAGATAATCACACTTCTGCTAGCCTATGGAGCATATATTAATGCAGAAGATAATAATCACAGGACATCAATACCTATGGCAGCGGCGGGTGGCTCAAAGAGCCTGGTGGAGCTGCTTTTTAGCAAGGGAGCTGATATTAACCGCGGAGAGTCATATTCTGCCCGCTGGTCTGATTACAATTACTGCACATTGTGACGACAGAAAATTCACAACTGTATCTTTTGAAAATGTGCCATCATTTTCTTTTGGTAGGTTTGGTATCCAATTTCGTCACAAACCGGTGACTGTTGATATTACCTACGGAAGCGTGATATATTCCATGGTGGATACTCGTACTATTAGTGCTATATTAAATGATGATCACGCAAATGAGTAAGCGCGGATAATCAACTATTTTTCTGACAAACAGCTTTGTTTTATCTAACAATCTTTATTTCTAGATAGGTTTAGAACTCAAGGCAGGCATAGTCGAAGCAGTAGAGAAAGGAATTCCAAAGCCTGTCCATCCCCAGAACGAGAAAATTGCAGGCGTTGGCATCGTGATATTGTATAAGGATAATATTAAATCTAGTGTCGGGGATATCTAATCATCCCTTAGCATATCTATCTTACCTCCTGGACAGAGTGACCGCAGTCCGGGCAGCACCGGCATTTCTGCTCGTATGGTTGCCCTATCTGCCAAGGGTACGTTAGGTAAAAATTCAACCGTCGAACCCACTTAGGCACGTTATTTATAGGAAAATATAATGGTTAACACCGGCCAAGTTGGCGGGTTTAGTGCTATAAAGACTACAATTACAGGAAGAGGATAGATAGCAGGTTTTAGACAGGTGAATATGATGAATTTATTCGTTTTTTTGGGGGGGATTCTGAACTGATCGTATTCAGAAGGATCTTCTGCCCAACCCCTCTATGAGAGATGTTGGGTAATAAATATATTTCACGTAACGTCCCGATCTGGACTAGTTTATTCTGACATGAATCTACTTGGCTGGGTAGATTAACCGGTGAGCTAGGTAAGATAGTAGATGAGAATATCACTGTATCTTGTACATATTTTTTAAACTAATTCTCGATCTTTTATTCTTCGAATAGACCAAGGTAATATATAGAACGCCCATAGATAAGATAACGATACAGTCAATGACATCATGACAATACATTAACGCGCCATTAAGATACTACAGTAGCTTTGCGTCACCGTATATGCAGCTTATTGATAAAGATTCAGGACAACGAGCTTGGCCGATTTTTGACCTATCCTTGACAGGTTAATACGTGGTTGAACAATTGAGCTCTACCAAAAGGCCTTTATAAAGATATTCCAAATATACGGCTAAAAGAGACACTAGCTCTTTTTAATTCTTCAACTTTAGAGGCCCTATATCCGAAACCGCGGCTTTAAAGGAAGAGATATTTAAAAGACAAGAGAGTAAGTAACTTAAGCTATAATAGTAGTTATAATAATAACTTTTATCACTTTTATATCAGAAGTGGTATATTGAAAAGTTTAAGTTTTATTTATTTTATTTTTTTAGTTCCCAAGCGCTATTTAATAACTCAATTGCAATTTGTTAAGATCCTTGTGATGAATTCTTATATTGTTGAATGCAATTCTGGGTTCTGCAGACTATATATATAGAGATATCTTCTGGTAGTAATATTTTCTCCGTAATTCCAGTCCCTACTTGGTGTTAATTATTCTCCTAATATTTGCTCTATAATAGTCGCTGTGGAGCTCTAATATAGTGGAACAATACACTTTTTAGGAATAATGGGCATTTATTGGCCCACTCTAGTAATAATTGGCTGACCACAATCCCGGTGCAAATGTTTTTTAAATACAGGTATAATAGGCTCACATAGCATCTTATATTAAGTAGAAACCAACAGTTATGTGAGTGGTCGGTAACGAGCTGAATAGTGCGCCTATGGTGCGAATGGGAATATCTATATGAGAGGGAAGTTAGAACCACGTATATTGCAGAACTATTTGCTCGCCTTCAAGAGTTCAGGCCCGAGGATGCGAATATAACTAAACACTTCCCACCTGACTGAGCATCTTAGCTAAGGATCTGGCTCTCCTAGCACCAACAACTATATCAAGTGGCGGTTTTTATGCATTATTGTGCTATTAAAAACGATCAGCGAATGAACTTCATAATACCAGCATAATCAGAGGCCCACGGTCTCGCAATTTAACAGCAAAATACCGCTGACCGGCGCAAGATATAGTATGTAGTGGACTATTATTAGTATTTAAGTTTAATCTAATTAGTTGTTCGCTTTACCCGAGCTATAATTAAAACCACTATGTTATATTCTTAATAGTACTTTCCGTCTCTGTTTTTTTCCTTAATACTAATCCTGTTTATGTTTTGTGCATACACCAGTATCCTTGCCTGCTATTTGTTTTCTTTGCCATCGCAACTAAACTGGTTCTGGGTCGAGTAGGGAAAGTCACGCAGACTGTTTATTTAACTATGTCCTCAGAGATTTTATCTCTATGAATTATCCCGCCTTTTCCCCCCTCTATCAGATACCGAGTAGTCGGTCCCGTGCCAATGGATAAGGTTTCCGAATTTTCTGTATGCCGAAATACGCCACACCTCTGGATCTTGGGCTTTATAAGTTATTGTCAAGAAGCTCCTCACATTTATTCCAGATTGAATCTTTATCTCCCTCCTGCTAATCTTCTAACAATCATACCACCGCTATATGCCCATTCCTCCGTGCAAATCCCATCGCTTAATAATACTGCCACACCCCGTCCCCGAACGTTTGTGCACCATTCTCCAGCAGAAACTGGACCATGCCCAGCCCTCCGTGTTCTGCCGCGCCTTCGAGCGCTGTCCGACCAGGAGTATCTGCCCTCGGAGCATCGATCTCCGCGCCTAGCTCCAATAGCTGCTTCGCGATAGGTAGATACCCCTTTATCGCGGCCAGCAGGAGTTCCGTCGCGCCTCGGCCATTGCCTTTTGTTGTAGCCTTAAGTTGCATAGGGTTGTCGCCGCATAGGGCGTGAAGCTTAAGTGAAAATTGGAATATCAGAATATTGGGGGCGTTGAGGTTGTGGCTTATTAGCTAAGCGGTCCTCTTACGGAGGAACATATGGATTCATTCTATAGCTAGCTAAGGTCTCCATCGGAAGACAGGATGTTTCCAGTCTAAATATTCAATCTCCTGTTTATCGAGGCCAGCCAGATCTTGTACAACGTTGCGGCCCTCCCTCTTCTTGTTATCCCGTCTCAGCCAAAGCAATGTCCCAAGAGATACTACCAATTGCATAAAAGCACAGGCAAGATTAAGTCCATTACCTATAGTATAATCCGGAGCATCCTTGACAAGGTAGGTCCAGCTCGAAACAAGACCTCCAATATTTCCAAACAACACCTGGTTTCGTTAGCTATATTGCTTGAGTATGCAAAAGTCTGGGACTAACAAACATTTGTAGCGATAGCACTCGTTCGACTTGTATCACTCGCAACATTCGCACTGACTTGGGCGCTAGATAAAGGCCCCGCGACGAAGGCGGTACTGGCGATTAAATAACACGCTACATACCGCACCGTCGTGGAATGCGAAGCCAGGAACAATATGTATCCAACTATTATCGTCGGGGTGGAAATAACAATAAAAATCTGCCGTCGATCTAGCTTCCAGCTCAAGGCTGGCACAAAAACATCAAATAAGGCCCCGACGATATACGGTGGGACACTGTAAAGCTGTCTTTGAATTGTTGATGCCTCTGGGTAGATAGTAGAAATAATAGTCGGCAGAAAGACACCAAGGCCTTGCACCGTGATATTGCTAAAGAGGAACACCACGGCAGTCGACAAAGTAATTGGATTCATCACTCCACGCCATAGTTTAGCGCGATCAATTGTATTAATAGCCTCAGTCTGCCCAGCATGTTCCAGCTTGAGGCGAAGCTTACAAAGATATTTTTCTTCCGAGGAGAGCCATATCGCCGTTTCAGGCCGATCCGTAAGAGTGGCATAGCTGAGCACGCTCAGGGCGATAGTGATAATACCCTCGATGCCAAAAATCATCCGCCATTGCGTCAAGCTACCAAAATGACCCAGGCGAAGGATACCACTGGCAAGGATTCCGCCAAAGGCTCCTGCTAGTGGGGACATTACAAGATAAAGGGAAAGCCGGAAGGCTAATTCGGCGCGTTTGTACCAACAGGAGAGGTAATAGGCAATTCCAGGCAGCATGCCGGCTTCAAACACTCCGAGAAGGAAGCGAAGAGCACACATTTGGGCTCGAGTCTTAACAAATGCTGTAGCGAAACTGCAGATACCGAAGAGCAGTGCTGTTGTTGGAATAAACCACCCGGGGCCAATACGCTTGCACAGAATCGTGGCGGGCATCTCAAGAAGGATATATGGGATATAGAAGCAAGACAGGATGAAGTTATAATCGTATCCTCGGAGTTCGAGAGAGTCGTCCATGCCGGCGATGCGAGCGTTGCCTAATCTATAGTTTAGTCTGGCGCTCTCGCATGGATGCCAGCGCGAAGAAGACGAACCAATATTTGCACGATCGATAAAGCAGAACAACCAGAGCATTGACACCGTCGGTACGATGAACAAATCTGTCTTTAGTCGTAAATTGCGCTCATTTCCCTTGTCGAGCCGCGGGAACTGACTCCTGATAAATCGTTAGAACTTTATGGTTTATTATTTTGTTTCTCCGTTGTTGATTACGCTTGGCCTTCAACAGCTGCATCATCACGTGCGGTGATGTGGCAGTCGAACATTTCTACTTTGCAAAATAATAAGTCCAGGAATTAAAAAGACAAATGAATGATGGAACAAGAGAAGATGAGTTAATAATATAGGGCTCGCTAAAGCTACTAAAAGGGAGGGTAAGATACGTGGCGGCAGGAAGAGAAGAAGGCGATGGAATACATTACGCAGGAGAATGACTAATTAAGGGCTTTAAATACTGCAATCGGACACCGAGGGAGACACCCCTTAAACCATTGAAACTAGTAATTATTGAATCATCGTTAGCTTTGCATTCCATCCAAAACAGCATGAAGTAAGACAGATTCGCCTCTGATAATTGCACAATACGGGCAATTCATGTATACAGAATTGTTAACCGCATAACTAGCAGATGAGTATATAGTATACAACTCCATCCTTCCCTAATAAATAAATGGCTAAAAAGTGTACACCAAAATGCCAGCAAACAGCTAGAAGCTTAGCAATTTTGAAGTTTCCCTAGAGAATAGGTTGTAAATATACGGAGTAGATAAGCAAGTTATCCCGCCGACCTATGCTATAGTACACAAAATGGTAGATCTACGACTCTGTAATTAAAAGACAGAGTTAGTCACTGATAAATTAGACATATTATAAGGCATAATATGTGACGGCCAAGCGACTTGATGAAATTGGTGCTATCTAACGAAATTTCAAGCAGTCAAAATTAGAGTTCCTGCGTTTTTGGGCCGATGGGCATAGCCAGGGGGCCAGGGGCTAATAGGCGCGTGGGTTTGGGCTGTGGGTGCGGTAACTAATTATAATGGGCTTGTTTTGGCGAGGTCTACTTCCGAAGCCCGCGTGTGCCGATATTAAATATACACTAAAAAAAGGAATACACTCTATCCTAAACAGACTAAAATCACGCAATCCGGGGGATTTGCTGTAGCATAGTGTTATCTCACCGGCTCTACCAAAAGCTTCCTATAATATGCTTTTACTAGTGTAGGTTGTGCGATGTTGTTGGTTAGAAGGCAAACTATCCGTAAATATCCGCCGTGGATATTTCGCAAGCCAAGATGTAACGCTATTTCTGTATTTAATTAGACCTATCCAGTCTTGTGGATCTTTTGTTCTTAGTTTTAAACGTGAGATATCCGTGGTCTTTAAACTACATACTAGGACGTAGATCCCAACCCACTGCGCCATCGGTAGCTGCGATCGCGGACGAGGCGGGTTGCTGCCGGGTTTCAGCTCACTCGATGTTTCGGTGTGGAGATAACACGGGATGGTGAGTCCCTGTTAGAATGTTAAATTATCTATGGGCCGAAACACCCCTTTACGGCAATACTGGAACCTTGAGGACTCTGGTGTATGGATCCTAGGACTCTTCGGATATCCAAAATCTCCAAGCCCAGCCGAACATTCTCCTAAATTGTTTGCTGGCGTTGGGTCGCGCTAAGCCCCAGCGGGGTGCAGTTCTAGAGCCGGACGATGAAGGCATTTCGGTGGAGGTTTTAGGTTCTTTAATGGAGTAATGCTGATGTATATGGTGTTGGGCCGCTCATCCAATAATGGTGTTCCCATTGACTAGAGTGCGAAGCGTGGAGAGGAAATTGGATCCACGGCCTCGGAGATATAAGGTAACGTAATCGGTAAGCGAGCGCCGCACCTCCCGTATATCTACGCGTCCCTTTTTAATCAAGTGATTTAACCACCACCATGCCACCAAAAAAGCTTCCGAAGACAAAAGCTTCTGAGGATCAAGAAGAAAGGATTACTCTAGCTATTTCTGCATTAGAAAAATCACAAATTCAGTCTGTACGACAAGCAGCACAGGTGTTTTAAATATCTGAAAGAACACTGCGACGACAGCTTTATGGAGCAACTCCACGGTCTAAAAAGCACGCCAACAGTCATAAATTAACATTAAATAAGGAGGAATCGCTCGCACAATGGATATTATTATTAGACCGACGTGGAGCTCCTCCCCGACCGTCTTATGTGCAAGAAATGGCCAATATTCTTCTTACAAAGCGTGGCACCACATCTATTTAAACTGTTGGTGATAAATAGGTATACAACTTTGTCAAACAGCGTGATAAGCTTAAATCAAGATATTTTCAACGATACAATCACCAGCGTGCTAAATGTGAGGATCCTAAGCTTATTAGGGAGTGGCTTGATCGTGTACAAATTATTATAATACAACATGGAATTGCACAAGAAAATATCTACAATTTTAATGAAACTGGCTTTGCAATGGGCCTGGTAGCTACTGCTAAAGTAGTTACTAGAGCTAATATACAGGGAAAGCCATTTCTAGCACAGCCAGGTAATTGAGAATGGGTTACCACTATTAAGTGTGTTAATTCTACTGGTTAGGCACTTCCTCCTATTATCTTCAAGGGAAAGGTCCATATGGAAAGTTGGTATAGGAGACTGCCAGATCGCTGGAGGATTGAAGTTAGTAAGAATGGATAGACAACAGATAAGATTAGACTACGCTGGCTTAAAAAGCAATTTATTCTAGCTACAACTGGCCGTACAACTGGACAATATCGCCTGCTGGTTCTTGATGGTATGGAAGCCATTTGACTCCTAATTTATAGGCTGCAGTAGAATAATATTATACAATTTGCATGCCCGCACACTCATCACATATCTTAACCGCTTGATGTTGGTTGCTTTGGACCACTGAAACGCGCGTATGGACATCTGGTTGAGAACAAGGCACGGCTTGGCTTTAACCATATTGATAAACTTGATTTTTCTTGAAGCCTATCCCAGAGCCCGTACAGAGGCTTTAAAGGAGGAGAATATTAAAAGTGGCTTTTCAGGAACTGGTTTGGTTCCATTTAACCTAGAAAGAGCTCTTAAGTGTAAGGGGCTAGAGCCCCTCAGCCTACTCGGGCCCTCAGCCCTCGTGTTTCCTTTCTCCTCGCCTGCCACATGATTAGTATATTGATTAGTACACTCTATCATGTGACTTCCCCCTTACTTCGCAATCGTCTCATCGCTGTTTCCTCTTCTCTTTCCTCTTCGACGATTCCTTTTGTATCCACCCTAGTTATTAGGTTATAGAGGTTTAGCCCTTGACATTAGGAATCGTCCTTGTCTGCCTGTCTGCCCGCTCGCCTGCCCGCTTGTCCGCCCGCTCGCCTGCCTGCCTGCTCGCCCGCCCGCTTGCCTGCCTGTCCGCCAGTCTATGGGAATATCTTTACGATGTCCGACCCGAATCCACTCCTCCTGCTTGTGCAGCAGCTCCAGCAAGAGCTCCAAAACCAGCGCCTTGATATTCAAAACCAGCGTAATGAAATACAGCAACTACGTGCGGACCTTGATGCTTCCCGAACAGATGTCCACCAGCTTCGTACGCAGCTTCTTTCCGTCCAGACACCCAGATCCCGCCTGCCAGATCCGCCTCGCTTTAACGGTAAACCATACACGCTTCGCACATGGCTCCCGTCAATTAAAGCAAAACTTCGATCAGACCAGCTCGTAGGAGCTGATGCTTTTGACTATGTATGGGATCGACTAGAACAGTCTCAGCAAGCTTCTGTCCTGCACCTCCGCCAATCTGCCGAAGAAAACCAGCTATGGGATCCTGAAGTTATTTTCTCTTTTTTTCAGCGTCTATGCCATAACCCACGGGAACAGCAGGAGGCTATTCAGCGCTTTACTTCTATACAACAGAGGGATGACGAATCGCTTATCGCCTACCTTGCTCGTTTTGAACGACTTTCATATGAAGCCAATGTAAACTCATGGCCAGATATATCACGTGTTACCACGCTACACCGGGGCTACGGCCTAATCTCCGTCGAATACTAGAAGACTCGAATAATTCTCTCTTTGATCTTCCCTATAATGAATATATTGAACTTGTCCAGAGTACCGATCGGCGTACCCGTCCTAGTCCAAAATCAGCCCCGAAACCAGCTTTGACCCCGAATACAGACCCAATGGATACTGATCCGGTCCGAGTCAACTCAGTTAAAATAAACCCCAATCCTGTTCATGTTGGCTCTGTGAGAGTAGCCCGAGCTGCTTCGCCTGTTTTATCTGATTCTTCTCATGAATCCACCACCTCTGACCGCCGCCGTTTCCGACTTGCGAATAATTTATGCCTTTACTGCGGTTCTAATGATCATTGGATCGCAGACTGCGATGCCCGCTCTACTTTGTCTGATACTTCCGAGAAACCTCCGAAAAAGCTTACAGCCCGCGCCAGCAACCCGCCTCGCTATTAGGCCTCCTTCGGAGGCCTTATATAGGAAGGGGGTAGTGTAAGGGGCTAGAGCCCCTCAGCCTACTCGGGCCCTCAGCCCTCGTGTTTCCTTTCTCCTCGCCTGCCACATGATTAGTATATTGATTAGTACACTCTATCATGTGACTTCCCCTTACTTCGCAATCGTCTCATCGCTGTTTCCTCTTCTCTTTCCTCTTCGACGATTCCTTTTGTATCCACCCTAGTTATTAGGTTATAGAGGTTTAGCCCTTGACATTAAGGAGCTTAATATTCAACTAAAAAGTCCTACACCTCCAGGCAGTCGTTTAACCAATTCAGCGCCTAAAACACTGTATAATTCTCGGCAATTAAAAAGCAGGCATCTGTAATAAAAAGACGGCTGAAAGCGCGTACACAAAGCCCCCATTCTTCTTTGGAAGCGCGATTGGACAAGCTTATTAAAGGGCATGAAATGGCTCTAAATAAAGCTATTCTTGCATGTCAAGAAGTGGGGGATCTGCGAGCTGCAAATAAAACGGACCGTTAAAAGAAAAAGGAATCTAAGCGACAAATACCTGGTGCAGAGGCCTTTTCTACAGAAGAGGCCCAGGAGTATGTACAGCAGCGGAATAAGATCCAAAAAGCCCAAGATACTATACCAGTAGTAGGCTGACCGTTGGGAGGGATTCGGGATCCCGAAAGGGTTCAAGTCCCGTCCCATATTCCCAATGGGAATTAAATTTTGATTCCCTTCCCATGCCACGCTATTTGGAAAAGGATTCCCATTATATGGGATTCGGGAAGGGATATTCCCATTCCCTCTTATCTTAAAAATCACGTCCCGTTTCCCGTCCCATTTCTTAACCTAAGATCCCGAATACCGTCCCACTTCCTAATATGGTATAGTCTAAAAATTTTTATAGCATAAAAATATAAAATATTACTATGTAAAGTAATATAAAGTAGTTGTTAGAGCATATTGCCAAGCACTGGCGCCCTGCCCCCGGTTTCGACCTCGCTTAGTCATCATTTATGTAAGCTAGCTTCTAGTAGTAGCGGCCACCCGGCCACCCTTTCAACAGAACAAGCAATCGCTTCCAACAGTAGTTAATTATCACGTGATTAAAATAAGGGAAATTCCCATGGGATTTTCCCAGGAATCGGGATATTCCCATTCCCTTCCCATCTATAAGCTGGTTCCCGTTTCCCGTCCCATTCCCGAATGGGATATTGCCTAAAAACCCTAATTCCCATAAATATCCTGAAATTGGTCCCGTTCCCGTCCCGGTCCCATTCGGAGGGAAATCCCAAAGGAAAATCCCCTCCCAACGGCCAGCCTAGTCCAGTAGGAGAGCCATCTACAGTTCAGCGACATGTACGAGCGCCACCACAGTGTTCTGGCTGTGGTATTCGGGGTCATAAAATTAATAAATGTCCTAATCAGCATAGTAATTAGGTTTTATATAGAAATGCAGATTTTTGGATGTTTTGTATGGCTTCCTTTTCACCGATCGGGGGAGGTGCGGCGCTCGCTTACCGATTACGTTACCAGATTTAACTAACTAGTTAGTTAACTAGTGCTGTGGACTACGTAATCGAACAAGTACGGAGTAGGGTTGGCAATCAATAACCTTAACAGCCCACATTCTTCGGCGATAACTGGGCCCCATGACGTCAGCATTTGCGAGCCATAAGTGCTTTCAAGCTTTATAGACAATTTTAGTCACCCATTCTTACGAACGGCATTATAAAGAATGCCAGAAGCACAGCCCCTACATACCTGAAATCACAAAGAGACCCAATCTGCTACCATAATATTCCCAACTACCATTCTGAATATACTATTCAAAGTCATTCTCCATCGTGCCTTCCCACGGTCAATACACCACTGAGAAAGTCTCGTACCCCTCTCACGGTGAGACTATAGCTGGAGTCCTCTTCCGCCCCACGAACGTTTCCGACCCACCGGGTATCGTGGTTACCGGACTATATTAATTCATCAAAGAACAAGCACCCTTCCAGTATGCGACCCGGCTAGCCGACGAGGGCTACACCGCGCTTATTTTCGACCCGCGTACTGTAGGAGAAAGCTCTGGTCAGCCCAGAAGATTGGAGAACCCTAAAATGAAGAACGAAGACATCGTCGCGGGACTCGATTATCTTGTTTCCCGGGAGACATCGATAAATCCAAACTCTTCCTGGTGGGAGTCTGCCAAGGTGGACCGGAATCAGTAGATGTCGCATCTTACGATGACCGAGTTGTCGGCGCGGCATCGGTCACTGGGTACTTCCGTGACCATGAGACAGATGTTTACATGATTTGCGCTGGGTGTGTCTCAGCAGAGCCTGGTCAAAATATTTCTACTATAAAGATGCCTACCACAGAACAGGGAGAAGCTCTATATCGGGCACGACTCGAGCGAGCAAGGAAGGCCAAGGAGCTCTACGAGCGTACTGGCGAAGTTGTATACCAGCCACTCGTGGACCCTAAGGCTGCAGATCCCAACAAAGGGTCGTCTGCTGGACTCCCAGGACTGGTAGTCTGGCAGTGGTATGGCCCCTGGACTCTGAGAAGAGAGTTTGAAAATCGCTATGCAATCATGAGTGATGTGGATCACTTTGATTAAGCCACTGTTCCGGGAGTGGCCCAGCTGAATAAGCCTGCGTTGATTATCCACGGCGATAACTGCATGAATGCGGCTTCTGCAAAAAGGCATTTTAAGTCGATTCCTACCGAGAAGAAGAAGCTTATCTGGAATAACGAAGTCTCGCACTTCCAGCATTATAATCAGCCAGATTGTGTGGATCGCAATGTTGGCGATATCGCTGCTTGCTTCTCTCAGATCGACTAATTTGGAAGTAGATCCAATCTTAATACAATGTATAGGTCCTGCTACAGTCACCCATGCAGTTTCCACTATGGGGCTTTACTTACGGGGTAGTCATCGTATGACTTCTATTAAGGTGGTGGTGGTAGTGAATTCATATCTGACCCTCGCTTTGGATACATATACTCTGTATAGAAGTGGCAGGCTACCACTTGGTACACTGATAGGTATGTACTGCGCTAGGCAGCATGGAGGCAGCTATTAGGACTGCATAATAGCTATTCCTGCCCTCGTTAGTTTAGAAAATCATCACACATGTGCCTCAGTTCAAAATTTCAACTGCTTTGGTGATATGGAGGATATCACTATCGCTATCTCCTTCTATAATTACAATGATGTAAAAATATTACTTAACGACAAATTTGGAACTTCGTCAAGGCCCGTGGCAGCTAATGTACCTGGTGTTCACTTCTATAGTCCTTTCGGTTATATATATAGAACCGCTAATGAAATAAAATAATATGTGTTTACTATTAATATATTTTGCAAGCAAATGGTGATGGTTAGTGTAAATTTACGTAAACTTATCAACATAATGTACCGATAAATTGGCCGTATATATTGATAATTTACGCTCTAGGTAATTTTCAAGTCACTGGTCCAGTGCCCTCCCACTCAGACATCTAATTTATCGCTAGATGGCTAATTAATTTTTGGGCGACGTTTCTCAGCCGTGGCGCAATGTCTGTTGCCAACCACTGCAATATAGGCGGAGTGATTGGTTGAAAGACCACTTTTCTTCATTCATCAAACACGTGAGAGAAAGAGTTACACTGTAATTCCAATACTATGTATATTTTGCCTGTGGCATAAGCATGCTAGCTAGTATTGGACCCCTAATATACGAAGGTCCAATGCTTCTAATCTAAACGAATATTCAAAACTAAACACATAAGAAATACAATAAAGTGAAGTACTACATATAAAGTCATTTTCAAATAACCGAGCAGGCGCTGATTGAAGACAAAAACCGAACTGGTTGTAGGTAGCAGTGTGGTGAGTTTTCGCTATGATAAAAAGGTTTACTGGGTAAGTAGAACCACGGACCAATAGTCTTAGAGTTAGGATCTCGGAGATTGTTGCCTCCGTAAATTTCAGTTTCGAATAAACTGGTCCCCCTTCTGGCCCCTGGTCAAAGTGCTTGGAGCACTCCCCAGGCCTCACACAAACTCCGCAAACATCGGGCCAGTAAATTTACGGGTTCCCTATTGGCTTTACTGCATGCGGATGGGCCTAGGAAATCTGTCTATTTTATGGCTTATAATTACTTTATTAACACACTTCTTCAGAGTTTGATTTCTTAGTCTCTTGTCCTCTATCTTATCGCTCTATCCATGCCACAATGGTCGGTGCCTCAGGGATCGATGCCTCTGAACTTCAGCCCAGCCCACGGTGTCTATTTCGGCAGCAGCTGGAGCTGCAATGGTTTGAAAATAAGAAACTTGTGAAGCGCCAGGAGGGGGAACGTCAGGGAGCCCATTTCCCCAGTTTAGACTGGACAACTTCCCTGCTTCGCTGACAATTTCTTGCGCAGGACTTTTTGAGCTTTTCTTGGACCTTCTTTATGTTGTCATTCTTGCGAACTTTGCCGAAGCACTAGCCAAGGAAATTTCAGGCGCATACCTCATTAAGTACATTGTACGATTGTGTCACTGTGTGTTGAGAGCAGTATAATGCTAAACCGCGGGCTGATTCGTATCAGATCTAGTAGGCTTGGTGTATACTATAAAATCATGGGGACTCGTGCTTAGTGAGCTGTCGAATCATTCAATTAGCACATTTTTGCGTCGTTAAGATCTGCAGCCCATACCCTCGAGATTCCAGCGTCCACAGTGTATCGTCGGGCCACTGGGAGGCCATCCAACATGCAAAAGTCAAAAAGGTCAACTTGCCCTGTTTGCTGAAGAGGAGAAGGTCCTCGTTAAATGGATTTTCCAGCTCCATCGCCTTGGAATTCCTGTTCAACCATCACGAGTCCGAGGAATGGCCGAACGCATCCAAAGAAGAACAGGGGTCGATGCCTCCGCGAGGAAAGAATTGGGTGACGAAATTTACAGATCGAGACGCAGAAATCGAAAGTGTAATGGGTGCAAGGCTATATAAAGAGCGATGGAACAGTGCTACTCGAGAATCTATGGAAGGATGGTTCAACCTGCTTAAAAAGGTGTAGGAATACTAGTCTTTGACAGCAACCCCTACGACATGGACGAAAAGGGATGTATTCTAGGAATATCAGAGAAGGCTCGGATCCAGATTCGTTCCAATTCTCGTGTAAGGTTCATAAAACAAGTCTCAGGTTGGCATTTTCGTGTCCAGCGTGGGTTACTGCACTCTTTGCCATTAACTCACTGTACTCTACACTTTGACAATTAATGCTTGCTGTAGAAAGTGGGTGCCGAGCTATAATGTTCTATGCATTCGGCTAAAAACAGAAACAGGAGGTTAGTCTAGTCTTGCCCTTCTGATATACTACTGGAAAACTTCAATTACCGTCAACCTTCATAGACTATGTTTTAAAAATTGCGAAACCCAGCATTCGCATCAAGATATAGGGAAAAACCCAACAGGCGTTGGGGAAAAAACCAATACCAGGATTTCAGCAAGCATTGAACATTAAATATAATTATCACTGTTTTGCAGAAGAGGAATCTATGTCCTATACATCGTGCTGCTGTGCTTTCACGGTCACGAAACCAGCAAAGCCGCCCTTAGTATTCCACGCAGGACACATAGCCATCTTTCACATTAACCCAGGCCCCGCGATCCAAGAACGACCACGTATTCTGTGCGTTCAACTGGGCATATACCTCCGGGTCATCCAGGACAACAACACAGCCGGTACGCTGACTAAACTTCGTGAGCTCCGCACTTGTCGCATAGATACCTCCGCTTTGAACAAGATCAGAGTTGCCATAAAGTGACTTGATAGAGTGTCGTTTGCGATCGAGAGGCACCTTGGCTTCAGCGTGCTTTCCAGACCAGTCGTTGGCGAGTTTGACAGTGGCTGTGTCCTCCCACGGCTTCAAGTTGTTCTCCCATGGCTGGAAGACAATCCTAGGGGGAGGGTATGGGATGGCGGAGGTGAGAACTGCGAAGACAAGCCCGAGAGTAGTTGCAAGCTTCATTGTAGCTTTGTGGAGAGGATCTTTTTTTTTTGTAGTTCGACTGGAGAGGTAAACTATGATTGTCCTATTCTGAAGGACAAGCGATTATTTAACTCTGGGAACTTCGCTACTGCTTTGGAGGATTCTGAGTCAATTGTATCATAAATGCAACATGCAAGCCTTAGTTCCACGGCGCATTCCTGCATCCGGCATTAACCGCAAGCTACGTAACCGATGACTTAAAGTTAATTGTTGACACCAAGTTCCTGTGTATAAATTAGAACGAACCTTGATCAACAGGTAACTAGGATAAGAACCAGATTTTCATCGCCTATAGACTGTGTTATGTGCTGTTGCTTGTTACCCCCACGCATGAAGGCTCTCTGCTGAGGCAGTGACAAGGCAGTCAGTTAGTTGGCCAATTCGTAGTTAGTACAAAATCGCTGTATTAGCGATTCCATGCTCTACTTGCATACCTATACATCAGGATCCTTCCAATGCAGCCATTGCGTAGGATCTTGTACATTAAGGTTTGTGATATTTTGGATGACGCAGATCTAGTATTTCCGCACGTTCCCGCCGCTGTGACGTTTCTACTTGTAGCTGTCATGGAAACCGCCGGTCCCGGAAATCGTGGTATTTCATTGCCAGTGCAAACGTTAAATTTCTAATACTCCATGATACGACTCTACTGGCCTGATCTACCGTCGAGGCACCGTGAGAGGCGTACGAAATGTATCATGAGCTTGTGGATAAGATGCACATTATATATCACATATACTTGATCCATATTTTAAGGCAATTCTGTTTGAAAAGGAGCTTGGAGAATTAATAGCGCCAAAGGTCATCCAAACAGTAAAGGAAACTTCGCTACACGCTTGCTAAACAACTGATTAGCTCCTTTTAAATAATATAAGTCTGGAAGGGTTGTTGTTAAAAAGGATTACTTGTTTATATAAGCCATTGAAGCCCGGTAAAAGCTTTTTAATGGTCATGATAATAGTTCAAATACTGCTTCTCCTCATCACGGAGCCTCGCAAGACCTGCGAAATATCCATTAAATAAAAGACTCGTGGAGCTTCTCTTGCAATATAATAGCTCTTTGTGCCATTGGATAGACAAACAGTAATATACATAGCGCACTAATAAATTAACTACAAAAGAATAATTGACAATAACAGAAGAGGAGGAAGGACAATAGAAGTGCAATTAAGCCAGAGACCCATATAGTTTGCCTGTGCCACTTTGTATCTCCACAATACAACATTTTACTGTATTAACTAGCGATTGCGCAGGATGACCGATACCAAGAAGCCATGACTGGAACAAAGCCACAGCAGCCGATTGTTACCCAGGCTGGCTTGGATTCTAGATACCAATCTACGGTCATACCTTAGGATACCCCTGTCCAGGGCAAGACAGCATCTAGCGGAGGGCAGCCGGAGCGGTCAAGGGTCAACACTGTCGCAAAGAGGCTCGCTTTTATACAGATGGAGCCTCAGGGAAATCCGGTGCAGGTGACCACAGAAAGCTTGCTGCAAGTGGTCGAGGAAAACCGTCCACTCCAAAAGGCCGCCGCCACAAAGGCCGCCAAAGCGAAGCATCCCTCTAAGAGGGAAACGACATTAAATTTTCAGCTGCGGTGGCTAAATATGAGCCATTAAATAAAATATAGAGTTGCACCGAGGAACCGCAAAGACCGCCGCCCAATCGGCAAGCCCAAAAAGTCTAATATATAGTATTACAATTTAAATAGTTGATTGTCGACATTTCTATAGGGGCTGAAATTAGAGGCCTCCAATACCCATGGTCCGCAAAATTGAAGAAAATTCTTTATCTAGATATCCCGTTCTAATAGCGTACTGTCGACCTACGCGTTTGTGTGTCCAGCTTCTGGCAAGACTGCTTCCAGTAGCGACACTTGACTTCTACACTCCCAGATCTGTTTCAGGCTCAACCCAGCAGCCCCCAGGATAGTCTTGAACTCCTCCGGAGTTCTCTCGATGCCATTGATGCATGCCATCATGGTTATGTCCCGACTATGGCTAAACCGCGTGTGGTAGCCGTAGTTAGCTGGCAAAGGAGCTGGCGCCGAGGTCAAATCCGGGTCGCCCGTAGTAGTGTTCATAACCTGTTCGCAGATCAACAAGCGGGAATCCGGGCCCATGCTCTCGCGGATGCGCGACAGGATATTGACGCAGTAGTCGTCGGACCAGTCATGACTAGAAGGAATTGAGTTAGCATGATGTCTTTTCCAGCATCCAGCATATTTTCTTTGGCACCTACAGGACATATCGGAGGTAGTACACATCTGCCCCCTCAACGGGGTTTTTGTCGAAGAAACTGTGCGCCACGAACTGCACTCGACCAGCTTCCAAAGCTGCTGGATTATCTTTTGGCCAGACCCGTTCCAAGCCCTGCTTGACCACGGGTGCGCGATCTTGGACGACGAAGTGGAGATCGGGATAGATCTTGCTTAGCTGGAGTGGGAAACCCCCAACACCACCGCCAACATCGACGACCAGAGCTTTGCCCAGCGAGGCCCATGGGAAATCTACACGATGGAATGATTAGATCATCAAGTTTTAACGGGAAACAGGAGGCCGTACCATAGACGTGGGCAGCGCCGAATACTCGCCCACCACCAACCATGGAGAGACCCATGATCTCCAGTTCGGGTCTTGCGACCAGGCCATCCTCTCCTGGGGTCTGGGGCTCTAGAACGAGGCTTGGAATTCCTGGGTAGTGACCCCCAGTCTCGATCAGCTTGTCCTGTGGCACTCGCTCCTCGACCCATTCCCATCGTGTTTTAGTCGTTCCGATGGCATCTTGCCAGGCGGTCTTAGCCACGTCATACGATGGGCCAGTTTCGGGGTGTAGGAGCGTTTTAGGTAGGCGATCTGATGCAGTAAAGCCTTCACTGCTGACTAGTTGGACATAAGCTCGTAAGGGCTCGTTGGAGACCAATGCGGCGGAGATGGTATTGTTCGCAAAGGTTTCCGGGCCAGTTTGACTGAAAATCCCGATCGAGCACAGGTATCGCAAGATGCGAGCTGAGGGTGTGGTCAGTTTCTTTTGGCCCACTTTTGTTTGAGGATTTGAGACGAGAGAGCTCACACAGCTTCCGTTTCTCAATGCTAGCCTCTTGGCTGATCTCAGTGACATGCAATCCACCCTGTTTATCGTGAGGAGCGAGGATATCGGGAATTCTTCGCTCTGCAGCGATATAAAGCGTACGAGACTCTTGGAATTGGGTTGCGACTTCGAGAATTCTGACGCTTGGCTCAGATACCAGCTCGGCTATTTTCCCCAGGGCAGCTGCAATAGTCCGTTGGGCATTGAAGAGCTCATGACTTGGGAGTGTCTGCGGCCCTGTCGAGCCTTCAAAAGACTTGGCAAAGCTGTTAGAGGCCTCTGCTTCTTTGGACCATTCGGTTACAACTGTATGAACGGTTTTGGAAATGATGTCGGCTGTTTGGAGGAGCTGGACAGCGTCGGTGAGGGTCTTCAGTTTACGTTCCATTTTGACTTTATCGAGGGGTTTCCTTGTCCTAGGGCAATACAGACATGAGAGATGGTTGTATCTGATACCACGATATAAAAAGCAGTATATATTATATCTGTGGTTGGCCTATAGCGATTCGGGATGATCTGAATGCGAGTCCGCGATGGTCTCGACCTTCCAACTTCCCCGAAAGGTCCGATGCCCGCGCTGGACTTTTTATGCCGACTGGCGTCATATTACACCGGCATAGCATTTTTCCCACAAAATTTACAAATGCCGATAGTGCACATCTGGCCGACATCAAACTGTGTACCTTTGGATCGGCGGGAAATGAGGTAGATGTACCATAATACGATCGCCCAGATCTATCTAGGGAACATGCTGGTGCCTAAGAAACGCCCCCAGAATATTATTAAATAGCAGAATATGGTGGGACTAAGGCCTACGCACCATCAGAAAAGCATAAAACTGCTCTTGACAGATCTAGTTTCATCACCTCAATCCAGGTAGAGGCTTACCAATAAATGCTCGTTGCTCAACAAAATAGAATTTAATGTCAACTATCATAGTTCAATCTATCCTCAGTACTCTTCATGGAGTAAGAGAATTATCCGCACTTAAGATAAATTCGTAAAACTGGGTGTGGTTTAGCAAACGCTTTTTGCAAGGCGTTATTACTTCTTGGTAGGTCAATGCTTTTCATAGACGGCGTGATCCTCTTTGCTCAATATCGTGATGGGCGATCTCCTTAAACTGGATCCACTGCATACCACCGCTTCTCGCCTCTTCGGACTTCGAAAGCGACTCTTCCATCTTCGGCCAGCTTAACCAAGACTTCACCAGTGAATGGCTCCAGTGCCATTGTGCGCACCTGCTCGTCCAGGTCATACCCATACATTGCGGTCACCAATTGCTGGACTGTCACGCTCCCCTTGCCTCGGCCCTGATTACTTTGCTCTTGCTTCTTGATCCGTGCCAAAGTTTGCATCACTCGCGCCTCTCGTCTTGCCTTTTGATCTAGCTCCCCGGCAATTTTGGCCGGAAGATTATGGATGACCTCGCCGTGAGCAGGATAACCTACCTCGCGCTGATGCGCACCCATTCCTCGAAGTGAGGCCATCCAGGTGCCGAGGAGCTCTACCGCACTCGTCCCATGCCCGAGAACATTATCACCGGTAAACATAGCATTCTCTTCTTCGAGGATGAAGCACATGTGGTCATGGGAATGGCCCGGGGTGTGAACCGCGCGGACGGTGGCGCCTTCAACATGAAAAACCTGGCCATCCACAATGGGCTTCTGGTCTCGGTCGGGGCTGTGTTTGTGAATAGACTGCGACAGATGCGGGTAGAGGTGAATCAAATCTGGGACACCTCCGGTGTGATCACCGTGCCAATGTGTGAGAAGCACGTGGGAGAGCGTGATGGATAAGTCCTTGAGTGTAGAGGCGATGAGGTCGGCCCATTCAGGAATGCCTTGGCCGGTATCGATGATCAATCTTTCTCGACCTGTTCCAACAATATACGTGTTCGTTCCCTGCAGGGTGAACTGCAGATGATGGTTAGGTGTCAGCCTATCAACCAGACTAAGAGGACTAAGCATTTTACCTTGCCAGCATTTTGGCCTAGCACCCGGATGACCCGGGGGCTGATTTGCTCGACATCTTCTAGTTTTGGGAGGGTATCTTGTTGAGTGTCAAGGTATTCATCAAAGGCACAAATGTTGAGTGCTTTGTTGATCTGACGATAGCCTCCGCGCTTCATGGTTGTCAGACTCCAGCTGGAGTAGTGGTAAGAAGAGATCAGAGGAACGCGTCCTAAGACGGGTTATTTCTCGGGCCAGTCTGCCTTATCAACCGCGACGATAGTTATCTAGGGCCAGCTTATACCGCTCGGGGTATTTTTTTTATTCGCCTTCGTTAAATGATCTGTATATGCCGAGGGTGTCTTGGCCCGAACGCATGATGATTCGAAAGATGATTCAACGGCTCCACTGACTTACTGTCGGTACAAGTGAGATTGATTTGTATAATTAGCTACCTCTTTATCTATCACTTGACCTCGAGGACTCGAGGTGTGCCTGGTGATTTCAACCATCTAGTCCTATGCAACTCGAACCACTTCAAGCATGAACCTCACTCCTTCTAGCAGTTCCAAAGAGGACTTCCGAAGAATGAAGCTTGTATACTTCAGCAACGAGTTTCCTCCTGACGGGCTTCCCAGCCTCGTCCGCCAGCTAAATCTCTCCAGCAAGGACCGACGGTACCATATTCTAGCTCGATTTCTCGAAGATGCTACACTGGCGATTCGAGACGAAGTTCGCCAATTGCCACCCGCACTGAAAATCTTAGTTCCCCCTTTTGAGTCTATTTTAACCTTTGTTGAATATCCTGATCTTCGTACCGGCCCTCTGGGCGCGTCGATAGACGGGGTCCTACTCTGTGCCGTCGAACTGGGGGCATTCATCGGGTATGTCTTGTTCCTTTTCATTTCTCGCCGGAGAGAGGCTCGCTGAATAATGACCAATCCTTACTTTTACCGCCAGCTACTATGAGAAATCCCCCGAGAAATATGACTTTGATTCATCTCATGCATATCTTACGGGTCTGGGCATTGGTCTTCTGGCTACCACAGCCGTGTCCTTGTCTTCGACGATAGCCGACATTCCTATTGCTGGCGCGGAGGTCGTTCGCCTAGCCTTTCGTCTCGGTGTTCTCGTCGATGATGTCTCGCAGAATCTGCAACCCCGTGAGTTGGCAGCTCATGGACCACCTGACAGCTGGGCCTATGTTATGCCAAATGTAGCCCCTGATGATGTCCAGCAGGAGCTAAATGCTATCCATGTTAGAGAGGTTCGATGATATCTACGTTGGGGCTATAAAAATAAGCAAACCGAGGGAACATTTGAGCTGATCGACTTTACAGAAAACGCCCGAAGCCTGCAAAGTATTCGTCAGCGCCTTCAGTCAAACCTCAATCACCGTGAGCGGGCCACCCGCAAGGCTTAAGCGCCTCTTTCGCACGGCTGACTTTTTTCGGGATCGCAAGTTTGTTGCGCTGCCTGTTTTTGGTGGACTGTGCCACGCGAAGCACATTTACAACGAGACACACGTGCAATCTGTGGTACGAACCAAGACCATCGAGGGCTTAAGTGCCAGACTGGCCCCGAGAATACCAATCTTCTCGACTAGCAGCGGGATTGCATTCCCCGCAAATACTGCCGAGGAACTCTTCGAGCAAGTTATTGCCGAAATCCTCACTCAAGCCATTCAGTGGGATAATGTGGTCAGCGGTGTCAAGCAGCAGGCCAACCTACTTACCAACCCCGAATGCCAAGTTCTCGCCATTCGAACATCACTTCCAGTCCAGGATCTCATTTCCGCTTTGGAATCCGAGACCCAAGAGTTCAGGGCTACAACGGATGACCTCTTATCGTGGATTGCACAACCTCACGGTGAAGATACCCCGAGGGGAACAGCTCAGTCCAAGATTGCTATCGTGGGAATGTCGTGTCGACTGCCTGGGGAAGCCAGAGATACCGAAAAGTTCTGGGAACTCCTGGAAAAAGGCCTGGACGTTCACCGGAAGATCCCACCGGATCGTTTCGACGTCGAATCTCATTATGACCCTGCGGGAAAACGGACGAACACAAGCCATACTCCGTATGGCTGCTTCATCGAGGAGCCGGGTCTCTTCGATGCCCCGTTTTTCAACATGTCTCCTCGCGAAGCACAACAAACCGATCCCATGCAAAGACTAGCGTTGGTGACAGCATATGAAGCGCTGGAACGAGCCGGATATGTTCCCGATCGCACACCGGCGACAAACAAACACCGCATTGGTACGTTCTATGGCCAGGCCAGTGATGACTACCGCGAGGTGAATACGGCGCAAGACGTTAGCACGTACTTCATCACCGGCGGATGTCGCGCATTCGGTCCCGGACGGATCAACTATTTCTTCAAGTTTTGGGGACCCAGTTACAGCATCGACACGGCCTGTTCATCCAGTCTGGCGACTATCGAGGTATGTGAACATAAGAGTCTGATCTTTCGCTCCGTTGTACTCAGGTGGCGACTCAAGGCTAACACAATATATTAGGCCGCCTGCACATCGCTTTGGAACGGTGCCACTGACACAGCGGTGGTGGGAGGAGTGAACGTCCTGACCAATTCGGATGCTTTCGCTGGCCTAAGCCATGGCCACTTCTTGTCCAAAACACCGAATGCTTGCAAAACCTGGGATAGCGAGGCTGATGGGTACTGCCGTGCAGATGGCGTGGTGTCTTTCGTGATGAAACGACTGGAAGATGCCGAGGCCGATAACGATAACATCCTGGGTGTTATCCTCGGCGCCGCGACAAATCATTCGGCAGAGGCCATCTCTATCACCCACCCTCACGCTGGCGCACAGAGCTACCTGCTCCGGGAGGTCCTCCGCGGTGCGGGTGTTGATCCATTTGATGTCAGCTACGTGGAATTGCACGGCACCGGCACTCAGGCCGGAGACTTCGAAGAGGTGAAATCCGTGACCGACGTGTTTGCCCCAGCCACAAGACGCAGGAGCAAGAGGAATCCCCTGCATATTGGAGCAGTCAAGGCGAATGTGGGTCATGGGGAGGCGGTGGCTGGAGCGACAGCCCTGCTGAAAGTCCTGCTTATGCTTCAAAAGGGCGCAATCCCTCGTCATGTCGGGATCAAGAAGGGCATCAATCCCCTGCTCCCCAAGGACCTGGACAAGCGCAATGTACACATCCCCTTCGAGCAGCAGCCGTGGGCTCGCACAGAAGGCAAGCGACGTATTGCCGTGGTCAACAACTTCAGTGCAGCTGGTGGAAATACATCTCTTGCGATCGAAGAGGCCCCGCTGCGAGAAATTACTGGGGTCGATCCACGTCCCTCGCACATAGTATCGATATCCGCGAAAAGCAAAGTATCCTTGAAGGGAAATCTCGAACGTTTTATCTCATACTTGAATGCTAATCCGGATGTGTCGCTATCCGACCTCTCATATACGACCATGGCCCGGCGTCATCATCATAACCATAGACTGACTGTAGCCGTATCGGACCTCGAACAGCTGAAAAAGCAATCCGCCGCTTGGTTGAACTCTGTCGATTCTCACAAACCTATCTCATCGACGGGACCTCCTCCAGTGGCGTTTGCTTTCACCGGCCAGGGAGCGTCGTACAAATCCATGGACATCGAGCTATTCCGCGACGTGCCCTACTTCCGTTCGCAGATCCTGGAACTGAATTCCCTGGCACTAGGACAGGGGTTCCCGTCTTTTGTGCCAGCCCTCGATGGGAGCCATCCAAAAGACTATGCCCACTCTCCAGTCGTCACGCAGCTCGCTCTGGTCGGGACCGAGATCGCCCTGGCTAGGTACTGGACCTCATTGGGAGTGAAGCCCGAGGTAGTGGTTGGCCACAGTCTCGGAGAATTCGCAGCACTGCATATTGCCGGTGTACTGTCCGCAAGCAATGCCCTGTTCCTTGCAGGCAGACGTGCCCAGCTGCTCGAGCAGAAATGCAAGATCGGCAGCCACAAGATGTTAGCAGTGCGGGCATCCATCGAGCAAATTGCACAGGCCGCCGGCGACCGGCCATACGAGGTCGCCTGCAGTAACGGTCCAAAGGAAACTGTTCTGAGCGGGACCGGCGCCGAGATACATGCGGTTACAGAGGCTTTGGAAGTGGAGGGTTACAAATGTACGAGTCTAGACGTTGCATTTGCGTTCCATTCCGCGCAGATGGACCCTATTTTGGAAGAATACGAGGATATTATTTACAAGGGAGTTATTTTCCACGCCCCCAATTTGCCAGTTATTTCCCCTCTGCTCCGCAAAGTTATCTTTGATGACAAGACGGTGAATGCGAGCTACCTGCGCCGAGCAACCCGCGAGACGGTTAACTTCAGCGCCGCTCTTGAGAGCGCGCAGAAAATCTCCACTGTCGATGACACCACCGTCTGGGTAGAGATTGGGCCGCACCCAGTGTGCATAAGCTTCGTCAAGTCTACCCTGCCGACTACGGGTGCCTTGGTTCCATCGCTCCGTCGAGGCGAGGACGCGTGGACTACGTTGACACGCAGTCTGGGGACTGTTCATGGCGCCGGGGTCGACATTGACTGGAATGAGTTCCATCGCCCATTTGAGCGCGCGCTGTGCCTCTTGGATCTCCCCACATATAGCTGGAATAACAAGAACTATTGGATTCAGTACATTGGCGACTGGGCGCTCACCAAGGGCAATCTCGGGTACGAAGCAGAGAGGAAGAGCGCGGTTGTGCCAGGTGCGGGGGCGTCCGGACCACGTACTTCGACAGTCCAGAATATCGTCGAGGAAAACTTTGAAGGGTCAGCTGGGAGAGCAGTCATGCATTCGGATTTAATGCAGGCAGAGTTCCTTGCCGCGGCTCATGGACATAAGATGAACGGATGCGGCGTGGTCACGTCGGTGAGTTATGTCTAGTCTTGATCCAGGATCTCTATTCTAATATCTTTTTTACTAGTCTATACACGCAGATATCGGATTCACTCTCGGTGAATATGTATACAAGAAATTGAAGCCAACTTCTCAAATACCGGCTATGAATATTATCAATCTGGAAGTTCTGAAAGGATTGGTTGCACACAAGAACACCGAAAAGCCTCAGATTCTACAAGTCGCTGCTTCCACAGCCGATATCAACTCCGGTATCCTCGAGCTTGAGTGGCGCAATGTCCTCGCCGACGGCACAGTAGAAGATCCCTTTGCCAGTGCGAAAGTCATCTACGGCGATGCAGCCGAATCGCTATCATCATGGCGACCAGCACTTCATCTCATCCAAGGCCGCATTCAAGCCCTGGAGCGTCTCGCCGAAGAAGGAATCGCAAATCGGTTCTCCCATCGCATGGCTTACAATCTTTTCGCAAGCAGCCTGGTCAACTATGCAGACAAATACCGCGGAATGCAGTCTGTCGTACTGCATGAATTGGAAGCTTTCGCGGACATCAAGTTGACTACCGAGAAGGGGGGCATCTGGACAGTACCTCCATACTTCATCGACAGCGTGGCGCACTTGGCCGGTTTCATCATGAATGTTTCCGATGCTGTCGACAATCAGGCCAACTTTTACGTGACACCCGGGTGGCAATCAATGCGCTTTGCACGACCCCTCGTGGCTGGGGCCGCATACCGTTCCTATGTCAAGATGATTCCTACCGTCGAAGACCCAGGTATTTTCCTGGGAGATGTCTACGTGCTTCAGGAGAACGAGATCATTGGCATGGTCGGGGGTATCAAGTTCCGTCGCTATCCCCGTCTACTCCTCAGCCGATTTTTCTCGGCCGCCGACGATAGCCGGCACAAGCAGGGACACGCTTCCACCGCAGCGGTGCCGATTGTCAACATGACCCCGGAGATCTCTGTATCCACCCCTGCTCCAACACCTGCTGCTGCACCTGCACCAGCAGCTACACCGCCCGCTATCCAGAAACAACCTGGTGGCAGTGAAGGCGCTCTAGACGAGACCAGCATTGCGGCTAAAGCCCTTGCGCTGGTGGCAAGCGAAGCTGGGATGGAGAGGGAGGATCTCCACGACGACTCCAACTTTGGTAATCTGGGCGTGGATAGCTTGATGAGTTTAGTCATTGCTGAGAAATTTCGTGAAGAGCTTGGAGTCACGGTTACGGGCAGTTTGTTCTTGGAGTATCCAACTGTAGGCGATTTGAAGAGTTGGCTGCTGGAGTACTATAGCTAATTTCGCAAGTCTGTTTTTTTTTTTTTTTGGATATTATGATATTACTGTGGATATAGATGTGGATAGCCGATAGAACAATGGCATTCGTATTCAGCTTGCAACATGAGTTTTGTCTCTTTACATGGATGCTGACATGTAGTCCTGATTCGTCCAAATCAAATTCGTCTATATGCTTGCATAATCATTGCGCACGAAGTAGGGTGGAGCAGAGGAATAATATGCTGATTTAATTGATGGTGACTATTTCTATAGATAGCCTCGGTGGAATCACTAGAAAGACCCTTATCTACTGCCCATGTAGACTCTTGGTTTCATGCACGCACGGGACTCTCGCTGTCGTTATTATAGAATCAGAGAATATAGTCGTTGATCGGCCCAGCCTAAGGCCCCAACTATCGGTATCGGAGCCATAGTGCATACAGTGACCCCTCACAACTAAGTATCCATCGAAGTTACTTATTTTGAGGAACTGTATCTCTAAACTGACACCTAACCACTGGAATGCATCCTCATGCTCACGGTTATATGACGTCTGGACCTATTTAATCTTCAACATACTCACTCGTATTATCCTGAAACGTTCTTCTAGCCAGTCCCGGCAAGATACACTATGAACACCATGAACAGTATAGTCCAGCTTGAGACTTATGCCAATGAGCTTTCCTGTGCAGCCCGGAGCCTCGTAGCTCATTGCCAGAATGCAAATATATCCTCTACTGGGCCACAGCTACGCATCCCCGAGGATGCACCCCGCTCAATCCATCAAGACCGACAAAAGATTCTTGGATCGCTGGCCAAACTACAAGTTCTGCTGAGGGGACCGGATGATTTCCTGCAGCAGATGGCCCTGCAGATCCAGATGCTTGCGAGCGTTCAATGGCTGAGCAGCCTGCAAGTACTTGTTTGCTTACCCCTCGCTGGCAGTCTTGCCCTCAAAGATTTAGCCCAATTAGCAGGTGTCCCGGAGACACAGCTATCTCGTGTTATCCGGCTGACAGCATCGGGTGGCTTCCTACAGGAGCCACAACCCGGACAGATTAGGCATACTCCTCTGTCGACCGTGTTCGTCTCGCAGAGGCGTTTTCGGGATGCAACCATGTTTCTCGCAGAATGCTGCACGCCAAGTGCATTACGTATGGCGTCCACGATGCACCCTCATGTAGGCTCCTCGGCAGAAGTGCCATGTGCGAGCGCATACAGTCTAGCCTTTTCGACCTCGGTCCCCTTCCTCAAGGCTTGCAGCTCAACTCCTAAGCTGCAGCGCCAGTGGTCCGCCTTCCTGCAGTACACTGGTGATTTTGAAGAAAAGGTGACTGAGGTTCTCAGTCGCCTGGACTGGGCCCATCTAGGCGACTGCTGTATCGTCGAGGTAAGCCCGATTCCTATTTCTGACTCCGAAGGGATGCATTGTGCTTTGTCTATCTGAGTGATTTTCTACTTCCCTGCTTGCTGACTTTTCGGCGAATTACCTAATGTAGTCCGGAGCCCAATCAGCCGAAACTGCTAAGGTGCTATCAGAACTCTATCCCGGCCTCCAGATAATCGTCCAAACAGAGACAAGAAGTTCTGACTCGGCCCACCCCCCAGCGTCGCTTGAGGCCTACAACCCCCGCATCACCTTGCAGACACGAGCTCTGGGCATGCCACAGCCCGTTCTAGATGCAGCAGCCTACATTCTTCGCCTCCCTCCATCTTCGTGGGAGTCCGGCCGTTCCCTAGTCCTCATGGAGCTGCAGAGTTATTGTACCATCCTCGCCGCCAACCGCCGCGCCATGCTGATCCTCACGGCCCGCATGCTCCCCCAGCCGGGTACGGTCGATCGCGAGATCGAGACCATTGCTCGGATGCGCGACATGATATTGTTTCAGCTGGGAGCCGAACGCGACCCAGAGGTGTCCGAGGTAGTGGATTTAGTGGGCTCGGTCGGCGATGCTCAGGGACGACTCGTGATTGTGGATCGATTACGAGCACGCAATAATTTAGCTGTGGCACTAGCCGTGAAGTATCAAGGGTGGTCTGAGCTCGATGGCGTTTTGGCTGCGTAGTGCTTATGTGAGTTGTGCCGAGTTTATCGTCAGACCGAGGGGATGTCACCTTATGCAGTGGTTTCTAAGTTACCACTAGCAATTGATTAGTCGCAGGGATCCACTTTCCCTTAGAAACTGGGTATGATTGTGGGTCAATTTGCAATAAGGACAGGCTGATTCAGCGTCTGCCCACTCTCCCTCATGTTTTACATGGTAAATGGGCCAATTCGGAATACTCGTGTCGCAGCATGCCAATGACAGAGCAGGTAAGAATGCATTTATTTCCATGGTCCCTGGGTAGGAAAGCTAAGCTCCAACACAACACAGTCGCCATGATCTCCAAGTACTCGTGCGTCTTCTGAATCTCTGATGCCATCCCTGGCTTGCATCTGGAGGACGGGCAGTACACCCTCGCCGACGGCTACTCGACCCTGACAGCTGGCGGGCAGGGAGTCCGAGTATGCTGGTTCCTCTTTGCGGAGATGGGTCAGACCTATTTTGCCACTTCGATTCCCCGGTTCACGCAGAGGACCTGGCTCAGCATCTTGCCCGGTACTGGGACGTGAGAGACTGTTTCTTTCTGGACTGTCTACGAGAGGTCGAGCAGCAAGGCATGTTATCAGCATTGGAGAGTGGACCGCATATTGTGCATCGGTGATTCTATCTACAAGGCATGTCTCTCTGAGAGCTTTCCTTTTTGTCAATTTTTTTTTATTTATCCCTCACGGAATCAAATTATTGGCATGGCGTGCCAGATGACTCCCAATATTCGCCAAGGGGGACAGGGGTCTTCCCTGTGACACCTTGTTGTCAAGACTTCATATTTATTGGGCCGCTGATTTGCTCCCCGTATGCAAGGGCGAAGTTGTATCCTAGGCTCCTATCAATATTTCACAAAATTTTTAATCGAATAGTTTTATTACTAGCACGTCATACCCGATCAGCATTGGCCTCCAGCCCCGCAGAGATTGTAAGAAATTAGCGCCCTTGGCAAAATGCCGAAGCGGCCCCGGCCGATTTAAGCTTGCTTACAATCTTTTTAATCCTAGTGGTTTTCGGACCCACGGCATAATCCTCCCGCTGTTGTTTATTGGTAGTGATTTGGGACCTAGCAATCTGTTCGAATTTTGGGGGTCAGAATTGATTGTATTCAGAAGGATATTCTGCCTAACCCCTCTATGAGAGATATTGGGTATATATACTTCACATGATGTCCCGACCTGGACTAGCTTATTCTGACACAACCCCGTATTACTTTTTATTAGCGTCGGGCGGGGATGCTATTCCTGGCGGGTAGATCCAGGGAATACTACCGACAAACCTCCGGCCGCGGTTAGGATGTAACATTGGTCCGGTTCAAGAATTGGGCCTGGGAATTAAATCTTAATGAAGCGTGGAAATGAATGCATGTAAGGTGTGCTATAGTCCCGTACTAAAATTATACGAGAACCAGTTACTCACAAGTTGATTTTATGGTCCGGTTTGACACTCGGGAGGGTTGGGTCTGGTCCCAACTTAGCACCACTCTCTCGCATCTTCATATAAACTAAATAATTTAGTGTCTACCTTTAGATACCGCTATTCCTATTCAACCCGTAGTCTGCGCTTGTTCGGTCATTTAAATACGGCTTAATGTCGCCTAAAATGGCACTTTTTAGAACTTCAATATCCCAACATCAATATATCAAGTTAGTCTAAAATAGACTACTGTCATGACATATATACTGATTCTATGCCCCACTGTCCAGGGTTGAACCTAATGTATTGCTCAGGCATAGCTTTCGCCCCTATATAGGGCGCTAGATGCGACTGATCGATAGATCAATCGTCTTGTACCTGTTTCTATGCTCAAGTGGTTATCTCTACTAGCGCAGAGAGAACCAAACCATCACACCCACGAAGGATTCTCTCCTTTCTCTCTTCGTGCTTAGCCTTCTTTCTAATATCAATCAATATCATCTACGGTTGATCCCTTACACAATACGGAGGTGCGACGCTGGCTTACGTGCGGCACATGCTTTCCGGTTACCGTTCGCTTCCATCAATCATGTCAATTGGTTTCCTCAGTACCCGGGCGTACGGATATTCTGCAATCCGTTACACTTTAATAGGCCTTTAGTCGTTAAAAAAATTTATTTGATTAATTCTTTCTTTCCCAATTAGTTCCGCTTAATCTTATTCTATTTTCCGCCTTGCTAGCCTATATGCTATTAGAAGATAAACAAGCCAGATTTGTCCGCCCCAAACACATAGGCTTCAATAGATACTAGAGGGGTATCTTTTTGACCTTCTGAGAGGACTTTCAATGCCTTCATCAACGTCAGAAGACGGCCCAAAGCTACGGGGCAGCTGTCATGCCTGTGCCATGTCGAAAGTGCGCTGCTCGAAAGAGAAACCGACGTGTGCTCGATGCCTTCGACGGTGCACGACCTGTGAATATTTTGTTACGAAGAGGCCTGGCCGGAAACAACAGGAGAAACCACCTGCACCTGTGGTAACGAGTAGTATTCCACCTACGCTGCCAGAGCTGGACCGGCCGATGACGGTGACGCTGCCAGAACAGGGCCTACTGTCTGTGCAGGACGATACCACCTCGCCTAGCTGCTCCCATACATTCTCGAGTCTCTTTGACCAGGCCGAAGCTTCCTTGTCGTCGTCGCTTACTACCTGGAGCACCGACTTTGACGATTACCTCACACCTTTCTCCCTGGGTGGATCGGCCGCTCTTGATGCCTTTGACATTGGGTCAACCAGTCATCCTGGGGGCATCAATCCCAGCATTAGCATTAGCAGCAATAGTAGTACAACCGGATCCAGCAGCGCCATACCTCCAGAAGAAACCATCTCTCTCTTCGGCCGACCTGCCTCTATGTCCCATTCACAAGTGCTGTTTCCGACAGATACAGCAGATGAGGGCAAGAAACAGCCGCGTCCTCATGGATCGCCTTGTTCCTGCCTTCCATGCGCTCTGGATCTATTGAAGCGGCTGGCCGCGACAGACTCAGCTCCAGTGGCTTTGACAGATAAAATCAACCATCGAGGGCAGGCTCAGTCCCTCGACACGACCATCACAACCAACCAACAGATCATGGACACCATTGAGGTCATTTTACAGTGTTCCTGCTCGCAGGACAGCTATCTGCTCGCCATTGTGTCTCTGGTAATATTCAAGTCTTTGGACCGATATGCGGCAGCAGCATCGCCGGCCCGGGAGCCATTCTCTTCCAGGGGATCCACACTCCGATCTCTCGGAGTGGAGAGTGAGCCTATTGACGATGCAGAACTGGATTCCTGCATGGTAGCGGCACATCGCGTCCTCGGTGAGCTACACCGCGTGCAGCGGTGTATGGCCCGACTGTCCCCCAGGTTGCAGGCGTGTGGGAGCACGGCTTCGGCCGTTTCAGATGTTGTAATGGGACAATTGGAGCCGGAACTACGGGGGCGGTTGGGTAGATTGTCAGCGGGTTTAATTGAGACTTTACGAGTGGAACAATAGCCATAGAAAGTAAGGTAGACACACGTTATATCGATATATAGCTGCGAACCCAAACGACTTCACACATGAAAAACCAGCTCATCAAGCCAGAGAGAAAAACAGAACGAAGAACAAGGCAAGCGGATTTCTCACAGCTTTCGTCCTTCCTCAATAACCTTCCTCACGGGTTCACGGGCCATCATCCTATCCAACCAATCCTTCACATACGGAAAGTCATTCACATCATACCCGTCTTCCTCCTTAATGAACTTCGTCACAGTAAGAGACCAACTGGCCCATGCCAAATCCGCAAACGAAACCCTCCCTCCAACTAACCATGGACCCCCTTGTCCAACCTCCTGCTTACTTAAATACTCATTCACCACCCCCGACACGCGCTTCATCTCATTCACATAGCGCTCCACCGCACTGGGTACTCGCTCAGGATGGAAGCTCTTGAACCAGACCGCCTGTCCGTAGTACGGGCCTTGGCCGGAGGCCTGGAAGAAGAGCCACTGTCGCGCGAGCTGGGCTTCGTTGGAGCCGGGCTCGAAGCTGATCTTGCGAGTTTTGTCGTACCGCTCGACTAGGTATTCGACAATCGCGCCGGATTCCCACAGCGTTAGGTCTGTGTTTGGGTCGTAGATAGCGGGGAGGCGGCCGTTCGGGTTGATGGCTAGGTACTCGGGCTTTTTAACGTCGGCCAGGGTAATGGGTTGGAACTCGTGGGGGAGGTTGAGTTCCTCGAGGATGATGGCTACCCGCGGTGGGTTAGGACCGCCTTTGCCCCAGAGTTTGATCGGGAGGATGTTGGATGCCATTGTTGGATTTGATCGAGTGAGATAGTTTGGGCTGAATGTATGGAGAACGATTATAAAATCGAAGGGAATACTATAGATCTATACTTGCTATTTTAGAACAAAAAAATCGACTTGGTAGCAACTTAGTCACTTATTTAAACATGCCGATATGGAGTATACCGGGGTATACACAGTCGAGTGATCGCATTACCAAGCATTATTAATTATGTGGGATGGTACCAATTCTGGGCGCTCGGCTGTTGGAGTGACCAGCGACGGATGGCTTGACAAGGATATGGACCAGGATTACTGAAACGTGGGTTTTCCTTGTTCCTGCGAGTGGGTTACAGGGCCAATTCATTACGCGAAAATAATAAAAATAATAATTCTAGTTATTCTAGATATTCATACATCTCGATCGGAAAATCACCCGCTAACCCGGCCCAGTCGAAGGCAAATACGGGTGCAAAAACGGCAAATAGTGCCTCAGAAACCCCATCGCAATACACATCGGAGCCCCCGCAGGAAACTTGGCCAGCCCATTCACTGATACCACCCCCACATTTCGCATATCCCACCTTCCATCAGGATCATCCACGGCCTCGATCATGGCTGCAGCCAGATCAGCATAGGACAGTGGGCTCTGCTCCTCGGTTAGGCTCAGGGCGTGTCCATGCGCAACATCCAGCGATAACCCCCCTGGCTTGATGAAGATGGTTGAGAGCCACTCGTGCTGTTCGCGGAGCAATTCCTCAGTCTGTCGGAGGTCGTGGTAGACATGTGATGCCGATCGCAGCAGAATCCATCGGACGAGACGGGGCGTGTCTCGGGAGAGTTGTTCATCGAGGCAGGCGGACGAGAGAAGTACGAGTTTCGGCATAATGACCTCATTCGACTCGGCCCGCAGGGATTCCAGGGCTCGAATTACCCCGAGTGCTGTGTCTTGCGCCATGCGACAGCCGGGCACATTGTCGTTGGTGGAAACCACTAGGAAGACTGCGCGCGTGCCCCGAAGGCAGTCGGTGAGGAGCGCGACGTCGTGGATGCTACCCTCGAAGATCTGCGTCTGCTTTCTGTCCGCCAGGTCGGGGATTAGGGCTAACAGTTTGGGCTTGTTGCGACAGTAGGCGTGGATGGGAACGGGCGAATGCAGAAGATGTTGGATCAAGGCAGTGCCACAATTCCCCGTCGCGCCGAGCACTGCGTAGGCCATTTTTTTTTCTTTTTTTTTTCTTTCTTATTCAGTATTCTTGATGCAGGGCTAGGTCCGTGAAAGTAAGTATCCTTGATATTGCATGATCTTAACTGAAATCCCCCAGTCCGAATGCCCCGATGGGGTCGGGTCGGGGCAAAGCGATATCCCTATACTCCTATGCCACATATAGATATAGATCTACCTCCATTATCCCGACCTTTGCCCCGACATGACCCATGTCATGGCCGACTGAGCTAACAACCTAAACTCATGTTTCGACTCTCCGAGTCGCCAGAATAATGGCAACCGGCCAGTATCCATCCAGCCGACTCCCACTACGAACGAGGTCCTCCACCTCCTTCCACAGTGGTGCAAAAGCCTCGGGGTCTCGAGAAGCATGGGGAAACGACCGAAAATGCTCTTCGAAACCCTGCAGATCCAACTCAAACCTCCAACCCTCGTCTCGTTCGTCCACCACGACATCATTCAGCCCCGTGAAGTCTGGATCCGTGACATCCTCCCGATTCTCGGGCGGCAAAATGCCCGTCAACCCCCCACCCTGCATGTTCAGGAAGATACGTCGGGCTCCAGGCTGAAACAGTTGCTCGTCCAAGGGAGCCACATTGTAGCGATCTTGGCTGCGCGCCATGACATTGATCGTATCCCCGGGGTTCTCGGCCGTCTTCAGCAGAAGCCGGCCTCCCTCCACGCTGATCTGCTCCCACACTTTCTGTACGCGAGCATCCCTGAACCGCGCCGCCCCAAACGTCGCAGCAGCAAAGGTACCCCCGGGCGTAAGTTGGGCCGCAATGGTCTCCATGGCGGCGGTCTGGTCGGCCCAGTGGATGGCGTTCAGGGCCAGGACCAGATCCACAGATCCGGGCGCAAGATCCTTGATATCCTCCATTTTGCCCACGCGGTAGCTGTATCCATCCGTGCCCAGCCTCTTCTCGGCCTGGTGCACGTTGTCGGGCACCACGTCCGACACAATAACGTGTTGGAAATGTGACCGGAGCACGCGTGAGTAGACTCCGTTTCCAGCACCCACGTCGTGCACAACAGCAAAGCGGCCGTTCTGTTGCCGGTGGTAGTCGTAGATGCGCTGGAAGAAGCTGGGTGGAGGCTGCGGACGGCCTTTACTGTAGTTTTGCCAGAATGCGGCGTCCTGTGCAAAGATCTGGTCGTTGGTGTCGACTGTCATTTTCATTTACTTTTATCTGAAGTGAAGCTGTAGAATAGATGGTTCTACCGACAAAATCGAGTTGGATGCTCCGGAGTAGTAATAACAAAGGAACAGAACTAAGTCATCTCGGTTGACCTGGAAATAACCCGGCATTAACTATCGCTAGTGATATACCCCGACCATGAGGGCTTCGTAAAACCTGGTCTCTAAACTCGGGTAACATCCAATCGCGCTAGGTATAGGACCTCGGGGGCGGGGGCTTCGAGAGTTCTATTTTGAAAATTCACTACAGTTCGCCTTTACCGAAGAGCTGCCCGCAGCGCCTTCCATCCTATAATCGCCCCAGCCAACGGAAACAGCGAGCGTGCAACATGTAACCACTGCCACTGGACACTCAACCCTCGCACCTCCTCCAAAGCGGCGTCGGATGCAGCAGCATGTAGAGCAAACAGCGTATTATTTATCGGCACCATAAAGATCCACGTAAACGGCACCATGGCTATTGTTGTCGCGGCTGCAACGCCGTAAATCGACCATGGATCACCCGCGGCTCGCTTGCTGTTTGCGACAAAGCCGTACAGCGCACACGTCGTTACTGAGAGTGCTGGCATTATCCTGTGGCCGTAGTTGTACAGGGCGACGAATTGATCTAGCAGTTGCTTGGATTGGGTGCCTGTGTCCAAGATTACCGGGATCGTGATGAGCGAAAGGGACGTCATTGCACCTGTGTTTTATCTTATTAGATACGGCTTTTTTTTGCGGACGGATATTTTGATAGTTTCTGCATACCTGATAAGAAAGACCCAGAGATGACGGCAGTTGCCTGGATGCCAATCTGACCAGTGTTCTGTGCCATGGTTTTCAGTGAGTTGAGATGAGGAATATATTGGTGTTAGATAGTTGAGATCTACGGGAACCAAATGAAAATAAGAATTGATGATCTGAGTAGCCCAATGTTATATACTATAATATCGGGGATTTCCTTCAAGTAGATACCTCGGGAGAATAGGCGCGACCGACTAAAAACCGAATGGTTATTTATGACTCTGCAGCACCCGGAATATAAAGAGCTTTCATAACATCACTCATCTTACGCAAAGCCAGTTTGATCACCAGCTGATTGAACCACAGCATACTAAATGGCCAGTGCATCAACACCTCCCAGCAAATACCTCTGTCTCACCATCTTGGGCTACCGTAAGCCCGGTATGAGCGAAGAGGCCTACCGCCACCACATGACACAGATTTCGGCGCCGATGACCAAAGACCTGATGGTCAAGCATGGTATCAAACGGTGGACAATGATCCACAACCCTACCAACACACGCGAGCTCATGACCCAGCTCTACGATTCCCAGATGGTCAATGTGGCCGACTTTGACTGCTTCAGCCAGGTCGTGTTTGAGAATATTGAAGACTATAAGCGCATGAAACAGGATCCCTGGTATAAGGAGCGGTTATTTGGGGATCACGAGAACTTCGCGGATACCAAACGGAGCATGTTAGTTTGCCTTTTTTATCGTCTACTGAAAAAAATCCTTGCTAATCTGGAGGGCGATGTAGGATGACGATTGGGTGGATTGAGGAGTTCGTCCGAGACGGGGTAGCGGTGGATGGGTTCAAGAACTGATGCGAACCACGCGATCTTTGTGCCTTCTAATGCGTTTCACCCAGTGACTAAGTTCAATGCATTAAGAGCCCCTGGCGGGGACGTTCACTAAGCCCAACGTAAAATCAAATTATAGTAGCCTGTCGGGAATCGGTGTGGGAGAGCGACATATAGCATGCCCTTGTCGGCAAACATAGCCCGAACCTTCATTTCCGAGCTAGTCATAAAATGTAAGATTGTTCCATTCGATTGCATTGAAACACATCCTCAAACGGAACTGGAAAAATGTCGCTGAAGCGCTGGCTGGTTGTTGCCTTGTCTGGTCTCGCTGTTGCGACTCGAGACTGCATCAATTCACCAAGCAGCCGAAATTGTTGGCGAGATGGTTTCGATATCCAGACCGACTATACCGACCTGAAGAATGTTCCCCAGGGCAAACTTGTCGAGGTGTGTTTCGATTATGTGGGATCCTAATAACTGAATTATTAATATTCTAGTTAGTACGATCTCACCGTGTCGCAGCAGACCATCAGTCCCGATGGATACGAGAGACTGGGAACAGTGTTCAATGGTGGGCAGATAAAGCCAAGAACGCCAACTCTTGACTGATCAGTTTCTAGGACAATACCCCGGGCCTACTATCGAGGCGGACTGGGGTGACACGCTTCGTACGTTAGCTCTGGTCATTGAGCATTCTAAGTGTATGCTAATAACGTGATATCTAGGCATCACGATACGTAACAATTTGACCAACAATGACAACGGAACAGCTGTGCACTGGCATGGTCTCCGTCAGTTTGAGACCAACTGGCTTGATGGTGTCCCTGGTGTCACACAATGCCCGATTCGAGTAAGATCCTTAGCATTTGGACGCATCCTAGAGTCAACCCCATTGATATTTCTCTTTCCCTTCTAGCCCGGAGAATCCCAGGTCTATGAATTCCGGCCGACGCAATATGGAACGTCTTGGTACCATTCGCATTTCAGCTTGCAGTGTGAGTCAATCCAAAATTCACCATCTAGAACTCTACTCACAAACTCATGAGCTTTGGTAGATTCCAATGGATTGTATGGTAGGGATGCCAATGCATGAACCTGTTTAGCCTTTGAACTAACTCAATCCCAAGGACCGATCTCCATCCACGGCCCAACTAGTGCGAATTACGACATTGATTTGGGCCCATGGACCCTAACCGACTGGTATCACGATGATGCATTTACACTGAACTGGATCTCGCTGGCAGGTCAGCTGGCCCCTTTCCCCAAGTCGACACTGCTCAATGGCAAGGGGGTATATGAATGCGATCCGGCAAATGACACTCGCTGCACGGGAAAACAAGAATATTTCGAAACCACCTTTAAGCGGGGCACTAAATACAAATTTGGACTCATCAATACGGCTACTCTGCTGACCTACTCCTTTTGGATTGACGGACACAATTTCACAGTCGTCGCGACCGATTTCGTCCCCATCGAGCCGTTCACCACAAGCAAGCTGAATATCGGCATGGGACAGCGCTACGACATCATCATTGAAGCAAACGCTAATTTTACTCATGGCTCCAACTTCTGGATCCACGCAGAGTACTGCGCTGAGGCCGGCGTCATAGACAACACCAAAGTCGGCATCATTCGATACGATGCAAACAACACCGCCGACCCTTATACACCAGCACCAAACGAGGATTACGAATGCGCAGACCCCAACCCGAGCCTACTCGTCCCAATAGTATCGAAGAGTGTCGGTGTTAAAGCCAACACGATGGACATCAAAGATTACCTCACCGTCGGCGAAGTCAACAAGCTTCCATCGCCCTGGATTCCAAACCCACGCGTGCACCTCTGGACCATCAAGACCACCGCGCTATACATCGACTGGGAAGTGCCCAGCCTGGCCAAATTAACTGCTGAAAAAAATAGTACTATCAACACTGAGTTCCCGCCGCAGAGTGTCCCCATCGTGCTGGACTATGAGACCGGCGAATGGGTATACTTCCTCATCACGGCCAACTATTCCGTCGAGGACGTCGTCACGCCGCGCAATCTCACGCCTACTGTACACCCGATCCACTTACACGGGCACGACTTTGCGATTCTAGCGCAGGGAGTGGGCGAGTTCACCGAGGACGTTAAGCCTAGTACCGAGAATCCGCCGCGGCGGGACGTCGTCGATGTCGATATCGGGGGCTGGGCATGGATTGCGTTTCAGATTGATAACCCCGGTGCGTGGCTGTTACACTGCCATTTGCAATTCCATGCTTCGGAAGGAATGGGGCTGCAATTCATTGAGCAGCCTGGGAAGATCAAGGGTCTAGTGGAGAAGGCGGGTGTGTTGGGGGAGTTCTCGGAGCGTTGCGAGGCATGGACCGATTGGTATACATCCAAGAATATCCCTGATAATTCAATACAGGAGGACTCGGGGATCTAGACGTAGATTATAATTTGCTTTTATGGTCTATTACATAGGTTTCGACTTGTATGTGCAAGTTAAGGTCTTATAAAGCTCACTACCACCTAAAGAAATAGGTGGGTTGAATATGCCAGTTCTAAATATCGAATAGAAGACATGTTTACACGCGTATTGCCTAGGGAGGTATTAAACCCCTGTATTTCGCCTAACTTTGATAATCGGCTGAATGGGCTGACTCCTTTTTCAAATCCACCGAGCCCTACCCAAGCTTCCCGCCAACCGTCCGACGTGGCGCCCTTGTCGTGATATAAGACTGATATCTAGTTCCATAATCCCGGGCCCCCATTCCAAGCACTAATTGCACTAATTTCCAAGCAATAACGTGGCCATCACCTCAGTAAGAGATACTGACAAATCCCACAAAAATGGCAACGCCCTCACAAATCTCCCTCCTGGCAAATCACTCCAGTACAATCGCGCGAGTGAACAAAGCCCCCCAAGGCTCGACCGAAACCGCCAGCCGACTTCTTCAAAAGAATCATGACGAGAACCATATCTTTTGGCGCGCCGTAGCAGGCCACAACCACGTTGCCCACTCCGTGCTCACAACCTTCGCCCTAGGCGGCGGGCCAGCGGAGCTACAGCGCGCTTTTGACGACGGCAATGACATTCAGCAGCCCCTCCCTGCCGCCAACAGCGAAACAATAAACCAACTCAGTGACCCGGACCACTTCCGGGCGCATATCGGCCAGCTGGACCAGTATGCGAATTTCCTTGCATTCTTCAGCCAGCGGATTGAATCCAACGGATATAGGTCAGTCGTCCAAGAATACGTTTTCAGCGGCAATGGCGTCGCGGAGACGATGTTCGCCCAGCTCTTCGAGGGCCTCTACCACCCCGTGATCCACCTCGCACTGGGAATTGAGTTCGATCAGCCCGCGATCGTTGCGGAGGCGCTGGCGCAGGCAGCATCGCATGACTCCATGGGATTTGAGAAGTTCCTTTTCCGCGCCGAGGCGCTGTCGCTTGCGTCATCTCCAAATTCAGATATTGCGAACGAAAGGCCGCTGGTGCAGCTGTTCCAGGATATATGGACGGCTCAACCCCTGCGTGATGCGGCGCGTGGTTTTAAGGACGGGCCTTCTAGAGTACGTGAGGGCGTGCTAGGACGAACGAGAGAGGAGATCACTACACTGGCCGCGCAGTTTACGGTTGATCGACGGAGTCTTCAACCCGTGCAACGGCGGCTTGCCGAGATGTTTAGCGTGGCCGCCTATGTAGCGGGTGCTGCGCAGCAACCTGGGAAGCCGCGGAAAATTGACTTTTTTCACTTGCATACTATCACTGCTGCGCTGTCTGTGTCTGTGCTGGTGCAGCAGGAGTGGATACCTGTTGAGGTGAAGGCTCGGTTGGTTGAGTGGAAGGCTCGTACCGACTTGGTGTGGTACGCTGCCAGTGGTGCGGTTGAGCTGCGTCTTGGGGATTTGTTGGATTACGTTCCTGGGCCCTCTGCTGATATCGACTGGAGGGATCTCTATACAGCTGTGACGATGGTCCATGATGATGGGCACCTGGCGAAGTTTGTGCGAGGGTTGAAGCATGGAGAAGAGGTCTCGAGACCATTTGAGGAAGGCGACGAAAATGGGAGCTTTCCGATTAAAGAGGAAATCTGGCTGAAGATTGCACAGCTAGCATACGACAGTACCGTCGACCGACCGATTGAGCGGAAGTGGATCTGGGGCATAGGATTCGAAGAGAATTGGAGCATTGTACTATCGAGAGAGGCGTAGCAGTTATCTTTAGTATAGCATTATGTTTGATTTGGATACATTCGTGCTGGGACCGAAGTGCTCACACAGTCTATGAACGTAGCGAAGGACAAAATTAAGCTAAAGTATAGTGAGAGGAGGAGGAAGCCTAGGCCTCTTAACAGTTCGGTCCCGGTCCTAACTTTTTAGATTGAGACGCAATTAGCGCTGAAATATGTCAACCCTTCTCGTGAGAAATATGATGCCATTTTTGGATATCAGCCGATAATGTGGTAACGATAGGACAGAGATTTTGGGAGATTGTAAAGACACAGGGCTTAACCAAATCAGATATAGAAACGAATGCGGTCATGTTGGAAGTAAAAAATTGGCTGTCTTCTACAAGTGGGATGGATCAAACCGTCTGTTGCCATTATACAGGGTGAGCTAATAATATATCTGATTAGGGAACTGTTGGCTTCTCATATATGATAATGCTGACAACTTGAACGATGTGAGACACGGCTGGCCCATAGGCTCTGACGGGTCCATACTAATAACCAGCCACGACTCAACTGCAGCTTTCGTTCTCGCTTCGTGTGAATTCCAAGTTATGCCATTTGACACAGATACTGAGTCAGCAGCGTTACTTAACATCTGGACTACATATAGAGTTAACGTCTAACAAGAAGAAGCAAAAGCTAGTACTGATACGTTGGGTAGGCTTCCTCTGGTGCTAAACCAGGTCGGTGGACTCATTGCCCAAAGAAAAATACCTCTGAAACAGTTTCTGCCCTTATACAACCGAAACTCGTCTAGTGTGGATTCTAGGAGGACGATCAGCATAAATTATAGGCGCACACTCGCGAACGTCTGGGACATGGCTCTCAGTAAACCTTCCGGAAGCACTAATGTACTCCACATGATTCTCTCATTTTTAGATCCTAACTATAACATGAAGCACTCTTAAGGGACAGTGCTCTTCATGTGAATTATCCCGCTTTGGTTTTCCTCGTGGACGAAATAGAGTAGGCACTACTCCAAGTTCTACAGGCGCATGGCGACTAACCTAAAGGTAGCTTCCTGGACGCTCAAGAGGTGCTGCTTCAAGGTGCTCTTATTAACAATTCAAGAGAGAATGGGATCATATCTATGCATTAGCTCGTCCAACGGGCGGTCATCCGTCGAATGAGTGTTGAAGAGCGAGAAAATATGTTTTCGCTTGCAGTAGCTCTTCTCCCGGCAAATTCGCCAGTTACGTGCAGTGCTGATGTTGGCCATCAAGTTGGCACCTGGACCTATTGCGAGAGAAGTTTGCCGCATATTGAAAGTATCGTGAAGCAAAGTGAGGATTTCAGAACTTTGAAAGTGAGAACCATCTTTTGCGGAGCTCCTGCTTCTCTGTTCTTGCTATGTTTGATTGTCACTACATAAACAAGACATTGTTAATCAAATACAGGTACCTCTACGAGAGAGAGAATTACAGCCTTGCTAGATCATGTGTAGACGTTGCATTAAAGAAATTTGTTAATAAAGATTCTCTTGCGTATGCGAGCATAATTGATCTTCGAGGCCTGATTAGCCTTGATATCTGTCGCCCTGTAGCTGCCCTAGAGGCTTTCGAAGAATCAGGGTTGTTAAAAACTATAGGCCGCAGCTGAGGGCTTGAAGTAACATCAGGAGATAACACTCTAACCTGCGCAGGTGTTAGGAGTCGGCCAGGCGTCTGAAAAAAGGACTCTAAAAAGTCCATTTCTCACTTATTCATACCAGGCAACTGAGAAGCAGGTATTGGACGAATCTCTGGCATACTGGATAATTCTTTAACCTGAGGTCGGAGTACGATTAACCCACGACCGGCGGGAGTGCCGGTTCAGTTGGAGGTCCAGATTGCTCTCCCCAAGGATATGAGTCTTTTTTACTTCATATTCTATTAGAGATTCGGTGGAAAAAGAGGTGATATTGTGCTATTACTTTTGAAGCACATAAATTTGTATCCTTTATTTGCGGGCTCCCCTACTTATCCGCGGAATGCTATATTATCACCAGGTGCATCTTAAAATTTAGCGTGCCGCTGTGTGCTCCAATTGTGAAGGATAAAAATCGAATCCGAGAGCAGAAACTAATCGACGATCGTTGACATTTACTTCTCGCTGTTTAAGTCGCGGAAATCGTACATAAAGCCTCTGTTGGTTTAAAGCCTGGAGCTCTCGGATGTCGATTGTCCGCATCTGAGCTATTACCCCTAACCAAACACAAAGGTCTGAGAATTGTGGCCTAAGGACTACCTTCCTCGTCTGTTGATCCGCAAACAAGTCTTGGTCTTGTAAACTGATGGCGTCCTTATCAGTTATCTGGCTTGGGGTTGGATAATAGGAGTCCTGAGGAATCAGCCACTGGAGCACATATGCATGTCTGGGAGGTATACCAATTGTAACCCTACGAATTCCCAAAATCCTGAAGCATCCGCGGAAGATATATAAACTCTGCCTGTCTCCCTGATACGTATAACTAAACAAACATCGGCGCCGCACATCCGGCTATACTCGGGTGATTTCTTTACCAGACTGGTTCTGCGACGATCTCGCTTCTGGCGAATTGACTTCCTTCTTGACCTCAAATCCTTAGGTTGTTACGGCACACCCCTTCTGGTATGCAGCATGGTCATCTATGTGTCAAATATATTACCTTTTGTTTCGAATAATTGGAGTCGAACTGACCGAGGAGCATATTGGGTTTTATATTGGAAAAAGCTGAGAAATCCTACATATGCGCAAAATAACAAAGCTGCATTTCCGGGCGCCATAATTCACCGTTCAGAGGCCACATTTTCAGAAAGAGTGGTGATCATGGTACCAGTCCTCGGTCCCAATCTTCTTCCATTAAATTGAATGGATGGAATGGGTGAAGAAAAAAAAAATATGAGATAAATTGCAGACCGAACGAAGGGTATTTAACAAGTTACTTTTTAAAATCAGGTGCTAATAATGTTTTATCAGTCAGTTCCTTAATAATTAGTCAAGTGTGGTATGGTTAATAACACACCTACGCTGGCATTATCATCTTCTAAATAAATAGGTAACATAGAAGGATAAATGTAAAACATTAGGTAACGTAGAAGGGTTAATGTACAAGAGTACTTAACGTAGAAGGATTAACATAAAATGATAGGTAATGTAAAGGGATTAATGTAAAATGGTAGGTGATGTAAAGGTATTAACGTAAATGAGTAGGTAAAGTAACAGCTCCCTGAGGATAAAGGAGATGTTTCTCTAATTAAGGTAATAATATCTAGTAACAGCCCAACACTTTTACAGCTAACATTAATGCTTTATTCTGCCGCTAAAAGCCAACTTAAAAGGATGCCACATAACAGAATAAAATAAAATAATATCTGTCTGACTATGTTCATGCGACTCAAAGGTTAATATTTTAAATAATAGAGATTTATTAAGCCAATCTACCCTACTGTTGCGCGAATGGCTTGTAATATTCTTGTAATATTTCCTACAGTAGTCGAAAGATCTCCAAACACCCCGGTCCATGTCTGGCCAGGCCGGTACCAGGTTTTGATCGGTTCGCTGGTAATTGGATTCAATGGTGGACAATCCGGATCGAAATTAAATTTACCTGGAGCAGACTCCGTAAGAAACCTTCCTGTTCCGTGGCCTAGAATTTCATGTAGGACAACCCAGATGTAATAAGCGGGAAAACGGTGCTTCTTAAACGTCTCTCGTTCTAAGTCGTCAACCAAATATAGGCCTCTTACTCGATGACTTTCTGCTACCATATGATTGGAGAAAATGATGTTTTTGTATCCTGTCTCAACGGATATTATTGTACTGCCACCTTTTAGTCTTATTCCTATCTGCAACGCCAATTAAACCATGGGCAACTCACGTTTGGAAGATTTATCTCCGGGAAGATTATACTTGAACAATAAGCGAGACCTTGCGTGAATTAACCAAACAGAGTGAGCTAACCAAACAGATTCTAAAAGGGTGAGTATCTTTACTGTGGACGCTAGAGAAATCTGGTACTTCAAATTTTTCTTTTTCAAATGGCCCATTACTGCCACTGTCACCATTTACCCAAGCAAGTTTGCAAACGAGCTTGTCTGCCATCTTTGACAATTCCTTTAGTATTTTCGTTTTACCATTATCAAGTATACACACGATTCCCTCAAATTCAGATCGAATGCCCAATGTGTCCCGGTAGGGTTCAACGAACCCGATCACTGTTTTGACTGGTGGGGATTTGTCGTTCACCCAAGTTCTCTGGGAATCTTTGTACGCAGCAAGGCTGCCGGTAACAAAGCTGTCTTGGATTTTCTGTAACATATTATATTGCGACTTGCCGGAAACATACTCACTAGCCTTTTCTAAGTATGTGTTAATACAAGCCAGCTCATCGTTATCCTCACTCGTTAGACGAATGATTTTCCCTTTTGGGATGGAATTGTTCGTTAAATGACAGATAGATTTACTTTCCGTCATTGATGCTTGAAGAATTTCGATGACTTTATTCTCTGGAGAGAGAAATTTCTTCTCCAGGCGGGTGTTTTCCGGCAGTATTAATAACTCGTCCATGGCTTTCGAAACCAAGGCTATATGTTCCTGAAATGAGTGACCTTCAAGTCCAGGGTAATAAAGCACTCTAAGTATGCTGTTATGGAAGCCCCAGACCAAATAGCGGGATCAAAAACATTGGATCCTTAATCTGTTCCCAAAGAGTAGCGGCACGTGAGGCAGCAGAGGCAGCAGACCTTGCAAGCTTGCCTTTAGAAATATCAGGGGTAAACTTTTGGTCACCAGAACCCTGTATAGTCAGTATCCTACTAGATATTAACAAGGCAATTCAGTTTCACATAGTAGTTCCCCATATTGGACAGAAATGTCACAGCGTAGTCAAGAAACGGCTGCACCTCACATACATCAAGGTTCTCCCTCCTAGCGAGGTGCTCCCAGTCACCATCGCAGCTTCTATAGAGGGCCATAATAAAATCAAATATGGAATTGGCTTCCGGAGATACTTGCCGGAAGATGATGCGTGAGCCACTCCATGCTGCTCTGACAGTCGTCAGTGCGGGAATGAGCCTTGTAAGATTTAGCGTACTTAAACATGTAATGAGCATATAGCTTTTGTTGTCGATCCAGGTTATCGAATGCAGATGCCACTGACAGCTGAAATATCTGAGGCGCTACCATTGTGAAGGCACGTCACATTTACTTGAAGAGCATTCTCTTGGTGAGAGATAGCGAGTTCTCTGCTTCGGCTGCTTTACGTATGGATACCCCGCACATGTGACGCGGCGCCTGGTGAGGCCCACGCTCCTTTGCCAAGCCAAACCAATTTGATGTCTGTGACTTGATGTCTAACAAAACCCTATCTGTCCGTTTTCGGTATAATGTTACCCTGTACAGAAGCTTGGAAAAATCATTTGCTGTAGCCTTAGTCTGGCCTATTCAAGTTAGACAGTTCTTCTTATCACACCCTCCCCATTTATCCAAGGGCAAGCAGAATATCACTCCAGGAGATATTTAATCTGTTACTGATATGAACGGAAAGTTTCGGCTTTTTGCCTTGGCATTGCGTTGTTGAATTTCGTCGATGTCAGCGCAGGTCCTTCCATGACTGCTTCCAGTCATATACTAATTATGAGATACCGAATCGCTGCAGATATAACGCACATGAGCAGATCATTGTGCCGATCACTAGCCTTCTTCAGAATAGGTTGTAGATTTCAACTTCAATAACAAGTCACAACAGTAACGATAGATAATTGTGAGGTTTTATGGGATTCTGATTAGGAGGTCTGAATTGATTATCTTCAGAAGGATGATGTGCCTCTCTCCCTTCTTTTAGGGGTATAGTAGTATAGGCTATGGTATAGGCATGGTACATGCTATATTATCTCACATGATGTCCCAAACTAGAACTAGCTTATTCTAACAATAATAAGCATGGCAATCAAAGAGTTTCGGCCCTTCAAATAGTTCAGAATTGATTAGAGGGAACTGTAAATATTGGAACTCATGACATAATTATCTAACGCTTGGGTTGACTCTCCTGTGTCGGGGTCTGCACAGGGTACTGATACAGATCCCGACATCTTCAGGGTTGCTACCAACAGAAGAGTATCTGTGTGAAAATTGGTCACTCTGGCTGGGTTTATATTCAAGTCTCGGCGATCCGTATGCCTTCTGCACCCGTGTGAGCGAGTCTAGAGCAGAATATTTCACAATCACGGCTCGCCAAGGTGTCCTCTTCGGCAAACTCATCAAGGTGTACCCAAGTACAGTAGCTTCCATTATACTTCTAGGCAGCAACTGGTCAGCTTTTTTATACCTCAGTTCTATCTGTAGCTCAAGCATCTACCAACATACGAATCATCTGAAGTTAGGACTCTTCTCTTGCGCGCATGAAGCTTTGTAACAGAGCCAATGCTTGAATGCTCCGGATGTTAGATAATGGTCGAGTTACTATAACATCTTGGTACAATTATTTGGAGACAATTCTGAACCATTTCCTGGTTGTCCCACATGTAATGCCTCGCTTAACACCACCGTTATTATCTCGGAATCACAAAGATCGTCCAAAGGTGATAGGAAAGGCTATATCTAACCTTGCCGTTGTCGGCCAATTTGTTGAAATACCAGATGTGACCTTCGCTACTATGAATTATAGTGTACGAGGCGCTCAGATGGCTGTTTATGGACTGGTGGTGTTTGAGAAAGAGCAACGAGCAACAAGAAAAACCTCAGTCTCTACTCTTCTAAGCCACCGAGACAGCATAAACTTTAGATACGGGAGGGTTTTAAAACATAAAAAATATAATGAAAAAAAAAAAAAAACAGGCAATATTTCTCTAGTACCTTATAAATTACCAATGCATTTAACCTTCCTAAGGAAAGACAACATGTCCAGCATATAGTAGTCATAATTTAAACTGACAGAAGGCTGCGCTATGGCTCCTAGTAGCAACCATGTCAGATCCTGCTGATGGTACTTGATCTATTTTTTCCCGTGAGATTGTGTAATGCAAGTGTTGCATAACTGCCCTGCCTAACAAATTTCATCCATAACTTTTAAAAGTTCCTAGGCGCGGTAGCTAGGCGAATTAATTATCTGCGATCGCGTGGTGTCTCTCCAACACAGGAAATGCCCATTGACCATGAGTCAGAGCTTCAGTTGGACTGTAAAATCGGACTGTCGTTCGGACATAAATTAGTGCTATTAATGGAAATTGTATCACAGAAAAAAGCTTTAAACTCACGCGTGATTGAAAACGAACCATGGGCAGGAACAGGAAGCCAGCTATAAATAATAACTGTTAGTATACCCTCAAATCTCTAGGTGAAGAAGCTTACTTTGCCGTCCAGTTCTGTGGCGGTGGGATGTTTGCAGACTGTACGAGAATTTGAAAACTTTCGTTTTTTGAGCCACTACCATAAACCAGAGAGCCATCCGCATAGGTCAGATTAGAACGATCTCCGACCGCATATCGATTTAGAGGGTTCGGTACTAGAAACTGCCGGGCATTGTAGGCTGTGAGACTCCAAAACCCGAATTCTGTTTGAGGGGGCTTGTTGTTGAAGGTGATGATATATGCCTGTTTGGGCTCCATGCTGAAATTGCTCCCATCCCCGTAAAAAGGGTACAGAACCTCGGTAGCCACCAATGCTAGATAGCCTGTGGACGCCACGAAGGATCGCATTTTGTAGTCCATGTTGTAATCGCCCTGGTCGGAGGGATTGAGCGCATGCCAGTTGTTCTTAAGGTTGCCCATATGTCCTGGCTGGGCTGCATTTGCTTTGACGTCGGCTAGGGCTTTTTGCGCCAAGAGAGTCAAGTTTCCAACTGTCGGAGTGTACTGGCCTTTGTGGATACCGGCTTCTCGGAGCATGCGCTGCACGCGCGGCTGGTCTGTGAAGTTTCTGGCCGGATTGAAGGGCGCAATGCGTGCAGTTAATTGCATAATCCTCGTGGGGATATCGCTGGAAAGAGAACCATTGAGAAATTCCGTGGTCAACTTCGGTACCTTGAAACTATGATCAGGGTTCCACCGTGTAACTGGGTACAAGGTTGTCTGGTTCTGGATTGCGTAGACGTGCTGGATATCTGAGCCGTTGTCCTTGACTAATATTCGACCGACAATGCCTCCATATGGTGTGGGAGAGTTGATGAATCCCCGATATCCAGCGCATGTATCGTTAGAGAGACTGTTATTCTTTGCTCCCTGATTGCATAGATAAACTCCTGGCTTCTCTGTAGCGCTGTTCGCAAAGCGAATTCGATATCTTCCTGGAATATTGTGATGGGAGCTTCCCAGATTGGCGTAGTTATTGCCGTAGCTTTGGGGTTTCAGATATGTTTTCTTAGCCACACTGATATAGCATATTATTTAAGATGGGTCAGGCACTCACGCATCGTAGAATGGAAACACCCAGTAACGGTGCGTTATTAGCGGAATCTCAATAACCAAATCATTCGCGGATAGATCTAGAATGGCCTGCGAGTAAAGCGTATCAACATTGGGACGCACGACGGCCTGGTCGGCTGCTGTGGACAGCTGTCGGTTGTGCTTGAAGCTATTGGTTCCATAGTGACTGGAGACGATAGGGACGGCCCATTGGGTAAATGGCAGCAGAGGATAGCCATACTATACAATAAATAAGAGTCTGTAACTATACTGCAAGAGCTTTGTACATACGATCAGGGAGAATTTGGTTGCTTCGACCGCAGTGGGATTCGAGGATATTGCGGGGGTGAGTAAGGCCAGAAAACTGATGCTGGACACAAGAAAGCGCATATTGTACTTTTGAGACGGGTATGACAGGCTGTCAATCCCTAATTGGATGAGGGCTTATATATACATATAGCTACTACGTCAAACCGAGGAACTTGGTCAGTAAGAAAATTGCGGCGGAGTAAAGGTGAATTAGTGAGGCAATTGTCGTGACATATGACGTGATGGCGTCATTGACGAACCAGGAAGGATGTTGACGATCGTCAGGGATCTTGTAGTTGAAGACAAACAAACATATCGACCACCATCACCGTTCTTGCCAGAAACACCAAATACATTAATACTATCAGTAATAATAAAATAGTAGTTCCGAGTCTTTATAGTAATATATGTATTCCTATATCCTGCTATACTGCTATTTTTATATTGCTAATCTAAAAGCGTCTAATCTCTCCCTCGTTACCCTAGGCCCGTGCGCAGTTTTCAATCGTTTTTATGGTAATAGTCTTAATATCTCCCGCGCTCCCCTAATTTCAACGCATTGACTATACAACTCTCTTTTGCCTCAACATATCACTTGCTCAGTTTCTCACGGTGACTGCGGCCATCTACTAAATGTTGACATGGCCTTCCACTCCCTAGATGAGGCTAAAGATGCATTTCTTCTGCATATTGTTGCACGCGGTGAATTATATAAATCATACCAAGGGGGGGGTACCTCGATATTGTGGTATGTGCGTCCCCCGCGGGCAGGCGCCTATGTGGTCTGAAGCATCTGCTACAGTAAACCATTGAGGAAGACAAATTCGGCTACCACAACGGTTTCAGGACAATTAAAATTATACAGCTTCTTTTTACTATAAGTTCTATTACACCAAAAGATCGTTACATAATATTAATTGTATGTGGCGCTATGGCTTCATCATGGTTGTCGTTGAGTTCGAAAATGGGCGTCAGGTGGGACCGGGCGTCAGGTGATCACATACGTTATAGCTACGACTCTCCAGGCTCGATTTTGACTTTGAATAACCAATACTTAGGTTGTAGAGGGACCGGTGGCATTAAAGCTGAGTAAGGGTAACTTAATGAATGTGAACTTAGACACGCCCCCGAGATTGACATAAGTAAACAGTGAACAGTAATCTTCCTGCAGAACTCATCTTCTTAAGTGGTCATCAACTTTTAAGATATGAGTGATCACCCGTCTCCACCACCGAAACAGAATCCCCAACTCGAATTAAAAATTCTACGGAAATTAGTATACCTTGCGCAAGAGGTTCAAAAAATACAGAGGCTAAATATATAAACTTAAATATAAAGACAGAGAATACTAACCTCTGACAGTAGGAACAAGCTGCATTCCTAAACATGCGTTCGTTGGGTCTCCCTGATCAATTCTCCGGTACGACCTTAACGTCCGGTCAGGCTCAGTAGGATGTCGAATACCCGTGTCCGGATCCACATTGGGGAGTTTGCATCTCATAGTTCGAGAAACGGTGTAGATTTCAATGCCATCACAATCGTTGCCATGCTGTGGTTGAATGCGGATCCGTTTCCAGCTATCTTCAACAAACGCGGATGGTCCTTGAATTATGATATTGGCTCGGAAGCGACGAATGCTAAGACGCGAGATGGACGCTACACATCGTGAAGCGACGTCATGTACACTGGCTAGGTTCATGAGATTAATGGGGTAAACATCTGCAAAGCGTGTTACAGGCTGGAATCCAAGTTTCTCTTTGCGTGGTGCACAGCGGAAAACTTCCCGACGGTAAGATGGGCATTCTCGAAATAATGTTATAGGGCCACGGGCCGAATTACTAGCACAGAGAAATCCTCGTAGTGCTTGCGGAATATGCTGGCCATAGTCGTAAGCCATGGGGCAAGCTGAAAAGATCTTGACTGGTGTTAGAGGATAGCTGGATATAGAGTCTGATGAGGGAGTGAGAGGGACCCGGAACGATAACTCTCTGGACAGCAATCCTAGTCTGATGCCTAACTTGGCAAAATAGGAAGCGAAAACCGAGTCAGTTATAATGCGAGGGTAGAAAATAATCATCACACCTTCCGACTTGACCTCGTCCAGATCTGATCTGTATTCTCTGGATGTCGGGTCGGGAATCCAGATCTCAGGCCGGATAAGCACCATTCTGCTAAACTCGCCATCGCGGAGGGTCCTCAGTGTCCACTGCGGTTGACTTTTTCCACCTAAGGTTTTGCTGGATTTGGGGGTGATGTACTCTGCGAAACAGAATTGTCGGTCATACATGAATCCGGCCGGGACCACGTCGGCAGTGTCTAGCTCAATGGCGGAGCAACTTTTTATAGGATACGTGAACAAAGCTTTTATCCGATATGGGTAATGCCCGTTTTCATCTGTGTAAATATTGGGAGTCTTTTGACTGTATTTATGCTTGTACTCATCCTTGAGGTTGCTTTGGTGCAAGGGAAGACCTAGCCTGCGACATCCTTTTGGGACTGTTGGAGTGCGACAGTGCAACTGATGGAGAAGAAAAACAATAACGGGGAGAAAACAGATCCAATATAAGGCCTGGTCTAAGACGACGTTGGTGAAAAAGAGAAAGGGATTGGTGCGAGTATCTAGCATTGGTGCTAGAAATCCAACTTAGAAGTGTTATTTGTCTTTTCTTTGCTGGATTTTTCTGGATTTTCTTTTTTTAATCAGCTCAGATGGCAGAATTTCGGACTTCAGTTACATACACGTCTAATAATTGGTAAGTCCAGGAAATATAATAGATAACTAACCTTAGAAAATATTACAGTGAGACGATTACGGTTCTATGTGAACTTCTTTTGCAGAAATTGTCAAATCCGATAGTGAGGGTCAACACAGGGTCCACCTTAGATTCCTCACGCAATTAACTGCTGGCTTACTTGACCCGCACATCTCGTATCCTGTGCACTGCCTACCAATATGTCCGCATTTACATATTGGATGTCCATACTTACGCATGTTGACAACAGAGGACCTGCACAGATATCGGAACTCGTTCAAAGAGTACCTGGATGCTGAATAGTGGACTCAGACTAGGTGTAATCAAGTGCAGGGCTGCAGGCGTCTTCTTCTTGAAGTAATATTCATACAAAACCATGGACAGTTTACCTAAGACATTATTTAGTGTCATGATCAAATCCTACCCGGATTGGGATATATTACTCCTGGTAAATTATCCCGAATGTCCAATTATTATGTCAAGAAGGACATCTGGGAACGAAAGCCCTAATAATGCGGTGGCTGTTCCTGCTTTGTGGTTCGATTACGAGCTTCTCGATCCGGATGCTCCCTTTTTGTATAAGATTTTCAACCACATATAAGCGTCTGCTTAGGGGTGCCTATTTAAGAATTTTCCACTTTTTGTATGTGTGCGCTAGCTAGGTCATCATAGAACAGGAAGAGTTTTAGGCGGGCAAATCGGCATCCTTTTTATATTAATAAATTAAATCCCCCGGAATTAGCTGCTTCCATCTTCAGGGTAGATTTAGGCGGGAAATATTGGTGGGTGTTGGTCCCCCGCTTCTTTTGTTCCATGGTTAACTGGTGCTGAAAACGCAAACGTAACAAAAGCAGATAACCACGTAAACTCGTCTAAAACAAAGAAGATGAAAAGAGAGAAAACATCATGAATTTATCAGCAAAGAGAAGATTTCAACCACCTGTGTATAAGTCCCCTCTGTAAAACGACACATATGAGTCAACTATCTACAGACAAAGTTGTCATCGGTACCAGTCAACACTCAACGAAGAGAAACCGGTCAGAGAATGAATGTCAGTATAGCTGATAACCCCAAGCCAAGTGCATAATACGCATACCTTTTAACGTTAAGTAGAAATATTGTCAGACTTATGATCCAAATCCAATACACCGTTGGCATTCTCTGTTAGATATCTTTGCCCGCCTAGAAGCATGTTGGTAACTCCAGGTATCGCATTCTCATAATAAAACTGAAATTCTGACGGTGTACCAAGCTCCTTCCCAACAGCACCCTTCCTCTTCATGGTTGTCCCATATGGTGTTTCTCTCTCTGAGCCCTTAACCCTCTCACCAACTAGCCATCGTTCGTCTAAAGTTCCAAGATACAGATCTAAGGTATCAGTTTTGTCATCAGACCGCCATATTAATGGACTGCCACAGTTTCTGCAGAAACCACGATGCCGACGTGGAGAAGATGAGTACTCCTGGTATGTTGGGAAAGACGACAACGGTGGGGTGATTTGTTCGGGGGCAAGGACGATGAACTGGGTTAAGAGGCTGGCGGTCCATTTGCGACACATCGTACATTGGCACGTTGCCGACTGCTTTATCTTAAGTCTTTCCGGAATTCCCTATAACTGGATTCGTAGTAGATGCTCACCGGTGGTGGCCACTTGTAGTCTTTGTTGAATGTGATCTCGTACTTAATGGATGCACAAAGACAGCTACCAGATAGCCTCTCAGATATGAGACCTGATTTTGACATCTTCTCTCTCTCTCTCTCTCTTTCTCTTGTCGTAATAGCAACAGAATGTGTCTGTTGTTTGGAGCACAAAAGGGATCCGACACCTGCGCTGCGGAAAGATGGATGTATGAAATACCTAGTTGCAAACTCGATTTATTGATTTATCGGTGCTAAGTGCGAGCCAGCTGGGCTGGGGAACCCGAAAGATGTCAGGACACATGCACCCATGATAAAAACGGAGGGAAGTGAAGTGGGGCAGATCATAATGTCATTCATGCTTAATTAGTACACTGGGTGATGCTAGGCTATCTGGAGATGCAGTACCACTAACCGATTGGATAACGCCAACTAACCAATTAGCATCTTAACACGTTGAACAAAAAGGGCGCTCCGGGCCATAGATGGGGCCAAACACAGACGTAAGTTAATACGGACTAGTCCAGCTGACAACCAACTGCTGGGGAAACGTGGGTAAAATTGCTACCTATCACGGATGCCAAGACTGCTCGGCTGTAACGGGAATTTTTCAGACAAAAACATCCTTAAAATGACTCACACCCACGCCCTTTTCTCTTGTGGTGGTAAGGCAAAAACCGGGTCAGCTTTTACGGTTGCCATATCGGTACAAAACGCTTGAGAACGAATATGATAAAGTAATGATCCGCATCTTAGTTGGCTGCCTAATATGCGGGGTTCACACCGTGGAGAACAACCTCTTTTCCTGTACATGTTCTAGAGAGGCGCGAGTCAACCATTCAAGCAAGTATGGTAATTACCGTGGTCTAGCATATCAATATATCGTTCCCTATATTAGGCAACTGGTTGCGTGCAGCTGTTCGATGAGCCTACTGCCTTCATCCCCCCTGAGTCACATCAATAATAGCTAGACAGGATCCAGGATTTCACAACATGCGATATCAAAACCAAGAGAAAAAAATCTGTCTTGACTCTGTATATACATGTTAAGGTGCCAAGTGCCTATAATGCTCAGCTCCTGAGGTGCAATCACAAGGAAAGTTCCTTTAGAGATAACAAACTTTTTGCAGCTTAATTGGACAGTGACCCCACCAAGGACCAGATTTGCAAATAACTTGATATCATTGGCCAGAGCCTTCATGACCACGGGTAAAACCATGGCATCCCCCCTGCTGGACTCGCCGGGGTGGAGGAATTATAGTCCCTATTCTTCCATGGCTGTTCTTAGAAGTGGTTTTCCAACAAGCACCCTGATACCTGTTTTGCAATTAGTATTTAAAGTTGTATAGATGCATGGGTGACTTACGGCCACCGTGCATTCCTTAAAGCCGAACACAAGCAGCGGCAGGACAAGCACGATATGGTTGGCTGGTATTCATATAATGCATCCCGTCTAACATCAGTAGCTGCTTTACCACGTCCCAATGCAAGTTGTATGGCTGTTTTAGGAGACTCGTGGAGGACTTCGGATATGTAAATAACAGCGGCATCCTCTTCAGGACGGAAAGGAGCCTTTGCAGGCCTCAGTTGCGAATGTGTCGTACATAGCGTATTAGCTATATTAAATTGGCGAGATATGCGAGACACATGTCCATTACCGGAATTAGATGCTCTCACCCAGCCGAGGTCTGGCAGTATTGATGATAATGATGGCTTGAAAGGTACAGCCCAGCTTGATATATTCCCACCATTCACGCAGCGCAGGTGCTGATTAGTAGAGGAATACTCTGCAGTTTGATGGTCCTCCTCTTTATTAAGTGTTGTGAACTCAGGGGGGGAAATGGGGCGTAGGGAGCTATTCTATCAGCTACAGGCCAACTAGCCCAATTAGGAAGTAGATGTCATTCAGTGGAAACACCAGGAATCACAGTATCTCAACCAACTGAGTCTCTTGCATTCCTATCTAGGTGCTCTACCTCTAGACCTTGGGTACTCAACTATCTAAAGGATTCAGGGGTTGAATCGATCGTCAGATACTCCGCACCGCCAAGTCGGGCGGATTATAGTGTTTCCGTAACATTAAGAAGAGATGCGATGTCCATTGTATACATTAAAAAAACGTATATAATCTGTTGAATATCATAGATAGGTCCAGAATGAGTAGATATTGAATATTGAGGAGGGGAAGGGGCTGCGTGGGGGGGAACTTGTCGTTATGTAATGTACCCTGCTTGTAAAGCAATAGCCCAAGGCAATACCACGTTGTTTACTAGCGGTGTAACGCTCATGAGACTTGAGATAATTCCAGTCAGTACAGAGGGCTCAGCTCATATCTACAGTCATATCTAGAGAGGAGTAGCGGCTGTATAGACGGCCTAGAACTGTCGCGGAGCTCGGGCATAACCAGTAGTAATGAAACTGTTATTGGCTTGGCCCACCTGTTCCCGTGAATATCGGAGCTCGGGACTCAACCGGACTAAATGACGGCTCATAATCGGCACGGTTGGCTAGTTCGGTATCAAAAAAGCCCCCCTACATACGGGAAGGAAATATAAGAAATGAATAAGAGTAAAAGGAAAGGAAAACAAAACAAGAGAAACGGAAGTGGATTAAATACTAAGCTAAGGCTTCTCGAAGGGTTTGTATGAGGGACTTCCATATTGACTTAACGAGTTCTATATATAGTATATATTTAGAATGTCTTGCTGATATTTATCCTAAGTGATTATTGAAAATAAGCATACAGTATAGGTCTGGAGTGGGAGAACATCCGCGGACAACCTCTGCAAAAAACATCCTGGTACACAGCGTACTTTTGCTACAACCAAATAGACTGGCTAGGTAGAACATCCCTGTTTATAAGATAATGGCCGGGAACTATAATAAAAGAGCATGCCACCGCTGAACAGTTTGCAGAGCCCCAAAACTAAACCGTAGACACTGCAGGGAGTCAGAGTATACATTCCGGCCCCCAGGAATAATGTAACCTTGACCCTTCTGCTTCACCAGTGGCGCATTTCGGAGATTTACAAATTTCATCGCCAGAGACTAGTCCCAGGAGTCCTCGGAGTCTCCACCCAATTAGAAATCGTTACATGAGCTGTAGTCTCGGTAGGATGCATATACCCCACCAAATGGGTATTTTGCTAGTAGATGATGGGTGAGAAATCAGTCACTGGTTCGAGAATTGGGGCCTGGTCTAATTATAAAAAATGTCCGAATACTAAACTCCGATGGGTTACAATAATAGTTTTTGCATGCTTATGCTGCATACGACCATTCGCTTCTAATCTGTTGGTTTCCACTTTTATTGTACCATTCTTACATGCATAAGTTCACTAGGAGTAACAACAAAGTACACAGGAGTAAGAATAAAATTAGGGGACTGGTAAGTAATATCGGCTGTGAAGGCAAGGCCACCACCACTGTGCAATCTTCTGCATGAGTTTGCCATCTGGCATCGCCGAGTTCTCAATCGCCCAGATTTACTGGAAACCTTTTTCTCAGGGCCTCCCCATACCTGTAAAACACAATCGGTAGAACACCAAAACTTAGAGACAAGAACGCTAGCAGCGAGTTGCCCCATCCATATCCCAAGTTTTCGTACAAGCTCGGTCCAGCGAGAGGGAGCGTCCCGCCACTAGTACTACTACGGAGGTTGTTGGCCGCCAGGGCGCTGGCGCAGTGGCGAGGAAAAGCATCAATGATATATGCTTGGGTCGGAACCTGGAGGCCTAGAAGTTAGAGAGCCAGAGAGAAAACACAGGGATAGCTACGAATAAAATGAGAGAGCCCATAGTTCATGGGATAACATACAACACAGAAGACTATACCTACACCAGCAAAGCTGGTACCAATAATGGGAAGGATCCAATGCACGCGGTAATACGCCGACCACCCATACACAAATAGCCCGATAGGAAGAGCGAGTGCACCATATATTAGGAACGGGAGGCGGAACCTGGTGTGACCTATCAGCATCGAAAGAGAGATGCATGTATGTACGAGGGGCAATGGTCGGAACAAACTCCGGTTTCTCTTCACCATGCTTCCTGCTCAGCTGGTTGTGGATGTAGTCATTAAAGTAGCCCGCCACCAACAAGGCCAGCACCATTCCAACCCCGAAACCTAGGAACGTGAGGCCTGCAGCACCAGTGTCGAACCCGTACATGCCCTGGAAAACGATGGAGAGTGTCGTGAAAAGGATATAGATGAGTCCGTAGACAAAGCTCATATATAGAGAAAGGGCGAGGATGATGGGACTGAACATAAGCACCCGGATGGGGCGTAGGACGGCACCGCCTAGTAGTTCTTTCAAAGGCTTGGTGGTGCGTTCTTTGGCGCGCAGTTCTTTGTTGCCAGTGACCTTGCGGAGACGATTCACTTTTCGGGCGAGGATGACAGGGTGGTAGGTCTCCTGGAGCAAGAGAATGCATGCGATACAGACTGTGCCATTCTATGCGAGGAAAGTTAGCAAAGCAGATCATAAGTATTGTGTTTTGCCATACCAAGATACTTAATAACCAGAATATCCATCGCCAGCCTAGTTCGACGGCTATATAGCCTCCAGCCGTGGGACCCAGTACTGGAGCGACAACGTCGACTCCGCTAAACAGGCTGAGGATGGCACCACGGCGCCCTATGGGAATCATATCTGCAATGGTTCCGCCAGCGTTCGTGGTGGGCGCACCACCAACGAGACCGGCCAGAAAACGGCATGCCACGAGGGTGGCTAGGTTTTGAGAAAGAGCGCAGCCGACGGTAAAGGCCGTGAAAACAAAGCTCCCGATCTTGTAGATTTTGTTGCGGCCATAGATTTCTGACAGAGGAGCCAAGAACATGGGGCCGATGCCAAAGCCAATGACCTACGCCATCAGCTTTATTGGGCGTGATCAAGGATAAAGGGAACAGTACGTAAGCTGATACAACAAATGAAGCAGCTTCTTCGCTTTGGAATCGCAGGTCATGTTGTATATTCTTGCTTGCAGGTGCCATCATCGAGGTTCCGAGTGGACTTGGTCAGTTAGTTTTAATCCGACAATATTGGGCAGATTTGATGCACAACTTACGGTACTAGTCGCAGCGCACACACAATGACCACCGTGACAACCTTCTTCCAGCGGGGCCAATTTGTAGGGTTCTCGGGGTCATCTGGTCCATCAAAGTCGACAATGTGTGTATCTATGGGCACATGAGTAATCTGTGCCTCTTGATCATGGACTTCAAGAGAGATTTGGGAGGGTTGATCTTTCGACATGGCCTGGATGTGCAAGCGTAGATCAGATTGGCATTTTTTCTTTTTATTTGAAAGAGGGCTGATATATAAACAAATAACCCAAGCCTAGCGTGGTCGGGAAATGGTCGGCGACGTTCCATCTGCTGGATGCAAACTGTACCCACTCAAGGGTCGCTTTTGAGAGCAATTTCATGCAATCCTTTGGAACTTTGGCACCCTGTACACCACCTAAAGAAACCTGAACATGATCCAGTATCAAGATATGGTGGTCCCCATACGGTATGGTTTGGGTTTAAATACCGTTTATAAATGTTGTTTAAACATTCAAATCACTCAGATGTGTTGGAAGCGATTGCTTATCCTATTGAAAGGGTGGCCGGTGGCCGCTACTCATAAGTTCTAGGTAACTAATCCCATCGGACCACATAGGTATGAAAACAGTCGGCTTATATAGGGTCCATTACAGCTTGCTAGAAATTGACCCCTGGACTCGCTCTAATATGCAGGATAGCATGATGGAAGCGTAAGCGTCCAGGTTAGAAGAAACGTAATCATACACACCATAAGCATCATGAGCATCATCGACACTGTGAGAAGCAGGGTTTGCCGCCAGAGTTGTATACATAGCACCACCATCATAGGCCTGTCTATCAAGAAACATTGTCGCCGGGAATGGCGTAAGAATCTAGTTTTCTAGCACGCCAAGGTTTCAAGGATGATCTAGCGCTCAGAAGGCATATCGGAGATAGATAGAAATTAGTCGCCATGTCCTTGGACATATCCATAGCTTAACAGCCGCCCTCTATGTATAAGGGCTTGGTTGCTCTAAGTAGCACGTGAGCTCCCCATCTTGTTGGAGCATACGGCAACACATGGGCGCATGCCCACACGACCTCGCTTAATCATCAAGCAAGCCAATTGACAGTATCTTTAGGGAACTCCCTTAGTTATTGACCACTGTTGCATTCGGTGTGGAGCGTTTCCGACCAAAGCTCATACATATTTGGAAATACAAGCCGAGCCGATGCAGGGATCAATGCGCAATCTGAGTAGATGGATGACCTACCTAGTTAAGAGGCACAAGCCTCCAAAATCGCCGTCGGATGCCAATCGGGATCAATGACCCTCGGATCTAGTGAGTGGGGAGACTGCTGCCTCGTTAATCCAATATACTCGGATTAAGATGTGGGTCTGCCTTGATCCCGGAGCTCAACCTGGAGTAGACGGAGTAGACGGAGTATGCGAGTAGTACATTAGCCTGTTGAATCTATTCCAGTAATCGCGATTACTACATACAGTGGGGCTACAGATCTCCACTATTAGGTCCGCACCAATATTGTCTTCGCCCAACAACAATTCAAGCTTCAACTTGACTTCCGTGTCCAACTCCACTTCACACCCGTAGGCTAAAACGTATTGTAACCTTGCCCTCCACTTGGCTTGAATATCTATTCGGGAAGAGTTTAAGGGCTTCGCCACCCTATATTGCATCATGACCCCTCTTTATTATATGACCCTTGCTAATGGACATTCACTCTAGCGATTAATTTACTGTTACAATATGAGTAGTCAAAAAGATGAATTCTTGGGCCGCTATATCTCCTTACGAAACAAGCCCTAACCCGAAATATTGTACAGAGCGGATAATCCTGGCGCCGGATCCCAATTGGAAAACTGACACCAGTCAAATGAAAAGTCGAGATTACTCACTCCATCGCCGCCAAAACCATCAGCAGTCAAGATTGACTGTGCAAGTTGCTGTTGTTGAAAGCGAGGATTTAGCGTCTGGTCGAGGATCCCTTCGAGTTTTATTGCGGCTTGTTTGCAGAGCCCATGGTTGCGATGCGCCGGCATTGCCACCCAGTCAAGGCAGGACATGAATACACTGAGGTTCCTGATGAGCTCCGAATGAGGCAGTTGGGCGTTTTGCGAGGAGGGATTTCGTGATTCCCGAAGAAGCTCGTGAGCTAGAAGCTCTGCACTTGGGAGTCCGTAAAAGAGGAACTATGGGAATGGCTGCATCAGCGAACTGGAATGAAAAAAAAAAAAAAAGAAAAAAAGAAAACCACTGGATCACGAAGGATAATACCGCCCAAGAGAGATCAGTCCTTAGGCCAGAAACTCGGATTCGCTGCCGATTAATAATCAGGACCGTTGACAGGAGCTCCATTGCCGTGCTATAAATGGCTGGTGGCTTGGTCGAGGTGTGCTGCACAACAGTCATATAAATAAGGAAAATTGAATACCAGTAATCCAGATGGAGTAGCATCAAAGACCATACTTCCTCATGGTCACGGCCTTGGTCCCATAGAGTCGAGCTGTAATGCATGGAAGCTGGGCGAGCATTCCATGTGGTCTCTGCTTCCTGTAGAACGCGACTAGCAGAAAGTTAGATATGTTCATATAGCCAAGAGGAAATACAAACGCTGCCTGTTCTGCGAGGTTCTGCTTATCTATAGTCAATACCACTTCCAGAGCTTGTTCTCGGATAATGGCCAGAATAAAACGGAATCGGATGAATGTGATCGGTCTCAACTTTCCACGATCCATGGCCCAGCCATTCTGATCCACAGGTTGTGCAGTAGGACCGATAAAAAAATCATCCTTAGCCATCTCATCTTCGTCGAAGTCAAAAGGAGGTGTCAGGTCGCAATAGCGACTTTGGATTAAGGGTGGCCGCTTCAGGAACGTTGCCACGGTTTTATCGACAAAGAAAGTTGCGGCAAAACATCGTCGGCGTAATTGTCTCAGGAACAGAGGACTTCCGTCTTTGGGATCCAAATTGTAGCCACCTGAATATATCACGGTGGCTAGGTCACTGACATTACTCCAGAGTTCTCTCACTAAATGTTGATTAGCATCGCTCACGTTTTCCAAGGGGCAGAGATTCACACCAGAGTCGTCATGTCGTAAGGTCGCCAATATACAGTAATTATAATAGAAGCATATAGTGAGCTCATTTCCATCTTCTTTACTACAAAGTTTCTTGCAGCGATCAGCAGCTGAGAGCAGCTTCCCTAAAAGACATAGTCCTGAGCTATCCTGGCTCTGGTCAGAGTCCAATTGGCGAGTGTCAGGAATGTCAAGGAGAGTCACTGCAGCTAATATAAGAATGTTTCCAATGACTTCCCATCGCATGTTCAACCCTGTGATGCCAAGGTAGTATTCCTCAATGGCCATTGACTGATGCACAATAAGTCGCTGGCTTGAGTTTTCAAACATTCTCAGGCATGAGCCCTGTACATCTGCAGTATCTGGCCCACCGATCGTTTGAGGTAGGGAATCAAGAGCTGTTTTCATCAGAGGATATGCGATGATGGGGGCGCATCTTTGATAGTATTGTTTCACCAGATTCTTGATAGGAAGCATATTACTCTTTAAGAGCATGAGAATCTGTGAACCTATCTGCCAATTCTCTGATGAGGGTATTGTTTTACTGACAATGCTAGCACTTATATCTAGAGAGCTATCGTCTCCAGTACTATTGCCTTCGCTGTGTAAATTAGCATTCGCACTTCCAGCAGGGGAGATAAATAATGTACGTCTCGGAATGATTCCATGGCTGCGATGCACCACTACGGACGATTCGTCTCATATGCCCCCGGATTCCATTCTTTGTCATTGGTGCTGGATGATAGATGCAACGAATCCCTTTCGTGGTACACCTGCCACATATTGGCTGCGCATGGTCACATTTGAGTTTAAGGCTTCGACACGATTCGCAGGCCTGCAGCTTGCCATTTCGTCGCTTTGGCAATTGAGTACTAGTAGCCTCCATGGAAAGTGATTTATACAATTGTATGAGGTCGGAGGACGTCGGAGGAGCACTGGATCTGAAGCGCTGGGAAGGAAGTGGGCTTGACCCGTTTACCAGCCAAAGCCGCGCCTATATTATGCAGTACAGTAGTTAGTACTCGTACTCCGCCCCTGGAGGATCGTGCAATGGTACCTTTTGAGTGGCCCATGTATTCATTAGTCATACCAACCCCTCCATAGAACCCCGGGTGGTAAAACTTTTTGCATTATCTGTACAAAGTAGATAGGGACCAATGTCTGGCCGGTGCTCAACTCACACACTAGTAGTTTTAATGGCTAATTATAGAAGACAATGGTAGTTAAGGTGCATTTAATAATCCCAGGGGTATGTTTCAACATCTCCATCCTAGGTATTTAAGAAAAAATGAAACGGTGTTCTTGGCTGTCAGGTTCTAAGGTTACATTATACCTGCATCCCAGGTCATATCTTACCTTGGCTAATGGCACGGAACACTTCCCCCGTTGAAGCCTATGCCTCTTTGGGATGGATAGCTACTTGTATTTACCTATCCAGGTTAGTAAGACTAACAGCTCTTGGCTACTGCAGTCTATAATCCATATTACCTTGTATACTGCGTATTTTGGAGTAGATAATTGAATAATAGCAACACTAACTATTTATAACGTAATCGGCCACCGAGCTGCGCGGTCCCTACCAAACTACGCGTTTACCACGAAGCCATTCAAAATAATGGGCATGCTGTCGTATCCACGGCACTAAATATTCTCTAGGTAGGATGCCAACACAATCTGGCCGGTCTGCATCTGTATTAGTGTTGTATTTAAAAGTGGAGAGAGCCTCTAGTTCAAGCCTAAGGCTCTGGCCACAATGTCGCTTAATAATATAAATTAACTAACTAGTTAGTTAATGTTAAATAATATGGCCGTGGGTGGATGTTGGAACATCGGGTTATCCCTCTGCTCCGGGTGCTACGCCTTACAGACACCTGACGATAGATATTATGTAAAATCGTCTTATTTGAGACATGAAAAATTATTACCGTATCTTAGTCACGAGTCACGACAAAGTTCCTCTTGCGCGCTGGAAGTGCCCTGTGGTTCAATTTGCATGGAAGAATAGACAAAAAAAACAACCTAGTTTGTCTGAAAAGTGGTATAACAACATAATAGTATAGCTCACTTAAGGCATTAAAAAGAGATATAATGCCCTGTTTAAAAACGACGAAATCGTACGAGGACTGTGTAAACTACAGGCTGAACACCAAGAGAAACAGAGACGATAATGACCCTATATTTAGATCCGAGCGTCAAAAAATGCTCAAAAGGATTCTATGTGTATATAAATTCCATAAGTAAATAAGTTGTGGTATGTCCCTACAATTAAAAGACTTTTATATCCCCTGGCGCTTTAAGAGGTCCTCTAATCCAAATCTAGAGAGGGAGATCAAATTTATTATTCCATTGCAAAATCCGGACAAATGCAAATATGAATACATTCGCTATTCGCGTGGCCCGTCTTAGCTTATATTAAAATATTGTTCGAGCTCAAAAAGATGCTATGTCACATTATTGGACCTTCACGCATATTTTTAGCAGCTAGCTTATAATTGACAACTTAGCCCCTAGGATCCTACGCATTGCTGCTCAAGGGAACCAAGTTAGATCTTAATTCTAGAGGCTGCAAAAATTTAAATGTATTATAATTACCAGTGCTTTTTCGCAAAGCTCCTCAGGATTATCATTCTGATGTTGCTGAACCCACGGACGCGCTTCTTGTTTCTAAATGTACAATATACTTTGTAAGCAGATTGACGCCAGATACTATACAAATATAAAAACTGAACTTACCTGCTCGTCAGTTAATTGTGAATATGCTTTCATAAAGCACTAGTAGACCTGGTTAAGAGTTGATGCAAACAATAATAATTTAAGACTCAAAGAAAATAATCGACTCACTCTCATATGGCCTTCTCTGTCGCAGACTCCATTTTCCTCCGAGCACTTTTCAACGTCATCTCGAAGGAACTGTGGCATATCTTCAGGGAGGAGTCTAGCAAAACATTGTTTAACGTCATCAACTATGTTCACACTCCCCTCGCCGTCTTTGCAGAGCTCCTCGTATTTCTCATGGAGCTCTTTGCATTTCTCGCCAGCATACACTTGGCCGAAGTAGGCCACAGCAACAAAAGAGAAAATAAGGTGGCTTCTCATTTCAAATTAGCTAATTTTAATTCAACTGGGATAAAGATGTTGTAACCCGAACTATCTACTTAAGACTATTAGGAGGTCAGTCAATACTTATATGTTAGGATTTTCTACAAGCCCAAAATTATATCTCCCGCCTTTGGTCGGCGAGTAGCTAGCAATATTTTAGAAACATGGAAGGAAAATCATCCTGGTTCTGCTATTAACTGCCAATCGCTGCTTTTTTAGAATATCAAAGCACGTTACCCTCTGTTCCCTGGGGGTTTAACTTGCTTACAGCTTTCTTGAAGTTCTCGTAAACAAAATTATCTATTCCTATTATTATGTAGCTTCCCAAAGCACTGCTCTACTGAGCTCCCATTGCCATGTTTATAGTGGAATTTATCTTTGTTCTTTGCTTAGAGAAATTATGTAAGGCCAAGGCAATTCTGTGAATCCTATCAGATATGCCGATCCTTAGCTGCAGGCACTATTAAACCTAAAAATATTGAAAGTTGGTCATGCGTTTGCTTTATTTACACATAGGATCATCCCTTCCACATGTTAACCAGATTGGTATCACCCACATGATCTACATTATGGTAAGATCTGTCACATTCTGGCAGCTAAGAAGTTCTTGAATAGAACCTCATAGGTCTAGCCCTGCAGTTCAGCGCCCAAACTCTGTCGTGCATTTTCAGTCTCAGCTGGCCGCTGTTTACTGTTGGTATGTGATCAGCGAAAAAAATTTTAGACCTGTTCCCATATTCATATTAACTGCTTGGGAAAACCCGCGGGAAAAGACCACACCCGGAGCGAGCGAAAACCCCTTAACTGCCAAGATCTCGGCGGCTTTGTTCTTAAGACTCCTGCGACTGACGACCCTTTCTATCTACGGTTAGGAATACATGAATCGCTATGGCGAACGCTTCTAAATAAGCTTGTCGAATTCAATTATGAGCGAGTTGCATACCGGTTATCTGACTGAGTGCAACTGTCTTTGATTCTAGCGATGTATCCCCACTAAATACACTGTATCGCTAATATATGCCCCCCACTATACAGGTCTGAGAGGAATACGAATAATATAAGATAATAAGTAAGATACTATCTTAAATTGACGGACCCCATGGGACTGTCGCCCTCGCGTAGCAGCGCGTCCCCAGCCCCGCGCGCTTCTTGTCTCCCGCACGCGCTTTCGTTCGGCGAATGCTGCCCCGGGATGATCCCTGTAGCTTGCATTAGCAGAATAGGCGTATCTTGAAACGTTACTAGTCTACGAGGCAAGGCCGAAGAAAAAGATGCCCGTCCCTGCGCGTCCCGGGCGGCCGCCTCTCTCCCTGCCCGATGGTTCACCAGTTCCTCCCTCACCCGTGCCACACGTAATTCGCTCTCATGTGCCTGATTTCCCCTCTTGCTACAAAGCATCACGCATATGAAAACTGCGCGACGTGACGAAATTCACTGACATGACATAACATGATACAGTTATCTGTTTACCTGCAGATATCTGCAGATAATCATTCCAAAATTTAAACAGATAAATCATAGATCAGATACAATCTACTATCTGAGCTGCAGATGTCTGTGCCAAGTTCTACTGGAGCCCTTTAGTTAATTAGAGTTTTATTGTACTATAGCAGCAACACATATCAGGAGGCCCCAGTCTGAATTCCAAGCCCTGAAGGTACGTTAGCTAGACTGTTAACGTGATATTTAAGGCCAACTACAATGTACTAAAGCGTTGATCTTATATTGAAAATGGTATGGGGGTATGATTAGAGAAGCTATTACCTAGAAATATATCGAAAAACATAAGATGATTGTGTGGAGTTAAGAGCACCCCTGCACTAAAAAAATACCAGAAAGTTTCAAAATGAGGCAACATTATCACAGCCCGATAATTATTAACTTTTGAAGACAACATATAATCATCAACGCAGCAACCCTAATTGCTTACTATGTGGCCAGCAGGAAGTAAATCGTCCATTTCGAGAAACCAAAGACGACGACAGTATTTATTACGGATTCATTGCGCCTGGAACCAAGCTCTAAAGGATGCGAGGACCTGGGACTCGATGGTCTAGGACGGCATCTTTTGCATCGAAATGGGGGCGACCCTTTTGAATTAGACAGAATGCTAGGTCATTCAAACCATTTTGTGCCTAGAGCGATTCTCACAAACATAAAGAATAGCAAGGCTACAGGCTGCAGGACAGTCACAGTTCAATTACTCTGAAAGAATACTTCTCCTGCTGCTTGATTGTTTTGCAGTAATAGACAAGATATGGAAACAAGTTTTTACCAACAAGTCTCGTCTCATCTCACACCCTACGACACTAGAGCGCGCCGGTCGAGGGTCAATGTGAGGCGATCTTATTATTAGCAAGTACAAGAAATCCCACAAGGTCTACGAGAATCCAGAACTATAGAACCGCTTTCATCTCCTAATCGTTTCCCCATCCGCCCTCGCGGTAAGCACTCTTAGCCGCCGCCAGGGCAGCAATTGAAGCGATACTTGCGTCTCCCATTATATCTAAGACAGCAATATCCGCGCGCAGCTCTTGGGATAGCCAATTGGTCAGCTCTACCGCCGTCAGTGAATCAACCCCGAATTGGTGCATCGGCCTGTCAGTGTCCAACCCGTCCATGGGTAGGGACAGTGTTTCGGCGAGTTTCAGCTTCAGAGCCTTAAATGCAGCAGCAGTGGCCTCTTTGATGGAGCGTGCGCTGGAGAAAGCCGCAGCGAAATCGGTAGCCTCGGATTGCCAGGAATCTGACGCTGTGGCTGAAGTGCCTAGGGACAAGTGCTGGAAAAAGGGCCGTTGGAGCCAACTCGTGTGCATTCCATTTTCACGCACGCGTGGTGCGATACCCACTATTATCTGGCTCTTGTCCACGGGTAGGATGCCTACATCTGGATCGCAGTAATGGTCCAGCAGCGCATGGAGATCAGACTCGGTGACTGGCACGAAGGATGAGTTTGTGAGGACCTTCTTGCGAAGTTCGGGATGGTCATTCACCACTCCTGTGGAGACAAACAGGCCTAAATCGATCGAGACTGCTTTCTCGCCGCGTCGGACGCGGTAGCGTGCCAGCCCGTCCATAAAGGTGTTGCCTGCAGCGTAAGCGGATTCTCCCCGTGTCCCATAGATGCCAGCAATAGACGACAAGAGAACGAAGAAGTCCATGCCTGAAGGGAGAGCCTTGTGGAGATTCCAAGATCCCTGAGCCTTGGGGGCTGTGGCAGCCCGCCAAGTTTCAAAGGACAGGCTCGGGAAGGAGGAATTCTATTATGGTGTGAAGATGGGGATTAGCTGATGTACGCAGAAATTTCCTTCCAGAACAAGCCAGCCAATACTTACACTAACCACCACTGCTCCTTGCACGCATCCCTTCACCGGGGGCATTGACTGCTGGGCGTGACGGAGGCAAGATTCCAGAGAACGGCAGTCGGTAATATCGCAGGCCAGGATTTCCACCTTGGCATTACTACAGGCCTGTATGTCTGCCGTCAACCTTGCCGCGTGAGCGCTCTCCTTTCCGGACCGTGAAAGTAGAAGCAGGTTCTTCGCTCCACGGTCGATGAACCACCGAGCGACACTGCGGCCTAGACCACCTAGACCGCCAGCGATGACGTAGGTCCCATTGGAATCGAATAAACGTATTGGGTTCGCCTCAAGCGTAGCCTATTCTCACGTGTCAGGAATGGTCGACATTACAGGAGGGATCAAATGGATCCCCGCCGGAGGGGGGAGAGCTTTTACCATCACCGAGTCCTCTGGCCTCATTTCCAAAACGGTCTTCCCTATATTTTTGCCGCTCTGCATCTGTCGAAACGCAGTTTCGATCTCAGATAGCCCATACACTCTCAAAGGGGAGGCCGGGCATAGGTGCTGTTCTAGGATTAGCGATAGGATGTGCTCTAAGGCCTCTGCTACTCGATGCGGTCGTTCCAGTGTCATTGCCGCCAAGTCGAATGCCCTGAAGGTCACATTTCCTAGAAATGGTAACATAGGGAGTTTGGAATTGGAAAGGATGTCGTTCTTGCCGATTTCCACGAACCGGCCGTACGGTGCGACAGACTCCCATGAAGCTAGAAGCCCGTCCGACGATAGGGAATTGAACACCACGTCCACCCCCTTGTTCGCTGTGAGACGTCGAACTCCCCGAGCGAAAAGAGTATTCCGGCTGGAGAAGATGTGGTCGGATGGAATTCGATAGTAGTCGGTGAGAAATTTTGCCTTACTCTCGGATCCTACCGTGGTGAAGATTTGCCCACCCAGGTATCGTGCCACCTGGATCGCTGCTTGCCCGGTGCCTCCAGCACCAGAATGAATGAGGACTGATTCCCCACGCTGCAGATTGGCAATATCGTGGAGGGCGATCCACGCCGTCACGTATGCCGCTGGGAGAGCAGCGGCTTCTGCGAAGGGAAGTTGGTCGGGGATCTTGACCACAGCCATGTCCTCGCCCAGTCGGACATAACAGGCGTAGCGACTGGCGTGGCATGCAACGACGCGGTCACCAGGTTGGAATCTTTGGCACGATTCCCCAACACGGGTGACTTGCCCGGCAAACTCAACCCCGAGAGCTTTACTATCCAGCCGGCCCAGCGCAATCAGTACGTCCAGAAAGTTCAATCCGACATTCTTGACCTGAACTTCGATCTCTGTGGGCTTTAAAGGCTGCTCCACCGAACGGTCCTTGACGAACTGTAGGGTATCTAACAGCCCCGGAGAGCCAATCTCCAGTCGAAGAGGTGGACTGCTTCTGATCATCTGCGGCACGGCTCGTGGGTGTTTTCGACTGGCGAGCTTTTGGTTCATAGCGCTGGCATGCACAACGCGGCCAACATGGAGCATCCCACTTTGTTCAATGTACTCTGTATCGGTGACATGGCCAGCTGTTATTCCTCGGATGATCCTTTCAATCAGTTGTAGTTGGTGCTCAATCGATGCGGCACTCGGGTCGAGGGAAACCGTGGTCAGCTCGGCCCGGTCGTTCTCCTCACCCCATACCCGGAAAAGCCCATCCACCAGTCGGGATTTTGGCCATGGCTCCTGGCCGCCACCGCTGTTAACCCAGACCACCTTCGTAGACAGAATGAGCCAGTGGTGCAAGAGGCGAAAGTCTTCTTCCGTGACGTCGTACAGGAACGGCGTGTCAGTCTCGACGAGGGAAACGTGCACCGCCTCGGGGCACGGTTGACTGAGTACCGTGTCCTCCAGCGATCCAAGTGTGATGGTTAAATCGGTAGATCTCTTCAGACGTCGTTCTAAGTGCTGTGCCATCGCGAGCTGCGCCGTACTGCTCTGTGTGAACAAGATATGAACAGGGGGGGGTGGGCTCTGCTGAACGACCCGCGTTTCGATTGCCGTCGACAATATCAGACAGGCTTCCTGGCATATTGAATTGCTATAGTCCGGAATTGCTACATCGCAGCCTGAGAACCCGCTCTTCACCAGGTACTCATTCCACTGGGCCTCATTAACGCAGGGACTATGCTTACGTTCCGGTTCCATGCCTGTGACCACAGTCAGTCACAGACAATCCAAGGACTTTAAACAAAGGCAACAGATAAACAGAGAGAATAGAGTAGAGAAGGGAAAGAGAGAACTTGAATGCCTACCTCGCCACCAGTCGTCCAACAGCCCAAATATAAATGCGGTTCGAATCGCCTCAGGCCGGGTAAGCTCCAGGAGAATCAATTGGCCACCCCTAGAGCTCCTTGCGTCAGCGTTGTGTAGTAAATTGTTGTCGCGGGACCTCAAAAATGTACTGCGAGACTTACGGCTTAAGAAGCTTTCGAACATTTGTCAAGCTTGCATTGAGGTTGGCCGTTGCATGCAAGACCTGTCAAAAAAATCCGAGCCCATTAGAACGGTAAACGCCATTTCCAGGAAGGGTGTGCGCTCACTAAAAAGGCAACCACCATATCGTAACTCTCACACTCAAACCCCTGCTGTTCCGGGTCATTCTCAATATTGAGGGCCCTGAATTGCATCCGTGGACCCTGATCTGCAAAGGCCTCTCGTGCCTTAGCGAAGAATGATGCGGAGATATCGGTAAAATCCCACCGGGCGTACCGTGGCACCTCCTGGTCACTGTTTTTGTTTCTCGCCAGTATATTGATGCAGTAGTTAGTCATTGCTCCAGTCCCCGCACCAACTTCGAGGATTTTCATGTGGGGGTTTTTATGTGCTAAAGCGTCGAGGTATGTGGCAAACTTAAGCATCCTAGGCTGGGTGTTGACCTACGGGGAGGGACACGCGGTTAGATCTCCAGTTCCATGGGCTTCAGGAGCCCAAGTGGGTCAGATATCACGTACGATCTCATAGTAAGAGTCTCGGTAGAGTTCCCCAGTGAAGAGCAAACTAAGAAGGTCCAACTCTCCGGTAGCGAGGCTAGGAAGGTGTTGACATATGGTGCTCACGAACAAGCCTCTCTTGCTGGTGCCGGCTAGTTTTTCATGTAATTGAAGAAGGAAATCATCATCTTTCAGCCGGTTCTTCCAGGTTAGAGCGCTGAACGGTGATCTTCCCGATTCCAGGAGCCTCTGCTGGTGCAACCCCCAATTCAGATACTTCCGTAGATGAGGAGGAAGATCTCTCGGGCCGCTCTTGCGGCGCATCTGATCGAGAGCCCTGATGAGCGAAGCCAGTATCAGGAAATCCAAGTCTGTGAAGAACTGGACCGGCTCTGATTCTGCAGCCCGTCCGTCTTCGAAGAATCCACAAAGCTCATCCTTTTCCAGCAGGCTCATGTCTGGCTTCCACTGGACGTAATGGCAGAGGTTATCTGCCTTTGCTCTTTCTCCGGAAAGCGACCTGGAGCCGGCAAAAGGAGCGACTCGGAGCCCCTCCATGGCTATGAGCACACGACTCACCGAATGGTTGAATGCGTTTATCGAATACCGCAAATCTCCGATAACGGATTGGCGGGACCGGGCATGAACTTTGATGGTCTCCGCAGTTGGGTAGCTAAGGCCTGACCTGGATATCCAGATGCGGTCAATACGCCCAGGAACCCCCACAACTCCAGTATGTAGACCCATTTCCGTGATGATTCCGCAAATCGTGTGGATGACAGCGTCCAACGTAGTCGGATGGATGACATGCTGTTCTGCCTTTAAATTCTCCCCGCTAGTCTCCCGGTACGTCTGGACATCCGATAGTAGCTCTGTGTGCTTGCCGTTATCGGAATGAAGAGCTGTTATGGCCCGGAATGCCGGGCCATATTGGTACCCACTGCTGGCCAGGATGTAGTAGAACGCTGCAGGGTCAATCGACACGGTACACGATCCGGCGGCATTGCGGTATGTCTGCAGCAGGCCAGACTGCCATGCCTGTTCCTCGCGGCCATTGCGGTCTAAGCCCTTTTCTTTGCCTTCGAAATTCACACAGATGGAGCCTGTGCAGTTTTCCATCCATCTGTCGCCCACAAGTGAACAGATCCGGAATTCAAACCAGGCACAATCGGTTACTTGGCTGCCCCGAGTACGACGGAGATGGATGGTAGTCTCTACGCTTCCATGAGAGGGTATCGGCAGGGCAGAGTGGAAGACGGAGTCGTGGATGTCGAAGGAAGAGATTTGCAGCCCCTCGGGCTCAGCTAACTGTGTGGCAGCCTCAATCGCCATCGCCAGCATTCCCGCAGCCGGATAAATCATGGAATTGTTGATCTTATGGTCCTGAATCCATGCCATTTCATCCCTGCGCAAAATATTCCGCCATTTGCCCTCCATGGGGTTGTGGTCCTGGTCTGCAATACCGAGTAAGTCCAATCGCCCGGAATTCCTGCACCGGTAGGCCAGGCTTAGGCGGCTCTCCTGCCAATAATTCTTGGTATGGTTAAAAGAGTATTCCGGCAAGTCACTGAGCGTTTCTGCTCGGTTCCCGGCGGGAAACGTGTCATAGATATTATTGACCTGTGACAAGTCAATCGGATAACCACTGCAGTGCAAGTGGCCAGCAGCCTGCAATATGGTATCGGTTGCGGAAATATTGCGCTGCAGGGTTGGCAGATATGAGGGAACGTGAGACGCTTGACTATGTTGCAGTATATCCCGGCAAGGGCCTTGCAAGGCTGCATGTGGCCCGATCTCTAAGAGATGGCTAATGGGAATGGCACGACGATGACTCCCATCAATCTTTTTGGGCACTTCGGTGGCCGATGAGGAGATCAGCCGCGTGAGAGCGGCTGAAAACAGCACCGGCGAGACCAAGTTCTGTACCCAGTATTCCGCTGTTGCTAACTGCTCCTTGGGGACCCAGTTTCCGGTGACAGACGAGATCATTTCCGGTGCGCCCAGCGGATTAGGACCCATTTCAATATCTCCAATAGCATGGAGATAGGGCACGGAGACTTCCTGCATCTGCGAGGAATGATAGGCAACGCTTACAGCCAGCCTACGGAAAAATATTTTGCGGCAAGCCAGTATATCCTGCAGCTTCTCTATCTGCCTCTCCTCCCCGGAAACCGTGACGCTCTTAGGGCTATTAATGCAAGCTACCTCCAACGGGGCGACGTGACATTGGGCCGCAATGCACTGCAAATACTGCTGGATTTCGCCTTCGGACAGCCCTACCGAAATCATTGCCCCATTGACTGGGCTGGTGGCTGCAGCTTTACCGACTAGGATGCCCCGATGATGCGCCACTTTCAACGCAGAACGCTTAGATAGCGCACGAGCACAGTACCTTTAGAAGGTTTCAGTAAATACCGGCACGCAAGTCTATATAGAATTGGGTGGTCCTTACGCAGCGGCAACCTCTCCTGAAGAATGGCCTATGACCGCAACAGGAGTGATATTCCAGCTCGCGAATAAGTCGATCAAGGCAATTTGGAGCGCCGTGCAGAGGGACTGGGCCAACGTAGGATCCTTTACCTTCGAGTCGGGCTCCGAACGTTGCAGTTCGTCTTCAAATATCAGCGTCGCAAGGAAAGTGGAAAAAGAGAGCAGGAATAGGATAAACCACCCACCTTGGAACTGCCAGTTGCACCCAAACGACTGAACGATTCTCTCGGCATCCATCATGCTGCTCTTGAAAACAGGATATCGATCGAAAAGTTCCTTCCCCATCGCATGCCATTGAGCTCCTTGCTGAAAGCTTGTTAGACGAAGTGTATTCAGGTAGACCATAGCTCCAATCAGCCAGCAGGTGATCAATTGGACTTACCCCGGTAAATACAAATGCCAACTTCGGCGACGACAGAGCTCGCACGGGGGTAATGAAGCGGTCCACCAGATTATCAAGCCTTTGGTAGGGATTAGCAGCCACAAATGTCCTCCATTGTAGGTGGCTGCGCCGTACGCTCAGGGTGTACGCCAGGTGGTGGAGGAACGCTATTCGATCCGACTGTGAAATTGATAAGCTGTCTAGGTAGGGCTTCCACGCTTCTGCCAGGCGCTGAATCCCGCCGTCATCGGCTGACGACCACACGAGCAACTTGGCGGGCTCTTGGTCAACCATGTGGCTTGCTGACCCTTTAGCCTCATTATCCTGACTGGTAAGGGTGAAGCCAATCCCATGGAGAGAAGGTGCGCCTGGGGTCAAAGTTCGGTGGTGGCCATTGAGCTTATTCAGGTGGAGATAGTGGTAGGCGTCATCCAAGACCACATGGCTATTCGCTCCTCCAAACCCGAAGGAGCTAACGGAGGCTCTGCGCAAGCCATTGCTGGGCCATGGAACCGTGCGGTTCGGAATCTATCATACCATGGTTCCTCAGTCAGCACCGGGATACTGTTCAGTGGAACCATCTAGAATACCTGGATATGGAGGAACTCGTCGTCAATCTGCATGTTCTGGCGCTGTGCGTTGCAGCTGTTGGGTGGAATAAGACCTTTTTCCAAAATGAGAATCGTCTTAATGACTCCAGCAACCCCGCTGGCGCCTTCCAGATGTCCCAGATTTGATTTGACAGATCCCCTGTCCTCGTCAGTATTCGGTCTCACAACATCTACTGCCGCAAATACGGCGCATCACGTACACATATAAGGGCTCTCCTGCGGAGCGGTGTTGCCGAAATGCCGTCCCAATTGCTCTTGCTTCAATCGGGTCGCCCACCGAAGTGCCTAAGCCTAATTAGCTTGATTCAGGCGGATGATATATATGCAGTCGTGAAGCTCTGAACGTCCAGGGGGGTTCTTTACCTGTACCATGGGCTTCAAAATACCTTGTGACGCCCATATCAAGCCCTGCTTTGCGGTAGGTATCCCTAATCAGGCGTAGTTGAGATGCCTTGCTGGGCTGCGTGACTCCCGGCGTCTTCCCGTCTTGATTTGACGCTGACGAGCGGATGACGGCGCGGACGGGGTCACCATCGCAAATGGCTGCTTCCAGTGGCTTGATCACCAAGACCCCTACGCCCTCCCCTCGACCGTAACCATTGGCTCGCTGATCGAAACTGTAGCAGCAACCGTCACGGGACAGCAAACCGAGATTATCCAGGCTTATGGTCATCTCAGGGGACAGTATGACGTTGCTGCCGATAGCTAGACCCTTTCTGCTGTTAGTCAACGCGGGGTGGGTGTCCATTTAATTGCTCAGAATGTGGAGGGGGGGGGGAACTCACCATGGTGGCATCTCCGCTCCAGATCGACTGACAAGCAAGGTCAACGGCCATCAGGCTACTTGAGCAAGCTGTGTCGACGGCGGCACTAGGGCCGACCAGGTCGAAGAACCAACTTATGCGGTTGGCTAGCATACTCCGTGAGTTGCCAATGGACATATACTTGGGCATCTTCAGTGGGTCCTTGGTTTGCAACAAGAAGTAGTCATCGCTGAAGGAGCCAGCCATCACGCTTGTCCTGGAGCCGGCCACGTGCTCCATAGGGAGGCCAGCATTTTCTAGAGCTCGATATGTTGTCTCCAAAATCAGTCGCTGTTGGGGGTCCATGGCCTCCGCCTCCGCCGCGCTCATCGCAAAGAATGGTGCATCGAAGGCGCCCAGATCCTCCGCCAGGAAATGTCCGCCTCTAACACAGGTGCTGTCGAGCCGACCTTTGTCCGGATGATAGTGACCGTCGATATTCATCCGACTTGGAGGAAAATCCGAGCTAGCACATCGTGCGTCCAGCAGCATCCTCCAAAAGGAGTTCGGCGACACGGCATCTTGGGGGAACCTGAACGAGAACCCCACCACGGCCAGCGGTGGCGGGGCGTCGCCTGTACAAGCAGATCCCATGGCGGATAGATAGAATAGCTAAAAAAACTACGAGATGGGTAATGAGGTGAGCAAGAAAACACTGCAAGTAGCCGTACCTCCAGTTTCTATTCAGAATATTGGGCTATTCGGTGTAAGAAGAAATTCAAGGAGGGACAAAACACTCCTTGTCTGCGCTCCCTCCGGAACTGGTGACGTGAACTTCAGCATCTTTCAATTCAAGAGTCCATGACGCATACTTGGCGGATAAAACTATGAGTGTTGCATCCCGGAAGCATCCATTTCCTGTCTGGACACGAAGACTCTCAACGTCATTATTATCACTCTTTTCTATATACCCGTGCACAATCATACTGATTGTTCATCAAAAATGTCAATTATTGCAGCATTATGAAGGTTGTCATGAGTGCTACCATTCGGCATTCGCAGGTCCGAGTGCAGATTAATGTAACTCTAAGAACTGGTCAAGAAAACTTTGTCATACAGCATCCCAATAGCAAGCATATTTGTAAAGCACAAAGCTCCAATACATCTCGACCATTATCTCGTCTCATTAACGTTGACACTAGCAACCTCGCGCGCCAGGACGATTCACCCCCTCCTCGTGTTCTAACCAACCTGACTACCGCTGCGAAAATGCGTGTCCTTTGGTACGCCCAGGTCTTCTTTCTAGGATAGCCTACTGACCAAGCCCAGTTTGCATGGCGGAGGTATAAACTCTCGAGTACGTGTTGGCTGTGAACAATTGTCCCCCGACTGACGACTAATACATACCCTCATTATCTAGATCTTCAAAACCCAAACAGGTGATAGTTCCCCAAGGAATTTCCAGGCCACCGCATTTCCTAATCTGAATTAACTTAGCTGAAATCCGCTACGAATTGGGTGATGACATTACCTACGACTTCGTTGAGGGTACCATTCCCAGTGAGATGTATCCCGGTAGGTGGAATGCCATCTGGGAAGAACTCGAACGGTCCTAATGGCGAGAATGAACAAACGCAGGAGTCGAGATCATCGCCGCAGCTAGTGAGCAAACGTTCGCCTATGTTGACGACAAAGACCCTTCTACCTGGCTATCCATTCACCAGAGCTTAAGCCAACACCTCCAGACGGACGGTCCTTACGATGGGGTGATAGCATTCAGTCAAGCAGCCACGTTGATATTATCTTATATAATCCACATCACAAAAGAGCGCAATTCTGGGAAGCCCGTCCACGTTCCTTTTCGGTTTGCTGTATTTTTCTCCATCGTGTTGCCTCCCGTGGATTATACCACTCTACAGGAAAAACGGGTTGTAGAGATGGAGGCTGACGCTGCGAGGGACCTGGTGGATATTCCCACAGCGCACATCTGGGGGGTGAAAGATCCAGGGGCAAAGGGCGCGGAAGAGGCCAGTAGATTCTGTAGTCCCAACACTCGGTGGGTTTATGTCCATGGAGGGGGCCATGAGATCCCAGGATCTGGAACCAAAAAAGCAGTAGTTCGGACGACCCATATGATACGCAGGGCGATTGAAAGCTGTGGGTCCTGAGTGCACTAGTTGGGAGTCAACAGATATGATCGAACTATGGAAAACCTACACCAATAATATGAAAGAGTTAAGGGATGGTGTTCCCATTACGTCTCGAGAAGTTTGGTGGATATAATCCAAGTAGTGACGTAGATGATGACGATACGTCTGTCGTATAGTCTTAATGTCACTCTCCTCCTGTCCCAGTGAGAAGAGTCAGTACTAACGCAGGGCGATTTCTCTATTATTTCACCCGCCCAGTGACTACACTCGGGTTCTTTTTAATAGCAACACCGAACATACGCACGGTTCTCCATGTCACGTACTATGCGAGGCCCGTCTCTGGAGTTGGCCAATGCCAATCATGAAGGGCAAACCAGGATATCAAGAACCGTTCTGACAGAAGAACACATTCCGTACCTAAAAGGATATTGGGTCTTCTTTGCCGGATTTGGGTAGGTTACGCACCGATCCCTGTGGGTGAAAATACAAGACGAACGCTAATGCAAAAATAATGTATCTTTATGCGTAGGCTCGGACTGGCTCTCTTCCTAACAAGTGCGGAGATCACCATCGTCAGTACCGCTCTGGCCACTATTTCCAACGATCTGTCCGGTTCGAAGCAGAGCAGTTGGGTCATCAATGCGTACCTACTGTCCTACACAGGCATTATGAGCCCTATTCCGATTCATGCACTTCCGGCTAACCAAAAGCCCAGGCTTTCTCGTTATGTGGGGCAAATGTAATGACCTATTCGGATACAAATGGGCTCTGTTAAGCTCTTTACTTTTTTTTGTCGCATTCTCTGGAGGATGCGGTGCTGCGCAGTCTATGGACCAGCTGTTAGTACATCACTGTCCTGTTTTACTCTCAGAACCACTTGCTAAGGACCGACCCGCAGCATCGTCTGCCGCGCATTCCAAGGCGTTGGTGGCTCTGGGGTTTTCTCACTCACGCTTTACGGCCTCCTTCGCATAGTTCCGCCGGAAAAATACGATGCTGTCAGCGCGGCAGGATCTACCATTATTGCACTCGGCCTAATCCTGGGCCCGCTGATGGGAGGTGCACTAACGGTATCCAGGGCATGGCGCTGGATCTTTCTCTTCAAGTACGTATACTACTAGTGCGTACTTTATACCTACATACATGTCAGCACTCTAACATGCATCAGCCTACCCTGTGGAGCGCTGTCGTGGGGGATCTTATGCATTGTCATTCCGAGGTATTTCCCCTACGGCCACCGGGAGGATAACTCTGCTAGTTGTACGAGCTTCCGACGAACCCTTCGAGAACTTGCCATACAGTCTGATCCCTTGGGCATGCTTCTTCTCCTTGCGGCCTCCCTACTGCTGGTAGCGGCATTGCTCGAGGGAAATGTAGCATATGAATGGTCCTCAGCACTGATTATCAGCTTTTTCACGGTATCAGGTGTCCTTTGGATTTTCCTGGCATTGTGGGAGTGGTACCTGGGCCTCCAACAGGGGGCATGGCCTATGCTTCCCTGGCGCACTTTGAATAGCCGCGCATGGATGGGTGTCTTGCTGTACGTGGCTGAATTTCTCTCCTTGTTCGTCCCTCATGAATATACAACGACATGGGCAAGGACAATACAAATCTTTCTTGCCCTTACATATTGTGTAGTGGCTTCTTTTTAACCGGACCTGCGATCACCATTGTATATATTGAGATACCGCAGCGGTTTCAGACAGTCTATGGGAAGTCCCCGTTAGAAGCTGGCGTGATGCTGCTCGCCTACGCCATCGCCTCACCGCTTGGTGGGATACTCGCCTCGATCTGCACTGGCCGATGGCACATTGCCTTTGTGTATCTTCTTCTTCTGGGGGCAATCTTACAGACAGTCGGGAGCTTTCTCTTGTCTGCAATCCCCACCAGTACCGCGATCTATCCGGGGCAGTTCGGATACATGGCTATTGCCGGACTTGGGTCGGGACTATCGATGGCCTCGCTGTACATGCTCACCCCCTTGGTGGTGAGAAAGGAAGACCAAGGTAAGTCTGGATAGACCCTATTAGTATCCAAAAAAATAAAAATATAAATATAAACCACCTGACGATGACTCACTTAAGCGGTTGCCATCGGGGCCTCCCTTCAAATCCGTATGCTGGGGGCCGCCCTGGGTATTGCTGTTGTGAACAGTGTATTAACTAGCTATGTCAAGGCGCATATTCCATACGTTGGGTTTCCATTTAGTACACAGTCGATTGAGGGGTTGCCCCTCGAGGCTCAGCGTCAGGTCCGCACGATCTATGCTGCCGGGTATAATCTCCAGATGAAGACTGTCGGGGCTTTTTCAGCAACCCAAGTCTTATCCGCAGCACTTTTATGGAAAAGGGAGCAGATCCGTTTCATCAAGTAGGCGTACTGAGGAAGTTAACGTGCATGTACTATATTTCCCTTCTATGAAGGAACGACGGGCTGCAGTGGAGTACATTCTGGATGAGTCTCATCTAGCCCAGTTAGGGCTACCGTTGTCAATTTTGAAAAAAAATACCATTTAGGCGCCTAAAACCCCATGGTCTCTAGGAGAGCCTACTGCCGCCCCCCCTAATTTATTATATTGTCCTGAAGCATCCGAGAAGACAGTAATACTTGTCGTCGTTAGCGTAGCTGAGGCCTTGGCCTTGGCTTTCTCTCAGTCGGGTTCGATATCGATTTCAGTAGAGGCCGGAGTTCGCCATGGTGCTAGCGGCCTCGGGTCAATGATCTCCGGGGCCTGTAATGGACCAAGGTCCATCATACGCATGGTTTCTGTGAAGGGAAAACGGGGGTTGGATTCCTATGTCCACTTCGTATCCAAGCTCGTGCTCTCTTGCGGCGTACTGAGGGCAATCACAGTCTGTGCCCGTCGCTTTAATCGCAAATGGGTGGGTATTGTGTAGTACTCCACCTCTAGTGCTGTTGTTGAGGTTGTCCTGAATGTTGAGAGTACCCGAACAAGAGTGCCCTTTGAACTGTAACTTGAAGTCGCAGATGCGTTTTGTCCCTAAGAGGGTTGTGCCAGACTCACACATGCTTGGTAGTGTTGTCGCATCTGTTCTGACCGAAGATGTCATACAGTCCCCCGACATATACTGTATCAAAGAGAAGCATTATGACCTCATTCCAGTCCTTCGGCCAAAATCTGTACTCTAATAAATTTTCCGTTATTCTGTTTTTTAGTATCTTATGAGACGCAGGCGAAACCTTTCTGAATTGCTGTCGATTGGAAAGATTAGAGTATACAAGGTGTTGCTGGGTACTTACAAGCCTGGACGATTGCTGTCGGTGCATAGTGTAATGGCATCGTTTCTCTACGTCCACCCTGGATACTCCGTAGACCAGACTTCCACAGTTAAATCCATATAACTCAAAGATGATATCCACCGCAATTTGTCTGCTTGGTTTCAGCCACCATCGCATGGAGTTCATTTTATTCCCCGCCGATTTTGCCTAGGCCCATTGGAAGAGGTAATGATTCGGCCTGTTGAGGCCATTTTGGAGTGCGATGCCCCGAGGGTGTTTGATATGGTCTGACTTGATTTGCATTTAATATTGGACCTTAGATCCAGCGCATGTTCAAACGACAGCCCTTCTCTTTTTTTGGCCCCCACCTGGGCAAGGCTGATCCTACAGGAACAGTACTTGAATGAGGATAATCCGACACGAACGAGACAAACAGAGGATGGGTGGACCCATGAAATACACGAGCGCACGAATCTTAAGACGAGGAATAATCCACCACAACTGTAGTTATCTGGTTAAGCAGCTTGCAATTACCACTGACAGTGCATCAAATGACAGTGCTTTAATGTCAAGTGTTCAAGAATCAGTCCAGTCGCTTGAGCTTTATAATAGCTCTGCTATTACTAGGGTTCCTTATATTGCGCATCAAGTCAATCATAACCAGTTCTTAGAAAAATAAAGGCAAACCCAAAGAATGAAAGAATAGAGACGGAATGTTGAGAAGATTGCTTTAATCTCCTTATACTATGAAGCAAAAAAAAGTGTTTGTTGACATGCTAAACAAGGTTAGATATATCTTAGGCATCTTTACATTACTTCTGTAACCCCTTTTACTAGATTCGAAGCCTAGCCATCTTTATTAACCCTAGACCTCAATTCCAGGAATCCCTCTGCAGTCTTCAGACTGAATCACCAAAGCTAGTTCCAATTCAAGATTTCCGAGCTCACTGGAACTCAAAATCTCTACTGCTTCGACCTGCAAAACGATTACAGGAGATATCTAATAAATCTGCGCTGAATATGGACATCCCCATCTAATGTTAGATCCAGAAGAATGACCGAATAGGCCTTGGATCGTTATTGAGCTCGATGCAGTAGGATTGAGTTCCCTTTTCTGTGTCAGACGACATGTCATGCTGGGCTGGCTCATCTGGGGTTGAGGCTATGAGGAATTGCCGCTGCGAGGCTGGGTCTGGCCTTGGCCATAGCCCGAGTCTCTTAATAAAAAGAGAAAGGAAGAAGAAGAAAGGAAACTGCAGCAGAAACAGATGAGGCGAATGGATTAAGGCCAACGTGGGGACAGGGCAATGGACAAGAATGATGATCGATTTCTCTAGTGGAGGCTGAGAAGATTTAACCTATAGCCCACAGAGTAACTGACAACCAAGAATAGTTTGAGAAACCTATAATTCGTCCAACTGTACGCTGGCCGCATTGTGATCCGCAGCATGTCTACGATATACTCCGTGCATCTCCTTCCATGATCACTTAGGAGAAACTTCTGAAACTGCCGTATATACGCGAACTGCTACACTCCAAAATTGCACACTAACTACACACAGTTGTATAATAGTCGATTATCGATTCAATCTATAAATCTCTAGTCCGAGTGTCGTCGATCATAAATCTAATTACTGACATCATCACAGTCCGTAGAGCCGATAATTTCCTTCCAGTTGTCCAGCATCTCCTGCTCGCGGGCCAGACTCCCGCTGATGGCCGTTAAAGCATCCCGTCCCAGGGCTAATCTCCCGGGCAGGCTTCTGCCTTCACAGCGACCGGTCTTGGTGAGAGCCTCGACGATGACCTGGGCGCCCTTGACGGGATCGCCGGGCTGGTGAAGACTGTAAGCGGCGAGGGCATCGCGGGTGGCCTGGGTGCTAACGTTCAGGTCGAGGATGCGGTTCTTAGCAGTAATCTTGTGGCCGCTGGTAAGGAAGTTCGTGCGGAAGTAGCCTGGTTCAATGCAGGTAACATCGATGCCGAAGGGAGTTAGTTCGTTGCGCAGGGCCTCGGTATAGATTGCGATGGCAGCCTTGGTAGCGCCGTACATGCCCGCCGCTGGCAATCCATTCCATCCCCCAATCGACCCGAAATTGGCGACGACTCCGGACTTCCGGGCGCGCATGGAGGGAAGAGCGGCGCGGAGGACGCGGATCTGCGAGAAGACGTTGGTGTCAAACTGGTCGGTGATTTCTTGGTGGCTGTATCTATTATTAGTGGTGGGACGGTTTTATGACTAGTATTAGTACATACCTGCACTCCTCAACTCCTCCCTCTAGGATGTACCCCGCGTTGTTCACCAGGATATCAATTGGTCCAATATTAGAGACGACATCATCGACGACCGCCTGAACTTCCGTATCGCTGGCCCGCACATCAAGTCTCTTGGGAATAACACCAAGCGGTGCCAAATCGGCCAGCTTGGAAGGATCGCGCGACGTGGCTACCACGGTGTCTTTGTTCTGCGCGGCCGCAATGGCCAGTTGACGACCGAAGCCGGACGAGCAGCCGGTGATGAACCAGATCCGGGGCATGATTATAGGTTGGTCACTTGGAATTCGAGGATGAGAGAGGAATTAATTGCAGAATAAAAAGACAGACGCAGTACGTACCGAGTACAGTGGGATATAAGCCTGGGCTATACGAGGGGCCACCGCCGGAATTAACATCGGCGTCCGCTAGGTACAGTAGGTAGAGTTATCTCCGAAAAGTCCACCCGGGATGACAGCCCACCGTCATCCACTGCCACTACCACCCCCTGCACCAACTACAATATCACAGTCCAGGTCAATCGCACGACGGAGAAGGACCTGACCTCCACTCCGCACAGCGTGGAAGTGCTGTACTCCCCGGCCGCCAAGGAGATTGTCCAACTCGTATGCGACAGATGTCAATACCTTTCTTAGTATGTTGATGTACTGTAATATACGAGAAAGGCCGCTTACTATAGCGCAATAAAAACAATGAGAAAAACGATGCGAAAAATAATGAAAATTATGTGAGAAGACAACTGATTTTGCATTTCTTTTTATATACAGCTATACTACTACTGTTTTATTACTATTGAAGCACACCGTTCACATTATATAAAATAAAACAAGGGAGTTATTGAGTTATAATCATACTATCTGCTGAGGAAACTAAGTTAGAATGAATGAAATACACGCGAATATCGTTGATTTTATGATGATATATGTATCTTACGGATTTTCTTTTTTATGATTCTGGATGTCAGTCAGTGCCAGGGGGGTGCATTGGGCTGTTGGGCGTGTGTTGGACCTGTCTCTGTTTGTATAGTACTTCCATAACTTTCCATGATCTCTCTTTGTTTTACAGCCTATATAAGGCCCTAGATAGTCACTTATTTAGCTAGATGCCGGTCAGCTAAATACGCGTATGAGCCAGTATCACCGATCATATAATCACAAAATGGATCTCCATTGAAGAATGAGGTCTCTAAGGTCTCTAACTATCTGAATCTATCTGGAGAGCTGGATAAAAAAGGTGAAAAACAAAGGAATAAAGTCGTACCGAGCAGATGCTGAATAATGGGTAATATTGGCCCATTTTGGTCGACGCTAGACAAGACAAGCTTCCTGAACCTTCTGCCGTCTCGTATCTTATCACTAAATAACTGGCAGAGGCACCGCCTCCCGTTTGGGTCTAGTGCCATTCACCTATGTTATCTCTTGAACACCACGAGCAGGACACAGGGACCAGGGGCCAGGGGCTGGAGACCGAACCAGACCCCGCCAAAGCCATCGCCATCGCATCCACTGGCAATTGGAGATACAGGCATGGAAGCCGAGTTACTGCGGAAAGATACAGAGGTACGGCAAAGGCCTGACGTGGAGGCTGATTAGGGCTGATTATTATGGATGGTCTCAGCGACTTCCCAAAAGGGAAACCAATATCTAATTGACCAGACATGCGGCAGTGGGACGGTGAGGATTGCGCCATCTCCAAAGAAGACGCCAATATCAGATTGGCCAAGCGGGGTGAGGGCGGATCTAGCCGGAAGGTCTAAAGGGGTCCCTGTGGTACTGTGTCATGGCCCCGAGCCTGAGATTGCTGAGATAGAGTCAACAAGACGCGGGCCAACATGTGCTGACTACTGTATAAAAGGAAATTAAAGGCCATCCCTTGGAGAAACGGACTTTGTCCCTCCTGCTTATTTACATCGTGTCATCAAGAATTCACGGCACTCGTCTATTTCCAGCTGTCCAATTTAAAGCTTGCATACACATACCCCTACCCAAACCACCACCACACTTATACACCAAATCCTTAGCGAGGACACAAGCCAACACCACTACCCAAGATGGTGATGCTCCAACTGACTGTCGAGCAGTACCGGAAGCTGCCGATTCTGGTAGACGAGAAGACATGCATCGGCAAGACCTATATTATCACAGGAGGCAACTCTGGCCTGGGCCTCAAGACGGCGCGACACCTTGTCGCGGCGTCGGCCGAGTGCGTCGTGCTGGCCGTGCGGAATCTCAAGGCGGGAGAAGTTGCCAAGAACGACATTGAGAAAACGACCGGCCGCAAGGGAGTTGTCCAGGTACGTCTGCTGCAAGGTATCTAGGACTATTATGAAGATTAACCTCTATATATAAAGGTACGGCATATAGACATGTCGACCTACGCGTCTGTCCACAGCTTCGTAAAAAAGATAACAGACGAGCTCGACAGGATCAACGGCTTCATCTGCAACGCAGGGCTCATGATCGACGCGTGGTCGCAGTCAGAGGGCATGGAGACGAGTATGTTTGTCAATGTTATCAGCACCGTGTTCCTCGGCGCTCTCATAATGCCTAAACTCAAAGAGTGTGCAAACAAGTTCAACACCAAGCCCACTCTAGTCTGTATCGTCAGTGTCCTCGGATACACTATCAAGGGCGAGATGGACAAGAGCCGCAACGGCGTCATCTTTGACGGGCTCAACGACCAGAAGCGGGCCAAGATGGACTCGAGGTGAGATTTACAAACCCATCCCATCTTTTGGCTTTGCAACTAACATGTGGTCAAAGATACGCCCTCACCAAACTCGTGGAAGAGTGCGCCGTACACCAGTTCGCAGCCCTTTGCCCCATCGAGCGCACAGGTGTCGTCATCACCATGGTCGCGCCTGGTCTCTGCACCACCGGCCTAGGCCGCGATGCCCGGACCTTCACCAAGATCATGCACGAGGCGGTCCGGGCCATGATGGCGCGAACCGCAGAGATAGGCAGCCGCACCATCCTACACGGGCTGCTGGTGGGCGAGGATGGCCACGGCAAGCTGCTGTCCGGCTGCAAGGTCAAGGAGTTCTGGGTGCCCACGTGGCTCACCAACGAGGAGGCCCAGAAGCTGCAGAAGGGTATCTGGGACGAGCTCGTTTGCAGGCTGGAGTCTGTGCAGCCCGGCTGCATCTCACAGCTCAAGTAGAACTTTTGTGCGTCAATTTCTTCGAGATCGGCGTGTAATTGAGAGCCGTAGCTTCTGAAACTCCTTTCCACGCGAGGAAACAGCCAGTTTAGTTAGTTATAGGTTTCAGATTGCTAATACCAACTTGTTAGCCTATTCCTTGGTCCATTGGGATCCCACGGACCAGCCAATATAACATAGTAACGCACCGAGCCACGTGGATAAAGCCCCCACGGGTTCCAGCTGACCGTAGTTCGAAGTTAGCTCAGCGTGGTTTGAAACTGGAACCGGAAAAATAGTCAACATGGTCCAACTCCACCCAGCTGCCTAAAAGTCATTTCTTATTTTTACCGCCCCTTCGGGGGTCGCTCAAGCTCTAGTGTTTATTCAAGCGCCCTCGAGCGTAGGGGGCTGGGGTCCCCTCGATGTCCCCGAAGGGGATTGAGAAGCGAGTGGAACGAGCGGGGGTACCCCCCGGAGCGACGGGCAAGATAATTTATATACTATACTTGGTACTGGTTTATAGTGGCCATTGTATTACTAACTGTTGAATATATTTGGCGGAAAAACCTCATCGTGGTTCAAGGGTGGTGGCAGAATATTATCGTATTTTTCGAACCACGCCGAGCTGTAAGCCCAAGCCCCTGTAATCTTACTGCATGCTGTACAAGGCTCTCAATATCTCGCAAGGTCGACGTCACGTTGCCGCCTCTCGGGGACATAAGACATTCAAGAATAAGCGGAATGAGGTGTCGCCGAGGAGTGTAGGATATCCACCAACAGGATATCGTCCCAAAATTGCGTGCTAAGCCCGTAAAATCCCTCGTGCAGTTGGCTTAGAAGATAGCGCACAGCGGCGTTTCCTCCAGTGTCATCGATGGAGTTCCTGCTCCTATCACAGCATACAACGTGCCCTCCCAAATGAAGGCAGCAGCAGGATGGATCGCACCTAAAGACTCTCGCAGCCGAGCCGTCCTTCATATGAATTGACACGGACAGAGGGCTGCCAGCAGGGCCGAGCGTGCCACGTTAGGCTGCGGCAGGCTTCAATCGCCTTGAACAACCACCGAAAGAAGACATTATCCAGGCCAGTCCCCACGCACAGATCCTTCAAGGAAACTGCAAGTCGCCATCTCATATCGTGTTTGGCACCAAAGACGATCTGATTCCGTGGAAATAGGCTCAGCGGACGATTGCGGCGATGAAAGATACGGGCATCGAGTCGGGGCTTACCATCGCGCCCAGGCAGCCTCACCTGTTCGACTTATGCCGTGATCTCGATGGCAGTCTGGGGTTAAGTCATGGAAGGCTATAAATTTTTGCTCCAAAGACTGGGTAGGGGAAATTGTTTCAGACAGTGGGCTGCCAGACGGATGGGCGGCCGCTCTGTAGAAGTTTGGTGTATACACTACGGGCACCCAGAATGGAATAGAACATCTCATGATACTGAATCATGTTCTTGCTTCTCTCACTTGAACTAATCACGACAGTTTAGCTCTCTAGCTCAACGGCTAGTCTAATGGTATGTGCCGAGCCTTAGAATCGAGACTTCGTCGCTAGGACCCGAGTTACACTACCCTAATACATTTCCTGACCACCGGCCCCGAGGGCAAGCTGATGAAGCCCAACGTCATGGGTATGGACAACGTGGAGCCATCCAAGTCCCGCTTTAAGATGTACTTCACGTCAGCCCACACCAGCTTGAAGTCGGTCCGCGAAATCATGACAATGGGCGGAATCTGCGACTCCTCCGAAGAGAGCCTGCAGGACCTGCGCTCCATGACCCTTGCTGTCTTAGGCCTGCCAGCAGATTTCCCTGAGGAGCAGGAGATTTCCGTCGAGGCCACCACAGGTGGCAACTCGTGGAAGGACTTTAAAGCTTTGTGCGATGGCTTCATCTACTTCTTCGATATTGCCCCCAAGAGCGGCAAGCCGGAGGTCAAGTATTATTTGACCACTCGCAAGTACGGTGCGGACGACCTGACCATTGCCCGCAACTTAATGGCCCGGATGCACGCGCATAGCCGTGGCACGCACTATGATGCGTATCTTGCCATGCTAGGGAGACTTGCCAAGCACAGGGATCTGGAGAATGGCAAGGGAATGCATGCCTACATCAGCTACTAGTGCTCTTAAAAGGGAGAGCCGGACATCAAGTCCTACATCTCTCCCGAGCTATACCACAAGGCCCGATATCCTGCCATTTAATGGAACACGCCAGAATATCAATGAATAGCTATAATGATAAAATGCCACAATTCTAAGCGACCCAGAAGTATGTTACGGTAATGTTTATATCCACTTTCATGATAATTCTTATAATAAAATGTCCCATGAAATCTGTTTGCTCCTTAGTCGTATATCCTCCCATAGGCGGTGGCCTGGAGCTTCGTGCAACGCGAATATCCAAGGAAACTGACTTAGCTGCCGCTCAATAACAGCCCAGTTGTCCAGCTCCAGCCTCTCACAAGTGTCAGCAATTAATGGCGATAGCCAGTGATAGACTTTGAAATTCAACACCGATATCCCACTTATAAAAAGAATCCATAAGAGTAATGGGGGATCAGAGTCCGAAGACTCCAATGCTGTGATGCATAGATCTTGCATGGCGCTTCCCAGACGATCAGAAAGAAGGGGGCAGCTAGATCTATCACGGGTGTACTCGGGTAGCAACGTTGTTATAAATGCCAGCATCGCAAGATATGTCACGTCGCCATAAAGTCCTCCAGGCTTGGTAGAGGCTTGCCTTAGAGGCGAGGCCTCTACGAGGCGATAGAGGTGCGACAGAAGCGTCTCCGTATAGTCTAGAGGGCTAAGCTTCAGTCTTTGCCTCCTCTCTACCTCGTTTAGCAGCCTTGAGAAGCTGAAGAGATCTAGCATGATGAGTGGCATCCAAGGGGCAGCTCTGGGTAACTGCCCGCTGCTGATATCGGGGTCGCATAGAATTGCGTGAAGGGGCAATTCGTCGCCTTGAAATAGGGTGCGTGTGCCATTTTGCATTGCTAATTTAATATCAAGCCTGATAATAGTTAGATGAAAATTATGAACTGTTATCCAGAAGCGAAGAATGTTAAAACAAGGTAAAATAGAGACAAGTCGCGAAAGCAAGCACTTTCATGTACCTCAACGGCTTCAGTGCCAGCCCACGATTCTCTTGCATCAGCCTGGCAATTCCACCCCGCAGCTGAATCATGCGATAGAGCCCGTGGAGATGTTTCAGTCCCGTTGCAGGCTGGTGATGTACTTGCTGGTAGATGGCGGGGCTGACCACAGCAGCTATAGCGCTGTCGGAAACGGAGAAGGGACCCGACAGTTTAATATTGACCAAAGCATACGCCTGGGAGATGTGGTGAAGAGTTTTGGACGATACTGCTGGTTTCCGCCGGAAGAAGTCAACGTAAGACGCGGATGTAGCCAAAGTGCTATGAAAATCTGCATTCCTGGTGGTCAACGGTGCTGCATGTACCGGCTGGCGATGCTGTCACTTACATGCTTTATCTGCTAGAATGTAGTTGACCCAGATTGACTTTATAATGTCGAACTTGGTACAGAACTACGGCGGAAACAGCGTATCACTAATGTCAAAGAACCCTATGATTCCAATGTCAGACGCAAGGGGACGTGGATGACGCGCCGAATAATGAAGGCAACATACACTGGTACATGAGCGCCGCGGACTCGGAGTCGAGCTCTTGAGGGAACGAAGTGAGACGCAGGTCGCCCCAGAGCACCTGTCACGGCATCACGTATCCAGATGCTGGAGTATTCATGATGCGCTTGAGCTCTGCAACAGTCTTTTGCTTCTTAGTGGATCGGCGCTGCTTGCCTGTATTCTTGCCTCGCATGACGTGGGAGCGGATGATGCGCCTGTCAGAGCTGCCTATCCCGCTGGAGCTCTGGTCAATGAACTGCAGCGCCATGGCGACGGTGATGGTTTCACGCTATTCTCGCAGCAAGCCGAGCCATCCAGCAGGTTCCTTCTTCCGGGTTTCAAGGCTTTCGAGGCTTCGATAGCGCAGATGATGCACGGAGCGCTGTTGGTTGACGATGATGACACTGGCGATTTGCTCGCATCAGCTAACATCCCAGCCTGTTAGAGACCTACCGTATTCGGTAAGGTCATGTAGCCTTTCTTAGTCACGTCTAGTTAGTCAGCGGTGCATTACACTTGTGTACTTCGTAGAATTAAAAAGGGGGTAAAAGTTGTAAGTGTTATGGCCTACGAGAGTAGTTGATAATTTTCCAGAACCTTATCCACGGCTGACGCATAATAAGCAGTTTGTTACTGTATAATATAACGTTGTTTGCAATGTCTGGATATTGTTGTGAATACCGGCTCAAGGGAACTGAATGGGGGCAGAGGAAGTCTATTACCGGCTACACGGACGTAGCCTACTAAGTGGAAGTGACGCTAGGTTATATTGACTATCTCACTTGGCTCTCGTACAGGGCTTGCGTGCGTGCTTTCTTGACTCCGTATACGACTCAGGGGTAAGGAGTCGGTGATGGCGCAACTAGCGCCAAGGCGTTAGCTAGTGTCAGATATACGGCTAATCCCGAAGAGGAAATAGAGTACGATTGGTGAAAAGGTCTTATTTGAATGAATTGAGCTGGTTGGGCTCTTCTTGATTATTCTTCTTGGTTATTCTTGATTGATTATTTTGTTGTGTGCTCCACGGGGGTTTTACCCCGATCCAGTCACATGATTCTGGTCCACCAACGGCCATATTATTTGACACACCCCCTCAGATTCGAACCTTTCCTTCCAATTTCAGCAACCTTGAAGCTATTCCGGGTCGAATCTGACATTCAGTCATATCCGTTCAGTGTTTCCATCAATCCTTTTGACTCCAGAGATGTCCCGAAGTCCTAGCTGATCCACAAACGGCTCGAATTTCTGCCGTGGCAGTGCTTTAGTGAGTCCATCTGCCAGCATCTTGTCTGTTGGTGTGTAGCTGACTTGGATTCTTCCTTCCAGAGCTTCCTGCCTGAGCCAATGATTATGGATATCCACGTGTCGAAGCCTTGTCTGAAGTCGGTTTATATCTTTATGCACAAGCCGGATTGTTTGGAGATTGTCACAGAAGATTTGAATCCGTTGGTCCTTCTTTCTCTTATCCAGTTGAACTCCAAGCTCTTTAAGCAGTCTGCTGATGAATATTCCTTCTCCAGCTGCGTGGGACAACGCTAGAAGCTCTGCCTCAGTGGTAGAAGTAGTACACCGTTGCCTGCTTGTTGGCCCTCCATCCTACTACTCCTCCAAACAACTGCATTATATATCCTTGCGAACTCTTTCGATCCTCCTTGTTATCCGCAAACGAAGCATCGCTGTACAGGATGAAGTCATCTCCACCCCCCAGTTGCAGCGCTAGGTCTTTCGTTCGTTTAAGGTATAAAAGGACGCGGTCAGCCGCAGCATGGTGTTCGTCGCTTGGATTGGTAAGAAAGCGGGATAATTTGGACACTGCAAAGGCTATGTCTGGTCGTGTGGTGACTGCTGTGTACATTAAGGAACCGTTCTTCTTCTGATATCTCTGAATACTTTGGCGTGTGGCTTGTCCGGTGTAGATAATAAGCTCATCTCTGGTTATTGGGACAGTATCTGAGGTTCTTGAATCCGCTAGGTTAGCAATCTTCTCTATATAAGAGGATTGACTTAGCCATATAATTCTTTTCTCCCGATCCCGGATTATCTCTATACCAAGAAACCACTGCAGTTTATCTCCGCCAGTCATCTTGTACTGGTTTTGGAGCTGATTAACAATTTGGTCCAGTATCTCTTGATTCTTGCAGCCCTTTTGGTATGCAAAGATTATGTCGTCAACATAGAAGAATACTAGAATACCATTTCTAATCATGCAACATGGTTCATGAGGAATAGGATTAAATCCTAGGTCTTGAAGGGATTTCTTGAAGTGCTTTTGCCATAGCAATGGTGATTGCCTCAGTCCAAACAGGGCCCTTTTAAGCTTCAGGATTATACCTGGCTTTTGGTATCCTGGTGGCATCTGCATAAAGACATCCTCATCGATATCTGCATAGACAAAGGCATTGGTAGTGTTATATTGCACTAATTCCAAGTCGAATCTTGCAGCTGTAGCCATTAGGATTCGGAATGATTGTATAGCCAGTGTTAAAGCATAAAGGTCTTCTATTTTCCTTTCTTGTTGGTCGCCGCGTACAACCAGACGGGCCTTGCATTTTGCAGGCTTCCTTTCTAGTCAAACTTGTACGCGTACACCCATTTGCAATCCAGGATTTGCCTGCCTTTGCATTTAGGATTATGCCGGCTTATTTCTTGCCATGTACACATATCCTCATGTCCCTTAAGATGATCTTTTTCAGCCTGCTTGAACTGTTCGCCAAGTGGATGATTAATAAGATCTCTGTGGTGGACTGGCTTAGGTGGCAAATCTCTGTGGTGCAAATCCTTTTCAGGTTGTCGAAGTAATCGTTCTGATTGTGCCTTGGTTGTTCTCTCTCCGGGTCGTTTCGGTTGAATTAATGGTGCAGCCAAAAACGATGCTTTCCATGCAGCTAAGTGCGATGATTCTTGATTAGATCTAGCTGGGGAACCAATAGCTAATAGCGAAGCTGGTTGTAGATATTCTGGCGTCTCCGGTGGTGTTGGATAGACTAGGTCTTCAGCATCTTTCTGACCTATTTCTTCCGCCAAATCCATAGCTGATTGTGCCATATCCACCAGAAAGTCTAAAGAATCAAAATATCCAACTACTTGCTCTTCTTGTTGGCTTGGTGGCGACATAGACTCTTCGGGAACCTCAATATTCTTGATCATCTGGTTGAAATCTTGGATGGATATCTGCCGGAATTGATCCTGCATGATTGCTAGTTCGGACAGATCCCCAGAGAACTGCTCGTCTTCATTGAAATATCACATCTCTTGTACGGATGACTCGGGTTTAGGCGTGGAATCCAGATTCGGGTAGATATTAGTGGAATCATATCCAACTAGATATCCAATATGCGCTCTTGGATTGAATCTCTGTTTCCGGTTTGACTTCTTCAGTGCTTCTGTGGTCATGGCGAAGGCTTTGCATCCATATACTTTTAGATGCGCTTGCTGAGGCTTTCTGTCATGGATTACCATGCCGTCTTGGTGCGCAACGTAGGTATGGAATCGATCGAAAGGCGTTTTCCAATTGGTTTGGTACTGAGGTGTTCGATTGGAAAGATAGACTGATGCACGTACAATCTCCGAGTCATAGAAATGCAGGTAATCTAGCATATTCCCGCATTGCTCGAGCCTTATCCTTTATTACACCCCCCTGAGCGCTCTGCACCACCGTTTTGAGCACTTGTATAAGGTGCGGAGGGCTCAATCTTTATAAAATAAGGATCTGACTGCAGAAAGGCTGCAATGCGAGGCTTTTGGCCCACAGTTTCATTGTCACATTCAATAACCTGAACCTTTATATCCATTCGCCCAAGTGTTCCAAGTAAATGCTCAAAGCGTGGATAATTGAGTCAGCCGTTCGGTCCTCTAGGTAGTAATCCCAGATAAAACCTGACCACCGATCAGTTGCTAGCATCAAGCTTTTCCAACCACCATAGCCAGCTTCGAAGTCATGGAAATCAATGGCTAGGCGTTGACCCGGTCCCTCTATAAAATCCGATGGAATTCTGCTAACCTGACGCTTTAGCTTTGCAATCCCGCAGGCGTCGCATTCCACTGTTGTCGGTCCACCTCTAATCCTTGCTCCTTTAGTTGAATTGACTAGATGCTCCAAGGTAAGAGGTCCAGGATGTCCAAGTCGATGGTGCCATTGGTATGCATCTGCCCGTGCAGATCTTGGTGTAGAATGGAACGATGATTGAAAGCGGTTTCGGCGATTAAAAAGACTTCCTCTTGTTATATTCATGGGAAGGTATTCAATCACAAACTGGTCGAACTGGTCTTCAATCTGCGCAATCGGTCGATTATCTTGATGTCGGAGGATGTTTTGCTCTGGTCGATTATCCCACCATATTCCGGCCTTATGCAACTGGCGTAGAGACACTAAATTGCAAGCCATCTTGGGACAGAAAGCAACATCTTGGAGGTGCAGTATTGACTTCTTTCCACCTAATCTAACCTGAATACCCACATTGTCGTATCCATGGATCTCCACCTTTGAATCTCCGGCCCATATAAAGTCACCTGGTTGTGCGGTTTGAAAGTCGTTGAATCGAGTGATTTCATTAAAGATATGGATAGTGGATCCGGAGTCAAGAATAGCTGAATTCTTTAATGGATAGGTATCCGGTAATGTCGCAAATGAAGCTGGAATTCTTCCAATCTGTCGTTCAAGTAGTCAATCTTGATTCCTCAAGCTCTTCCACTCTTCAACCTCTTTGGCAAATTCCTTGTCTGTTTGAAGCAGATGATTAATAAATCTCCTAATTACAGCACGTTCCTTAAATCCTTTAGGGGCCTCTTGAGGGAAAAGATAGAAACAGGCCTTCCATTCATGCATTTGCCCACATGCTTTGCAAGCTACCTTTGTCTTCTTGGCTATATTGCAGCTCTCGAGATTTTAGGCTTTTGCTTGCGCTTCTGGGTATAGCTTTGACCTTTTGGTGCGTGATTCAATTCCGTGCCTTCAGTCTTAGCTTCTTCAGCATCAAAGGTTGGACCAAATGACCCTTTGGCAATATTGCTGCTCTGTTGAATCAATTTGGTATCCAAACCTTTTCGGAAGTCTTGTGCTACCAGTCTAGAATGTCAGGTTGTCTGATTCAATATCCTTACTCTTAGCAATCTCATATGAGGTTGCCCATACCGGGTTTAAAGTCCGTACAGCATTCAGGAAATCCTCAATCCAGTCACTTGTGGTTACAGCCACTGCAATTCTAGCTTTTTCGGCCTTGTGCATTGCTTCTTCCCAATTGTTTAACCAGGTAAGTACATCCCGAGGTCTTGTGACAGGTTTAATGGCCTTTTATACGCTTCGCGGGCAAGTTTCTTGACTGTGGCATCATCAATTCCCACCCGTTGCTTTAGTTTGGCGTACCATTCCTTCATCGAATCCTCTGGATCGCAGCAATATTCATACACTTGTGGAGAAATAGTCTTCTGCATCCACTCCCGCAGTTTGCTTAGTTCAGTTTGTTGAAGAATATAGTCGTCACGAAGGCTTTTGTAAACAGTCCAAGCAAATTGTCGATCAGCAAGGGAGGTAGGATTTGTTGATCGTGTACTTCCAGCTGGTGGTGCCAAAGTGTCATCGGTAGGTGGTGCTGGCTTTAAAATCTCTTGTTCATCGCCAGTAATAATTCCCCATAAATTCTTGCCTCTGGCTAAACCTTCAAACTGCGTGTTCCATTCCTTCCAATTCTCTTGGGTTTTCAAAAGGACGGTATTCTGCGTGGACATTTCGTTCGGAGGAAATAAAGTTTCGACCGGTGGATAGCTGAGCTGTATAAGCCGTGGTTCGCTGTATAGGTAGTTTTTGAGCGAATGAGACTCTTAATTGTCAGATATACGGCTAATCCCGAAGAGGAAATAGAGTACGATTGGTGAAAAGGTCTTATTTGAATGAATTGAGCTGGTTGGGCTCTTCTTGATTATTCTTCTTGGTTATTCTTGATTGATTATTTTGTTGTGTGCTCCACGGGGGTTTTACCCCGATCCAGTCACATGATTCTGGTCCACCAACGGCCATATTATTTGACAGCTAGTAAGCCAATGGTATACTTCTTACACTCCCCTTCGTTCAATACTCCAAAACCGAAGAAGGTGAAGCCAAAGTGGCTTCCTAGACAGGTAAGAAATCAAGAAAAACATAAAAGATTGTAGAGGAGTGTTGAACGCCTTATCTTATCAATCTGAGGACCTAGATGTTGTATCATAGAGCCCTATTCCAACATCCTTCAATTCAACTGCAGCATCTCGACCTTTCGACCTAGGTTGTGTGCCTTGACTGCCTTGGTAAGTCTGTCCGCGAATATCTCTGAGGTGGGAAAATAGGTGGCCTTGATGTCTCCATATTCTATATAATCCCGGATAGCATGATATCGTATGTGGATGTGTCTGCTCCGAAGGTGGTTAACGGGGTTGGAAGCAAGCGCTAGGGCAGGCACTTGGTTATCAACTCCTAAAGTCCTAATTAAGTTGCTAAATGTAGGTTGGCTGGTTCCCTTATCCCCTCGTCCGCTGCCAAGAGTTTGCAAATAGCGTGTTTTTGATGTATGGGATTTAACTGGTCAAACCACACCTCACCCGGCAGAATAACTACATACGCGTCTTCCTGGCCATTGGCGACCATGAGTATCTCATGAGTATCTCATATCTATCCTAATAGAACAACCAATGGCTGATTTCGCAAACGATTCCAGCTTCCGCGACGCCGAGGTCTGCAGCGGTGCGCCCAACAGCATCTAAAACCACTTCCCAGCGGCATCCGACCATGAAGTTCGCGTATATCCCGAGACGGGGCATTTGATCCTGTTCCACCATACAGGCCCTGCGTTGATCACAGTTTCACTTGCCCTTTTGTGCAAGCATGGGTTCCGGGGATCGTGCTGACAATAGCCATATAAAAAATGTCGATCGAGACGTTTGCAGTAGAGAGATAGACGTTGATTGAGTTAACCCCTTCATAATATTTAGTCTGAGCAACCCTCCATCCAGCTGGCTCCTAATTGTTTGTCCGTACTCGGTCTCGGTACGCGAGCCCTCGGTTAGTCTCGTATATAAGACCATTCAGGCCACGAAGTAGCCACCCGTCGATTGTCGAGGGAAATCAGTACAATCACCGCTCACAGCCCAACCCACACCATCATTCGAATGCCATCCGGTTCGTTGCTGCTCGGACTGGCCTACATTGGATCCACGGCAGATATGGTGTAATATATATGCCTCCTTTAGTACCTAGCCCCGTATAGAGTTGCCTACGTAGCCATCCAACTAACAAGGAATAGTGTCAACTACTTCGCGAGAAGTTCCCCTCCCAGGTCTTTGCAAAGAACACATCCACGTACTCATTCTTCAACCATGACTTCTGGTGCAAAGTGGACTCTCCTTCTAACCCCCCCACCCCCATCTTTGCTCTGTTGAGTGATTCTGACACCCCTTAGCCGCCACGGAAGTCCTTGACCCCGACTGTGTCGTCCTGCCCAAAAGATGTCGCAAGTCTCGACGCCCTCGCCACCTCTTCCAACAATGACCGCCACTTCGCTATCAAAGGAGGCCGCCACAGCATCATCCCGGGCGCCGCTAACATCCATGACGGCATCCTCATGGCAATGAGCCGCTTCAACACCTCCGTCATCCACGAGGTCGGATGCTCGCTGGGCTCGGCATGCGCCGCGCTAGACCCGTATAATCTGTCCACCATCATCGACTACCATACGCTGTGCGGGGAGACTTCCTCACACATACCCTACTCACGCACGGGTACAATAGCACCACCAATAAGACGGCCAATATGAAGCCAATCGTGTACAATGCCCGAGTTAACAAGCTTCCGGCCATCGTAAAGGCTGGACCGATCTCCCGCACACCGGGTATACACTCGGGTTCCGGGGATACGCGGACCCGGTGCGTGAGCTCAACAACGGGATTCGTAATGGGATCGGCAAGAATGAATGGACATTCATCCGACGATATAAGCAAGAACAGCGCATCCTCTCCGTCTACGCTAACGCCCGACTATACAAAGATATCTGGCGCCACTATCGCGAGATTCTGCAACAGTACCGCGATGTACCCGGTCTCTACCCCCTCCACTGCAACATACCCATCTCAGGTGAGCAAGGGCGTGCGGAAGGGCAGAAATGTCCTGGGGCTGGAGACAGTGGGCGATTGGGCCCTGGTTGGTGAGATTCCCTGGACCTCCCTTGTTGGGGATCCCGATGCTGGCCATACAATGCTCTACTTCGGTATCACGTTTGAAAACCGCGACGATATCGACCGTATTCTTCCTGCCCACACCGATTTGTTCAGTCAATGCGGAAGCTCGCGGCTGATAGGGGGATGTTGCGCACTTATGCGTATGTGAAGCCGAAAACAGCAGTTCTTGTGTGTACTTGGCTGATGTTTATAGGATGCTCATGTATTCCGGATAGAACCAAGATGCCATTGCGAGGTACGGGGAGGAAAATGTCGCGAGACTCTTCATGAGGTGCAGGGCTCGTATGATCCGACTCACGTCTTCCAGCGGTTGGTTCCCGGAGGACAGAAGTTGTCCAAAGAATAGAGGACAGTCTATTGTGTTGATATTGGAGATTACATTCCCCAGCATATGGGGTCTTTGGGATACTTGCCCTCGATAGTGGTCGTATCGTGCATGCCAGACCTGATGCACATTCTCGGGGTATTTGTATCTGTTGTAATTCAGAAGAAGATTGATTGCTGTTGTCCTCGGCTTCTCTTTTATACTAACTAGTCTTGGTCAGTCAATCAGAGGCTTACACACCTAAGTGGTACCATGCATGCACAGCACACGTCTTGCAGGTGGAGCAACGCCCCCAAACACAAATACAATTTACATGTTGGGCAGTGCGCATGCATGTGCTTGGATGTGGTGTGGCAGACGTCGACCGCTGCGTTGCCATTCTTATTCACATCTTGAACTACGCTGATGTACTTTTCTTTCATTCTTTCTCATTTTGAATAGAAGAATTTATTATGTATAGATATATTATACATTTCTTCTCCCTCGGAATTGGTGTTAATAGGACATTGATGACACCAGACCTGGCACACCAACGCCAAAAGAGCAAATCCCACCCGGGAAATATTTCTAATCGTTTCGTCGCGGCAACATCTGTCATCTTGGTGGTTACACCCATTTTATTGGCTCTTCATCTATATGGCTGCAATCTACCGAGCGTAGAATCTAGGCTGGAAATATCCTGCTGCTCCCGGCGTATCTCCGTTAGGATCCTATATCACTGGCTACTGTGAGCCCTGAATTCTATCTTTGTTTTTTCTCCCATAAACCCTCGCGCTGATAAAAGATTTAAAATTCAATTGCAGTCACCCGTGGTGGTGCCAGTCACCATGTCGAAGCATTAATGATTGAAGATCGGAATATCATAATTGTACGAGAGAAACTGCTCTACTCACTCAGTTGGCACACGGCATTCTTAAACTACTTCTCACGACTCGCGATCTTGGTTCTTCTCTATACCATATTTACCCCACGTATTTCTCGAAAATATACCGTTCTTCTGATCATCTATATGGCCCAATTTGTCATCTCGCAGTCGATCACCGGTGCCTTCGAATGCAGGCCGCTCGCATATTTCTAGGATTGCAACCTGGATGGGACCTGCATCAATCTGTTCCGATTCTTTAAGAGAAGTGGGATTTCAAATGTAGTCGGTGATGTGGGCATTGTGGTGCTCCCCGCCCACATGGTGTGGAATCTACATGTATCACTGGCCAAGAGAGCAGGTATCGTGTTTGTCTTTCTCTCTGGGGTCATACGAGTACTTTTTAGGAGAAAGAAGCTTGTCGATACTTTATTTCTTTGCCCTGATGTTGGTTGCTCCCTGCTTTCGAACCGCTGTATTCTTCACGTCACATAACATTCCTTAGGGGCGGACGTTGAGTTGATGAGCTGGACAATTGTTGAAAGCGTCATGTATATGGCCGCTGCGTGCGCTATCCGCCTGCGCCCACTATTGAGAAAACTGCCTGGGTGGTTCAGGCGATTCAAGACGACACAGGGAAGCAGTGGGTCAAGTGAGAGAACTCGGCCCACACAGGAGGGAAAGGGTATGCAGATGAAGTACTACCGAAGGCAAGGACATATTGTTATGTGTGGGGTCGGTAACGAGCTGAATGGTGCACTACGGTGCGAAAGGGAATGTCTATATGGGAGGGAAGATAGGACCACGTATATTGCAGAACTAATCGCTGGCTTCAAGAGTTCAGGCCCGCGGGTGCGAATATAAACACTTCGCGCCTGACTAAGCATCTTAGCTAAAGTTAAGGATCTAGTTAGCTATCGCGCTTCTGAGCGCTCCTTAACACATCCCGCTCACGTCGTTTGGCAAAGATCTAAACCGGGTACGTCTCAACGAGCCCGCACTGACCGGAAGGAAGTAGATAGATGGATAGATGGCTTCCTGGGGTTATATATACTATGTATATCGTATTATGTTGTAAATATAAATCCATGGTGGGGTGGAATGAATTACGGAAGCGGTTGCATACCTAGGATTCGACCCCATGCATAGATGATGGACGAACAGTGTAACACACCGAGGAATTGTACAGTTTCTTCGGAATGATTCGGAAGTAATTTTCAGTTTTGTTTTTATTCCATTTGGTTCTCCAACAGGGGTCTTCCCCGCACGCCATAAGATATGAAAACAAAGAAACGCCGTCCATTTCGCCCCATCTCTGTCTCATTAACTACCGAATTACTTGATTATTCGTCCTCTTACGGTAATATCTACATAGAATCATCAATCCAATGGCCTCTGCTACCTTTCCACAGCCTGGAGTTATCCACGGTAAACGCATCTTAGCCACTGTCATCGAGAACCGAGCCAAAGACTGCACTAACAGCAACCCCTGGATATCGCTCCCCATCAACGACCAGGATCTTTCCGCGGGATTCCGAGACTTCACCTTCCAGCACCTGAACAACGCAGCAAACCACGCAGCTCAGTGGCTCCGTCAGGCTCTTCCAACGACCTCCAAGTCCTTTCAATCTTTTGCATATGCTGGCCCCAAGGATCTGCGGTATGCGATTCTTGCAGTAGCAGCGGCAAAGCTGCAGAAAGTGGTATATTATCCAAAAATATTGCTAGAAGATACTAGGGGACTAGGGAGCACCAGATAAGCTGACCAAGATCCAGATGATTCTTCCCTCGCCGTTGATCACGCCGGAGGCTCAGCTGCGCATTCTGGAAAAGAAAGATTGTAAATTATATCTCAGGCCGTTGGAAATGGCCGGTCCTGTAGATTCTATTCTACGAAAGGCATCTTACATTAGAAGTATTACCGTCCCAGGTCTTGAGGAGTTTCTCAGGGAGGATGCAGCAGCGCCAGCTGTTTATGGTAAGACATGGGATGAGGGAAAAGACGATCCGTGGCTGGTGTTCCACACCTCAGGCACAACAGGTATATTTTTTATTCTCAGTTTTAAGACTATGCACTGACCTTCTACCAGGAAATCCCAAGCCAATTACCTATACACATCAAATGATGGCTGGTGCCGATACCGCCGCCTCTCTGCTGGATATTGAAGAAACTCATATTCATCAATATGCCCGGCGAAGATGGTACACACCGTTGCCCTCGCTACATGTAAGTTCTACATCCCCGCTTTTTATTTATTCTGGATGTATACTTACTAGGATAGTTTGTGGGTATGTTAATGAGTCTTGCCATGACTGGTTTTGTAAATATGACATCTGTTATTGGGCCTCCTTCCCCCCCCACTCCCAAACTTCTTATAGATATTTTTCGCTACGGCCAGATAGACGGTGCACTTCTTATGCCCGCTTTAATTGACCAACTCTGTATCCTCCCCGATGGTCTCCAAGCGCTACGCGAGCTAAAATACATACACTATGCTGGTGCTCCTCTTTCCTCTAAATCAGGGAATCTACTCTCACCTTATACTCAAGTTGTCCCCTGTGTCGGCAGCACCGAAGCAGGTGGGTACTTTACAAGTATCCATCAAAACAAGGAAGCATGGGACTACCTCTCCTTCCAAAAACATGCCGGGGCGGAATTCAAACACCGCATCGACGGCCTGCACGAGCTTGTATTTGTGCGTCATCCTGAATGCGCAATGCAGCAAATCTTCCAAGTCTATCCAGATCGCGAATCCTTCGAGACAAATGATTTATGGATCGAGCATCCAGTACACAAAGGGCTATGGAAGATTATCGGCCGCAGCGACGATTACGTATATCTAGCACATGGAGAGGGACTGCATGCTTCGCTTCTCGAACCAGAGATCATTGCTCACCCGAGCGTGAAGTCAGCGATCATTGGAGGGCATGGGCATTTAGCACCAGTTCTTCTGGTAGAGTTGGTTCCCGGGGTGGAGTTAGATGATATGACTGTGAGAAAAAGTCTAGAGCCCTATATTCAGAAGGTCAATGCACATTGTCATGAACGTGTGAAGCTTTCTTCGGAGCGGTTGATTTTCGCCACGAAGGACAAGCCTTTTATCTTGACGGTTAAAGGGAGTGTGGCGAGGTTGCAAACTCTGGCTCTCTATGAGGGAGAAGTTGCGTCCTTGTTTGCCTAGACCGTTTCAAGTGGTGGTTGGCTGGGCAAAGCACATATAGGATATCTTGAAGTCGCTCGCGAGCGACACTCTCCATAACTAGTAGTATTTTCTCGGTAGTATATTGAACACTACGTATGGACTGAGGTAAGAAAGTCAGTCTGAGTACAAAAAAATTTAGAATGTGCTGATCTGCACTTCGTAGTAATAATTCTAGCAGATGAAGAATTGTGCTTTCAGCAGGGAAATGATATAAGATCCTTAGCTATCGCAACAAAAGCATGGACAAGCTGTATTTAATATAGTCTTCAAGTAGGTATTTTATCCTGCTTTTGTTCCACGTTTTAAAACTGGGAAATAGAGAGGAGTCATCAGCCTGGGTCCAATCCTCCATGGGATCAGGGTATTTATCTTTCTATAGATCAGGATGGGATGTTACAGAGGAGTAGACTTCTTTACTTAAGTAAACTAGATAGACACTCTATATGATCTTAGAACAATTCCTCAAGTACCTTATGTACCGATAAGAAAACCTTGTTCCAGACAATCAACTCAGCACTACCCAATGAAAAATAAATTATTCTACAAGAGCTATTATATAAATTAAATATGACTCATATATAATCCTTTTAGTTACTCTACGAATTACCTACCTACCTACCTGGTTTATCCCATACAACGCGAGATATACAACCTACAGCGTTCAAGCAGCACACTTACAAATCATATCAAGTGCCAATATCTTGGCATGGGCAACACAAACAATTCAATATCTGCCGATGGAGCAATTTCACTCCGGTTGTCTTTCTCCACGTGAAAATTGAAAATATCTCAAACGTCATGCAATGCAGTCTCTGATGTCTTGGCAGACGGCATGCCGTATGCCGTATCGTATTCCGATGTACTGTAGGTAGGGCAGTCCCACCGGCCGTGGTTTGCCGCCCACTAGTCCATTTCTGGATATCATAGCCTACACCTGCGACATTTCTGATTACGGAGAGAGTACTCAGTTGGGTCCAATGGAGGCTACCATTACCAGATAAAGTATATTGATTTGAGAGTTTGATAAATGCGTTAAATGTGGGTAGTGGGTACTCTAACTATTTTTCTTTAAACAGTAGCTATAATTTTCACCGGTCCTGGGGTTCTCGCAACTTCTTAACATTGCATATTAATTGGAGCCTGCCAGTACCTCCCTGAGACACAAGATACATCCAGACAAATACAACTGAAAAATAAAGAAAGAAACGAAGAAGAATCTGCAGTACACAGGCTGTGAATCAATATGGCCAAACCTCGCATCTGTGTCATCGGATCTCTCAATGTCGATTTCGTCACATACGCCCAACGCTGTCCCGGACCGGGAGAAACGCTGACAGGTTCGTCCCTATCCATCGACGCCGGAGGAAAAGGCGCAAACCAAGCGATCGCGTGCGCCCGAGCAGGTTACATCACCGGAACCCAACAAGATGTGAGCGTGAGCATGATTGGCGCAGTCGGCGCAGATGATCCATATTATTCCTCTCTGCTGCAGCCTACATTGGAAAAATCCGGGGTCGACACGACGGGAATAGAGCAGAGGACGGACTGCCAGACCGGCTCAGCGACTATCATTGTGGAAGAAGGGGAGAATGGAGAGAATCGCATTGTCGTGGTGCCGGGGGCAAATCATTCGGGAATGAACGATGTCAGCAAGATCCTCACAACAGTCCAGACCCATTGTCCCGCTCCTCAGGTCGTCGTTCTCCAAGGGGAGATTCCGAGGTCCACTGTTATCAGTCTAATGCAGCATTTCAACGATCGCAAGGTCCCCACCCATGTCGTCTTGAATATTGCTCCCGTATATCCGGAAGGCATCCCCACCGCCGCACTGGCCAACACCGCGGTCCTAATCATGAACGAGACCGAGGCCGTGCAGATGGCAGGGTCGATCCCTGAAATCCCCGTGACATATCAGAGCGAGTCCGACCTGCAACCGGAGCAGTTGGCCCCGCTCTTCCATAAAATAGTCAACATTCCCATTGTCCTCATCACGCTCGGCGCCAAGGGCGTGTTTTTCTCGACGGCAACGGGTCACCAGGGCTTCGTTCGGGGTGTGAAAGTTGAGAAGGTTGTCGACACCACAGCCGCCGGGGACACCTTCGTGGGCTACCTTTCAACTGCCTTTGCGAAACATGCTGCCACCGGTGGTGGCCCCGAGGACTTTGATGCTCGGATCGAATCCGTTGTACAGGAAGCGAACCGGGCCGCCGCGGCGTGCGTACAGAGGAGGGGCGCAATCGAAAGTATTCCATTTGCACATGAAATAAACGATCGCCAATGACATTGATAAGCGGAGCTTGCAGAACCAATAGTGACGAATATATTGCATTGACTGCATTAGCCAATTGTCTCTTCATCGTACTGTGAAATGTCCCATCCGGATCGAAGCACATCAATCTCGTGATCCAGGTTGATTCCAGTCTCCATGGCTATCTTTCCCAGCAAGTTGAGCAAAATAGATTGCTGTGACGCGTGGGTCATATCTCGCGCTACTGTGAGCAGACCGGCGATCAGAATCGTATCCCACTGCTCTCCAAATTCATTGCTCGTAGCGATTCCTATAATGGCCTGGGCATGCCAGATCCGCGATGTAAAATATCGGGGACCAGCTATTGTCTTCAGTAGCCTGGGTCTGTGTGTAAGCAGCAGAAAGGAAGTAATATGGTATATAGCGTTAGCTAAGAGAGCAAGAGGGGTGGTGTAGATAAGAATGGGAAAAGAGGAGTAGCTCCCGGGGTTGATTTGATCGGCATCTGCGCCTCGGATGTCCACAATCGCCTGCATCTCCACTTGCCGGTCGTGGTACCACTCTTGGCAATCAGTCCAGAGGGATGCCCATAGCGAAGTAAAATCAGTCTTGGAGGAGGAGCGAGCGGCTAGTTGTCCTCCACCTTCTGGAAGCGGAGATAATGTGCCGGGTTGGGCAAAAAGCACGCACAGGCAATGAGCCAGAAGGAGCAGCGCACGTAGGTATACTAATTTGGCGGATGACTGTTGCTGCGGCAGCGGGTATGAGCCGATCCTGTAGCCACCGGGCAATAACCAAGAGTGGCTGAGCATCAACGGTGCCTGTGCACTTATTACTGATGCAGCGAGATCTTTGGGACCTTTGTCAGCCCAGCTGGTAAGTACAAGCGGGGATAGATGCAATGCGTACCAATTCGAAAGTTGAGCAACCACCATGGCTCACTTAGCCCACTCTGCAGAGAGTTTACCGGCCTCACACTGTCAAACGTACGAATCTGGGATAGCAAGAAGTCCCTCCATTGTCGTGGATGAAATGAGAAGAAGTCCTGCAACATTATGAGGGTTCGTCCTACAGGATCGTCCGCTACGGCGAGGCCCTGTTCGGCCTCGTGGCGAAATGCGGCACTCCTCTCATTGCCACTACGATCCCGCAGGAGGCATGAATGAGTTGAGGAAAGTGCCAGGATCGCGGCCAATAATGAGCGCTTGCTCTTTGCAAGAAGCAACACTTGAATCGCAAACGTACACTCCGGGTCACCGGCATCGATCCAGGGAGCCAGGTAGTAGCGGAAGTAACGTAAGAGGCCAATCTCCCCGTTAACACAAGCCGGGGTAATATTTGGAAAAGTAGCATCATCGAGCAGACAAGGCTTAGAGTTGTATCCACAGACAGCACGAGTCAGGTTTCGGTCCTTGGCAATGACTCCCCGACTCTCTCTGAGTGGGGAGTCATTACTAGGACCCGGAGTAGTGGATGCACGGCTGATATCGCCGTCAACGGCTGGGAAGTAAGTAACCGGGCCAGATGGTTGAGCTTCGGCAGAGCCTGCATTCTCCGGGCCTGTCGGCAGTTCAACGGTAGGGCCCGGTGTAACACTCGTGGTCAGGGCCGTTGCGCTCTCTGCATCCTGGACAGCTTGAGTACTGTTCCAGTTCCGTGAGTCTGCGGACAAATGCGGGGTATCATCGATAGACTATCATGACATAAGTATCTCCCATCAGCAAGCCAAGCGGAGTCGATTCACCCTACCTGGATTGCGCCTTGGACATTATTTACAGCCCGAGTAGAGGTCCGCTCCGACGGCCGTGCCATTGGGTTCAATACTGGCACAAAGGTAAGATCGGTCCCATACCTGCACGAGAACCCCTTTGCCTCGCAGTTCTCGCAGCGAGGCTTTCGCTCATCACCTGTAGCATCCTAGGGTCAGCCACTCGATCGTAACCCGTGGTGTGGGGAAAGCCGTACATTTCCTTCTCCGTCGGCGGCAAGTCCAGCATCCCGTTCGAACACGCTGCTGTTTGCCCGTAGCTTGGGGTCTCCTTGAAGACATGACTGCATGGGGATGCACACCGTCACAGGTACGAGATAGCCAAAAAGAGGTTGTCGAGCCTCCGTACCCCGAAATGAATTCCCCGAGTGGGTCCGGAGCCCGCCGACACGAGGAAGTCCCTGAAATTTTAAAAGTTTCCAGGGTGGAACCTATTAGCTAAGACAATAGCCGTTTGCTAAAAGCTGGCCAACCAAGCAAAGAAAATATCGTCCCATTGCCCCAATCTGGTAAATGGAGGCTCCAAGGCCCGTTTTGGGTAAAGTCTGCCCACATTCTGCAACCGATGGGTTGTTGGAAGTAGCTAAGTAGGGGTAAAAGTTTAAGCACCAGACCCTTTGCGTCTCCATAGTGGAAGAAAAAATGAGATCAGGTACGACCAATATGAACCACACTCTCAAAAGTCTCGATGAATGGAGCATCAGTGAGGGGATATATTTCCCCAGATCCCCCAGGCTCTTTCCCCGGAATGTCCCCTGTCTTTTTTTTTTTTTTTTCTACATGAAAACAAGAGACAAAACTTTTCATCATGGCAGTAGAAACGTCCTCCGATGGCGAAGCGAATTCCTTCCAACATGTTCAGAGGGTGAAAAAGTCCATGTGGGAGTCTATATTCGCTAACCCCAAAGTCCTCATGATCGCATTTTTCGCCTCGTAAGTCCCAATCCTCTGGATGTACGGTCTCGCCTGACTAATGCTTTTCAGATTTGGCGGTTTTGAATATGGCTACCAACAGGGTGTGTTGGGCCAGTCTTTGGTCATGACGCGGTTCAAAGAGAACTTCCCCTCCGTGGTGGATTCCTCTGCAGCCACGGGCTGGCTCACTTCCATTCTGCAGTTAGGTGGAATCGTGGGGTCTTTGGCCGCTGGAATCTTGGGAGAAATCTATTCGCGCAAGTACACCATGTTCTTTGCCTGCTGTTGGGTCATCCTAGGGAGCTATCTTTATGTCGGCGCTTCCGCGGGCCAACCCTCGCTTTTGTACGCAGGACGATTCTTCACCGGTCTAGGAGTTGGTCTGTTCAGCGGTGTTGGACCCTTGTATAATGCCGAGCTGGCTGCTCCCGAGATGCGTGGCCTTTTGGTTTCGTTTTATCAGTTTGCGACCATCCTGGGGATCATGATCTCCTTCTGGGTGGGTTACGGAAGTAACTATATTGGAGGCCCGGGCGCGTCGCAATCTGATCTTGCATGGCGCCTGCCGTCCATCGTTCAGGGCATTCCGGCCGTCGCGCTGGCTTGCGGCATCTGGTTTATGCCCTTCTCCCCAAGATGGCTGGTCAAGCAGGGCCGAGATGAGAAGGCTCTCGCTACGCTTGCGTGGATGCGGAAGTTACCCCAGGACCACGACCTGGTCCAGGTGGAGTTCCTAGAGATCAAAGCAGAAGCTCTGTTCGAGGCAAGAGCATTTGCCAAGGCAACCCCCTGGCTGGCCGAGAGAGAGAACAAGAGTGTCTTCATGAGCCAAATTGCGCAATACGCCAACTGCCTCCGGACCATGGACAACATCAAACGAGTGGCCACGGCGTGGCTGATTATGTTCTTCCAGCAGTGGAGTGGTGTTGACGCCAGTAAGTTGTCGCACCTAGGTCTTGAAGGAAGGGGAAACCTAACCATATGAACAGTTATCTACTATGCCTCCAATGTATTCGTCAGTCTCGGACTGACGGGAGGCACTGTTGCTCTCTTAGCCACTGGCGTGACTGGTGTGGTCTTCATTATCAGCACGGTTCCAGGCATGGTACGTGACTAACATTCTGGGTCATCAAAACAGAACACGCCGCTAATTCAAACTAGTTGGTCATCGATAAGGTCGGCCGAAAGCCCATGCTGATCGTCGGATCGGTGGTAATGTTCGTTAGTATGGTGATTGTGGGTGTAATCGTGGCGAAATTCCGCCATGATTGGCCTTCTCATGTCGCCGCCGGTTGGACTGCCGTAGGTGCGTATCTCAACATTAATCAATCGTCATTCAAATGATTCTGTATTGACCAAGGCTACAGCACTAATCTGGGTCTATATTGCTGGTTTTGGCGCCACATGGGGACCCTGCTCGTGGACGCTGGTGTCAGAGATTTTCCCTCTTTCCATCCGCGCCAAGGGTGCTTCGATTGGAGCTTCCAGCAACTGGATCAACAACTTTGCTATCGCGTTCTTTGTGCCTCCAATGCTGAATGCATGGGCATGGGGTACCTACATATTTTTCGCCGTTTTCCTGCTCGTCGGCATTTGCTGGGTATACTTTTTCCTCCCTGAAACTAAGAACGTGACGCTGGAGGAGATGGATAAGGTGTTCAAGAGCAACGCTGGGGAGCAAGATGCCGAGCTCCTGCGGGAGGCGCAGAGAGAGGTCGGATTAACTGCATGTCTCGAAAGGCTCTCCAAAGTACCGGGGACTGTTGAGAAAGATAGCCAAGCGGTCTATGTTGAGAAAGTATAAGGCAGGGAAATGGAATTATGAAATCATCGAGCCCCAAGTTGGGTATGAATTCAGGAGATTAATGAATATTTTGCCTGCTGATGACCTAGGCTGCTACTATAATGAAAAAGAAAGAGGGAACGCTCATACGAGACAGCAAACAGATCCATCGCTTGTTCTAATAATGCTGTGGCAGCCATATACATATTCTAGTAGATATCGCATCCAAGTGCTGTTCGCCTCGTTGACGAACAAGTCGTTTAGGTCGGGCACTGATCATCGTGTCCTCGGAAATAAAGTCAAGAATAGGCCCCAAAGTCTGCCAATGTATATAACATACTGCTCAGTAGTTTAGTAGAGACTTTGCTGTGGGAAAAGTACGGTTGTTAGAGCAGGAGTGTCAACTTCAGGTGCAGCCTTGGTCAAATGAGTCCGACTCACCGGCCAACATAAAACTTGAAGATTATTTGGTGATTGCGGCCCTCGTTCACGTATCAGCTGCTGACTGTAACAATGACTACTACCACGATTATGTGGCCGTTAACTTGTTCTAGCATACAGGAACGTGCATTTTAGGAATAGCCTTTTGTATATACAAAGGCAAAAGATAAGACAGTTGGGCTATATGACCGAACTGGCTAGAACAACTCTGAAAAAAATTACTCTTGGAGCTTCTCATCTACCGAGGTCGGTCCTTGTGCTTGTCTTATACCGGGTATTATAGCTTTCTTCACCACGACTGTTAAACAGGGTAAATAGAATGGTATGAGCGCGATATAGGTCTCTCAACCCTAATGTTTTTTATATTAAACGCTGAATTGACATGTTCCTCATTCCAGAACCTGGCGGTCTGGTGTTACATCCTCCCACCTCAGTGAATGATGGCGATTGAGATCCCAGGCACCCATCAACCGCGTCTATATCTTCCCCCCCTTTCTTCTCTATCTTATCCAGTCTGAAAGTCTTTTGTGAGATCAGTTCTTTGTGTTCTTCTTTGATACTGACGTTTCTGCTTCTTGTTAGACTATCCTGCCGTTATTTCCCCCTTGGTCTCGCGTTCTTTCGTGGCTGCCATCTTCAAGACGACGATGCACATGCCCCAGATCGTGTCTCTTCTCTCGAGCGATGATGAGACTTTCCGACGTTCAGAGCGTAAAACTCATTACGACCACTCTTTGAACCAGTTCGTCGCTGACGCTCCCTCCCTCCCTGTTCCATCGCACTCTGCTGCCGCCTCCAGTGGGTCGCAGTCTTCCTGCTCTACAGAAGACAACATGGGTGATATTTCTTCTAAAGTTAACTTCAGCCAGCCATCGTCCGAGGCCGCTATCCGTCCTTGTCATGTAGTTAGCCGCCGTCACAAGCGCAGATGCCAAGGGGGGGAACCACGGGCCACAAACCACGTCAACGCTGAGGCAGCGGCGGGAGAGGTGAAAAACAAAGGCTCCCCATTTCAGGTATTACTGCAATTGTTGAACACGGTCCGTTTGGATAACGAGGGGAATTCTAAAGAGCATCATATATACACCTTGGGCTCTTTCCTAAAGGAAAGGGTTCGGGTGTATCATTCGAAGACTTCTCTGTGTGGGTTCGTGTTAATAAACTTGACTATCAGGCCTTCCGAGAAATCTTGGAGTCTGAAATGAAATTCAATCGGTAACAGGGGAGCTTTACAGGCGACTTGATCCTAATCCTTCGGTTCTAAGCTCTGCAGACAGCTCCTCGGAAGAGAGACACAGAGTAACCAGTGAGTACATCTGGATTGCCGCACTGTATGCTGTCAGTTATGGTGGTCTTCTGGCACGAGAAACTGCATCGCAGATCCTCTGGATCCGGCCTAAATCTGATCAGGCTCAGTACTCCTTTATCCTCACTTGTTCTAGACAACAGTACTTCTCAAGCTGGTTACTTTGACTTCCCCTGAATAGACGACGCGAGAACAAAGGAAAGTAAGAAAAGAAAAAGGGGAGGATCAGACTATATTGATACGGAGGACGAGGATAATCTAACAGACAAACGAGAAAAGCGTAATAATAGACAATATGATATTGAAGACGGAATAGAACAAAAGCAGAGAGGAATGATGGTAACGACGATGAGGAAAGCGAGGAGACCGAGGAAAGCGAGGAAAATGAGTAAACTGTAGAAAGCGAAGAGAATATGGGAAGTGGCGCAGATGATAAAGAGTCAATTACTTCACTCCTTGGTGATAATGGCGATGTCGATTAGAGTGGAAACTCAGTCAGTGTGCAAAGGTAAGTTCTCTAGTACTCATTATTTATAACTTTTCCTGCAACCACTCATCTACTATTATTAACCCACAGTCCCAAATTCCATTCTCTGCTTCCCTATTGAATCTCCCTGACAACTACTAAGAAAGATCTACAGACTCGCCAACTTAGAGGCGGAGGTGATTGACCGATACTCTAATCAAAAACTAGGAGCAGTGCCGGTGATTTTTCGGTATTCAGCCAAGCGATCGCTGTGGGGATAATCCATCGGACAAGATCTCTGTCAAAGGACTATTGCGTCCATTGAGGCCCCATCAAGCTTATGCTGTCTGGATGCTACAGCAGAAGACGCGTACGCACACCGGCGGTATCCTAGCTGATGAAATGGGACTGGGAAAAACAATGACCGCCCAGGCTCTGGCTGTGATGTCCCGCCAGCTGCGGCTTGCGCGGCGTGACGTGTTGAAGTCCCGACAAGAGGGGATGGCCGACACTTGCCCGAGAACCAGGGCGGACCGGAGAATGAGAGTAGCATGCAATGCCCGAGCTACCAGCCGAATTCAATTTGCTGCCCGTGCGAGCCCGGCAGCCCCTCGGCGAGGATAATACCAGTCAACGGCCCCCAGCTAAGTATTGTGCCTTCCAAATTAATTCCTACGAGGATAAAGGAGTGGGATCAGAATGTCGACGAAGTGCGCGGGATGACGCCATGGATCGCGCATAACACCGCAACCAAGCACCGAAGGAGCCATCGCCTGCTGAAAGACAATGTCCTCTCCAAAGCAAAAATGCGGTTACGCATCCAGGACGTAGGGGATTATCTTAAAGCATATGCGGAAAATCAAGTGGCTCAGGAGGAAGAGAAGCCGTTGAGAAAGAGGTCGACCGACGTGGTAACTGAGTTTGAAGGAAACCACTATTGAAGCTTCCTGATCGGGATGCTGACAAGTATATGATCCTCACAACAGCTCAGTCACTCGACAAACATATACCTAACAAAAGCACTGAACACGGCCTGGGCTATGGAAAAACGGCAGATTGTGATGGGGCCTTCAGGGAATGTCCGCATAAAAAACCAGCCCGGTCCTTATGTTGCAGCGTTTCACCAATCTGTCATTTGGCCCCGTGTCTTCCGTGACGAGTTCCATGAGGAGAAGAGAAGCACAACAAAGAGCCTTAAGGCGCTCAGATCCTTACGGGGCGAATTCCAGCCTGGCAGTGGGTCAGATCAGGAGGGATACACAACGCCGGCAACCTGGTTCATGTCGGGGACACCCTCTGAGGTATCATCCAGAGACTTGGCAGATGCACTGGGAATATTAGAGCGGCCTGAATGGGAGACAGGTCCACAGTTAGGCCGCTGTACCGAGAAGGCCGTTGAACGTCTGGGCAGGACTTTAAGATAAGGAGTGGCTGGGCAGTAGACTCGGTCATCGAGAGCTTCGTGAGGTGCTATTCTCGATCAATTATATCACGCGCAAGGCTGGCGGCTCTTGGCGAGGTATCAAGATTGTGAACCTTCCCCCAGCCAAACGCGATGTCAAGTCATGTGCCATCCCGAAAAAGTACATTTATGGAAGGACTGAGCACGCTCGGCAAGGAAACTATAGCGAGGATCACTGAGGAGAAAGGCCATGCCAGACTTGATCTCCAGCCCTGTCGCGTTATGAACACATCCCGGCCCTTTATCACCTACGTAAAAATGAGGCAGAGGCCTAGCCGATTACCATAGAAGACATGAGAGTGAAGAAAGTTCTAAATAATGTCGACCAGTCCATCTTCGCACGGAGACTTGCGGAGGTTGTTAAGGACAGCCCTAAGATCACTCAGGTTTATCAGATTATTGATGAGCTTAAGTTTGACCATCTAGGACGTCTGGAAAAGCTAATTATAATGAGTGCATATCCCGTTGTGGCGTTGATAACATACCTGGTCAGTGATATTTTTCCAAAAGAAATAGCCGCCTGAATTAGAGGCAGCCAGGCTTGCTCCCGCTTCCATGACTGTGGTCGAGGACATATGACTACTGACAGCCGTGTCTCTATCTAGGCAATCCGCAAGCACCGTAAAAGCATGTGTCCCGCCTTAATCCTAGCCAACAGTACTATATAATTACCAGGTGCATATAGAGCAAACAATATTTAGTTACCAGAGTCCAGCCAGTCCAGTGGCCCGGCAACCGGTGCTTGTGGTACACCGCTCAGGGACGTCCACCCCGACGCGCTCGGTAGGCCACCACCATGGGGGTTTGGGAACTCCATAGCGGTTCCTGGGGCCTTAGGAGGCCTTTCTTGATTGGTTGACGCGTTAAAATGTCGTGTTTGGATTGGGTGTTGATTTTGATGTTCCAAGCGCTCTTTTGACTTCCACTCTATACCGAAGGACTGAAAGAGATTTAACAGTATCTTTATTATTATTAACTGTTTATTAAAAGGATCTATTTTAATACTGTTCTATAAGATCTTCAATTCCCGTAATATAGCAAAATATACATCGAGAATATCAACTACTAGAAAAGAGCGCCAGACTTTATTGTTTTAGATTAAGAGAGACAGTATATCAGAATTCTGGATAAAGTTCTACAAGATTCTAGGGACAATGTTGGAAATCAGGATGCCTAAGGCACCTTCACGTATCCTGGTCCCGCAGCGATATGATATATCAAATTCAGGGGCTAAAGGACACGTAAGCATGAAGAAGCATTTGTCTATGTTCTCTCGCAGCAGATAGATGAATATACTCACCAAGTGATACTAGATTGCACAATAGCTTCAATATACTATCCAGTCACCGCTATCCTACCACCTCACAACATACCATCTTCCCCAAGAATTTCAACAGACAAAACTAAAGCTATTAATAAGCGAATATTTATAGATAGATAGATAGACCAAAATTATTCATTAATATATTACTTAGCATCTTTAACCACTTATAAATCACTACCAGAGTTACTAGCCAGACTTACTATTGCTTATAGACTATATTACCGCTGTATTAAAGAGCGAGTCTACAGGTCTATCTTCTTTCGCGGTTGACTGCAGTTATAAATCACGGGTATTCTTTGAAAACACCGCCAATTAAAGTTAACGAACAGAAAGAATAGAAGATAGAGAAAGCCCTAGCTATTAAGAAAATATAGTATAAACTGTATTACTATATTAAATAGACTGGCCACGATAAGGATTTGAACTGGTATCTAGTAAGTGATTTCAAAAACTCTCCTAAATAGTTACAGGACTTCTACCCATTACACCCCGAGCAACCTGGACCCCTATTAAGGTTACAGGAATAAACAGCCGCGGAGGATAATACTTTCTTGAAGAATTATCCAGATAATAATAGACCACAAGGCTGGACAAGACAGAAGTCCTGAATTGCCGAGGATTAGCCATTTCTGAAGGAAAGGGGGGGGGGGGGGGATATAACGGCTCAGTCCCTATACAGGCCGCTGAGTTTGGAGTGAATATCAGTGAGTAGTGACGTGATTCTTGTTTGTTCTGTTTGTATTCGAGATAGACAATATCCTACAGAGCTTCGCTCGTGGGATATTCTCTTCTTCAAGCAATTCTCTCGTATTAGAGCTACATAATGAGATCAACCTATCTACGTTGGCCTGAGCTGTTACACATGATCCCTCAGATCCACACTTCGGCATTACTTCTGTTTTAGTTAGCTTGCATAATTGCATTCAAGAAGGTTGGGGCCAAATCTATTGACGGAATGCGTAACCTCCTTGCCACTATTCTCAGCAAAACCATTGACTCGTTCTTGGGCGCTCAATTGAGCAGCTGAAGTGATGATATGCGAAATGGATAGCTCCACATGGACCCACCACAGAATGCAATGCATGTTGGAATTAATAGTGGATGCGGAGGGTGGCACAAATGCAACTCCGGTCACACGAACCATTCTCTTCTTCAGCTATGAAATAATGCTAAACTGCACTCTTCACCCTGATTGACCCCAATTCATGATGGGCTTGCAACGCCACGATCCGGAACATCCCTACATGTGTGGAGCAATTCGGTAATGACAAAACCCCATTCGGCATATACCATAGATCAACTGATTTGACACGCGCCTCAAAGAGGCGTCATACAAATATAGTTGACACAAGCACTCTCAACTGGGTTCTCACGTGTGAGCAAAGCCCGGAGGGTTGTGTTAGTAGAGCCAAATGTCCCCATGGATATACCTGTCAAAACCACACTTCTGGTCCCGCCGGTTGTCATGGAATTTCCCGGAATAACAGTTGGTGGATTCGCATCACGAGGCGGGGAAGACAGAGCTCTTTTGACAGAACCATCAGTGGGATTGAGATGGTGGTTTGGAACGTTGGTATCATCAGAGCCTTCACAACCGAGAACTCGGACCTGTTCGGTGGAGCTGCATGCTCATTTGGGACTCTGGACAAAGCTACTCATCTCTAAATGTAATTACACGAGCTCCCCATAGAGCAAGAGGTAAACCGTAACTTCCTGCTAGAATATTCAGTATCGTGGCATGCTTGCACATGGTGTGGTCGTAGAAATCGGCAGATGCTAGTATTTACGCCCTCGGCTAGTATACATTCAACATTGACCTTAACAGAAAGAAAAGAAAGAAAAGAAAAGAAAAAAGAAGGTAAAAATGAAATAAGAAAGGAAAACTCTCAATTCTATAGGATGCTAAACTGGTGGATAATGTGATCCTGTACCCACTCCCAACAGGAAGTCAGCTTCCAGCGATTCATATTGCACGATCCTTCGTCCATGTCCAAATATTCAATCCGATCTTTGTGCCAGATAAAACCGGCATGCCAGCATGGAGTGTCTCTGGCCACACGGTTCCGTCGGCTTGGATATTCTCCCAGAATAAAGCATTACCAGAGATCGGCTTGAAAGTGACCCCTTCCTGGTCGGATTCACAGTCGATGTACTGACACCAACGCTTATCTTCCGGCACACGTAAATAGGGGAAGTGTGTTCCACCTCCAGTGCAGTTGGCGTGCAAGAACACGTTTAGGGTACTCTTCCGATCTTTTTTGAATCCTTTTCCGAAAGAATCATAGTGATGCTTGAAGAATCCATTCTCCTGGTATCGCTGCACGGATAGGGCTTCCACCGTCATACCGGGCTCCCAATGTTGATTCACGCGTGCGCGTTGCTCGATGCAACGAACAACATGATCTCTGTCGGGAATGGCCGTGTGAGATTTCCTGGCAGTGGTATCGATCTGTGTGTTACCGGATTCATAGACGTAGGCAGGACTGAACGCTTGCTCGCTGGTCATATGTTAAGAAAAAGGCCTTTGGAGAATGACGAAGGCGCAGGACAAACCTCTTCTGAATCAGATGCTGGGCCTCCTGGTCACTGACAAAGGATGCCACGTAGACAACTGGAGGTGTCTCACTGAAAAGGTAGGACTGAAAGGGCTGGGGTGGGCACTGTAGGGATGTCTCCGGTTCTACAAAGAGCATTGATGCAGTAGGATCCTCGACAGGCGTGTCAAAGGTGGGCTCAAACTGCACAGACGGAGACGATGGGCTCATGCCCAACTCCTGGGCGGCCAGCTGCTGAACCAGTTCAAAAAGAAAGAAAATGTGAGAATGCAGCATGACGAGCATAGCACTTGAGACTGGGGGTTCAGGTAAAGAACATGCTTATCAAACATTGCGCAATGAAGGTTTAAATGGTAGGAGGCATCCACCGTAAGATGTGCCTAAAAGGCTCTCAACTGCCCCTTGATCTGTGAGACCTGTACACTGCTTAGGTACCAGAAACCAAGCTACGGTGTGGATTTGTGATCTACCACAGCGTCTGTGTCCCAGGGTGCAAAGTACAGTTTGCAGATGGCCTCGAAGAATGTAAAGTGAAGATCGACATATAATTTAACAGGGTGTGATCCAGGCGCAGATGAACTAGAATCCATACTTCGATCTGTATAGCACCGGAAAGCGGATATCTGGATCGCCTGATCAACTGCGGAGATGCTACGTTACTTTGCAGGAATACCAGTCAAGATTCTGCAAATTGTTTCTAATGTGCCAAGCATAAATCTGTGGGGAGCTGAACTGTGGATCCCCGGTTTACTCGGATTCAACTACTTTTGCTACGACGCACGTACTGCACTAAATAGTCACAGTCTGGTCAATAACAGCATAAAAATCAATGGGGGACTAATGACGCTAAGATATGCATCGCAGCTTCAAAGCCGACGGCTTTAAACATGAGCTACGTAGACTGTGATTTTAAATGGACTAGCTAGTGTGTGGCTTCGAATTATCTGTTACCGTAGGATTACTAGTCAAGCATTTGTCGATGCAACAATGGCAGGGAAACCATCTCGCTCATGACAATTATCAGCTATGGGAATCTCTAGGCCATTTTCGGTTCAAGTTGACTAAGTATTGTGCGCAAGACAGCATAAAAAAGAGCGATAGTTTAAATACAGATATATGACAGTTTCTGGTAACTTTGACACCCCTGTAAACCTATTATCCTGAAACAAACCATCTCTTTTCTAAAAGAGCGCGGCAAGTAGCTCTGAGAAAGCCACTTCCCGTACACGAGCGCATTTAGCACATGATATTAACTCCAGGCTGGCCACAGATGGCAGGAGCACAACCGTAAGGACTGCCATCCTCACGGAACACGGGTATGGTGTTCGGAAAAGCATTGTTGCAGGCAGTTTGGGCTGCTGCAATGGTGCCGGGATTAATAGCAGCCGGGGGGCAAGCAGGGCAAGTAGTTTGCGGAGGGCAAACTACAGGCGTTGCTGGAGCCGGGACCGGAGCCGGGACCGGAGCTGGCCTGGGAATTGGGATATTGATAGGAATCCAGGGGAAGCTGCGCATTGGCAACGCCCGTGAGGAGCAGGCATGCGAGAGTCTTAATGGCAACCATGGTGGATGGACGTTATTGCTGTCTAGGGTATATAATTAGTCCTAGTAATCAAGCAGAAATTTTTGCGAGTATCTTACTTGGCGAATAAAGAGGATCTTGTGAATTCTAGAGGCTGTGTTTTGGTGAGTTTTCGGATAGAAAAATGTGCACTTAAATAAGTTTTGGCAGTATGAGTATATGAAAATTCAGCCTACAATGGGCTGATTGTTACGACGGGTCCTGCAGCTAGTAATTTGGCAAAAAGGGATGGTTACCCACTTCTGATAACTCATCACACTGTATGAAGCATGCATGAAGTGAGGAGAGATTTGGTTTATCATTTATTGGTCTACGGAGTACTCCGTGCCTGTAATTGTCTCTGGTTGAGACCCTTAGCAGCCGCGATATCAGATGCCAAATTGCTATTGCTCAAATTATCATAAAGAGGCAAAATTAATGAAAGCAATGGAGCACGCGGCGAACTCTGAAATCAGCACTCTCTGGGGTTCGAGATATAGGAAGTAGAAGCGATTCAAGTTCGGCATCATCCTGTTACTCCTGAAGGAGACATTCGACCATAATTGCATTGCTGCATGCACCCCGAATTACTTAATGTTGATATTGGAATTCTTGTGTTGGGCTGAAGAGACAAACTAGAGAAGTGATACTGTAGCGCATATTGGCATTTGCCCTTGACAGGTCTCGAGCTGAAGGTGAATTAGGTTTACCAGCAGTGAGTCACCATCTAATTACTCCGTACAGATAGTCTAGACATGGTTGCACTACATAGGTGTTCAATAGCCTCTAGCCGATCTGCCGACCAAAATCGATCCCTTTCCCCGAGACCAACCGCAGTGGCTTGCGGCAGGCTCCGTATTACATACCGATTTTGGCTACCCCAAAGGTGCACCACTGTTAAAGTCAGATATTCAGCTCAGCCCATGCCCTCACAGAACCATGTCTCAAATACGTCATGTAAGATCTAATCCACTTGCGTAATGAGCTCGGCATATCACCCCCCACGTTCATGCCAAAGATTGGCCAAGCTGAAAGAGATCCAATATTATTGAGCGGGGGGTTGCTGATAGGACCGATGCTCCACCAGAAGAAGTACGTGTGTCCGATGTGCTAAAGGTATCACATTCAGGTAAGACAGAGATCACAACACAGATGTGAGGATCATTGCCTGTAATTCGAGATTTGCAGGGAAACGTCTCTTTCTAGAGTCATATAAAGGTATCTTAGTATCTTAGCTGGCGGATGCTCATCAACTCTTTGTAACCCTCGCACTTCTACCATTAGCCACACTACCAACATGGGCTCTCCGGACAATAGTTTCTTTTCCTTTCTTGCATTCCTCTTGTTTACTCAGGGGGCATTTTCACAAAACCAGCCTGTCTTCCCTCAACCAGGCCTTGCTCAACAGCCGCTTTTTCCACAGCCAGGCTCTGCTCAGGTGCCGGTCTTCCCCCAGCCCGGCGGTGGACAGCCACCCGCTGGACAGCCAGTCTTCCCCAACCCAGCGGTGGACAGCCTCCCGCTGGACACCAGTCTTCCCCCAACCCAGCGGTGGACAGCCTCCCGCTGGACAACCAGTCTTCCCCAACCCAGCGGTGGACAGCCTCCCGCTGGACAGCCAGTCTTCCCCAACCCAGCGGTGGACAGCCTCCCGCTGGACAACCAGTCTTCCCCAACCCAGCGGTGGACAGCCTCCCGCTGGACAACCAGTCTTCCCCAACCCAGCGGTGGACAGCCTCCCGCTGGACAACCAGTCTTCCCCAACCCAGCGGTGGACAGCCTCCTGCTGGACAGCCAGTCTTCCCCAACCCAGCGGTGGACAGCCTCCCGCTGGACAACCAGTCTTCCCCAACCCAGCGGTGGACAGCCTCCCGCTGGACAGCCAGTCTTTTTCCCAGCCCAGCGGTGGACAGCCTCCCGCTGGACACCAGTCTTCCCCCAACCCAGCGGTGGACAGCCTCCCGCTGGACAACCAGTCTTCCCCCAACCCAGCGGTGGACAGCCTCCCCTGGACAGCCAGTCTTTCCCCAGCCCACCGATCCCACGTATACATTACTGCCCACATGTCCAGATGGTCACGACTCGATTTATCCAGCTCCTGACGGTGGCTTTTTCAAGTTGCAGTGCAACTACCACGGTTGGCACGGCACTCTCCAGTCTACGACGGCAGACAGCTACCAGGAATGTATTGACACGTGTAGCACAACTGATGGTTGTCTTGCCATCAACTGGGACAGCCACAAAGGCAGGGACTGTTACCTTATGGCATCTGACAGGCCTGGAGATGTCCCTTGTCCCAACCACGACTTCGCATACGCTGTGGCCCCACCTACTGTTCCTCAAACAACCGATCTCACGCCCCGATGCACCACCGAGTGCCCTGGAGCAGACCACCGCCAGTACACTAGCTCTGGTGTGGTCTTCAAGATGAATTGTGGCAAGCGTCACGGTGCGGAATACTTGGGTGTCCAGGACAAGAATTCACTCAAAGATTGCATGGACGCTTGTGCCGAGTTGACTCCTTGCCACAGTGTCGACTATCATGCCCGCTCCAAGAAATGTTATCTCTCTAATCACCAGGGTGAGCCTACTATTGATGCTCCGGGCTTCAACAGCGCCTACAGTCTCGGATGTGATGGTGCTTGTGATGACAAGTGTTGCTCTGGTTCCGGTGTAAATCACAGCAATGCTTGAAGTGCAATATAAATGTATTCAAGGAGTTGAGCCGTGGCAAGGAGCTGGGTCAATGTTTCTGGGTATATTCTTGAGAAGTATCTATCGCCGCTCATTGATCTGTGGGTATTGTGGTTTGTTGAGTTAGAAAGTAGGAGTCAGGTAGAATATGACTGCTTCAACTGTTAGTTGAATTATACAGTTCCCATTTTTCGTATTAAACAGGCTCTGATAGGCTTTTATAGTGTGATCCTTGTCTTCCGGTATAGAATCAATCTGATTTCCGTCTCATAACAGCCTCAAGTTTCCGCATGAGAAAAAAGGGGAGTACAGACCACATAGTCTGGTTGGAATTGCTATCTCTTTGTTCATCTGTGCAGCTACCGTCTGTCGTTCCCTAGAAGATCTAGGATGGTCACCACACGAGCGGCATTGTGAATTACTTGCAGACTCAGCGATACGCTCTGCTGGCATGACGAGAACGGTCTCAGTTGCTGGAGGGAAGACAATGGTCTTCTGAGTGATCCAAGGATGCTCCAATAATTGTTTAATAGTATATCTTTTCTTTGGATCAACAGTGAGAAGATAGAGATAAGATCTTGAGCTAGCTCGGAGACATCATCCCACCATGGCGCTAAGAATGTATACTTTCCACAAGCCACCTTTTCTGTGTCAAAGAAGAAATTCTATCTTCATCGAAAGGACCAAACCCGCAGAGTATCGTGTAGAGGATGCAACCTATAGACCACATATCCACGCTCTTCGAATATCGCTTATCCTTTACGATCTCTGGTGCGGTATAACCGATGGTGCCACAAGGTTTTGTGGTCCCAGTACTTCCCAGGACCTTGGACAATCCAAATTCTGCTAGATAGCATTCGCGGCCCATATTCTTTAAGATAGGCTATTATGCACATACCATTTGTCAAAATTGTGTGTTGTGCATTTATGTGACCATTTAGTATCACGATAGTGCCCACTAGATATTGAAGTATTTGGGAAGCAGATCCGGGGCAACGAATGCTATAGACAGAGGCTGCGACAGAGGGTCTTGTACGGACAACGCCCGGATGCCAGTGTCTGTCTTTCCTGCAGGTTGCTTCAAGAGAATGTCGTATTCAAGGGTAGCTCGCAAGGGGTGCCAATCACATTGCCCTAGAAGGGCTTGAGTGACCCAAGCACATACTCGTTTGGTAGAGGCTAGCGAGCGTTGAAGCACCATCCATTCATTGTGCTGTAATTACGGCGAAGCTCTTCACTTCTAGGAGTTCGGCTTCTGCTAGAGGATAGTTCGCAGTACGGCGGAATAGAATTCCATTCGGACATGGCGACGTGAAGAATTAAACAGTCAAAGAGCCGATAAGATCTCGTTGGTCTCATAACCCCACGCCGCTTCAAGATCTCTCAATCGCCATAACGCACCCCATCCTGTGGTCTCTTCAATGATCTTGAATAATCTAGCCACAGCTATTTGCTCTCGCCGATGACTTAGAAGTTTACCGGCAATATATAGGGGTTGGATAGCATTGATGAGATTGCCTCGATGGGGATTTGTCAACGAAATTCCGCAGACCCTCCTAGCGTGCCAAATCGAGGACGACAAGTGGTCTGATGTGGAGAGCAGAATGATGGCTGGTTTGATCTCCAGCAGCAAGATGCAGGCCGTGTGATACAGTTGGTTTCCAGATATGGCTGCCTGATGAGCAAAGAGGATCTCCGGGAACATCTGATCGCCACGCATACTGACAACCTTCACAGGGAGCAATTCCGACGGCCGTTGTGCCAGCCAAAACTGTAGCTCATCCCACAGTCGATTCCACTGCTCACTGAATGGCCGTGAGTCGGATGTGTCCAGCTCACCCAGCTCCAATTCCCTGGTACGTCTACACACCAGATCGCAGGTTTTCGCGCACAAATACACGGCCCAGTTCGCATGCATATCCGGAGACAAAATGCTCTTCTCCATAAACAAGTTTCGAACACGTTTTTCGTTCTCCTCGAGGGACTCAGAACCATGGCCTGTAGGCGCAGCGGGGACCCACTTCTCAAGTGGAAGAACCGTACGGTCTGCACCATTCGAAACAATCACTCCGCAGAGCTCCATTCGCACATAGCACCAGAAGACAGCCTGCAAATGGCCCCCCGAAAAACCGTTGACATTGAAGCAGTCAAACAAAGCCGCGCACCCCTCCACATGACGCCTCCAGTCCTGTGTACTGACGGACATCAATTCCATGACCGCTAGAATACAGACTGTCACCAACACGTTTGGATCTTTTGCCTGTAGACCCGGTCTTATCAAACGGATAGACTCCTGGTAGAGCTCGAGGCTGTCATGACAGTTTCTCAGGCCCGCCTTCCTTTCCGTTTGTCGGGCGGAAAAAGCAAGAAGGGCGTAAAATAATGCAGAGGAGTCTTCGGCTAGGATAGGAATATGGACCCCAAAATGGCGCTCTTCGTCGAATTTATCGAGATAAGGAGCACATTCCGTGATCCAGTTCTTCAAGTAAAAGATCAGCCGGGACTTGGGGACGGGAGAGCCTGCAAAAGGATCCACATTTCTCCGGGATGATGTCGCTTCCGGTTCACTTATAGACTCTAAAAGGTATTGCTTAGGCGTGGAATTGGCTACAGCCGTGAACAAAGCACTTCGAAGCTCCTCCTGCAACTCTAAGAAACGTGGGTCTGCTGCATGAGAATTTTCCGAAACTGAGCGTGTGTCTGGCGACAAGAATGCTTCCTCCTCCGGAGGCTGATGGAATAGTCTATTAGCGAGAGACAGATCGGGAGGGTCCATCTTCGTGATCTCGCATGGCAGGACAGTTGAGTTGGTGTTTGAAACCGACCGTGATGATGAATAAGTGGTGATTTTATGTTGGAAGCGGTTTCTTGTTCTATTGAATAGGTGGCCGGGTGGCCGCTAACTACTAGTTAGCTAAGAACCAGCTTACATAAATGATGACTAAGCTAGGTCGAGCCGGCCGCAGGCGCCCATGTATGGCCGTATGCTCCAAGCCTCCAACATTTGTTTATGAACTTTGTGACGAGCTAAGCCTATTGTGGATCATTATAGTAGACTAACATCCAATATCTAAGAAGGACAAAGAGTTTCAGCTCAAGGTCTGCATGTCCGGTAGTATATAATTTAGGTTAAAAGTGATGAAATCTAATTCTAGAATGCCTATTCATAGCTTTCACGGTGGCCGTTTTAGTAGGCCCTGGATAACGGTTGACCATTAAACCTGTCGATAAGCAAATCAGCACTAAACAAATGCCAATGAAAAGCCCAGGCAGGCAGCTCCAGGAGATTACATTATTGGCTTTGCTAACACACACTGCGGAGATATTAGGCTTCTCTTCTTCGATTCCACCATAGCATAACAAGGGCAACTCTCAGCATAGGACATGTAACACTGGAGATGGCGCTCCTACACAAGAGGCCCAATGATCAAGCGACAGCATCGAAGAGTTTATGGTAAAAGGGAAACAAACTTAGACTATAAACCACCTGTAGGCTTTTGAAGCTTGTCTAACATAAGCAACCAGGGTAGATCTTGTTTCTTCCAATGGCGGCTATTTATCAAGATACATGCTTCGTTCAGTAGTATACTGCAACCTCGTTATACTGTGCAGGGCTCAGGGATGCTGGACTGCCCAGTAGAAAAGCCCAACACCTTCACGTTGGGGAAGAAGACACGTTCTAAAGTCGGGAGACAAAGGAGTCCTCTCTTTACAGCCTAGTTAGTAGTCTCTAATGCATACCCCTGCCAATACCCTTAGTTCAAAATTGGCTGCAGTGCCGAGTAATCTGACTACCTAGAGTCATAATATGACAATACAATAAAATTTGTATAAACGTAGACTACCTAGCAATTTCCTCATTATTTCTACACCTTTTCCCTTGTAATCTCCTTAGTCCGAAAAGGGTAAGACTAGGCTACAGGGTACACCCAATTGCCACGCCACCGCAAAAAGGTCAACTAGACTTGGTAATGCCAAGTCTGGCTCCCAATTCACTTATCTACCGTCTCCGCGGTCACACTAAATTAGCTGTGATTATACCCTTTCATCCAGCTTTGCAGAAATGGGGGTCGATATTGAAACTGATACTCCAGTCGAGGGCACAAAGCTCCATAAAACATATATCAGAAGGAAACAAATTCTAGCCAGCAAGATGACTTACTGGTACGAATATGGGCACCACATATCTCAAGATATAGAGCATCATAACTAATCAAGTTCTAGGTAATGAGAACGGAGTTGATGATCTAAAGAACCCCCTGAATTGACCGGCCTTCTGGAAATGGAGTATTATAATGCTTAACTCCTTCGGTAGCCTGGTGACACTATTGAGCGGTAGCATGCTAGCACCAGCCAACGAAGCGATTAGTAAAGATATTCTTACAAGCACCGAGACAAAACATGGGACCGATGGTGTTAGCGCCATTAACCGGGGTATGGTCGTCGGATTGTCTGGATTATCTGCTCGGCCTGGTATGTACTTTGGAATACTATCTGCGGCTTTGCCAAATATCCAAGCATTGATGCTTGGATGCCGAATCATGTCAGGAATTGGGACCGATTGGAAAATTCGCCGCAAGTAACTACCTTAGTTCTTTCGTCTGTGTCCATCAATATAGAAAAATACCTGAAATGCCACCATTATGGCTCTCCTAAAGCCCACGGATTTTCAGGTGGCTGAATGGTAACTTCCTCATCTACACTTCTTCATGGCTCATCAGCGACAGGTGTCAATACCGGCGCTGGAACATTGCTGGTGGCCACATGTGTATAAGTAGATAATTTTGTTGCCTTTTGCTAGGAGCTTCTTTTTTTTTTTTTTTTCCCTTTTGGGTATTTATTTGGATAATTGCTAGCAGAGGAGATATGGTCCACAACAAAATTTAATTAGATTCTCAGTATTCACATAATTCTACTGGGTCGTTACTTTAAAGACGCTAGCCCGTCCATGCCCTAGCAACAAATCAAATCCCAAAATCAGTGAACAGTTAGATCTTCCTTAAAACGCTGCACTTGGCACCCTTCCCTAGAATGACCCATTCTCCTCCAAACTTTAACTTTTATATGATGCCACCTAGTGATTTGTCAGAGTCGAAGATTGGAGGTTGAAGACATCATCAATTTTTGCCTTAATAGATGTGGACCAAACTAACCCCATTTCCCTTTAGCTAACAAATTAATTATTCTTTATCCACTGGTTCCTCATCCCACTGTTCAACTCCAGCCGGAATCTCCATCACTGCCTCCTTACACCAAATATGCACAGCTTTCGACATCATCTCCCGCGTCAACCCATCCAAGCAACCACCCTTCAGGTTCACTAGATTCTCTCCCTGGGCACGATGAAGTATCCGCGATCCACAAGACTGACAGAATAAACACTCCAGCTGTCTATTTTTCAACGTTTTTCGGGTATAAATCCCAATTCCAGGAGAGGTGTTCGAATTGTCGATTGGAAGCTCAAACCATGGAAAGACGGCCGTTATACCGCAAAAGGATGAAGATTGATGACGGCATTCCGTACAGTGGCAGACGTATATCTTGAGAGGTGCTGGGAGAGGTGTAGTAAATTGAATAGTGCCACATTGACATCGGCCTTCCATGATGGCTTTTGATTTTATTGTGTGAGGGGTAAGATTAAGGTGGCGTCTATTAATTGAATGTGATGGCCAAGGGTATGGTTCGCGGCTTCTTCAGGGGATTTGTCTAAAGGCGTCGCTGATATATCAATGATTTAACATGCATTAAGTAGCAACAGTTGAATATGTAGTTAGTTGGCTAGGTAGTAGTAGTGCTCTGTCCTCTAGTCTGTTACCTAAATGGTTAGTTACTGTCAATCAGATGATTTATAATCAAATACGAGATCCATAACCCACACAGCATGACGATGTCCAAATTTTCTCTGTTTCTTCTTTCTCCTCTGTAAGATGTAGGTGATACTGAGTGCTCACCTACTTTACTTCTCGGTAGAATTCTGCTTCATCAGGGCGTTAAGTATTGGAGGAACAATAATCCTTAACCATCACATCCACCACGATTTTCTACTGAGGACATCCAATATCAACCACTTTAATCAATAGATTTATTGGATCTTTTTATTTTGGCTGTTATGCGTCTTACTTATTGGCATTGAGCATCATGGCCAATAGTAATACCCAGATCCCAAGATTGACAATACGGATCAAAAACTCCATATCCATATACCCATCAATAAATCACCGGTAGTCCAGCACTCTCTCTTATCTTATAAGTCCTCTCCTTCCATCCCCGAAACGCCGCGAGACGATCACTATCCGACACAGTACCAAAATCCAGGTCCTTCAGTCGACGGTCAATAGGAAATACTCTCATCAATGACCCATCCTGACAGATCGTAATACTCCCAATCCGTTCGTAGAGCATTTTTCCGTGATACATCATATGGCGGTCCATCCCTAGCAGATATCCAATATAATTACTGATCATGCTAGCCAGCCATTCAGGGCGGATCATAAGGGTTTCAACAGTGTTATACGGCCACCGGTAAGCAGTGCTAGGGTCTGAATTATCGCGACCCTCAAGCCAATTACTGTATTCTATACTCGACGGTGCTATCCTGCCCCTAGGGGTCAAGAAGTCTAGAGTCAACTGGTTTATGGTGAAGCGTTGCGGAATAGGCTTTTGCGAATCTGGTCGCCGATGTTCAACGAGCGGACCGCATTCGAGAAACCTCTCTAGAAGATAATAGAAACACCAGGTGATCCGCGGCGGGGCACCATCGCTGTGGCAGAATCTGAACCGGCGACCCTCCATCGTCGGACTGATGCCTTCGATTCGGAATGTCGCAGTCAGCCTGTCGACATGGAGACACGGAGGGGAAAGTAATTTCCACGTGGGCCATAGGTGCATCTCGTCGACCATGACGACGTCGAGAGCGTAATGGCCGGGTTTTTGTAGTCTCCATTTAGTCAATTCTGCGATTTTGCGATTCACAAGAAGGAGAGTAAGCGGTGTTGAAGTCCAGGAAATATATCCCTCTTCTTGCTTATTCGAGTATTTGACGTTATTTGGTCCATACGCCCAAGAGCGACAGGTTCCTGCACCCCGGGACCATGCCTCACGTACGCCGTGTGAAAGTAGATTATCAGTGGTCCGTGGTAGTTGGCCCCGGTACGTCAATACGATCTCGATGATATAGTCGAGTAGTTCACTGGGGAGGTCTAGGAGTGATGTTGGCATTTGTTATTGCAATACTGGAAGTATATATGGGTGTGTGGGTAACATAGGATATTCTGGTCAGCGGGTTGGAGAAATCCAGCAGAGCATGGTGGTTCGTGGATGAAACATCCAGCCACAGTACGGAGTGTCTTGATGCCCCGCAGATCATTGACGTGAGACGTGTGCAAGTCTGAGGGCTAGACCAGACTAAAGCCCATCCAGCCAGCATTTTAATTCTGTCTGCACTAGGAACGAAGGGGTTAATTAGGAAGTTTGGTAATCTAATTAACATTTAAACTTCCGTCTCTAATTCCAACCCTTACCTATTGCTACCTGTGGTCGATACAACAGTATTTCTTGACATTAGTATGTACAACACCTGGTTGATTAAAATCGCTTACCAGTGTCCAATCAGTGCAGATCATATCGACGTTGAAAATAATTTATAGAAAATATGAATACCAAACAAGTAGATTACACTATCTATTAACCCTCCCAAGGAGTCATCAAGGAGTCCATCTCGACCAGGACTGTATCAGGTATTTTGAAACTCCTGTTTGCTATCTGAAGCCCTGAGATTTTGTTAGTTTATTGATCGCAAGTTGTGGTCACATAGTCTGTCCGCTCGTTGCTCCTCGTTGCTCGGTAAGCTTCCCTGGGTGATATCTTGTGAGAAATTTGTTCAAGCCAACAGCTGGATATGTCACGGCAATTGTTATGTACGACCGATGAGCCGTTTACAACTATTTGCAAGCGATATTACAACACACTAGTTAGTTAACTATCCCAGCCATCTGATTAGCTAAACCAGATATAGTCACATGATCTTCCCAATCCACGAAGATTTGGCCTGTTGAAATTACCGCAAACTCCTATTTTGTGGATCACACTAAATGGTAAACATACCAGCACGAGTACAGCTCACAACAATCTACATATATTGGCAAAAAGCATCCCACGGTCTGGAATTTTACCCTAGGTTCGTATAGATTTGGCTGAGCTTGATAATTCAACGCTTGTTAAAATATAACCTGATAACATTATTTATATGGCAGCAGTGAAGTTCTTGGATATCTTGATACAATATTCATGGCAAATAGAATAATGTATTGCAGTTAAATAACCTCCAGCTACGTTTCAAGGTCAGGCCATGCCGCTTCTCCAGTTGCCCAACGAACTGCTGCTGTCCATTTTGACAGAGCTGGATTCAGAGAGAGACATCAACGTGTTTGTTCGGTCAAACCGCCACCTCTACCACAACTTCAACAGCTACCTCTACCGGCATCATGTACAGCATTCAAGGGCTTCAGCACTCCCATGGGCTGCATTGCGTGGACGAGAAGGGACATGCCGGAAATTACTGGATGAGGGAGCTAATACCGCCATCGAAAATCATAACAGTTCGAATGCCCCGTTATTCCTGGCAGTAATGAGTGGGCATTTGGATGTGGTCAGGCTGTTGCTTGAAAGGGATGCTGTCCCCAATGTTAAAGATGAGACTGGCCGGACGCCGATCTCGTGGGCGGCACAGAATGGCCATATTGCAGTTGTCAAGCTCCTGTTAGAGAGAGGTGTTGGGCTAGATTCTGAAGATGAGGAAGGTCGGACACCACTATCATGGACAGCAGAACGTGGACATGAATCCATCGTTACCCTCCTCCTGGAGAGGGGTGCCAGGCCAGACTCTAAGACAAGTCTTGGACATACCCCTCTGTATTACGCCAGCATACAGGGCAGCGTACCCATTATTAATCTTCTTCTAGAGAGGGGTGCCGATCCAGACCCCAAGGATATACATCATCGGACGCCGCTGTCTCTGGCAGCACAAAATGGCCATGAGAAGGTGGTCAAGCTCCTTCTTGAACATGGTGCTGATCTAGACTCCAGATCTCTACGAGGTCGGACTCCTCTGTCATTAGCAGCGCATTTTGGGCATGAGTCCATTGCCAAACTTCTGCTAGATCGCGGTTCAGATCCCAACTTAGCAAACGGCTTCGGACAGACCCCACTGTCCTGGGCCGCGCAGAGAGGGCATATATCAGTGATTAAGCTCCTACGGGAGTATGGTGCGGCGGTAGACGGTGTGGGCACCAATGGGCAGACTGCTTTATCGTGGGCTGCACAAGATGGAGATCTGCAAATGACACGACTCTTGCTAGAACATGGTGCTGCGGTAGACAGCCAAGACCAATATCGCCGGACACCACTTTTTATTGCTACCCTAATAGCGCGTGACGATATAGTGGAGGCACTTCTTGAGCACGGTAGCTCTGCAATGCATACTCCTACTTGTGCCGATCGCACCCCCCTATCTATAGCCCGTGACTACAACCTTACCAGGATCCAGCAACTATTGGATAAGGCATCAGGTACTCATCCAGAAACAGAAATAGTGAAGTCGACAGTTTCGTATGATTCGGACGATGCAGTGATCATCTGCGACAGCTGCGGCATTGATCTCCCCCCATATGACTTTTACTTCCACTGCAGTATCTGCAATGATGGTAATTGGGATGTCTGCTGCGAATGCCATGCACATGGGGCCCTTTGTGCTGACAATCATGTTCTCGAAAAGCGGGCTATACGTGATGGCACATCCATCAGGCTTTTCGAATAGCGTGGTAGTAGATTTATGTTCTTTTGAGGGGGGGGTATGTCTATTTACTTCAATGAAACGTGAATTTATCCTTTCGGTGGAAAAAGCCCCGCAAGATCTGGACTTCCAGAGTTCTAGTTATGGTGGATTATCTTATCGCGATTGATCTCCTACTAAGCAAGTCAAGTTGATTATAAATGCGCAACAGCCGCGAAATAACTAGTTACCCGGCAACATCCACGCTTACCTCCTTTCCCAATAAAGCACGTCGAATGCCCCTCATCGCACACCATCCCCGTTGCCAACCCAATAGATCCAAAGGGTCTATGTTCTACTATTTTTCATAGTTTTTGTGCATTAAGCAAGCTCATCATGGCTGAAGACCACAACCATAGAGAACAATCGCCCTCCGAGGAGACGCCGCTCATTACGCATGTGTCTCAACCTTTGGATGAGGTTCCAAATTCCGTGTCATTTATCAGAGGGTCGATCATAGTCCTATCTACGGGGATGCTACTATTTATCCAAAGTATATCCTTCTCACTGTCTCCATTGAGGCGATGTATTAAATACTGAGAGCTCTCATAGCTACCAACATGTCAATGATGACCACGGCCCAGTCTGATATTGCGGCAGACTTAGACGCCTTCTCACAGACAACGTGGTTCAATTCTGCCTATCTGGTATATTCATCCATGTCCCAGTGTGGGATCTCGGGCTCTGACTTGCCTGGCCTGGCCTAGATTGCAGTGTCTAGTGTAACTCCCATCGCCGGGCGACTCTCTCAGATCTTCAGACCCCGGCTATATATTCTTTTCTCGTGTATACTTTTGGCTACGGGGCTTTTTATCACTGCAGTAGCTTCAAGCTTGACTATCTTTCTTTTTGGACGAGCACTGACTGGATGCGGTGGCGGCGGCCTCATGGTCACCGCGATTATTTTGACCCTTGATTTGGCTAGCAACAAGCGCAGAGGTCTCTTTATTGGCTTGATCAATGTTGGGATGACGACTGGTATTGCGTCTGGTGCAGTACTCGCAGGTTTGTTGACACCAGCATATGGATGGGTAAGTTGTCTAACAGCGTTGTTTCTCCTTTTTATCGTTTTTTTTTTTTTTTTTTTGTTTATTTGGAGCCCGGCTAATAACTCAGCGCATTATATTCTGGACCCAAGCACCTCTTGCGTTGATTTTAGGTCCGATCCAGTTTTACGCTATTCCAGATAATTTGGGAGACAAATCTGAACAACTGAGCGAACATACTTTGCTTCAGAAGCTGGCAAAAGTGGACTATCTTGGGGCCGTTGCTCTGGTACGCTTGCACACCAAAATCACAAATTCTAACTAACAAATTCAAGACAACTTCGGTTTTCTTGCTACTCTATAGCCTTGCATCATCTGAGATTACCATTGCTCCGATACTCTTATGCCCTGTTGCCTTTGCTGGATTCCTGTTAATCGAGGGGAAGTTTGCCTCGGAGCCCATTATACCCGTGGAGGTGCTCCGCATGAGGAGTGTGTTGTTGACATGTTTGGCGGGCCTTGTATCAATGATGGCACGCTGGTCGGTTCTCTTCTTCTCCCCAGTTTATGCGCTGGTGGTCCGGAATTGGTCCCCTGCTTCTGCCGGATTAATCCTGGTTCCAACCAACGCTGGTTTTGGGCTAGGTGGCGTTCTGGTGGGATGGTTACATATCCGTAAGACACGGAGTTATTATATGTGGGTGCTACTTGCTGGACTATTGTTCTAACTGTAACAGAAGCTTTTACTAACCGTATTAGTTCCTGCCTTGTTTCATTCTCGGTCTTTGGGCTGTCGACTTTAGTTCTGACCACTCTTTCCACACCCGATTCACTCGCTCTCACCTACCTATTCTTCACATTCCTGAACGGCCTCTCTATTGGTGGCCTGATGAATTACAGTCTATCCCACGTCCTTCATCTCACGAGTGCGGACGTGCACTATATTGTGACCGCTCTATTGGGCATGTCAAGAGGATTTGCAGGAAGTTTTGGGTCAGCTATCGGTGGAGGATTCTTCCAACGGGAACTAAAGAGAAGACTAGAAAGAGGCTTTGCAGAGCATGGTTTGCCTGGGAGAGACGAACTCATCCGAAAGCTGCTGGGAAGCCCTACCCTAGTAGGAAACTTGGCGGGCGCGGAACGAGCAGTTGCTGTCCAGAGCTATGAGCAGGCTGTAAAGGTACTTTTCCTGGGCAGCTTTATAATCAATTTTGCGGCAGTAGCTGCACAAGCAGGTACAGGCTGGAAACCTTTCGATGTTAAAGGGAAGAGTCGGGAAGAGAGCCGGCAAGAGGATTTAGAAGAGCGTATAGAGAGGGAAGATTAAACCTTGGGGAAACGTTCCAGCATCACATACACATATATTTCGAATCAACTTGGCGTAAATTAAATAGAAGAAGAATTTATGTGTATATTATATTTTTGGTTTTGATAATGACAGATTTTTTATACACTTGATGCAGACATCCAGACTGGTCAACAACTATACAGTCTGCCTTGCTGCCTTAAACGGCTTGGCGTTCCCGCCCAAAATCAACACCACCGAGTCGATCGAATTCTCTCTCTTGTCTTGTGCAGTGGAAAAGCATCACTCTCCGCAAAATCATCCACTCCTGTCGTCGATTTAATATATCCCTTTTCTCCTTTATACATATTTCCTACTCAGATAACCATCATGCCCCGTGCAGTAAGAGGTAAGCTTCTCCGCTCCTTCAGACTTTGTTTGCTCAATCCACTGACAGAAGGTATGAGTCTAAAGGTGTACTCATTGAATGCGATCCATCAGTGAAAGCGATTATTCTAAAATATGACGAAGAGCGACACGATTACATTGTGGAGGATTTAGATGATGACCGACATCTGGTCATCAAGGAAAGCCAGCTCCAAAACCTGAAGGCCCGGCTAGGAAAGGTAACGCCCACAATAGCCTGGGAAACTGTTCCTTCGGCCTTGAATTGTTGACTGGGGTAATAGGAACTTGATGATAAGGTCATGCAACCCGATGAATCGGAGTCCGAGTAAACCTCAACAATTTTTTATACGCATCGCATGCATTCCTCCGCTCGTCCTTCCGTCTCTCGAACAACTGTCACTGCGTTGCAGAATAGGCTCGAGTGGCATGCTATAAAATAAATTAGGTGAATATCCGGGATCATACGGCTGACCTTCGGAGTCCAAACTTGACGCAGCAGCTTGGCTGTGCCTGTGATACCATACCTGCTATCATAGTGATTTAATGGCAGCATATACTATGCTCCAAGAGTTATAATTACATGTCTAGAGCATGTTTATGGTAAGCGGGGTTATCTATAGGTGGCAAGTTGGTCTAAATCTGGTATGACCTACGCATTTTGACCCGTCCATTTTGACCCGTTGCGCGATGTTACTGGAGGCTTCTGTCATTTGAATCACCCACAGGGTGTAACCGGTGGGTAGTACCAGTGGCAATTACCTCCGGAACTCTGACACTAGCTATTGACCACCTGCATCCTGTGACACCATAAGTTGAACCTTGGAGTCGTCCTGGATATCCCTGGCTACCGTGTCACGTGACCTGTCGAACCTACCAGAAGCTTCCCGCAGCCTGTAGATGCCGCCACATACTTCGAGCACGAACTCAGGGTAGCGAGTGATATCAGACTAACATCATCCGTGACATGCTGGCAGCTTCTCGAATCATGCTTCAGAAGTATATAGGTGGCCTTAAGGCCTGAGCAATAGGTCATCAACAAAACATCAATCAGAAATCTCTGGATAAGAAACGGTCTTCCAAATACAAAACATTTCTACTATCAACTTCTATAACAGTCGTTTCAATCTCAAATCCACAATGTCTCTATTCAGAACTTTTCCCACTTCGGGCGACTTCGCCCCTCTTTTCCGTCTCTTGGACGACTATGACGTCCACCGCGCATCCAGGGGCCAGACTGCCGTGCGCTCGTTCGCACCTCGCTTCGACGTCCGCGAGACCTCCGATGCCTACCATCTTGATGGCGAGCTGCCCGGCATCCCACAGCAGAACATCGAAATTGAATTCTCAGATCCTCAGACCCTGGTGATCAAGGGCCGTTCAGAACGCGAATACAGCTCTCCAGAAGCTGGCGAGAGTGCTGCACAGGGCGGAGGCAGCGATGTGGTCAAGACTAGCGACAAGCAAGTGACTAAGTCCGAGGGCCAGCACCGCTTCTGGGTGAGCGAGCGCTCTATTGGAGAGTTCCATCGCAGCTTCTCCTTCCCGACCAACGTTGACCAGGACAAAGTCAAGGCTAGTCTGAAGAACGGCATCCTGGCCGTGGTTGTTCCCAAGGCCTCTGCCCCGTCTGGAAAGAAGATTACCATTGAGTAAATGATATGATGGACATAGGATGGTTATGAGCTTTACGATCATTTTCTAATTTAATCTAGATTGTATAGGCAGTTTGTTGGGTTGAGAAAATTAAGTCGTCATGTATATTAGTTAGCTTAACCAATTTGTGTTATTCCCCACAGTTTAATTAATCACTCGTGTTCTGCAGAATTGCAACTGGTTTCTATACTGAGCATAGATCCTCCATATACAACCGATTCCCTTATCGCTATTCTACTACATCCTCAGTTTTCTTACTGTACTGCATCTGGTTATTCCCATAACAAAGGCTTATAGTCTAGTAATCCTTTTAACTGCAGCTTGTGCACACAAAACAATCTTTTCTGTCAAGCCGCACTTCTTGGAGAATGATGTCATCGTTCACCACTCGCAGCTTAACTATAGCCATCCTGTGCATTTAACTTGTTCTTGACAAGATTTCTACCTGGACATTACTTGTATGAACAGGCCATATTTGAGGTCCAAACGCCACCTGCTAATCCAAAATTTGTCATGGCCGAGCCGAGGCACGTGAATGTCCATATCCAGGTTTGGTGCCTGACTTATATGGCTGCGACATGCCTGTGGTGTATGGACTCATTTACATTCCTGTTCTCTCTTGAGTATTCTGGTCCATATGAAATATCGGTCTACTGAAGTATCTAATAGATAACAAGTAATCAGAACCAGAGCTTTATTCGCAGATAGACAAGCAATAGATAGCTACTTGTCTTCTTCTCTTCGACGACTACTAACCTCTGAGCACGCTCTCCTGGCAGATTAATGAGCGAATTAACAAATAGTTATGAACACTAATATGAAAGACTATGTAGAGGTAAATAATAAGAATAATATAGTTGAATCACTATTACCTTTTACATTTGCAAAGTATATATTTTTATGTAGTATCGAGAACCATGTAGGTGTTAGCCCACAACCACATTCAAACTTTAGGCGCAACTGTACTTGAAAAGAACTTGCTGTATAAAAGTATACTGTAGAGTCAATTTTAGATCCAGTAGGAATCAAAGAGAAGTCGACATTCTTCTCTTCCAGCTACAAATAACCGTCCACTGGCCCCTATCAGTTCCCGATTCAGTAGTAGCATGGACAGCTTAATCTTATCTTTAGCCGAGGTCCCCAGAGCGACTACAACATTTAAGTCCATGGCGCAAGGAGCCAATGTCACAACTCAACACCAACATCTCTACGCCCAGCATCCAGCATCTCCCTAACCACCAAATCACAATGGTCACCAACTACTCATACAAGTACTTTATTGTACACCTCCCTTCTGACCACCCCTACGTCGCACATGTGGAGATCAACCGACCCGATAAGATGAACGCCTTTTTCGAGGCGTAAGCAGCAATCTTTCCATTCCACACCATGCCTAATCAAACTAACAACAGCTAAAAAAACAGCATGTGGCTCGAAATGGCTCAAGTCTTCAACGCGCTCTCACACGACCCATCCGTTCGCGCCATTGTTCTCTCTGGCGCAGGAGAGAAAGCCTTCACAGCCGGATTAGACGTCCATGCCGCCTCTCAGGGTGAGCTATCTTCTGGATCAGAGGATATCGACGGGGCCCGTAAAGCGGCCCATTTACGACGCCATATTGGCACGTTCCAAGACTCCATCACGGCCATCGAACGCTGCGAAAAGCCCGTCATCTCTGCCGTGCATGGCTTCGCGCTGGGCCTGGCTATTGATATCAGCGCAGCTACTGACATCCGGGTTTGTGCGCAGGATACACGCTTTTCAGTGAAGGAGGTGGATATTGGATTGGCGGCTGATATCGGGACTTTGAGTCGGCTTCCCAAGATAGTGGGGAATAATGGGTGGGTGAAGGAAGTTGCCTTGACGGCGAAGATCTTTGGAGCAGAGGAGGCGAAGAGCGTGGGATTTGTGAATTCAGTGTATGACAACAAGGAGGCTACGGTGAAGGCGGCCTTGGAGTTGGCGAAGTTGATAGCCGGGAAGAGCCCCGTTGCAGTGCAAGGGACAAAGGAGATTTTGAATTGGTCAAGGGATCATTCAGTTCAGGATGGTAAGCTTCTGTTTTCTTATTTATTGCCTTTATATTGGCTATGTGGCTAATTGGGATAGGTCTCCGATATACGTCGGTATGGAATAGTGCAGCTTTGCAGACAAAGGATGTCTCTGCTGCCTTGCTGTCAGGGATTCAGAAGAGGAAGCCGACATTTGAGAAACTGTAAATATGTTTTGAGCTTCGTTTATCTTCTGTTGTCTTCCTTGCATGTATAAGTGAATGGTACTAGAATTTTTTGTCTTGTGCCAGGCACGAGGCCAGAAAGTGAATACCTTCTGTTCAAGTCTTATTTCCTCTCCTCTATATTAAAGCGTTCTACTTGTGTTCTTCCCTTCTTCCTTTCTTTATATCATATTTCTTCCCCTTGTTTCGTCATCCCCTTCCATCATCATTTTCTTCTCTTCCTGTCAATTGATTTGGCTTAGCTTCTAGTGACTTTTCTTCTCTTCTTCCCAATTCATTCATGTGGTCAGCATTTCAGAGATTTCCCTGGCTATTTAGTGACCTTGGTCGCTTTTTAGTCCAGTGGTATATCATTGAAAGAACCAACTTTCTCCAGAACCAAATCATTCTACACTCAGCTACGGGTACTATTACGACCGAGCACAGAGCTACTACCCAGGCAGCGGTACGCCAGAGAATTATCAGATACAGCAAGGTGTTTAGTATCTCCTTTCAATGGGATACCGATTACGCTTTTGTGTATCAAAGCTTTGGCTACTTTAGAGCAATGATACGCGCACTGGGCTGCCTCTATCCACAAGAGTTTTCAATAGACTCCACGAATGAAACTCCAGACTGGACTGTGCGAGAACAAATCAGAGAGCTCTCATGCAAGGTGCAAATAGTATGGGGCCGTTCTCTAGTAGCTATTCACTACTCTGGCCATGGCTACTTTAACAACCAAGGCAAGCTCCGGCTTGTTCCTTATAACGGAGGCCAGAAATAAACGCCATAAAATCTTATGTGACGCAGACAGTTCTCAAGGTCTTCAAAGAATCCAGCGAGAGGAATGTGAATGTGCTATCTGTAATCGATTGTTGTTATGATTTCAAACCAATCCGTGATAGCGAGGCTGCTGATCGTATTGTTGAGGTTATTGCAGCTCCTGGCAAAAATACTCCCAATGTCAACTAGCCGCCCCACAAAACATTCACGGCAAAGCTCGCCAGAGAAGTTATCCGTCGATAGTAGGCGGACACCGGTATGTTGAGTTTGGGGACGTCTTTCTTGTGGACCCTCCGCGCATACGAAAGATAAGGGCTAGGGCGCATAGAGCTCTTCCATATCCTGAAAATGGGATCTACATCGATGTCCGTTCCCTTTTCTGAGTTGTCGATTCCGCCAACCCTCCGTGCAGCTTTCGGTGTCCATACTGTAGGGAATATGAGTCAAGAAGATCTGGAAGGATTCGTAGAATAGACTCGTTGTCTATTCGCCACCGTCTCGATTAATTTGGAGGGTAGTTTCCATAAGGGTCCCCGTATCTATCGTTGAGCACATCAGGGTCCCAGTGTCTCTTATTGTCTTCTTCATACGCTATTTGGTCGAAACTAGCAGGGATGAAGGGATACCAGCTGATGACTGAAGCCACCGGCTTCAATATGTTGGAAACACCCACAATTCAGAAGAAAAGAAAGAAAACGTTCGCCCTCTCCCCTCCCCAACAAAAATAGCTCTAGTTCCAACCATTGTTATGTATTTTATTTTATTAAGAATACAATATTGCTCACGCTTCGTCCAGTCGGTCTACGGATTCCTACGATTATAATAGAGTCTGGTTTGAGCGAACCGTGAACACAATTATATAGAGACCGAGACCTAGGTCATAGACGACCAAGCTACTCGTTGAGCCCGATTCCTTATTATAATACCTACGGACGGGCTGAATCATCCTTCTTATTTCTTATTTCGATGGCTTCCTTATTTTGAGTATCCTTTTCTATACTTTACTGTCAACATCGCTATCAACCGGTTTCATGTTTTCTTTTCTTCGCCCGGCATTCAATTTTCGTCAGAATAACTATCGAAAATATAGGGACTTACATAACGTCGCACTGCGGCCTTAGGCCAAAATGACCTAATATGGAAGGAATTCTTATTATGTCCTTATTCCTACGTACACGCTCACATTTCTCATACCTACATGCACGGACTCATCTATTTGAGTCTTCATTTAATTTAGTCGGTTCGGTTAACCAAATTGCTCATTTCTCAAAATCTCTCTGCAGGATTAATCAGAAGTATTGTATGCAACTCTATCTTGGAAACAAACATAATATTCTATCCTACCCACTCAAGCAGGAATCCCTCCATAAATCAGACACGGAAAAGCTAATAGCCCATTTAACTAACAATTGGGCAAAAAAAAAAAAAAGTACATGGACACCATGAGGGGAAATCCCAGGATATATCCCGACCAGATATCTATCCCCCATTCAACACCATGAATAAATGGGCTGATAATCCTGAATATTTTCTCATTCGAAATTAACATATATGAATTTCTCCCTTTTGAGAACTGGTCATCTGTGATAATCTACTTATCTGGAAGGACTTCAGTATACTTCCTGATCTATTTTTGTCTTTTCGGTGTGTGATAGCCAGAGACGGAGGATTCTCCATATCCTCCCTGGTCTTGAGGTGATGTGATTTCTCTAGAGAGGAATGTTCCTGCGGAGATGTATATTGTCGAGAGTGTTTAAAGTATAGTATTGTTAGTCGGCTAGGGAGTTACTACAGTTGAATCCAGACCGATAACAAATGCAGTTCTTTATTCTGCATCTTTCATTATTTCCCAGTATTCTAACGGCTACTATCGATCTGGTCGGGGATTCCACCATGGCTAAAGGTGGAGGTGGTTCTGGTTCTGGTACCGATGGTACTCTATCAAAGTCCCTGTCATTCCTACCTCCGTACAATCCAGTCTCCCACTAACAGAAACAGGAAGGGCCGAGTACGTCACCGACTACGTCTACACCACCGTCTCCAACGGAGCCATCGGCGGTCGGAGTGCACGGTCATACACCCTCGAAGGTCGATTCCAGGCTATCGCAGACATTCTACAGAAAGACGATTACGTCGTGATCGAGTTCAGACATAACGACGGGGGGCCATTATCCAATGATAATGGTCGTACTGACTGTCCTGGAACTGGCGATGAGACTTGTTAAACGGAGTATAACGGACGTCAGGAGACGGTGCTCACTTTCCCAGCTTATCTTGAGAATGCTGCGGAGTTGTTTGTGAGAAGGGGGCCCATGTCTTGATATGTAGCGAGACGTCGAACAATGTGTGGGAAACAGGGGAGTATGAATACTCGCCTTCGCGTTTTGTTGATTATGCACGGTTGGCGGCGGAGGTCACTGGAGTTGATTATGTGGATCATGGAGGCTATGTGGCAAATGCGTATAAGTTGCTGGGGGAGGACATGGTCAATTCGTTTTATCCCAAGGATCACGCTCATAAGAGCCCTGAGGGCGCAAATATCGCAGCTCAAGCATTCCTGAAGGCTGTGGCGGATAGTGATGCGGCCCTGAAAGAGGCCCTGACCACTGATTTTTGATAGAGAGCCTGGATTGATATTATTCTTCACAATGTGTGTATGAAGACAAACTATACCTATTAACAAACTTGAAGTAATTATGTATAAAATTCCGGATATCATTCCCATCCAATAGACATGCAAATTTCACCCATGAGGGCTATCGGCCGAAAATCATTAAATGCTAAGGTAGTCAACCCTCCCAAGCACTGTGCCTCTCCAAACCGGGTATATCAGGTGGCATGATCATTTCATTTCCTCTAGTGTCTTTCGGATAACCCCACGCTTCTCCAGTCTAGTGTAGTAGAGCAGCAGGTTAGGATGGGTCTTGTTCGAGAAAGACCCATTCTCCTGCACGATTTCCCTCAACACCGGCCATAATGAACAATCATCAATTCCAAATGTAGCACCATCCAAGTAACTCTGCCCGCTTAAAGCCTTCTCCCACTCATCTAACGAATTGAATTCGTTGCTTTTTTTTTGAGATTTGTGTTCCCGCCAATGTGCTAGTAATTCGTCAATCTCTGCCAATTGGCTGCCCCCACGCAGCACCTCTACTCCAGGTCGAGTCATATCCGGAGACCGCCGGGCTAGATCGGTCATGATCTTGACGTCGCCAGCAATTGCAACGCCGTTCGGTCCGATGTACAACGGTCGTTCGGCGATTTGCTTACTGCTTTCGCGGACCGTTCCCGCGTCATCATCATCTTCGGTGACCGTGTCGTAACGAATGCCGTTTTCACCCAAGCAAAGCAGAACCCGTAGATTGGCCACTTGATCCGAGCCAAGAACGAGTTTCACAGTTGATGCGGTCACAAAGTTAACCACGTCAAACCCATCACCGTAGATAGCATCCCAGTCAAACTCGATGGAACGATTTTCTTCTCCAAAGGCGCGGATAAGTCGCTCCGTCTCGGCGGAATCGCCGTGGATGACCGGATTTGCTCGGTCCTGGTCTTTCGAGACGGCACCTTGACCCCAGATTGTGTCACCAGAAGGGTTCAAGAAAGTGCCGATATGTCGGAACGTAAGCGAGATCCGCTTGCCGCCGTACGCTCGTTCTTCTATGGATCTTTCCGAGTCCGGGCGCTTGTCTGGTCGAATTCCATGGAGCCACCGCATATTAGTCTTTTCACCGAGGATGAAGAGTGATTCGTGGGGCATCGGTACACGTTGTGAGTGTCGTCCTGAATCGCCCTCGGCGGGTTGGGCCTTACTGCGAAGTACCATGACCCGCTGGGCGCCGAGGCTGACATTGCAAATCGATGACCCTCGTACGATATCCAAGGTCTTGTCAGAATGCTCCGAGATACGGTCTTGTCCATCGCGGTATAGCTGGATGAGGACATGATTAAGCGGATGCCCAAGGATCCGCTCTACGACAGCACGCACCCGATCCACCGCCGGGGTAAAAGACTGAAATGGCGGGGATTCGTCCGCAGGATGGCGATATATAGGGACCGATCCATCCTCCAGGGGGCGACCTTGAACGGCAACAAGGCGCGGAACCTGACCCGACAGATGGTACATCTTTTGCCATGCAACTTCACCACTAATCTGTTCGAATGCCTCTGCTGGGAGGTCCAAATCGTGAACAATACGCGAGTCACCCTCTCCAATCTTATCACCTGGCTTGCAGGCAGCCTGCGATCGTTTGGGCTGTTTACCGCTTCGTCGGGCTTCTGGTCGAGAAGAACCTGGGACCTTAGGGTCGGATCCTTTTGAACGACGCATGCGAGGGCGCACCCCCTTATCTCCAGGCTGCTGCGTCGGATCTGAGTCTTGTACAGCTCGTGTGTATCGAGAGTTGCCCCGGGTCAGATTCGCCAGTTCTAGCAGGTCACCATCCTCATCGTCAGAACGCTCGGCCAGAATATCGTCCAGGTTGCGACGCGTGCCGCCCCTTTCCAAAGACGCAGGAGGATCATCCATACCAGTCAACTTACGGGTTCGTCGAAAGTCGAGTCCACCCATATCGCCCTCGATCCCCGCGGGGGTGACCGATCGTGCTGGCGTGGAGCTGCTGCCTTCGCGTGCGATCGCATCCGTCTCCTGCCAGTCCAGCTCCTCAAAAAGCTCATCTGCAGTAATTCCATTGGCTCCAAATATATCAGCCATCCGCCGCATCGCCTCCTCATGACGACCAAAGCTGCGAAACCCAAGACGATCCTCGATTAGGTTGACCGAAAACCCGTGACGCACCGCATCGAGAGCAGTAGCGTAGACGGAAACGTTGGACAGGGAACCGCATAGATACAGTTCGGTAACGAAGCGTGTGCGCAGGGAAAGAATGAGTCCTTGATCCTGCAAGGCGGAATACTCGGATTTCTCGACCAGCGTGTCGGCGTCGGTGTCGATGGCGGCCAGAATAGGTGCCGGGAACTGCGCCCCCGCCGTTTGTGGCCGGCAGCACTGAGCGGTTTCGGTCGACAAAAAGGCCTCGTCATCCACGGGACCCTTGGGCTCCAAGCTCACAGGGTCCACAGATTCCTCAGCAAAAGAACCCTTCCCTGACGCATCCCCCGCGCGACTTAATACCACCAGCTCCTGTAAGTCCCTCCCGACCAATGGTCGCCGTGACTCATAATAAGAACGCACCCAAACAACCTCCCCATTGTGACGGAAAGCGCTGGCTAGTTGGGGGAGGGTCTCGAGGAATTCACTGGCGTTGGAGACATAGACGGCACCGGAGGATCGCAAAAAATCATTTTGAAAATCCAGGAGAAGCAGGGCCTTACGGGTCTGAATGGTGGGCAGATCACCGAATTGGGAAAAGAAACTCATTGTATGAACATGGTAAGGGTGACGGTGGTGACAAGGGAGGCTCAAGGGCCGAGGGATAAACCACGTAGAATGCCGGCGCAGGAAAGATAATCCACACCAGAAGGGATGGGAGTAAGCTGGGGAACTGGGGCAGGTTGGCGACGATACGAGATCTATCACGAACGAGGCGAACGTGGATGTTTTGGTGGAGAAAACGGAACTGTGCATCGACACCTCAGGCATCAGCTCTGCGTGTCAGCCAGCCAGGACGAAGACAGAGGATGCATGATCTACCAAGACAACGGAGTCAAGGACGCCGTTAATTCCCACTTTGGAGGGCTGCAGGGCTCAAAAAAATCGTTACAGTTAGGGTGCAGATGAACCTCCAGGGTGTTTGGTACTATATGTGTATGTATGTACATGGGCTTCACTGAAGCTGCGTATGGACAAATGACCGAATTATCCACGGGTTAGCAATTGTTTCCATAAAATCCTCCCAAATGTTTGAAGTAATTTCTGGGACTTTGCATGATCAAGAGCGCAGTGCAGAAAGAAAGCGGAAATTCTATCCGGGGTATCTATCGGCACCGACTGGGTAGAGTCTATTCATATTGGCGAGTATATGCACATTATTTGAGCTACAGGGTCCAGCTAGCTGACCAGGCAACTCCGTACTGCAATGAACGAGGTTAGCGAAAAGAATCTTCAACGGCGTGTCACATATGATCTCCATGGTAGAACCCAGAAATACCAACGGAATTGGGATTCTGAGGCTGGAAAAGCACGAAGATAAATAGACTTTCTGACTTGTCCTAGGATTACATCGCTCTCGCGCCTCTAATTATGACCACCTAGGACATTGAAAAGACTATCGTTTCATTCAGAAGAGAGCCGAAACGACTTAAAAGTCTTCCGGTCGCTACTTGTGCGTTCTGTTGTACATGGAGCTAGGCTAGCATTCAGAGTACTAGATGTTGTATCTCCTAGCAAGCGCCGTACTCTGTAGGTCCGGAGTAGACGCATGGGTAACTGAAGAATGCTCTCTTCCTCACCAAGCTGAGAGTGCCTTACCCAAATTGCTGCAGGTGCCAAGACAATGCTACCAGACACATCCGGAAGGATCTTCGACAGCAGCGATGGGAAAGACCAGAGCCTTTTCGAGTTCCATCTCACGAACAGAGTAGATAAATCATGGTTTCACAATAAGTGCTCCTTACCCTATGTGCTTTGATGCGAGGAAAGATTCAGCAAGCTCTGCCCAACCAATGTAGTCCCAGACCTAGCGCTCGGGACGATTCTGTGGTAGCTTAAAACAGGCTAACAATACTTCAAACCTGATCACAACAGCAAAGAATGTCAAAGGTAAGATCTCAGATGACTCACTGATCAAAATGTACTTCGTACTCAGGAGTACATTGACATTGCCAACTTCCCCAGATGCGAAATTCCTCGAGGGGATCGGGATCTATGACTCCAGTGAACAGAGCCGGACTCCACACTGGTGGTCCCACTTTGATGCTGTACTCTTAAATATAAATTTGGGGGCTGTCATGGCCCTGGCTGTCTCGCTATGCACGGAGTATATTTCCACTGGCAGTCGAATGTGCATAAGAAAGACAATCAGTGATGACATAGCTTGACAAAATCAGCGCGATTGATCATAGGGGATTCTGGCCATGTCTGCGATGGTCGAGACAGCATATCACACATACTCTGATGGTATTCCGTACTGCTATCTAAGCAGGTTCATTGGCACTCCTGTAGATTACATAAAACCCCACATTTGACCGCTGCCCTCCAACCAATCATGTGCCAGGCAATCCGACATCGGCCGGGGAGGAACTGCCTATCTCCGGATCACGTGCTGCCCGCCCGCCGAGACAGCTCCTGGTGGCCGCAATTTATAACCTGTGCAACGTCCACAGATTCTTCTCTCTCTTCCATTGACAATTCTCCGTCCCAATCTCCTCTCTTCTCCTCTTTTTCTTTTCTCCTCAATTTCCTCCATCACTTCCAACTCCTTATCTCTCACAATGGCTTCTCGTGGTCTTCCCCGGGCCCTCCGCCTGGCCCGTGTCGCCGCTCCTCGCTCCGTCGTCTCTGCCGCCCTCCCCCGGCCTGCCCTGGCCAAGGCTGCTGCCAATGCCATCCCTCGCGTGTCAGGCCCCACCACTACTGTGCGCGGTGTGAAGACCATTTCCTTCGCCGGTTCGAACGAGACCGTCTACGAGCGTGACGATTGGCCCCGCGAGAAGCTCCAGGAGTTCTTCAAGAATGATACCCTTGCTTTGATCGGTTACGGCTCCCAGGGTCACGGTCAGGGACTCAACCTGCGTGATCAGGGCCTCAATGTCATCGTTGGTGTGCGCAAGGACGGTGCCTCGTGGAAGGAAGCCGTCCAGGATGGCTGGATCCCTGGCAAGAACCTATTTGACGTCAACACCGCCGTCGAGAAGGGTACAATCATCATGAATCTCCTCTCGGATGCTGCCCAGAGTGAGACCTGGCCCACTCTTAAGCCCCTGATCACCAAGGGCAAGACGCTCTACTTCTCCCACGGTTTCTCCCCCGTCTTCAAGGACCTCACCAAGGTCGAAGTCCCGAAGGACGTCGATGTCATCCTCGTTGCCCCCAAGGGATCCGGCCGAACCGTCCGTACCCTATTCCGCGAGGGCCGTGGTATCAACTCCTCCATTGCCGTCTACCAGGACGTCACCGGCCAGGCCAAGGAGAAGGCCATCGCCATGGGTGTTGCCGTCGGCTCCGGCTACCTCTACGAGACCACCTTCGAGAAGGAGGTCTACTCCGACCTGTATGGTGAACGTGGCTGCCTGATGGGCGGTATCCACGGTATGTTCCTCGCTCAGTACGAGGTTCTGCGTGAGCGTGGCCACTCCCCCTCGGAGGCTTTCAACGAAACCGTCGAGGAGGCCACCCAGTCTCTCTACCCTCTCATCGGTGCCAACGGTATGGACTGGATGTACGCTGCCTGCTCCACCACCGCTCGCCGCGGTGCCATCGACTGGTCCAACCGCTTCAAAGATAACCTGAAACCCCTCTTCAACGAACTCTACGACAGCGTGCGCGATGGCTCTGAGACAAAGCGCTCTCTGGAATACAACTCGCAGAAGGACTACCGGGAGAAGTACGAGAAGGAGATGCAGGACATCCGTAATCTCGAGATCTGGCGTGCCGGCAAGGCCGTTCGGTAAGTCAAGTCCCTTGGGTTTAAAAAAACTGCAGAAGAACTTTTGCTAACTCAATGATAGCTCTCTCCGCCCTGAGAACCAGAAATAAATCTAATGCTATACCAGTATGAGGATTGGAAAAGTTATGACTGTACCATGAATTAATTTCGGAGTTTCAATTAGTTACATAATGCAATTTTAAATATTCAATCACTTCTACCATACTGTACTTAGCGTAGAACAGCGTCGATCTGCAGGTTTATTGGATTGTCACCAATGACTCACGCGCTTCTTCCGATTATCCCCGTCAACCCCTCCATCGCCATTATTCCTCCACCATAGATCAAACAATCCCTTTTGTATATACAGTTACAGATAGATCAAGATTTTTAAGATTATCACAATGTCCGACTCCAAGACCACAGCCCAATCCCTCACCCCGGCTGCAATCCACTCTGCCTACACGCTCATCAAGCCGTACATACACCGCACGCCCCTCCTAACTAACCAAACACTCAACGCCATCGCCTCGACACCGCAAACGCCCTCCTCGCTCGCCGGCACCGAATTCGAAAACCAGGCCCCCGCAAACCCTACCTTCCGGTTCTTCTTCAAATGCGAGAATTACCAGCGCATTGGGGCGTTCAAGGCGCGGGGCGGCTTTCACGCTTTACTGCGGCTTATCGCCGAGCGGGGTAGGGATGAGGTACAGCGGAGGGGGGTGGTTACGCATAGTTCGGGTTTGTTGGTTCATTTTCCTTATCCTTCTTTCTCTGCGTTTCTTGGTTATACGCTTGTAGTGGGTGTATACTGGTTGGAGATTTGCTAATGTATGTCTGATATGGGTGTTTGTAGGGAATCATGCGCAGGCTCTAGCGCTAGCAGCGTCGACGTTGAATATCCCAGCTTACATTGTCATGCCGAGAATTAGCACACCGTCAAAGATAGAGGGCACAAAATCATATGGAGCAGAGGTGATTTTCAGTGGATCGACAAGTACGGAGCGCGAGGCATTGGTGGCTGAGGTGCAGGCGAGAACGGATGCAATCTTAGTGCCTCCGTACGATGATTTCAATATCATTTGCGGACAAGGCACGACGGGTCTCGAACTGCAGGAACAATATCTGGATGCTGTGCTAGAGAATCCGCAGTTAAGTGTGCATTTGCATCAGGGTGCTTTGGAAGAGAGACATCTCGATGCGGTGATCACTCCCATTGGAGGCGGCGGGCTCAATTCCGGCGTGGCGACGTTTTTCTCCGATAAACCAACGAAGGTGTTCGGTGCGGAGCCAAGCTTTGAGGGTGCGGACGATTGTCGTCGAGGGCTGCAGGCTGGAGAGCGCGTTCTGGCAGTCAAGACGTTGACGATTGCGGATGGGTTACGCACGCCGGTGGGGGTGCTTAATTGGGAGGTGATTTCGAACCAGGACAAGGTTGCGGGCGTGTTTTCTGTCACGGAAACGCAGATCAAGGATGCGATGCGGTTGGTGTTGGAGAGGATGAAGGTGGTGGTTGAACCGAGTGCAGTGGTCGGCCTGGCGGTTTGTTTGTTTAACGAGGATTTCCGTCGTCTGGTTGAGAAGGAGGCGCCGCAGGGGTGGGATGTAGGTGTTGTGTTCAGTGGCGGTAATACAACGGTGGAGGCCATTGGGAAGCTGTTTGGATGATGGGTACGGCAATAGGACAGTGTGTAGAGTGAACAGCTGTAGAGCATAGTCCATAGAACATGAGCTGCCCTGAGTCCTTGATAAATATGCAAGATTTCTGAGCAGTCAGGAAGGTCAAGTGAAGTCAACTCCATCATTTCCTATCCGAAAGGTGAACATGCCCCGGTTTCTTCTCTCGAGTCCGTCCAATATCCTGCGAGGCCATTCTTCCTGGCCCCATCTATTCACCCACGCCGAGAACTTCCCCTGCAAGACCGTCTCCTGTCGCATACGCGCATCTCGTTGGGCTTCGTACGGAGTCATCGAAGGCGGAAATGGCCGAACCGCATCACGCTGGACAACTAGCCTTAAGTTGGGAAATATGCCCCAGGGAGCGGGGAGGGTAGATCGAAAAGCCGGCCTATCCGGGAATGAGGTTTCCAAGGGGTTGTATAAATCGAAGGGACCGGATGGTGTATATCTATAATACTGGCCATGGCTGTGGCTTCCTGTCATGGATCTCCCGCTCGCAGCTATAGTAGTATAAACAACCGAGCAGCTGAATTGTTTCTGCAGTCGTTTCAATTCCCCAGCCAGATCTGCATACAGGTCAGAGAGGTAAAAGCTCTGTTTCTGCTGCCTTTCACGTTCAATGTCAGCATGAGGGCGTCCGATCTCCTCAGTTCGAGCGACTTCATCCTGCAGCCTATCTTGCCAGAAGAACGCGCTAGCGCTATCAATAAGTATAGCCCGGAGGGGTCGATCAGAGGATATATGCCGTTGGAGGTCATACAAATATGTTTCCAGGTGCCGTAGTGTAGCCAGGAATGCCGACGAGGACTGTGGACGGAAAACATGGACATGTTTCAGGGAGGAGACCAGCATCACTTCCAGATCATGATTGGACGACCATTCAGATAGATCATTGTCTGCCTCTGTACCCCTTGGCGACTCAGCAGCTGTTATTGTCACTCGTTTCTGAATGATCCCGCGAGCAACAGCCTGTAGTCTCTCTGCTTCGAAGCGGCCGTCGGTGTCAATAAAGACAACGGCAGACTCTTGGCCACCTAGTTGGATTCCGTCACACACAGACGGCAAGACACCAATTGCGGAGAGGTAATATAACAGCTGGGATTTTCCGGATGCAGAGGAGGTGCTTGATATCTCCAGAACCGTGTCGCGATGAACACGAATTGGCGTAGGAGCTTGTTCGGTAGAAAGTGGGTTTACACGGGTTTCCTCTTGCAATTGCTGGCCGTCGCCCAGTTCACGTTCTTCATCTCTATCACGAGGAATAGTCTGTTCTAGCTGCCGTGGCACCTGATGACCCTGAGGCGGATTCACTGGAGTGGGTTTCATAAACACATCTAGAAAATCATCAATCTCTTTGATTCCTAGGCGGCGTTCTAGTGCATTGTCATCGACGGTATCATAGTACGTGGTTCTCAGATCATGCAGGAACTAGCACATTAGCATGAATACATAAGAAGCGACGTTGCGCCAAAAAATAAAGGCTAATATTCAGCCATATCAATCACTACGCAACCAGGAGAGCAAAATGGAAGCAGCTGTACCTCATCCAATTGTTCTTCATACACCTCCCCAAGCAATCTCTCCCCAAGATTGGCAGCCATTGCTGAGACTTCCCTAATCCGAGAATCATATATAATCCAACATTGTAAAATAAACAATAACAGTCTCCGTGGTGATAAAACAATCCCTGTGGAGCTTTCAGTCGTCCGACCTAGAAGATTGTCGGAATATTGCAGGCCAAGGCAAGTAGCATCTAATCTGACATGGGCGGCCGCAAGTTCCCGCTTCCACTCACTCACTTTTCCTCTCCGAGGCATTCAAAACAGAGTACTCACCAGCGTTGCAGTATATCTGTTTAAATCGCATCTCTCATATTACGGATCTGTCGTACGGAAACTGGTCTAAATGGCTCCTCTCGTCCCAGTGTTCTCCGCCGAATCTCTCCCTGGTCATGTCAGCATCATCCGTAAAAACTTCCAAGAGAGGCGTCGCAAGGGCGGTCCCGTCGAACTAGAGAAATGCAAGCTTATGGAAATGGTGCAATATTCTTGTAATCCGCCGCAGGATGGGATCCCCAAGCCAGGTGTGGTCACTTGCAAGCCCGTGGTACGGTTATTCAGGCGGTATGTTGTTGGTTCTTCGTTAGATTGTCGCTGTTTCTGACTGTGTCTCTTAGCTGTGCCAATGGATTGACCGTTGAAACGACTGCGTGGGAGCCGATCAGGCAAGCGGAAGAAGAGGCGAAGCGCAAGGCTGCAGTGGAGGGTGATGCGAAAACCGACGGCAAATAAAAGTATGGACGGCCTTATTAACGGCATTGCGTACGGAGTTGGGATTCGGCATTCGCTCTACAAGTTCTGATGAGATACCAACAGCTACAATTTCTCGTTCAGTTTCTTCCTTTGCATGTTCAAATCAACTCCATGGGTATCTTCTCGAGTATGGCTATACTACAAAAGTCAAACGCCCTGACGCCAATCCCGTGTTTTCCCGTCCTTCACGCATCCCCAATTATGTACCCACCCAGCTTTCCACCCTGGGGATGCCCGATGTGTCCTTTACTCCAGGGGTTTTTTCCTCCGGTCTCCGGTCTCGAGACACAGTCGACTTGCGCCAAAGATCCCGTTCACAGTTGATAATAGGCGGTAGTTCGATGCTCAGCGACGTCTTGCTTCGGTTTAGCTTAATCTCCGTATCGGGTGCAGCTCCAGAGTCTATCTCCATAGACGCGACCAATCCAGGAACAGTTGCGGGCTTTGGCGTTTTCTTCAAAAGTTCCTTGACAGTCTTTTCGAACATACTGTCCATGCTCTCTGTCCTCCGACCCCATGACTTCTTATCCCTGCCCGAAGACCCAAGTTGATTGTCCTTGAAGGCTGCTCGAGCAAGTTTGCGCAAAGCCTCCTCTCCATGACGTCCATCTTCTGTTGCACGCTCACGAATCTTTCGGGGGTCTTGCTCTCGCTCGGTGAATACGGGAGTATGTCGGTAGGTATGTTTACTGGGAAATTCGGGGAAATGTTTGGGGATGTGCGCGCTTCGGACTCGATCGTCCTCGCCACTGAGCCGGGGTCCGAGAGATGGTAAGGTCTTAAAGGAGTCGTCTTCTGGTGGAGGGCTTGGTAGGAGAGTTGGAGTAGGTTCTAAGTCCCGAATAGTTTTGACGTGTGGGATGAGGTCGTCCACGCGCAGGGAGTGTCTCTTCAAAGCATGTTCGAAATCTTGTGGAATAGGTTGTATGCGCCGGCTTGAGAGCATTGACTGGCGTATGTATGATGCAAATTTCAGGAGATCTGGTATCAATTCAGTCAGTACCATCTGGGTCAATATCTTCACATATACCGTTTTGATAACGTACACTCCTCCGCTGCATTGCGAAAGCTATCCAACGCCACCGGATCGGCCAGGTCAAACCCATTTTCTCTTAATGAAAATCCAATAGAGCGACTCATCAAATGGTCGATGGAGGAAGCATCAGTAATGGCAGGCTCCGAAGTGGCTGGGATGACAGGATTCTGTAGGCGATGGTGGTGATGATACGGGCGCTTAAGCTTCTTCACATCCGAACCATGCGACTGCCCTAACGGCGAGGATGAGGAGCGCTTGAAGGTAGGCTCAGAGGTGAGCATGGCGAAGTGGGCGTTGAATGGTCGTGGAAAAGGGCAGGGTGTTGGAGCCAAGCAAGTCTCCGATGTCCATTGAATCACGTGGTTTACAAACCTGAGGCATACATCAGGTATCCCCCTGGGATCACGCCGTATGGAAGACGAGGAAGATGAAATACCTAAGGACAATAATAAAGCTCATATGGAATCCAAAGAAGCAGCATACTGTAGACTGTAATCCCATGTAAAGCGAAAAGCATTCACATAGTCTCGTGGTCGTCTGTCCATCCCGAGCCAAATCCCTTCCGCCGTTTCCAACCAGTCAGGCCACTCACAGCGGTCGCTTACGTGCCGGAACGAAAGCTTCACCTCGACTTTCACTAACATCGTCGTCACTTACTTCTTCTCCTCTCCCCACCTCCCCTCCACCACCCAAAGCAGGTCGTTATCTGCTACAATCGCTTCGAGTCTGTCTCTTGAGTCAAACTCTGTATTCAGTCCATCACAATGGCCGCTATCGCCCCCATCACCGGCGTACGTTTTTATCCCACCTCAGATAATCCCACTTGTGACATCAGCTTGAATCCAAGCAATAATTCCTCACTCACACTCAATGACGCCTACGCTAACATTTTCGTCTATCCAGATGCTCCGCCGCAGCCTGGTCCTTGACCTGAGCACAGCCTTCGGTGAGTCCCTACCCATGACCATCTCGGGATCACATCCGAAATCTGGACAGAGCAAGAATTTCTCCGGAACCCCGGTATTGGGAAACGATATCAGCATAGTGAACCAATCGCTCCAGCTGAGAATCAGCAATGACACTTTCTCAACTTTTCACTATATCAAGAGGCTGACAGAGCCGTGTTTGTATTTAGGCTTCGGTACCACTTTCGGCTACCTCTGGTGGTACGGTACGTAAACGTCTATTTCCATTTTCCCCTGCCGACCTCATTTCCTCTGTCCCAACGACATTCTACTTTGGATCTTCTCCTAACTATACCAGGCTACCACCTGCCCCGCGTCCGCGCCCGTGACAACTACTACACTCGTCTGGAGCAGGAGCGCGCTGCCCAGCAGGCATAGATTCCCTCCATCTACAAACGACGCACAATTCATTGGGGTTCCACGATACCCTGACTAATCTACACGCCGAGTCCGGATATGTCGGTCTATTCTGTTGAAGAATTCTTGTCAAGTGTCGGCGGTATGAAGTCCAGAAGCTAAGTACTTGAGATTGTACCTATCTTTCGCGTTGGTCCTAGGTTGTGTATCGGAGGTTTAATTGCATGCCATGGGAGAAATACCAGAAAAGATACAGTGTTTGATTATTATCTTAGTTGTTGAGTTGTTTATGCTGGTTGTATATATACGCTTGTAACTCAAACGGTGTGGTTGTTGTTGCTATATCTTGAGTCTTCCGAGGTGTGAGCCCAAGTAGATACGGTCATAGTAAAGGGGTATTTATCTGATATAGGCCATTCCGTGTTATTTGTTGGCTACCAGATCTGCTCTACATCTGTAGAATAAACTCAAGATGCGCTAGTCAGCCTTACGAGTATCAGAAGTATCTATAGAGTACAAGAGAAATACATAGGTAGAATAAAAGCAAAGCTTCAACTCCATAGCATGTATTCATTACTTTCGTGAACAAGTAATCTATCCAGTCGCTAATTAATTCATATTTATAAATGCAGGGGAAGACCTCATAATAGAATAAGTCTCCTTCTCTTCACATTGCCAAGTGCCAACCGTCCCATATATCACAGGTACAGGGATCTGAACCATGACCACACTGTTTTTTGAATTCCGGTCATTGACGTGCCCAAGGCCTCCATATAATTTTGTCTGTATGCGATATTCATTTCATGACACGTTCATACTGAACTCCCCGGACGGCGCCTCCCCCCATTGACGTGCGCACATTTCGCTTGAAAGCATCCCGGTGTTGACGTAGATCATCGGCGGCTTCCTTGTTCAGTGGATCGGAGGCATTGGGTTCAAGGAAAAGGAACTAGAATAGCCCCATCAACATCAGCATTTACCACGCAACATAATCTATCTCCATAGACTCAACTGGGAGAGGGTCTAATACACACCTGCATGCCCACAATTACCGCATTCAAATTGAGCACAGGCTTCCAGTCTTCGCGAAGGATATTCAAGCACACATTCCCTTCCAGGTCGATATTAGGATGATAAATCTTCTGCGTACATTTAACTTTCGGCGGATCGTGCGGGAAGTTCTGATTCACGTTGAAGTTGAAATGGAATGCACCACCCTTGTACATGCCCTCGTCGGGTTCGATAGAAAGGGTGAAGTTAAGAATATCGTCGGGGTTAGGGAAAGTCATTTTCATTGTACTCCCGAGGGTCAGTTCCTGGAGATCTAAGCAACAGCGTGTTAGTTGATTCATCCGAAGAGATTACGATTACTCGGGTGAGAAGATATATCGGGCGTCGTAAAAGCATACCCCTCTGCACGCGGAGCTGAGCCGCAGTGACCTTCTTTTTCTTTTTCCCAGCTGCCCCTTCTGCATTTTCAGCTTGCTGCTGCTGTTGTTTCTATGGTATTACAACGTCTGTTAGGATCTAGGCCACTTCGACCAATGGAGGAGAATCGAATGCCTGCGTACCATAGACCATATCTTCAACATCTTGGATGAAACACGCCACAAGACCCCTTTGGCAACTTTTAGGACGAGATGTGGGATACTATCTGCTGATATGTTCTCTGACAAGTAAGGAAGAGGTCTAACAGGAGCAGACTGGCCGAGAAGGTGGTTCTTATGGCCAGACAATTAACGTGGAAAGACGCAATAAGAATGTCCCTGCGGGGTCTGCTGAGCAGTGAACCGTTTTATCCGCTTTACCGGCAAGTAAAGGTAGCCTCGCAAGACACACGTATTGGCTAGAATGCAATAAAAACGATGAATGAAAAAGACAAAGACAAAACGGTCGAGGTTCGAGAGTAACTTCAGTCGAGTGCCTATCGAGTACGAAATGAACACCTGATCGGTAGATCGCGCAAGTAGCAGCAGTCGCCTTACCATGCGCATCACCGCCTCCCAAGGCGGCAATTCCGATGGACTCAGCATCTCTCCAAACTCTACCATCACAGATTAGGAATGAAAACTAGTTGACCAAGAAATTCTTCATTTCACGGCCCAGTTGCGCCATGAATGCATCCTAGTTATTCTAACCGCTAAGACTCTACGAAACATCAAAGCACCTGCGGCTTGTCAACCGCATAAATCCAACCATGACAGTGTAAGCAAATGAACAACAGTGTAAAAAAAGAGAAAAAAGCAATGTCGAAAGAAAAAGAGAAAGAAAAAAAGAAAAATGAGAGGGAAAGAATGGTAAAAAATAACAAAGAACAGGCATCGTATGTAGAATACAAAATTGCAGAAATGTGCCTATAATAACTCCGACTTAAAAGGCACCCTTTGTTCATTACGGGGTCTCTCTACCGCCGGGCGAAGCAGCACATTATACCTGTCTTACCCAGGAACCAGCAGGCCCCAATGAAACGGAATAAGGCCACAATAGCATTAGCCCACAGCAAAGCCTGGAAAAATCGTGAGGTCCGATCGGTTGCCGAATTCTGGAGAGAGAATCGTCAGTCCATGTTCCCGGAAATGTTCATAAGCGAAGATGGAAGGGAGCACCTACCGTGAAACCAAACTTATCAACGCCGTCACTGGTGATGCAAACCGACATAAACGCATTGCTGAAAATCCAGAGGGTCACAAGTCGTGTTCGGAAACTCTTGTACGAATCATCCAAAGACTTCTCCTCCTTCTCAACAGGAGCAACGTAGGGAGTCAAAGCACGCTTCACAGTAGCTTCAAACTGGCTATCGATATCAGCCTGCGGTTTGTCAATTTCTTCGATCACCGCCTCTTTATCTCCCTCTTTTGTGGTCTTCGCCGACGGCAGGGCATCAGCCTTGTCGGAACCCTTGGTACCCCAGGACACATCATGCCAGTTGCTAAAAGCATAAACATTGAGAATGTTGATGTAGGAAGATTGCACGGCCATGTATGCAGGGAATGAGGTGAACATGTGCCATGGGTCCAGGTACATGAACGACGCAACAAAGTAGAGACCAAAAGTGGCAGCAAGCGCGATAATGATAATACCAGCGCCTGTTGATCCGAAGAATGAACTGAGGAACGGTCCAATGCCATGATCGGTATCGAAATCCATGGGAGCGTTTCCACTGAAAGCACGGACGACCAAATACAGTGCATCAACAACAATGTAAATTTGGATGATACCAAACACCACAAATGACGCGAGGTACGAGTACTTTGAACCCTTAGGACGGTTACCCAGAGCAAGAATGAACTGTAGCAACAGGAATCCCAGATAAACATATTTCACAATCGTATTCACAACCGGGGTAGCAGTGTTGCCAAAGGGGAAACTGGTGTTATCGTTATTCTTGCTGGGAGTCCCAACCAAATCCATGATAACGGAAGTTGTGAGCCAATACGACGCTACGAAGACAATGTCAGAAAAGATATTTCGAAGGTCTAGAGGGGAAGGCTAAGAGCGAGTCGGAAGGCACGAATACACTTACCCAAAGAGAACCATGTAAGGATGGTATTGAACACATTGTACAGCATCTGAATGTGCAAAAAGAACATTCGTATCAAATTGTGTCCACTCTTGTACATTCTTCCGAAATGCATAAGCGAGTAAATACCAGCCGCGAACGAACCGTTCAGCCAACGACGACGCTGGGAAATGAATTCAGCTGCACCTTCAGGCACATCGGTTTCACCCTTGGAGGCCTTCACGTAGGACAAATGCCATTTAGAGCCAGCCTTGGCAACCAGTTCGAAACAGAGAATTCGATCTTCGGCCAAGAACATGTTCTTTTTGAAGATATTCATGCCTTCAATACCCTTCTTACCCAACTGTTTCGAAAGTGTGTGATCACCATGGAAATATTGTTCCAACGGGCGACCCATGATAGCGCGGAAGCGGTAAGCAGAGAAGGCGCCAGGCAACACACTGACATATCCAAATGAACTCTCAAGCGGCTTGTCAAGGATATTACTGATCTTGTATTCGAAGTTCTGTGCGGCGACCAGGGGGTTGATCAGGTTCTTCCAACCTTTACCCAACATAGCGTGAATTTCACCACAAGCACCTCCAAGGTCCTTATCGTTATAGAAGGCTTCCCACAAAGCCAGCAATGACTTGTGGCCAGGCTTTGTACCAGCATCAAGAAGAATACACACCTCGGGGTTCAGAATGCGACCAAATGCATTGAAGAGCCATCTGTGAGAGTTGATCTTCTTGCTATTTTTCTGCTTCAGACAAAACATCATCTGAACTGGTGGAAGGGTGCTTGGCCCATCGTCGGCGGGCCTGATGAGTTGTTGGTTAGGGGTGACGGACAATTGCGTCGTATATTCAAACTGCTTGCGGTTAGCTCATTCAAAGAATCGTGGCCAAAAACATTCATACAATATGGGCCACAGTTTCTTTGCCGTCAACATCACGCTTCATAACACCATCCTGGTAGATACCGATAGTAGCCAAGACATCCAAGGTATCCTTATCGCACGGATCGATACCATCAAACACCAAGGCAACGACAATCTTCTGCCAAGCAGGACCACCCTTGTTCCAGAACTCTGACTTTTTAAGGTTTACAATGTCACGGATATTCTGCATCACGCCATGCAATGTACGTGCTGTAAGCGTCTTGTCTTCGTTATAGTAGGTAATTGCAATGAGCAGCTCGGTATGCCGGTTATACATGGCAGGTCGAAGATTGTAACCATTATGAAGGGTGAACTCATTTGGGTCACATGTCGCAGCAGTGTCTAGTCGTAGGAGAATTCACATTAGCTTTCCCCCCCGGATAATGAAGCCACTCTAGCGGCGCCACTCACATCGCATGTGTGTAAACTCTTCGCTTCCGCCTTCAAGATCATTCCGATACTTGGCTTGAATAGCGTTTTGAATCGCACTAGGAACAGGATAGTCCACACTCAGGACGGAACCTTGAACAAGCTTGACCTTCCTAGTGGCATAACGTCGCAAGTTGCCTCCGCCACCGCCACCACCAGGAGCCTGTCGCTGTCGCCATGCTTCTGTAGAAGAGGTCTCGCTCCGAGCGTAGGGAGAAGCTACACGGCCGGGAACACCAAAGGCAGTCGCTGGATTCTCTGAAGAAGTGCCGGAATAAACGGAGCCAGTGGTGTTGTACGGATCATGATAACCTGATTCGGGAGCATAGGTTTCGGTCAAGCTGTAGCCAGAGGTGGGACGGGGTCCAGGCGACAGGCCCCGCTGGTGAGGGTCGTCAAAAGGGCCGGCGAAGGGACCCTGCTGGTTCGATAATAATCCTCTAGAGGCTTCTTCTTCATGGTTTTCATACTAAAATGCGTCAATGCATTAGCTCCTGTGCAAAGAGGGGGTATAAAAACAAAAACAAAAAGGAAAGTAAGGAAAAGATAATTTCACGCTTATCAACATGGAACCCAACTTACCGAAGCACCATGAGGAACGTCTTGAAGTCGATGTCCGTTATTATCGTCATAATTTGGCGAATGACCGCCAGCGCCTTGGTAGGCCATATTCAAAAGGGTATGCTAACAGACGAGGTGGTTTCGCACGGTGAAAGGAAAAAAAAAAAAAAAAAAAAAAAAAAAACGAGAAAAAAAAAAACGAGATCGCAATGCAAGGCAAAACGGAAAGGGGTATCGGAGAAGGTGGTAAGGAGTATCCAGATCGGGTAGGACAGAACCTGTCAACAATGAACGAGACCGACACAAGTTGAACAGGTTGAGTAAGAAAAGAGAAAGTAGAGAAGCGGCGAAGGAAGGAAAAAGGACCCCAAATCAAAGGAACAGGGACTATTGGAAACCGAGACGGTGAAGTTGGCGAAGATTGCGCGGGCACAGCAGGAACGTGGAAGAAGCCACCAGGGCTACAAAGGAAGCCCGCAAACACAAGACAGTAAAGTGAGAGAACGACAACAAGGTAAATCTGGCTACAAAAGACAGTAACACCCGGAGAAGCGATACTCTGTATAGGACAACAGAGAAATCGAAAGATTTCCAGGACTGAAGCTGGGAGGGGCAGGAGAAAGGGGAGAAACAAGGGCAATAAAAAAAAACCCCCGTAATACTGAATAAAATAAAAAAAAAGGGTACAACGTCTCAACAGCAGTGAAAGGCCAAAAAAAATAAAAATAAAATCTTGTAAACGAAAGCCAGCCTCTCATTCAGCCCGTTAGTTTTTGAGCTACTCCATAGGACTGACCCTGGCGCGTTTTCGGCTTGAAAGACGGCGCCGGGATAGTGAGCCAAGTTGGGGTGGGTACTGGATTCCTTACCAGAGAGATGGGATCGGATGTTGCTAAAGAAGCACCGGGCTTGTAATCTCGGTATTGGTTTTAGCCGTTTGTTAAAAGTACAAAATGTTTAGGTACAGGACCTGTTTATTCTAATATATTCATTTATCTTGAAGGTGTGATGGAAATTAGCATCTGACAGGGATATTGAGGACGACTTTCTGGACACATCCACGCTCATGGAATGCCATTATTTGCCGAGACCTCCCCAATGCAGTAACTTACCTCTCTCCATAGTATCTGCTACCTACAATTGCAACCAAACACCGGCTCTGTATTTACTTAGTAAAACCAATACAAAGGTAATATACAGAGTTTCATAATGGATACCTATTCTCCCCGAATATACTCAACAGAGCACAGTACCTTCAGTAGCAAGTAAGTATATTATGGTTATTTATCTTGGTTTATAAAGTTCATACACGTAGAGGCTACGGATCTTGGGCCTACTGACCACAATATGCCGAGAAACATGTATTAAGATTACAGTACACGGCTGTTTGTCCTACCTGCATTGGATGAGCATGGACCCTGCTACCTCGAGTTAGACTACTGTGTAGAGTTTCCTTTGACTGCATGCGAATATCGCCTGAGACAATCAACAGTCCAGTCATGTATGGTAGGCAGGGAGGATGGTCTTTTCAACCATGGAGGTATCAGCAAGGGAACAACACCCCTGCCCCCATTTCATTCCTTCCAATGTTCTTTGAGGCTTAATGAGTGTTTCTATTGGCTGATGATGGTAAGCTGAATGCCTCGTGCCAGTTTCTTATATGCCAGCATTCCATACTATCCCTCGCCAGCATAAATGCCAGTTTTTCAACCCGGTCCAAATGGCGGTTTATAATCTAATATAACCAATCAGCATGCAGCAGCTGCGACTAATTACTATAGAGTTGTTTCGGCTGTATTACTATGCATCTGGAAAAATAAGGCATAGATCGATAGATGTCCCCTCGCACTCTGCAATCTACCTATCCACCTATCTTAGGAACTGGGTACGAAATATACTGTACGGTATCTGTATCAGTATCAAATAAAACAGCCACAATACGTACACGAAAATTTCAGGGGGCGGGGGCCGCCCGATACCTCGAAGAGGTTACACTCCACTAGCCAAATATAGCCTTGTGGGGAATAGAATTCCCACCTAACAAACCGTGTTTAAAGGCCGTTGGTCAATCGAACGCCACCATTGGCGCTAGTAATCAGAAGTCCGAGGCAAAGTCTGCCAAACTCCAAGAGACTCAGAGCCAGAAGGTCCAGTTAAAGGATGGGGGTAGGCTGATTAGTTGGTGTCATGCTCACAGACCAGTCCGCCGTTTCAAATGCGGCTGCCAATTACTGAGCCCCAAGTCCTAATGAGATGCCTTTCTAATTGTTGGATCTTGGGGGGAGTCAATTTCCACCAGCCTCTTCATGGGCTTAATTTCGAAGTCTTTCCCCAGTCCCAAATTGCTATTGCTCATGGTTCGGTGTGGACTGCGGAGCGAAGGAGCTAAGCCAGATAGTCCAGGAAGGAGGTTGTTGATCATCACTGCCACCAAGGCTAGTTAGTGAGTACGTCGGGTTTTTCAGTCTTTTCCAACTGCTATTGGTAGAATTTTTCTGACAACACTGTCCAAGACAAAAGTCGTGCACCACGACCACTGTAGCACTCCTGGAATAGTAAATGAATAGTGAAGGTTGAACTTGCGCAGGATCATGAATAAGGTGTGAACTTGTTTTGCAAAAGTAGAATAAATATGGATTGAATGAGATCATCTTCGTCGACATATTATGGAAGAATTACTAGATTCTATTTGTGATCATCTGTTGATCTTCCGAGTTCTCAACGGCAACCAGATTCCACGCCACGAAGAATGCAATCCTTGTCTTGTGGAAATCTAATAGACGCTGTCAATCTCCCCGCTTCTTTGGTTTCTGTTTATCAGCCTTATCTTTTTTTTTTTTTTTTTTTTTTTTTTTTTTTGCCTTCGTTCAATCATTTGCTGATGTAGCGAGACAGGAGAGAGACATGAGACGTGGCGATTTGCGTAAGTACTTCCAGTGGTCCGAATATGCGTCTTCATCCACTGCACTATTTGGATATCATCAACTTCATTCGTACCTGACAGGAATAATTCTCCGAATTGCAGTGCCTCCAGGTATGTCAGCAAAGCTTAACCCTGGTTGCGTATCTCCCTAAAATAATATATAAAGTAGTACGACACCTAATTTCCGTACAATATAAAAATAGCACAGGGAAGATACACATTATAGGTAGACAAGTTCGTTGCTGCGTAAGGTGCTAGTACTTCAAGGTGTACCAGAGTAAGGCTACTATAAAGAAAGAAATGGAGCCTGCACCATCGGAGTGCTTTAGCTATGCATAATGCTTGTTCCATGCATTTGCTTTTGACGTGGCCAGTTGCAGGTTACAGCAACAGAGTACATAAGAAATTGGTCAAGGAGATTAGAAGTCTTACGGCTATAGAAGTATCGAGCAGTAATTGCTCTTAACAACTAGAATGAAGCATGCAAATGGTTACCGCAACTCCAACAGTGAAAAAGATTCATCACCCGCTAGCACTACATGGTTTCGGTACGTATCCGTAGAGGGATATTATATTGGTTATAGTGTCAGAAACTACATCCATTTATGCATGTATATCTCCATTAAATAGGTGTGAGTAGAAATAAAATGGTATGTAGAGAAAATGTATATAAATAGAGCAACCAGTCTCCACGGTCCATTGATATATTAATCTATAAGGACATATCGAAAATACATATCTAGCAAATCAATATATAAAAACTCAAGGAAGATATCCCCATTTATTAGTCCGTCGAGGAACTCCAACTCAGCCTAATGCTACTATGAACCAGGACTTTACAGATATATTGTATTATAATGAAGTTGTGAAGGTGGATCATTGTTCGGTGGTGGTAATGGCTTGAATTAATCATCATCAAACTTGGCTTAGTAGTCAGTGGTCGTGCATAGGGTGTGATAGCTGCGGGGCGGGAAGCCTCGACTGGTTAATCTTCTGAAACATGATTGCTCTTCTGAACCATGGGATAATCATAGGACTGGAGCTCATCACAAATATTGTACCGACCCAAGAGCTGCAGCTATTTGAATTCACTTTATCTGGATATGCTAAATATTGGTAAATAAGGACAAACCTTGATGTGTGCTCTGTGCTCTATGGAGGTCATAATCTCGGAAAGGCTGTTATACCTAGAATCTACGCATGTACTCACTAATGTGAATCATAGTATGGACTTAGGCCGTGAGTTGAGCAGCGTTGACCATAAAAACGGGGGCCACGGTAGATGATGGACGCGTGGCTTGCCCGGTAGCTACTCCGTATCTAAATTGGAGCGGGATTATCTTTGCTCTATTCCTGCCTACTATTTAGGTAGGGCATGGGAAGCGCTTATATGGACAATAGCTATTGCTGTTGTGTTGCACAAGTTCTTAAGTCGATGGCGTACTCCATGGTGCTTATGGTCAACCGTTGAACCAATACCCGATAATGGGGGTGCGACAGAGGGACCATGATCTTGTCTGTCAGATGTGTTCCTGAGGGGCTCCATCTCGGCCGCGCCTGAAGGTGGGTGTGGCTGGTGATCTGATTGGCCCAGGGTGGCCGATGTAATCTCCTGGAATAGGGAACGTGGGCTGGTCCAGACCAGGGGCAATTCAAACACACACTCTGGTCTCTGGCGCACGCACACACCTACTACCTAGTACTGGTCCTTCGTTGAGACATACTGTAGGCAGTAAGGATAATAATAATCATGGAGCCCTTAGGCATGTCAGGGGCAACTCCATGATCTAGATGCCTTATCCTCCGATGGTGTACAATGTACGTACTATTCTGTGTATGGACTATGGATAACAATGGAGAATAAATAGTACTTTGATCTAGCATTCCTGTACCACGGGAATCCATGCTATTTCTAGTATATGGACTACCAAGGTGGTATTTGGGAAGTGCCAAAAAAGGGTGATTGTTTACCATGGGAGAGAGTCAACTGCAATGTGGATAAACCTCGGACGACTGTTTTTCTTCAGCAATCCGATAGTGTTTTTGGGAATGCTGATCTGGATATCGTAGCAGACATTGTCCTTATTCATATAGAGCATACGCCCTTCTACTCCATACAAACTCCAGTTTTGTGACACTTCCCCTGTATCTTCTCCTCCGCCTTGCATCCGTGGAGATACGGCCTGGCGGAGTGGGCGTAAGACGTGGCTAAAAGGCGAAAGTAAAACTTCGGACTCTCATTCTCTCTCCACCCTTACCCACCACCACCACCCGTTCTCTCCTCTCCTTCCCGTCCCATCCTTCTTATCGTCTTTGTCTCTTCATTTCTCCTTCGTTGCTACGTTGTTGTTCCTTCTCTTATTTCTTTTCTCTCCCATTTCCCCTCCGTCGGGATACTTTTTACTCCAGGGACATTTGACCTCCTGGACTTCCCCTGAGCCTCTTCGTCACTGCCGTGGTGCCTGGCAGCCGCAACGCGCGTATTCCAACGTCAACTTGCCGACCGACTCCGTGAAGCAGCCTATCAATGTACCGGTTTTGACTTGACCGTCGCGGTGACTCGCCAGAACGCTCGAGTGGAAGGATTGCAAAGAGTGACAACCGATTTCAAGATCCTACTAGTTGGAGGATTATGACCTTTTCGTTCTAATTTTGCCTACGTGCTCACCAACATCTTGGTCCACTCGTTTCCATATAGCCCCTTTCTATTCCATTCATTCTGTATGAACCAGCGATAACGCTCACGACTCGACGCCTACTTGAGCATCTACTCTCGTTCAAATATTCTCTTCACGCTCTTTACACCGTTGATCGGCTGGCCACTCTTTTCCTAGACTGCAATATTTCCTGCTATTGCGACAACCTTGACTTCACCCTCAACTATCTGACTATTTTTCATCCTATATCACTCATCATGGCTCTTGAATCTACCGAACTATCCTTTTCCCCAAACGGTATGCCGATTATTCCTGTCTTTTTTGAGCCATACTAACAAAATCTGATTCAAGCCCTTGCCTCACGTTCTCTATTTAAACGGTGTGTGAAATGCTCGTCATCAGCACCAGAATGCCCTACCTGCGAATCTGGCTACACGTGTACTATGATTAGCCAGTCTTGTGACCAATGTGCAACTATGAAATGTATCCCCACCTCATCCAGTGGTTCAGATTCACAGAACGGCTCGTCAGGGGGAGGGAACAACGCGGGCGCTATTGCGGGCGGTGTTATCGGTGGTGTTGCTTTCGTCGCAATCGTCACATTCCTAGTGTGGTGGTTTTTTATTCGCAAGAAGCGCGAGGAATATGCCCAACAAGCCCAACAAACCGCAGTCGAAGGAGAAAAGTCACCCGCACCCACACCTGCTCTACAGTCAAGAAAATCGACGCATTCTATCGCTTCTACCGCCCTTACTCGCGCATCGAACGTCATTCAAATCGCCTACATCCCCGGTGTTACCAATCGATCACCACCCGAAACTCCACTTGTGCCGCCGGTTCCCCCACTTCCTGGTGCTACTCCTGATCAACATTTCTTCATGCCCGGTGATTTGCGCGATTCTTCGTGGTCCGATATGACAAATGAGCGCCGAAGCATTGCGCCGAGTCTGCGCAGCAGTGTGGCCACCACAATATATCGCAACAACGCAATTGTCAGCCCCTTGCCAGCACAGCAGGCGATGCGTACCCGGGCTGCCGTGGTCAGTATTCATAACGGACCAAACAGCCCGCAACAAGCGAGTACGGCGTCAGATGCTCCTGCCGTGCCCGCCATTACTCAGGCACAACTCGCGAAGGCTGGGGCCGCCGAACCAAATAGCAACAGTTCAATAGTAGCGCGGACTGTTACTGCCAAACCAGTCATGGTGAAGGGTTCTTCAAAGAAGAATATTAACAATACGCCTCCAACTGTTCAGGCAATATCCGAACAATCAGAACCCAACACATCTATCTCTACTCCACAATCCTTGCCTTCCAAGCCAGGACCTGAACAGTCTACTTCTGGTTTCGATGCGAGCTCATCAGAAGACGAAGATGAGAATTCTCAGCCAGCGGCCAACAACACCAAGCGTACCGAGACCGCTCACACCGAATCACAACCCCAAACACCCACCGTAATCGAGGATTCCCCGGCCATTGATCAAGGCCCGTTTACGGATCCATCCACAACAGAGACCAAGGCACGGCCATCGTCTCACTTGGAGGCCAACAATGGAACCAGATCAAACAGAAACAGTAGAGGTCCTCCCCCACGCGGCGAGAGCCCATTCTCGGATGCAAATGAGGTGAAATAAGGGGCATGTTGATTTTATTTGTTTGTTCTTTCTTTATTCCCACAACACATGTCCTTGACCATTGATAGTTTGGCGCAAACGGAAGCTCGGTAGTCGGTTTAACCCATTCTAGAAGCTATGCTCTTCTTTCTTTGTATCTATGAACAGGCATACTCTTTCGATCCTATATAAATCTCTTTTGGATCTGAGAAGATTTGCGTCATTCAAATTGTGCTCGCTATATAAAGACTCTATTTTATGTGACCGCTGAATGACGCTGTACCGGTGGTTTAATTCAATCTAATTATTCTAAGTATACGGGGATATTGAGAAGACACATAACCCGTGATAGTGCTCTTTGCTCTAGAATCTACAGCTATGGACTGTAAATAAGCAATTCTATATAAGTACTGTTATATTGTATAACGTTTCCACTCTGAAAAATAATAAAATACTGTTTAGAATATTATTTGGTAAAGTTTTATATCGGGCAAGATACCCAGCTCTTGTGCCTTTCGGTGGTACGTATATTAGCTACATACTAGAAGGTATTAGGGGGTCTTTTGCCCCTAACAAAGGGATTTTAAGAAATTTTATTTAGAACAAATAGTAAATAGTATATACATACGTTTTTCAAATTTAAATTGTCGGATTATATTTCGGGGAAAAAAAAAAGGTCTGCATATTATCCAGCCCGACCGAATCCAAACAATTGATCTACATGCACGGGTATGTAGGTACATGCATCTAGATCCAGGGTGCCATCACACGTAGATATATACAAGTATATTAAATTTTCTGGAGTCTCACAATTTCCGGGGCAACGTTTAGACCGGGCTCGACTGACAAGAGACGGAGGGAGGGACCTTGTGGGCCGGAGGGTGCAAACGAATGGCTTATGATCTATGAATGATCTTCTAGACCCATACCCTTGCCGATCTTTCGAATGAGAGCTCGTTTGAGGAAAGCTTCGCGTGATAGACCGCGTGTGTGTCGTGACCAGGTCTCGACGCTGATGACTCCTTTTACTAGGGCGGCCTGCAGGGCATAAATGGCCTGCTGGATGCCGCGTTCCTCGGCAACGAGGTCGTAGAGCTGTTTGCCGACGACGGTCGGGGCGACAAGGACGTCGTCGATGGGAGGGAGACCGGAAGGAACGGGGTCTCTACTGGATGACTGCGCGGCAGACGAGATGCGGGTCTGGGCGTCTGCGATGACGCCGTCGGCGCGATGAAGGGATTGCTGCAGGATAGAGGTGTTGGATTGGAGGGTTGCATTCAAACCATTCAGCGAGGCGATCTCGCCTTGCAGGGTGGCGATAGCTGCATGTAGGGACTGTGATTGTGAATGGAGGGACTGAGCGGCCGTTTCGGATTGCGCGACGTTGGAATGCAGAGTTTCTGCTAGCGTTTTGGACACGGCTTGTAGGAGAGCGTCCTTCTCGGGGTTGGGGGGTATCGGGGGTGCCGGACCCGTGGGGACAATCGAAGGGAGTTCTAGCTCGAATGGGGAAGTGAGGAGGTCTTGGGCTTCTGGTTTTGGTTGCGCTGCTGGCTGCGTAGTGGGGATGGGATGCTGAAACGTGCGAGGAGAGGGACGAGCAGTTGGCTGTGCCGCTGCGCGCTGGTACTGCGCGCTTGCTTGCTCGTATGCAGGATGGTGAACTGGGACATAGGATGGTTGGTGGTGGTGTTGGGGCCTGGGAGGTAGGCTATGAGGCGGAGGTTGAGCTGGAATGCCATTGCCAACTGACGAAGTAGCTGGTCCTTGCGGATATGCTGTCATCGGCTGTGGTATAGGGTGCGCCGGTAGTTGGTTATGACGATATGGACTCACTGGCCCTTTAGGAACACCGCCCCCCTCAGGGATATGTTGCGCATGATGAACCCTGGCACTGCTGATTCCCGCATGGGGTTGGGTGGATATCCGTCGAGGATCTTGCTCTTTGGGTGGTAGTGGGGGAAGAGTCGACGGAGTGTTATTTTGCTGTGATCGTGTGTTTCGCTGGAGCTCCGTAGCTGGAGTTAGCCCAGGTTTGGGGGGAGGCTGAGGTGGCGTCTGCGGTGCGGGTTGAGGAGAAGGGATGTTTTGGGCCGTCGCCAGAGTATTTGCTGAGGATTCAAGCTCTGGTGGAAGGGGAGGGAGAGGTGGTGGCGCTTGCACTTGTACTGGCTGCTGAGGATACTGCGGTACTGGTTGGGGCTGTTTGTATTGGACTGGCGGCTCCTTAGCGAATACCTCACGGAGTATTGATAGGAGGTCGACTAGAGTCGATCTCTGAACAGTGTGTTAGTAACCTTGCATCGGATACAACAATTTCAAAGGCCCTAGCTTACCTCCCATGCCCCTGCCCAGTGTGCTAGATAATGGTGATACACTCTTCCTTCCAATGTCACATGCTGGCCGACTCGGACCGCCATTTCCTTCGTCGGGGTCACATAGACGATTGGTGGTTCACGGGGGTAGGTATTGGGGACCCATAATGTTACTGGGAACTTGTATACCGTGCCACGAAACGAGACTGGCAGCGTACCTGAGAGTTGCAGAAGTAGGGCTGACAAACCGGTTTCGTAGGCTGGAGGTCATTGACACATGTAATTAGCGTCAACACTCTTTTCCACTCCATTCCCGAAAAGACTCACTGTAGACTTCTGTTCGCGGAGATATGGATGGATACTGGGCTAACACGTTGGCAACATCGTAGTAGGTCCGGTTGGGGTCTTGGTAAGTTTGCCTCGAGTCGTAGTGGTCCTGGTGCGAGCTGAATCAGTCCCGACTGAATCTCGAATACAGGGGGAAGTCGAGGAGGGTACCCTAATCAGCACACTGTAGAGCCAGTTGAGCGTCCTCTGCGGTACCGCAGCCATGTTGACGGAGCTGATGCGAGGGCTGGGAGCATGGTCGATTGAAGTTGACGAATTAATGACGGACCAAAGTCATTGCTCCCCCCCCGCAGTGGTCTTGGCTTCGTCTCTCGGTTGGAAGTGGCAGATGGCTGGAGGAATGCGGGAAGATGAGTTGATTCAATTCATAGAAATCAGAACAGGATGTCTACAGTGGAGCTATAAAGCATTTAATCTTTTAATGAGCTTGACATGGTTGGTATTCTGGAGAATTGGAGTTTAACTTTCTCTTCGCTGGTGGCTGACTCAGCCGCCATAGACCACAAATGATGGGGATTTTGTGTATTTCTTCCATCCCAGCCTGTCTGTCCAACTGTTGATAGGGGGAATCGGGGTTGTCTTTGTTAAGATATGACTCTTATTATGCAAGAATAGAAATTTATTGATACGATTTTCTTTTAAGAACCATGTAGAAGCTCCTGGCGCTGTTCTAATTGTATGCTCGAACATTGGGTTAAGTGCATGAGAATAGTAGTTGAAGTTACTACTACGGCCTCTACCTTCTGTGTTTGCAATTATAGGAACCAGGCAGGGGATATACCTAGTGGCACCTCTGAGGCCTGGTGTGATGCTCATCTTATTGTGCTGATAGCAATATGGTAGCTGCCTTGACATGGTATAAGAGTACTGCGCTCTCTAGAATGCCTCCAGAGGAGACGAGGTGCTTTTCAATACGTCCACATCATTATAGGTATGCTCCTGGATTGCCAGATGCTGATCGGTCAACATTCGTGGAAAATAGCGACGAGCTCAAGAAGCCCACAAGAGTACCATTCCCTTTCTCCTGGATTTTCTCGCAATTGAAACCATCAGTCCTAGGTTCTATTGCCAAACCAGCCAAAACTGTATTACAACGTTGACTCTAGGACCACTTATTCCCAAGCCATGGTAGGCTTGGTGGTACTCTGGCGGATGCAGACAGGAGAAGGCCAGTAGCTTCAGATTTGTCTGCGCTTCTAAATATTCACCTCAGTTTACCTTAGGGGCAATACGAGAAACCCCAAAGGACAAATACAGAAGTGATTCACCATGTCTAATTAATCATGATGTCATTTTCCAGCGGTGGTGGGAATTAACTTCTTCAGCTTTGCGCCATTGCCGGGGCTCCCGTCTTGATATTGTTCTTGCCGAGCAGCTTCATATTGTTGGTCTCAATCGCCACAATCCAGTCTCAGATTCCATTGTCGACCAGCCAGACAAAGTCACGATCATCACTTTGTCTCAAGCCCCCTTTGTTACTACTATTGTTACACCTGCCCCAGGGCTTGCCATGTATATTGTTTGTTTCGTGTGTTGCGTGCCCGGATGCAGAGGTAGATGGGCAGTCAATGTTGACGCCCACATGGATTCTCTTCACCTCGAATCGCTTTCATCTTGTTCAACTCTCTTATATAAACTCTCTTCTCTTCGATATGCGACCCTCCATCCCGACCAAAGCAAACAGTTTTGTCTAGAACTTCTCTCCTAGCCACGCGACATTTCCGAACGTTGCACAACGTATCTTCATCAATCTACGTCTTTTCTCCCTCGCTCCCTTCCACATTTGATCCAGAATGGCAAATATGAGCTCGCCTTTCGACCCGTTCAAGCAGAACCTCACTTTCCACTATGGCGACGGGACTCCATTTGTGGTCTCTGTTGAAGACATAGATATCGGACTACTCCAATACAGCATCCGCTGCTGTATCAACTATGGAGCTCAGCTCGGCGCTTCTATTGCTATTTTCATTATCCTTCTGTTGCTCACTAGACCCGAGAAGCGTGGCTCTGTGGTCTTCTCCCTTAATGCGGCCGCGTTGCTGCTTAATATCGGTCGTATGATCTGCCAGGTGGCTTACTTCTCCGGGGCTTTCGTGCGCGTGTACCCGTACTTCGCAGGCGACTTCTCTAGAGTGCCAAAATCTGCTTACGTCGGTTCCATCATGGGGGTGATTTTCCCTGCCCTCCAGCTGTTCTGCATCGAAGGGTCATTGCTGCTCCAGGTGCAAGTCGTTTGCGCGAATCTCCGTCGTCATTACCGCCACGCCCTGCTGGTCGCTCTGGGCGTCGTTGCCCTCCTGGCATTGGGATTCCGGATGACGTTGATGGTGCTAAACGCAGAGCTCGTCATGCATACCAATGTTCCATTTTCCATCAACTGGCTGGAAAGCGCCTCCAATATCACTCTTACAATCAGCATCTGTATCTTCTGTGCTGTCTTCGTCACCAAACTGGGCTTCGCCATCCACCTGCGCCGCAGACTTGGAGCCAGAGACTTTGGCCCGATGAAAGTGATCTTCATCATGGGTTGTCAGACGTTGGTGATTCCCGGTATGTCTCTCCATATCTCCCCACCCGGGGAAAAAAAAAAGAACTTGCTAATAGTATTATAGCGTTCTTCTCAATCCTTCAATATGCAGTCGTCGTCCCCGAACTATCCTCCAACGTATTGACTCTTGTCACCCTGTCCTTGCCTCTCTCTGCCATCTGGGCCAGCACCACCCTCTCCCAATCCAATACGTCTGATTCTAACCATCGCCCCAACATCTGGAATGGCCTCACTTTCCACAGAAAGCAGATATCGTCGCTGACAACGTCATCTGGAAAACCAAGCACTACATTCTGCTATGCCGACCAGACGTCCCCCAAGCAAATCCAGCAGCATCAGCCGGTGCAGGATCCGGAACAAGGCTATGGGATCTCCATCGAGCACGATATTTCGGTTCAAAGTTACCGGAAGGATCAGCAATGCAGCCTGTAGCTGGTCAACTTGTACTGTACTGTACACTAGGGAAGAAAGGACGGCAGCTGGTATGGCAAGGCGGACTGCAGTGTGTGAATGCCATTTAGGGCGGCTTGTTACTTCCTTCTCCTTCTGCCTCTACTTAGGATTTGATGATCTTGCATTTTGCATTTACTCCCTGGAACAGCATTTCGCATTAATTTCCCTTTGTATTTGGTTTGCATAGCACGGTTTATAGCATTTGAATGGTGATGTATCCTAGCTACAGTCGGGCTTAGACATAGCTAATTGGAATCGGATTTACGTTCTAATGGAATGCTGATATTCTCTCCTGGCGGTTGCGCTGTCCTATGTTACGTAGATTGTTGTGCTAGATGTGGCCATGCTACTAGTAGGTATTATTAGGTTCGACAACTATGGTAGAAAGTAGAACATTGGAAATCACTATTGGATAATCACGTTACGCATGCACAATCCAGAGAATCACGTTAGATTCGAGAATGCATTAATTATAAATCTGGAGACAAATTCTATTTATTTTATAACACGACTACCATAGAAAATTCAACTTTCTCGACCCAGTTTGGCCAATGACTCTTCAAGGAACTCATTTGCGTTCATCAAGTCCGTACTGCCATATACAACCCTGCGTCTAGGGACACTCATAGACCCAGCACTTGGACGGTTGCCGACTCCTGCGCCATCATAGCCCGGTTGTCCACTTGTCTGAGCCACCCAGTCCTGCAAGTTGCCGTATTCGTCCATGCTACCTCCGCCAACAGTAAATACAATCGCCTCATTGAACGCTTGTCGACGCTGTCCGAAGGTGGCTCCAGTTCCTGGACCTGCGCTGGCGCCGGAAGTCTGCGCATTGCGGGTTGAGGACGCAGGTGGCATGGCACCGCGGGCATTAGCGCTACGAGGGTCGAAGTAAAGGTAGTTTTCGGTTTTGGCAATTGCGGAACTAGACGCTGAGGCTGGGTCCATGATAGACTCGGTGATCTTGGTTAGGGTCAAGTCCTTGTTCACAGGAAGGAAGTTCTTGACGCCAGATATAAGTGAGTCAAAATTAGCTCCCAAAGCACCAGACGTGATGCGATCGGTCAGTCGGTTCGACAGTGACGAAAAGCCACGGAAAATATCAGATGATTGTTGCTGCGGTGCGGCCGTTGTCATCATCGTCATGCGGGTAATTTCCCGGACCTGTTTGACATAGGCTAAAGGGCTGAAGTCATTGACTCCCGCTCGCGTGAGAGCTTCCTCGAACTGACTCATGTCTGTGCGAGACAATTCGGTCTCCGTGCTCAGAAACCAGATGAGGAAAAGCCGAAGCTTGTCCAATGGCTCGTTGCCTTTCGCAGAATCATTGATCAGCTCCATGATCTGAGTCTTAGATTGCTTGGTAATATTTTCCTCCAGCTCAAAGAAGTTGTCGAGTTGGCGATCTTTGATGCCTTTCAGGAGAGCTGTTGCGATATTCATGTGCATATCTAAGACGGCTTTACGCTCCCGCAACTCCGGGAGAAGGGTGATGGCAGCCTTCAGGTGCTGCGCAGAGGCGCTTGTATCATTCTGAAGGTCTTCGATTGAGGAGGCACCCGTCTTTCGGGTGATTTCATTTGCATCCTCCTTGTATCGAGTGAGTTCAGCATCGATGTCTTCTGCCACCTGGGGGAATGGAGCTCCGGCGTTGCGCTTCCAGAAGAAGTCATTGCTGTTGAGGTCATATGCTTTTTTTGTGACTCCTCTCGATGGGTTCGACTCATCCACTGGTGTTTCTATCGTGATTCGATTGAGACGCATTTGAAGAACATCTTGGACCAAAGATTGGTACGTCCATGAATGCGACAGCATCGGAACTAAATCCACATTGCGGTCGACGATGATCAGAACAGGTCGCGACGAAGGCACTCCAGGAGTGGATTTCCTATTAGAGAATAGATTGTCTTTTGAGTTTAGAATGTGATCCCGGAGTTTTCGGTCAAGTTTAGTCGCTATTAGTTCTGCAGCACCGCCTTTGGGGCAGCGTATGATTGGGATGGAGCCTGTTCAGATCACAGCACGTCAGAAAACTGGGCCCTCGCAAGAGCAACGGTCACATACCCATAGTAACGCTCACGCTAAACAGCCCGCTCACAATTTTATCCACAATTGCATCGAGGTCCTCGTCACTTGTTTGCGCACTATTGATTTTCCAGTAGGCATCGTTACCAAGGCCGAGGCTAAAGAGGTCGGGCTCAGCGACAATGAAGTTCAGATATTGGTCAAAAACCTGGGCGATATGCTCCGATGAACCTGTCGACACAATCTGGGAGGCGAAATCCTCGAGAAGCGGCCGGGGTACGGAGGACAAGAAGTTCACATAAGCAGGGGTGTAGAGGCCTTGGGACAAGTCTTTCGTAATCGCCTGAATATTTGCAGGAGTAGGTTCAAGGAGATAAACGACCGGGACATCAGGAATGGGGTATCGAGTGGAATTGATGTTTCTTTGGGGAAGAGAAGCTCGTTAGTCGGTTTGCAGAATGTTGGGATGGAAACAGCCCGTACAGATGGATCGTAACACCCCACGCTCGTAGATCATTGACACGGAGAACGCTACTGATAACGTCCCGCCCCATGTTGTCAAAGACCAGCACTTTCCAGATTGGATCGCCATCTTCATTCAATATCGGTGTCGATTGAGAGACAAGGCCCTGTGCGGAGACCTCATGGGATGAGCCATCTTCTGCAGTTTTCGGGTCGTGGTTCAAATTGAGGATCTTTTGGATAGAGGCTAGAAAACTGTCAGCATCGGCGACTGCCTTCCTGGACTTGGATGATATATAGAGAACCTACCGACCTGGCGGTCCCGTAGAGACATTGGATGCGATCCCATGATCAGTCTAAGCGTGCGCAGCGGTATAGTAGTATTCACAACGATGGCCTGACTCGGGCCAGATTCATGACATGTAATTCGATACACCAGTTTTTTTTTTTGAAATGAGCTAGACACGTTAAGGATTCATTAGAAAGGGGTTACGGCGGAATACAATATGCGCAGGTAGGGCTGTGTCAAGACGATCCAGGCTGTAACTATCTACTCTCCACCTGGCATCCTGAGAAGCTTCCCGATTGATGGCTGACATAATCCCGCCCCCTTTGTGGTGCAAAACAGACAAAGCAGAGCTCACGTGCCCTGCCCCTAACTGAGGCACCAGCAGAGCAGCCGCCCAACCGAGCTTTTCAGTCTCACCACCCTCCAACTACGCCCTCCCCCCCCCCCTTCCCTTCCGACATCCTCGTAAAGCGAATGACTATGCTGCATAACTGTCACTTAGAGTGGTTCTTTGTATGAGAACCTCTTCTTTTCATCTTTTAAGGCAGAACTTAGGTGAAGAAACAGAAGAAGAAAAAACGAAGTTCCACAGGGCAGCTATCTCAGCTATCCTGCGAACGGAAGAAAAAGAGCCAGATCAGGTGGATAGAGGATCAAAGAAGACGAACAAAAGGGGTATATTGGAAAACAAGCAGACAAAGAAAGAGAAAGCAAGAAGCAAAGAGAAGAGAACCGGGGATCGCAAAGGGAGAAGTGACAAGTTTTATCTTACGTCTATTATACAGAGTACTTGGGTCGATGTATTCGAAGGGTTGACCAGCTTCAAGTTGCATCAAGAGCGGGTTCTTTTTTCTTTTCTTTTCATTTTTTTCTTAAGAAAAAAAAAAGGCCTAAAGCAAAAACCAGGTCCCAGCTGGGACGTTACTTGCAGGGCTTCTCTTAAGGTACTACCACTACTCTCTCAGGCACAAAGAAGGCAGAAAAAGGCCCAAGACAAAAAATAACGCTGCCAATATTTCTTACTGCCTAACCTAAGAAGAGCCTATCCACCTCCTTTCCACGCGACAGGAGAACGGAGGACCAATCTGTTCTTGTTATCGTGATACAGTCCCTCTTCCAACGGAACACACGCACACCATCAGCCATCCTGCTGGTGACTTACGGCTGGGAAGAATCATACCGCTCTCCCTCTCCGCCTATCAGCATCGACGCTCCTGGCTGACAAATCCAGATCCGGTCGCTGATTCGCCATCGGGATTCTTAGGAGGGTCCATCCAATAGGGGGTGCTCAATTTCCCCCACTCAGGGACTTTGGCCCAAACACTGCTCGCTGGCCTGGGCACCTTACTCTTCTTGGCAATTAACTCTGGCACGTGGGTGCATGTGACCTGTACCGTTTAACGCTTCATACGTACTACTACTACCTACTACCATCACCACCTTATACATCTATTCACTGCTTCCAAGGGTGAACCTCGTACCGGAGGGGCCACAGTAAACGGCAGCATGGAGCAGTCATCGCCGCAGAATCTCATTCGCGGCCTGCCCCGTGCTCCTGTAAATCCCGGCTCGTTCCCCCCCGAGTATTGGAATCATCTGGATTCATTATACCCTGACTCGGATCAACATGCAGCGCATCCACCACCACAACAACGGCTGCAACCAGAGCCGCAGCCGTCGCAGCCACAGCAACCGATTGGTATTAGTTGGGACCATCCAGTCTTCAGTCAACAACACTCTCAGCAAACAACTCCATTGCCCCCCCAACAGGAGCCTGGCCATGGCATATATCCTTCATCCACGCCTCAGTCGTGGCGAACCACATCTCTGCATCAACAACCGATAATGCCGTCAGCTCCCCAGGGGTTTGCGATGCCCGCTCAGTACCGGCAGGTACCTCAATACCCCCAGGGACAAATGCCATTTGGCTCGCGACCTCTGGCTCCGTCGGATAACTCTGCCTTCCAAACATTCTCGGTTCCTCGTAACTATTTTGGCCAACAGCATTTATCTATCCCGGACACATTTTCTCAGTCACCTACTCCGCAAGCCGCTCAGGCACAATCATCGCAATCAGTCCCGTATCAGCCTGTTGGACACTCTCACGCGATCAATCCTTACAACCTATCAACTGCATTTCCGGATGAGAACTCGGTAGGAGCCTTGGTATCTTTCCTAGAAGGTTATTAGACTAACAGCTTGAAGCATTCGTCACTGAACCTCGCCAGTGAATTTGCTGAGCCTGTCCCGAATGTGACTGATCATCAGACCATTAACCCCCAATTCCTTGATACAGCGCAGGCCACTAACCAACATCCATCGTTCACTAATTTCCTTTATGTAAATCCAGCCGACTTCGAGCCCCATGAGGACCCAAAGTACGTTTTTTTCTGACGCTGACCTTGCCATTCAATTCGCCCGTAGCCTTTCTCACTGTTCTTGTTAGGGTATTTGACTTTTACCGAAATGATCTGCAATTGCAGTCAGTTCTGCCACCTGCCGTTAACAATCACGACGCTGTTGTGCGCCACCAGAACTTTGACATTCTGGCACCGACAAATGGTATTTCTTGCACCATTTCGGTCCCTCTCCTTTCTAGCAGATACTAATGTGACTAGGTCAAAAACCGTCGGCCGTTCCTATGCCAGTTAAGGGAGCTGAAACTCGGAAAAAGCAGCCTGGTATAAAGAAGCAGACCAAGAAAACTGTGACTAAATTTCCTAGTAAGAAAGCGGATGGAAAATTATCGGCGTCCTCGAGCTCCTCGAGTGAGACCGATGATTCAGATCTTGAAATTGAACAAGCCCCCGAAGAGCCATCTCCTATTCCATTAACTCGTCCCACTGAGCCTGAAGCAGCTGCGAACTATGACGTTCTTCGAGCTGTGTGGTCTCCGCGTAATAGGCGACCTAATGTGGACAAAGTCAAGAGTGCACTAGTTGCATTTAAAGATGTTGTCAAAACTGTAAGGGATGCGTGGAAAGACAAGACCCAAGCTATGAAAGCCGCAGAGAACAAGGGTGACAATGATAAAGCTGCACGGCTTAAGCAAGATGCTGCTCTTCAGCGTCGCCTGATGGACGTGGTTGTCAGTACCGCGTTGGACAAAGGCCACCCAATGATTATTGAGAAGTATGTCTTATTTCATTTTCTTTGCCTGTTCCTTCCCCTTACTACTACGATCCTGGCATATCGTTGGCGTGGCCATAGAAGTCAGAAACGAATTGAGAGCCTCTCCCATATAATTCCCCTAAGTGAACGCTTTTAAGTAAGGGTGATTTTTATTTCACACCCAGGGATCATGCACTTCTAGTTGCGTCCTAAAAATAACAAATGGAAAATGAAAAAAGAAAAGAAAAAATGAGGGGGAGAGGAAGCCCATTAGGTACACTTGAAAGTTTGGTGTATTAAGGGATGCTAGTATGCCCACATAGTCAATTATCATGGGAATTTTGCTACATCTGCGACACATAAATGATTGTGTACCGACCATGGTGCTGTGGCGTTTCTTGTTCCAACTTTGTCATTGAGTGAGAGTTTATCATATTAGATTCCGACAGGCTAATGCAAGGTCTTCTAGGTTGGGTGAGCATCCAATGGCCGTGGCTGCCATGTATTCATTTTTGCTAGATCGGCACCAAGCTTCTGACATTGATGGATCATTCACTCTGAACATTCTTAAGGTGAGCCACGGAACGACCCAATCTGCAATGATTACTAATATTCCTGTCCAGCTGCTTTCCCGCTTTACCACAGTGGATGAGGATGTCCTTCAGAAAACGAATGTTGCCAAACTATTGCCTAGATTCGTCAAGAAGGGTGGTCCAACAGCTAAGGACCTGGCACAGAGGATATTGGACAATGCTGCCGCATTCACCAAACGGAAGCGGGAAATCACGAAGCCAGTATCAAAGGAAGGGTCGCTTAATAAACAGCCCAGTACCTCTGATACGACTCCCTCGGAGGGCCAACGTACCGAGGCAAGTGGAGCTAAAAGGCAGCGAGAAACTGACAGTAACGTATTGCCCGCTACGAAACGAATGGTTGTTACATCAAATATCAAAAATCCCCCGAAACCAAATGTCACCACTGCGAATGGCACTGTTAAAAAGCCCCAGGAGGCGTCTGCGGCAAATCCATCTCGTCCCAAAGCCAACATTGTCGCACCTAAGCCTACTAATCTCTTTGGGAGTTTGAGCTCAGCTTCGAAAAGACCCGGTACTTCCAATGCGGAGAGAGCTGCTGCGGCGGCGGCGGCGGCGGCGGAGGCGTCTAAGAGCAGGTATGAAAGCTGTTTGGTTGCCTCTGAGTGATGCGAGATCTAGTACTAACTTCAGAAAGCGCATCCGCCGAAAAGAAAGAGCCTCAGACCGCTCCCCCGAGACCAGCTTACTCTTTTGGTGACTTAATGGCAGACCTCAATAAGCAGAAAGATCCTGTACCTTCCAAGCCTGCTGAAGATATGCCCCCTGAGACCGAGGAAGAACGGAAGAAAAGACTTCGAAAGGAGGCACGACGAAAGCTGCGCGTCAGCTGGAAACCTGATAATAAGCTGGTTGAAGTTCGCACTTTTACACACGACCCTGAGGAGGAACTTCACCTAGGTGACCATGCACAGCATGAAGTGGGAGATGTGAAAGGAGAAGGTAGTGTGCTCAAACTTCATAGAGATCTTGACGAGCTGGACGACGATGAAGATGGTGGAGTCCGAGAAGAATCCTTGCTTGATTACTACGAACCGACCGGTACGCCATCATTTGTCACTGGGTTAATTGCTTTTATACTAATTGGTCTAGCTATCGACGATGTGTATATTTCACCTGAAGATCGCACCAGAAACTTTTTGAAACGCTGTGGCACCCAGAAGCCTAACAGTCCAGAGAAGCAGGCACAAGAGCATAGAGAAGCCACCACACTCATGGTGTTTTATACTTCTCCAGCAGAGATACCACCATCACCGAAGGAGCCGCCTCCACCAAGCGATGAGGAAATAGTGCCGGAAGTGGTTAATTTTGGAGAATTTCCTGATTATGTGAAGGTATTTCCACCTGTCATTGCCGTGTCGTATTCACATGCTGACGTTTCCCCCCCCTTTGGCGCAGGCTCGACAAGAGCGATACTACTCGATGATCAACCCTAAACCTGCCCCCTCGGCTCAACTGAGTGCACAAAGTAATCAATTTGACATTTCAAACTTATTGAAGATCATTCAAAATGCTCCTCAACAGCAACAGTCGGCTCCGTCGCCAGCACCTCAGCCAGCACCTCAGCCAGCACCACAGGGGCCGATGTCTGACCTTGAGCGAACAATCAGCATGTTTCGTCAACAGCAACAGCAACAGCAGCAGACTCCACAGCATCCACAGTCGCAGATGCTCCATATACCTCAGTTTCCTTCGGCTTCCCAACCACCTGCTACACCGGGCCTTGATTTCCAAAAGATATTGGCTGTCATCAATGCCCAGAAACAGATGCAACAGCCACCTGTAAAGCCGCAGCCTCAGCCATCACAGCCAAGCATTGCACCGAACCTTGCTGCCATCATATCCCAGCTTACCAACTCTAACCCATCAGCGGGCCCGAACATTTCTCAGCAGCCAAATACTTACGAAGACCCTGAACGCAAACGCATGCGCGAAGGAAATGGGTATGACGGACCTGATGAGGATAGTTATGGTCAAGCTAAGCGTAATAGGCCTAGTACCGCCAAGAAACACGTACGTTATTAGTGTTATTCTCTATCTTTTTCGTCTCGTTCCTAATGCCGTACAACAGCCCAAAGCCGGATTGGTTCCTTGCCGGTACTGGTCCGAAGGAAAGTGCGCAAAAGGTGACGACTGCACTTTTCGCCACGATCCTCTGAATTAGTTGCCTCCCCTATTTTTTTAATTTCTTTTTTAATCCCTTCTCTTTACACACTTTCTGATACCCCTGTACCCTTTCATTCTCATATTAGTTGGGCATGAAATCATGTATTACCATATCCTTGCATCTGCAAATACTGTTCGATGTTGTTGATAATGCGTTCTACTGGCGGAATACTGGCGTTTGTTGTACTGACGAGGGAGTCTTTGTTCGGTATTGGCCATCATAGCGTTGTTTTTGAAAGCATTCTATACATCGGTTGTCCTAGGGAGTTATATGATGCTTTCAACTTGTCACTTTCTCTTTCTACTGGCAGAGTACTGCACCGAGGAAATTTCCATAGGACAGGCAGATATGTATTAAAAATGGATGTGTATACATCGCGATTCCATTGACGTACCCCTGTGTTCTACTTCCGTAATCCCATAGCAATCATAATTAGTTAAGAGGACGCCGACAAAGCAAGCGAGAAGTCCAAGCGTTTGCGCCTGAAAGATGTCCGTATTTGCGTCCATGCCATGGAGACACAGAACACGCATTTTGATCTGGTCATGTGGGATAAAGAGATCCAAATAGAACGATTAGGGCAAATCAAACCGATATGACACTACTGTACAAAGCGCGAGTCATCACTCCAAACCTCGGAGACAGCATGACGCCCGTGAAAGATTCCCGACCATGACTGACATGATTAACCCTTTTTCTACCTTTATGTCAAGCGGGGTCTCGGCCTACTCACTGAGCCATTGGAATGTAACCCCAGAACGGTGGCGAACTACGGCGCAGATAGATGCCCGTTGAGCTGCTCGGCCAATGAGAATATCAGAATTGCGGAGAATTAACAGCGATCCTGTCCAACTAGTTCTTCTCACTAGACAAAACCCCATGACCCCTTCAAATCCGTGAGTCATTGCTCCATTGACATCGTATGTAGGATGATAAAAGTCGAAATGAAGTTCACTGACGCTTGAAATGAAGTTCACTGACGCTGAAATTTTGAGACGAAGGCTCCGGACAGACGGACCCAAGCCCGATAAGAGAGGATCCCGCAATATGGCCATTGTTGTTGACTCTGCTCAGTCTGTGTATGGACTTGATGCTGTCCATGATGGATAATTCCATCGTGTCGACCTCCATTTACACTATTGCCTTGGAGTTTAGCTCGGACATTTCAAGGAATCGGAAGCTTTGGCCTATACACTCTTACACTCATCATCGCGTTGGAACTCAGTACCCCCAAGACCTGGTTGGTGATTTCAGGATTGGTGGGTGCGACGATTGCTATGACGAGTTCTTGGGCCTATCTTGGGTAGTGTCTTGACTGAGTACGCGACCTGGAGGTGGATTTTCTAGATCAAGTTGTACCCTGAATCATCGTAGATCATGGGAATCTGCTAGTGAACGAGAATAGTGTCCCCTGCGGCTTTCTTCCGATGGTCATCTTCGCCATCGCATGGGCCAAAAACCGCCGGATCAGACAACTCGGAAGAGGTTCGCCCAATTTGATGTCGTTGGAAGTATTTTACTACTTGCTGGGTCGGCGTTGACCGTTCTTGGACTGCATGAAGAAGGCACAGAAACTTATGCATGGGATAGCCCTGTGGTGACTGCTACCCTGGTCGTGGGCTGTCTCTGCTAGGTTGCCGTCTTCCTTTGGTCATTTATGATATATTATTACGGCTCACTAAGATGGGTTTTTAGTGGTCAAATGGGTTTGTCTAGATCAGAGTTTGGTAGTCATTTGGGAGGGGGGGGGGGGGGGGGGGGGGGGGGGGGGGGGGGGGGGGGGGGGGATCTATAGGGAAAAGAAAAGAGACTACCAAGTGGAACAGCTGAAAAAATTAGATTCTAATTAAGTTCTGGAAACGAATTCAGAGTAGATAACCTCTATAGAGAGAGTGGATATGTACATTTGAAAATGCCTCGGCAGGAGATATTAAAGGTCTTACTTTATTTCTCTCATTATTTTGTTTAATATCATAGTCTAGCTATTTTCAATTCTACTATATCAACCATGCGTATACTTTGCTTTCGCGGCCATTGCATTTCGTCCACCTTCTTGGAGACCAACTAAGCGGAACCCTGCATACGTCAGAGGCTTGCTAAACGGAGGCCTATCTGGAATATCATAGTAGCATGTAGGTGGAAAATAAGGCCACATACTATCTAAACCTCTAGGGATAGATCTTTCCAAAGAAGCAGGCTATGATTCAAGACACCCCATTTCTGAGCATTTTAAAACTTCTATAGAACGTATTGTATAGCATATCTAGATTATTGTACAAGCCCACATGCATTAAAATTTATGGCGTGTATAGGGACATGTCTACTAACAGTAGGGGTTAGTCTTTCTATACTTGAGTCTTGCACAGAATACTACATACTGGGTGTCTAAGCTTGTTGATCGGCAGTAAAGGCGAGGGATTGTTTTACATCAAAAAGGAAAAGCATAAAAGAACGGAAAAACTGGCACGAGACACATGTACTTCCATTGCTTTGCTGTATACCTGCTAAGTCGAGGTTCGGACATGGTACTATAGCCCCAGCGCTGTGATCTACATGCTATCCTCGGGATTATCAGAATATAATTGGACTATTGTATCCCAATACCTCAACCCACTTTCCAGCTTGTCCTTGAGGTCAAGGCTCCGAACCGATGACCAGCCACCCGAACGTGTTCAGCGACGAATATCCAGTCAATATTGCGTGTGATAATTATCTCTCTGATTTGTCCGGTTTCCCTTGTCGCTGCACTGGGCCTTTTGCCAAGGGGTTGGGTTGATTCAATGCACTTGTTGAATTTTTCTACATCAATCTCTTGTCTCCTTTAGAAATGTTGGTATTGGTCTAAAAGGTGGTGAAACAATGGACAATCGGCTAATGTTGTATATGGCCGTCCTTATGTTCAATCAAAATGAGTTCTAAGGTGTATAACTAACTTGTAAATTAGTTAACTTATAAAAATGTTTATGTAACATACCAGTGCCGTCAAATCCACTTCTAATTTTCTGCTCCTCTCCTGACTCCATTCATCACATGCTAGGCGCCATATTCATATTCTTAATATACATTACTGTTCGTGTAATTAATCATTCTATTGACCCACTGTTAAGCAATAGTTTCAAAAATGACGAGCCTCGAACTTAGCCTGAAGCAATGCAACCATCTTATCATTGTCTGCTGTCACGCAATATATACCGGGGGACCAACCAACGGGATTGAAGAGAACGAATGGTAAGAAACCATGTCCATAACACATGTCCACTCTGGATCTCATATCTGCGGATGATCCGCCTGACACAGACGCTATAACTAATATACCATACTCATATAGGCTTATAGAGCCCTTCCAGAAGGGAGAAACCCCAACGTACACAGCACATGTTAAAGCGGGTCTCCAGGCTCTGGCAGATGATCCATATAGTCTACTTGTATTTTCTGGGTATGCGTGATATGCGTTCGACAGGTCCAATGGCTAATAAATGCAACAGGGGAGTCACGAAAAGTGAATATACTAGTCTGGCTGAGGGAGAGTCTTATCTTGTATGGCATCCCCAATTCTCTTTGATGCCCATAACTAGACTGGTGGTGGAAATCTACTTCAATATCAAAAAAAAAGGAACCTGAATTCACTAATATTAAATTAAATGCAGAACCTCGCAAGGGATAACAATTTCTTCTCCTTCGCGAGCAGAATCAACCGCGCCCAGGTCATCACCGAGACTAATGCTGCGGATTCATATCAAAACCTACTATTTTCGTTTCTTCGATTTAGATTATATACTGGATCTTATCCGAGAAGGATTACTGTTGTGACACATGAGTTCAAGAAGAAGCGGTTTATGGAGTACCATTTTCCGGCTGTCGGATTAGCTCCTATTCCTGCTACTGCGGGAGGGCAAGATTGTCGGGGAGTTAGTTGTGAGCGGGAATTTATTGGCATAAATCCTCCCGAGGAAGTGACATCTGTAGCGTCATTGATAATAGGGGAAGAGAAGAGAGGGATTGGACTCTGGAAGGAAGATCGATATGGTGTGAAAACGGAGTTGGCGGGAAAGAGGGTCAAACGAGGATGGACTCAAGAACAACAGAAAGAGTTCCTTAATGTGGGGTTGGAGCCGATCGTCGAAGAATTGGTGTGCTGGGATGGGGGCAAGAGTGGAAATCAATGGTTTACAAAAATGAATCAGTTGCCCTGGCACAGTGAGTGAAAACAGGGAGTGAGAGGATCCGTTTTCATTAGTCGTTATAGATAGCAGCCTATTCTGAAATAACATAAAGTACACGAGTCCCCGAGATTAACGCAAATACACGATAGTGGCTGTCATGGGCCTCGTATTCTGAACGCCTCCATATGAAACTCCCTCCAAGCAGCGGTAGATCAATACTCAGTCAGCAAGGCGGTAGCTGACGAGTGTTTCCACTCTGTGGTTATTTGTGCTGAAACTTCTAAGCTGTACTTTCTCCGCGTTCTTGATCTCTTTGGCGTCACTGTCACCCCATTCGACTGGCACTTCCGAGTCTGCGTCTGCGTATACTAGAACGTTAAAGGTGCAGTCCCCATCCAGAACCGGAAGAAATGTAATAGAGGCAGTTATCTGTCGGAAGATAGCTTGGATTTCATCTTGTATCTCTTTATCGGTTTTTTCAACCGTCTCTTCGGCTTGAGCGCCCGCGTCTCTGTGGAGAGTCAAACCACAATTAGACTAGTATTTCCATGAGACTTCACCGGGGGGGGACGTACACTGGCCTAGCATTTTCCTTATCGCCAACTGTCCGGGATGATTTGGTCTTGCTGTGCTTTCCGTAGATTTGAACCTGAACCCCATTAATAATTGTGAAAACAAAAAAGATTGGTTTGTTTACGTCAAACTGCCATCTCTCTACATGTTCTCCAGTTTCCTTGTCTGTTACTACTACCACGAGCTTGGAAATTTTGCCTCCCAGCATCCATTTGTTCAACTGCGACATGATCTTCTTAATGTAGGCTTTGACTTGATCGTCGGACGTGACTGGGCACATTAGCCGGGAGGATGGAGAGGCGGAGGTTGACTAACCAAGCATATTGAGACCATATTTTTTGACCCTATATCATAATAAGTCAAGATACTTTTGATGGAATTCCATACACGAAGGAACTTACGTCGTAAAATCCTCTGGAGGGTAGACTCCTCGCTGAAATCTGAAGGAGTAATTTCATGAGAACAGTCGACATGACTGCAATGACATCAACTTACAGGATGGAGTTGATAGAGTACTCAAACTACAAACATCAGTGTATTTCTTGAGATGATAGTAAGGGTTTATTACTCACAAACTCGGCCACAAGCTTCGCCGACCCTGCTGGAGGAGTGAGCTTTTTGACTGACATCACCAACGGCACTGTGCCTTACCTTTTAAGGACAACTTGTGAACCTTGGACTTGTCTTTCGTCGATGACATGGTTATTTCGTTTAAAGAACACCTAAATTGTTGATGCTGGATATGCCTCAATGCGTAAAAAGTCGTCGTGGGTGGAAAAAGAGGGAGCTTTGTTTACTCCGACAGTCGCCGCAGCAATGACCGCCCACCAATTGATTTCTCCGCAAAGCCGCACTTTTTTTTTTTTTTGCCCGCCAAAATGAGCTCCGTCAGTTGTCATCGACATCGCGTGTGAACCGACCCAGACAAGTCCCATCATTCCCATGCCATTGCAACACTCCCGATGCGAGGATGCCTGCATTTAGCCCGATGGCTGAGCGCGGCGCCGAAATGCCCAGCTATGAGCTCTCAAAAGGCGCCATCCTCCCTCTTTTGCCAATCTCGTCTTTTTACTAGCTCCGTCATTTACCAAGCGGCGCGGACTAGGTCACCTGCCATCAAACCCACCTCCGATCTTGAAAATAGAATTGCGGACATTCCGATCGACCGATACCGTAACTTTTGCATAGTTGCCCATGTCGACCATGGCAAGAGCACACTCTCTGACCGACTGTTGGAACTGACCGGTACCATCGAGCCAGGAGCCAATAAGCAGGTGTTGGATAAACTTGACGTCGAACGGGAACGCGGTATCACTGTAAAGGCGCAGACATGTACTATGATCTACAATCACAATGGAGAAGACTATTTGTTGCACCTTGTTGATACTCCTGGTCATGTTGATTTCCGTGCGGAGGTTTCACGCAGTTATGCCAGTTGTGGAGGAGCGTTACTCCTGGTCGATGCCAGCCAAGGTATCCAGGCGCAGACAGTCGCAAACTTCTATCTGGCTTTTGCTCAAGGCTTGGAGTTAATTCCCGTCATTAACAAGGTGGACCTGCCATCTGCGGATCCGGAGCGGGCTCTCGAGCAAATGAAGCATTCGTTCGAGATTGACACGGACAACGCAGTGATGGTCTCAGCCAAGACGGGTCTCAATGTGCAACGGCTGCTTCCTACAGTGGTGGAGAAGATCCCAGCGTATGTCGTATTTGTTCTTGACTATGTGTGCCCAAAGCTAACGATTCACCTAGCCCTGTCGGCGATTTAAAGAAGCCGTTACGGATGCTCCTTGTCGATTCCTGGTACGATTCATACAAAGGCGTTATTTGTCTCGTCCGTGTCTTTGATGGTGAAATCCGAGCTGGCGACCATATCGTATCCTTCGCAACAGGCATCAAATACTACGTGGGTGAAGTTGGCATCATGTACCCGACCGAAACCCCACAGACAGTTCTTCGTGCCGGCCAAGTAGGATACATCTTCTTTAATCCAGGCATGAAACGCAGCAAGGAAGCCAAGATTGGGGATACATACACGAAGGTCGGGTCAGAAAAGGTTGTGGAGCCCCTTCCTGGTTTCGAAGAACCAAAGTCTATGGTGTTTGTGGCGGCGTATCCCATTGATGCGGACCATTTCGAGCACCTCGAGGACAGTATCAACCAGCTTGTGCTCAACGACAGGAGCATCACAGTGCAAAAGGAGTCCTCCGAGGCTCTCGGCGCGGGGTTTCGGTTAGGGTTTCTGGGAACCTTGCATTGCTCAGTGTTTGAGGATCGTCTACGGCAGGAGCATGGTGCTAGTATCATTATCACTCCCCCCTCTGTACCCGTGAAGGTACTTTGGAAGGATGGCACGGAAGAAACCATTACGAGTCCCGCTAAATTCCCCGATGAGGATGACGTGCGCACTAAGATAGCACAGATTAAGGAGCCGTACGTTCTGGCTACCTTGACCTTCCCGGACGAATACCTCGGAAAGGTGATTGAGCTCTGTGAATCCAACCGAGGAGAACAGCTGAGCCTTGAGTATTTCACATCGACCCAGGTCATCCTCAAATATAAACTGCCTTTAGCACAGTTAGTCGATGACTTCTTTGGAAAGCTCAAGGGATCTACCAAAGGATATGCCTCTCTGGATTATGAAGAGTGCGACTGGCAACCGAGCTCTATTGTGAAGTTACAACTGCTGGTCAACAAGGCTCCTGTCGATGCTGTTGCGAGGATTGTCCATTTCAGTCAAGTGGAAAGACTTGGAAGACAATGGGTGACCAAATTCAAGGAGCACGTCGACAGACAGCTATTTGAGATCGTCATCCAAGCTGCCGTTGGACGCAAGGTGGTGGCACGAGAGACGGTGAAACCTTATAGAAAAGATGTCCTCGCCAAGCTTCACGCAAGCGACGTCAGTCGACGAAGGAAACTGCTGGAGAAGCAGAAGGAAGGACGGAAGAGGCTGCGGGCTGTTGGAAACGTGGTGATTGAACACAAGGCATTCCAGGCTTTTCTGGCCAAGTAGAGGCCAGGGCTGATCTGTATAGTGTACTATATACCAGCGCATGTTGTTATTGGATTCTATTCTTGTATTATTTTCAATATAATGTATAATAGATGCGTGATTGTCCTATATTCTATTCCTCTATATCATTCGTAGCTGTAGTAGTTACCGTATGCGGACTGGTGCGCTACTGTCACGTGACTTGATGGGGCGCGGAGGGGTGTGACATGCTCCGTTTGATTTGCCTGCAAAAAAGTTCGTCGCCGACCCCGCCGCCAGTCTTGCAGTCTCTCTGTTTTATTTATATTTTTTTTTTTTTTAGGCAACAGTGGTCCGTCATTGTCTTCTAAACTAGCATAGCTTCTGTCTATCTGGTTGTGCATTGCTGAGCGCATTCACCTTAAAGAATCCAGACCAGTTCATCTAATTTTGAACTCCTGCCATGTTCAAGCTTTAACGAGTGAGATGCAACCTCCGGAAGGTGTGCAGGTCGACCTGGGCAAGGCCCAGGTCATCGACCGTGTTCCGAAAGTTATCAAGGAGCTGAAATTTGGTGTACTGTAAGGGCTGACTTGATTCTCCCCGGTGGATTCGCGATCTATCGCTCTCTGTGTGCACGTGTGGATGACTGGCTAACTGGATGTGTCATACTTAGATCTAACGATGACATTGTCAGCCAAGGCGTGGTGGAGGTTTCCGACCGCAAGTTCTTCGACCTCGATCATGACAGATCGGTAATCCCCCATGGACCTCTCGATGCGCGTATGGGTATTTCTAGTAAAACTGCAACTTGCCAAACTTGCGGTGGCGCCCTTCAGGTCTGCAACGGACATTTCGGTCATGTCAAGCTCGTCTTACCGTCGTTCCATGTCGGATATTTCAAGCGAGTTATTACGATCTTGCAAGAAATTTGCAAAGAATGTTCACATATTTTGCTTCCCGAAGCAGAGCGCCGCACCTACCTCCGAGAGATGCGTCGGCCAGGGCTGGATAATTTGCGACGGTTGCAGATTGCGAAACGGATCAATGAGCGCTGTCGCAAGACCAGAAACTGTGGAGTGTGCGGTGCTGTGAATGGTGTTGTAAAGAAGGCTGGAAATAGTGCACTGAAAATTACGCATGATAAATTTCGTGCTTTCAACGCATCGGCCTCGGTGAAGAAGATCCCGCCTCCCAGTAAGATTGTATTCGACCGGTCATTTGATGAAGCAAGGAGCCACAATGCCGAGGTGGAGAAGCATTACAAAAAGGCACAGGATGATCTGAATGCTCTTCGCGTTCTGAATCTTTTTAAGAAAATCTCGGATACGGATTGCGAGTTGCTGGGTTTGAACCCGAAGGAAGCACGGCCGGAAATGTTTCTGTGGCAGTATATTCCCGCACCTCCCGTTTGTATTCGTCCCTCCGTCGGTCAAGATGCGGCGTCCACCGAAGATGACTTGACTGCCAAACTGGGTGATATTATCCAGAGCAACATCAATCTCAAGAACGCGCTGTTGAAGGGGGCGCCAGTACAGACAATCATGGAATGCTGGGATTACATGCAGCTTCAGATAGCGGTCTACATCAACAGTGACGTCCCTGGACTTAATAAAGCGGATTTGGGAAAACCCATTCGAGGGTTTGTTCAGCGACTAAAGGGAAAGCAAGGGCGATTCCGTGGTAATCTATCAGGAAAACGTGTCGACTTCTCAGGTCGAACTGTTATTTCCCCCGACCCTAATTTACGGGTCGATGAAGTTGCTGTCCCTATTCTGGTGGCAAAAAATATGACATACCCCGAGGTTGTCACTAGATACAGCAAGGAGAAATTGCAGCAGAGGGTGCGAAATGGTACGAAGAAGTGGCCGGGAGCAAACTACATCACGAAGAAGGGCTCGACCTTCAAGCTCTTCCTCAAATACGGAAATCTGAACATGATAGCGGACCAGCTGCAGGAAGGGGATGTTATCGAGCGTCATCTGGAGGATGGCGATATTGTCCTTTTCAATCGACAACCTTCTCTGCACAAACTGAGTATTCTATCTCACTTTGCCAAAGTCCGTCCACACCGTACCTTCCGGCTAAACGAATGTGCTTGCAATCCGTACAATGCGGATTTTGATGGAGATGAAATGAACTTACACGTTCCCCAGACGGAAGAAGCGAGGGCTGAAGCGATGGAATTGATGGGTGTAAAGAACAACCTGGCAACGCCTAAGAACGGCGAGCCGATTATTTCCGCCATTCAGGATTTCATTAGTGCTGCCTACATTATGAGCAGCAAGGATAATTTCTTTGATCGACGCTCATTCACGCAGCTGTGTCTTTACATGCTTGGGCCTGAAACTCGATTTGACCTTCCTCCGCCTTCGGTACTCAAGCCTCAGATGCTCTGGACTGGAAAGCAGGTTTTCAACATCCTTATGCACCCCAACAAAGATGACCCCGTTCTGGTCAACTTAGACGCTGCGTGCAAGCAGTTCAAGGCTCCCAAGGATGGTACCCCGAGGGACTTGGATGATAAAGATAGTTGGCTTGTTATTCGTAACTCTGAAGTCATGTGTGGTATGATGGATAAATCCACAGTGGGCTCTGGAAAGAAGGACAATATTTTCTACGTCATGCTGAGAGATTACGGCCCAGCGGCAGCTGCTGAGGGAATGAATCGTCTTTCGAGACTATCCGCGCGTTGGTTTACGAATATGGGCTTCTCTATTGGCATTACGGATGTATATCCTAGTGAAAAACTCTTAAAATCGAAGCACGACCTCGTCGAGACAGCGTATGCGCAATGTGACGAAGTCATTGCTAAATATAAGGCCGGGACCCTGGAAAAGTACCCGGGATGCGACGAACTGCAAACCATGGAAAATCAGATTTCTGGTATCCTCAGTAAAGTCCGTCAACAGGCCGGAGACGAATGTATTGATCAGCTGAGCAAGTACAATTCTCCTCTGATCATGGCTACGTCCGGATCCAAAGGCTCCAGTATCAACGTGTCGCAGATGGTTGCTCTTGTTGGTCAGCAAATTATTGGTGGTCAGCGTGTGCAGGACGGGTTCCAAGATCGAACTTTACCTCACTTCCCAAAGAATGCTCGTCAGCCCCCGTCGAAGGGTTTCGTCCGCAATAGCTTCTTCTCGGGACTGGAGCCGACGGAATTCATTTTCCATGCCATGTCCGGTCGTGAGGGTCTAGTCGATACAGCTGTCAAAACAGCCGAGACTGGCTACATGTCTCGTCGTTTGATGAAATCTTTGGAGGATCTCTCTACTAGATATGACGACACAGTGCGAAACTCATCTTCTAGTATAGTCCAATTCCAATACGGAGACGATAAGCTGGATCCTGTGGATATGGAAGGTAAAGCCAAGCCTGTCCATTTCGACCGGACCTTCACTCATGCCGAATCTACAACATATGACAACGATGAGCGGAGTTTATTACCGGCCGAGATCATGGAAGTTTGCGAGGAGATGCTGTCTAAGGAGCGCGCTAAGCTCGTTCGGAAAGACCTAATGGGTACTGAACTTGGCTACATGGATCGATCTGACCATGGAATAGATCAGTTCGAGAGCGCTCGAGATTTCCTCGAATCCATCCAGCAATATGTTGCGACAAAGGCAGATAAGCTGATCTCTCGAGGTGGTGACATCGATCCTTCCGATGAGAGAAGTCAGCAGGGCTTGAACCATACTGGAAAGTTGACTGAGAAGACACTTCGGGCGTTCGTTTCTGCTTGTTTAATGAAGTATAAGAAGGCCCAAGTCGAATCTGGCCATGCGGTGGGTGCAGTTGGTGCCCAGTCCATCGGCGAACCAGGAACTCAAATGACATTGAAGACTTTCCATTTTGCTGGTGTCGCAGGTATGAGTATTACTCAGGGTGTTCCCCGTATCAAAGAAATTATCAATGCCTCCAAGGAGATCAGTACACCCGTGGTTTCATGTGAGCTTGTTACCAAGGATAGTATTATCGCAGCCCGAATTGTCAAAGGACGTATCGAGAAGACATATCTCCGGGATATCATTCATTATGTCCGAGAAACATGGACCGGGAAGGAGGCGTACATTACTGTTAAAATCAACTGGAAGACGATCCAAGATCTGGCTCTTGAGCTGAATATTAGGACTATACTGAATGCCATCAAGAGCCATAGACGCTTTAAGGCCGACGACCTCAAATTCCGAAACTCACGGTCACATATCCATATCCATATGGACTTGGACCCCGCCAGCAAAACAGGTCTTTCGAAGACTGAAATTGCGTCAACCAGTGCCGATCCTTTCCTTCGTCTGAAACATCTTAAGCGTATGCTTCCCGGCATTCAGGTACTTGGCCATCCGCAGGCCTACCGTGCGATTATCCGAACCGATGATACTTCCACCACCAATACGCTTCTCGTGGAAGGCTATGGTCTTCGGGATTGCATGACAACACTTGGTGTTGATGGTCTTCGCACGTCTACCAACAACGTGATGGAGATGCGCGAGGTGCTTGGTATTGAAGCTGCCCGGACAACTATCACCCAGGAAATCAGCGAAGTCATGAAGGATATGGATATTGATCCTCGACATATGCAGCTTCTTGCTGATGTCATGACATACAAGGGTGATGTTTTGGGTATTACGCGCTTTGGGCTTGCCAAGATGCGCGATTCTGTTCTCCAGCTCGCGTCTTTCGAGAAGACAGCGGACCATCTCTTCGATGCCGGCGGTGCCGGCCGCACGGATCTCATCGAAGGTGTCTCCGAATGTATTATCATGGGCAAGACCATGTCTATCGGTACCGGTGCAATGGAGGTGGTCCGGAAGATGAACTTCTTTGAGGGTCAGATAGGAGCAAGAAAGACGATTTTCGAAGACACTTGGACCAGCATCGAAAATCTCGAGACGACCAAAGGAAAGAGGCGAGCCCGGCCTTGCATCTAACCCCGGAAAAGCAGTGAATTGGCTGGCTGTTTGATATGTTCTATCAGCAGAACATAGAACAGACAAAAAACAATTTTTAAAAAAAAAAAAAAAAAATTCGCATAATATGGCGTTGGATGCATTGGCTTTTTGATATATATTTTGAGTACCTACTGTTTTGTGCATTAGCGATACTGAAGGTAGTGTGGATGGTATACCGTTCTTGTACTATTGATTATGTGTTAGTGCTAGCAATGTATGAGTCCAACGATGATTGATATTCGATAATGGTTCGTAGTAAATAATCTTTTTACCTTTGCGTATGAGACGGACATTGAAATTTATCTAAAGAAACAAACTTCATTCCCAGTCGCTAGAATAGAAGTCTGCATCATGTATTAAAGGAGCCAGAACTTCGCAATAATACGCCAATTGAGGAAACCGCTTCTCTTATCTTGTATAATAAGCATGACTATGCATCAATGACAGAAAAGATCTGCCCTACATCTAACAGCCACCCAATAACCAACATCCCACTCATTCGTGACATCTACTTCGCAAGCCAAACTCCCATCAAAACCATTCTCGACAAACAGCAACCTTTATAATGACACTCTGCCAGGTCTGCGACTCCGTCTCTATAGGTAGGAGTGAAACCTCGAAACTAGAAGAATACAGCAAACTTCTCTCAAAAGTAGAATCAGGCTGTGAAAACTGTCACTTCTTTTAGTACAATCCTCCAAACTTCCTCGACATGGGAGGGCAGACTAGATGAATTACCCGGAAGGATTGTATTTCATGAGAGTCTTCGATTACAAGCTAAGAAACCGACCGCTCTCGATTATTACTGTTACTCCTTGGATGACCTGAATCTCGATGTCCGTGTCCGGAGGGTCAAGAACGTGCGTTGTATACATTGTATCGCAAAACGAGCAGATAGTAGAACTGGTTTGCTGATAGTGCCTTAGATGAAGAATTCGACGCTCTCCGTCCGTGCCTGTCAATCCGTTGGATGAGCAATGTCTAAATCAGATCCGGTCATGGGCATCAGTGTGCTCAGGGCATACAAACTGTTCAAGACCAAAGCCGGTGGCTCTTCCTAGAGCAGTAATAGAAATCCCTAGCGACGAAAAGGAATCACCTCGAGTCTGCCTATCGAATGGGAAGTTAGGCTCCTATGTTGTATTGAGCTATTGCTCCGGTAATGCTCCATCGCTGTCCGTTGCGAGAAGTACCAGATTCCCCACCACAATAGATCATAATACTATGCCGAAAACCGTGACAGACGCTATTGAAATCACTCGACGACTGGAATATCAGTAGCTCTGGACTGACACTCTATGCATGTCTGATCATGAAGGGGAGAAAGAGTTAGCGGCATTCGTACCGATCTACGGCCGAGCAGCGTTGATGCTTTCAGCACTGAACGGACAGAATGCAAACTCAGGCATGTTGCATAATAGACGTGTTCCTTGTCCCCAAGCCTTGGGACCTGAGAAGAACAGGTACCTTCGACCGCAGATTCTGCGATGGGAGACAGACTTCGGATTTTCCCCGTTGGAGCGTCGCGGCTGGCCAGGAATAGAGAGGATGTTGGCTCCACGCATTGTGCATTTTGGAAGAACCAAATGATGAGAATGTGCTGAAGGCATTCAATACTAAGCTTCCAAGCATAAAAATAATGAAATTGGCTCAGGGAAATTCGACAGAAGTATAGGAAAATGGTTGCCCAATCCTGGTTGTCCAGCCCTATATCGAAAGAGCACTTCACAATCGCCAGGGCGATAGGGAGCAAGAGATTGATTACGAAAATAACAGCAGCTTGGCGCAGCTTGAAGCCTAGTATCAATGCGTTGAGGAATTCTCAGGCCGAGAACTCAGAAGCACTCTGGACAAGCTCTCTGCCATGGCTCCGCTGACATCTGTGTTAGATGACGGATCTATGGGAGAGTATCTGACCGGAATATGGAGCAACAACATTGCTTTTGGTCTGTCCTGGGGACGACCGTGCCATCTGCTGATCGCAGTCCCAAGCCCTAGGCTGGAGCTGGGCGAGCGTAGATGGAAAAGTGAGCACGTTGGGCCTCGCGTAGCCTGAGGATATGATGGATGAGCACGCCAAAGGCCCAAGCTGAATTAATAAGTACCAGCCAAAACTGGTGTCACACAACGTGGTACTCGCGGTTCCATCAAATCCATATGGTGCCGTATTAGAAGGTTCACACATCACAATCGAAGGCGTCTGCATCGGATTTAAAATCTTGCGAAAATTCTGGGCCTCATTCTGATTTCACAGTGAATCCAGTTTTGGATCAATCTTCTGTGTTCGACTGCTGGTGCTGCTCAACCAGGCCAGACGATGTTCAGGAAGCAGAGTCGACCAAATTCAGCCGTGAAATCGAGCAGCATGTCGGCCTAGTAGTCCAGGGAGATGCTTGGAGATCTGGAAGCCATTGGAGCATTGACCGAGGGTTCTGTGACTTTATTATTCTAAAATCTTTGGAAGGAAATACTTTCAGACGTGTTGGGTAGATGCGTGTTGAATGCAGCGAGTGTGAAGTTGCTCATGCAGCCTTTGATGCACTGGGTCGGGAGACGTGAGTTGAAGTTGATTTGAATGTTTGATGACAAAAATATCTACAATCTATTTCCACCCTGCTCTAGAAAGTCATACTACGAAAATAACTAGAGATGCTGCTCCACGATCTACAAGTAGATGATGACCGTGACTAGCCCGCCCTTGTACGATACATACTAAACATTCGTGGCCTATGACGTCTATCCTGACAGCTCCCATGTGTAGAAGAGCTAGACAATCACCATTTGACCACAACGAAGTAATTTAATCGTAACTGAAGGTTGAGTTCGCAGGAATACGAAATTCATCCACATATTCCAAGGCCGCGTCTAGAGCCTGAAATAGACATTCCAACATACGAAGCTGCACCTCAACAACGATTTCGATGAGGAAATAAAGCCTTCGAGAGACCGAGTATGTGATTATATTCGCCCCTATGTAAAAGTCGATAACCGAATAGAAATCATTTCAAAACCCATCTGTTTGGACCCGTAACACGCGATCAAAGACAAATAGAGACCGTTTCAAAAGCCAGAGGATGTCCCCTCGCAAATATTCGTCACATTTCTCAGCCTCCCACCGGCAACCCAGGGGAATCATAGTTGCCAAATCATCGAACAGTTTCGGAGATTTCGTTCTTTACGAGCTAGGGTTGGGGTTCATCTGCAAAGCACGTGGTATAAGCCTCCATTTTCACACTTCCAGAGTAGCAACTGTCGTCGCCATCAATTCCTTCATACCTTGCGCTTGCCACCGGTCATGGTGACATTGACGAAACGGCGAGTGTAGACGATCCTCTTGCGGGCGCGGCCCTTAGGAGTCTTGGCCTTCTCTTGCTTCTCGACCTTGGGAGTGGCACTCTTGACCTTACCGGCACGAGCGAGCTGTTGGGAGAGTTAGATGCCATCCCGGTTACGACGAAGGACACGAGATGAGTTGAGGGCTTACCGATCCGTGGACCTAGGAAACGAACAAATAGTCAGCACACAGCATATTCGCCGAAATAGAAGTGAATATCATCGGGTCTCAACGTACTTTACCCATTTTGACTGTAAAATCTAGCCTTCAGATGCAAAAAGGGAGGTTTCGGTGGATAGCGTTGTCGTTGTCGGGAGGGTTTTGACGAATTTTCGCTGTTTGAGTGTGGTCACGGGTTTGTGCGCTGTCGACCCACTTCTTTAGGTCGGAAGAAAGTATTGCCTCCACTGAGGTGGGCGGAGGCTGACGGCGGTGAGTCAGCGCTGGCCGGAGATGTGTTTGTCCGGGGCCTAGGACTCTCCTTTTGGATTAGTTAGCCGCTCATCATGCATGAGTAATCTAATACTAAGAGGGACTTCGAAGTCGAGAGTCGAGAGACACTCGAGGCAGTCTTGACTCACAGATATTTCCATTGGTTTCCCTTTGGATGCTCGATTACGGAGTAATGATTAATTCAAGATGACCGATTACTAAGCCAGAGTTTTTACTCTTCGAGAGCCAAATGACGTAAATGGACACCATATGGCGCATAGTTGTAACCTCTTGAGTATATCTTAAGTTAATCACAAAATTAAACTAGTCGATAAGTACGCCATAGTGAGATGAAGAACGTGAATATACTCATAGCTACACCTAAAGTCCACATAGATGATGTTTCCTAGAGTATATGCATTCATCGGTAGACTTTTTGAGTCCTGCTCCGCCAAACCTCATGGAACTTTTTTTCCGCAGCAACAAAGCTCAACTCAACCTCCAACACACCTCCACTTGACGCCCTCAGTCAATAAATAGCGCCTATAAAAATCAACAGCGATACACCCACATCTAACAAACCATACCATGTCTTCTGCCGGCACATACAAACCTCCCGAACTCCCGACACCATTCATTCACACAACCCCACCTCCCGAGCTCCTCACACAGGGTGCCGAAGGCCATCTGTACAAAACCACATATCTCACGCCAAACAATTTCGCCGCACTGAAAGTCCGTCCATCGAAACCCTACCGCCATCCTATCCTTGACCGTCGCCTCACGCGTCAACGCATACTACAGGAAGCGAGATGTCTGGCGAAATTAATCCGGGAGGGTGCGAGTGTACCGGCCCTGTTAGCGTTGGATTGGGAGGGACAAGGTGGCGAGAACGGGGTAGGAGGAGCATGGCTGCTGATGGAATGGATTGAAGGGGTAGTGGTGCGAGTGGTATTGGAGAGGTGGGAGGGGTGGATGAAGCGGAACGAGACAAGTGTCCAAGCGCAGCGAATCGAGGAAGAGAAACGGCGAATTGGCGATTTGATGAAGAGGATTGGTCGGACGGTGGGAACACTGCATAAGGCGAATGTGAATCATGGGGATTTGACTACTAGTAATCTGATACTACGCGGGCCCGAACCGCAGCGGCAGGTTACAGAGGAGGGGTATCCGTCTATGGAAGGGGAGGTGGTGATGATTGATTTTGGACTTGCAAGTCAGAGCTTTCAGCCTGAGGATCGTGCTGTGGACTTGTATGTATTGGAGAGAGCATTTGCCAGTACACATCCCCGGACGGAGCCGTTGTTTGGGGAGGTCCTGGCTGGTTATGCCGAGAGCTATAAAGGAGCTGGAGCTACGTTGAAGAAGTTGGAAGAGGTGCGCATGAGAGGTCGCAAGAGGACCATGATCGGATGAGAGCCTTTTAATGTTCGATATTCCAATATTTAAGGCATAACTGCGGAAGCGGGGCATCAAAATATGTATTCATTATTCATAATAAAGCCAAAGACGCCATGCTGTGTTCAAAAAGGTGCAGAAAAAGAATATACATTGACAGGAGACCATAAAATGGACCAATGGAAACAATGGAGAAAAGAAAGAGGGGGAATAACAAGAGCGCAAGCTCGTCAAGGACGTGGTTTCACACAACTCCCTACATCTGCAAGTGCAAAATAACCCTTGTTCTCAACCACTCCACGGTCTTTGACTACGGCTGTATATTTGACCACCCATTGCGGCTCGACATCGCCTTGGATGCCATCTTCAGCCTTCGGAGCGGAGGCAAGAATCCCAGCCCCCTTTTCACCAGGGCCAAGAAGTTCGCGAGTCGTACCGATGGGAAGGATGTCCATACAGTCGTTATGGGTGAGGAGTTGGATGTTTTCCTGCTTTGCGTAGAGGATCAGCGATTTGGGCACGACGCAACAATCTTTCAGGTTGATCTGGTCGACCGAGGGTTTGATCTTGGTGTATGGAAGGAAGCGGGCAAGTCTCTCGCTCCCAAATTCCGCCACTCCTAGTTGAGAGATCAAACCCCTTTCCTGCAGGCCTTCTAGTGTTCTCCATGTTCGTATAATGCTGTCAAAATCGTCTGGTTCTTCGCTTCCGCTGTTGGAAGAGACCTCGTCTTCACTATCGTCCTCTGCATCAAACAGGATACCGGGAAAAGAGACTATCAAAAGATCGATAGAATCCACATGTAACTCCTTCAATACTAGATCAATCGCTTCCCGTGTATGTGCACATCGTCTGGACGCCGGGATCCCGGGCAAGTAGAACAATTTCACCGTAATATCGTATTGACACCGCTCTTCTGCTAACCCTCGTTGCGAGAAATCGATCGCAGGTATGTAGAGAGTGTCATTTTCCTCGCGAGTCCAGGAAAGATATTGCTGGGCTTTCGGAGTTGGCTCGCTTGTTGGAGCGCGGTCGGTAGATGTAGAAAGTTGTTGTGATGTCTGGAAATTCGATCGCAGCGCGTTGATGAGTTCGACGTTAGACTTTGCGGTGATCGGCTGTCGAATAACGGTCGAGCCGCCACCTGTCATAAGATTCCTTTGTAGAAAGTTTCATGTTAGTTTTACTGCTGCACGAAAATGTTTCTGCAAGGGAGGGATCTGCTGCACTATTGCATTCGTCTGCAGAGAAGGGCGACGTGACTTACGAGGTGGAGAGAATCAACTTCATGGTCGCTGCTATGGGATATAAACAGAGATCTAACAGCAAGGCCGGTTAATATATGAGATTTCTTCTGCGGGGAGGTCTGCAAGACGTTGCGGGTGTTGAGGGGAATTGCTAAGCAGCCCCACGGGCACTTTCTACTGCATTCGGCGACCAGTTTATTCAGCACCTCTACAACAAGTTCTGTGAAGTACGAGCCAACAGTATACTCGATTTCATTGCTCAAAGTGTTGCTTTAATGGCTATCTGCACACAATTGAATCATTTGAAACTATTTAGGCTGTCCCCCAACCCCCCCTATATTCAATCATAATCGATAGTTGGATCACAATCTATCGGGTCATACTCTCCTGTATGGAGGATTTTCATATCCGCATCAGACAACTCGAAATCGAACACCTCGGCATTCTCCTGGATCCGATTTGGAGTAGCAGATTTAGGAAGAGGAACGAAGCCCTGTAGAGTGGTCGGGTTAGCGCCACCATCTATACAACAGTATCTACCCTAGCAAAACTTACCTTCTGCAAGCTCCATCGGATCAGAACTTGGGCCGGAGACTTGTTATATTTCTTGCCAATCGTCTTCACCACAGCCTCCGTAATCCTGTATCCATGTTTCAGAGGCGAGTAGCTTCAACAACGATATTGCGTTTCTGAAGCCATTCCACGATCTCCGATCGATCTAGCCATGGATGCAGCTCATACTGTCCAACGTCAATAGTACCACCACCGCCTTTGATATATTGCTCCAGCTCGTCAAGATTATGTACACCGTAATTAGATACACCAATAGATTTGGTCTTCCCGGCCTTCTGAGCCTCGACTAGGGCACGTCACGAGCCGAGACGGGCTTCTTTCCCACCATACAGTGCGTGGATTAGAATCCTACATGCGTGATATAAGCAAACTGATAGAGTGACCAAGAGAGATGTGGAGTTATTCGCCGAACATACGGATCGAAGTAGTCCTGCTCCGCTTCTTTCGGCTCGTATCGATAGCCTTCCTGGTGCGCTCGTAGCCTATCGACCCGGGTGGAATTTTGGTTGTGAAAAAGATCTGGAATCGGTCGATACCAGAGTCCTCAATGGCATGACCACATGCTTTCCCGTTGCCATACATGATATCTGAACCACCTGTTCACGGTATCAGTGGATCCCAACGAAATTCTAGCACAACCTGCTTAGTTTTAGACGAAGGACTAGTCTCCGTTAATAGATACGTCAATTCATGAGATATAGAAACAGAAACATCATATCAACCTGTTTGGGTTCAGCCTTGGGTCGCCATTTTGGAATCAAGTCGACTTACTCCGTATCCAGGGATAGGAATCTCATGGCCCGAGTTCATTCGGTAAGTGGACCATAGACCTTGAAGGGCAGCCATATGCTATAATAAGTTGAAATTAGTACCAGATATTTTGAAGAAGTGGATGCATGAAAAATGCTAGAGGGAACTGTTGTGACGATGAGATCATACGGCGGGGTGCTGTTTGATCTAGAGGCACCATGGAAATAACACTGTGCCATGATTCCTTTACGAAATAAATTCGTGCAGTCGAAGGTCGATGCTTAATAATGTAGTGAGTAGACTTTTTTGGGTGCATAGGATTGCAAGTGCTTTGCATTTAATAATTTTTTTGATTATATTGTGCCTTTAATGCTAATAATGTTGGAGGCAAAAATTGCATGTATATCTTGTAGACTCAATATTAAACGTCTCCCCAAATCCACAAATGCAACAGAGTAAATGTAACAATATTGGTAGAATTGAATTGAATTTTGCGTTTACCTTTCAGCTGTATTTCATGTTAAAGTAGATCCTGTGGGCAGGAGTATTCGTTATTTTGTAAATAGCTATCCAACCATGATATTGCCTATATTAGGGAGGGAGAAAGTAGACATTTTCCCCCACGGTCCCTTTTGTATAAAGGTTAACTAGTTAACTAAAGACTAAGGTTATAGGACTAGATACAATAATGGAATATATATAAAATGAATAGCAGTATATTTACAAAGAGTCGATTGCTCTGGATGCAAAGTAGAGATTACCAATCATAGGAATAGATGACTATAATTTATCTTAGACTCACTAGAAAAATAGTACAATATAGAAAGGGAGATTACTTAGTAGAGTAAATAGTAGAGCTATCTGGATACTGAAGTAACAGTTATTTCTATAACTTGCAATGATACACTCACTTTGCAGAAGAACTTTTTTTATACACATGGGAAAAAGTAGAAGTTGCTGCGATTGTTGCCAGATAGTGTCAGCCATGAGTTTTTGCCCTAAATCACTATTTTGAGATATCAGGATCTTAAATGAACCAGGTAGTTTGACCGATCAAATCGAGAAGCAGTATGATGATATGTAACTTGCCATGTAATCTGCAGAAAAGGCTTTAGGAGAGAATGGCTTGGCTTATAAAAGAACAAAGGACCCTTTTTGACCAGATTGCTTGAAGAAATGTAGGAAGCCCAATACCCACTGCAATACTAGCGCAAGAAAGCTCGCAATAAAATTTTGTGACCCCGAGCATAGGGCATCGGAATATTTTGCGACATTGAGTTGTATCAAACTTTGGCCTTTTATACCCCCATCCAAGAAAGACTCTATTTCATGCATATCGCATGTCTTCAGCTCACCTACTTGGCAAAATTCCTGCGAAACTGGTTCTAAATACCAGCTACAAGAAAGCTTGCGACAGTTTCGTTTGAATATAAAAAGCCTTCTAGTGGAAGTCAAAGGACTGCCGTTTCCTGCTAGTTCGTAGGAACGAGTATTCAAAGTCCTTTAGTATTGCTCTTGACATGTTAATTCAGCATTATAGTTTCTAACAGTGAATATGTTGCATATACTAAAGAGAGTCGTCCATTATTTTGAAAAGCACTTTAACATTTGTGTTGGCTCTGGAAGAAAATTGAATGTGCCGGGCGATAAATTGCCTTTGTTAACTAATATTCCCCTGAATTGGCTTTTTCCCTTTCTGTCTTTCTGTCTGTCTTTCTAGTACCTCAAATGGAGCTCCATTCTTAAATTGGACAATAAAGTTGGCTGTTGATTTAACTTCGTAGCAAGATTCTAGATGGAGCACTATGTACTGCACTGAAATAGAATGTGGGTAGTGTATGTAATGCCAACTTGCCCTTGGTATGCATCTGTGGGATACTGGGATGAAAGAAATGAGATACGGTTCTAATTAATACAATGCCGGACGTACTAGTCTATTCTGATAGTCTTAATTGAGACTTAAATTCAACATATACTTTTCATGGAGGATTGCTACCTCCCAATTTTATATCAAAGGAGCGCATATTTGCATAACAGAACGACTTCATGTGTGTGTGTCCAGACTGCACGTTGATCTTATGCACAGAAGATGTAGGTAGAAACAAGAGACCGAAAATATGGTTGTTACGTTGCTCAACCAGTGACCTATTAATACCATAGCTATACCTACAAGTATCCCAGGGCAACATTACTTACTATCATAATTGACACCCTTGACCATCGTAAGTTAACCTCTTATACCTGTCATCTGTGTTAGGATACATCCAAGCGGAGGAAAAGAGCGGTGAGAAAAGAAAAAAAACCTACATACAAGGAGCAAACAATGGAACGAAAATGCCACTATACATCGAACAGTAGGTAGCAGCAAATGCACTTGCTGAAAATCGTCCATATTTATCTTCATTTATGCATTCACCGAAATGAGGCAAACATAGCCTCGGCTGAGAAGGTTGCATACTCGATATTCGGCATAATCAATGTAACCGGGTCTGAGCGCTCCACCTATGCAAGAACATATCAGCTGCATGGAAAAGCGCAGCAGGGATAGCGGGGACCATGATCGGGGTTTGGAATTCAGACTTTCCAACGCCGTTTTTCTTCTTAACAAGTCTGCGATAGATCTGATCGCCGATAAGCGTGCACTCTTTTGCAGCGAAGGCAGATCCAATTGCCATGGATATATAGTTTGGACTTGCCATTTGGGTGTTTTCAAGATAGACATCCGTCAAAAGGTCTACGAAATCTGCGCATAAGATATAGATATTGTCTTCGTAACAATAAGAGAGAAGGATATCCTTCACACCGTAGGCATCGGGGACCAAAACTGGAAAGAACTTAGAAGACAAAGATGTCAGGCTTTGAGAATGATTGTGCTATGAATATTGGGAGCTGTCATGAATATCTCGTCATAACACTGACAATTTTATCAGGATCAATCTCAGTGGCAGGGTACACGGCAGGTTCGCAATAATCTTCAGGGACTGATGAGACGTTATCTTCAACTTAGCTATATATAAGTTGCCTCAGGAATATGGATTTTGACAACCATTGCTTTAAGGTCGAAACCAACTGTCTGGCTGTGACGTAGGCACAGTACATGCTACACCAAGCTTTGCCCTCAGCATAGCCAGGTAGTAAACGTAGGAACTCCTCAAGGAGCGTAGTCAGGCCAAATGCAAAGGCTCATTTCTCAGCCTCGCCAACCCACATGCTCTACAGCAATGAACATGAGGTATCCACAGCGGGAGACTAGGCACAGCGAGAGACTAGGCACAGTGGGAAGACAAGGCCAACAGTCCATGAACCAGTTAGAAATTGCAGAGTCATATTTCAAACCAGCTTTTGCTGATTGTGCCCTGAAACAAATCACTAAAGGATTTGGGCCGTGACTCACGAGGCTCTGAGCCGTTGCATGGTGGGGTCATCCAGCCTGCAGATCGACCATTAAGCCTCTGACAGTGATGGCGACCCTACAATTATTGCTAGGCAGCTAGGATACAACCCGAAGCCACTCAGAAATACATCATAGCCGATGGATGCCTGGGGAAAGTTAAGGGATAAAAAGGAAGTGTCCACGGGCGGAATACTTTATTTCAGTCAGCCCAGGTCGGATTTCTGCGAGGATACCGCAGAAACTTTCATCATTCCAGTCCTTCACTCTTTAAAAAGACTTTCATCATAGATATTGCAGCCATGACGCTGGTTGTTGATGAGGTTCAGGAGAACACAACTCCTAGCACCACTCCCACCAATAACGAGGCCGAAAGCGATATCAGTGAAACCCCTGGTGTGTATTCTGAAATCTCTAGCTAATATTTACAGCCAAACTCATACATAAAAAGAAGAAAAGCCGAACTATGCCCCTGTGGGCTCGATCTGCGACGTGCAAAATTTTTACGAGACAAAGCCCGACGAAAATGACTGTACCTCGTGGTCCAAGGAGATGCCGGACGACCTGCCTGTGGCGGTCGAGGACGCCGAGTCCGCGCAGTATGCGCTCATTGTGCGAAGGAAAAAGTGCTACGACGGACTCAAGAGCCTATCTATTCATTCGATTGTGGTGCAGAGCGAGCCTCTAAAGAAGTTCCTTGCAAAGGTGCTGGATAACTATCCCGGAATCACGATGACATTGGACCGTGTCGAGTTTTCGAGTCCCTTTGTGCCCCTGGTTCATCGATGGGAAGACTTGTGCAATTCTAGAGATGAGGAGACGGATGCGACTACGAAGGAGCATGTTGATTTGTTCCACAAGATTCTTGAAGAGGAGCTTCGGGATGTCATTTCCCGCAAGAAGGATCACATCCAAAACGGTGTAATCACCCACAGACTCCTTTGGACTATTTTCGAGCCGGAGGATGTTGTCATCGCAAAGGTGGGAGGCCGGGAGAGCGGGTTTCGGTTTTCAGGGGGCTCTGTTGACTGCGAGTCCGGATCGTATGTGGTGACTAGCAAATATGTCGAATTCGATGGGGATAGCTTTGGGTTCACGAATAAGGAGTTCGAACTTCCTTACTTCGGAGGCACAAAATCTATCACTTCATTGCCGATGTTCCCGCTAAAGTACCATCCCAACAAAGTCGCGATTCGAAAGTCCTTGGTGGCTCGGGGATGTCTATGGGAACAGCACAAGGGATGTCACTACAGACAGTACGAAGGCACTGCAATTGGCCATTTCCACAGTGAAGAGGTCAAATACCACGTGAAGAGCCGTATTATGATCGATACCGACGGATACAATACCTTCCATTCTAGCGAGACGATCACTATCGATTCGACTATTCATGGTAAATTAACCGATGACCATTTACTTGTCTCATCGCCCATGGTCCACGGATACTCTCTGAAAGACAAAGAATGGCTTCAGTTCTACCTTGACTGCGCATCAGACATCATATGGGACTCCAGTGCATTCGAGTCCCTAGTCCTACCCGAGGACCAGAAGAACCTAAAGCAATTGATTCTCGCCTTTGCCAAGGCCCAATCGAAGCAACTCGACAGATTTGACGACGTAGTGCAGGGCAAGGGACGCGGTATCATCATGCAACTCAGCGGTCCCCCCGGTGTGGGAAAGACCCTCACCGCGGAGAGTGTTGCGGAAGTGATGAAGGTCCCGCTATATGTCATGAGCGCTGGGGATCTCGGAACCGATGCCAGTGGCGTTGAAACTTGCCTGAAAAAGGTCCTTCGAATGATTCCAAAATGGGGCGCTGTTCTTCTCCTTGACGAGGCCGACGTGTTCATGGAAGCTCGTACTGCAACGGATCTGCAGCGGAACGAGCTGGTATCAATTTTCCTCCGAATGGTGGAATACTACGAGGTAAGACACTCCCAATACACACATGCAACTACAAAGCGATACATAAGCCAATGCTAACGACTACTGCTGCTTAGGGCATCCTATTCCTTACCACCAACCGCGCGGAGAACATCGACCCGGCATTTGAGTCTCGGATTCATGTTTCGCTCGTATACAAGGAACTCGATAAGAAGTCCCGACAACATATTTGGTCTCAGTTCTTGGGTCAAAGCCTATCGCACTTCACTGAAGAGCAACTTGACAGCATGGCAGATGTCGAGCTAAATGGTCGACAGATCAAGAACACGCTGAAAACAGCAAACCTTCTGGCCTGGGTGCAGGGTTCTAATGTCAGATATGAGCATGTTCGAACGGTGTTGGACCTACGGGCTTCGAATTCTTGAAGCCTATCTAGGCTAGACTAATTCGAGGTAAATGAGGTTCAATGGTATGAATAACCTACCTTAGTTGATATATTCACTATGATGATAACATCGATGGGTTTCATATTCTACCTTGCTTGTGTTCTTGACCTTTTTGTACATATTCGCCATCAGGGGTTTGATATCCAGATAGCGCGGTTAATTTCGGCCAACTTCTGGATACAAACCAGCAAATTCTTCCTACTGAATTTAGTGATAGAGATCAAGTATAGTAAGTAGGTCATATATAATGAGTCAAGAAAGGAGTAGTCCCTGTGGACTACGGCGTGAAGATCTGTCAAAAATGAGTAGTTCTTTCAACCTGCGTATTGGAATAGAACTGTGCAAGAATATATACATTAGAATAGTGAACAAACAATGAAAGCAGGCCAAGAAGCTCTATGACACCAGAAAAATGCATTAAATCAGTAGCAATTGTAACTCTTGCAGAGTTAGTTAATTCAGAGGTTGTGGTATACCCCCACAACTCCTGTTTGACTCAAACATCAAGAATAGTATATAGGCGTGGATGACGGATAATCTAGTTGAGCTGAACATAGTTTGCTAGAGGAAGGTTAGTAAACTGAATATTACGTACGCGGTCTAAAAACTCACCAGGGAACTGTCCCTCTCGGCCATCGACTCGTCCACTCCACCACTCATTCTGGTTATCTGTGCGTTGTATGATTTCAATGACATCACCTGCAGAAAAGCTAAGGTCACCGTGTGCTTGTGCTTCGTAGTCATACAGAGCTGTAACCGTCTCAACCGAAGCACTAAACCGAGCCGGTTTCGGCTTGGGAGGGGGAGGAGCCGGCTTGGATTTGGCGGCTGTGAGGAAGCTACTGCCGCTGCTAGCCGCGGAAGTATACGGAGGCGGAGGGTTCTCGACGACGTCGGGGTCTTTTTGCCGAGGGGCAAAGCTGCCTTTGCCCTCGTTCGCCAATTTGTCCTTAGGGTTGAATTTGGAGTTCTGTCGACCCAGGCCTTTGGTCTTGAAATGAACAATCGTAAGCTCCTCGGCGCGCTCCTTGACATCGCCTCGCTTTTTCTCAAATGCCTCTTCAACATCTAACGTCAGATCAAAGTACCCGATGTTTATTCCTTGCATTCTTTCGTGTAGTGTGTAGAAAACGTTAAGTTGCATGTAGTAGAAGGACTGGAAGAGCGGGCGGATGAATTCTGCCTCCAGAGCGAACAGTTTGGGCAATTCATCCTTCATCAGGTCATTGTAGTAGTTGTATTCCTGCGTAGCCTGCTCCACGTCGTTCTCAGCCTTGTAAAGGGCCTTTTCATCCTTGAGCGATTTGTCCTTCTTGTCTTGTAGCTTCTTTAGAGAGTTACGATGCCGATCGTAGTCCAACTTCTTGTGGTCTCGCTTCACTGCAACTTTGCGAATCACCTTGATCACCTCAAGCAACTGATCAGCTGGGCTGATGATCCGCGATTCGATCATTTCCAACTCGGGCGCCAGGGACTCCTGGAGGTCGCGAACAATAGCTTCATATTCCTCACAGGCCTGGATGCCTTCCGGATTTCCTTCAATGGTGTAGGAACTCGGGTCGGAGGCGCGGCCAGAGATAGGTTTATATAGTTCGGTCATGGCCTTGGAGAATTCAATCTGATGGGTCAACATGCCTGAAAATTGTGAGCATATGGTGCAACACAGGGATTAAGATGAAGCCACATTATGAAGTGCGCTTACCATTAATGGCGTCAAAATACTTCTTCGACTCATCATGGAGCTTCTTGGTTTCCTTCTCGAGCTCCTGAAACCGGCGTTCGGCATCACTGTAGACCACATCCTTGGTGTTCTCACCAATGTTGAACCGGGACTTGAAGGTCTGAGGTGCCCGAACAATACTCTTCTGAAAACCCTTCAAACTCATCTCGGTAGTCGTTGCAGACGCCTAGGTGTTCGTGGGGGGTAGTGGGGAAGTATTAGGAAGCTGGCGGAATCGAGCTTAAAGGGGGATCGTAGGGAAAAGAAGGAAGCGTTAGAGAGAGGCCACGGAGAAGAAGACGCAAACAAGAGCGGAGGTGGGGGAAAGCGCTGTTTTGTTCGCTGCGACGGCGATTCGACCGGAGCCTGCCCAGTCAGTGGTTTTTGTCTGAGGACCCAACCGGTGACGGTTAGACTGCAGTTCGTCTTGCTCGGCACTGTGGCTGAGCTATGACATAAGACACCGCCCTACACTGTGGCTGAGCTATCTGGCTATCGGTGAGTGGAGGGATGATGGGTAGCAAGGCAGTGAGAAAGGGAAGAGGATGATAACAGGAGCAGAAAGAGAAGTTATGCGTCACTTAGACAGACATTTGATCTCGAGCGCATGCCAAAAGGCAAACGGGGACCTGAGGGAAGTGATAGAGCTGTGGCGTAAGGCCAACCAGAAGGGAAAATCCGGGTCTCGGAATCTTACCACGGGCAGCTTTAGGCACCAGTATCAGCTACCAGTTTAGCGTTAAATCTGTCTGACCATTGCTCTTTCGCTGCTTTTCCTTTCCTTCTGCCATACAGAGTATGATCCACCTAACCGGCCTCCGGTACTCCGGAGTAGAGTGAACTAGATCTCGCGGCCCGGTGGATTTCCCCAGGTTAGTACATTAATATAAGTTCAGCGGGTGGTTCATCTTCAGCCACAAGGTTGATACTTAGACTAATCGTAATGCCATTCTATGCATCAAAGAGGTATTCTAGAGCATCGCGTATTGCCCGTATCCAATGGCTTTGAAGTGTGGATACTCCGCAAGCCACTCGGTGCATTTTACAACCGGCAGATTTTGATAGTGCGACCCTTCGTAAATCCAAGTGTGTTCTTAGGACAGGAGATCCCATCCAGGGCAACTCTCTGAGGATTTTCATGGCATCCAAAAGGTAAACATCTGGCAGGCAAAACCCCGAGGCAGAGGCGGACTATCTGATAACTCCGATCGGGTATAGCGGGCTCGGCAATAATGATATAACCGGATCCAAACTTTTTTCCCTTCGTGCCGTCTCACCCTTCCTGTGTCAATCATCTGCTATCAACTGTCCTTCCACTTTATATGGTACAGTGGCAGATTCATCTCCATCATGTCTAGTGTAACCCCCATTGCCTTGAGACAGGCGTCCCGAGTCTATGCTCGTCGACTTTCGTCGACGCAACCTGGCTCCCTTGCCTCTTTCCCGCGGCGAGTGCTCGCCACTCCGTCCAGGCGGACGTACGTCTCCGAGACTAAGGCAGGAAATGCCCAGGTCTCAGTGGACACTGCCATCAAGCAAGAACAGAAGGAGTTTGTGAAGCAGACGGGCGTGCCACCCCAGAAGGTCGAGCTCCCCGGCTCTGGCGTCTCCAGTGACGCATCTATGAGCCCGACGGCCGGGATTCTAAAGCAAGCTACAGTTATGGACCAAGGAACTCGACCGATCTACCTCGATATGCAGGCTACGACACCCACAGACCCGCGTGTGCTTGATGCCATGCTTCCTTACCTGACCGGCATTTACGGCAATCCCCATTCGAGAACGCATGCTTACGGCTGGGAATCAGAGAAGGCGGTTGAGCAGGCTCGTGAATATATCGCCAAGTTGATTGGTGCCGACCCGAAGGAGATCATATTTACTAGCGGTGCGACCGAGAGTAATAATATGAGCATCAAGGGAGTAGCGAGGTTCTTCGGTCGCTCTGGTAAGAAAAAGCATATCATCACCACCCAGACCGAACACAAGTGTGTCTTGGATAGCTGCCGGCATCTTCAGGATGAAGGTTACGAGGTCACATATTTGCCGGTACAGAGCAACGGTTTGATTCGCATGGAGGATCTTGAGGCGGCCATCCGCCCCGAGACGGCTCTGGTTAGCATTATGGCTGTCAACAACGAAATTGGTGTCATCCAGCCCCTAGCCGAAATTGGAAAGCTTTGCCGCTCCAAGAAGGTGTTCTTCCACACCGATGGTGCCCAGGCCGTGGGAAAGATCCCCTTTGATGTCAACAAGTTGAACGTGGATTTGATGTCTATCTCTAGCCACAAGATTTACGGCCCCAAGGGCATTGGCGCTTGTTACGTACGACGCAGGCCTAGGGTTCGTCTTGAGCCCATCATCTCTGGTGGTGGTCAGGAGCGAGGGTTGCGCAGCGGAACTCTTGCTCCTCACCTTGCAGTTGGCTTCGGCGAGGCCTGTCGCATCGCCAGTCAAGACATGGAAGTAAGTTCTTTTCCATTTCTTTGTTCCTCTATGTGCTCTTTTGCGGCTGTGATTATATGCTTTTTCTCTTCTCAACTTTCTGAGAATGTTTTGGGGGTAGCTCCACGTTCTGGACGTGGCCCCATGACTTCTTGATGTACGTAGCAGGGGTGATGAGTCGATGTGTGATTTAGTGGTTCTGTCAGTTCTGGATCTGACGAGCAATTGCTAACCATCGGTTGCTAGTATGATAACAAGCACATCGAACGACTGTCGAAGCGATTGACGGATGGACTCCTGTCCATGGAACATACCACCCTTAACGGAGATCCTACGCACCATTATCCTGGTTGCGTCAACATCTCCTTCGCCTATGTCGAGGGAGAGTCCCTCCTTATGGCACTGAAGGATATTGCTCTGTCGTCGGGCAGCGCATGTACCTCCGCATCCCTGGAGCCTAGCTACGTGCTCCGTGCACTGGGAAGCAGCGACGAGAGCGCCCACAGCAGTATCCGCTTTGGAATCGGTCGATTCACTACGGATAGCGAGATTGATTACGTTCTCAAGGCGGTGCAAGACCGAGTTCATTTCCTGCGCGAGCTGAGTCCTCTGTGGGAATTGGTGCAGGAGGGTATTGATCTGAACACAATTGAATGGAGCCAGCATTAATTTGTAGATGATGAATGGCGTGGATTTGTTTTTAAATTTTTCATCTTGTAGTTCAGACTGCCAAAGCGGAGTCGATCTGTCATTGCGTTTGCTTCAGGATATCAATTGCAGGATGGCGTTAGGTGTATAAGAATTAAGGGTATTCCGTCTGTATAAAGAATGAAATCATTGATATGGGTGCGTCGAATCTACCGCAGTAATACCTCCACCAGTATGGAGCACGTAAGTATGTGTGTCAAGACAAACCATTCAACCAACTAAAAACCCGGACGCTTAGTGAGCCACAATAGTATAGTCTCAACAGTATCTTCTGCATACATCCGGAGTAAGAGGTGGTCGAAATAAGCTGACTACCACCCTCCACTTCCTTGTTCACCGCAGACTCGAATGGGGTGGCGTGGGTGTCAGCGAGCGGGCCTTTAGCTCGCCTCCCTCTCGCTTAATTCCCGAAATCGCACCCACGGCTCATCTGTTAGGAGTTCCGGTTCATTCTCTAGCACTCACGCTAGTCGGTTGGCTCGACCACCCCTTTCGCTTCCACCCAATACTTCCACTGGTGCAGTGTCAAGTCGACTGCAATCGATGCATCGACGCCATCGACTTGTTCATCCATGGGAAGTATATTTCAACATCGTAGTCCGTCTCATGGCTCTTCTTGACTCTCCATGGTTAACCACCACCACCAATCCTACTATGTATCCCCATGATCATAATGGTGCCGTCCACTAAATCTGCCACCGCCACGGCCTCGGTTTCGTTAGAAAGGACCGGCCTTGCCATCTATTCCGTGCTCTATAGTCACCAGATGGCCCACCTCCGTCCAGGGTGACGGACATAGACGAGAACGGAGAATTCTTCCCCCAGGTTAAAATGTTGGTTCCAGGAATCGGAGCACCCAGACAGGCGTTGAACCTTCCACTTCCAAGCTGATTAATTCACTTTCCGATTATCCTGTGCCGTTGTTGCCGCCAGAACGCGGCCATATTTGTTCTTTACCGGACAGTCCGATTGTCAACCCAGGTGATTCATTTTTCTTTCGTTTGTCCCTTATTCTTCCTCGTTTCATCCCATCCCATCTCAGGTGGGTTTCATCTTGGACATCCGTCGTCGGTGAATGTTTTCTTTATTCTTTTCAGATTGACCTTGCCTCTTAACGCCACCAAGACGGTCTCAAGCTTCTGCGAAAGGTCAATTTGACTCTGGCTTGTTACACCAGTATCCTTACAGTTTATCTATGCTTGCCAGCAGTTTGACCAACTAGTCATACTAGAGCAGTGAAGGCAAATTATATCAAAGCACGAAGCGACTTTGTGCACCAATCCGTGTTGTTTGTTGAGTCGTGTGACACCAAGTCCAATAATCTTGAATAGTTTGTGATGTTCTGCCCTGTGTGAGGTAAAGGGTTTGACAACGGTTGTCTCTGTATAATCTGCTTGATATTATTTATATTCTCCTCTCGCTTTTATTACGTTCTTTGAGCTCTAAAGCATATCGAACTATTTGCATCACTCAGCATGCTCCCTCCAGTTCCAGTCTTGGCCGACTACGGCATTTCCCCAAGTCATGGCTTCCTCCCACCCGAACCCCCTCTTGATGTTTTGCCAGACCCATATTATGCAAAGTGGGAGTGGATAGTATCCAATCTGCAGCCGCTTCTGCTCAGCAGAAGGATTCGAGAGGTGGTGGACCATATGTCTACGCTTTCGACCACCTACCTTACTTCAGAGAGTGAATGGAGACGAGCATTTGTTGTGCTGGGGTTTATTCTGCATGGATATGTCTGGGGTGGCAACAAGCCGGCAGAGGTATGAGATTAGCGCTACTGTTCAATGCCTTTTCTTTACTGATGTCGATCAGAGAATCCCCCCTCAGCTTACAGTTCCCCTCTTCGAAGTATGCGAACACCTAGAACTTCCTCCCGTGGCAACGTACGCCGGAGTATGCCTGTGGAACTACAAACCCATCTTCCCAGAAGAGCCACTTGACGACCTTTCTAACTTGGCTTGTGTTAATTCATTCACTGGCTCCCTGGATGAGCAATGGTTTTACTTGATTTCAGTGGCCATCGAGGCCCGCGGTGCTCCTTCGATCCCACTGACGTTGCAAGCCATTTCTGCCGCGCGAGCTGGGAACACCATGGTTGTCACCGAGTGCCTGCAGAACCTCGCAGAGATCATAGATGAGGTTGGAACACTACTAGAGCGGATGTATGAACATTGTGACCCATACGTGTTCTACCATCGCATCCGACCCTATCTAGCCGGAAGCAAGAACATGACCGACGCCGGCCTCCCTAACGGACTCATGTACGACGACGGGACGGGGAAGTTGGACTATCGCCAATATGGTGGCGGAAGCAACGCACAGAGCTCTCTCATTCAGTTCTTTGATATCGCCCTCGGAGTGGAGCACCGACCAACGGGAGAAATCCGCCCGTCGAAGGAAGAAGAAGAGAAGAAGGAGGGTGTTCCAGGGGCTCCTCGACATGGATTCATCCAGGAAATGCGATCCTACATGCCTGGTGCTCACTGTCGGTTCCTAGAGCATGTGAGCACCGTGGCCAATATCAGGGAGTATGTGGAAAGCCGGCAATCCGACAAGGCATTGTGCACCGCCTATGACGGATGTCTTTCCATGTTACGAACACTGCGCGATAAGCACATCCAGATGGTATCCCGATACATTATCATCCCGTCGCGAGACTCCCGGGCGCGGGCTCCACGTTCATCCAGCCCCAGGAGACAGGCACCGGCGATGAATCTGGCCAACGCGCGCAACAGCGAAGGAAAGATCGACGGCAAAAAACTCCGAGGGACGGGAGGAACAGCATTGATACCTTTTCTAAAGCAGGCCCGAGACGAAACAGGGGAGCCGGCTATTGACGCATGGGCTCGTCGCCTACTGAGCGACAGACCGGCGGAGTCATTTGCCGCACTCAGCAAAGTGGGTGAGAACCATGACGGACACCTGGAGGTTGTGGGACTTGCGGGGACATGGACAGCGGATGATAGTGAGGGTGGGATATGTCATTGGTGATTGTTATTTGATTTTTATTCCAGCGATTGCATGCATTGCTTGCATATTAGCGCAATAGAAGACTCTGATTGTCTAGATACGTAACCGTGACGTATGCATCATTCAAATAGACATGGACAGGGATATATGACGTCACGGCGTCAGGCACAAATATACTATTCGGTAAATCAACACAACATCAGGTATCAATTACTTAATCAACCACAATAGTTAAGTTAACTACAATCCACTCTATCAAGATGTCCTCAACCCCATCCACACTGAAATCCTACATAGACACTGCCACGGAGCTGCTCAAGTTGGCTACGACACAGCAGCAGGCGACTCCTAACCAAAGAATTTACCCACTTACCCACATTCAACCTCCGCCTCCCAGCATCCAAGAGACACCAATACTGTCAATATAATATAATAGAACCCAATTAAAAGATATCCAGAGTTCAGACCTAGAAACTTAAACCCCGCACCCTCAGAGCACGGCGCAAGCCATGAAACCACTAAAATCGCCCCCCTCGCTATGGGACCGCACACAGTCCCAACAGCACAGGATAACCCGCGGTGCTAGAGAGGCACCTGGGACCAAACCATCGGGGCAATGAGGGAGTCTCTGGGCGGGTGAGGGACTGCGATGGAAGAGGGGGAGCAGAATGTGCGGGGTAAGACGACAGAGATAGAGGGTCAATTGAGGGATTGGCGTGCCAGATCGTGTGCATGGTAGAGTGGTCAGGGTTGTAGCAGCGGCGAAGGGGGATTGCGAAGAGTAGGGAGACTGGGAGGGGATTTACATCTAGGGAAGATGAAGGCGAGTGGAGGTGGATAATCAGAAATCTTAGGTCGTATTATATAAGTACTGGATGGGTAGTTACTTGGCCATGTTAAATTGTGTATAGCAACTTTCAGTTTTGAGAATCATGTAGACGATTAGTGGTGGATATTCTGACATTTAATACCTGACTGGTTATAGGTACCCTTGTATTCTGTATAGATCGGATAAATTGCCGAACTGTACTAAGGAATAATAATTCCAACAATTAAGATCCCATAGTAATTATTGCAATATGGTCTCAATTTAGAGTGAGGTCATGTGCGGATACAACAACCAAAGTGCACCTCAGAAAAGGCCTAACGAAACCAAAAAAGAGGAGCTGCCAGGTGGGGATAACCACCAAACCAAGAAACCAAGAAACCCCAGGAAAAGCTAATGCTAACACATGCCCCAACTACTCCGTGTACATCCAGGGATCAGCCAGACTAGTCCTCCACATCGGATCTCGGGTAACCACAAGCAATAGGAATTTCTCCGGCCGACACCCTCTTTTAGATCGGGCCTATTTATGTAATGTTCTGACCATCTAACTATCTCCTTTCCTTTCCCTCTCACTTCAATCCTATCCCACATCACGACAATATGAAATTTGCCTGGATTGTCGCCGCGTTCTCAGCCACGGCCTGGGCCGCCGCTGCACATGAGAAGCGCGAAACGGCCACGGCCACGGGAAAAGACGTCAATTGGTCTGCGCTGGGAAATGCTATGTACGTACACTATTCTTCCTCATCTCTCCAGATACTATTAAGATACTAACAAGTCCAGTAAATCTCTCTCCCTCTCGTTGCCCACCAAAACCGCCAACCTGGAGAACATCGACCCGCCACCGCGATCGCTAATCCCGGAAATCGTATCCGCCCTGCCTCCATCTGCTCTCGCTGCACTGGTGGTGCCCGCGCAGCGCGCCTCGCTGGCCAGCGACTTCAAAGCGGGCAAAACCCCCGACTGGTACACCAGTCTACCGACGGACGTGCAGAGCTACCTGTCCACGGTGAGGAATCAGATCGCGGACGGAGCGTTGACCGCAGCGCCTAAGAAGGCGGCACCGACGAAACCTGAGGAGGCCTCGGCCACGAAGACGGGGGATGCGGCCTCGTCGACCTCGGAGGGAGCAGCGGCAGCAGCGGCGCAGCCAACAGGATTAGTTCTGGGCGGGATGGGGGCGTTGGGAGTGCTGGGGGTGGCGTTGGCGTTGTGATCAGCACTCTTGGAGTACACCTGTGGGTAAAGTGATGAATGATGGATGATTCTATGGATGACGATGTAACCAACTGATCTCTTACACTACGTGTATGAATGGGTCTACAAATGGGGTGCAAATGAATGAATTGAATGGACAAGCTTCGAGTGGGACCAAGTGAGACAAGTTAATCTAATATCGGCTCGGTACAGAGAGTAATAGACAGATAACGTCGAGTCGAACTGAGTCATATGATGAGGCCTGTCAGCGCATACTAAGGTATACCCCATAGTCCGTACAAGGTAAGAGTACCGGTCCAATCCCAGGAACTCAAAAGGAAAACAAACAAGCTCCGATTCACATGTAGAGCCATCGGTCCGAGGCGAAGGAGAAAAAGGATCCACCGACGGGCGATTGATTGGACATGGGAGGCGAGAGATCGACGGTTGCAGCACTAGGTCCATGCGGGGTTACGGGGAGGAATCAATCCAGGAATCTGGTCGGCTCGTCGTTTGCATACGAGATAAATCCCGCAGGGAATTCACATGGTGACAGTGACAGTGAGAGAATATGGGGAAGTGTCTACCCCATACACCTCGGATGGAGAGCAGATGAGAGGATATGACACAGGACTGACGACAGCGGACGGTTCGATCAAACGGCAATGAGACGGTCCATGCATCAACGGAGGGAAGATCTTGTTACGGCCCGACCGTAATTGAGGCGGAGATAACTCCTATCGAATGGGAGTCCCAGTACAGCCCATTTTAGTCCGCAGGGGAATGCCTCGACCCTGGTACGCAGGTCTAGGCATGTTTGGTCCGATAAATTGGCCGGACGTTGGACCTAGACTATTCCACAGTACTAGTTGGCTACAGGGACCATCAGGGTCCTAGCGGGGTCATCCTGGAGACGGGATGACTTTTCTACTTCCTACATATAGCTCTCGCAGAATCCTACTTACACCTTGATCATTATCTTTCCGATTCAATCATCAACCATTCAGAATAAGTCTACAATATGCGTCTCTTCAAGTATCTCATTTTCGCTGCTCCCTTGGCCGTGGCCAATCCCAATCCCAACCCCAATCCCCTTCCGAATCCAGTAGCTGCTCCAGATGCTCTAGCCCAGGGGGGTCTTCTCTCCCAACTGCCGGACATCATCAATGGCGTCAAGGAGTTGTTGAACCCAGAAACCCTCGACGACCTACAAATCATCGTCAAGGGCGGCGCGGTGCTTCTCGGCGGTGACACCCCCAAGAACCTGAAGACTCTGCTGTCCGGCAAGAACATCAACACACTGCAGGTTCTGATCAACAATGCCGGTACTCTATTGACTCCCACGTTCGTGAATGATACCACGACCTTGGTCGAAGATGCCGCTCCGGTAAGTTTGATGTTCCTGAAATAAGAGACATGCTGACTGGTGTAGCTCGTGTCGAACATCTCGAAATTGCTGGGTGGACTGCTGGGCTCGTTAATTTGATTTAATTTGATTTCTACATGACCCTGGTGTAACTTCTTAAGATGGCTGTAAAGACAGACGAATGGATGGCATGACTGTATTGAATTATGAGTTTGAACTTTGAAATTTGATATTTGAAATTTGTACATGAAGCAAAGATATCTCAACCCAACTTGAAGACCAAATTAAAGGTATAAACTAAAGCCTATCAAATTAAACAACATTCAAATGTTTCCGTAAGTCTTCCAAATAATACCTCAATGCGTATGATCGCGTCGACTTCGGCAACGCCGGATAAACAGCGACGGAGAACCCCATCCCAGTCCGATACAACGCCCGGGTAGACAGGGTCGACTTGAGACCGTAAGCCTCTCTGATCCGCGGCGGCAGCATCTCGATAGTTGCGACGCGCAACAACGGCTTCAACATAGCCACCCAGCGAGGATAATCCGTACGATCTAACAGATCCTGAGCGAAGCGATGCGCATCCGGCGTGACGGTCAACTGCTCGATCTGATCATCCCAGTAGGTCCAGAAGGCCTGGCGCGTAGGCGGCCAGCTACCCGTGGGCATTCCCAGAGACTGCATGAGAATTGTGAATTCGCCGTAAGTCTTCTCAGCCGTTTGATAGTTGACGCGTCCGTAGATTCGCTGGTAGAAGTCGGTGGCGGTCGCATACAACGTAGCGGCTACCCAGAGCTGCGTCGGCGGATGCGAAGTGTAGGCCTCGCTGGTACGGAAGGGCGGTTGATCGCGATGAATGAGGTCCAACAGGGTCTTTTTCTCCTGGCGTGTGCCGAACACAAGACATGCGACGTAGCTGAGCACGGCCTGGAGGGCGTTACCCAGCTCCGTGGCCAGATTCTGGCCGCTCCCATAATGACCATAGTTGATGCGCTGTTTTATGCCCGGGTGGGCGGCTTGGAGGAGGAGAGCAGAGCCGGAACCGGCAAAGAGAATGCCTTCTTGTAAAATATGAGGCAGGATTTCTAATTTCTCGAGCTTTTCCAGGTCATCGACTGGGTTGCCAGAGTAGGGGGTAGATTGAGAGATTTGGTCGGGATTCCTTTTTTCGTCCAGCGGCATTGTACAGTTTTTTAATAGGTAGTATATATGTGTGATTGCATTTCAACAAAGGACAAGACGGCATATCCTATATCAAGCAGATACCTTGACCATCCTAAATCCCCGGCATTGCCCCGCGCCTCGATCGGGGAATGACTCCGTCCCCAACTTTTTGGAGTGGATCATTTCTCCTGTCTGAAGCTTAAGTCACTCCCTAACAGCCGCGGTTCCTCATAGTCACTGTCGATCTTTTTCTGTGTCTTCCGCATGTGAACTGCCCCAGTGGCAACGGGTCGCCATTGGCCGTAATAGTGATCAGCGTGGATCTACAGTACGCGGATGACGAGGACTTTCAAATTTGTTTGGGGTGGATTTCTTTCCCTTTTTTTTTTGGTTTCTTGGGCCTCGGGTTCCACTTGGGGACAATCAATCCCCCAGGGCTACCATGGGACTGCCAGGGTCTCCGTATTCGGGTACCCTGACGTGACGGGACTTATAACCCTTAATAAAACTACTGACTCTCGTCCATTTCGGCCTCTCTCTCGTAGGTATCTACCCGTAGCCATGTACGAGAATCAAACCTATCTCAACTCCAAAGAGGCCAAGTATGCCCTGGGCACCCATCGTGGCCCTCTGGATGGAGACGGGGTCGATCTCGAGCATATCGAGACCGTCGATACCATTACCCTGGAGAAGATCAAACGGACTCCCACGCAGAATCTACGACGACATTGGGCTCGATTCTGGTGTTGTTATACATTCTGGAGTATTATCTTCCTTGCGATATTCCTCCCCATCTTGTCTGTCCACCCTCATAAAGAATTACAAAAATACGGGCTAGACTAATTTTCAGACAGTTTCCTGTTAATCATCCCAGCCATTGCTCAACGAGTCGTCGACAACTCAACTCTCCTGCTCACCCGAGCCGACGTGATGAAGCCACGGCCGGACTCGATCGAATTGACTATTGAAGCCGCTCTGAAACTCCCCATTGGCGTTCCGGTGCGCATTGATCCAATCACCATGGACCTGTTCAACCGTGACAACTCCGGAAACGGCACGTTCGCGAAGCTGTACATGGACCGCGCCACCATCGATGGCAATACCACCCTGAAGGTTGAAAATCAGCACACCCCGTTGAACGTCCCGGAGTGGAAAAAATACATACACAACGTAGTGTTCACGAAGAATGGGCCGCTGCCTGTCAAGGGTAAGACCACTGCGTATCTCGGGGCATTGAAAAACCATATCACGATGGACAAGGATATTCCTCAAAACAGTAAGTCTTCACCAATCACTGGCAGTTGAATACTGTCAGATACTAATATGGAATGTTTAGACCTGAATTCCTTCGACGGATTCAACATCAAAGATACCCAACTTGTTCTGCCAGCCCGAGAAGACGGGACGAACCTCATTGCCAATGCAACCCTACCCAATCCCTCCGTCATGACATTAGAGATTGTACGTAACTCCCCTCCCGCTACCAAAGAGATAGAAAATGCTAACATCAACAGGGAAATATAACCCTAGACCTCAAATCCGACGACCTGGTAATCGGCAACGCCACCATCGACAACCTGATGCTCCGACCAGGCAACTACTCGAACCCGGTACACGGGATCCTAGACATCCGGATCCTGCTCCGGAATCTACGCAAGGTCCTATCCTCACAGCTGCCCTCCCTCCGCGAGGGATACCTCAAGCTAGAGACGGTGACTAAAACAGTCATCTACGAGGATGTCGAAGTGCCCTACTACACGGAAGTCATGAAGGGACTTCCCTTGACGGCGAAGGTCCCAATTGCTGGGCTTATCACCAATACCCTGCGGGGGATTCTCAATGGAAATATCACAGATTTGTTACATGACGTCGCGCAGAATATGAACGTGACGCAAAAGGGGGGCGGTCTCCTCAATGATCTGTTAGGTAGTGATGATGATTCTGGGAGTGGCAAGGGGAAGAGGTCCATGGAGGAACGGATGTTGCATGGGATTTTGAATTCTCCTGATAAACGAGAGGAGATATTGGATGTATTGGAGGCGTTGAATCTATGATAAGATATGGTTATGATGTATATAGTTGGATTAATGATGTAAATGACAAATATAAATTTAAATTTAAAAAAGGAATAAATCAATAGCATGATGAATGAAATAAAGTAAATCAATAATCTACATGATGGACCCAAAAATCAGACCACAGATTGCGTTCATACAATTGGGTAAAGCGATCTAGAGACTTGCCACCACATATACGCCAACATTCCACCTATAAGTCCAATCATGTCAAGTGGCAATGCTACATGAGCTTCTTGCTTGTCGAGGGCTTGCTCTTCGGATAGCCCGTAGAGAAAGAGATCTACGTCATTCGCGAGCGCAAACTTCTCGTGACAGAAGCGACCGAGGCCATGGCTTGATGGGCATACTGCTCCGGTACCGGTACGAGTGAAGAGGCTACCGCACTGCAGGGGACCACGACATTGTTCCAGTCCAGATCATGGAGAGAGTTCTCACAAACAATGTCGAAATTGGCCCGAAACTCTTTCATGCTAGAAACCACCGCCGGAGAGCCATTGGGTCTTCGGTCCTCGTCTTTAAGGGGAACTAAATGCTTGGATTTGACCTCTTCCGACTCCGGCGAAGGATCACAAGCGCGAACCTTCAGATCGACGGATTCATGTTCAGTGGAAAGCGGCACGATGCTCAGAAATCCGACCGAGATAGAAGGATGATCGGGTTCCTGAGCAAACATCTTGCGCACGATTGCATCATAGTCGCGGTACTGCCTCACCAGACCGGAGACCGGTTCCTGAGGATGGGAGTTGACGTATTGCACAAAGTCTGCGTGCTTGGCGGGGACTGGTGGGGAGAATGTATTCTTGAGCAATGGTGCGTTTCTGGGCGAAATGGAGAATATGGTAGGAAGATGAGAGAGAATCAATTAACGGGGACGGCAGCTTTCGAGTCATAATAGAAGGCTGTGACGATCTGTGGGGATACACTGTTCTTAAACCGACCAAGGGCAATCGATAGCTGGAAAATACACGGATTGTTTAGAGTAGGCATATAACACACAAGCAGCATTGCCTATAGTTCAACGGACTTGTACTAACGTTGGGCATTCTCGGGTCTAACTGAGGAAACTCTTGGAGGAGTGGCAATCCTGTGGATCTCTTGGAAGCTTTTGCAACCAAGCCGCAGGAGCAGAGAAAGGACGTTGAATGGAAGCGTTCCATGTACCTCGGCCACCTATGGTGTCGTGTCTTCTAGGGTCTCTTATCGGACCCACAAAAGCCCTGTACGGGCAGTATACAACCATTGTGCAACCGTTCGAGCTACAATATAGTCGAACCCATTCAATCTACTACTGCAGGGGCTCCAAGTATCTGCTAGACATTAGTGGTCAGTATTGTGAAGAATGAGGCCTTGGGCAGCGAAGCCAAAGCGTAAGCCTGAACCAGTAAGGCCAATACCTCCTAACGGGGCTGATGATGTAAATTGGTGTTGGTCCAATTGTGAACAGACAGGTACAGAAAGATGGGGAATTGATCGAAGTGGTACTTGTCTTGACGATCAATTTGTTGAACGAACTGATCATGACTAGTCGACAGGGTTTATAACACCAGGCCCACTTTCGGTGATGAGTTTCATTCTGCCCGCTTCAGGTAGCATGCTCGTGGTTTTTACTGATATTCAAATTCATAGCGGAAAGAACCGAGAGGTGGATAGGGAGATTCTGGGTCTAATTCGTGCGGTCAGGAGGTGACGGCTTTGGCCTCGAGCCTGAAGACTACTTGAGAAAGAAGCCTTTAACAGAGGTGAAAGCTGCCTGTAGGGCATATCAGTTTGCAGACTTAAAATACAGATTATGTCTTTAGCGTTCATCAATGATTCATGGTCAAATCCGGGTCGAAAAGCCTTAGTTATGACCTGATTTAATCAAATCGTCTTTTTGGCTGTGTGCTGCAGCTCCGTGTGGTTGCTGAAGATGGTCTGTGATCGTACGTTCTTTGTTGTAGTCAAAAATAGAATAAAAGGGAAAGGTGTAATAATGCGCGCTTGCGGAAAATTTGCTGAACACTACAAGGCGTGGGATTCTTTACTGAAGGCTAGGCTTGGCCTTGCGTGGTGATGGTTCAGTGCTGAGCGAGGGCTGGGCATTTTAAAATTGGCCTCAATAATTTTCCTTTTGCAAACTACGACTTGTACAGATGAATTAATAAATTCACCTCCTTGCAATGAAAGGTGTTATCTGCCATTCTCAATATCTCCATCTAGTCACTGTCTTCGCTTCGGACAGTTCGCCTCAACGATTTAGACAATCAATGACCTGCTTCCTTAAATTCGGCTGAACACAAATGTCCACTTGGGAGAGATAATGTCTGAATGGGCTCGAAGATGCATAATGGCCAGTTCAGCAGGTCTCCAGCTTTTTATATTTCACTCCCATTCTGTGGAGCCCGCATGCTTGCAGGGCGTCTAGACTTCGTCTGGCCACGCTGATCACCAACCAGTAGAAATTCTTTGTGGTGTTTGAATATTTTTGAAAGTGTCATGACGTGCAGCATGACAAAGAGGTGCAAATAGCTCGTCTATCGCCTCACTAGTGGGGGCCGAATCAACACGAGGATTGGTCCCATAAGGTTCAGGCTTTGTTAGCTTGCTGGCTAGCTGTCCGAGCCACGCTTGGTTCTGTCGAACAGAAGTCTAGTGAGCGAGAGAAATAGCATAGACGCAAAGAAGTGGACGACGGACACTCTAGCGAGTGTTCAACGGTTCCTGCCTTCACGACTGACCAGCCGATATTTGTCGGGCTTATGAGAGGCTCACCTGCATAAGTTCGTTACCTTCTTAAGAATAGGTTAAGTTGAACGGCTAGATTTAGTTTGGAGTGAGCGATGCTAAACACATTTGCGGTATTCCAGCAAGGAAATCCCTTGGCATTCTACGAGTGGCACGGCAGAGAAACCAAAAAAAAAAAAAAAGGCTGACCATCTTATCCTGTGCACCGTCTTCGATCCCTATCGTTCCCTGCTCTTAAGGGTAAGACTAGTAAGCACAGTATTGCATTGCATCACAATCACAAAATCTTTAAAGTTTTCAATATCAAACTCAAAACCTGATGAACGGAATAATATTTCAGCATCCACATTGTATGAAATTTGAAGCCGGATTTATTTAAACAAAACTAATTATGTACGAGCTACCTGTTCAATGCCCTGAATCTCCCAAGTATGGACAAATCAGAAGAAACAGTCAAACATGTATTATCTGGCGGTGGACTGGAAATTACAAGAATATCACCTCGGCAGAAGACGTCAATGGCAGATCCACTTGCAGAGTCAACACCTTCAACTTGCCATCGTACTCATGCTTCACCTCCGCAACACTGCCTGTGGACATCCTCTGTGGCTGGCCATTCTGACCCAGGATCGTGAGTGTCTCCACTTTTACGCTGGCGTCATACGCGAAGTGTCCCCTCAAACTCGACCTCCAGAGCTGATGCCTGTTCGAGTGATTCGCCGTCGTCCATGTACAGGCGTCCGGTAGCAGTTCCGTCCCGACCTGGTGCGATGACCACATTGAAGGGCTTTTTGCGGAGCTCGGTGGTGCTGTTGGCGCTCTCTCAGTACGAAGTGGTATAATGCTGCCGCCGCGGATGTGGAGCGGGATATCGGTGAATGCCACATCGGAAGCGTAAGTCTCTCCCCTCCAACGGACCTGAGCACCAGTATACCAGTCATAGAAAATGTGATCAGGGGGGTAGATATCGACGCTTGTGGAGTTCTCCTTGGTGACGGGACTAACGAGGATCGCATCACCGTAGAAGAATTGCAGGTCAATCGGGTAGATGTAAGTGTCCTCGGGATAGATGTAGAAAAGAGGACTGAGAACCGGCTCGCCTGTCTTCGTCTGCTGGTGGAAAGCATTGTAGATATAGTCAAGCACCCTATACTGAATGTCGATGACCTTGCGGCTTCGGCGTCAGACAGCCAGCGGTAGAATTCCTGGGGAATAGAGTCTTCATGAGTGTTGTTGCGATGGAGTGGGTAGAAAGCTCCCAGTGTTGCCCACCGCGCGCAGAGCGTCTGTGGTGTTGCTATCGAAACCGCATACGTCAGATCTCACCATGGGAATTTGGAAGATAGATGTGAAGCTGAGCATGTGGGCGATTGAGACGGTACTTGGACCATAAGCTGGCGTTGTCACCAAGCCTGTATAACCACTATCAGCAGCATTCTTCTGGCCATATGGGCGTAGCAGAGAACTCTTACCAGTGACCAACATGAACTCCCGCACCGGCGATGGTGCTCCCGGTGATGACCATCGGCCTCTTAGACGGGCGACGGGTGAGCATGGAAGTGCGTGAGACGGAGCCCATCACTGTAAGTTTGTGGTCAGATATTTATGCTGCAGTACAGTCGAAGATGCAGGGAGAATCTACTTGTTCCATAAATATTGTGAATATCGTAGTCTGCAAGTCCATTCGCGTGGATAAGGTCGGTTTTGATAGTTAAGTTACTGATAGATCCTTGCGCATTCGCAACAGTGTAACTCGGGTTGATCAAGTCGCGGCCAGGAAGACTCGGCTTGTCACCAGCCTGACGTGCGTGGAGGGAACGCTTCTTCGATTGCTGTAGGATCGATGGAGGGCCCAGGGAGTGGACGAGGCGGAGCTCTCACCAGAGCTGGTGCAGGGGGAGATCATTGCATGGGTAGGGGCAGAAATTTGAGGCTTCATTTAGGTCGATCCACAAAGCATCGATGTCCACTCCGCTATCAGCGTTGAACATCTTGTCAAACTCATTGTTCCAGTAGTCTTGGGAATTTGGGAGGACCAGTCAGGGAACGCGGCCACTCCAGGCCTCACAGTACCTAGTCAGGTGATAAATCGGTCCGTCGGAGTGTATAGAAAGAGGACGTGCCTTTAAATATCGAGCCATTATTCTCTTTCAGGAACACATCTTGTTCTACGCCGCGTTGGAAAGCGGAGTTGTTTGAGTAGGAGACTGCTGGAGCAACCATCACAACATAGTGCTGACAGTGCTCATGGAGATACGACACCAGGTCACGCATCTTATCCAGAGGGAACCTCAAGGGGTCTAAAGTGAACACTCTCCGGACATCCATGTAATCGATATCCGTCCACATGGTTTCGAGAGGAATTTTTGCCTGGCTATAGTTGTAGACAACTTCAGCAAGTTCAAAAACGCCCCGGTATCCGTAGCGGCATTGCTGGAAGCCATAACCCCAGTACGGTATCATCGCAGGTAAGCCGACCACTCTAGCGTACCGAGCAGCAACCTCCTTCGGACTAGGTCTGGCCAGAAAGTAGAAGTCAGAGACACCACCGAGAATGTTGTACTCCAGGTATTGCTCTCCATTTTCAGTCTGGTTGACTTTAATGTCCATGCCATTTGAGTTTAGCAGGAAGGCCCCATATGCACCAAACTTCTTGTGGTGGTCAACATACACGGGATGGCTTCCGTACAGACTCGTTCCCGCGGGAATGGTGAACGCATCGCGATTCCACAGCGTCCTGGTGTAGTTTGTAGTGTTCAGGCGAAACGTGTCGCTGTGCTCACCCAGATCGTACAAATTAGGGTTCTGAGGCAAGGATGTTCGGAGATTCAAGTACTGCGACCGGAAGATCAGGTTGGAGCCAGAGGTATTGAACAAAGTCTTCTTTGTGTCCGCCCTGGTCACGGCAAAGGAGAAGGGCTCTTCTTAGTGTAAAAATTTAATTGCCGAATTGGAGCTTGAAGTAGCATTTTCTGAGCCAGGACGCGGGAGGACCGACTCAGGAACTTGGTAGACATTCTCTTCGGGATCGTAGATCATAACATGGAGCCGAGTGTCTGGTACGGCGGTCAATGCCAATCAGGCTGTCATTGCCAGATAAAAATGGCGCAACTGCCCTAGACCTACTGGTTTCATAATCCACTTTCAACTTGAGGGTAGTGAGTTCGCTTCCATAGGTATCACTCCCGGCCAGCTGTAGGTCAGCCGTCAAGGAGCCGCCATGATCTTGTATATTGCTTGCTTTATATCCAGGACAGCTCTCGATGGGAAGAGCTGCTCTCACGCTCAAGGCGGCAGCTCCCACTGCAGCTGGAAACAGTAGGCCGTAGCCTATCATTGTGTTGTTTTCTGGATTCGAAAACTGCTCTCTGGAAGGTGGAGAAAGGTAATCCTATTTTATATTCAATCTATCCAGGGCCGCTCCGGCCTTTACGCTGAAAGCTTCCCGGATAGCTACCAGATTAATTTACATAAATTCCCCGAATCGTAAACCTAATTAATCGATCATGGTGAGCAGCATCATTGACTATACCGGACACAGATTTCTTTCGTGCACCAATAGCCTGCTTCAGTGCCATCTCATGAACAAAAAGGATTGTCCCAAGCGTCGAGAACACCAAACGTGAAGAGCTTCTCCGCATGCAAACAAGAATACCTTGTCTCGGTGAACCCCGTTGCGGAAATCATCAGCACACTCGGTCCGTCATCTTGCATCCCCAGAAAGCTAATTCTTAGGCCTTGCATTGATTCGCCTTGGCCTTAATCTGAATTCCACACCATCCCTCCCACATGGGCTTCCGTGTCTTGGGAGGGCCCTATGAATCGTCTTGACCGTTGGTACACTTCGGAAAAACTTAAGGAAATTACTGGGAGAAATTTCGGCGAAGGTGAGTTGCCACCACTCGCCAAGTTTATGTACTATGTATTATACCGAGTACCAAGTGGAGACTTTGGTTGGGTTAGTTTAATTTAGACAAGCAATCCTAGCGCGATCCCATCGAAATAGCACTGCACCGGGGCCTCTGAGCGGCATGAAATAAGTGTGAGCTCCAGTCAGCTCGCAAGTATGAGGACTCCGTACACATTACTCCGTATAGCCGTAGCTTCAGAGGATTCGTTCAATACGAAGGTAGCGACTCGAAGAGAGGGACTCGTGAGGAGGAAGTAGAGAGAGCTTACAGTAATTCTGGACCTTGATTATCAAGCCGAATCTTCAATGATCTACCCAAGCAGTATGCATGAAGAAAACAAGGTCAAAAGTACTTTGTGATCAACGCCTACGGTTGCAAATGACCAGGACTTTGTGTAACCAGTGCATGATGATCTATCTTGGATACTGGTTTGACGGGCCAGAGAAGGAATACCAAAAGGTATCCTACATATAAGCTCGGTTGCCTCTTGCCGGGGCTGAGATGCCATATTTACTACCTACGCCTAACCCAATATACCTTACCCGGTCTGTCTGCCAGCATGCATCCATACACATTGAGATAATCCTTTTAACAAAGGTTGGATTGCAGGTCCCCGCCGCTTGGTCAATTGACCGGATTATTCCTGGCTCCGTGTGACGATGTTATTGCGTAGTGAAAGAAACGATTTAGTTCACAGTTTGATTGCTAATGTTAGCCACGAAACAATGAAAGAAGATAATTAGACCTGGTACATGTGCTGAGGTAGTTAAGACCCTTGTCATAGTGGAAATGTCTCCTTCGTTTTCCAACGAGAGGCTCCTTCCAATCCAGCTTCTTCAGCCTCAGGCCACTCCTCTGCAACACCGGACGCATCATAGTCCAGGGCACTTTAAATGCTACACGAGAATCGGTTCTTAACCGATCTATCCTATAAACCGGTTCACATGTGGAGTTGCAGCCTAGATCTCAGTCCTAAAGTATAAGTGACCTTAATTCAAGTAAGAAAACAAATCTGTGCCCAAATTTCTCTGTTCTCACTTACGTACACCGAGCACACATACTATAAACCCCTGGTAGTCACCTACCAATAAAATATACTTGAACTCAGCTCGAGTCTAGCTCGAGTCATTCGAGTAAAATCATGCGGGTCAATGCCACAATGGGAGTCCGCGTCTCCCATCAGGGACAGAACATGGTATGATGAGATCATATTCTCCTTGCAGGTTCCAGGGCTCAATCCTTGGGTTGTTTATATCAGCAAGTATTGATTATTTAACAAGACTCTGGTGTTGACAGTACAAAGCACCAGCACTCAACAAAGCCACACCACAGCCAGCAACATATGATTGCCCCCTGCTCATCATCCACTGTCCCTCAGGGCACAGAATCCTGATCCCCGAAACGCAAGCCACCTTAGACGAAAAGCAAGGAGAAGGACCTTTCATCATACCCCCCTCAGCAAGTTCCTTCCCACAAAACGTCTTCGGCTCCAATGACACACTCTTCCTCGCTACCTTCAGGAAACTCCGCAACGCCTTTCTTGGAGAACTCCAGCAATATCCAAACCTCATCACCGCCAGCACAAACAGTTGCATCGTGGAGGATCATCGGAGAACGTTCTTGAGCTTGAGAACCACATTGCAGATGCTCTCAACTCGGACGCAGCTCTGCTATTCAGTTCTTGCTTTGAAACTAATGTAGTCATCTGGTCGGTCATCCCGCAACCCTTATGCTTTATGACGAGTATGCCCATCCCAGCATCTATGACGGAATGCGGAAGGGGCGCGCAAAAGCCATACTCTTCTTTCATAATTACCATGAGTCGTCGCGCAGGTGTCATGTGCAGGGATAAGCATCCTGATGTGCAAAACCGTAGCCAGAATATTTTCATCGCTTTGGAGTCGTTCTATAGTATGGATGGTGATACGGTACCCATACCTGAGATGATTCGTGCAGCAAGAGAGACGCCGTTGAGAGGGAGCCTACTATTCGCATCGACCAGGCGCACTCGAATTGGTTGATTAGACCCAAAGGTGCGGGCTTAGTGTCACATAATGGACTCGCATAAGCTCGAGAAGGAGTTCATTGTAACATATGGGAAAGCTTAAGTATAGAGTGGCGGTATGTTCATTTTAAGTAGATATCCATCAAACAAACTAATAAACATAGCGGTCGTAATGGCCAACCGTACCATCAGAAACAACCTCATCAACTATTCTCGCAATATCATTTGCACCACTGCACGATCCTTCCTCACTCTTGGGGCCATCAAAGCATGCTATAGCCTGGTACCAAGCAAGGAAGGTGACAAGGTAATACTCCGTTGCTGTTTCCACGTCCCACACTAGCACCTATAAGTGGAGGGAACGTCTCCAGAAGCTTAACCGGTCATCCCGAATTGGGCAACTGTCTGTGTATGGGTATTCACAATGACTGTTCGGGGGACGGTTGGAAGTTTGGTCTGTTCCAGTCACCGATTGTGCCACTAGTAACCAGACCGGGAGTTAGCACGTTGCTGGCCGACAGGCTTATCAAGCTTTGGTTAATGGGTCAATGCCGTGCATTATCCCCTTGTACCGAGGGACAAGATGAGAGTGCGGCTAGGCTTGCATGTTGACAACACTTTCGAGCAGGTGCGTGACTTGGTTCGCTTATTATAGAATGGGAGGTTGAACGACAGGACAAGATTATAAAAATGTGTGGTTGGTTGGGAGTGCAGAATAAGAGCTGATATTGTTTAAAATCTTTCGATTTATATGTTTCAGTAGCTAAATCAAAATGTCCTGCTTTGGATATAGATAATTAAACCGTTATAATTAGGTAGTCCCCAGCAGTTCCAAGGCAAGCAGTATGTTTTAAGTTAAGTGGACGCAACAGACTTCAGCCACCTCTACAACTCTATGATGCTGAACTGTGTGCTTTTGGTTGTCATCATCCCATCCAATGCATCTAAGAAAGTATGAAGCACAGAAAAGATTTAATTATGCAACTTTAGGCAGTCTACGGTTTCAGAATATTGTGAATATGGCCCGGGTAATGCCCAAAGGGCAGATAAATAAGTATAACGGATTGATGTTGATAAATATATCTCGATTGCCAGGACAGGAAAATGCGTCGGTGTATCGGCGTTTGACCAATTAATACGGCAGGCAAAAGTTGACTTGGTTGGACTCGGTGACATATATGTTGCTGAAATTTCCTCTCGCGTATTAAATGCAGAATTTATAATCAAAAGGCCTGTATATAGCATGTAAACTGCCACTTCTATCCTATCTGATATCCTGCAGAAGTTGAGGTGTAAAGCGGGATGACTCCGAGACCGCGGGACGAATCGGCGAATGGTATAAAAATGCGTATATGCAAATCCTAAACAAGTGGAAGCAGAAAAGCACAGTAGCAAAGAAATCAAGAAGGTCAGAGAAGAAGAACTGATCTGAGAATTACAGGATTTAAAATAGTGGAAAGCGTACACAGGGGGGTCTATTTTGAGCCAGTTCGGCGAAGCTCCGGATAAGGTTCAAGACCCGCCTCCGGAAATAAAAGTCTGTTCCTCAACTTTTTGAAACCATTGCAGACATTTTTAATGAGTTAACTTATCTATTCTCCCTATCTCTATACTATCCAATGACACAGCCAGAAGAACTTGGTGCCATTTCTTGCAGGGCCCAAAATGCGGTGGAATCAAGCTCCAAAAATCTGATGTGGGATGTGATGAAGGATTTGTGGTGTGAATCGATAAATCCAAATGGTTATGTGAACGTTGGCGTAGCGGAGAACCTGCTCATGCACGACCACCTGCTGGAGTTCATCAACCGGAAACTCGATCTGCCTGCGAGATACCTCACATACAATGACGGAGGTGGCGGATCGACCAGGCTGAGAAGCGCAATCTCCAGATTCATCAACCGACATTTTAATCCTGTGACTCCCGTCCAAGTCGACCATGTAGTCGTCACGAATGGCGTCTCATCGGCGATCGAGCATGTTTCGTGGGCTTTTGCAGACCCCGGCGACGGAATTCTTCTTGGTAGACCCTTCTACGGCACATTTATCCCGGATGTCTCGCAACGGCCAGGGACTACAGTGGTTCAGGTATCCTTTGACGATTGCGATGTATTTGGCCTCGAGGCCGTGGATAAATATGAACAAGCGCTATTGCACTTCCAGAAGACCACAGGACGAAAGGTGAAGGGACTCGTACTCTGCCATCCTCATAACCCACTTGGACGGTGCTATCCGAAACCCGTGATTATCAAATTGATGCAATTCTGTCAGAAGTATCGACTGCATTTCATCAGTGATGAAATATATGCGCTGTCAGTGTGGCAGAATACCGTTGATGAGAGTCCTCCTCCAGTAGCTTTCGAATCGGCATTATCTGTCGATCTGAATGGGATCATCGATCCCCATCTCGTCCATGTTCTCTGGGGAATGAGTAAAGACTTTGGTGCCAATGGTCTTCGACTGGGAGCCATCATCTCCCAGGCCAACACAGGTCTCCATGACGCATTACAGGCAGTAACGCTATATTCGTATGCGTCAGGGGTATCGGATTACCTGACGCACTGTATTCTCGAGAACACGGAGTTCACAGATCGGTATATCTCTCTGAATCGGAAAAGGCTCTCAGATTCTTACGCATTCGCGGTGCAACATCTTAAGGGACACGGTATTGAGCATACCCCAGGCTGTAACGCGGCCTTCTTTCTTTGGGTTAACCTGGGGAAGAGGTATCTCGAACTACATCCGGAAGACCGTAGTGAGGATGTCAGTGACAAGGTTATGCAGCGTCTTCTCCAGAAGAAGGTGTTTTTGGCAAGTGGTTCTTTGTTTGGATCTGAACAGGCTGGCTGGTTTCGGATCGTATTTTCGCATCCGGTGGAGTATCTGAGGGTAGCGCTACAGAGAATCGTTGCTGCGCTGGAAGACTAGATTATAATAGGTCTTTATAATCCAATGTATATGTCCGCTCTTTTCTGTGATGATTTAGTGGTATGCCTAGTTTACTCTTTCAAGAGATCAATTTTTGGCCATTTTCTGGTTCAGAGCTTCGATGTTCGATAAGAGCCATGGGACAATTCCAAGTTATCCTTTTATAGAAGCAATACATACTGATCTTTAGATTCTGCATAACACAGTCCAATTTATGCAATCAATTAAAGGTAGAGTAAATTTCTATTAATCTGTGGTATAATTACGATGTCGCTGTTGGATTCACTCTTAGATCCGTTGTCCGAAAAGTTCTCACTCACATCGGAGCTGGCATCACTCTCGTTCTGACTCTTATCAAGCCCCACCGGTCGGGAATGGTCGAGACGGTCCACGTGGAACTAACCGCGAAGGGACAAACTGGAGCAATAAAGAGAGAGTGTGAAGAGAATAGTGCCTTCGCGGTTGAGGGAGTTGGAATGGTCGGGAAGTGTTCCGGATATACATATGGGAGGAAGGAAGAAGTAGAAAAGGACATTGTCGGCATGATAGAGCTCGGAATTAGAGTTAAGCATGATGGTCAAGGGACCCAAAACCAGCTCCCCTCAGATTACAGGTCATCTGTGCTCCAAGCCCCTTGAATTCAAGAGAACTCTGGCTCGCCAACAAACGGGATGTTGGTTAGCAAGACTCATGAAACATTAAAAAACAGCTGCAGAAATAGTCGTTTTCGGACACCTGCTAACCATCACATCGATAAATGGAGTAAAGTAGCTTAAAGCGATAGTATATATTATTGTCTGGTTAGGATACTAGGTAAAATGACCATTTACAAGGCGGAGCCTCTCATTTCAGTAAAGTAGCTAAACCGCAACTGTTATAACAACTCTTAATAGAACAATATGTGCGGAGTGCACAAAGTACTTACACTCTCTATTCTTTATACTACCTGATACTAATCTAGACACTGTGTGATTGTAAGTAAACAACTTCTATACCATATGCTTTATAAGTAGTGATTGTCCTTTATAAATTGGCATTTAATTATGGGCAATATTTTATACTGTGTACGTATATTTAGAACTAGAGTGAAAATCTGCAGATCAGCCCTTGTTCAAGAAAACACAAATAACACCTATAGGATAAATATACTACTCAATATACGTAGAATAACAGGCTTCCTCTCCTGTTTCAAACCCCATCCCTGTCCTATGTACTTTTGTACAACCAGGAAGCAAATCCATATTCCATTGCGAGTTTTCTTATCCTATCACATACCAGCCAACCCTCTTGTACCTACAGTCCAAACATACCGCACAATGCCACATGCTCACCATGCTCAGACAGATCAGATGGCAGCCAATGTATGCGCTATTCCACAAATTGTGAGGATTTTGGAATGTACACTGCAGAATGCATATGTATTACAGTGGAGATATAGGATACCATGTTAGATGCATATCCTGGGGGGGAGGAGGGCATTTCACCCTTTCTACTGCATGAGTCTATTTATAGAACCAATATACGCGACAACAAAACTCAGGAGGACGGAATATGCGGTACAATGAAGCAACCAGACAGTCTAGAATAGGGCTAGTAAGACCATCGATTATAGCAATCGATTCCAGAACTCGAAGCAAAATCCAGAACACTAACCCCAACGTTTCCTTTGTCTAATTATCACTCCTGCATAACCATAACCCACCCGTCATCATCGACACAAGCCACGCCGCCGGCGTCGATCGCAGCAACCGGGCTCCATACTGCAAACATGAAGCAAGAGTACAAAGCTATGGCCCGTGTACAGCGCAGAATGGGTCCCGGAAATGGTCTAGCCTCATAAATCCCCCTCCACCCCCCCCCCTCTCCTCCAGCCCGAAGCCATCATAGACCACTAGTAGTCTTGGCTGGACATATAAGACTTTCAGTCAGCTCGTATAAAGTGGGACCCCGAGCGGGGTACGTGGGAAAAGAATCGATGATCTGTCTATTGAGCTAATTTATTGGGAGCGAGTTAGCGGTGGGTTGGTTGTTGCGGATGGAATGAGTTGGCCGTGCAGTGCATATGAGGTGATTGATGTATTGATTAACTGGGGCTGGAATGATGCATGTCTGGTGTAGTATGAAAGTGATAAGTGAACTCTATATTTGTTTTTTTATTTTTTACGGGGGGAGGAATGCTGATGCTGTTGTCACAGGATAGGCAATTTCATGTGTATTGTTCTATACTGGGGAGAGCATGTCGCAAGGCTATGTACGGAGTAGTGCTTACTAGATTGTGGCATTCAACTAGGTAGTCAACATGCCGGTCGACCTGGTCTATATTATGGGTCCTGTGGACAGCGTTAGGCAGCAGTGGGACTAGTAGAATATCCTAAAGGTCAGTTTCTTCCGGTGGACACCACTGGACGAATATCAGGAAAAGGTATCCGTTGTACCGTATGACCTTGCTATGTACGGAGTAATGTACCTCCAACGACGAGGCTAGAACACATATCAGTATCCGAATTTTTAAATTTTTATCTTGGCTATTAAGTTATCTGTCTAGTGAACAATCCTTTTCCCATCTCATCGAAGCCAATAGCCACGCCGAATACTGAGATACATTGCCGGCTCTTCCCGGACAGATGGCATCGCCTGGTTTGCCCTATTCCAGGAAACGGTTGCAGTATGAGCCACTGGGTGCTCCCGCCCAATATTGCCTGCTCGAGGCTGTTCGATGCTAACACCTGCTTCAGTGGTCTGGGCCTTGAGCTGTTCAGGCATCGGTAAATGCTGCAGACCGGTCAGTCGTAGTGACGGGTCAAAGTTGATCAGAATGATAGCCTGATTGCCGGGTGTTAGACCATCCTGATCCACAGAATACACGATCGACCGCTCATCTGCAACAGCATGGACCTTTCCTGCCCTTTTGGACGGGCATAGAAGATGGTGTATTTCCTGTGGTGCATTATCCGGCGGCCAAAGACGTATTCCACGGGACGTAAAACGCTCCTCGCTGTACTCTATCGGTGTGCCATCCGGGGTGGCCAATTCCGGCTTGTACAAGAATCCCTTGGGACCTTCATCCCCATCCTCATCAATGGGACATTTTCGCTTCCGCGAAACCATTCGTAATCGCATACGGTCATGGGGCACAAAACTGCCTCCCGGGATTGGGCCCGGGTCGTTAACAAGGTCCACGAAGGTCGATGCAGATAGGTTATAAGTGCGGTATTTAGTTTTGGCCAGGATGAAGTCCTGGCGTTGGGCCATGTCACCATCACAGCCTAGTTGGTATTCCGGGTGAAAATGCCTGCGTAGACGTTTGCGTGGTCGCTCATATTTGGGCTTATTGGACGAATCCAAGGTTTTTGTCAAAGGTTCGTCGGGCAATGGAGCGGGGGCTGAAAGCCGTCCTGCGTTGCCTCCCTGTCGCTTACTCTCTCGGATCTCTGCAGGCGATGGAAGGGGTTGCACATAATACGTGCGACAATTTTCGCTGCCCCCGTCAAGCCACTCACGACGGCACTCTAAAATCATGAGCTTCCTGGTCGACTCATCCTGCCGTAGGGAGAGGTCGGACCAGGTATCGTTGATTGGACCTTCGCGATGCTGTCGTCTCCAGGTTTGGTTCAGCGTCACGGAGCCTGGGTTCCTGCTGGGCGCCAAACACACCCAGACGTAGAACGAAGTCCAGTCCACTTCTTCCTCTTCGAAATCCACCTGCGTCGACACGGCATAGAAATGATTATCGTGGATCCCAAAACAAACGGTTTGGCCAATCTCGAAGCCAGCAAAATTCTCCAGTTCGACCGGCTTGTCTGTGATATGCTGCCCCGTTGTCAGATTAACACAGCTAACTGCCCATTGCGGATATCCATGGTAGCCCAACGCAGAGTGAGTCCCGTAGTAAAGATAAGATTCGTTGTGTCGAACGAACAGCCGGCGGGTTGATTGGAGCTGCGTCCGGAGTCTCAATCGCCCATTCTTCGCGCAATGTTTCTTTCTCCTCATGTCCACGGCCAGAAGCCATGCCTCCCGTCGTTCTACAATTTCTACGAGGAAAGCGAGGACGCCGTAGCCGTACTCCATCAGCGATATCTGGGTGGTATCTTCTGCTGGATTGCATCCCGGAATAGCGCGAGAAAGTACGCTGTAAAGATTCAACACCTGTTCCATCTGACCGGCTCCATGCACATCTAAAGCGCGGATCTCATCGTTGTAAATGTAGCAAAGAGAGCCGCCACTGTACAGAAAAGCACTCCCGTAACCCAAGACTGAGGCTGAATAGGGCTGAGCCGTTGCAAACGCCTCCTTGATGTCAAACAGGCGCCCAACAGCTCGGCGGTATTCCTTCGTTCTATTGGCTTTCTGTCCTTCTTTGGTTTGTAATAAATTGTTCTAGTTTCTGTTAACACTGGGCGAGAAAAGGGAGGGAAATGAAGAGCAGGAAAATTAAGGCAAATATAAAAATGGAATGGAAAATAAAAGGAAAGAAAATAAATAGGAATAATAAGGAGGAAAAATGGAAAGAAATAAATGACAAATGTAGAAGGATTGAAGGATTACCTCAACTGTTTTCCGTGCAATTGACTCGCTTCGCATCATGGAGTTGAGAGCCCGATTAACCCGACTCAGATGGACGAAATCATGACAGTCCAGTGTTGAAGCTACCTGGTAGAAAACATCGTATGGAATTGAGTCCAGATTCTTGGTCACTACCGTCATGACCGAGGTGCTGCTGAATAACTCTAAAAAACATCTGAGGAAAATCTGAATTTTACTGGAGATGAGAAAGTTAGGATGAGCGATAAGAAAGCAGTGTTACTCCGAAGCGTGTTCCGTAGATAAATATAAACACTATGTATAAAGGGTTGGATACGCATGAAGGCAGTCATTCACTGCCCAGAGATAAAATTCCAGGAAACGAAGTTAATGGACTCCATGAGGCAAATAATGAATGGACCCGGAAGGGAGGCATGTTTTAGTACCCCTAGGGAATGAAATGCGGCTCTTTTGGAACCTTAAGAAACATAAGTCTCAAAGCAGGGAGAGGAGACTGAAAAACCAAAATGCAACAATGGATTCCCAGTAGCAAAGCAACATGATTGGTGAAGAATCAAGCACTTGTTAATCCAGGATTGTACGAAGAACGGAGACTTTTACGCTAAGCCACAAGAGGCCCGCACGCTGTGTCCGCTGATGATGATGATGCTGATCGCTGAGAACACGCGGCGGAGGTTTCGCCCCTAAGAATTGGCTTAGGTCCTTGGACGGGGAACTCTCGGACGCCGTGGTTAGGGACCAGGAAAAGAGCCTCAAAGCCCGTTCCTGATGCTGGAGAAGACGAGGCTGCCTACTAGGATTGTCCTACAATTGTGGCACCAGCCATTCATTCCGTATCAGTCCAGTTAAAAATAGTCCTCGCTTCGATACTCCGAATATTGATTCATTACTTGTTTGATGGTCCACCGTCCATCTGAGACCTGTCCTAAGACACAGGACAAAGCTTCCGGCTTCTAGGCTTCACCGACATGCGACCCAGAATGAGGCTCTAAGAGTGGCGGTGGTCTTTGACAAAGGGGCGACTTGACGGCCAAGGGGCGACCTAGTCACTAGTTTTTGGGTCAACTGTCATTCTTACGGATAATGCGGTAGTGGTACCCATTCAGAGAAAGCCGCCGCGTAAGTCTCGTAACCCCCCTTAGAAACCGGTTGTTGAGCCTCTTTGTGTGGTCGGCCTTCAACACTACTCCATCCAGTACGACGCGCTGGGGCAGGAGCTCGTAAGCTTAAATTGCAACGCACATGGATGCGACGGCGATCAGATGGTACTAGATTTTGCGCTAAATAGTGTAAATGGCTCGTTTTTTCGTTCCCACTATTCGCGTCATTCTTTCAATTGCTTTGTGTTGGGGAATAGTTAATGCCTCTTGTTGGCGCGCTCGACTTGTGGGCCCAATACAGCCTCAGGCACCAAATGGTGAGGCTGAGAATCTTAGAATCCTCGAATCTCATATTTCTACCCAAAAAAAAAAAAAAAAAAAAAAAAAAAAAAAAAAAGAAAAAAAAAAAAAAAAAAAAGAGGTCGATGAACTATAGCCCATCCTAGAGTCCCATCTTTAAATTTATTTGGCTTTTTGTCTTCCAATTATTGCTAGTATTTATTCTTTTCTTTCAATATCCACCACCTTGCATCGCTGATCACCCACCCTCTCACGTTGACTGGCCTATTTTCCAGCCTCTCCAATTCCGATCAATCTTCCTCGAATTGACCAATGATAGAAACAAGCCCCATATCGAAATAAATACAGAATATATCCTCGGAGATAAGCCTAGTGAAGGGTACCAACCCCGCCTGCACTGCCCCGAGGATCAGGAACGCCCCTACAAGGCTAGGAGTCAATGGGCTAGGAGTCAATGTACTGCAGGTAGGAAAGGGATATCCGTCGCATATATATCAGACCACTTAGATTATACCTATATCCTGGACATCTTGAAACCTTGATGTGCATGGATGGAACATGAATAACCCCAGTGTTGGCGATGACTTCTGATGACTGTGTTTTCTGTGGACTGCCTTGCTAGGCGCGTGGGATCACTCAAGTCCTAGTTGTCATTTATATCGTCCCAGGTAGCCACTACCAATCATAAATAGCCCGAAACAGATAAAGACAAGCGCTTGGTATCAGTTGTGCGGGGGTGTGCCACCGTGGGCAAATATTGTCATCTTCAGCGCTTTCAGGTGCTACACCATGCCACGAGACTAACTAATTCTCGGAGATCATCAAACTGTGAGAGGCTCTGTGGTTAGCTGGCCACGACCCTAGCGTCTTGATGTGTTTGGATCTTGTTTCCAAGCTAACTCGAGGTAGGTGATGCAAGAACCCATATCCGTCACCTACTTAATGCAAGGCTGTCGTGTTTGCTCCACAACTTGTCACATGCAGCAGAACGAAATGGAGTGAATCTCGATAATTGACTCTGTTTAGGCCAGGTTCGATTCTCCCATCGAGCAATGGTAAGATATAAGTAATAAGACAACCAGATCCTGCAGTTCTATTATCTTTCAATTCTTCTCTGTAGATAGCACTCTGTTTCCACCTGCTATCTCTACGCCCGGATAGATCTCCAGCTTCCGAAATGTATTATCTATCCTATTCAATTAACTCAATACTAAATAGACAACAGTCACATTTTCACCTCTGCATTGGCATGGCTGCGACGTGTAAATCCAAACACCGTCTTTGTTCAAGGTCATGTTTCTAATACAATGCTTGACAGAACATAGTCTGATGGACCCTTTAGGCCTTTGGTCATTGGTGTAACAGCCTTTGCTGCAAAGAGTACGTCACCTCACTAGGAGTTCACCCGAAATTACCTCATCATAGCCAATGGAGTCATGAGATTATAATAAAATCTCACAGCAAGGCGCAGGCACATGATTGACGTGAAAAGGCCGAGTATCCGTCCTTGATTTCCGCTTGCCCCAGACAGAGTGTCGTCATCCTCAGGCTCAGCCAGTCAGCCTTGCGACTCATGCAAGCCAAGATTGTCATTGTTATGTTGGTGCCTAGGGGAATATTCCGGAACATTGCCTATAGCGGACAAGCGCCTGCCCTACTGGTGGATTTGAGACGGATGGACCCATGGATCCCAATGTTATTGCAGTTTAGCCCTGGTGGTAGGGCAGACGGGATTCGTGGGTTTATCACTACGGTTAGCTACCAATGCCACACTGTTTTATTTTTTTAGCGCATATCCCATCGTTATGTCCGGTTGATGGACGGAGAGAGGAGCCGGCGGTGTGTTGTGCGTCCGATGTGGTGCTTTACTGTGGAAGGTCCATAAAGAGAGATCTATCATGTAAACAGTAGGGAGGGGGAAATTTGGTTCTCTCCGGTAGAATTTCAGATAGAATCGATCGATAGATACAAACCAGACGTGCCCGAGTCCTCAATGATAAATTGTACAAGGTCAACGGCTCGGCGAGGGTCGCTCTTGACCGCTGCTGCCCTACGCCTGGCACATCGGCCCCACTGCCTGCCTCTCCCCAATCAGTCAATCCTGTCGCCCAGTGCCTGGAGATCTTCTTGTGTTTAAAATCTCCCACTATTGTCCTATGTTTCTTCCTTCTCTTTCTCTCTTTCCCAATCCTTTCTCCCAGGTTCGGTTCCACGTCCCTTGAAATATAGTGGTTGTGGTGACTTATCCCCCCTCTTACTGTTTCTTTCTTTTTCTCTATTTTTGGGGAGGCAGGGCTTGGCAGCTTTGTGTCCTCCTTCACCCCACAGCGGCCTGCCGATTAACACCATCACCCCCGTTCGATTGATTACCTATTTAGTTGATTGATTGATGTACTACCCTCATTCGGCACCCCCTCCTCCCCAGGGTTGGTCGGGTGACTATACTCGTCATCAACAGTGGCCTCCCCCCCCCCCAGCCGTACTAGTAAGACGACAACATTCCAGGTTTCGGATGAAGGGATGATGTCCCACTAACTAATCTCCCCAAAGTCCCCCGCAGTATCCCCCTACAGGCCCTCCACCTCCTCACTCCTACCATCACCCTCCACCGTCCGGCTATTACCCCCCTCATGCTCACTACGGTCCCGCCCATACTCCAACGCCGCCTCCGCAGCCATCCTCGTCCTATCGTTCTTATCATAGTAAGCAACTATTATACCTTTTTGTTGTTATAGTGATAGATATCATTGGATTGGATAACTGATCTTACCGGCAGGCCACTCCCCCTCATGGAACCAAAATAGCCCTCCACCTCCACCACAGGAAGCACAGCATTTTGGCCGTGGTGCCCCGTCCAACTACCGATTCCAATACTCCACATGCACAGGTCGTCGGAAAGCTCTTTTGATCGGGATCAATTATATCGGCCAGCCGAATGCTCTTCGCGGATGTATCAACGACGTTGCCAACATGTCCAACTTCCTACACGAGCGATTTGGATATCGGAGAGAGGACATGGTCATTCTCACTGACGATCAGAAAAATGCTATGAGCATTCCCACCAAAGCAAATATACTGCGGGCAATGCAGTGGCTTGTGAAGGGTGCTCAGCCAAACGATTCGCTATTTATCCACTTTTCAGGTAAACACTAACCCCGGAAACTTAGTGTAACGAAGGCTAAATTCGAAAATAGGCCATGGTGGCCGAACTCCTGACCTGGACGGTGATGAAGAAGATGGTGAACTTCCTACTCCAGGTAGTTGGTAGCCTGTACTAACATATGCAAGGCTATGACGATGTCATTTATCCACTAGATTACCGCACCGCTGGACACATTGTGGACGACGATATGCATGCTATCATGTATGTTGTGCTCACCATCCTAATTCGGCTATCTGTCTAAAATCAAATTCCAGGGTCCGCCCACTGCAACCGGGTGTCCGACTGACGGCAATATTCGACTCGTGTCACTCGGGCACTGCACTCGATTTGCCTTATGTATACTCAACTCAGGGAGTTTTGAAAGAGCCGAATTTGGCGAAAGAAGCAGCGCAGGATCTCTTCAGTGCTTTTCTGTCCTATGGCAAAGGTGACTTGGGCGGCATGGCTCAAACTGCCATCGGATTCCTCAAAAAGGCAACCATGGGAGACTCCGCACGACAGAGGACTGTGAGGACTAAAACATCACCAGCTGATGTAGTCATGTTCTCGGGCTCTAAGGACACCCAAACCTCGTAGGTTGTTTTAACTCTGTTTCTCGGTCCTCGCTGACAATAGCAGAGCGGACACGTTCCAAGATGGCGAAGCTCGAGGTGCATTGAGTTGGGCATTTATCAAGTCCCAGAAGCAACAACCCCGCCAGAGTTACCTGCAGCTGCTTAACTCGATCCGGTCGGAGTTGGAGGGCAAATATAGTCAGAAGCCGCAGCTGAGCTGTAGCCATCCATTAGGTATGTAGTATGCCATGGAATAACTTATCTTATACTAATAATTGTAGATGTCAATTTGCTATTTGTTATGTGATTATATAATAGGACACGATGTATGCATATCCATGCTGTTGAATGAATTACAAGTTTAAATATTGATACACAACATCATGATACATATCAATACTATCAGTACTCTGGTAAACAACGCAAAGCATGCTAATAAATTAGTTTACGCTCTAGATTCAATATGCGCATGCCGTATCTCTAATGGCATAAGGCAATAAAATTGTCATCTACTAACAAGTCCACGGTAACTCTATCCACATTTTCCAAGCTTTCCTACATGATTACTTGAATCCATGTAGCTAGGAATATAGCACCAAGTAATCCGGAGACACAAGCGTATAGTGTTTGAAAGAAACAGGTCTACGCCATACTCGCCCAAAAAACCAGATATCTGAATACTTACAGGCTATCCTGACTAGCCATACTAAATACACTGGTGATTGCTCCACACTGCTTGCAGATATCTGGTGTCTCACAAGCAGTTAGTCATCTATAGTCCATGCCACGAATGTTTCTAGAAGCAGTCCTGCTGCGTCTTGGCAACGAACTCCATCTCATTCTTGTACTGTAACATCCTTGAGTCAGATGTTACACGATCCAATCTTGAATCAACCATTAAAACACATTCTAATCATCTTCTCTACCATCTCAACACACTCAGACCTCACCCCCGAGGAAAAATGTCCTGCATTACCTACCCCCACCACAGACGTACGTCCGTAAAACTCAAACAAACATCCTTCTCAACTCAAAACCGCCAAATCTCATCTTTTAAAATTCGGTATGTCAATCATCTATCCTGATCCATCCACTTTTTATCTATCTGTATAGATCTCCCTGATACATCCCGAAACCAACACAAAAGACTTCAGCCCGTATCTCTATACCAGTAGTCGCTGTCTACTCAACGACGAGGAAGAGCTCGATAACCGCAGCATCGACTTCGACTTCGACGCGCTATCTCTGAAGATTACGCATTTGTGGCCCGAAAACGGCACCATCAGGGCCAGTGAGAAGCTAGAAGAAGGATGTAATCGGGTCTTTGTATTTGTGATGAACGACGGGAGACGTGTTGTCGCACGGTTGGACGAGATTTCCCTCCCAGACTTTCTCTTTAGTTGCTTACGATAACAGTGCAAAAAAACAACTTCTATACCTGTACCGAACTAATGCGTTGAACCCCGCTGGCTCGGAATATCTCATCATGGATCATGTAGCTAGTGTTCAGTTGCATGAGGCATGGCCGAATATGTATGGAGTGCAGCGGATTCAATGCATTGGAGCTATTTACGAGTTGCTCAAGAGAGTGGTGAAGCTTGATTTTCCGGCGTAAAGGAAGTATCTACTATACTGATACTCTGGATGGGATGTCTGCTGTAAGGTCTCTACATGATGAGTTTTTATTGGCCCGCATTGCCATGCGAGGTATTGGCATTATTATGATTTAGTCGATGAGCCTAACCGAGGACCTTGTGAGATTCGTTAGAGTGCTTCTTTTATTCGCTGAAGCATACTAATGTTGTCAGGGGCTGACTTTTGACGCTAACTGCGATTGCCTCATTGACGCTGATTTATCACGTCTCCCATCAAATGACACCAAGAAGCGACCCTCATGGCTCTGTCTAGTCACATATTAACTTACTGGAGTATGCTCGTCCCGTGCTCCACGCCACGGCTGCGGATCGTCGAATTCAAGGCGAATCGGTCCCGACGCTATTTCAACCCGACCTACGCAAGGGGAATATATTAGTCTCGGGCGATGACCCCACGGTTGTAACAAGCATCATCGACTGGCAGGCAGCTATATAGAGCTGGCATTCTGGTACGCTGACGAGGTGCCGGATTTTGAAGAACTCCACGCCGAATCATCTTCCGATGAGAGAAGCAGATCGATCAACTCTTTTATCAGGCGTTCGACGCTGTCACCCAGCTTATGTTGCCGAAGATCGGCGAACCCTGGTTGATGAGGGAGAATCTATTCCGCCCAATCCGATACGGCTATCGGACGTGGGCAACTGGGGCCATTCCCCTTCAGCACGATCTCATTGAAACGGCCAAACAGTGGAACCAGATGGGGATTTGTTGGATCGTGTGCGTATTCACTGCCGACGACTGAAGATCTAGCTTTCCATCGACAAGAGTATGAATTGTTTAAGGGTGTCCATGAACTGGAGCGTGCTATTTTCGATGGAATGGACCTTTGCTCAGACGCTGGGTCTTGCCGGAACTGTGGGATGAGGCACAGGCAACACAAAAGCAATTATTCGAAGAGTTTCTGCGTACCGTGCTGAGCAGCAACGAGATGGATGACCCAATCAGGACCGAAGAGGATGCGCAAGCAATTTGGCCATATTATCTTTGACATGGCCATTGGCTATGCAAGCGTACCCGTTCAGTCACTCCATGGATGACCGCTGTCATATTTCTGTAGAGCCGATCAAGTGGAGACTAACCTGTGGCTAAAGTGCTGATGACGAACTGGGATTACGAGGATGTACTCCGTTGGAATTCTCTCGGACAGAAGCTAGACAAGGTGAATTGTTATTGCTGTTGACTTGCGCATATTCATTGTTGGATGCATACGTGTCTCAGTTCCATGGAACAAGATGCCAGAAAAGTTGGGTTCGCGTACCACCGGAGGACCATGGATTGGACAGACCAAATCATGAATACTATGAATACAGGCATCAGGCATCAACATATTAATCCCCGCAAGAGCGCTACCCATACTCATCGACAACGAAGTATTTATACCTGCCAATAGCAGTATGCTGGCGGGATCGGCGAACGGAGATCTACAAAGTACCTTCAGCGCCTATGCCTGACCTGGTCTAAATCTCCTGGTCAATGGATGGGGATACTGTTCTTTTTACTTGTTGTTTCTCAGCTATGCCAAGTGGAGCGTAATTATGGCGTCATGGTCACAAAGACGAGATGCCGTGGCTGCAGCCAATCTCCTATGGCGTAGCGCGCACAAGTGCTGGGGCCGGATGGATTCATTCCTGAGGCTGTGGGGGCAGTGCCATTAGAGGCTTGGCCCTAGCAGTCTATTGTGGTTGGTCCAACGCGAGAATTGTTTCATCTTGCAGGCCAAGCGAAAATGTGGCTGGTTCTTCAGGAGGGCACTAATGCAATAGGGGCATTAGTGCTCCGCAGGCCAGTTACATACAGTGATGTTATTTCCGTTGAACCAGGGGATTGGATTGTTGCATTGGGAATTGATAGAGATGAGATGGTTAGGTTATATAGACATTTATTAGTTCACTATATCCGATAGGGATGATAGCTCACCCTTTTCTAGTTATTGACAAGATTGGCAGGCAGACACTCGCAGACAGGTATCAGTACTGTATGGTGCATCACACTATGGGAAATGACCCAATCCTTGGACAAGACTAAAATGAGACAATAATATGGAATCCCATCCTCAACTCCAATAGTAGTTATTATTGCCCGTGGACCTTGGGGTCAAATGGGTCTCTTTTTGGGTTCTTGTCGCGGCTTCCCCATCTCCTTTACCATACTAAATACGATCACGCACGCCATGGAGGCAAACTCATTGCGTCACTCAGTTCCAATACGTGTTTCAAATATTCAACTAGAACCCCGTGTAGTATTTATAGAATATATATAGCCTTATTTTACAAGCTAGCAGCAGCCATCCCTATCAATCAGTTGTATCACCTGAACCAATCGCAACGGCCCAAGACTACCATGACTGGCACCCTTAACGCCAGGATTGAGGCAATCCACGACACAAGAATCCGTTGAGGCAGATATTGTAACAGGAAAGGTATACGATCAGGGCAAGGAAAAAAAAATGAGGCTCTAAAATGGCTGAATCAGATAGAACAATGGGGCAATCCAATACCACTCAATACTATACAATACCGATCCAGTATCTGACAGTCGCATCCACGAGTTCCACTTTGTCTCCTTTAGTTTCTTTTGCTATAAAATTATTTCTTACCCCCCCATTCCCATCCTGACCGAGTTCAGACGAACCGTCTGAGTCGGTCGTAACTGGGCTCAAATTCTTTCCTGTGAATATTCAACTTCGCTCGCTATAATCTATCTTATTTCTATCTATCTATCTGTCGATCGATCGATTGAAACCCTTCTAGCGGGTGATCTATCCTACTGTGTATGCTCGCTGCGGCCGATAGACTAAAAAAAAAAAACAAAAAAAAACAAAAAAGAAACTCCTACATCTTAAATCCAAAACATGTTCACCTCACCAACCGACTCTCCATCCTCCTCCTCCAACGCATCCCCCATCTCTCAACACCCTCACCCTCACGCATGGTTTCCATCTCTCCCACGCCGTCATGCAGAAAAAGTCCGCTACCCGCGGTACTACTCAACCCCCTTAGACAAGGACAGTCCGGACTCGACACCTCTCCACCTCTACGGACTGGAACAGCGCGAACCCTCCATCATGCTTGAAAAGCCCAAGCTGCTCCGTCGCGTCTCTTACGCCCTCGACGACATCAAAGAGGGCGAGAAACTCAAGACCAAGCGTCGTCAGTCTACCTTCATGCATGAAAGCGCCAATATGAGCTCCGGCGCTATGTCCAGTGCGGGCTCCTCGCTCTCCGGCGCTGAGATGTCGGAACCTCCTCGGTCCAGACCTATGTCGATTTTCTCTGTGGATCACTGGTCGCCTCCGACGAGGGGACTCAGTCGTCGGTTGTCTATCAGATTGAGTCTCTCCAGGGGGAAGAGATTCCGTCCCGGTCAGGGAGCCAGTATTTCACAGCCGAATTTGATCGGGTCGTCTACTCAGCTCTAGTCTGGCCTGGTCTATTTTTTTTTTTTTTAATTTCTCGTCTAGGTATCTTGGGATATCGACGATGAAAATTCCACTGTATCAGATACATACATACATACCACATACACCTTGCGTCAATATCGATATTGATGTCAATACAGGGATCGCCAAAATTGAAACCGCAAACAAAAACAGAATCCAATTCGGACATGAAACAAGGCATATCGGAGTTTTTTTACTTACACGCAGGGCAGCCTTTTATGTTTATTTTCTTTTTCTTACTCTTTTCTCTTTTTCTTTTTTCTTTTTTAATCCTGCATGAGCATGTTTTATATACGGCCAAAAAGTCGTTCCTTGTTACATACAATACTTGATTCCCTCCTTATATCGTCGCATTGGCTTGGTGTTGGGTGTTCATGTTTCGTTTGCTTTTACTAGTGTGTGGTATTTCTTATTTTCTTAATATTTTTCATTATTTATTTATTATCCACATTTATGTTTATGTTCATGTTCTTCTGCATTGTATTTCTTCGGTTATTTTAAATATGCAGACTTAATCCGCAATCAAGACCATAGTGTCTAAGCAAAACTATCTAGAAGTATGTGTTAAAAGGAGTACTGTATCAATAAGCTAAAGTAAACCAGGGTGTGAGACACCAGGATAGTTCCGGTTAGGCTTGAAGTCCTGTCTAACGTTTATCTACTATTAATATATCTCAGTCTAGTCATGTTGTTCTTAGCCTGGTCTCAGTCAGATTCACTCATACATTGCCCTGGATGATGTAAGATTAAGAATTCAATTAAAATTTCCTGTTTAATTGTGTATCACTAGTCAAGTTCTGGTACATTGCCCTATATGTAAAAAAAAAGAAGGGAAAAGAAACAGATATATACAACGCCATTCACCACCCACTCGCTCCAAACAATAAGAAAGTAAAATAATCCCGACCCCTTTCTCCGTAATCCCCATCCATCCATATAATAACCTCGCTCCCTATTTATAGCGTAACACTCTCTAAATCCCTCATCATAACTGACATCTGTGCTCGTTTTGCTGCCTCCGCTACAAGACTGAAATCTCGTAGAAACGGCGCCGTGGCGGTTGGTCCGCCCGGTCCATCAATCTTGTGAGGATAGTTATTCGTATGCGTCGACATATCCATATTCACGTTCGTGTTCAGGTGCAAGGCTTTGCCCGGTGCTTCGGATGACCCCCCCGGGGTTTCCGCCGTCTGCTGCAACTGCGGGTGCTGATCGGCGAGCGGCGCGTGATGCGAATTGCTATTATTGGAGGGATAGATCTGATTGGGATTGCAGGTGAGGTTTGGCGGCTGGGTGGTGATTGACTCGGTCGCGTACGTCGTTGTCGTTGTTGTAGAGCCTTGTAAGTTGGAGTGGGGGTGGGATTTTTCCATTATGATGGATGTGAGGGTTTGGTTGTCGTTTTTCCTTTTTCTTCTTTTTTTTTTTTTTTTTTTTTCTGTTTCTCGAGTACTCGGTCTATATAGGTTTCCGTCTCGTGGGTATGGCGAAGTGTGAGGGGAACGCCGACTTGCGTATATCGTGGTTAGAGATGAGGAGGGATATGTATGGGCTGATCGGAGTCCGGTGGAGGCGCGTTTTTGTCGTAAATGGCGTGATAGGAAGACACAGAGAGAAATAAGAGAATACAAATAGAGAGATACCGAGTAGGGAAACGTGTACGAAATTTGGATAACACGTAGGGCGCTGGTAGAATGACTTTCCGGTAAAAGACCGAATGGATAGCGCTTTGCAAGGGAAGGCGATGTGAAAATCCAACCAGTCCGGAGTAGCAAGTAGGTAAGTTGTAGTATGGTGTAGTAGCTGGGTAGATAAACCAACGAATCCCGTACTTTCGTTCTGAAACTCGTGGGGAGAGACTAGAAATAGTACTTGCAACCGCAACCTGGGGATCCTATCCTAGATGATCAGCAAACCCTTACCGTAGTCCATCACATCATAAGGCGTTCTTTATCCCCTGCGGATTGACGAATTTTTCCAGAAGAAACAGATCGCGATGCCGACAAATTACCGGGGCGGTAGGTATCATCATTGTATCTCCGCCCCTCTATGCGGGGTTTTGACCTCCATGCAGGTACACCGCCCGTATGGTCGTACAATACGCGCTGAACCTCGGCAGGTTTCTGTAACCCCACCACGTGATATCATGTGACCTAAAGATCCTTCATATTCACGCGCTAGTCCAGATATGGAAATATACCACTCCACCAGAAGAAATCCGATCACGAGGGGTGGTCATGAAGCACTGCGCTGCTGCCTCTTGTGATCTGCGCTGATCTCCCCCATGCAGTGGGAGACTGCATAATTACAATGGCAGACGCAGGTGACAACTACGATGTTGGAGGCATGTTCAATGACCCAGAGGGGTTCTATGAGCCAGAGCCAGAGCCCACCTTTGCCGAGCACCCGATGTGTTCGGGGGAGGTAGTGCGCGTACGACTTGTGGGCAGCCATCCTCTTTATGTATGGATTGAACCTCAAACACGGAATATCAAATTATATACAAGGAGTGACTGACTCTCTAAAGGGTAACCTTCTCTGGAACGCCGGCCGAATGAGCGCATTCTACATCGAAGAGCGAGCCCACGACCTCATCCAAGGCAAAGATGTGCTGGAGATTGGTGCTGCAGCTGGTGTGCCCAGCATTGTCAGCGCGATCAAAGGGGCCCGAACGACCGTCATGACTGATTACCCCGATCCTGATCTTGTCGAGAACATGCGCCACAATGCGTCTTTGTCCGCCTCTATGATCCCGAAGCATTCCTCCCTCTACGTCGATGGATACAAATGGGGCAACACTGTCGAGCCACTGATTGCATACCTCCCTCCAGGAGAGAACCGCTTCGATGTTCTCATCATGGCGGATGTGGTGTATAGTCATCGTGAGCATGGGAACTTGATCAAAACCATGCAGCAGACTTTGAAGAAGTCGCGCGAGGCTGTTGCGCTGGTCATCTTCACACCGTATGAGCCGTGGCTTCTGCCGAAAACGGAGAAGTTCTTCCCGCTGGCTGAGGAAAATGGGTTCCAGGTAAAAAAGGTTTTTGAAAAGCTTATGGACAATGTGTTGTTTGAGAATGACCCCGGGGTAAGTTGTGGTGCCGCTTAGGTGGATGTCGCTAACCGTTGTAGGATGAGAAACTTCGACGGACCGTTTTTGGATACGAGATTCGATGGAGTGAGGATGAATTGAAATAAAATGACGAGATAGGCTGAATGGCTGGCGTTTACGGTGGTTGCCCTCCTATAACCCTGAACTAGATAATACATAGATTGGTGGTTCACCAACGTATCAAAAATTATACCCCTTATAGAAAGCATCAGAAGCATTGAATCAATTATAGCTTACTACAATAAATTAGTACTAATCAATCTCATGGTTTAAATCCCACTATAGAACATCGAATATCAGAATAGTATCAGCAAAGTCACATGTGCCCCGCACCCCGCGCAGCCAGAAAAAAAAAAAGATCCCGCAACCCCAACATCAACCACCCCAACATCTCTCATCAACATCATGCCAGTGAGTCCCTCCAACAACCCCGCTGTGCTTTAAAAATCCAACTGACCCCTCCAGCTCATCATCTTAACAGGATATCCCTGTTCGGGACTCACCTACCGCGCCAACCAACTCGCCTCTGCCCTCGAATCCACCCAAGACACTCTCTTCTCGTCTGGCACAATCCCCGCCACAAACTCACGATACAAGATCCATGTTGTGCCGACACACGATGCCTCCCATCCGCGTACTGTGTATGATCACGCGCGCACAGAGAAAGAGACGCGAGGCGTCGCATACACCCGGGCACGACGGCTACTCGGCAAAGACAGTTTCGTGATTCTAGACGGAATGAACTATATCAAAGGATATCGGTATCAGCTTTGGTGTGAAGCGAAAGCGCTAGGGACGACATGTTGTGTGGTATGTCTCCCTCTAACCCTCTCTCTCAACACAATTTATTCAGAGATACCATGCTCCCCTACGTAGGATCGACTAGTCAGCTGACTGATTGCTCAGGTCCATGTCGGCACACCCATAGACCAATGCGTCGCGAATAACGAGGCGCGGATACATCATCGCGAGAATGTGAAAGCTTCAGAAATTCGGGAGAATACCGATGCCGCAGGAGAGCAAGCTACAGGCACAAAACCCCCAACAGAAACGGAGGACCCTTACCCTCCCGAGCTTCTTAACAACCTCATCTTCCGCTATGAGGAACCGAGCACCCACAGCCGCTGGGACAAACCCCTCTTCACAGTCCCCTGGTCCGACCCAGAACCTCCTATCGCAGACATTTGGTCTGCTCTCACCGGTATACCACACCCTTCGACTGTCGAAGCCGCCGAAGCCGACGACGCCCCATCAGCACTCGCCTCGATTCTCTCATCGACACAACTATCCGATGTCACCAGCGTTGCTGGCTCGATCGCCATGACGACTACGCGCGCTGGCGGTCTTCAGCAACGTCAAAGGATAAAGATAAAACCTCACTTGGCTACTGTACAGCCCGTTGCGACGAATTCGTCTGCTTTGTATGATATGGAGAAACGTACGTCGGCAATTGTCTCGGCGATTCGTACGTTCACCACGTCCAATTCGTCAGCGCAGGCTGCACTAGCGCAAAGTGAAGATTCGCGGGGGATCAATATTCCTGTTCCAGAGGTGTCAACATCCGTATTCATCCCTGCACATGTGGCCACCTCTAGCTCGACGGATGAGTTGGCTGGTGCTGGCGGGATTCTAGCTCTACCACGGCTGCAGCGGTTGCGGAGACAGTGGGTTTCGTTGAATCGGTCGTACATAGGGGGAAGCCATTCGGCAAATCAGACGTCAAGTGTAAATGGGCTTGCACCGGATCAGGTTGGTGATGCATTCGTGCGGTTTTTGAACGCGGAATTTGCAGGTGGTGAGCCTTGATTCCGTTTCAAGGGGATTTGCTTATATTTACATAATACTTTGGGGGTTGATTTAAGCGAAGAAAATTTACGACATACATAGAACGAATATTGAGAGACTGGTCAATCTGTTTACGAATGACGAATTGATTTCAGGATTGAAGATAAGCTTTTATAAACAATAGACTATTCATGACCCAATAACATCCCGAGAACTCAACAAGATCAAGAATGACAAACTTTTGCCCTATGTACCATTGAAGGAGAAACGGTTATATCCACGAATATGATCAGATCAAAAAAAAAAAAAAAAAAATCCCAAACCCGTAGAAAAGCATATCCAGGTGGCTTTTCCAAAAATGACTATATCCAATACCGAAAGCCAGCAGACAATGGGGGAATAATATGAACAGAAACAAAGCCCAAAAGATAAACAGCTCAATCAGCGATCGAGCACCCTTGTACAGAAAAGGCAAATAGGACATAGACAAACCAAGCCAATCCAACACCCCAAATCCATCTAGATACCCAAATATCCCCTAATGAACAATTCCCATATACACGAGATCCTGACCCGTCCATTTTTTGATAAGTTTTTAACCTGCTGTCCTGGGGCATAGGCTTGTTGAATGTCTGATGATGACACAAAAACAGCAGATAAAAACAAGCCTCCAAAATACATAGAAATGTTTTACATGAATCAAAAGGGGTTGCAGCACAAAAGGACTAAGCGACCTCAACAGAAAGAAATAAAAAGGGGGGAAAGAAAGGCGGTGGGTGGTATTGCAGCTTTCATGGTTCTTGAAATCGCTGCTTCGCACATAGCTTGTCACACAGTTCCGGGGTCCTTTGGCAATAACAATGATAGCCATTGCCACGGAATCATGCCATTCCACAGACAGGCACTCTGCGGAGGGATGATGATCTGTAAGACGACACATCATAATTGTCTGTGACGGCTTCTTGGAAGAAACAAACCTCTCTGAGGAACTCAAAAAGAAATCCAGTGGTAGCCCTGAAATTTCGCACGGACTGGTTCCGTGACTCTTCCACGTCTCTAATGGGCGATTCTCATGTCTGGTGTCATGGGAACCTGTCTAAAAGTGAAAAGTCATCCGAGTCCTTGGCAGTATTCATATGAAATTGAGCTGTAGATCCAGCTGGCATTTCATTCACGCCGGAAGGCCATTCGTGATCTGGGCAGCAGCCTGGCTGGCTTCAATGTGACGGTAGTTCAGTCCCAGAGTGATCAACTCCTGAAGGCTTGCATTTACCTTCTCATGCATGGAAGAATCCTGGGGTGTGATGCTACCGAGTTCTTCAAGCAGTCGGGAGCGGCAGTTATAGTAATTTCTCTCCGCATTCTGCAGCCGTTGACCATGGTGGGCGGAAGTCTGCTGAACAGCCTTCAAGGGGTTGGTCTGAGATTGAGTTGAGCGTGTGCGTTTCATAGTTTGTGTCCCCGAAACACCAGCGACCCTTCTCTTGCGTCCAGAGCCTTCCTTTTTCTTGGGAGCTTGTCCACCCGTGGGGGAGGCATCCGGGGAGCTGGGACGCTCCGAAGAGGCATAATCGTGAACTCGTCTCATGTGGTCAAAGAGGTTCCATCTGCGGGGGAATCCATATCCTGGAATAGATCGATCACATCCTTCGAATAGGCACAGGTGCGGGTTGTCACCATGACCATGGAATCCGTGGGCCTCACGTTCGTGACGGAAAAGGCAGGCATTTGAAGAAAATTGCAGTTGGGCATCCATGCACGCGGGAACCTTGCAGCGGTATGGCTTCAAATGAGAGTCCAGATATTTGCTAGTTTTCTGGTCAGTTTCAACTTTCCCACAAGTTAATCAGTCCTCTAAAACTTACTGATAAGCGCACTTCTGAGTGGTTGGAGGGTGGTTGCAAGGCTTATCTCCATGGGCAAATGGGCAGTAGTATTTTCCATCATTGTGGGTGGGCATTGAATAATAAGGATGGTCCCTGGGATTCCGCAGTTCAGCTCCCTCCTTGGATCTTTGTCGAATGGGCTCCTTCACAGGAAGAGGTGGGAAGAATTCTTGGTCCTGCTTAACCTGGGACTGAGACGAAGGCGTCTGTAGGGCTGGCCTACGCCCTGTCTTAGTTGGTCTAATAGTTCTGGTACGTAAGTTAGTTTATAGTTATCTAAGAGGAAGACCAGTTACGGCTCAAAATACTAACCTATTGGGGTCCTGCTCACTGAGAGGCGGAGTGAGAGGAAACAATGGATCTCCTAGGTTGATACCGTGGTTGCCAACGGGTGTTGCAGTCACATCCTTGAGTATAGTGTCCTCATGGGCCATAAAAGATGGATATCCTGATTGGGAGCAAGAGGACGTAACAGACACATCATTGCTTGCTTCAGTCAAGGGGGGAGAAATGGGCACTGGGTGAAACATGCTGGATGTAAATTGGTCCATGGATCCTGGATAATTCCTTGTATCTGTCATAATGGAGCCCCATGCATCACTAGCGGCCAGATGGCCATCGTCAGTGTGGTGACTGACAGAGCGAGCATCATCTGACGCGCAGGACTGGGAACTGTTCTGGCCGCCAACTTCATTATCAAAAGCACTGAAATCTACCAGCGAGGAGTAATGGCTAAAGTCCTGTGCATGTGAGAAGTCCAGATCGCTTTGTTCTCCCATGTCCTGAAGGCCTGGGAATTCGGGGCCAGCGTGATACATTACATCACTTGGTCCAACAGTGGGTGGCATAAGTTGGTGGGACAAAGAGTAAGACAGCATCTGTACTTCCGGGGACTCTGGCTTGACTGACGACATGACAGTACCGTCAATTCCATCGACATCATTCACGGACCACGACTTGAGTCCAGGGGTTCCATGGCTTTGGTGTGTGCTTGAACACAAGGAAAAATTATCCTGGCTCGAAAGATCATCATCCGGGATCACTCTGGGGGCCATGTTTGAAATTCCTTGGACTAATTGGGTATGCCTAGGTTGAGAGATCTGGTCCATGTTCTGTAGAGCTGACTGGGACAAAGAAACTTCTGGGTCGCTCTTAATCTTTGGAGACATTGTATGCTTTTATTCCAGCGTGGCTGGAGCAGAGAAAAGAGCACTAAAGAGAAGAATCTACAAGTCAGTATTTAAACACTATAAGCATAATTGTGAAAACAGAAAAGAACGCGTCCAAAGTCGTAGGATTCGACAGCCTAGACGTCTCCGTTAGTTCAACATGAGCATGGCTAAGGACGATTGATGGTGTGCACCAACCACTAATGTTGTCCAGGAAAATGTGTCTGGGGAGTTCCAAGGTGGTCATTCAAAATCCAGGGTTCTATTGCATGGAATCGCCAAAGAGGGTGAGGGGGAGTAATACAAGCGACATCGGGTCCAGAACGCCTAGCTTATAGCTATACGCCGCCGGTATGTGCACATCACGGTTTCGGATACAAGGGGTATCACATCCGGCTCAAGTCCAAAGGCTACAATTGATACCAAGATCAGATCAGTTCAGTCGGTTGGTTGGTTCCAATATACTGTCGACTCTCAGGCAAGGGCCTTAGTTCCTTTATGATTCTGTTTAGGGTCTCCTTTGGTGATTATCCAGTAATACTAGGTCAAAGATTTCCTATTTGGGTCCAGTCCAGTGTGGCTCTATAGAGATTCCAGGTTTCTTTTTTTTTAAAAAAAAAAGGCCAATATCCAATGTTCACCTCGGTTTAGAGTGAAACAAATAGTCCATGGGTCCAGGTCAAGTAGTCCAAGGGTTTCGATGAGTGTGCAACATTAAACAACACTCAGAGTGTCCAGTCTCACAGCGGGCGCAGTGGACAGCTTTCCAGGGTCATCATTCAATGAGTCACCATTTGACGAATCCGAAGGCAATTTAGATCAAAAACACGGGTACCGGGAGTACATGGTGTTCCAAGTGTCGAAGGTTGGTCCAGAGTTGATAGACAATCGAGACGCACAATAGAAACATTGAAAGCAGATAAACAAAGAAAAGCAAGGGAACTACCTGTGATCTATCGAAATTCGATATTCGAATAAAAAAGAAAAAAGCAAGGCTAATCCTATCCAGGATGTGGACTGAGTTCCAATGGGCAACGGGGTTGGTTTGGTTTAGCCAGGGGAGTCAAAATTCTTTTCCAAGATCCAAGGAATGGATACGTAGAGTATATCAGAAGGTGGCAGCGAAGGCCTTAAATAGTAGAATAGGAAGTGGAAGACAAGTAGCAAACAATAGTAGTGGAGCAGTTGATTTGACTGACAAATTGAGCAAGTGGAGTAGTAGTTTTTAGGTAGAAGGCAGATGGAAGGAAATAGAAGAAATCAGGAGTGGAGTATCTTCTTGGAATCGTAAAGTTGAGATAAATTGACGAGACCAAGAGGGACAAGATCAGGAGGGGGAATAGCTCCCTTTTAGAGTCCTTCTCAGCATGATCCCAGAGGTGAGGCGGGGGGTGAAACGGACGTCCGAAGAAGTCCAAGCGTGTGTCGACTGCACATATTGCTGCAGCACACCTGCTATCACGTACGATGATTTGATCCTGCAAAACATGGCGGTGATGGTGGTGCGACCGCAGAGCGGTGTTGTTTGCGTCTCTCGGCCAATAATTCCCAATAGTGAGCAGTCCGCTGGCCCTGACGTGGCAGCGAGTGGATGTATCGCTGGCAAGCGCATGTAGCGGTGAGGCGCGGGCCCACCCATCATCACCGCACCATTGGCCAGGGCCTCCCGAGGGTGGGCTGCGGGCTTTCATCACTGGCAGGCCTACGGAGTGGATGATGCAAACCCGCAGTACCCCCTATGGGTCCCAGCCACTGAACGCCCCCCGTTGATCAGCCCGAGCAATCGCCGCCCGTTAGCTCACGAGCCCCGCTTCCCTCGTGAAGTGCACCCTTTTGATTCTCTCTATCCTTTGGCTGACAGCGCTACACGTCAATTTTCCTACGTCCCCGGGGAACAAGACTCTTCCCCCTTCTACATGCATACGCGAAGGAGGGGGGAGGGGTTTTGATACTTCGTCCACGCCTCTCGTTTCACCAGCTGTGCCGCATGTCGGGAGGGAAAATAGGCAAAAGTACGCCGGACATCATCGCCTCAGCTTCAGGATGGAAAAGGGGTTTCATTTATCTACATTTGTGTACATATACGGAGTAGTTCGCATCCTACTAGTGTGGGTATAGTTAGATGAAAACATGGTGGCAACTCCATTGGGCACCAATGCATTTACCGAGATTCCATCGGGAATTTCAAAAGGGGATTAACCGAGTTTAATCAAAGTCTAAAGAATAAAATTTCCTTCGTTCGAATTTAATACTTTCTCCGAAATTACGAGGGGGCTTACAGCTTGGAGTGAAAAAAAAATCTCAGCAGGTGTCAGCAAGACCGTCCGTCTCCTTATTAAGTATTTTTTAAACACCTTTCCTTAACCCCCTATCTACGGTCGCATTCTATGTATAAAGGGTAATCTCTAGTTATAAACCCTATTAGAACCATAAATTCCTAAGTAGACCCTATAGAACCCTAATAGGGGGGCTATATGGGGCAAATATCTATTATATAGGATAAATAAAAGTTGTGCTAGCTAATACTCTAATTAAGAGCTCAACGGATATCATTAGAATTTGCCAAGATCCTGAGACACGATGAGCAAAATGTGACACGCTAAGCTATATCCCGGTTGCGGACCTAAGTACGGAGCACTTGCAGTGCATATGTTAGCAACATTCCAGATGATCGATCAATCAAAAACAGATGACAATAGCACGAGCCAGAGTGATATTTCAGACAAAGGTGAAAGATGGTATACAGCTGTCGTTCAACGATCCGAAGACCTCAGGTGAACTATGCTTATTGGTATGGTGTTCATCATCTGGAGCCAAGACTCCCTCTTGGGACGGCAAATGAAAAAGGGGGAACGATCGAAAAATCGAAAAATCGAAAAATAAGCTCAACTTACTGTCTAGCAATTATTAAGGAGAGAGCGCGCCGGTGTCAGCCTTGTGCCAATCATAATATGGTTCTGCCTACATCAAGGCAAATTCAATTCAAATAGCTCGCGCTGCTCCGGAAGATCAGGTTGCCATCAGGGGAATCGTTGGGCTGGAAAAGAGAAAAAAGGAGAAAGGAATTTACCCGTGCGAAGGGCTTTTGTGCAAGCGATATCCACGTGATGTGTTTGTACCATTTGCAGCTCTTCTTTGGCCTTTAAACCCAGCAAATGCTAACCTTGGTTTGGATGAATCTCCGGCCCGAGCCGTTTCGACGACTGTAGCATTTGTAGTTTAAACGCCATATGTCGATTGCAGTGCTCCAGTAAGCGCAGCTAACCCAGCAAGTTCCTGAGCACTACTAAGCTCTTGAACCATAGACTCGGTCATGGTCGCTTGAGTGGAAATGGCAAAGGAATTAGAAGCAGGTGTTATAGTATAATATTTGGTGAATTCTATAGTGTCCACCAGCCTCCTGTCTACTACTACTAGCGAGAAATGCGATTGGGCCAAAGGTGTACTGAAATTAATTAGATACTGTAGTTAACCGGGGACCGCACAGGACAGAGAGTGAAGCTCTTTGATTTTTGGTGATATCACGCAAATGACTTAATATATCACACACCACCAGTATTTACAGCAGGCCGTAATTTAAAATGGAAGCTAACAATCCATTATAAATTGATATATGAGAAGCCAGGGACAATCCAGCCCCTACAAAGGCATGGCGCTTAGCCAAGGCATATATTGTACTGTCTTTAGGAAGATTGGAAATGTTGAACTTTGAATGGTAATCCAGTAATTGAAGTACGGCACAGTTTACTTCGCACACGAAGCAAACCTATAATTACTCCATTTTCCTAAAAATATTCACACAGGACTATCACATGACGCATTTCCTCCAACAGAAATCTACTCCCATCCTCCAGCGCATCAGTATTTCCTTCCCCCCAACCAAAGTAGAATCTCGTGAGATCTCCTCTTCTGTGCACATCCAGTCATGAACTGGGCGGGAGGCCGTCTCTATCGATATGCCAACACCGGGCATGGTACACTTTCTAAGAATCGAAATAAATGCAGTCAAGGATTCCAACCTAGCATAGCCGAACTACCGCCCCAGATTTCCTTTTCCCAGTGTCCTTATTTATCTACGACGGGAAACAAACCGGGGAAAGCAAATGATTTTGCGCCAAATAGCTCAGTGAGCATATCCATTAAGCTTGACATGCATTAGCTCATCTAACACAACCCGTAGCCTAGGGCCAACTCTTCCCAATCTCACTTAGCTGATGCCATATATAACACCTCAGTTACATTTCAGCAATTTCAGCAAACACAGTCATCCAATCATTGGAACCGCGTAAAGCATCAGCTCCTTAATACATCTGATTGGGCTGCTGTGACGGCTGCATGACCTCTAGATATAGACTTCACCCAGTCAGAAGAAATCGAAAGATTTGGGAAGAGGAGAAAACTCACTGGGGGTGATCGGCACAGGCTAACTCATTCTGGAGACAAGTTCTCTTGTGCAGAGTTCATGCTTCACAGGAAACGTCGCAAAGATACATCGTCCGAAATTCAAACAACCAAGAATCTAGACATTATAATAAATGGACACATGTTAGATGAAGAACTCAGGGAGAAAAGTCAAATCAATGGTCAAATTAATGCCTCATCTCAGTCAATGCTTTTAGACTGTGAACTGGGTCGATCCATCACAAACGAGCTGTCATACACCAGAAATGCCGATGCTTCTAGCAACACTTCGATCATGCTGAATTACCCAAGCCAGTCATCGCTCAGTCCAAGTCCCCCCAGATTGCCCAGAGATATAAAATTTGCTTCTCAAAATTTAATGTCAGATTGTGTCACTGGACAGACACCTATGGACAACTACATCCAGTCTATCAAGGAAACATCTCCACCAGTTACCGACATTAATCTTGTTATACAAGATCAAGAATCATCAGGCAGGAGACGCTTCACAATCGATGATAAAGTCGACCAAGTCATTGCTGAAAATAAGCGGAGGCTAAATGCTGCTACCAGGATACTCACCATGCCAAGAAATGGACAGACAGAGGCAGCAATGGGCGCAAGGTCTCTGTCATGACGCTATACTGTCCCCAAGAACACTGGAGATATTAGAATCCCATCATGGTAAAACAAATTATATTGCAAGGGATACTCAATCGTCTTCAAGTACTCAATCTCACGGCTGGCTGCCAGAACCGGTCTATAACATACAGCGGACTATAGACCAAGAACATGTACGAAGAGGTCAAGCCATTGCTCCAGTGCTACCTAATCCATATACCTGCGGGCCGCCTATTTCCATGGGACCAGTGGAAACATACCCCTCTCCTGTGAGAATATTCGGACAACATGTTGATACTGATGGAACTAAGAACGTGGGAGGACTCTGCCGACGCTAAGTCTATAGAATACAGAACAATTGAAAAGGCCCACTCAACAAAGGAAACTGTTACTACAAAGTCAGGCTACTTAACCAACAAACACAGAATTATGCTACGCGAATCATTGCAAAGCATGCAAGCGAATACAAAGAAAAATCTAATGTCAGATGACACACTGCTCTTCTGTATGACAGTAAAAATTTGTCTCGCGAAGCTGAAGATAGTGGAATCGGGTTTGTACGCCAAACAAATATCTTGGAGAGCCAGTGCGACATGTCAGTACAATGTTGACGGAGGGCTTCTCCAGACAGGGGGCCTTTTGACACCATCAGTACACTTCAGGGGTAACTACCAGCAGTAATTGGTCGTCTACCACTACGTCAGCACTTGATCCACTTTAACATGGCTTTGGGTTGATACAGAGAGATTAAGTTACTCATTCGCTGCCTTTTGTTTTTATTTTTGTTTTTATATATATATATATGTATTTATTTAATGCTGGTACCATAGCTACAAAGCAAATATATTTATTTCATCTTCGATTTATAAATAGAAAAATGGAGTAAGATGACCAAGATACAGGTTCCCGCAGAAGTACATATTGGACTATAAATAATGTATGATGGCAGAAAGAGTATAAAAATAAATAAAATATAATAACCTACACAGATAACAACCTGAATTAAACAGAAATAGCAAATATGCTGTACCCCCAAGTCTCCAAGGGTGTTTCCTATCTTATCGGCAATCTTGCCGCCTGACGATCACATGCCCAGCAACGTGATCGTATAACGTCCATCACATCACAACCTAGATCAAATCCCATCCCAATACGCATCTACTTGGTATATCATCTCGCAGACTTGAACCAATGCGTCCCATACTCTCATTTTCCCTCCTCACACTCGGCTCCCTCGCTACCTCCCTCCCCACAGTGACCGCCACCGAGCTCGCGCCTCTCCCGCTCGTAATCTGGCACGGCCTCGGCGATGACTTCGAACGCAGCGGAATGAAAGAAGTAGCTTCGTTGGTGGAGACCCTCCACCCAGGCACATACGTACATCTTATCCACCTAGCAGACAGCGGGTCGGGAGACCGTCAGGCGTCTTTCTTCGGTGACGTCAACGAGCAGGTAGACACAGTGTGCGCACAGCTACGGTCGGATCGGATCCTTCGTACCGCGCCGGGCATCAACGCTTTGGGATTCTCACAGGGCGGCCAGTTTCTGCGCGCGTACGTACAACGATGCAATTCACCCACCGTGCATAACCTCGTTACGCTGGGCAGTCAGCATAATGGGATTGCGGAGTTCCAGGCGTGCGAGTCCAGCGACTGGGTTTGTCGTGGCGGGGAGGCGTTGCTGAGATGGGGAAGGTGGTCCAGTTTCGTGCAGAGTCGGCTCGTTCCCGCTCAGTATTTTAGGGATCCGGCTGAGTTGGACGCGTACCTTGAACATAGCAATTTCCTGGCCGATGTGAACAATGAGCGTGAGGAGAAGAATGCTACGTATGCGGAGAATATGAGACGGTTGAATAGGTTTGCGATGGTCTTGTTTGAGGATGATCAGATGGTGCATCCGAAGGAGAGTGCGTGGTTCGCGGAGGTGAATGGTACCACTGGGGAGGTGACACCATTGAAGGAGAGGAGTATATACAAGGAAGATTGGTTGGGGTTGAGGACGCTCGGTGAGCAGGGGAAATTAGATTTCAAGACCGTCCCCGGAAGACATATGCAGTTGTCCGAGGAGGTTCTGGCCAAGTTGTTTAAGGAATATTTTGCTCCGGTCGAGGTGGATCTTTCGAGTGAGCAGTTGTCTGAGCTTCCGGCTGAGAGGTTGGTTCAGCAGCTTGGGTATTAGGTTTTTCTCGTACTCTGTACTTGTCTAGCATTGCACACTGGCATCACCACTATGTATTATGATGCACTACTGCTTAAGACACATGCATGATCCTTTTAGAAACATAGCAGATTTTTAACAAAAGTAGAACTTCAACCATGTAAAATGAAATGACCCACGTTGACAAAGTCGGGAGAAAATACAGCTCGAAACCGCTGTGCGTACTCAGTACATCTCTATCAAGAATGTCCGCAAATTTCTCGAAGTCGCAAATATCAAGTTTTAAACAAAGGAAAATCGGTGCAATATAGCACAAGGAATGAAGGTCCGAAAAGTTCAGTGAAAAACAAAAGTAAATAAATATGTGCATCAGTATCAATAAATAACGACAAACGCGTCGCTCGCCAGCCAACCACATGATGGTGACGATGAAGTAGAAAGAAAAGATAAAACCGTCGGAGAATTGGTAATTTAGTAAGGAGGACGTCCGATCCCTCCAGTCACACTGCGTCGGCTGATTCTTGACCTCCTTGTGGTCTTCCTGCACTCGGCATCCATCGGCGACAGGAAGCTACCTAGGAGACTTTGCACATCATTCGTCGTAGTATTCAAGGCGTCTTCCATGTCAGCGCCAGTTTGGGTTTTAGAACACTCAGCTCCGTCGACGGCTGCAGCCGCAAGGCCAGTGCTAGAACGACTTTTGTGTTTACTGAGAGATTTGCCGGGTGGAGCGATTGTCCCGAACTTCGCGCTGGAAGTAGGTTGCCTGCGTGGCCCAGGAGCAGTCGACGGTCGATCGCAGGATACTGAGCGTTGAGAATCGTTTGGAAAGCCACTGGGTATAGACAATGACGGTGGGATCGGAGGCACGGGCGGAATCCCGTCAGGGCCCGATTCGTAAGCCTGTATAGATGACTGAGCCAGGCTGTCACCTTCTAGACCCGTTCGACCGCTCTTGAGAGATTGAGGCCTCAGCGAAGATCCTTCTCCGTCGATCTCAGACAAGGAAAAGCCACTGACCATGCTCTCACTACTCGAAGAGACAATGCTGCCATTCGAAGTGTCGAGGCGGCCCCGTAGTGGGCTCAATCGCCGATTCTTGCCTTCATTGTTGACGGAAAGAACTCTTCTTAACTCATTGACGTGGACAGGAGAGTCTCGACTAGATCCGTTGATCTGGGAACTTGAGGAATTAGGAACGCTTGTCCGCTGGGCATTGTGCAGGCCTGCTGCTGCTCCGGACAGACCTTGCTGTGCCGATGCTGGTGACGCCGTGGAACCAGAGCTACCCCCGTTGTGGTAGATCTGGCTGCGCATTGCTAGAGTCCCGGATTTTGAGCCGCTGAGAGACAATGCCTCGGCCTTTTCTTTTTCGGCGGCTGCCAAGCAAGCTTCCCTGGACCATACTGAGAGCATCTGCTCCTTGGCAGCGGATGGAAGGAGGCTTGCCTTTTGAGCACTTGCACTGGGTGTGGCATGCGCCAAAATAGGGGTGGTAAAGTTTCGCCCGGGGGAACTTGGAGGGCTGTGAGTTGCCGATAGCACGAACAAATTGTACGACTCTTCGATTCTATTGACGAGTTCTTCGATACCATATCCGAAGGGAGTTAACTCGCGCATCTCTGTAACACCACGGTTGGGAGTTCCAACCGTGCGATCCCGAGCGTTGTCGTCGAGACTGGCTGGCGGCAAGCGGATCTGTTCAAGCCAAAGACCGTATCTTTGCCTCTTTTCAATCTCACTGTGGATTACATTTCCCACTCTGCACCTCTCTAGGTTGAACTTCTCGGCCAATTGCCACAAGTAACCGAACACCAAGCTTCCAATATTCACTTGCGCAACGCTTGAGCTAAGGCTATCAACAGTGGTCATATCTTCTTGAAGCTTGAGCACCATTGGAAGCCCATATCTAACGGCATTCACGCCAAGATGCTCAACAAGACTAACCAGAAGCAGATGAAGAAGTGAGACTTCGGAACTTTCTTCGGGGCACTCGACCGCAATATCGTAGATAGTCAAATGAAGTAGTCGGAGGAAATTTGACTGTGCCATTACCATCACCCTTTCTCTTTGGCCTGCATTCGAGCTTGATGTCCGTTTTCCCGGCTTCTCCGCGATATCATACAGCTCACGTTTCTGCGATTGGCTAGACTTGCCAGTCTTTTCCTTGACCTTGAGATCATTCTGCTTTGTTTCCATCCTCAGCCAGGTCAGGAACGCGTCGACATATGCATAACGAACATTTCGATTGGGCTCATGTAACAGCCACTGCGTCCCTTCCCATACATAACTACCCACCTGATGTCGGGATTCAACAGTAGCTACTTCCGCGGGCTGCTTGGAGTTGGCAACAAGAAGGACATTTTTAATAGCTTTCAGCGCCGTAACCTTTGCACTGGGTAAACCAAATACTATGTGTCTGGTTTCCCCAGGGGAGCCATTGGAACTAGCACCTGCTCCAAAGCCATCAAATTGGATCGGAACGGACGATAGTGTAGCATGTTCATTGGTAGCGGAAGGACGGAGACGTGTGAGGATCGCTCTGATCATATCTACGACTTGATCACCATAATAGACATGCGTCGTAAGATCCCCGATACAATTCTGAAGGAGAGAAAGCAGTTCCTGTCTTTTGGCAGATGGCTCGGTCATGCTGTCAGAATGACCATTTTGTTTCTCATCCGGTGCACGCGGCGGTGATACTAATGAGGACATGTATTGCATGAGGCCCAGCAGGACGTCAATAATACTAAGTCCAATCATGTTCACGGGTGATTTCAAGAGCCGATCAATCATATATATAATCGTAAAAGCCCCATCCAGAGCATCCTCCGTTGGCTTGATAACAAGAAGCAGTTCCATAGCAGCAGCTAAGATGATAAAACGGGCCTGAACAGGACACCATTTAGCAACCAGTTCAATTAGTGATGTTTCCCAGGTATTTTTGGTATCCAGCGACAGCTTCCGATTGTCGGTTTGTCCTTTGCGCAGGATGAATTCCAACACCACCTTCGTGGTGACTCGAATCTGACCCCGGCCGCTTCCGGTAACAACTATCCGTTCCAGACAACTCAGAGCAAGCAGACTCACGTCCATTTCTGCTTGTCTGTCCATATCCGCCGTAGTCCGCGCCGCCAACGATGGGTCTCCATCCGTCGCATCGACCGTTTCGACAGTGGCGGTGCTCAATCTCCGTGGTTGCGTTTCGGTCTCAGTTTTCTCGGACCCCTGGAGCCTTTGCTCAAGCGTATCCAGCAAGTCATCCTCCCCATTATAAAGATTTTGCAGGACTACTGGCAAAACAATCTTCAAAGAGTCCCCACCATCTTCAGCCAGCCCTGCTTCAGAACTAATCACACTTTTGAGTGCTCGTAACCCGGCATTTCTCCATCGAATCGCTAACTGAGGGCTGGGGGCAGTTTTCAACTGGGAAGACGATTCGAGGTCTGCGAAACTCGCATAGATCCGCACCACTTCTCGGTACTGGCTCGCAAAATCCTGTTCCGCCGATAAAGCGGCCATGTCCTGGTGAGCGCAGAACATTTCAAATGTTGAGACGGTATCCTCGACCATCGTGATATCATTGGAACGCAGGACTGTTTCGATTACTGTCATGACCGATCGTGCGTAGATGGGTAGGTCGCGGGGAACTTTTTCGATAAGCGCGCTGAGGATTTGAAGTGTAACCTGTACATTTCTGAGTTGAGAAGATCGAGTCAGCCAACGCATACATAAACTCCAGCCAATTCTTTTGTAGCCTGGTGGTGATTTCCCGATGTCCTACTCACCCAATCTTTCGGCGCCACACATCCCGGGCGGCCCTTTTCTCCAGAAAGGCACCAACCTTGGTCAACTTGCTCCGACGTGTACTAGCATAGTAGAGAAGGTACGAGAGTTCACTTGAATTCGGCTTAACATATTGTATTCCTTTTTGATACTGCGGGTAGCATTTAAGAATCAGGACCTGGTGTTTTGGCCGGCACTTTTGGCGTACGCCTTCCATTGGCTAGGAGCCGGAAGGCTATATAGTCTTCGAAGGATAAAAAGATGAAAGAAACTTGACAACAGCTCCCGGAGCAGGTCAGGGACAATAGTGGGTAGAGTAGTTTAGTGCAAACCAGATCACGAGTCAATTCCGGGGCATGGGGTGCGATCGAACGCCACTGTGGTACATCCGGCTAGGGTGGAGTTTGAAAAGAGAGGAAAGGAGAGAGAGATGAGAGAAACTCCTAGTCAGTCAGAATCAGGATTATCGCCAGGAGCGGGGTAAATCCATCGAATAAACTGGAAGCTAGAGATTCTAGGTGGATAGTCTGCACAAGGAGCGTATAGAGGCTGGATAAAGGAAGGAGAGCAGGAGAACTGGTGCTCCAGGGAACTTGGGATCGGGCTGGAGAAAATCACACTGTCCGCCCGTGACAGACTTGGCGATCAATAACACAAAATCTCTACAGATACAATTATGATTGCAATTTCGATTTCTCTACTATCCCTGAGGTCGACTTTATATTCACTCTCAATTCTCGTAGAATAAATATATCTCAGAAAAAGAAAAAGAAAAAATATACAAAAGGCAAAGGCAATAGACTAGGCCAATAAGCCACACGACCAACCACCATAAAGGCTTCATCGGAGAAGAGGAGCTGGAGGCTCCGTCCAATATACAATGCAGTGATGGATCGTCGAATTAAACCCCAGCCTTGGCCATAGCAGGAGCATATCCATATTCTTGTTTGTCATGTACCACCAATTCAAGGGCCAATAAGACGCACCCCTCTTACCTTTAGTGCGGAAGCTAAGAGGACGAATTGAGGAGGCCCAAGCTAGAAGTGTACATTTTCAGCGGAGAGAAGCAGATATTGTTGGGCTATTTCGCAGCGTTCATGGTGACCCCCAAAAAATAGCCGATGCCGTGGTCGACCGTTGACCGACGGGACCTCGGTGACACATGACGCAGGTCGAACTAACAGAATCAACATCCCTGATCTCACCTGAGCTCATGGTAGACTGTTTTCCCGACCCAAAGAAAGAAAAACGAGTCGCGAGACTCCATACCCCAAATGTAGATCGTTTAATCCCGCCCGCAATGCTTTCCTTTTCCGGCAGGCGCCCCCAGCCCAGCAGGATTAGACTCTGAGGATCGAAGTAGGAGAGGTCTCAATGACAACTGCCGGTAAAACCCGCTGTTCCGGACCCAAAAGTAAAACGCCATCATGTTTTTAACGGATTGTCTGTCCCCTCTCCCTGATTGTCCTGGGTTTGTCCAGCTTGTTCCCCCTCCTGCTGCCCCGTGTCAGCGTCCGTACCGTCCTGGTAGCCAACGACGCCGGTGCCCGCCAAACCCTCGATGACTTGCGGACGAATAATGTCACGGCGGAATGTCTCTTCCTGAAGAAGACGGAGCGCACGCAAGGTTGCGCCGGGATGCGTCAGAAATTGGGCGTACTCCGGAGTCTTCCAGTAGGAGTAGAGGTAGGCAAGGTAGGCCGCGAATGCCTGTGCGTCCGGATCAGAGGTATCGTCCTTCGTGTCGTCATCATCGCCAGCACCAGATATCCCTAGTAGGTTTGGGTAGTTGACAGCGAGATGAGAGAGGTAGTAGGGGTTTGCGAGGGAGGAGACAAATTCGAGCTCAAGGGTGAACCGAGGATTGGTCAAAGTCGGAGGCTCTTGTGGCTGATCAGGCAGTGGCGGTTGATCCATGATGGAAGGCTTAGTAGCTAAGATCCAAGGAGTAGTACCGGTTTGCAAGAAGATATGAGGATGAGGGAATGAGGAGAGTTCGGTTGTTGATACCTGGTTACGGAGTTGGAAAGTCAATGGGCAACGAGTTGGACTGCCAAGCGCATCCGAAGAAAGTATACAAACAACAGTGACCCACTTCGTCTCCGCCCTGTTCAACAACCGTAGAGGAATATGAGTGTGAATGAAGATGCTTATTGTAGCAATTTACAGACAGTTCAGAGAGCCAGTGTCAATACGCTTACTGTTCGTTGGCCGCATTTCTATAAATTACAAAAATCAGCTATTTGTCAACGCCAACAGCTTTTTTCCACTCGACCTTTTTGGAACCAGACTATTCAGGTGCTTTTAATTTAATTTCATTTAATTTTCTATTATATTGCACCTTTATTATCTACTACTCTTTGATTTTGACAAATCCAACACTGAGTTGTTGATTTGCCTCTATAGTACAAGTAACTCAAGATCTGGAACTTCTATACTAAGGCATATCGGAAAAAGTATCAGCCTATTGACAAAAAGACATACTCCTATCCACCAATTCTACCTGCACCAGGATTCCCGCCCAGAATGTTTCGAAGCAACATCCTGCCCAAGCTGCAGGATGTCCTCTTCTGATGCAAACCAGATGATATCTGCCATCCCAATCTCGCTTGAAGTTGTCGCACAGCTGCAGATAGACATAGTGCAATCGGGGCAACTTTGACGCAATAATCACGCACGACGCCGGCCAGAAAAGCCGGTGATAACAGGGACAGATTCGAAGCCCCCAAGACGCTCGCCGCTGAATTTCAAATACGATCGTTCGAATTACCGATCCAATAGGTCATACATCAACCGGTGGTACTACGCCTTTTCCCTTCAATTGCATTTCCAGTAAGCAATGGAGAAGTATCATGCCGGTGACGGTCAGATTGTCAAACTGCTTCAAGGATCCGCGATGAACAAATATTCCTTGCTGTTTCGTGCTTGTCCTGTCGTCTCATCCCAAGGACCAATGAAGCAATGATATATGCTATTGCCCTGTAGGAATATATTAATAATAGGCTCAATGCCCCAAGCAAATTAAGCAGCTTCTAGTATATAATCTATCCATGTAGAAGAATATAATCCATCTATCCCGAACCAGCCGCACAAAACAGAAATATATGCTCAGCCACTAAAGTGCAAGCTTACTCCGTCCCCTAATCTCAGCCCCATAGATAATGAATACGATAGGAATGGGGACGAGCAGCGCCGCGACGCATCCTAAGAGGGTACATGCCCATTCAACCCCCAACGCATCGAACTGAGGGACAACAAAATGAGCATTCAAAGTTGAAACAAAAGAGATACAAAGGACCATACCATGTAGGTTGCAAACAGCGGGAAAATCGCCCCTGCTATTGAACGAAGAAACGTGTGGGCCGCAATCGCGGAGGCCGCCCTGTAGATCGATTCAACAAATGACAAGATACAAACGGGTTCATTCCATTTACTAACCTCTTCTGCCGTGCTTCAGACACATAGGCAATAGACGACAAGAACATGGCCAGCAGACCAAAGCCTGTCAACAGCCCGGAAGCTGTGGGAACGATCCAGTGGAAGTCGCGTCTATATCCCGTCCATCCCAGCCAGAAAAGACCCGCTGAAAAGGCAACGGAGCCGGGGATAGCTACTGGGAGGAGCCACTCAGGCACCATTTGACCACCGTTTGCTTTGATCCGGCGACCGAGTGAAGGCGACCCCAGGAGCATCATGGCGCCAGCTAGAAGCTGGCCGATGACAACCCCGATGAAAGGGAGACCGCCAACTCCGGGGTTCATTCCGTGGACACGCTGAAAAATAATCGGGTAGGCTGTGAGGAAGAGGTACAGCAAGCCGTAGACGAACGCGCCGAAAATACACATGCAGAGAATGATGGGGTCTAGTGCCAGCATCTTCAACGGCAGCGCGAGATATCCCCAGATGATTTGCTGGATGCTGATATCGATCTCCTCGTGCTCAGCGTGGATCGACCAATCTTTTGTTTCGTGACGGAGCCGTGCTGCTTTGTTGGTTAACAGAACGGGAACATAGGACTCGTCTTGGAACAATAGTAGAGATACGAATGAGGCTGCGCCTAGAATTCCCGCAAGATAATGTGTCCATCGCCAGCCGAGGCTGTTATTCGTCACAATGAAGCCTCCTATTGTCGGGGCCAAAAGGGGACCCACGAAGACCATAAGACAGAATCCTACCATTCCAGCGCCGCGAACATGAGGGGCGAGAATATCACCATAGACAGCACCTGCGAGCGTCAAAGGACCGGCGCCGAAAAATCCGGCGAAGAAGCGGCAGATGAATATCGACTGCAGGTCCTTGGAAGCAGCTGTGGCGAAGGAAAACACGGTGAATCCAAACATGGCTAGCAGAAAGGGGAGTCGACGGCCCTTGATTTCGGAGCAAGGGGCCCAGATAATGGGACCTGTTGCAAATCCTAGGACGTATAGAGACACCCCGAGAGTCCCGACCTCGCGGGATATGCCATATATCATCATCAATGGCTGGATTGCCATCGAGAAGATGCTACTAGTGAGTGCGACTACCATAGTAGCCAGTCCGAGAAGGATAGAGGTATAGAGCCTGAGGTTATATATAGTCTTTCAGTTAGCCTTTCACGAAATACATGATGGCCATAGTAGATTATACTTTTTGTTAGCAGGCCAGTTCTGTGGATCAAGAGGATCCGCAGGTCCATCGAAACGAACGATGTGTGAAAAGGGCTTGGGGTGGCTGTTGATAGGATTCGAAATCGACACATTTTGTTGATCGGCAACTTCCTCTACTGCACCCTTTCTTGTCAGTTCAGTTCAGCTCATTACTAGGAAATAGGTTAAATAGGCCCACCCTTGGAGGAGACAAATGGGAACTCCGGGTTCTCGCTATTCTCCATGGCTCGGGAGAAATATACATTCCATTAAGTGATGGCATGTACTGCCACCTACAACTTTATATTCCGATAAAAGAAAAAAATTCATCGAATAACGTACCCAGTAAAATTGTGCACCATATTCTTTCCTCAGTTCACAATCATCTATTACGTGATTGTGAATGATGTCGCGGCACATCCGCTTGATCACTAAACAATATAACAGCACAACGGCATGATCACTAAACAATATAAGAGCACAGTAGCCGGATCACTAATTATAATCCAGCCTGTTCCCAATCAAACGGAACTATATTAATAGGAGGTAACTAGAGTAGTCTCTTCCAGTATACTGTATAAAGACCTATATGTCAGCTCGTATACAGGAATACAGCAATCGGTTGCGGAGCACTTGCATTCACCATCTGGGCGATTACACCCCTGGACACAACCTGGTCCGCCACCAGCAGAGGTCGCCGGTCTTGGCTCTTTCGATGGAATGCGGTTGATGGTGAAACTCACTCCGTACAATTGATAAGGAACCTGTTCTTATGACGGCATATGAGAATCAATATCGACTTCATAATATAAAAACAACAACTATGACTATGACTATAATTCAGAAACAACACCCGGAGTAACACACGTCCTAATAACCTATACATGCGTCCGTGGGGCCCGTTTTCCGCCATTCCAGGAGGAATTAAAGGCATACCCATCTTCTGTGCACAAGCTTTAAAGTTTTGCGCCGTAGACAGATATGCTAGATTCAGGTACAGTTGGAGATCCGAGCTAACAAGTTTTATTGTATTCCTCGGAATCTGGGCAGATAGCCTTGAGTCATTGTCAAACCTCGTGTTTGTCTGTCTAGTTCGGCCTTTTTTTTGCACTCGCTACCAAGATACGCGGTGCTTTGCCGCGGCTAAGTTGTTGGGGTGTTCTCATGTCCAAAATGGTTTCGGCAAGGCTTTCAATGGCGGCAAATCAGTAACTTAGCCCTACCAATACTGCCTTGCTCGTTTCTGGACGTCTAGGTTTACCTCCTTGCCTTCCTTATTAGACATAGTGTACGTACCTAGTCGATGGTCATAGTGCTAATTTATCGCCGTTATGATGCAGTCATATTATATTTTTAATCATCTCCTACTAATGAACCTGCATAAACTATGGTACTAAATAAGGACAGAAGTACACGATGCCTCAGCCACGGGTACTGGAAGTCTCCAGAAACCTGAACCGGGATCCGACAATCTATAGAGGGAAAGGCCGATACATACATCTCTGGGTCGGATTCTCCATTCCACTTTCTTCTGAACCGTCAATGAGTGACCGGAGCTCGACCAATTGGGTCTGCTATAGTATACTTGTTTGTGAGTTCTGGCTTATTTGGGCAACGGACCGAGATGCACGAAAAACCGCATGAAAAAGCATTTAGACTGAAGGCGTAACGTGGTGCTCTGGTTAACTATTATAAATATCATGTATGACGATATTGTCCTTGAAAATACTTATTTTCTATATCTGAGCTGGCTATATTAATATATGCAGTAGATCATGTGATAGTTTTGTATATATGAACAACGACCTGGGGAAGCGATAAAATCCAGAATTTTGAAATGGCGCGTGGGTTTTTGCACGAACTGCCTTCGATCCTTGGTTGAGCTCACATTAGTCTTTTATACACTACACTATAGGAGATAGCTTCAGATACTTTATATGGTCAGGGTTGTAAGTAAATACGAAATGAATTCGAGGGGTTGATTGATCCCAAAACAGATAAATGAGCCCACCCGAGCCAATCCTGATTCAGACTAGATCTCCTTGAGCATGACCCACCCATCTTTGAACGCCCACAGACGTGCCATTGAGCGTGCTCGGGGCACCCCACGTGCCCTTGGCATAGCGGACTGTGCCAAGACGTGTAGGCTTGGCGAGGCAGTGCAGGGATCGAAGCTTCTTATCTTCCGCACGTGGAAGAAGAGGCGCACTCCGATTTGCCTGTGCATGGGCCCATTTGCTAACTGATGGTGGTTGCCAAGGAAGCGGGGCATGGAGAGGGTGCCATTCCACGGTCTATCTCGTGTAGGCGTAATTTCTTCAGGTAGCATGTAAGGGGATCGTCTCTGCAGTTGCTCATCTAAGCTCTTAGCTGTCATCGTAGGTCCAGCACCATAAAAGGGCCTTCCCTCGCCCTCTTGGGAATTGATCTTCCACTGCTGCAGTCTAACTTCCCATCGATCGTTTCTGTTCGATCTTCCAGTCACCATGAGGTCTCTCTCGGTCTCTGGGTTGGCGCTGTTTGCGTCGTGTGCTGTTGCACAAACGTACCAGCGCTTGGGTGGCTGCCCCTCTCTGGGCTGTGTCTTTCCTCCTGATCAGTATGTACCTACGTCATCGTTGATGCAAGCAAAGAAATATAAAGCTAATAATAATACCCAAACTGATAGGGCGGACTTCCTTCCGGGTCAGTACTTCGACATCCGTCTAGAGGTTCACTCTCCAGTCAACGGCTCCGAAGCTCGTCCGGGTGAACCCGATCCCAACTTTAAGTTCACCATTGCGAAGAAAGGAGAGGAGGCTGTCCCTGTGGAGGAGTACTTCGACATCGGTGCAGCACAGCTTGAGAGATGGAACTTTACCTGGTTCGAAGGTATTTTTTGGTTGACTGGGGGTTCTTGTGTCTGGAAAGCTGTGCTTACTCTCTTTAGACCTGTTTGCAGAAGATGCGGATAAGCCTTCTCTTGTGAACGTGACCTCAAAAGCCTATAGACGGGTTGCTCTCTATGAGCCAGGCGAGTACGAGGCAACCTTGACCTACTATGGCAATCAGACCACTGTTGCGAACTGGCTTGTCCGTGATATTCCCAAGAAACGGCGCGCAAAGAACGCCATCCTCTTCGTGGGAGACGGCATGACCACAAACATGATCACTGCAGCTCGTCTGATCGCCCATAAAAGTATCAATGGCAAGTACATGACCAAGATGCAGTTGGACAAGTTTCCTGTCTTGGGTCACCAAATGACTCACTCGTTGGATTCGTTCATCACTGATTCTGCCAATTCTGCAACTTCCCTATACACTGGCCACAAGACGACAGTCAACGCTTTGAATGTCTACGTGGACTCCTCTGAGGACCCGTTCGACGACCCAAAGTTTGAGATCATCACCGAGATATTCCGTCGCCGGTACCCTGACGCGGGCGTAGGCATCGTTTCCACAGCTTTCCTTGCCGACGCAACCCCCGCAGGTCTGGCAGCCCACACCAGAGATCGTGGAGAATACGACCATGTCATCGGTGCTTTCTACGAGGGCATCAGTGAATACAACTGGGAGGAGTGGGAAGGTCCTGACGTTCTCTTCGGCGCCGGTGCGGAGAACTTCCTCGAGAGCGAAGACGCTTCACGGGATTACTTCAAACTGTTTGCGGAGAAGGGATACAGCGTGAGCTGGAACAACACTGCTTTGCATGCAGCCCCGAACGACACTAGGGCGCTGGGAGTTTTCCAAAAATCCAACCTGGCCACATGGCTGGACCGGAATGTCTACCAAGCCAACCTTCTGAACCAGAGCAACTATCCCGATGGTTCTGGTCGCGACGCGGAAGATCTTCCTGGCCTCAAAGACATGACCCTGAAGGCGATTGACGTGCTGAATGCCCGGCATGGCGATGAGGGCTGGTTCCTCATGTCCGAGGCCGCCAGCATCGACAAGCAGATGCATACCTTGGACTACGACCGGGCTCTGGGAGAGCTGCTGGAGTTGGATGACACCGTGAAAGCCACCATTCAGAAGCTTGAGGCCCTCGGGGAACTAGAGGACACTCTGATTGTGGTGACTGCTGACCACGGACACGGATTTGACGTCACGGGTTCGGTTGATACCGAATACCTTAACGCACAGGACGATGATCGACAGAAGCGGAGGGCCATTGGGTACTACGAGAGCTCTGGGCTCTCGCAGTACACGGTGGGCGGGTCCAACGCTCTGCGGTACTCGGAGGGGGTTCATTTTCCGGCACGTTGGGATCCGCGGTACACCTTACATTCGGGAGTTGTGGCGTTCCCCGATCACCGGGAGAACTACGAGGTGCACAAGGAGGGTCCACGGAAACCGGCAGTTGAGCAGCCCGGAAGCAAGGGCAATGTGATTGCCAACTATAAGGATGCCGTGACCGGATACCTGATTAATGGAACTTTGCCCGTGGACGCGAGCCAAGGCGTGCACTCTTTGACCGACGTGCCCGTGTTCGCCCAGGGCCCCTGCCAAGAGTTATTTGGAGGGGTGTACAACTCCATCGACATCTTCTTCAATATGGCGGAGTGCCTTGGTCTGTCGGATAGCCGGCGGGGACACAAGGGCAAGAATGGTCGCCGGAACTAATTGCGTTGAATATTTTATTCCGGGGTGACTGGAGTGAGCAGAAAACTACTATTTCGTGTATATTAAATTGGATTGATGAGAGCGAATGTCACCTGCTTGTTGTTATACCTATTTTCTCCAGTTTCTAGGAATGCCTGATGTCACAGGCAGCAATACAGCTAGCTGTCACAAAGCGATTGTAGACTGGCATCCACATTCCTATCCTTGCCCACTCATGCATCGAGGTGTGTTCCAAGCAAGGACGGAGTTTGGCTCTTTAATGCCAAGGATCATGTAGAACATGACTGAGATACTGTAGAAGGACGGCGTCGACCACCACGGTCGAAATAGACGCGGTGGAAGACAGAAGACAGGATTGTTTGCTGATATCCGACTGCATTCCTGCTGGTGGAAGATGACTCGTGGAATGTGTAGCTGACGTAGACGGAGGTTCCTGTTGTTTTTTTTTTTTTTTTTTTGTTTTTTGCACCGCATTTTTCCTGAAAGGTTGGCAGTCTTAATACCAGAAGGCACAGTAAGGGGAAATACAATACAGGTTCTGTACAGCGTTGAAGAGGATGCTGTTATCTTCAGTTCTTAGGGATTAGGTATCTTCCCACGACGGAGTACAGAGTACAGAGAAGTATTCTGCTGATTGATTGATTGTCAGACTTCCAAGCGCCGATGGTGGTTCTGCACAACGTAGGGTGAGTTGGCTACCGTTCTGGGGTAAAAGCGTGTGGAGAACAATGCGTAAGTTCGGACGGAGTCGAGATTGATCCTCACAGGAGGAATCCCTGGTAATAGGCGAGAGAGGAGAATAAAGCTCGCCTAGGTTCACCAGCCCTGCATATGGTCGTTGACACTACGCCCTACCTGGGGTCTTGGGCGTATGATGCATGTCCTGCCTAGTGACGAGTGACTGTTCCATACTATTACCAGATAATCCAATCCATTCTACCTCCAGTCGAGCATTGATTTGTTCGGAGTCCGACTGTCCGTCTATTGCGTGTAGGCCGTCGATCGCTGGGAGTCTAAATTCTCCCATTGGGGAAGTCCTCCGTATGGTACCTTACGGTACGGGCGATACCATGTTGGGTTTGGTCGGTACGGTAATTTGACCTCGGTACGGAGTTATCATACCCAAAGGTACCAGCCAAGTACCATCGATGGTCTTGGAAATCCCCCTTTCTTTCTCTTTTGTTTGTTTGTCTGAATTGGATGATGATTGTCGACTCCAAAGGAACGGTATCTATTGTTGGGGTTTATAATCAATTTAGTATCATCCATCTTCTTGAATTTTCTTGACAGGCTCGAGCGTCTTCCGCGCCTTTATACTCCGACACGGTTCGTCCTGCAAGTCTCCTGATTATCAACTCGCATCAACCACATACGTTTAAACACTGGTTGAATTATTTGCTATCCTCCTGCTCATCTCCACTCCTGGTTGTCCCGTCAATCAGACGAACGGCTTGTAGAGAATCATCCGCCCCGATCCCACCCACACCCACGGTTTCCTTCCCCCCTTTTACTACCGACGATCCTTTCTCTCTCTCTTTCGACCTTCAAGGGGCCGCTTTTCTTCCGCTTCCTACTCTTCCCCTGTCGTTCATTCACCCTCTTCATCTTCTCTTCCCCTTTGTTTCCTTCTCTCTTGGATGTCTTTTTCTCCGCACTTCCTTGGGGGGTTTTGATTTTGAAGGAGACATCAGAACAAGAAATTCACACAAGGGCCACCTGCATACTCCATCTCTAAGCTCCTGCAATTCCACCCCTCCAATCGCCACTCCCCTGACCGACCAACCTCCGCCACATCGTTGTTTCAGCGCCGCCTAGGTTTCGCTGCTAGGGAGTTTCGCGCCTGCTCCCGGTCCTCGTGCTCCTAATCTCTTCTATCCGTCCCGGTTTGACGCTCTACTTCCATCTCCCAATCATCGCCTTCAACTCGTCTTCCTCCGAAACGCATTGCGTGGACCGGCAAGATGAATGCTTCCCAACGCCCTCCAACACTGTCATATCCTTACCCACCCGGCATGACGCTGGGCCCGCCAGGTGCGTCACCTTCGTCTCGTCATGTAGGACCTGATCGCTCAGGATATTCCCTCCTCTTACGAACGTTTCACGTTCTGCGGGGCTTCCCCTTGTCTGAACTACGGTGTTCCTATCATCGTGTATTTGAGGCCGTGCATCGCCTGATTCCCATATGCGATTTTCTTGATTCACTGACATCGGTTTATCGAGCTTAGTGTCTCCGGTTCGTCAAGCTTCACCGCAATTGCCCGTCAATTTGGCCTCAAACAACCCATTTAGAAACCGTGCGCTGTCTCCATCCAGCTCGGCCACGTCGGGCAGTCGACCAGAGCGGCCAACGTCGACAAACCCCTTCTTAGACGACATCGATGCACTGTCACCTCAATCTGCGCCCGTGGGAACTATGACGTTCCCGACCGAGAAGCAAGACCTCACAGACAGCACCCGCGACCTCTTCGTATGTCCTCCTTGTGTCTTCCGCTCAGACAACTGATCATTACTGACCTTGGTTCTTGTATTTTCACCAGGATAACCTCTCCCTTAATTCTGCTCCCCAGCCTACCGGTTTCCGACCGGCCCCAGCCCCGCTCCGTTCGAACGGCCCGCCTCCAAACGGTGCTTCAAGTAGCCGCGCACCACCGACTTCGAGAGAACGCCGCGAAAAAAACCCGCTAGATATATTTGCCGACCCGCCCAGTTCTTCGAAACCCTCTAGTTCGAAACCACGCGATCGGGAAAGACGGCCCCGTCGAAATTCGGAGTCCTCGGTCATGGACCGCACGCCGAAGCTCCTGGATGCCGATGATGAGAAACGACGACGGGAGAGACGGCGGCGGGAGCGGAAAGATGGAAAGCCCCGTTCAAAGAAAGGCAACTACCAGCTAGATATTATTGATAAATTGGATGTGACCAGCATTTATGGCACGGGAAGTGAGTTTTTCATGATGACTCTTCTGTGCCGCTCACTAACCCGTCTTAGTGTTCCATCACGATGGCCCATTCGATGCCTGCAATCCCAGCCGCAATCGCAAGGGTCTTCGCACAGCCCCCATGCAAGCGTTTCCAGAAGACTCGACTAACATGGCTTTGGGGGGTGCAGGGCCTCTCAATCAAAATATTGATTTGAACCTGTTCCATGGTAGAACCGAGGAGGGGTACAACGATTTCAGCTATACCATAGAGAGCCGCAAAACCGAGGGTGTAAGTTTCGACCCGAAATCGCGCATCGAGCCAGTTCATGGCGCCCAGAGCTTGGGGTTGGGAACCAGTACGTTTTTGGATGGCGCTCCCGCCAGTCGGTCAGCAATGCAACGCCGACAGAGTGAAAACGAACAGCAGAATAGTCAGAACGGCGGCCTCCAGCGGAAAAAGAGTTTGGCCCAGAGAATTCGGGGAATGAATCGAGCCCCAAGTGGCCGCGTGGCATCCCCAGAAGCTTCGTATACTGCTTCATCCGGCAACTCTGGACCGATCAAAAGCAACGAAAAGAATCCATTTTCCCAAGACTACGACGATGCGTGGGAGAAGAAGGGTGCTCGTATCGCCGAGGAATCGCGCGATATTGGACGGGCTCGTTCATCCAGCAGTCCGAAAACGAGTACCACTCTGGAACGGTGGCATACCACCGAGAGGACCAACAGTGGTCTTGAGGAGCGTCAGAATAACGGCGGTGGCTTCATCAACCGCATGAAGAGCTTAAGAAAGACGCGCCCAGAGAGACGGGTCAGCAACGACTGAATATCTTGACTCTTCGTTTACAGCCTTCGTTGTATTCTACACTCCACTACTCATACCTTATGATCGGATTGTTAGGCGGGAGAACGATTGAGAACACAACCCTTGTTTTCACGCTCCAAGGAAGTGATGTTTGAACCGAGAATCGGCGAGGATACAGTGATACTCCTCATAGGCCGACGCGCGAAGTATCATCCCGTCTGCAGTGGTATATTGAGATCCTGCGTGGCTACGCAGGCCTCTGTTTATCGGCGATGGTGATGAGCAGCTCTTTTGAGGGGAGGTTAAGGGATTGCCAATAAACGTGACTGCTGTCTGGTAGATTGTTCTTTTCTTCCCTCCATCTTCTTTCCTTTTTTTTTTTTTTATAAAAAAAAAAAAAAAAAAAAGTGTTTCCTATCCTTTTCCCCTACATGCGGGCAGTGCGGGATGCAAAAAGGCGGGCGTTACATGATGGGCTATACATTGTTCGGCTGGGAACGGATTTGAAGGGCCAGACTTTTACTGTTTCTAGTCTATTGAATTGTCCTTGGTGATATTTATTAGCATGGATGTTTTCTGTAGGAACCATGAGCCTCTCAACCCCGCAGATTATTTTATGCAGTAATTTTTGGTTTTCACAGTTAAATATTATAGTGGATCATCCTGATATTACCTACTGATTAAGTGTCAGGATACCCATGCCAGATAATGTACCATGCAGCCAGTAGTAGACAGGTAGTACTAAAGTAACGACCCATTGTTTGGCGTATATATGAAACATGCGAGAGATGAACCTTTAATTAATTCAATGTGATAATAATCATACTGAGATGGAGATATACAGGGTACATATATTATATTATATTGTCTCAACTCCACGGGCTTAAATTATAATCCGGTGGTTGTTCTTCTATCGTATCTCTCTACTCGTGGCACCCATGCAGCATAGCGTAGAACCATAAGCGGGCGTCTACGGAGTAGTTTTGCTGACACCAATTGGAGGAACAGTTATCTTTGTATACTGTTTCGACGTGTGCAACGGCATTAAGCTGACTGGCTAATGTTAGAACAAACGTACCTATCTGCTTAGGTAGGTTTCTATGATTTCTTGAGATGGAAGGATTGGATGTGTTGGTTTCTATTTGTTCTATTCTATTCTATTTATTCTATTTTTTTTTTTTTTTTTGTGTTAATTCTCTTTCTGTTTATTATTTGTTCTGGGTTTGCGGGTTTCGAGGTCTATCCACCTTTCTGATTCCTCTTCTACCATCTGTATAATAAGTAGCCCAAAATATGAGCAGGTACAAAGAAAGTCCTAGGTCAAGTGGATAGACATATCATATGTATTATGAAAAATGAATAAGATACACCGAGCCTATGCCAGACAACCTACCCAACCGTAAACCCCAGATATAGAAAAAGCCCCGACAAACATGAATAGCGAACAGCCCGACCAACATAGGCAGGTATTATTTAACATATTTTGCATTAATTCGATAAAACAAACAGGTCATAACAATCGAAAACAAGAATATGTTCCTGTCTACCGTGCCCTTGTAGCCCGGTGGTTGAAGGGGTCAGGGGCGGCGATACCGGCTTTACGCCTCGATTGGGGCTTGGGGCGGGAGAGTGTGTACCTGTTGGTTGGTTATTAGTATGTCTGGGCTGTAGACGTGGAGGGGAAAGAGTCACGTACTTGGCAAAGGCGCGGGAGAGAGCCTTCTTGCAGCTGACTTTTTGACTGCCAATGAAGGAGTCCACTGTGACAGCGATGGCGCGGTCGATGTCCTGTGAGGAACAGTATTCTGATAGACGCATCTTGCAGAAGGCTTCGGCGATACGCATGATGGCTTCCAGGTGACGGACCTGTGGATTGTTAGTTTAGTGAGGTACATAGGAGAAGCCGATTAACTTACAGTGATGGGGTAGGCCCCCGTCACCAGGGACTCGCGTCTCATATCAGCAAACAGCCGTGCAACCTTGTCCTGGTCAATTTGGTAGAGCTTTGGATGGCAGTGTTCTCGAGCGTAGAGAATGTATTTTCTGAGAAGCTCCTGCGGAATCTCGCCTTCTTTCTCCTCTGCCTCCTTCTGCTTGGCACGCTCCCGTATGTCGAGCTCCTCCTGCGTCGGTGGGAGGCGGTTGCCCTTGTCATCGATACGGTAGCCTTCCTCGTCGATGAGGTTACCATCCGCATCGATGAGATTACCATCTTGGTCTCTCTGAGGGCGCGCAGGGTTAGCACGGTGGTGAGACTCGACGACGAAGCTAGCCAGACGCTCATCTTCGGTTGGATCGACCAAGTCACGAACGACGCAGAGGATATCAAAACGGGATAGGATGGGCTCGGTGAGTTCAACGTTGGCCGAGAACGGAGCCGTACTGTTGTACCGGCCACCGATCGGATTCGCGGCTGCAACAACGGCACAGCGTGCTTGCAGAGTAGTAACAATACCGGCCTTGGAGATGGAAATGGTCTGTTGTTCCATAGCTTCGTGGATGGACGTACGATCCTGATCATTCATCTTGTCGAATTCGTCAATGAGGCAGGTGCCACGGTCCGCCAGCACAAGGGCACCTCCTTCGAGGGTCCACTCGCTAGTCAAGGGGTCACGACGCACACTGGCGGTAAGACCAACAGCACTGGCACCCTGACCGGTTGCGAAGACAGCTCGGTGGGCGGTTTTCTCAACGTACTTTAGCACCTGTGACTTGGCGGTACCGGGATCACCCAGCAAGAGAACATTGATATCGCCACGGATGGACATTTTTCCTTGTGCTTCTTTGCTAACACCACCAAAGAGAGATAAAGCAACTGCAGTCTTGACATCCAGATGTCCATAGATACTGGGAGCTACAGATCGGACGATTTTATCGACTATATCTGGATCCCTGGACAAAGCGCGGATCTCACGTTCGTCTTCCTCGTTCAAGTGGAAACCAGCCAGCTGGTCGTGGGACTTAACGACATGGTTTGCCTCAATGATGGTTGCAAAGACAGGGAATCCGTTCTTGTTGTTGAGCTGGGCATCGTAGCTGTTGCGGTAAATGCCGGTCACTTCGATTTCGTCTCCCGGTTTGGCAGAGTCAATCAGATCCGCCAGAAGCACAACTTCTCGCTGGCGTGGCAAGCGGCCCGCAGGGACGGAACCTGGAGATTCTTGCAGCGTCAATTTCTGGTAGTTGCGGTAGACGGTCTTCTCCGAGTTCACGTTGAATGGTCCCTTGGACTGGCAGTTCTGGCAGTATGAAATCCTCACCTCCTGGCTCGCTTCCTGCTGGAATGGACCCAGGGTGATGTTACATTTGGTGCAAGTGAACATGACATACTTCAACTGCGGGAATACGCCAGTGCGACGTGTCACAACTCCGCTGACCCGAATAAGGCAGTTGAGATGTGATTGACGCAATTGCCGCAGCGTGTAAGTAATGGGAAGATCTGTAATGCGGACATGGATCTCGTTATGGATGTCATGGTACTGCGGGTAGTGGAACAAAGTAACATCAAGAGCCACTTGGTCGAAAACTTTGAGAACCTCAGTAGGCTCATTCGCAAGGAAATATGAAAGCGCTGCTTTGGTATTGCTCAGATGAGCATAAGATACTTCAAGAGATGCAGAGTTAACCTCGCCAAGAGTTTTGATCTTGTTTCCGTACACCGAGCCACCAGCAGGGTCAGTAAACTCTGTCAGGAAAGCCTTGAACTCTCGGTATATTGAGCGAAGAACCTGGGGCTGCACAATCCAGTCCGTGACGTTAGAGGCCTTGACATCTACCATCTCTTCCAGGGAGAGCTCATCCATAGCGTCGTCGCCCATCTCAACATCGTCCCTATCTTCATCATACTGGTGCCTCCGCCGACGAGGCTGGCGGGTTAAATCTATGTCACCGTCATCATCGTCCTGTAAGAATGCTGCAGGCATACGGCGGCGACGATCGAGTTCGCGATCTCTGCGATTCAGGCGAGCATCCAGCTGGCGACGTGTAGCTATGTCAAGCTCTTCATGTTCAACCTCATCATCGTCGATGTACTCTCCTCGATAGCGATCATTTGCAGCGTTCCGATAATCCCTTTCAAAGTTGTCACCAAACAGATCGATTCCGTCCTCATCCTCGGCCATCTCCTCAATATCATCAATGTCCGCCAAAAGCTCGGCTTCTTCATCTCTTTCATCATCATCATCAAAGGGGAGCATAGGAGGGGAGGAAGGGGGGGCTGCATATTGTCAGAACAAACATTAAGCAAACTTGTCTGGCGAGCAAACAACTTACGACTGGAGGGGGGAGCGACCGAAGAGGTTTCATCGTCAGGCTCTCTCGATCTTTTACGTCGACTCAAGTTTCCAAGTCCGCGGTTTGCGGCGGAATTGCTGGGACGGAGTGGTGAGCTGAAAACAGAATTAGCATTGAAGAAAATATCGCAAACAAATGAGGATTCGAGTCATTGATCCAGAGACACATACCTCATAGTGTGTAGGGCTCAATCCGACGACTTGGGAGTAAAAGTAGACAGACCAAACCGATCCCACGGGAGTTGCAATGTGGGCGTCTTTTTTGCCTGCAGGGAAGAGAAGAGTGGGAGAGCCATTCAAGCCTTGGCGCTGCGTAGGCGCGTAGAGGACGCGTTGGGGCGCGTCAGACGCGTGGGTTGATTCAATAAGTCCCGATCGGGAAAGGCTATGTCATTCGACTTGGCCATGCTTTCGTCGCTTGATACTCCTTCCTATAGTTTGGGGTTTGAATTGAGAGCCTCAATCGCAAGAAATACTGGGGGAAATGATTCGAGTTTTATCATGCTTCCAAGCCGTAATGCTGTCCTCACGCTTGTAGTTGAATGCCCAGTCATGCAGATTAAAGCCGCAGTCAGTCATCCGCTTGTACTCTGTACGAAGTACCCCATACTACAACGATATCAATTTGGAAAAAAAAAAAGAAATAAAAAATAACTGATAGACATAGCTAGGCCTGCACAATCGTATATGTGCCTTATCTATGGCAAATCCGCGAAATAGCGTGCATAATCACAACCAATAGGCCATCACGCAGTGCAAACAAGACAAACATGTAAGTGTTTCAGGGCGCGTTACCTCAATGCTGCAGGAGAACTGAGCGCAATGCGAGCCTCATGTCACTGGAAGATTTAATCATTGACTAGACATCTTTTCAGTTTCTTCTTCGCTTATGAACTGGTTCATCCTCTAATTTCTGAACTATTCCTGCAACGATGGTGAACAAGCCCGGGTCCGTCAACGCCGAACAGTTGAGGTCCGAGCAAGATGCCGGCAACCGGCGCGAGAGCTTCAGTTCGCAAAACTCCCAGACCGCAAAAGAGTAAGCATTTGAAGATATCACTTTCCATGGGATATTTAGTGGTTTTACTGTCGTCGTGATTTTGGGTGCCTGATACGTATGTTCACAGGTTCATCGAGACCCAGATGCAGCTTGAAGCCGATGCGAGAGAAGTCCTCCCTTATGTGAGTTTTGCCTTCTATATGAATAATGTAAATGAGCAGCGCGAGAAAGACTAACATCACCAAGTCATTTGATTCATGTACACAAGATTTAGGACCTCTGCGACAAAGCCTCTTCGCCTGCTTAACTTGCAACCCTCCACCTGCCAGCCCGGATGCGCCGTACTCGGCTGCAGGAGTATGCTATTCTTGCTCCATCTCGTGCCATGGCGAACACACTCTCGTCGAACTCTTCACCAAAAGAGACTTTGTGTGCGACTGTGGGACGACACGGATGCCCTCATCTTCGCCGTGCACCTTGCGAGACGATCCCAAGACAGGCAAGAAGGGAGTGCATTCTCAGGAACCACACTCCGGCAACAAGTACAACCATAATTTCCAGAATAAGTTCTGCGGCTGTGGTGAGGACTATGATCCCAACAAAGAAAAAGGCACTATGTTCCAATGTCTCGGTCTAGGGACCGTCGAAACCGGCGGCTGTGGCGAGGACTGGTGGCATCCCGAGTGTCTCATCGGCTTGCCGCGCAATTGGTACGAAGATGTGAAGAAGGACATGACTGAGAATGAGAAGGCTGAGGCTGAGGATGAAGAGCTTCCGCTGCCACCTGGGTTCCCCATGGAAGATGATTTTGAGACGTTTATCTGTTACAAGTGCATTGAATCAACCCCTTGGATGAAGCGGTATGCTGGAACAGCAGGGTTCCTTCCTCCAGTGTACAAGGAAGATGGATTGTCCAAACCCACAGAGGACGTTGAGACAGCGCCAGAGACTTGGACCGCAAATCAAGAGGAACAGGCCACCAATCAGAAGAAGCGCAAAGTGGAAAACGACGAACAGGAAAGCGAACAGGCATCGAAGCGCATAAAGGAGGACAATGAAAATGCTATTCCAGAGACAAAGGCAGAACCAAACGAAGAGCCTACGCAGCCTGAACTTCCCAAGAAAAAGCACGAATCTCTCCCCAGCTCTGCCCCTCTCGGCATATTCTCTATCTTTCTCAAAGAGGACTTCCGCGACCAATTCTGCCGCTGTCCTGAATGTTACCCTAACCTTGCCCATCATCCACAACTCCGGGAGGAGGAAGAGACCTACGAGCCCCCTGTCTCCGAAGTTGGTGACGAGGCCAATGGTGGAGGTAGTACGGGGACCGGAAGTCTCCTAGATCGCGGCGAAGCGGCTTTGAGCAACATCGATCGCGTCAGGGCGATTGAGGGGGCGATGGTTTACAATCATCTGCGAGACAAGGTCAAGGAGTTCTTGAAACCCTTCGCCGAGTCAGGCACGGCTGTCAGCGCAGAGGATATCAAGTCGTACTTTGAAAAACTTCGTGGTGACGAGCAACCTATGAAAGATGCCGCTGGTCAGGCTTCTATGTCTAACAATGATGACGATAATGACGGAGGCAATGGTAGGCGGGAACAAAGTGGTACGTTTTTGAGTCCTCCAATCCTAGGAAGACTGGTTTATTTAACGCTGACTCTGAAACAGGCTATTAGCATCGCTTATGTTAGGTTCTCTCTTTTTCTTCTTATTTTTTTAATTCTTTTTTCACCTGCAACCCTCAAACCTGATTGATATGGATATCAGTAAACGGACGCATAGGGAAGGATTTGTTTGCCGGGCGCAAATGACGGGATGGGAATCAGGAACAGGCTCGAAAATATGATCTGACTTAAAATTATGCATTCATGTTTGAATCTCTTAGTCAATTTTCTGACAGCAATCATCTGGAAACCACCTATATTAACTTCAATAGTAGACGTACTTTCAGGATACAGATAGATTCTCCAGGACAACCATAGCTAGTTCTTTAGTAGAACATTGTGTCCTGCTACCACTTGAAGACAACGCGTACTTGCACAATTGCCTCCTACCTGAGCGCATTCTTACTCCAAGAGATTCTTTTACCGAAATTATTACCACCGTGTCCATGCAGATAGATGGATTTACGAAATACTACGCCCATCAGGCAGCATAGACTGCCTGACGGATCTTGACCGGCCAATTCCACTGCGCAATGGTGAAATGGCTGCGATGTTCCCACTCCGTCTCCGGCTTCTCCAATTCAATATCAAAGTCGCGAAGCACAGTCGCCGTAATCTTACCGATCTCTGCATAGGCAAACTGTTTCCCCGGGCAACAATTGTATCCCATCCCAAAGATGATCAAGTGCTCACATAGCTTACGGCCTCGGGTCGCATTCATCGATCAGTGTTGAATACCTCCGCATCGTCCCCAAAGTGCCTGCTACCGCGCTGGATGGCAAATGGGTTGACGGAGAGAATGGTCTGCAGTGAATTAGTCCTTTTTTCTACAATGTGCGTGGTAGACGTAACCCGGGTTCAAAGTTCAAAAAGGTGATCCCCAAGCTTGATTCCCTCCTTTGGAGCTATGCGAGGAAGACCAAATGGCACGGGAGCAAATATCGGAGGGATTCTTTGTTCTGGAGCCAATCATTTGGTATTCCAGTTCTCTAGGTCTTGTTCCATGCGGCAGAACTGGAAGAGCAACGTACTCAGGCTTGGAGATATGGAAGTTTTTAGCCTCTTCGTACTGAACGACCGGCGATAGCTGACCCGCAACGTGGGCTTTCTTCAATTCCTGCTTTAACTTGGCCATGCAATCGGGATTCTTCAGTATGAAGTAGAACATACTGGCCAGCGCTCCGGTCATGGTCTCCGAGCCCGCAATGGTGGTCATACCTGCCACGGCCAGTATCTCGGGCTCTTCCATACGATCGGGGCCATTTTCGATAGTTACAGATCCACTGGGGGGCCATGTCTTTTTTCAGGTCCGGATTGTCCTACCGTTTCTCCACTACGGCACTGACCGTTTCGAAGAGGTTGACATCCGGATTGAGGCCCAAGTATCCTGCAAACGGGCTGTGCAGGATAAACGGGTGCAGCCAGTACATGTAGCCCATAACTGCTTGGTCATGAGAAACCGCATGCTGCGAATGGAGCTGTCGATGTCGTCGCCTTTGCGCAAATCCCAACCGTGTCGAGAAGGTCAATTCGCCAACAGAGGCGACGTAATTCAGCCACTTGTCGAAGTGGAAGGCCTCTCCGATCCGCGCGAGGTTCTGCAGCTGCTCCCAGAGCTCCTGGATGCGTTTATCGACCCGTTCTTCTGATCGAATCAGGTATGAGGGGGCGTAGCTGTTGGCTGTGATGGATGATCCTGCCCGATGTCGCTTCGGGTCGCATTCAGACATGGAAGTTTGGTGATATTTGTCTGGCACAGGCAGCGCTTGAAACCCTTCCGCCTACATCGGGAGGTATTAGTTAATATCTAATTTCATCTATTCTTTCCCTCATGAGGCTTTTCGCTCACCTCCCGATAAGGAGACATCAGGACCGCGGCGATACTATCCGAGTGACCACATGCCAAGGTTTTAATTCATATTACCTGGATGAGAACGATCGGCCCTAGATAACGCATTTTAACCCCCACTCACCGAGGACAATCTCCAGAGACTGAGTTAAGTATTTTCCAATCCGCTTCATCTCAGGCAGGTCAGAATCAAGTGCATGATCCTGAGTCCACAGTGCGTGATTATAAGCTCCTATGACCGGCTTTCGTAGAGCGTCTCTATCGCAGATTTCTAGTCGAAGGGTATAGGCATCTGGATCCAACTGTGGGGAAAATGCTGCAAAATATGTTGATTGGAGGGTCCTTCAGCATTTGGTATTTCAGCTTACGATAGATAATATGTACTTGGGAGATAAGTGGCTGGATACTTCTGGGATGGTTCCCCGAGGACTCGGAACAGTCCGCGCCTGGTACGACCCTAAATAACGGCATCTGAAAATATGGATTCCCTGGCAACAAACGAGCAGCAGAGGCAGAAGAGCAAGCAGACGCAAAAGCATGGACAGCAAGAGGAACCGAAACAGGGGCATAAATAGACAGAAAAGAAGAGAAGAATCTCTTACTTCCAGCTTGGTATTAGCGCGTCTTACTCTCACAATCAACAGGATCGTGATTCGTATCCTGCAGATTTTGATGAGGATCTCTCTGGTTTTGAAGAGAAGCCTGAGAAGAGTGAGAGGAGACCTGCTTATGATAGTCAAACCCAGAACCAGGAGGACTCGTATGAATGGGACGATGACGCATCAGACGATTACATGTCGCTAGATTATCGATGGGTCCGACGCTGGCTTCTATTATGAACTGGAAGACCTGCACGAAGAGCGGAAGCGGCAAAAGGAACAGGAGCATAATGAGATAGAAAAATAAAGAGAATTTGGGAAAGGCAAGGAAAAGAGGTTCAGCATATGTATGAATCTCTTAAGACGAAGGAAGGAAACCACCTGTTCATACTTCTATTGCGCACACTTTCCATCTATACTCTAAAACCACGTCGAATACTGCTATTCAGGCATTTATCCAACGCAATATGTTGAGTTCTATTACTTGACTGAAGATGGTAATCCATCTGGCATTTCATCTAACGGCCAGCCACTACCAGAACAAGAGAACAGATGTATAGCCATGTGTTTTTTAATGCAAACACTGGAACCCAATCGACCCTCCCAAATATGCAATTCTGAGAGATTCCCTGTAATAAGGTGACAACGGGAAATTCAAAGTTATGTTTCTATTCCTAAGCAATGATCACTTGAGGATGAGAGTTAGTCGAACTTGGTCTTTGCGCGAGCGTCCGCCCTCTGATGTTTCGAAGTTCTTCGAATTCGTGGGCATCCGTTATGATAGGGGAAAAGCGAATGCAGACCGTGAGCGACAAAAAGCATAGAAGAGGAACCGCCCTCCATCCCCTGGCGAGACTTGGTTTGAAATGAATCATACGATTGGATCGTGGAATCTGTCGCGATGATGATTAAAGGACAATATATCTTACCTCACCCTCCCAGCCATCCCCAACCTAAAGGCAGGTTCTCCCTTAGCAAAGTCTGATCTATTTTCCTGATCTGATGTCTGATATGTTTCTTATCTAGGTGTTGGAATTTGAAATTCAGGGCAGAGCATTTGCGTACGAATGGCTTCATGTAGATATCAAGTACATGATCAGAGCATTATCGGACATATAATTGTTCAGTTCAAAGTCATTTCAGTGAGAGTAATTCTTGAACCATCATTTGCAATGACTAGTCTTGTTTTTAGTAGCGCACGCGTGCTATCATCAGAACTCTCCCTTAAAGTTACGGTGTCGCACAATCAACTCTTCATTCTCCAGTGAAGCTTGCTTTAGGCCTCCAGAAAGGTGCATAAAGGGTGACAGCATCTTCCTGATACTCAATGAGAATTGTTGTATGTATTAGTCAGCTCACCACCACCTAAGTTGGTCATGTAGATGAACGATGCTGAGATAAAGAATGTGTCGCCTGAGGCAAATATTCTATCAATGTGAGCCGCGTTCTCAAGTAGATAGGTATCGGCCCAACAATCGGCCAATCGGCCGTTCCAAGTTCTCTCTCCTGAATGAATCAATCCATCAATCCCGTACTAGCTGGCTCTCTACGAAAGAATGTATCAGTAGGTCCAATATATATTAACTTTATTTCTTTAACTTCCCACCTATCGTCATCTTCTAGATCCGGCATAATATTAGTACCCTTTTCTCTTGCGTACCATGGCCCCAACGAGACATAGAACACATTATGCAAGCAATTATACCGGGCAGGTAAACATAGCCGTATGCTTGGGATTATAACATTAAGTACTCGGAGAGGTCAAATGTATGTTGGTACAAGCTTTCTTGGCATTGTTAAGTATAGCCGCAGGTTCTTGGTTGACAACCTTAAGTCACTTCAATTAAACTTCATAGGTTTGCAATGTTTATCATGATATTTCGCTTGTGTTTCTGTAGCTTCCAATTATCTTTAAACTTTCAGCTCTAAGGAGTCTACTCTTTGAAGACATCAATCTAATGAAAATAGGATCTCTTCCCAATCTCCTCGTAACAGCCCATACCAGTCTCATTGCCTATTTTGCCCGGCCAGCCCTACCCCGAGGACCCTTCACTTACCTGGACACTGACCTGTGGGTTGGAAACAATCTGACTGACTGCTCCAGCAGGGATCTCCCTCCAAGCGGATGCGTATGCAGGACCTGTGACGATCACGCTGCACCGCATCGATACAGACGAGGTGGAACAGGTCTCGTGAATGTGGTTAGATGCGCAGTTGGGGCTTCCAGTGAGGACACAGTCCGTGTTGACTTGTTTGGTCGGCCTCGCGGAGGGAAATGAAGGTGGATATGTTTTCTCTGGAGGATGGCGTCCGACGTGCGAGGCAGATTGCTCTTTGGTTGGACTCTGCTCCGGCTTCTGTGTTTTAGGCGGGATAGGCTTTCTTATCCAGTGAAATGAGTATGAAATGATAGATAAACTTAGCTGTATATTAGAGATTAATATCAAAACACATTTTAAAAGGATTATGCAGACTATTGTACGCACATACATCTACTAATGAAGAGCGCATAATAGGATCGGCATATATAGAGATCACTCAAGTCTAGATATACATACTGAATATACGAAACCAATCCCAGCCTCTAGCATTTCATATAATGTCTTCACTGGTAGATCGCAGCGTCAGGAAGAAGGTTGCAGCAAAAGCATGGTCTCTTATGCTCCTGGGCAGGAGTTTCCGTGTCTTCGCTTTTCAAAGACGTGTTCCACCTATATATAAAGGGTCTTGAAGGAGGGTTTTTTACTAGCATAAATGCATATCTACCACATTGTTCTAACTGGGATTGTGCCGTCAGTTTTTTGGGCTATTAGCTTAGCAAATTGAGCCATAATATGATGGCTAAACCATATCATTACAAATCCCCGAATTATCTATCAGCCATCTCTCCCAACTGTCGAGACTTTCCTGTAAACTACCAACATCGAGTATACCATCCTCACATACAAGCGCATATCCCATTCTCCATTGCCTCGCCAGTATTCCTTCAATCTTTGACATATTTCCTGTAATTTTTGAACCCTTCTTGTACATCTAGGGTCTCTTCTCCGGAAGTACCGTCCTTGGTACGGTATCGGAAGTCTAGTAAATAGCTAAGTAAAGGCCAATAAGGGGAATAACCAGTAGTGGAATTAATAGCATTATTGCAAGTAAATTGGGCGTTTGTAAGGAGATTTGGCCAAGTAATTAGTTGTTAATGGATAAAACAACGAAGATAGTATTTAAGAATTTGATTAATCCATTCCGTTTGGCCGTCGGCTACAAATACAACCAAAATAACAAAGTTCTGACCAGAATTTACAGGCAAATATTGGACCTCAGTTTGAAGGTCAGATAGATCATATTGCAATTTAACATGTTTATGGAAGAGTTCGGCCAATTCTGCTGCATTAATAATGCAGGGAACAGGATAAAATAGTGGCCATTTCGCAAAAAGGTTAACAATAACCAGAATAGAGTTAATAACCTTGCCTTAATATAAAACTTGGGGCAAACTTGTGACGAAGTCTACAGACAATTCAGCAAAGAAAGGGCCAAGATAAAATTAGCGGGATTCCAGCTTCCTAAATAGCCGATGGCTTAGGAACCATAGTGCCTTGACAAAGGGGGCTTCTTTTATATATATATATATATATATATATCTACTTCCGTCCAATAAGCTCCTCAGTACCACATCTCCCAAAGTGGCCAGCTAAAGGGTTCATTATGGTATAGGCTTATAATCTGATAACAGAGACTTTCCCGTGATGGGATATAAAGATGTCCTATATAAAGGACAAATCCTTTTGGGTTCATTTCTCAATTAAAACCAGTAAGACCTTGCTTGACTTCAGCGCTGGGTCTTAGGGTTTAGTTTGACAAGCCCATTAAAGTTAAAATAAGACCCGAAAATATATGCACTGAAAATTCGTAACAAAATTCTAGACTCAACAATATTCATAACGCCATCAATGCAAACCCGCTTTTATCAACTCCTATACATCTATATTGAACGTGCACATCGACGGAAATAATGTGTCTAACGATGAGCGTCGGCTACTCTTTAAGCCGTTTCGCAGCTCTTCCCATTAGACTATCATCGGGTAATCCGCTCCGCTTCGTGCCTGGCAAACTTCCGGTCCGAATATCGTTGTCATCTTGAGTAACCCGGCGGTGCGGATACTTTCCCTCAAACCCTTCAAAACAGTTGGCGGGGATGGGTCCACCGTTTTTAAAGTACGGATGTTCAAGGGCCTCCTTGGCAGTGATCCTTTTGGTGGGATCATATTCCAGCAAGCGTGACAGGAGATCAAATCCATCTGAGCCCGGGGTGCCGGCACTGGACGCGGAAGAGTAGCCGCCATTTTTCAAGCAGTTTTGGTACCAGCCTTCCAAGTTCGACGATCTGGGAAAATGGCCTGGAGCTCGGGACATTGCTAATGACTGCAGCTGGGAATATTCGGGCATTGACATTATACCAGGCCAAGTATCTTTTGTGGGCAAGCCCATTATCTCAATTATTTTCATCATCTGGTTCCGTTGGAAGGGGACCGTCTTCTTGCTGTCCATTTTTGCTTCTTCCCCTTTAAAAATAGGGCGAAGGGAGAGCAACTCCGCGAATATGCATCCAACTGCCCACAGGTCAACGGCTGGGGTATAATGCCGACTGCCCATTAGCAGTTCAGGAGCACGGTACCAGATTGTAACGACCACCTTGTCACCGGAGAAAAGGGAATTGAGGGGTTTGTAGAACAGACGAGCAAGCCCGAGGTCTCCGACACGAACGGCCCCCTTCGATGTAACTAAGATATTCGCCGGTTTCAGATCCCGATGCAGTACCCAATTCGTATGGAGATAAAGCAGGCCATTTAGGAGCTGAAACAGAATCGACCTGACCATCGGCGCTGGGATAGCATGTCGTTGGGGTTGGGTGTGATGATGGATAATCTGGAGTAGGTCATGTTCCGTGTACTCGAAGACCATGAAGATGCACTTGTCTTCTAAGATGATCTCTTCTAATTGCACTACATTTGGATGGTCTAGCTCGGAACATAGAGACATCTCCCGGATTGCCGATTGAGAGAGGCCGGTGTACTGGATAATTTCTCCCTCCTTATCCGGTTTGAACCTGGGAGCGGTCAGTTATCCGAAGTCAATGAAATAGTGGCAAGACAAATGCCAACTTTTTAATTGCGAATTCGCCCTTTTGGCCATTTTTCCCAATAGCCTTATAGACGCGACCGTAGGTACCACTACTGATAAACCCAACGATGTGATACTTGTCACGCACACGGACTTTACTGGTATACCCAGCCGTCCCTGACGATTTTCTTGTGTCTATGTTCTCTTAACATTAGAGATATTGTTAGCATCTGGACCAAGTGGCTGTTTATCCAAATACGCTTTCAGGAAAAATCAAATAAAGAAATAAAGAAATAAAAGGGAGAGGCGAGGTAGAGCAACAGGAAACTATTTTGGCCAATAACCAACCGCCAGCGTAGAGGGAAAACCATTACCACGTGGATAAAACCCGCCAAGAGTGTTAAATAACGGGAAATTCCTTCCAAACATGATGAAAGAAATACAGACAGGAAGAACCTGATAGCCACCGTTGTCGTGCTTTTTTAAATTGAAATAGCCCTTATCCACCAGAGCACATAGTGACAGGTGTGGTGGGGAAGCAAATAAAGGAGAATGTATTTGAATTTGGAGATGGAGAATGAAATAAATAGTGGGCAAAGAAAGACACAAGGCGAGTTAACAGAGAAGACAGAGGGGGGAATGAATAATAATATTAACCGGTATTACCATCGGCTGCAGTCTGTAGACTCTTTTTCAGAGACAGACTCTGGCTGACGGTGGCCGCTGCGGGCCTGGACGATGCAGTGGCAGGTAACGGACCGGACGAGGAGGGCGGGTTTGTCAGACTCATGGAGGGCGGCGACGGAGGCGAAGAGTGGAGGTGGGCTACTAGTTCATCTAAATGTATCAACGGAGACAGACAGCAATCAGGCCCATGGAGCCAGTGGTAGTGTGCAGTGCATACAGAAACTGGTCTCCACTAGCACAACAAGCCTGCAAGAAGAGCAATAATAATACTAAAGACAATGATATTGATGATGGTTGGTCGAGGAGGCAGATGATAATGGGCATGCGATGAAGCGGATTGCTGCACTGCATGCCCATGTAAGCGGTTAGTCAGCAGGTCTGCAAATTGCATTGTTAGCAGTAATGATCAACAAGAAAACACAACGGCTTTTAGCCAAAGGTTGTTGGGGCCATCGAGGGAGTCCGGGGCATAAATTGATTAGGGAAGTGATAAGAAGTTGATGACAAGCAATTACCTAGTGTTGATTCATCGGTAGACTACTAGACTGATAGCTGACGGTAACATATTTACATGCATACAGCCTGGATATGTTCACCATGTAACCACGCATGGTTGTCCACAATATAACCTTCAACTAGTCATATAAAATAGTAAAAGCTGCAGAATTTTCTCCCTTGTCCGACATATTTATATAGGTATGTAAGAAGGTGATACGGCGACCCCCCTTCGACATATATTTTAATACAGGAGCAGCAGTCAGTTGAACCTGTTTGTGCCTAAGGCATACATATGGACCTTGGGCCCTTATCGACGGAGTTTCCTTTACCCGACTAGTCCTGACTCCCCACCCAAAACGTCATCTTATGATCTTAACATAGGGTGACGCTGCTTGAAGATGGAGCTCAGTCTGTCTTCTTGTCTACAATTATTGATGTCTCACTGCTTTCAAATATTCATCATTGTCAGTCTCGAAATCTGAAACAGCGAGTCCCATATTGATACATTATGGCCTCTGGTGATTCGACCCAATCTAGGGTCACACCGTACTTGATCTACCTGGTGCTCATCACCACGTTAGGCCCCCTCCAATTTGGCTATCATTTGGTATGACAACCTGAAATGCATCAATTGCATTAAATTCAGTAGTCACTGACAATGTATCGTGGCAGGCCGAGCTCAATGCCCCTCAAGCCGTCCTTACTTGCGAAAGAAAGAGCATTCATTCCTCCGCGGAGTCGTTATCGCACAGCTTACCACGATGCATCCCCATGAATCCTTCCCAGTTTGGGCTAGTCTCATCTATCTATACCCTGGGTGGATTTCTGGGTGCCCTGCTGGCAGGGCCTGTTTCGACCAAACACGGTCGTCTATTTGCCCTACGAGCGACGACGATTTTCTTCATCCTCGGCCCTATAGCGGAAACGTTGGCATCTAGTATATCTATGCTGGGCTTTGGTAGATTCCTATCCGGTGTGGGATCGGGTGCAGCTATCGTCGTGGGACCAATTTACGTGTCAGAGATTGCTCCCCCAAGTGCTCGAGGATTTTTCGGCGCCTTCACCCAGATCATGACCAATGTTGGTATTCTCTTGACTCAGTTAATTGGCTATTTCCTAAGCGAGGGAAGCATGTGGAGGATAATACTGGCAATTGCAGGCACCATCGGGATGCTGCAGCTCCTAGGGCTGTTCATGGTCCCAGAGAGTCCCACTTGGCTTGCAGAGCACCAAAAGACGGACATGGCTAGACAGGTTTTGCAGCGAATACGCGGAAAGAACACTGATATTGAAGAAGAGATTGAAGGATGGAGAACCTTCATGGACGCATCTGGCTTAGGAGAGGAGCAATCACTACTCACTTCCCCCTCCGCCAATATACCACCGAAGCAACCACCTGTCACAATCGTGCGGGCTGCTTTGGACCCTAAATACCGTCCAGCCATTATTGCTGTCGTTGGAGTGATGGTATCTCAGCAACTTACTGGTATCAACAGTATCATCATGTATAGTGTGTCACTGTTGCAGACTATCCTACCCACCACCGCAGCTTTGTTGACGGTAAGTGTCTCGGCAATCAACCTCATCATAACCCTCGTTTGTTCCCCCTTGCCCGATAGAATCGGTCGACGATCCTGCCTTCTTCTCAGCATCAGTGGGATGGGGGTTAACTCTATGCTGTTAGCCTTGGGCATCTACTTCAATCAAAAGGTCTTGTCCGTGATAGCAGTCCTGCTATTTGTTTCTAGCTTCGCCATTGGCCTTGGCCCGGTCCCATTCATCCTTGCCTCCGAACTAGTCGGCCCAGAGGCAGTCGGAGCTGCACAGAGCTGGGCGCTGGCGGCTAATTGGACTGCGACATTCGTCGTTGCCCAATTCTTCCCGATATTAAACGACATCTTGGGGGGTCGTGGCAAGATCTATTGGGTTTTCGCAGGTATGGCCGCAATCCTTGGGGGATTCATCTACGGGTGGGTACCGGAGACGCGAGGGAAAGCCAATGTAAACGAAGTCTGGGGTAGGGAGGATCAGCGCCGAAGGGACTAAGCTGGGTCAGGCCTGGTTTAGAGGCAGACACAAAGGGAGGGAGGGCCAGGAGCCATTTCTCAACGAATTCTGCGCGCTCATGCACACGTGCGGGGAGGGTATTGTGGTCCTAGGTAAATAAATTATTGTGTCCTCATCCCGATGCCAGGCGGACCGAGGGCTCGGGGTTCACCGCACACAATTATGTCGTAATGTTAAAAACAGACTAGAAGGTCAGGCTTAGCTAGATGATACCTCTGTACGGACCTCTCATTCAGATGCGGGGCGCTGAAGTCAAGTGATGCATGGAAACTACGATCCCTACGGATACGTAGACGGAGTAGGATCCTTTCAGAGCCAGTAGGACGAAACACGTTGCGTCAGATGGACTGGGTCCATATGTCACTAAGGCCCACCCAAATGCCGGAGAGGGGAAAACCGTTTAAATTGAGGGGAATAAAGACCGAGGCTGATAGTATAAAGGTATGAACCATGGATGTTGCAGATATGTCCTCAGACAATAGTGGGGTTGGGTGTCACACAACCGACAGAAATAGGAGCGCAAAAGGCGGGGATGAAAAATAAATATTAGATAGAGTCATAGCATACCAATCATAGTATACCATGATGCACTATTCCCAACATCATCAAGCACAATGCATCATCGATCGAGTCGGTGCGGGGCCAAAAAAATAGACATCATCTCAGCCACCGTCCAAGGCGCAGATCGAATCCCCGAACTTGCATACATCTAAAGTGTTGGGATAGCCTAACGACCCTGGTGGTGGTAATCAGTGCATTGATTGCGCCGATAGACGAAAGAAGACCGGAGGAGGCTGAGATGTCCATCGATAAGCGTTGATATCTCGTTTCTTGGCTCGTCGCCAGTACTGCGGTCCAGTCTGGGATTAATTTAGTGGGGGTGACTATTCTGGAGTCATCCAGTTCTGGCTAATGCTATCCTGCAGGACGGAGTTTGTATGTGCAGTGCAGCGTAGTGAAGTACTACCATAAAGCGATCCATAGAGCAATCGAGGCTTGAAAACAGAACCCTCTCCACTGCATTATCCCCGCAGATTCCGGAGGAATGCGGGATTATTTCTTGGGTGCTTATATAGGGCGAGGCACAACATCGTACTAGACAGCGGAGAAAAACTCCCTTAGAAAGAAAATTTATGGCAAAATGATGGTAAATGATCAAATACCCCATGAAATAACTATATTATCTATCCATAGAAACATGGCTATACAGAGAGTCAGAGACTGTGGTACAAATGGCGTAGGCAGCTGCTTTTCCTCTCCATAGTAGTGGAGACGCGGTGGATCAAATGCAAGACCACCGTTCCGTCAATTTCTGGCCTGACATTGTGTTGGGGAAAGGCCAATGTCGCCAAGGCCGTAGCCGAAGGTTCCGTTGTCTTTATTATGATAGTGATAATAATAACGACGATGACAGGTGACGGGTAATTAGAGTAGGTAGTAGTACTCCGTACAGGATAGATGCCTTTCGGATTTGCAGCCCGCAATGGGGGAAAAACAAAAAAAAAAAAAAAAAAAAAGGCTCGGCAGTACTCCGTAGTTCTGTAGCTCCTGATGGAAAGGCAGCAAGTTCCAATCCCAAAAAAGTCAATAGTTAGTTATTGCGGTTGCGACCGCTGTTCAGCCTAGAGCTCGTAACTATCCAGTAGTCTATCCTCCGCCCCCATCCTGAGAGCTTGTTGTTCTCTTTCTTCTTTCGACCGCCTCCCTATTTCTCTATCTTCCCTGAACACGTACCATTTGTCGTTCCCTCCCTATTTCTTTTTTTGGATATTTCCTCCCTCCCCTTCTATCCTAATTGCGGCCACTGTGTTCCTGTGTGGTCTTTTGGCCCCCAGTTGTCGTGGTTCCGTTTTATCGGTTTCGACTGACCCGGGCAGATCGTAGATTAACTCGACACTCGAGTCCGGCAGCTTTACCACGATCTCTCTTCGTCGCCGGAGCGCTATTCAACAACGCGGCCTTCCATTCGACCCCCAATCTTGCCCAATTAACACCCCAGTATTTTGTACGATCGACTGCTTACACCTAACGAATCTACGGGGTTGACGCGACTTGTTCCGTCTCCTGCCTCGTTGAATCCCTCATCCCCGCACTTCCGAACGGCCGTCATGGTGCGGTTGCCAATCCCACAGCGCCTTACTTCGCACCTGAGTACCAGGAGCAATGCCTCGACTCCCGGCCAAAGTCGAAGCACGAGCCCCATGAGGTTGCCCGAGTCCAAGCCTCTGGTCCTTAAAGTCTCCGTATTACGGGTTGGTGATAACGCGTCTCAGCAAAAGACCATTCCTCAGGTTTGCCGTTCCTTCCGCTGACCACATTGTTTAATTTGAAATAGGGAAGAAATCTGGCCCCTAAGGATCGGAATGGTAGGAGCGATCCGGTAAGTGATACCTGAAGCGTGGATTATTTATCTTGCAACCATGATTGACCAGTTACTTATCGGTTTAGTATTTGATCGTCACACTCGGAGATGCGCGGCAATCGACGCCCATGATACCGAAGACATTAAATCCGGAATGGAACGTCACTTTCGAGATGCCCGTTGTCGGAGTGCCGTTGTTGGAATGTATCTGTTGGGACCATGATAGATTTGGCAAGGATTATATGGGCGAATTTGATATTCCTCTCGAAGAAATATTTTCTCCGGGCGAAGTGTATCAACAGGTGGGTGTAGTGTCTATTGGAATGTTTGGACCCTAATTGCTAACGTTGGGTTGAAGCCACAATGGTATACTCTCACATCGAAACGGAAGACGATTAAGAAGAAGGATAGCACCGTATCTGGAGAGATCCTTCTTCAATTTTCGCTCATCGATACGTCGAATCCAACCGCTTCTCCGACCGACACCTACAACAAATACAAGAATTTAGTTTGTGCCGGGGAGGAAGAGGATGACTTTCCACAAATCCCGCCTCTCGGTTTGGATGGTGTCGACAGAGATGAGGAAACATCAGACGAGACCGACGACCCCTCCAAACCAGAGGTGGTCGAAAAACGGAGAAGAAGGCTGCGATTGGCACGACTGAAACGCAAGTCAATAGCAGCCAGAGCATACCAATTCTCCGGTGCCGGCAACGGTGTGCAGGGGATCGTTTTTATGGAGATTGTCAAAGTAACTGATCTTCCGCCGGAACGCAATGGTATGGCTTCTTTAATTGCCGCTTCAACCTGTCTACATGTGGGCTGACTAGCATAATAGTAACTCGTACCTCCTTCGACATGGACCCGTTTGTAGTGACCTCGCTCGGAAGAAAGACTCTTCGGACTCCGGTTATTCGCCACAATCTAAACCCGGTTTACAACGAGAAGATGGTTTTTCAAGTCATGAAACACGAACAATCTTATACAATAGGTTTTACGGTGATGGACAGAGACAAATTCTCTGGGAATGACTTCGTCGCCTCCGCAGGTTTCCCACTCCAGACACTGGTCCAGGCTGCTCCCGACGCAGATCCAGAAACTGGCCTGTATAAGTTCTTGGACTCTACCCTCGATCCGACAGGATCTGAGCACTCAGGGTCCGACAATACTGCGGGGATCAAAATCGACATCAGCCCGTCTCCGTCCCATAACAGTCTATCGAATATGTCAAACAAAGTAAGATCTCGGAGTAGCACTGCCTCCATATCAGCCCAGTCGGTCCAGTCGGCCCATTCAGGCCAAGAACTATCAACGTCGTCGCCTCCGGCAATAGTCACCGAGGAAGGTTCAAGTGACAGCATATCAAATGCTCCTACGATGACAAATAATGGGAATTATGTTGCTTCCTCACTTGATTCAGATGGGCTTCAAGCATACCGTATTCCGCTGACCTTGAAAAATAAGGAGCGGTGGGAGGATAAGCATTCTCCATTACTTGTTGTCAAAGCAAAGTATATGCCATACCGTGCACTTCGACAGCAGTTCTGGAGACTTATGCTCAGACAATACGACGCTGATGATAGCGGTCGTATTGATAAAGTCGAACTTACGACGATGCTTGACACTTTAGGCTCGACGCTAAAGGAGTCCACGATTGACAGTTTCTTCGAGAGATTCAGTGTGGAAAATGAACCATGCGAGACCATGGATTTGACCTTTGATCAAGCGGTCATCTGTCTCGAAGATACCCTTCAGGCTTTACAGATAGCGAATCGTGCGGGACCTAAGAATCATGCCCTGACTTCCTCAGCTATTAGTCAAGAAAGTGAAGACCCGTCTAGTTGCGACGAGGATATTGAGACCAGCGCTGCTATACCACCTACCACTGCCCCTCAGGCGTTGGCTGTACCAATATTGGCAAGTGACCAACTTGCTATGGACGAAGAGCTTGAGCCGGATGATTTAGGTGATGAAAGGGGCGAGGAGCATGTGATTGAAATCCGAGAATGTCCTCTGTGTCATCAGCCGCGACTCTCAAAGCGTTCCGACGCTGATATCATCACACACATTGCTACATGTGCGAGTCGGGATTGGCGGCAAGTTGACAACCTCGTGATGGGTGGCTTTGTGACCTCGAGTCAAGCACAACGCAAGTGGTACACAAAAGTCATTACAAAAATTTCCTATGGGGGCTACAAGCTGGGTGCCAACTCTGCCAACATTCTTGTTCAAGATCGAATTACAGGGCAAATAAACGAGGAGCGCATGAGTGTTTACGTTCGACTAGGTATTCGACTATTGTATAGGGGGCTGAAGAGCCGAGAAATGGAGAAAAAGAGAAGTAAGCACTCAGATATTGAAAAATTCACAAAGCTGACAATTCATGACAGTTCGCAAGATTTTGAAGTCAATGAGTGTCAAGCAAGGCAAAAAGTACGACGACCCGGCTTCGGCAAGCCAAATCCAGGATTTCATCAATTTCCATCAGCTCGACTTGTCAGAGGTCCTGCTTCCCCTGGACAAATTCAAGAATTTCAATGAGTTCTTTTACCGCCAACTCAAACCTGGTGCCAGGCCCTGCTCGGCTCCCAATGAGCCTAGGATTGTTGTGTCTCCAGCTGATTGCCGATCGGTTGTCTTCGACCGCATGAATGAGGCCACCGGCATCTGGGTGAAAGGCCGGGAATTCTCCATCGATCGACTCCTTGGGGATGCGTATCCGGAAGATGTCCAACGGTACAGGAATGGAGCCCTGGGAATATTCCGCCTTGCACCTCAGGACTACCATCGCTTTCACATTCCTGTAGATGGTGTTTTGGGCACACCGAAAACCATCGGAGGTGAATACTACACAGTAAACCCTATGGCAATCCGCTCCGCGCTGGATGTGTATGGTGAAAATGTGAGAGTCCTTGTACCGATCGATTCTGTTGCGCACGGTCGTGTTATGGTGGTCTGTGTTGGAGCAATGATGGTAGGCAGCACTGTGATAACCCGGCAGGGTGGGGAGAAGGTTTCTCGAGGGGACGAGCTTGGGTACTTCAAATTTGGCGGGAGCACTCTTCTGCTCCTGTTTGAGGAAGGAACAATTAAATTCGACTCCGACTTAGTGGGTAACTCGAAGGGGCCTCTGGAAACTTTGGTAAGATCTCCCGTTATCCCCCTTGCTGATCAGGACGCATTAGATTTACTGACATGTGCCTCATCTGCCTCTTTAGATCCGTGTGGGTATGTCTGTGGGTCACAGCCCGGACATCCCTCAGTTCGAGCCCGATATGCCGAAGAAACCAGAGAGTCTCACTTCAGAAGATATCCAAGCCGCCAGGCGCCGAATCGAAGGCAGTCTAGCCCCACTGGCCGATGGTGATGGGCTGTAGTAAACATAATTCCGTTGCGTATTGGACGAGTCTGATGTCATTTGCAGGGCGTTTTCGGGTTTGTTTGAAGAAGCCAGATGCCATTCATATCTAGCGATTTAGTAGTGTTATACTTGTTGTGATGAAGCTGGATCATGATCGCCAGCGAGTGGGGTGTATGCATTTTTAGATAGTTTTGAACATAGTTAGGCAACCCAGGGCCGTATTTAATTTTGACATATAGTACGCTGACACCTTATTTTGAGACTGATGAATGGGATGGAAAAAAGATCGCAGCATTGAACCCGGACTGAGTAGAACTCCCAAAGGAGCTTAGCGCCACATCCCACGCGCCACTACCAAAACAACCGCGTGCTGCGGCGACTTGCAAGAGCAAACCCCCGTCAACCCGACGCCGGTCTTTACGCCCTGCTGCGCAAGGAGCGCTTTTCAATCCCGCAAACGGTCTATGAATCAGATTTGATTGTATCCAGTGGTCGCTGCCAATTGCGTCTGGTTGTTGAAAGCGCGCCACGGACGCTTCGACACGTCGCAAGCCCCCCCCCATTCTTCGTCACTGGGTTGGCCGACCGACCTAGTAGTCAACTGCGACCGCGCGAAATTCGTGCACCTACGACAAATAGCTCAGAGAGGATTTCAACAGCACAGAATAGTCGATTGGTTGAGTCTTTTTTGGTTGTCTTGTGTTTTGGGGAGGTGAAATTCGTCAAGGGGTATTTGAAAAAGCGGGCGGCAGGCAGCTCTCAATTGCTCGAACAGAGGGGCCATTCATCGCAGTACCACGACTGTTGCTTGGAGACATCGAAGGAAAAGAGTGCGAAAAGGCTCTTTCCAACATTTCGACAGCTCTTTGAGCTTCTGTTGTTGCTTTTACCCACCACACCTCCGCTTTCTCTCGGCCCTGACATGATCGTGACGGTTTTGGCTACCACTACCACGAAGACAGAGCGTCGCCAACCTCTTAGACAAATCGATATGGTAACATCGCAGGCGCAGGCGCGATTTGTATCGTCCTCGTCTGGAAAACACGACCGGATAGGGACAAGAGCCAGTACGCGACTAAGCTTGACCAGCCAAGAGAAGGAGGAAAATGCGAGCCGCACCAAAAGAAAAAGTGAGTCATCTTGATTGCATATACTACGTCGATTCAGGAGCGCCTAGGCTTGCGCTGCATGGCGCAATGGAGTTAGTGGCTAATATACTATGTCGGTTGCTACTGCAGGCTCGTTTGATGAAGATGTAGACGATTTTCAGTTTACTCGCATTAAGCCAAAGAAAGCAAAGCCCACTGTCGATGCCATTCCCGAGGTCCCTCAACCACTCCCGGAGAAATCTGCCCCCCAACAGTCGCCGAAGAGAGGTCGACCGCCGAAAAAACGTCAGGAACCCAAACCGGATAGTTCGGGGGAAGTGCAAAATACAATAGAAAGCAAGCCTAAACGACAAACGCGGGGGGCGGCAAAAGCCGCGTTGGTTGAGCCAGAAACACAACCGGCGAGTGCTACGCGCTCAACGCGCAAGGGGGATCACGTCGAGCCCGTGCCGAAGGAGAAAAAACGGAGGAAAGGCAGACCGAGCAAATCCAATGATGAACCCCAACAGCAGAATGGCTTTGTATCTCCGGAACCACCGAAAGCAGGGACGGCGACAATTGCACTACCCATAGCCGATACGCCGGTCATGCAACGGAATAAAGAGATGAGGGGGCAAACGAAATCAGGGAAAGGGAATAGACGGAGTAGTCTAGGGATGAGGGGACGACGAGCCAGCTCGCTGATTGACTCTGGGGCATCTAACGGTGGGAGAAAACGCTTGGCAGTATATGCGACCAGAAATGCTAACAACTCTCTGTAGCCTTACCTCATAAGGAGGTTGATACAGCGGATTTCTATAAGCATATCGCTAGCGACGGCTTACCAGAACCGCGGAGGATGAGGCAACTGTTGACGTGGTGTGCTACTCGCGCGTTGGGTGAGAAGCCTTCGGGATCAAGTACCGAGGATGCGAGTGAACGTCTAGCGGGTATGTCAGCATGACCTAAAGTTTGCAATTATAAGGCTGACGCATTATAGCGCGCGTGATCCAAGAAGAACTACTTAAAGACTTTTCCACTAATTCGGAACTATCTAACTGGTTTGCTCGGGAAGAGGTCGACTCTCCATCGGTCGTAGTGAAGAAGCCGAATCCAAAGAACGTGCAGAATACAGAGAAGATTAAGGAATTAGAGGAACAAATACAGAAGTAAGGGCTGTTGCAGATCCGATATTGTGAGGCTACATTTCTAACAGTCAGGCAGGCTACAAAAACAGAAACAGGCTCTTAATGCACTTCTTCGCCCGCCGCCTAGTCCATCAATCAAACCAGCATCAAAGCAGCTAGACACTGCACAAAACGGCCAGTCCGGGCCTCCGCCGTCACAGGCCGAGTCGAACACTAACAAACGTGCGCGGTCACCAGAGCCCGATCCAATTGATCTGTCATTACTGGAGCCGTCCCAGCAACAACTTTATGCATTAATAGACCCCAACGCTGCGACGCGCCATCCAGATACGGAGTTGCAGAAAGCGCAGTCGTCCTGGGAACCTAACTCTCTATCCACCGTTACACCTTCAACTATCTCTACACGCCTTTCCCGTATAGCCGCAGGTCTAGTGCCAACATTGGATTCATTTGCAGCCGGGGTCCACGATATTGAGCTTTATCGGGCTATGTCCGACAGCGTATCATCACGAGTATTGCGCATCTGTGCGGAGAGACTGGACGAGCGCGATGCAAGGAATTCATTGCGACGACTGGCAATTGAGGAAGAGGAGGGAGACCACCAAAATATTAGTATACGGCAGCGGCCTCGGGAAGATTTGGGTATGATCCTAGGGGCACTAAGTCGCGTTGAGAGACGGTGACCGGTGATATGGCTTATATGTTGAGCAAGGACACGTACATACCTTGTTCACTGGTCATGTAGTTTTGAATGTTTTCTTTTTCTGCCGGGCTATTTCACCAGACGGCCTGGGCTACTTTGTTCGTTCGGCAGCATGCAAGCAATGGAGTTGGGGTGTTCTGGATGGACGTTTGGGTCGATGCCATAGTATGAAGGCTTTGCAATAGCTAGGATGGATTCCAATATCATGCAGCGCAGCTGGCTCTTGGTAGCGCTCTTTCTCCCTCTATCTATATTCGCTCCTTCGACTCCGCATCTCTTTTTTAAAGACTTCATGACGGTATCAAACTCCATGCTACTATAGATGCTTCAAAGGCGTGACCAGGAAACGAAATACATTGCCAAACCTCTGTAAATCGTCCTGATTCTCTTTCTGCTTCGTGGAGTTAGATTTCAAGTTAACATACATAGAGGTACTACGAGCGTACCCTTTCGCGGCCTATGGCGACGACTAAAGTCTGAGATGGCTATCGATCGTCTACTACAATCGTACATACGGAATAAAAAGCAACAGTAAGTAGACTCCTAACTACCACTTAATGTACCATGTAATTCTCGAGAGCCATACATGCATGAATCTTAAGTCCTCCCTGGAACGCTAAATTTCCAACTCTCCGGAAACGTTCCATACTGGATATCATCCATTCCATGGAAGATATCATCATAATGCGGGAGACGGCTCTCGGGCAACTCCGCTTGCCGGTAGTAGTTATGCGCCAGTCGTTTCATGATGGGGTCATTCCACATGGTTTCCATCCACGCCAGAGCTTCGGGAGTGGCTGTGTCAAGAGGGAGGTTGTAGGTGCGGAAACGCTGTTCTACATTTAGTAACCATTTCCATATGTATATAAGAAGCCACATAGAAAGAAAATCATGGGGATCATACCCAAAGAACAGGCCAAAAGAAAGCGTCCGCAATACTAAACCCGCCAAACAAAAACCCATCATCCTTCTCGCCTAACTCTTCCAAGCGAGACTTCGTGGCCCTCCTCGCTTTATCCCAGATCACCAGGAGACGCTCGACTTCTTTTCTTGCCGGCTCGGAAACAGGAATATTCCCTGTATACTTCGCCAAAAAATTTGTGCCGAAGTGATTCCTCAGCGTCAAAAAGCCAGAGTGCATCTCTGCTGCAGCGCTGCGCGCCAATGCTCTGAGTAGTCGGTCCCGTGGCCAGAGATTGAGATCTGGGTGGGACTCGGCGAGGAATTCACAGATAGCGAGAGAGTCATTGAGCTGAATGTTTTGGTCCAGGGAGCGACATTGCAGAAGCGGGACGAGACCTGCGTGGGAGACTTGTTTGACCTGGTTTGTTGTCTTAGTGGAATCGAGAACGGGATGGGCAGAAGGTATTGTACTTCTGAAAAAAGTATGATTTGGGCTGTATATGGGATGTTGAAGTATTCCAGGACTGTTTCAACACGGCTTGTCCAGCCTAGGGGATATCAGGATTAGGTGAAGACTGAGATATGCAATGGGGATTGGGTACTGTACTGGAGTATCGGGTGTGGGTTCCGATGAGGTGGTAGTCTGGCTGTGTTTGCTCTGCCATTGCGAAATCGGTTTTACGGAGTATTCAGTTTGTATTGAAGTCTCAGGGTTAAATTATATAACGGATAGAATAAATGTTCATCAGATTCAGTGAGAGTTATTTTATACACTGAGTAAAGGCTGTTCCAAGGGTGGTGGGGTAGTGACTCATTTCTCGTATTCCACAACACCAAGACATTTATTATCAAGGTATGCACGACTATCTTGCAAAGCTCTATCAGGCAAAAATACGATCAGTGATGCCAGTGAAATGGCGAATCTGGTGAAATCTTTCCAAGCTCTGGTAGAGTATCTATCTCTTGCATCGTCCCAATTTCTATGCAACTATTGCGCAAGCGCACCAGAAGCAAATAATCGCTGTCGTTCACCTTTGGAGAGTCATTGTTATTCAACTGATGGTATTTGCTCGACAGACATTGTATTAGAATTGTCCACCACCAATTGAGTGGTACAGTGAATAGTCGCCATTTAGCTTTGTCCAGTACTTTGAAAATCTGTCCTTACTCTCGGGCCCACCATATCGACGAAGCAGTGGCGGTAGAATATGTCAAGAAGTGAGCAACGAAAGGGTAGAATTCGAGTTATTTTTCCGGAGTATATCTGTCGGAGTGTTTCAGATTGTCAAGACGAAGTAATGTTCCCCGATCTATCCCATAGACATTGGCAGTGTCCTGGGAAAGAATCCTTGTATCTGAATCCTGTGCATGTTGGAGGCAGAAAGCATTTTGTGTATCTATCGTACTTGTTCCTGGGCTCTGGAGTGATTAATGGTAGGATGTATTATAAAAGTCTCGTTTTATATGTAGTTAGCTCAGTAGAATAAGATTGATCGATAAGCTAGTCTGATTAGGTAGATTATATGTCTTGTGGCTCCTCTACTTTACCATTGTAATTATTATCGTATCCCAGTTGCACAGTATCTTTCCATTAATAGGGGTTTAAATATGCTACTTCGTTTATAATGCCCACAGCGCTTTCTTGTATCTCTTATAATAGAAAACGCTTTTGCCCACGGGTAGGGACAGGGAAGTATAAGTATAGAGGTTCGAGATACGAAGACAATAACTGAAATAAGACACAGAATTTCATTAAAATAATATCTAATAAGTTTTGTACATGATAGAATATATAACTTTAAAGGAAGAAAAAGTATGCTTCATATAATCCTTTGCCTGATTAACTTGCATATATATTTGTATATATCTGGGTAATTTAAGATGCGAAACAAGAGCAGGTCAGTAGCTCAAACAGTCACACATCTGGGGCTAGGACAGCTACATTGCCCTAGAAATCCGGTACCTACAGGTACAATAAGAGATAGAACAGGGGTTGGGTTGTTCAGCGCACGGTTCATTATTATGCTGTACTCTCCGTAGCTGAGTCGGGGAGATTTCACTTTCATTTCCAAAACTCTCGATCGGTCAAAACCCAACCAACAGGTAGTTAAGAGGCTGGGACAACAGGATTGCCTGGCCTGAGCATCAACAGGGTTTCTTGCCCTCAATTCTCGGTCTTAAATACGATACTTATCAAGCTACAGGAATAGACACGTTGCTAGTAAGTAGGGTCGAACGGAAATGCAGGATCGAGACACGGTGAGCCGAACCTGATCAACAATATCGAGAAACACTGGCCATGTGATTGTCGAGGTTTGGGCCATGTGGTACCTCTTGAGCGGTGGTTGCTTGCAACGGGTGTTATCCTTAAAGAATTTTTGTTATAAATATAAATGCTACATTTTTGTGGGCCTCAAGTAATGACTGATTTAGATTTTTGCTAGCCAGCCACTTATTTTTTTTTTTTTTTTTTTGGTGTGTGTGTGTGATGATTCTTTATCAGCAAGAAACAGGATTTCAAAACTAAAAGTTATCTTTGCAGACCACCTGACTAGAATAACTGGGGCAGAACATATCTAGAAGCTTGGTAGCCTATTTATCTTGTCCAAAGGATTCGATTGTTGGACGGTGCGTGTGGACCCAAGGACCGGTTTTCGGGATTCTCGGTTTACTCGTCCTGGTTAGCGAGCAGAGAACCTTATGTGGGTTGATACCTGCCGAGGCGCTGGTGATAGGGCGGTTGGTGTGGTTGGCTGTAGCAGAGTTGAGTCACTGATGGATTTTTTATGACAAATTGACTGGTTTGTCTGTACGGAGTAGTAATGAGTAATTGGGATATCATACTCGTCTATTTAACACGTTCAGATGATCCCAACCTCGCTGAAATAAGCTCGGACCCACCGTTCCATAAATAGCAGAAATAGTAGGGGGCTCGGATTAAGCATCCGATTACTTAATCCGTCAATCCTCCAGTAGTTTTCTAGTAATCAGAGAGTTAATATCAGGCCCATTACCGCCAACAGCAATTCTGGCATTAATCCGATCTCCCATACCCCACAGAATATAATATAATCTACTATCCGCTGTTGAATCACACCCGAAGGACACATACATCCGTCCCGGCTCGGCGTCCCTTCTCCCCGGTGTGACGGAGGTTCATTCCAGGCCTCATTCTCCTGAATCAGAATTAAGTATTGGTCCCTGCGCTCTTGTGTATAGTACGAACATCCTCGGAATCGTTCCCAGGTCGCACAGGATAAAGGGATTAGATCCCGTTACGGGTTACACTGCGGCCGATAGCAGGTGGTTTCCCAGTGATGGTGATGGTAAAGGCTATTGTGATGGGGATGATGGGATGATGACACAGGGCTGGGCTGTCAGGGGCTGTGACTTTGACCCTTTGTCTCATCAGAACTGAGACAGTATTCCAGGTAAAGGAGCTCATTTGGTAAAGTCATCCTGTTTCATTATAGGCTCCCCATATCGAGCATAGGAGACACACCCGTGTAACATCCCACCATTATATCTAGCGGCTGGAAAGTCTCGTTGACATCATGGGACAGATGTCTCACACAGGTTCAGGAATTGCACATGTTAAAACAGGCTTGGTCAAGGGAGTCGGATATGGGTTATGTCTGCTTCTCTGAATATGTACCGTGAATGGGTCGGACTATTCCAGTCAATCAAGAGCGTGACAATCATATAGGTCTGGACTCTAGTTTAGTAGGAAAAAAGCAACAAACTAAGTACGGAGTAGTTATGAATTAATGATGCAGGGTTGTGTAGGTAAAGTGCACCTGGCACCATTGCAGCCACGAAAGATTTTCACCTGAAACCATCGGGGACATTCCAGCTTTCAATATAAAATGTCTCAATTTGACCCGAGCCTTGAAACACGAGGTACTCATGCTGACCCCCGGGAGCAGGATGGAACAACTAAAAGTACTGCTAATCAAATTGCTACACCATTTCTTTGGTTGGGCAGACGTTGGACGTCATGTTTGGAGTAGTCCGGCTGCCCAATTAGGGGGCTGCATTGTCAAAACCCCCAGGCCTTCTAGTGCCCAGTGCACCATGCGAAGAGCCCACCAGATCAACAGTCAATCCTTCAATTTAGGCTATTCGGTGCTGATCATCAGGACTGTCTATCTGCACCCAGGGGCCAACCATACGGACGGATTCGTATCCTGCACTCTGCATTCACTGGTTGTGACTTGCAGATGCAGATGCTCCCTAACCTCACGTCCTCTGCTTCCACTTTGCCCCTCCCCCTTCTCAGGTACTCCGTAGCTCCTCCTTTCTCTCTCTCGCTCTTTTTTATGAAAAACATAAAAAAAAAAAAAAATTCTGTCAGAGTTCATCTTATGACTAACTCCTCTTCCTTGTGGTCCATATTTTACTCGACTATGTTACGATCTTGGTGGATTCTAAGAGCTCCTCAGGCTTCGTAGTGGCTTTTGGTTTCTTATCTGCCCACCCACACCTCCTTCACTACCTTCTATCAATGACGACGATGGCGTGATAGGAACAGGGAATCACTCTAAGCTTTCATCATGCACGGAGTAATCGCTCTCTCTGGAGACACATTCCTATCGGTACTGGTTATCGGGTAGCCGAGAAACTGCGTGGCGATGATGGCCTTTTCTATTCGTATAATCCCTATTGAACTTCAGACCGAGCTGACAGATTCTGTGTCCAGACCGACCGATCTATCGTTCATGGGCCCACTTCTAATCCACTGGTTTCCTCTCGGCGGTCCGGCTCGGGCGCTAAGAGAGAGTCGCTATCATGATAACTTCGGGGTGGGTAGGGATCCAATGCGGACTTTGCCTCCGAGATTCAAAAAAATAAATAAAGACTGATTTCTTTCACCGATGCTGTCAATGGATCCATTTTTCGCTAGGCTCTAGAGGTTCCAGAAGGATGATCCAGGCTGTTCCACCCGGTGGAGTATGTTCGACAATTCAGCCCGAAAATATTTCTACTATTATTTATCTAAGTTAGACCAGAGGAAGCCAAAAAAGGAAAAATGAGAAAAATGAATAAACGTGTAAAGAAATGGTCGGACGAAAGGCAAATGTCCTGTCTAGAGAACACAAAACGTCCGGGAGCGAGTATTCAAAAAAAAAAAAAAAAAAAAAAGGAACTGCTGTTCTCATCTCCTCCCCCATGAGAAGTTCTCTTGGATATCCTATTTTTTTTTTTTCCTCCTGTGACTCTTCTTGGCCACTGTGGTACCGCATCGTGGAGCCTGTGGAACCGCTTCCGTCAACGGCCATGGTCGTGTCCCTGATAGAGCTATGCCTAAACGCCGTTCTAGTTCCCCGGGTTGGGTGTCACCCTCTGTTTTGATTTTGATTTTTCCATTCTGGATCCTCTGGGGCCAAAAGCCATTGGCCGATGGACTGGACACTGGACCCCGTCTGCTCTAATATTTGCATCTTACAGTATTTTCCAATCTCCCCTGTCTGGCCCGGCACCTGCCAGATTCGTCACGCCCATCAGCATTTCCGGTGATTTATCATGATGGCATAGGACCCCGACAACTTGATACAAAACTTCTTCTCCTTTCTCTCCTGTCTTTCTTACATCCCTTGAAGCCTGCCTGACCTTGACCGTCACCAAAGCAACGAATTGATTGTGCGAGATTTACTTACTTAATATTTAATATTGCTCCGACATCCACCTTGCTACACAGACGACTCTCTGCGCAGAATTTGTCCTCATTTCATATGATCAACGTTGTGTACTGAGATTGGCGGTTGGTCTCTACCTGGTTCTCAATTTAAGCTGCTTTCATACATCTGACACCTGGAAGCTTTATCTTATCCTCTTATCCCTCCTGCTCTCTCCGCCACTGGATTTTTTTCGCATCTTTTTACACCATACCTCTCCCCCCCTTTTTTTCTCTGAAACGCTATTTTGGTTGATATTATTTCTTTATTAATTTTCCTACTGCTGGAATATTTTCTGGTCGCTCTCAATCGCGCCGGTTTCTTTTTGACTATGCATCGGTGACGTGCCATCATTCTTGGTAGCGGGACCTTGACCCCTTCCTTCCAAACCAATTGCTTTATCCATATTGGATGAGTCCAAAAGGTGCCGCTACATTCGTCTCATATGGTCTGTGCATGTGAATTCCTCTAGCACAGATCCAGCACAGTATGCTTTAAGCCGTCCACAGATTCTATAGTCTTATTGTGAAATAGCTTATCTGACTACACGCTAGGCTGCCATCGAAATAATAGACATAGAATTTCCTGAGATAAGGGCGAAGCAGGAAACGAAAAAAAGAGCAACAAAAGACAGGAAAAAAAAAAAAAAAGGAAGTTCCCACAAGGGATAAAGCCCTAACAATTGCACTGAGAACCTCGACTGGATTAGAAGAGCTAGGAAACGAGGAGACGAGAAAGAATGGCGGGAGGCTATTTTGATCTACCAGTATCGTCCTCCAGGCGCCCAAGCGTTACTGATGTCGCCGGGGGCTCCCATAACAGATCTCCTATAGGGCCGCGTGTGTCGCCCCTGGTAACTCCCAAAGAGAGCATGCAGGAAAGACCTATGGACACCAGCCTATATCGGGATAGACAGAAGAATGCAGGCATTCTCAAAGGCACGAATCGCGTCAAGTTCAGTGTGAGCGAGGCGGGTCTAACTACATGTCCACCAGGATCGACGCCAGAGTCCCTGTTTGATGAAAGGGGTTCATCACTGCCGCAGAGGCCTTTGCCCACGGCCAGCATTCCACCGGCGGAGAAAGATCCCACGGACCCCCAATCCCCGCCATTGGTTGATATTAGCTCTAGCTCACCTGTAGGTGTGACACATTCAACAGTCCATTCACGAGCTAGCTCTCCGGGTTTTGGCGGGGATGATGAGATCAGCTATGAGAAGGGGAGAGCTATCCACTCGGCGCAAGAAAGAGCCCAGAAACTCGCATCCCTTCTGGGCCGTTCGTCAAAATCTCCCAGGCCAAGTCCCCGGTCTAGTCTACCGTCCTCAATCGCGTCAACTCCCACCGAGGTGGTCCTTCCCTTGGAAGAAGATGGGGATGAAATTCCCATGATCAGCCTTTCCGAAAAACAGTGCAACTTGTCAGACGACGATGAATACACCCCGCTAGATGGGCGATCCTCAACACGCACTGCCGAAGCTCATCAACTTGTGCGAGCAATGACTCGAAAAGACTTCAACTTTATAACCAGGGTTCGGGCCCCCTCCCCTGGACTCTGCTCGGGCCAGGTCACTCCTATGGAGGAGAGAGACCCCGACGGATACGTCGAACGCCCAACCCACTACAGAGGAGGTATTCTTTCTTCCCTTCTTAAGCTTTACAACCAACCGCCCGTGATCCATCACCCGCGGGGTCGTTATGGCCATTCGCGTCAGAGCAGCTTTGGAGAATTTAGCGGAAGAGGCTTGTCTCCAGACCCTAACTGGAAACCCCAGAAGCCTAGGAAGTGGTACGAGAAATCGCCCAACCAGTCCACCACCTCACTGTCCGGATCCACGGTTAAGAGCTCTCCCATTGCAATGCTTAAGCGCTCCCGGAGCAGCAGCTCTGTCCCTGGAGTACCGAAAAAGATAGGCAAACCACAGCTTGAGGATGAAATCCGTGTCACAGTCCATATTGCCGAATTACTTTCCCGCCAAAGATATCTTATTCTTCTTTGCCATGCCTTGATGAAGTATGGTGCACCCACTCACCGATTGGAGGAGTATATGAAGATGACCGCTCGGGTCCTGGAGATTGACGGTCAATTCCTGTATATACCGGGCTGTATGATTATCTCGTTTGATGATGCATCTACCCACACCACGGAAGTGAAGGTGGTGCGATCCACGCAGGGCATTGACTTGGGCAAGCTGTCCGACGTGCATGCCATCTACAAGGAAGTTATTCACGATGTGATCGGTATCGAGGAGGCTATCCAGAGGCTGGACGAGGTGACGAAAAGGAAGGATAAATTTCCTATCTGGCTTTTGATCTTGGTACATGGGTGCGCTAGCGCATCCGTCGGTCCGTTCGCCTTTAACGCCCGCCCCATCGACCTGCCTATCGCCTTTGTGCTGGGGTGCATTCTAGGTACCTTGCAGCTTGTGCTTTCGCCACGTTCGGACCTTTACTCGAATGTGTTCGAGATATCTGCAGCGGTATTGACTTCATTCTTGGCCCGAGCGTTTGGTAGCATTCGGTACAATGGAGAGCGTCTGTTCTGCTTCTCGGCGCTGGCCCAGTCGTCGATTGCTCTGATCCTGCCTGGGTACTTGGTGCTGTGCGCCAGCCTAGAACTGCAGTCACGCAACATTGTTGCTGGATCCGTACGCATGGTTTATGCTATTATCTACTCTCTATTCCTTGGATTTGGCATCACGATTGGTACAGCGGTTTATGGTTTGTTGGACTCCGATGCGTCGGCTGATTTTACGTGCCCCGCAAGTCCGATCCAAAACGAATACGTTCAGCGTTTTCCGTTTGTGATATGTTTTACCTTGTGTCTTGCCGTCGTCAGCCAAGCGAAATGGAAGCAAATCCCTATGATGCTGGCCATCGCGTTCGCAGGGTACGTGACCAACTACTTTGGCACCAAACGATTCTACTCAAGCACCCAGGTGTCTAATGCAATGGGTGCCTTTGTCATCGGTGTAATGGGCAACCTATACAGCCGATTACGGCATGGGCTCGCCGCGGCTGCGATGCTGCCCGCTATCTTCGTTCTCGTTCCATCGGGACTGGCAGCCAGCGGGTCTCTAATATCTGGAATCGAATCGGCAGAACAGATTACCAACCAGAACTCACCTTACGGGATCGTTTCGAACGGAACGCAGGGCTTCGTGGATGCGGCCAAAAACATGACGCTGGGCCCCACCACAAATCAATTTCACGGTATCGTCTTCGACATCGCATACGGCATGGTGCAGGTCGCAGTTGGCTTTACGGTTGGTCTATTCCTCGCGGCTCTGGTCGTGTATCCGCTTGGAAAAAAAAGAAGCGGGCTTTTCAGTTTCTAAACATATACGACAGAGCATCTAAACTCAATCTTCAATTCACTTCTGTGGTTTTTTTTTTGATTTTGTCCTAGTGTCTGTTTTATATTCGTTGCTGTTGGAGCGATTTCTTTGTGTTGTTTCAGCGTGTGGTAATCACCTTCTCTCTGTCGAATAATTGCATCATATATAGCTGTTTGAGCCTTTCTTTGTTATCTACCTCTTTTTTACGAGTTGTTTGCTCTTTTATTTTGTTTAGTGTTTGCATCTGTGGGTCCAAATTGTTTGATGGTATATGTTGCTTTTATATGGGCTTTAGCGAGCCATGAAAGGGTGGATTGGGTTTAACTGCTGGTCATTATTTCTTCTGGTTTGTTTGGTCCAAAAAGCGAATGCCTGGTGGGTGGCGTTATTCCTGGTTACTTTTGAGCTAGTCATCTTGCTGGTATTGTATTTATACTGCCATATCAGATACATAGGTATCATATCACGAGTTATGAATACTTGGATCTGGTCATTGAGCTTGAATTGCTGGTAAATCTCTGGTAGACTGTAGAATGGTGTGCTCCTTTGCATAGATATGAGATTCTCAGTTATCCTGGCTACTTATACATCCACCCCGAAGGGGCTCTTCCAGAGTCGTCAACGGCCAAAGGTCATTTAAAAGCCGAACATATTACATGATATGCACATGTAGACCACTCCAGTGAGTCTCTGGCACAAGTCACCGAAATCAAACAGCGCTTCTGCAGCCAAAAGACGGAGAGAAAAAAAAGGTCAGTAGTACAAGCAGACTACCGACCATGTCCCACGGTAACTTAATCTTGTCTTTTCATATCCTACCAACCAAAATTCATATCACATTGTACATACCACCCCAATCAATGTCTATGCCGAAATCTCCTTAATCCTCTCCTCCAACTCGCGCATATTCCCACCTACGATCCTCTTCTCCAGCAGCTTGCCATCCTTATACAGTACGAAAGTCGGCATCGCTCTCACCTGTAATTCCTGGGCCACGGACTTCACCTTGTCCACGTCGACCTGAATGAATCGCACATTGGGGTAGGTGTCACTGAGCTTCCCAACGACGGGGGCAACGGCCTTGCAAGGTCCGCACCACGTAGCGAAGAAATCAACGACGACGGGGCCAGAAGAAGTAAGAGCCTTGAAGATGACGGGGCTGCGATTGTCAGGTTGGGTATCTTGATATGTTTGGGAGGTGGGCGGGATACAGCGTGGGAACGTACTTGTCTACTTCGATGACTTTGCCGTGAGCCATGGTGGTGGTGTTGGAGGACGAGAAGCGGGAGCGAATTAAGCGGATAGCTAGGTAAATGGAATGGTTAGTTAGCGTGGTGTTAGTGTGGACAGGAACGTACCCAAGTAGACGGCGAGGATGAGTAGAATACGGGAATAGTCCATGATTTTAGAGCGGATGATTGCTGCGTGGATGGATTAGATGGGATTTGGTTTGGATTTGGTTTAGTCTGGAGACAACGTTGGATGACTCAGCGGTACTTATGGTCTCGGACGTGATGGCCAATGCCAATCCGACACCAGCTCGGTTTTTCCCTCTACATGCGTGGATCTGGGATGCTTTGACTCCCGAGTGTGAATGCACATGAACCCAACCTTGCTCGTCTGGCTTATCGCTCGAACTGGATTCGATGGTCATTTCCAGCTCCCCCCTGTGGGCCCGACAAAGATTTCTCCTTGTGGAATAGCCTGCGTTTGAGTATAGGGAGACGATGCCATCCAACGGTCCAGATGGCGATGGTCGCCAATGACGGCGTAATGAATTCTTGGGGGCATATCTATCAGAAGAGACGATGGATTAATTCCGTACATGGGGAGCAGACGTGTCTATAAAAAGCGCCTCCGACGCCCGTGGATAGGCCCGATCAAACCGGTTCATCTCCTGTTCTGTATAGTACCCTTTTACGTCTGTTGATTCAATCACGCTATGGGCGACTACAAGCCTGTTGTTGATACGGCTGGTTCGACGGTGGCCGCAACGGGGAAACAAGTTGATAATGAGATTGATACCCCGCCGAGTGCAGTTCTCTACCGACAGCTTCGCCAGAAGCCTTTGAACATCGTTGGAGGCCGAGGCAGCTACCTGCTGACCGATGATGGATTAGAGATCTTGGATGCTACCTGTGGTGCGGCCGTCTCCTGTCTAGGTCACAGTGATGAACGCGTCCATGCTGCTATTCTTGATCAGCTGCAAAATATCCCCTACTGCTACCACTTGTATTTCACCAACAGTGCCGCTGAGCAACTTTCTAGGCTTCTGGTTGACTCAACCGGTGGCAAGATGTCTCGTGCATATATTGTGAGCTCCGGTACGTCGCATGACTTATTCTGGCTTATGTTAATGGCTAACAATTTCTGTGAAATGACAGGGACCGAAGCTATTGAGGCCGCCATCAAGATGGCAGTGCAGTATTTTATGGAGCTACCGGAGCCTCAACCGCAGCGTGTCAACTTCATTTCCCGCCAGCAGTCCTACCACGGCAATACTCTGGGATCTCTCGCTGTCGGACATCATGTCGCCCGCAGAGGCATCTACGAGAAGATCCTTTCTAAGAATGTCACTCACGTCTCTCAATGCTACCCCTACCGCAACATGCAGCCAGACGAGACCGTCGAAAATTACGTGGCCCGACTAGCTCAGGAGCTAGACGACGAGTTCCACAGATTCGGTCCGGATACTGTCTGCGCTTTTGTGGCCGAGACGATGCCCGGCGCTGTAAGTTAACCCGAAGTTCGTCAGAGGTTTCTCGCTGATCTGTCTACAGACGTTGGGATGTGTCCCCGCTCTCCCGGGGTATCTGAAAGCAATGAAGGAAGTGTGTGAGCGACATGGGGCCTTGTTGATTCTGGACGAAGTGATGAGCGGTATGGGACGGACGGGGACCCTCCATGCCTGGGAACAGGAAGACGTTGTCCCAGATCTCCAGACCATTGCTAAGGGTCTGGGAGCTGGATATGCTCCTGTCGCAGGACTGCTGGTCAATAAGCATGTCATCGACACTTTGACCAATGGCACGGGCGTATTCGTTCACAGCCAGACATACCAGGGCCACCCGGTAGCCTGTGCTGCTGCATACAAAGTGCAGAAGATCATCCAGGAAGACAACCTCCTTGCGAATGTACGCGCAATGGGCGGGTACCTCGGTCAGCTACTTACGAAGCGACTGGCCGATCATCCACACGTCGGTGACATCCGTGGTCGAGGTCTATTCTGGGCAGTAAGTTTATCTCATTTTGGACGGTCGTCGCTGACTGTGATTAGATTGAATTTGTCCAAGACAAGCAGACGAAGGAGCCGTATCCTCCCTCGAACGCTCTAGCGTGGACTCTACATACGGCAGGCTTGAAGCCGCAGCATTCTATCTCCCTAATGCCAGGCAGTGGCGGAGTCGACGGCACGAATGGAGACCATATTATCCTGGCACCGCCATATAATACTACGCGAGAGGAGGTTGAATTGATGGTTGACCGCACTGTGCGCGTCATTCAGGACGTTCTGGGCTGATGGAGTGCGATCTATAAGTGCTGTGCGGGATTATGCAGAGAACTGCTGGCGGCTCTGTCCTATATCTTTTATTTCAATTCATAAATTGAGCGGTATTTCACGAAGTATACACAGAGTAGAAGCCATTGGCGTAGACTATGGTGTAATGTAACATACTCTAATCTATAGATGATACCGTGACCGACTGATAGTCAGCAAACCGCCCTCAGCACTTCTCCCATTCGCTGCATCCTCTGCCAACACATCGATTACAGGGAATCCTTACTTTCGCCTGAATTCCGGGCGAAGACATCATTACTTCTATACTATTCCAAAAGGGGAAATGCTACTCGAGTGCCCCATCGACCCAATCTGGGCCCCTCCAAGGATCGATGGTGGGGAAGTTCAGTCGCCAACTCCCAGCTTACCTTAGTTCACCTTCAACATATCCGCCGCCATCCACTTACCTCTTTCGTCGGGTTCGATGCATCATGCGCGTGAAGACCTCGCGGTCACGAACTGGTACGTGTGTCTGTCGGTCGTCACCAGGGGGGTTGCGTAGGCGCTAATGTCGACAGACAGGGTGTCTCCAGTGTCGTAGAAAGCACCAGAAATGCGACGAGAAACGACCTGTTTGTTCGTTCTGCAATTTCCGCGGCATTCAGTGTCACTATCCCGCAGGATTCAAATGGGTGCAACAGACAGAGCCCATGGTGTCGAGACATAGACCTCGTGATAGAGGACCGCCGACGGGGCTGTTAAGCACGTTCTCGGCGCTTTTTGGCGGTGCTATCAGATCGACAGAGGAGAGGTCTGCTTGGGAGTATTGTACGTGTTTACGGACCGGACCGTAAAAGAAGAATAAAAACAAAGGTGAAGGACTTGGCATTGATTATTCACTTAGATGTCAGACTGGTATCGTCGAATGTTCCAGCCTTAGACTGTCCGGAGAACCCATATCGACAGCTCTCCATTACCGCGCTTACGGCACCCATCCTCCTCGAGACCATCATCTGCATTGCAGCCGAGCACATGCTCAATTTCGGTCTGGGAAGTGAACCCGCCGCCGCGGAACGACAACAACGCATGCTACGTTCGATTCGACAGGGATTGCAGATGATCGAAATGAGCAGTCACGCTCGTTGGCACGACCATAGACACGAGGCATGTCTCGCTGCTGTCGTGCTACAGGGCATCGTTGTCGCCCAGAGACCTGACGGGGTGCTGGAGCCACACGTCAAGTGCGCTTCGTATCTCATGCACACATTGGGTTGTTTCCAAGAAATCCCCAGCACTCCACTGGCGCGGCTGACGACGCAGCGGTTCGCCATGGTGGATCTGATGCTGGCCATCTCGCGTCAACGACGGCCGTATGCGCCACGATCATTCATCCTATACCAACCCGACGCAGACCGATGGGACCAAACGGAGCCATCCTTCCACAAAATGACCGGGTGTCCGCAGCCGCTGATGTGTTTCCTGTTGCGCATCGCCCATCTCGCGTGCGACGTTGACGAGTGCCTCCGGGATGACGTCCCTGAACATGAGGTCCTCAGTCGCGCATTCGAGCTTGAGAGCGAGCTCTGTGCCTGGGGCCTGCAATACACGGGGGCCATCGCCGACGGATCGTCTCGTCCACTTCTTGATATCCTCACCGAGTGTTTCTACTGGACTGCGCACCTCTTACTTGCGCGTCGCGTATTTCGTGACGCCACGCGGTCACCGCGCATCCAGCACCTGGCCCAGACGTGCTTCCGACTCATGGATCACTTACCAACAGGGTGTGGGCCGGACTCGTCCCTGCCCCAGCCGTTCTATCTAGCTGCACGGGAGGCCGTCCGCGTCGAGGACAGGGACTGGGTGCGGCGGAAACATGAGGCCATGACGGCGTACTACCGAGAGCAACAGCGGAACTCGGCGATGGAATTGACGGAGAAGATCTGGGCGCGATCAGACGGGCTACGAGGGGTGGAGGTGGAGACGAATGGGATGGCGCAGAGTATTGAAGATCGGTTTGTTAAGGAGTTGGATCGGGAGTCGTCTTTGTTTATTTTTTGATCATGAGAGATGCGGTTTCTACATTCTTTATATGGATATACGAGATACGAGAGCTACGAGCTACTTTGCTAAGAAATAGTACTAAGAATCAATGTGGAAACTGTCAACGCCGATTGGATACGCCGATTGGATACTCTCCGACATCCGGAATAAGTAACCCATCATCTTCCATATAACCTCTTCCCCTCAACCAAATCTCAACCAGCTATACAAAAACCTCAGAAGAACAGAGAATACTATACATATACACACAGACAAAACATTATATATACAAAATAATCAAAAATGCTCACAACCCATGAACAAACCCTCCTCACAGCCGCCACCGCAACCATAACCTCAATCCCAGCATCTGACATGCACAGCGTTGCCAGCGCCGCCAGCGACGCTTCAGGCCGGATTTACAAGGGAGTGAACGTGTACCATTTCACGGGGGGGCCGTGTGCCGAGCTGGTCGTTCTGGGGATGGCAGCCGCGGCGGCCGCAGGGCCACTCACGCACATAGTAGCTGTGGATCAGAAGCAGAAGATTTTAAGCCCTTGTGGCCGGTGTCGACAGATTCTCCTCGATTTGCATCCAGGAGTGAAGGTGATCGTGCAGGACGGGGAGGAGAAACGCACGGCGGGGATGAAGGAGTTGTTGCCCTGGGGGTATGTTTGGGATCCGAATTGATGTCTATTCCTACTGTATATTCTTATTCATAATCTGTTTCAAAGCGACAGTGTGTCCCAATTTTCTAGTATGCAATTTTGGAACTTATCCCGCGAAAGTGTACGTTCTGTTGCAGGTTATGATAGGCTTGGAACTATCTGTACGGCATTACCTATCGCACTTTAGCGAAGAACATAAGAACTGCTGATATGTCCGGATATACCTGTTGGGTGGAAAGCTTGGAGACCCGTAGATAGAGTATGCAATGATTTAAATACCACACTGACTCTCTAGTTGGTAAATGTAATTTGAATGCCTGCAGAAATTGGATAGTCCGAGCTACATGGGCATCTAGATGGTGGGCATTGTTTCAAGTAAATGTCGCGTGTACCGCTCTGACAACTTCTCATTATTATTTGTCCCAATGAAGCTGCTACATTTCTGCACCGGTAGTTTTAATCATACTCATATTTTACCATCCAGGCTTCACTTTTTGTCGCATGGTACCAGTATCGTGCGGAGCCAATCAATCCGGAAAATACACCCCTTAGAGTGTAACTGGGGTTTCGCAAAGATCGACGATTCCCACTCTGACCGCTGGGTGAAAAAAAGACGTTCCCTGGGGATTTCTTGTCTACCGCTGTAGCTACTGCGATGACAACGCATGGGAACGTATGGTCAAACGTATTCAAGTCAGTGTTAAGGAATCTCTGAAGGAGAAGGCAGACCAGACTTAATCTCTTCTCACTAATCAAGTTTTCTGAACGATAGGGAGAAGCTTGATGGCGCCATTGCGTGACTTTCTTTTAATGTCTGGGTTAAGAATCAGATACCACAGATTATGGCAAGCCCCAATGGGCTTCAATATTGGACGCACCAAAAGTCCCCGATTTGGGCCTAGATGTCCGTTTTGGCGCAAGGTATAATTTCTGTTTCTTTGATATTTGTCTAGAGTCGCTGGATTATATGAAAGATGATTCTGTTGTTAAGATCCTATTCAGGGGGTGGGGAAATTTGGAGCCGGAGGAGAGAAATTATCAGGTATATGAGGGCTGGCAGGACGAGCAGACAGAGGAGGAAGAGGATGTGGGCTGGATATATATGCGGACTAGTGAGTATGTTGAGTGGTACAGTTGGTATTCATCTGTTATTCTTCCGGCGCTAGAGCTAAGCTCTCTTGTATACTCTGCACACACATTCCGCCACATAGAATCTTAATCTGCTATGGTGCGAGAAAGGTCTCCAAACCCGCGCCATTAACCACTCTAGTCAGCATGAATAAAACTATCTAAATACGCTTTTCTATACTCATAAAACTAGAAGATCTATCTTCTACTATGGGAATCAGTTCAAAGTCTGGAAAAGATATAGTCACTATGTTTGCTGCAATTCTAACTTTTATACGTAGCTATACCTTCACACATACATCTCCACAAGGACCAGGCTATCAATTTTATACCTGTCAGTATCCAGATCAAAACATGCCTTTTCGGCTCGTAGACTGCATTACTTACGCAGCAAGCTCTTCCCTTTTCGCACTATAGTATCTTCGTAAGCTTTCTATTATAGAAATTTTCTCTCATTGACGAGTTCTTACCAAAATTTCCGCTGTGCATTCATCGTAGTGCCAAACGCAACGTATATTAGGATCGACTGGAGGGCAACGTAGAATACTGGCCGCTGAGCAACTAGCGGTAAACCAGATAACAGTAAAAAAGAATCGCATAGTTAATGCTAAGTTTAATCTGTAGGTTTTTAGCAAGAGATTTCACACTGTGACAAAGCATATTAAAAAGACATACAGATCTTAGAATTGATGGTGTGGATGTAAAGGATAAACTGCGCAACCATGAGCGAGTACTCTTACTCTATATATATATATTTATGTGTGTGCATTCCCTTACACTATGCATCTTACTCAGGCAGCCAGAGCACATCATGCAATGTCTAATATGTAGGGAAGTGTTGGTCTAGGCTCTCTGGAAAAATATACCCCTGCTACTAATACTCGGCGTTGGTTGCTCTACCCTCAGACGGTTGCCGTGCTCAGCAAAGTCGCATGAACCATGTATTGATCCCGAGGATAACCGGCTGATCAGGAGGATGTATGAATTCGAAAAGTAGCATCATTATTATATAGAATTTCTTAACCCCAGACGACTAATAGATTATCGAAGACTGTTTCACAACGATATTGAATCGGCAATGACTTGGATTAACAAACATAATCATTTAGGACTACTTGGGAACCTGATATGACAGACCAAGAGTTGAGGACTGTTGCCCAATGGCTCCATAGCTGGAAGGTCCTTGTGGAAAATGTGGGATGCAGGCGACTGGTTTTGTTTCACACGAATCCTTGCTTTGCCCACCGCCACGAAAATTTCCAAATTACCGCAAGCTGCTACTCGCCATTTCCAAGACAAAATCATCTTAGAAATGGTAGTTTTATGGTCGAATCGACGTGATCTCGACCGAACATACCTGACAGTACAGGAGAATCCAGGCTGTTGATAAAAGCCCATCTGTGTTCTAGGAGACACATGATTACGTATTTGATACTACCATATGCAAGGGCCGCTTATTAGTACTGTCCAAGCAAAACGTTATCCCTCATGGCTTCCTACGTAATAATAAGATGATTCCCTACCAAGCGGTTCGCCAGGTTCTCGACTCTAACCGTCTCTTCCGAGTACCTAAAGCACCCTGCAAGACATAGAAGATGGCACCCGCGCCGTATTTTGCGGACAAGGTGATGCCTTATGCATGCACGGAACTAGTCAGCTTTCAGAAAGCAGGCGGAGATCTCGACTTCCTCTGTGGTGGTGGAGGACTCAGTCGAGATCACATATTCCGGTCTGCACATCTGCACTTTGGGCCTCGCACAAAAGCTACTAGCCCATCACCAATTGGGATCCTTGTGTCCAATAGATCGTACCATACCATCTCCCAATAGCTACTATCTATGTATGTGGAACCTATGCACCTTTGAATCCTGCGCATGCGGATCATGTCTCGAAAACCTTCTAAATTCCTTTGATTCGTGAGTGATTATAGTTGATGAAAGAAAGAAATCATTAACGTCCACTGCCTTACAGGAAAATCTAAACTAGAGAAGAGCTGTTTGCCTGGGTAGATAATGTCAAACTCTCCGTCCAACCGACCCCGCGCCATTGCTCACACTTACTCTTTGCACCTGGGACAACAAGAAAGCCTAAAGCGGTGCAGATTCTGGCCAGGGCCATAATTTACTGACGCCCAACTCTTTTACGGCCATTGAAAAGGGGGATAAAATCAACAATGTGACTTTCGATGTATCATTACTTGACATATTGACTCCACTCCAGTTCAGAGAAACGCTCGAGGCTATCCCCATAGATGTCACTCCGGAGGAAGAAGGCAGTAAGCTCATCGAACAGCTGCACGCAACCAGTTGCCTAATATAGGGTACGATATACTGACAACTTAGACCACGATAACTACCATATTTCCTTGGATGGTTGCCTCGCGCCCTCTCTGGCATACAAGAAAAGGAGTTAAGTACGCGGGGGTGTGAACCCCACACAGTAGGCAACCACCTAGATGCAGATCACTACTTTATCACTCATACTCTCTCTTCGAAGGCATGGCACTTTCGGAGTACCTTCGCCATTATCACATTGACATTCTCGCAGAAGTGAAGGAAGTGGGACGTATCTCGGTTTTTGGCCAGTTACTTATCTGTAATCACTATGTGTCAGCAAAAATCACAGCTCTCTAGAGAAATAAAAGATATGCGGCATAGCGTACCGTTTTCAATCTTTCGTAAGCTTACCAAAATGGACAATTACTGATTGCAGGATCTCCCGTGATAATTCTCGGGGTTCTATCTGAAATTTGCCCCAACGAGGAGCGTGCAACTTCTGAAGCCTTCGGGGGTCTTAGTAGAAGGGAATCTACCAAATAATTTCAAAGTTCCAGCCTGCGAGAATGGGACACACGGTGCGGAAATGACCCGACGCGATAGCATAGTCTTCAATGCGCTTTTTGACTGCGGCAGAATCCATGAGCTAGGGTTAATCTACTTATGCAGGTAGATATCGTCTTATCACATACTGTCCATCGTTTGACTGATACCTTCCCATTGGTGAACTGGGTAGCGGAGGTTAAAGAACTGTAAAAACAAGGTTCTCCACCCTGGCTTCAATGAGCTCATCGATACGGTCTTGCCCAGGTCATCAAAGGAAACATGGGAAACATACAAACTAGTTAGTATTTGCTTAAAGTCTCATTATGGTATAATAGGACAAGTACTCTCGGTGTCCTCCGAATTCGTATCACAAAGGCAGCCCATGAACCTGCAAAAGCGCTAGTGATTTCATCTTTCTTCCAACCATCGGCTTTGACAACTGTGGCGCCAAGGCGTTGAAGCTCCTAAGTAGCCTCTAAATCGGGACTCCTAATCAATGCCCTTCATTGAAAAGTTCCCTTTTTTAGAGTAATGATAGGACCGCAGAGTCGTCCTATAGGCCAATAGCACTGAAAACAGTCACCACTCTTGAAGAGACACCGTCATTTTGCTTAAGCGGGGAACAAGCAGGATAATACATCGGAAATTACTGGTTGGGATACTCGAACGACTGCTGCACAGACATGAAAAAAGAAATGAATTTAGACCGTGGCATCTTGCGTAGCTTTAATATACCACAACCCCTGAATGTGCAGGTGTGTCATAAATGCCTCCGCTCTTGCCAACCCTATGAACTTTCTACATTCTCGTATATGCAGCCCTCGCCTATGCCCCAAGGTGACGAGGTACACAGCAGCTTCTCACTTTGCTTTTGATATAGCCAATTGGGTTAAATTCATCGATTGCTGTGCGGACCAGTATGATGTGGTCGGTTCCACAGACAAGATACCTCTGCTGTCCGATGGGGGAGGCATGCGATGGCAAGTACTGCAAACCCACGAAGCCTGTTTATCACAATTGCCAGACGTTGGTCGATGGGAAATCCTCTATCCGAAGGGCAGCAAGAGACACATCATATAAAAAGGCAATATGTTCCTCGAGCCTAGCGAGCAGAGTATTGTTCATGATAGTAAAATGTTAGACTTTCGCGCCGGCGAGAAAGGCTACCGCATCAGAAAGCATGTCCCTGAAGTCCGGCCGCTTCAAGCTCTGCAGGGGCGAGGACTGCATCCGGCAAGTCGATCGATCCAAGCGACCAGAACTTCATAAGAATATCCACGGCGATCCGGTCAACAGTACGTTTACCAAACGTTGGCTAAATGTGGCCATGGACGGCAACCAAGTGGGCAAAATGGATGTTTTGCGCAGGTAGTGGAATTCTCTATGACCAAGTAACCCTGTGGCAAACTGCCTCGGAGGATTTGAGGATGGCCTGGGACCCGCCTGTCCGTTGAAGACACCGGCTCTTACGTTCTTTCAGAGTGATAAGCAGACGCGTGTGCCGTTTGACTTCACTGAGGTACCCTGAGGCGTGCAGGGAGAGGAGAATAGCTGCGTCTGGAAGAATACAAAGGACAGTGCTGTGACCGAGTGGTGGGTTGTACGCCAAAGCGCGGTAGATCGAGTTATGTAAACCAAGAAGATACGTTCTTCGGAATGGTCCCCAAAAAAAAATATTGTCGTCCAGTTTGTTCAAGAAAGAGAGGAAGAAGGTCAAGGCATCTATTTCGAGGTTGGCTGGAAGGCTGCTTTTAGCCTTGCAGCACAGTCAAGGCTTTTTATAGCTTTTGCTCTTTGACTTTCCACAGATAGGTAAAAAGAAGAATGAAAAGGAGCTCCATTCTAGAAATCTATTAGCTGATACCTTAATTTATCAAATAAACGGGGGCCATACCTTTCATAACCGGGTTGGGTTACATGGACTGTAAAGTAGTAGAAAACCGAGAACTCGTCATGTGCATGGTACCAAGCAGTATGAACACTTAATCCATTAGCTTTTTCGCTGACACACTCCAAGATAAACTGAAGAGTGAGATGCAGAAGATTCATTCCTTTGCCCAAAGATTAACGTTCAATGTCCGAGATGAACTTGTATTCAAGTCAAGACAAACCATTCGACCAACTAAAAAACCGGGTTCTTAGTGAACCATAATGGTGAGTTAAGTCATATACGTGTTTCAACATTCAATTAATTCAATTCATCAATCTGCTCCACTGCTGGTAAAAAAAAACAGTGCTAAGAGAGGCCCAGGAAAACAGGATCGGAATACAAAGTGGGCATCCCAAGATTGTAACCATGCTGGTCATGCGAGGGGACACATTAACAGAAGAAACAAAAGACCAAGGGCAGGATCAATCCTGCCATCACATAAAAGCTATCATCCCACCCAAGAATAGAAAGTAGGAATCCCAGGCAGTCCAAGAAAAAGAAACAGAAAACAAAAACGTTCATCCAAGCTTGGCACATCCGTTACGTCTCAGTCACATTATGTACGATGGTTTGCATTACATGATCGGGGTCTTGCGCTTTTCGGCGCTGGACAGCACAAGCATTGGAGTCTTGCGCCTTCCCGAACCCTGAGCTACTGTCTTCTGGCCCGCGACGACAGCAGCAACCGAAGGGGATCCCGCTGGGGGAGAAACTTGACCCGTTCGGACGTCCGCAAACCTTCCACCAAAGAACCCTCCATCCTCACTGACGGGAGTATTATAGGGACTCTCCTGCGATCGTCGTTCCCGAGAAGATCTTTCCTTCCTCTCGGAGCCAATCGCACCGTTGGCAGCAGCACGCAGACTGCCCAGACTTGGCTTGCTAGAGAGACTCCCACTACGAACCGTGACGTCATCCCCGTCGGAGAATGTGAATTCATTTTCACTTGCCGGTGTGTTGGTGCCACCACTACTATGGCATCCAAGGCTCCGATTCTCACCACGCCGCTCAATCCCCGCACGAACCAAGTTGTGAACGGCCCGTCGACGTTGGCGAGTCGCAAAATTCTTGCTTCCTTCATGTTTCGAGGTAGGCTTGGCAACCAGTTCCTCCAACGAGGGAGGACCACGGGGTTGGCGGATGGGGTGTTCGCCGGCACGTCCCTGCCCGGGTCCGAAAGTGCCGGTGGCGGGTGTCGGTGGCAAAGCAGCCGTCTTAGGCGCAGCAGAACTGGTGTTGGCATTGGCGCGGGCCGTATCAATTGGGACCTTGGGCGATTGGTTAAACGAGGAACTCCTCTTATGACCTCTGCGGAATGCGTTGGCGGAAGGCGGCGGCAGAGGGGCGGCCTCGCGAGGGGGAGAAGAACTGGCACTAGGGGGAGAAACCGACTGCGGAATGCTCTCGGGGAATTCTGTCGATTCTGGGGGTGGAGACACTTCAGCACGGAAGGTCGGCACCTGCATAGCGGAGGGCTGTTCTTCTTCCTGGTAGGGAGAAAGAGAGCCGTCCTGCTGGAAAGAGTTGTCGTAGACGTAGTTCTGCTGGCCCGTAAGAGGGTTGTAGACAGAGAAAAGCCCAGGCTGACTGAGTACAGGCTGCACAACAGGTTGCACCCCCTGCTGAAGCTGTTGCTGGTAGAATCCCACGCCCGGAAGAGACAGGGATGGGAGTTCCTGCTGTTGCTGCAACCCTGTGGGCATCCCCAGATTAAGACCTTGAAACTGCTGAGTTGCAGCGGTCACGCTGACCAACTGTTGTTGCAGACGTTGTTGCTGTGCAGCTAAGAAGAGATTGGTTGACATCAGCTCCGCGTATACGCTTTCATCAATGTTCATATCGCCAGCAATGTCAATAGTCGGAGGTGCGAGCACCTGCTCCGGCAGAGTATACATGGGACGACCTTGGTTCATGTCCTGATTCTGACTCATAGCGAACGAATGTCGAGGGAATCCAGTTCCCATCGCAGTCTGCGGGACCCGTTGAGCGATGCGATTCGCATGATTCCCATATCGATCACCCTCCATCCCGAGTTGGTGCTGGCGCTGCGAAGCCGAAGGAACCGTGGCCGACTTGGGAGCAGTCCGCAGGCCAGCCAGAAGATGGGAGCGGCTTGTGCGAGGCGTAGGAACAGGGGCAGAAGGCTGGGATTCATCGATGGTTGAAATGTGTGGAGGAGGCACACTCAGGCGCTTGATATTAGCGCCTTTTCTCCTGGACCCAAAGCCGGAACCAGGCGCCCCAAGAGAACTGCCATTATTGAAAGATGAGTTGTAAGTCATCTGAGCAAGACCGCCAGCGTCCATACTCATGGTTTTGGATACAATGAATGCAGTATAAAGTGGTATGTGCAATCGGTAATGGAAACGACGGTTTGAATTATCGCACCAATTCAAGGCACGAAGAGGAATACAAGCGTATTAGCGTATTACCGCAGTTGAGAAGAATGCGGCACAGGAGAGCTATTCAAGAACAGCAGACCGTGTTAATTATGCAAAGGATAGGAGGCGCAGGTCCCGGTCCCTATGAGATGACTCGTGTTAGTAGTAGATCACACATTCCGACTGAAAGGCATCACCATACTTTCGGAATAAGAGCCTAAAAGGAAATAACTCTCAAGAAATATGAAGAAAAGACGATGAGTGATTAATAACCAGGTATGCAAAAAGCCCAAAAACAACCAAGAATCTTGGGCGTCAGCGGCAAGCGTACCACGCAGCAGCTTCGAAGAAACCAAGCAGTGAAAAAGAGGACAGACGCGACCGGACGTCAATATAGGGATCAACGATGTCGTGAGCAAAGAGACAAATGTCTTTTGATATTAAAGATGGACAACAAAAGCGAGCAGGAGATGCTCTGCAACTCCTACCGTTAAAAAAAGAAAGAAAGATAGCCGACGCGAGGATGCAATGACGACTCGAGGGGAAGATTAACTTAAGCCTCGAGACAATTAACAACGGAATGGGCAGAGCCGCTTCAAGAATCGAAGTAAGGGATGACGAGATCGATGGAGCTTGTCTTCTTTCTCTGTCGGCGAGGATTTTCAGTTTTGAATTAATTATTCTTTTTTTTTTCCTTTTTTTTTTCTTTTCCCTTTTCCCTTTTCTGTACTATCTGCAATCTGGTCGTGGGGGAAAGAAAACAGAAGACAAAGACTGTCGGCGGTGGTTTATTAGGTCGGCTCGGCTCCCCGGCGCGTGTTGGGTTTTTCTTCCTGTTTTTTTTCTTCTTCTACCCGCACTTTCCTGGTCTTGGCGTTGGGAAGGGTCTCAGGGTCAGGAACCAGAATAGCCCCAGCGATCTAGACTGTTTGGCAGACAATTGAAAATAATGGCTTTTCTAAATCCAAAACAGATGTCTGCAAAATCACAGAGACAATGAAGATGGAAACGAAGGGGAACAGATTAAAAAAAGAAAACTATGGAACAAGAGAGGGGGGCCGAGGTGAAGCGAATACGGGATGAGATGAATGGAGGTTGAGAGGGTGGATTGAAGAGAAGGAAGAAAAAGAGAGAGGGAACTAGAGGGAAAAAGGGGAAGGAAAAGAGTGTGTGAGAGAAAGAGAGCAACAGAGAAGGAGGGAAAGAAGAGAGGAAGTCGTGAATGTACCCAAGAGAAGAGGAGAGAAGGAACGGGGAGAGGAAGAGGATGACAAGCTGCCAACGACGTATTTCCCAGTCAATAGCCGGCAATCATCAATGCTCCGTAATACCCAAGTTGGTGTTGCTACTTAATAATAGCAGCCCAAATCCAATAAATCCATCACCCTCAGCCCCGAATGATTCTTGGGCTGAGACGCCCATTGGCTTATATGCATGCTGATTGGCTCGCTTGAAATATAATCTAGTCCTATTAGCGTTAGTATATGGAGACAGCTGGCTTGTTGGGGTTAGCTTACTGTCATAACAATACTCCCGTACTTCGTACGGAGTACCTACTGCAATTCAATTCATTGGTCGTAGGTAGTATTATGCATCCTCTTCATCAAGACTAGGTAGTTTCTTGCAAGATGCCAAGTCCAGCTTAAAAATCACACTGATCACTAGGTACGGAGTAGGGAATGTACGTAGAGTAAATCCTCTGACCGGATGAATACTTCCTATCCAGGTCGGACAAAGCATTGACAAGTGAAAGCTCCACAGTACTACAAGTTCAATCTGAAGCAGCCGCCTGGGTCAACCAATCATTCCCCAAATGAGGATGTTCTGACACAGTCCTCAGGAAAGGTAAAGTACCATAAGTAGGTACCAGTAATACATTGAGGAAACTGGTTCGTGGCATCCCATTGGTCCAATACCACCCACCCTACTCATCATCCCAGCCTAGCGCCTTCAACGTGGCCTTCCTCGCCGCCAGCCAAACATCTCCATTGCAGGATTCGTCCAAGAACCGCCAGTTATCTCTCCTGACTGGCTGTCTTTGACCTGCAGTATGTACTGGTAGGTAGGTATATGATGTGATGGTAAACCTGCATGGTTTGGGTTGGACCAATGATTGGTGCGAGGGAAACATCGGCTCAATTAGTATGTATTGAACCCAGTCCCTTTTAAAATTACATGGCGACACCATCTACGTAGCCTTGTCAATAGTTATTACTAAATATACCAATTATTTTGTTAATTTCCGCGTTTTGTATGATATGGCGTGGCCTACTTAATTATTGAGATATCGACAATGTACACACCTTAATGCGGAATGCAACTCCTACAGTTCCAACAAAAACAGCTTAGCCAAACCTAGCAGTGGCAGTACCTTTGGACATCAATATACTTAGGATAATGTGCACCTCGTCATTTGATGATAGCGATAAGTTTGCCTATGACATGCAAGCAATGGTAAATAAGAGGGAAATCCTTAAGGTACATACTTTTAAACACTTCATTTCTAGTGGAGATTTTGAGTGAGGGCAGCTATTAAACCTTTGGTAACTTACAGAAACGTCCGTTCTATAGTTTCTATATGCATGAAGACCACTTTGTTTACTATGTACTAGCTTTCTAGACGTTGACAACATGCATGAGACAGCATAGAACATAAGTCAGCCACAAAACAAGGGAGAGGGGTAAACATGAGAGATAATACTATATATTATTGAATATAACAATAAACAATCTATTCTCTTCTTTTATATAAAAAACTGCTATGTTATACTCCAATACCAGATATAAATGCTACGAAGTTTGCAGGATACGGCATTAAACAACTTCAGTTGGGAAAATTCTACTGGTTCAACCATCAGCTTAGCATTGATCCTGACAGGAAAGTACCAGTGCATCGCAAACAAGATATGGTGCTATATATGGCTGAATCGCATGTTCATATCTGGATAACATATCATGCTTTTATCCTGCTTGCAATTCACCAAAATTACACGCTCTATTAAGATCGCGGTGCCCAAAGAGCTCAATGTATGTAACATACTGCTTGCAGACCGACCACTCGTAGAAACCCATGGGTAGGCACATGAGCCTTAGGCTGAAGTAGGCCAGTAACGGGATGATAGTAATTTCAGAGATGTACTCCCGGGGCGTATATAGTCATCAATGACAAGGGCGCTTCATGAGATGATGAGGATGAATGTATGCCCAGCGACAGTCGACAGCGTGCATGAGGCGATGATACCAATAGTCAAATCTAGTATGACAGTAGGGACCAATTTTGACGAGTAGACATTTCCAGCTTATCGATACAGACGTCTGGCTGATGTCGTACCTAATAAAGAGGGTAATAGCTATTCGGATTATGGACATGCTAAGAAGCTATAATACTGCCTTTGTGGTTTGAGTATTAGCTACATAGCTACGCTCGTGCGCATCGTTCCAAGAAACCGTATAAATAGTCCATACGATGTGTTGTATAGAGCAGATGGGAAATATTTATTTTAAAGGATAGAATATAGAAATATCAAGGCACCAAATGGCTTAGGTTGTGTTAATCGATAGCACCCTTGCTATTGTCTTGGTTGTTGCTATTGAGGACTACAATCTTCACCACCGCAATAGCTAGAAGAAGAAGAGCCACAGCTATAGCAAACAAACCTACATGTAGGATTAATTCTTTAGAATCTGCCGTGAACATATCAAGTTACTGACTGTTAATATCGACTATATTAACGCGGCCAAGCTCCAAATGAGGATGGGCTGCTTTCGTCAAACCTGCATTTCCCTACTACGTAGCTATTGATAAAGTTGTCAGCGACATTATCAGAGAAAACCAGCTGCTCTCGGTGATCAGAAGCATCTCATTCTAGGTAGAGGCCAGTCTGTTACTAGGGTTTGTTGTGGATTGTTTTCTACCGGGAATTAATGAACTTTGTGTGTAAACATTGTGTATTGTACGGTGGGGCGGCTATTATTGGTTTGCTGAGCCTAGAAAGTTCTCTCCGGCCGTATATCGCAGCTGCTGTGGCAACTATCGCTGGGATTATAATATTCATGTTTACTTCTTGTACCTGCCATGGTTGCATACTAGAATTGTTGCCTAGGGTGAGCCTGGTGGATATATATTATATAGAAAAGAAGAAAGATAAATGCTTGGAATACCGTGTAGTATAAGAAAGTTGTTTTATTGGCTGATAAGTAATATCCTTGTGCCACTAATTTCTCTTCTCCATTGAATGAGAGATTCATGCAAATCATCATCTTACATCCGGCCCCACTGTCTCATCAAGCGTCACTAATTAATGCAGATGAGGTGAGCTCCATACAATGCTCAGTTAATAATTGATCCCATCTTTTTCATATGGTAGTTACCACATCATCAAGCCGTCTTTATAGCCACCAGGAATTAGTATTTCTATTTAGAATGGGTAAAAGGGTAAACGTAAAAATCTGGATGAGTTCCTCCTATCCCGATGGAGAACTTCCTATTTCGGTTAGCATCATGCTTACTCCTTTCTGGTTAGATGGAGATGAGCTTTCTGTTGGGCCACGATTTGCTCCTTTCCCCATCCTCCACTTCTTGCATGTCTTGGTGTGTGCTATGCCCATTCCGCCATGCGGCCTGGGTTAGACTCATGGAATTGCTTTCTAGTTAGCTTTTCCCTGTATATACTGACTTGTCAAGCTGCATGGGTAAGGAAGTACCAGTGCGATTCCGTGTCCATTTACCCTCATGAGAAGTTCCGAGTTGACAGTATCCGCGGCACATTCGATACCTCTGACAGTTCCACTGTATTGTCGTTGGCTGTACTGGGTGTCTACAACACATCGCGGTTTGCCTGTGACGACCTCAACTTGACGGGGCTTGAGACTTCTCTGCGTTTCCATGTGCTCGGTTACCCAGTCGGCCAGCTGGAGTCTTTCAGGAGTGAATGTCCTCTACCAATAACAGATACGCTCACGCCGTAAGTATTCCTGAATTTGACAAGCATACTTCCATTGTCCTCCCTCCCTCCCTCTCTCTTTGGCAATTCACTCATACGACTCTTTAGTCCCCAGGGGCTACTGTTCTCAAAACATGAATTGGAGTATTCGTTCGGCCATGCTCACCGGCTCCACACCCTCGCTGCCGAGTTGAGTTTCAAAGCACAAGAGAGTGTTGAGGTTGATTGCGCAGCGGTGAAGGTCACCCCATACATTGGGATCGCAGCTTCTGCAATATTGACCTATATCCCCGTCGGTGTGTTAGTTCTAGTTAACCTCACTTCCTGGGTGAAACGACGTAATCAATTGGGAAGAAACTGGCTGTTCGAGTATAGAACCTCCTGGTCTAGTCAGGGTCCTATATGGGATGTGACCCTTGATATCGCCGACTACTTACGATATCTCCAGTTTATCTTTCTTGCTGGCTCATTGACCATGGAGTATCCGGGCTTCTATCAACCAGTCGTGAGCCAGGTAGCCTGGTCTTCGCTCCTGTATTGGTCCGGACCTATCGATCATGGTTTCACTTGGACCGGAGTGGAGGGCGGCATGTATGTCAGTAATACATCTTACGGGCTAGAATACATGTCCCAGATACTCGGATTTCCCAAAATGCCGGACATAATGCTCGATTCGTTTATCAACCTCTTCGTTCTGATTACTGCTCTCATCGTGGTTTTGCTGATTATATGCCTTATCACATTGGGATCAAGCCGCCCCATGCCTCCACTAAGCTCGGTCCTCCGAAACGCAGGCTGTATCATTTTGGGGGTTACTTTGTCGTGCTTCAGTCTCCCTCTATTGTCGTACATGTCCTACGAATTAATTCTCATTGGATACCTTCCGAACTACCGTGTTACCCTAGTGGGATTGATGATAGCTGTGCTTGTATGTTCAAACTTCTTCATTGCTTATCATTTTGAAAGACAAAAAGAGCGGAGAGACACTGCCTTATCAGTGGACTCTTCTCCCCGGGACAGTCTGTTAAGTGGCTCTAGAGAGCTGGCGCAGACTGTCTCTCATTATATACCACATGCCATTCCACTGTTACAAGGGATTGTGATTGGGGGATTCCAGTACTGGGGCTTAACTCAGATAATCGTGCTTGGAGGATGTGAAATCATTCTTCTTCTGCATATGGCTATACAGCGGCGCGCTAGCTTCTTTGCGTCGAAAGCCACTTGGTGTGCTACTGTGCGCCTCCTGACTCTCTTGCTAAGCATCGTTTTCCCATGTCGCTCGAGTGAAAAGACGAGGCAATGGGTCGGCTACTTTATCCTGTGTCTTCATAGCGCAGTGGTTATCTTCGGCTTCCTATTCATCTCTCTTTGGCAGCTCTACAGATCTACTAGGAAGAGAATCGGTAGTGTGCACAATTCGGCATCAGATCGAAGCAACCATTCAAATGTGGTCCCGGTATGAATTATTATCAGACCCAGTACTCCCCGCTACAGTCTATAAGTATCTGACTAACCAACAATAGCCCTTGGGTTTAGATTATCTTTCGCCTCATCGCCATGATAACAAGAACAACAATGCAGCACATAAATCGAAGGACTACATAAGCAACCGACGAGAAAGAAGTTTTGACCGCGCTGCCAGCTCCACCCGTCCCGGATCATCCGGCTATAGAGGGTTCGATGACTGCAGCAGCAGCAGCAACAACAACAACAACAACACAATAACTCCATTGTCCTCAACACCTTCGGTAGACGTAAAGCACTACATAACAGACCTTTCCACCTTCTACAGAACCCCACGACCTCGAAACGCACCCAACACCCAGCCGTTCGAGAAGACGGCCGCAGTAGGAGATTCAAGCTCTGCCAGCTCACCTAGAGCGTCATCATCAAATACCGAGTCATACAATGAGTCAGATCCACGACGGCATTCCCAGGATATACTGGATGAGCTTTTAGAAATGCCAGGGAGACATGATGTAGACTACTCCGTGCGAGAGTCGGATTTATACTATCTAAGACCCGCCGGCGCGTCAATGCCACCTTCGACACCAATTTTGGCAGAAAATTGTCACGAAGACCAACCCGGTGGATATACATTCCCAGAGTGGATACGCAAGAGTGTACCATCTAGGTTGAAACAGTCCAGGAAAAAAGAAAAGGGGTTTCAGGTAATGAGGCCACCACGGCCCACATAAACCGGGGTAATGGGTCTAGATAGTACTCCATTCCTAAGAAATTGCTAGCTCTGATTGTTTAGGCTATAGCCTTAAGCCGAAGCTACCAATAAGATCAGTGTGACTTGAAATATTACATGTCATTATCGTATGTACATCCGTCCGTCTCCGAAAAATTCAACTTGGCCATACATCGCTTTCGTCGAACTAATACGAACCAGGCTGCTGGTCCAACTTAATACAATGGTACATACATCAGCTGATCTTATGCACCGAGAAATAGCAAAGACATAAAAATAAAGAGAATTCATAAGGCAAGGGGGAAGGGTATCTGCTGGTAAGACATATTAAGACATGTTTACCAGAATTTGGGCCGGGGAGGATCGGCATTCGAATCCGTAAAGAGAGGTGTATCCAAAAAAGATAGGCGGGGATAGAAAGTACACAATACCACACAACTCCATAGACCACATGATTCATCGTATACAAAGAAATTCGAATGTGTCGTCTCCGGCTCGTTCATGCATCTACAGACACAGCAGGTCCAGGGAAGGGCAATGTTGTTGGCTCTTTCTGTTCTGGCTCTGGCGACTCTGCCCCTGGACCCTTACCGTTCATTCGGTCAAATTCCAAGGTCTCTACCAGTTCCGCAGCCATTGGATCTAATTCTTCCTCCTTGAGACCAGTAGCGAGAGCAACGAGCTTCCGATGAACGTCGAATTTAGTACTGACGCCAGCTTCTGCGGTTTGTTGGGCGAGGTCCCTGACTGCGACTCGCCGTGCCTTTTGTGCTAGGCACAGTTGTCGTCCTAGCTTATAGATGTGAAGCAATCTATCTTGGTCTGTCGAAGATGGTGCTGTATCCTCTTCTGCGGGCAATGGAGCTCGCAGGATGCGCTTTTGTAGGCGCGCTTCTTGTATTTGCTCGAGAAGAGACTCGTAGTTGCTTCTCAACTGCTCGTATCGCCCAAGCTGTGCATCAATGGGTTCTTCCTGCTTCTCTTTTGCGGTGAAAGCAGACAGCTGCTTCTGTATCTTTTGTCTATCTAATTCTAGTTGTTCGTATAATGCCTCTGGATTCGCAACATCGTCTGGATCTTGTTGATTAGACTTGGAGGTTCCGTAGCTCACAGTAAGCTTTTTGTTTGCCTCTGCCATGATTACACTTATCTTGGAGAGGAGCGCGGATGTGGCAGGTGACATGTTCTGCGGCAGGGTGACGGATTGGTGGTCGGTGTGTGAAGGGCCGTTTACCTCGCCATCAATGTGGTCATTTCCCATCGTGATAGACGAGGGCGGTGGTGGGATATCTCGCTCGGAGTGATGTGCCCTTTGTGTTATGCTTGCAGCCGTCTCGCCTTTCTTGTTAACCAGGTCCCCAGCCCGTGCGCAGTGCGTGAAGAGTAGGTTCACTAGACGAAATGCACCATTTCGAGCGGCAACCAAGGCGGCCGTGTCTCCGTTCGAGTCTTGACAAGATAACAACATGTCAATCTCTTCGGGAGAACACGTGGTTCGCAGTTTTTCCAGGAGTACTTCACAGTAGTATCGTGAGCTTTTCCACTTTCCTTTGCTTCTGGTAGTTTCTGATATATGATGGAAAATGGTGGCGCCGAACCAGTCTCTGAAAGAGACAGTATCTAGGAGCAATTCCAAAAGTGCGGGAAATGTTCTTTTTTCGTAATTATTCGTAAACAGAACAGCACGAACAAGTGGTGTTTCTTCATGCACAGACAGTGCTTTCACATCTGCTCCTCTCCGCAACAAATCATTGACGATTTCCAAATCACCCATAGCACAGGCCCAATGAAGCGCAGTATTCCCTGAGTCGTCAATCGGACGATCCACCTGGAAATTAGCTGGAGGCTCTGGTGGAGGAACACGTGTTGCCTCCGGAGCATCTCCTATTGTCATAAAGTAGTCTAAAAGTTGGTCCCCGTAGAGGATATGTTCCTGTTCACTGATTGACATCGCAGTGACCTCGTTCATGCCACGTTTGCGCTTCCGCGAGTATGGGCCATTTTGAGATATCGGGATCATTTCTTCGTCCGCAACCATAGAAGATGACTCCAACGTTGTTTGCTCAATCGATTCATCCTCCTCAAATCCAGTATTGATGTCATATTGTTCATGAGTGAAAGTCGGCGGCGGCCCCATACTACGATGCGGCTTAACTGCATTAAACACCTCCTCATTGACCATCCTCTTGTTGGCATTCTTCGGAGCTCTTGGCTTTGATGCCGCTGATGTATGTTTCGGTGCAGGTGGAGGGGTACGATCTCCTGCGACGTAATCGAAGATCGGTCGTAGTTTGTCGATTATGTTGTTGCGTTCAGCAAGCAAACGCCCTTCGGGAAGTGGAATCCATGTTCCTGCCCGCAGCATTAGAAGCATGAAACTTAGACTACCTTTTATACAGTTTGGCTGCTTTACCTTGGTATTTGCCATAACCACCTTGTACCTTCTCGTGCACCCCTTTCTGCACCTCACGCTCGAGGATACGTGTTCTGGCCGGCTTGTCAAACCCAGCGACTTTGAGAATATGCGTTGCGTTTATCCAATCGTCCGCCCTCCTTCGCATTACACTGTCGCTTTCGATCTTAAATTCATACACAGGGACCTAATCGGTTAATGTTAGAACTGTCTATGAAATCGTCGGTACGGGAAGAACAATTTCGTTGAAATGGGAGGCAAAAAAAAATCCTCAAAAAGCAAAAAAATAAAACTTACACTACTATAAGTAGCTGAATAGATCTTTGAAAAGTCCACGCCCGCCATGATGTGCGTCCCCGTAGGTCGGGTTTGATTCAGTTTGTTCCCGGACAGCAGCAGCAAGTTCGACGCGGTCACAGCTTTACACTGAAACCAAGGGCATAGGCAAACTGTTCTCGAGCATCAACTACAGTGGGCGCTGATTGGACTCCAGAATTCGCATATAACATTAACTGGAGAAAGAGAGACTCGGTGTCAGCCACGAGTGGCTCGTCAAAGGCTCAGTCTATCTCAACGCGGTGCTTTGCAAGGCGGCTGGGAAAGACGCGCCTTGGGTTGAACCGCGTAAAGTGGAATTGGATCCGCTAGTCCACATACAGATTATGATCACATGATGTCACATGATAACTCGGAAAGGACCAGCACTACGAAATAGCTGCAAACCTCATTGTTCTATGCCCCGTCGCCAAAACGATCCATATCTGTCCCCCTTTCTTCACCCAAAATGACCGTCGCTGAATCGGTGAAAAGTGCCGTTGGGCTTGTGGATTCTCCCGGTATGTTTTTTATTGCCATTGGCCCTCGCCCACAAGAGCCGGAGCGATGTTATCACTCGTCGGGATTGAGGATTGACTGACGATTGAATATAGCTTCCCAGCAAGAGATGTCCGATGCCCGCCTCCCCATTCAGTATCGGGATACCTGTGCACACCTCCTGATTCCATTAAACCGATGCCGGCAGCAAGAGTACTACCTTCCCTGGAAGTGCGAGGTATGACATCTGCGCTTGGAACTTTGTTTCTTTTGGTCCTTTTTTTTTTTTTTTTTGTTTTTCTTCATCCCGTTTTATGCACATTTTTATAGTGTTATGCAAATAGCTGACTTTGTTTTACTTCACATTACAATAGGATGAGAGACACAGCTATGAAAAGTGCCAGTATGAGGAATTCAAGAGACGTGTTGCCAAGATGGATGAGCTTCGAGCTGCTAAGGCTGGTACTCGGAGCAACTGATTCCATTGTATCGGCATGTGCAGTCAAGACGAACGAAACCATTGGGTTATGTATATAGAAATTCTGAGATTGTTTGTCCATGCACCGATCGTTGGCGTTGGGACCCTTTCGAGATTAAGCTTGCCGATACCAAACGTTTGAACTTTAGGTCTGCCTGCTTGTCAGCCATCCGTCCTTCCCGTAACTTCTCAGCTGTTCATCGCCGGTGCACTATGGATGAGATGCGATGGAGCCTAACCGAGATCTGTGTCACATGTGAGCAAACAAGAAAACCAAACGACGTTCAGAATTTGTCAGCTGTAAAGCTTTGGACAGGTGAATGCTGTTTTCGTGTTGTAGCCTCAGACTATCCAAAGCCTCGTATTCCCTATTGCTAGGCAGGAGGCAGTCCGTCCTAGCTGTCACTGTATTTCAGGGTTGTATGAAAGTGTACCTCTTAGATTATAAATCCATAATATAATATCTTAGTACAGAACTTCTCGCCCGTAAGCAAATACCTTCAATGCTTACATTGTTTCCTCTAGCCTTCGTAATCTGTAATTATCTACAGAGGTCAGCGACCAAAAGATCGGAGTACACTTGAGACGTGCGGGGTCACATGACCCGATGCGGCAGCGAATGGCTTAGAAATCAAAGATTCCCTGGATTTCCTTTGCGGGAAGTGCGTTATCGCCGATAATCTTCTGTTGCCCCGCTGCACACCTCCGTCGTCATCCAATAACGATGCTCTTCTTGACTTTCCCCGAAAGCCCCTGCGAAAATCAGAATAAAGTCACCCCACGAGAAGTCTAAATTCCTGTTTCTCGCTTTCCTTCTCTCTCTTTATTCATCGGATCTTGCTATTGTCTGTCTCTACTGTCACTTTGCCCACGTACCACTGTTGAAATTGGATGCATTTTTGCCTCCCAATACTTCGGCACGCAGTCCACCGCCAGATTCTTCCCCTCATCACCGTGGGGCGTTCAGTTGGACTGATTGTTTGACTGGGGTATCGTATACATAGAAGTCGCTCGGGTGGCTGCATTTGATCCCATCATCAGGTACACCGGGAATGTCATTATGGGTCTATTGTATGTTGAGTCTCAACAACCTGTCTCTGAATATGAAAACCTAATAACCCCTTCATCTAGAGCACTTGGGACAGCCCTTGATTGGCCTCAGGCCAAGAAGCGGGCCAATCAAGTACGCAACTGGGGAATTGAAGTAAGTCCTAGACTTGGACTTTATCTTGCATCTATCGGGAGCGGATTTCGGCTAACGTGAAGCAGCAATTGCTCGCCAATTGGCAAAGAGCCAAGGGAAAGGAGCGTGATGCTCTTTTGTGGGGTGATGAGGTAACCTTCTTGGCACCAACAACAAAGATACTCTTCAACTAATTCCTGTGAAATTGGCTATTGATTAGGTTGAGTATCTTGTTGTAGCTGTGGACGATGAAGCTAAAAAGGCTCGGTTATCTCTTGCTCAAGCGGAGATTCTTAAATCTCTCGCTCAGGATGAAGCCTTATGGAAGGCGGGAACCTCTTCTGGCCAGCAGTAAGTCGATAGAGGTGTCATGGGTCGGAGAGAAATTTGCCTGACAATCTATCCCTAGCGATGGCGAAGAGCCACCTCATTTTCACCCCGAATTCGGGCGCTTTATGCTAGAGGCCACACCTGGAAGACCATGGGGCATTGACTTCAAGGATCTCCTGAAGGTTGAGTCAAACATGAAATGGAGGTAAGCTCGCTTCCTTTGAGAATGTAGGCTGTAGGTTCTGATGATTGTAATATAGGCGAGTGGTGGCAAAAAGCCACATGGCACCAAACGAATATCCGATTACTCTCACAACATTTCCACGCTTGGGCACAAAGGATGATTACATCCGGCCATATTATCCCCCATCCGGTCCCGCATTACGGTCACAATTTGTTCCTGATGAGATCGCCAATCCCCACATCAGGTTTCCGACTCTTGCGGCAAACATCAGGTCAAGGAGAGGCCGAAAGGTCGAGCTAAACGTTCCCGTTTTCAAAGATAAAAATACGCCTCAGCCTTTCAAGGATCCAACTATAAATTATAATCTTCACAACTGGCCTGAAGATGATGACGTCAGAAATGGTGCAGCGAAAGACGACCATGTTTACATGGATGCCATGGCATTTGGAATGGGTAGTTGCTGTCTCCAGATCACGTTCCAGGCCAAGAACATGACGGAGGGGAGAAAGTTGTACGACCAGCTAAGCCCACTAGGACCTATTCTTCTAGCTCTTACCGCGGCGACCCCAATTTATAAGGGGTTTCTCGTTGACACAGACGTGCGATGGAATCAAATTAGCAATGCTGTAGATGATCGGACCCGTGAAGAGCTTGGTGAAGTCGTAAGTTCTGTTTTGCCACACGATGCGGCCAGTTTGACACTGACAGATTCGAACAGCCCCTGCAAAATGATAGATGGAGGATTCCTAAGTCAAGATACGCATCGAATTCGACTTACATTTCCCAAGATCCTCGGTTACGAAAAGAATACCTGGATCCTGACTTGACTGTCGATGAAGACATCAAAAAGCGGTTAATGGATGATGGAATGGATGAACTCTTAGCAACCCATTTTGCACATCTCTTTATTCGTGATCCATTGGTTATATTTTCCGAGGACCTTGAGAAACTGGATCTAAACAAGGCGGACCACTTTGAAAATCTGCAGTCAACCAATTGGCAACACATGCGCTTCAAGCCGCCGCCGCCTGAAAAAGACGACATTGGTTGGCGAGTTGAATTTCGATCGATGGAGATTCAGATGACCGATTTTGAGAATGCGGCATTTAGTATCTTTATCGTTCTTATCACCCGTGCCATCTTGAGCTTCAACCTAAACTTCTACATCCCCATCCAGCGAACAACTGAGAATATGGAGACGGCGCATGCGCGCAACGCGGTCCTGGACCGTAAGTTCTATTTCAGAAAGGATCCTTTCTCTAGTCACTCTCCCCGACGCCACCAGCATTCATCTAACGGAAGCGCCATATCGTCTGCTGCGTCATCTGCGTGCAATACGCCCCCTCCATCCCCTCCACTTGGCCCAGTCGAGTCGGAGTACGATTTTATGACAATTGAAGATATCGTCAATGGATCTACTGATGGAACCTTCCCTGGACTGATTCCGTTGGTCGAGTCTTACTTAAATAGTGTCAATGTAGATGTTGAGACACGCTGCTCCCTAGCAAGGTACCTTGACCTGATACGAAAGCGGGCCAACGGGACTCTCTGGACTGGGGCTAAGTGGATTCGTGAATTTGTCACATCTCACTCTGCATATAAACAAGACAGTGTGGTTTCTGAAGAGATCTGTTATGATCTTGTAAAAGCTGTTGATGAAATGTCTGTGAAGGAAGGAAGGAACGGAACAATTGGGTGGGAGTTGTTAACAGGGCCAGGGCGATAGCCAAAAGCTTGATTGCTTGCATAGATAGATCCAAGAGATTGGTTTTGGTAGTAGATAGCGTGCCTTTTTGCTATAACCTGAGCATCTGACTATATCAATTTTACACCTTCTTCCTCCTCCCATGTCTTAGCACTGCCCCTCAGACAAGTAATTGTTTCTCTTCCTCCGTTGGCAGTCTACATGAGTCAGCCAGACCCGTCACCTTCCATTCACCATTCAACTTATGGAGAACAAACAGCTCGACTCCCACATGGTCCACGATCCCATTTATCTTCGCCCTGAATGGTGCCCACACGGCGGCTAGGTTACCGAATCCATATGCCTTAACTTCCAGATCCCAGATGCGTTCGTCGATTTCATCCGTCACCCTGGCAATCTGCTCTGCAAACGCGCCAATAGTACAGAATCGAGGAAGCGTAGGGGGCGGTGGGCAGAGAGCCATCCCTCCTGCTCGAACGCAGTACTTATCGAACTCGACTAGGGATTTCGTATTCAGCGCAGCAAGAAAGCCTTTCGCGACGGCAACTATGGCATCGATCTCGTCCGAGGATGGTGGCGGTAAGTTGGTGAACGGCTGAGGCTGAGTCGCGGGTGTCCACCACATTGTCTATCGCACAATGACTTGAGAGGTCTATATGGGGCAGGAGCAATAGCAACGGTCTTTGGTCTCCCTGTGGGGTTTCAAGATCAATGTCAAAGCCCGCAGGAGACTTGTCTCCCTGTCACAGATTTGGCCTACATTTGTATGAGAAGCGCCTTGCCTGAGAAACCCCATTACCCCCCTCATGCAGTTTTCCGATAATAGGCGGGCTCCCAAATGACTGAATCTTCAAGCTCTGGCTCATCAGCGATCTCGTGGTGTCTGTGCAAGATAGTCATGGTCTAATGTTGGGAAATCGTAATAACATCTGCCAGTCTTTTCATCGTGTGAATGTCTCGATAGGGTGTCAGATTATCCTGTGAACATAGCAGATATCTGGACAAGTTTCACCGTTGCAACACTCCCGGATCAGCAGGACCCCAATATGGCCGGTGCTCTGAAGATCCACATGAATACCCGGTGTAGTTTTGAAGGGTGGGACGGCTCTGTGTGACGCAATCAGGGGCCGGAAAGCATGTAGACAACATAATGCCCAGAGGTTTCGATGCCTGGCAAGGAGAGTGAATTCCTATCATGGGCGGAATGCAGCGACATGGATCTAGATCGAGGATGGCACATCCACCCCTTTCTCTTATCTATCTATCTAGTTTTTCGAATTGTCGAAAATCTTGTTAGATGAGCTAGAATTCAATAGATAATGGGCTGTGAAACCCTCTCGAAACTTGTGTATGGCAATCCCGCCCACTGGCGACTGTTTCTATCGCCAAAACATGTGAAATAAGGAAATGTCCAGGATAGAGATCGCGTAACCCATTAGGTACACAGACAAACTCACTAGAAGAGTTCAATATGGATGGTACGATGCCGTCGAATAATGTATGTGTTGCCAGTGACGACAGTTGTGCACCCAGCGTAAAAAGGCTTGTCTGCATGCATGTGCAGGGTGAGCTTTTCTGACGTTCAAGCAGATCTCGTCACCTTCTGTCTTAATTCATCAGCACTATCACCCCTCAGTTTCTTCCTGGAAACGCGTGGAGCCTTTCTAGTGTTCGTTTCAGATTATCCTGGCCAGACAGTACGGTTTCTGTCCTCGCTAGACGTCACCGATTAATCTTGTCAGCCTGTTTCTATACAGCTCAACGCAGTTCTGATATTGCCATATTTTCTCTCTCATCATCTTCAACACAGCGATCCATCCTAGTCATCTCTCTCAAGCTCGATGGACAGACCAGGCCCGGCAAATCCTCGGCACATCTGCGAAATAGGCACAACCGAAGCGGCACGAGAGGCGGTAGATTTGTCCTCCACGGAGAAAGGCAGCTTTCTTCATTACCGAAATCTCCACCTAGAGTCTGAAAATCGTGCCTTGAAAAGGTAAGATACGAACGAGAGTGCGAGTTCCCCGCACGTCCTTGGCCCGGATACTCCGGATTATATCATGTACATCATGGGGCACTGGGGCATCGGCAACAGACCGGAAGGAAAAGGTCTCATTGACGGATGAATTCGCGCTCGCAACTCCCTTAGTTGTGGGTTAATTTTCCAGAAACCCGTGATGACCATCCAGATGAATCTCGCGATGGGTGTAGGGCGATCCTTGCCCTCAATTGCTGCATTTTTATATATATAAATGGGAATCGCGAAGTGTCATATTGCTGACCGTTATTCGGCTACAGAGTGAAATAAATAGTCTTGGCTTGTTGACAGTGATGTTCAGTATTAGTTCCGTTTTTTTTGCGCTATGGGCTGCGGTGACAGTTACTCCAAGCAGCACACCGAGCCCTAAAGCCCATGTCCGCAATGGCACGTATGTCGGGATAAGAGACGCAAATTATCAGCAAGACTTTTTCCTGGGAATACAATATGCTCAGCAGCCGGTGGGTGATCTGCGATTCTCCGTGCCAAAATCTCTAAACGAGAGTTGGGAAGGCGAACGCAATGCGACAGAATATTCTGATATCTGTGTCGGCTATGGAGTAGGTCCATCATGCACACGACTTCCAAGCGATGACTATTGGCCTGACCTTGCATCTCTAGACAGATTCTATCTGGTATCCCATGTCTGAAGCCTGTCTAACCCTGAACGTTATCCGGGGATCATCAGTGGACCAGGACTCGAATGGTCTCCCTGTCGGCGTTTGGATCCATGGAGGCGGGTTCTACATGGGATCTGGTGCAGATCAGCGCTATAACATGTCTGCCATCGTGTCAAACTCATATGAAATCGGTAGGCCAGCTGGCTCGCCGGCACAGGCAGGGAACTCACCACTACTACAGGCAAACCCTTTATTGCCGTGACCCTCAATTATCGGCTTTCGGCTTGGGGTTTCTTGAGTTCCAGCCAAGTCACTGGCAGTGGCAATACTAACCTTGGTCTCCGAGATCAGAGGTTGGCACTACAATGGATCCGTGAGAATATTCAGGCATTTGGGGGGAATCCAGACAAAGTCACAATATGGGGAGAGTCAGCAGGAGCCGTGTCGGTTGGCTATCATCTAACCGCATACGGTGGAAGAGATGATGGCCTATTCCGCGGAGCGATCATGCAATCCGGAGGCTCGATCGCATCCAATCCATCTAACCACACCGAATATCAAGATCAGTACGATGACTTGGTGCTAAAACTTAATTGCTCAGACGTGGCCGACACGCTGCAGTGTCTGCGCGAAGTTCCATTTCCGGAATTAAACTCTGTGCTCAATGGTACTGACGGCCAATCGGAATATAACTTCTCCCCAGTGCTGGATGGCGACCTAATCAGGAACTGGGGGAGCGTGCATCTAGATCGACATGAATTCGTCCGCGTGCCTATTATTGCTGGCACCAATACCGACGAAGGAACAGCCTTTGGCCCTACGGGGATCAACACGACGGCACAATTCTACTCGTATCTCACAGGTAAGTGTTGATCGCAGTGATTAAATTGGCCTACATGCAAGCAAACTGGGCTAGCTAACGACCTTCCATCAATTAGACGGCTCGTTCCGTTTCCAAATCCCCCCCACGATAGCAAACCAGATCCTTAAGCTTTACCCCGACGACCCATCACAAGGCATCCCATCATACCTGGGAAACAAGCGAGTGCCATCCAATGGATATCAATGGCGACGCACATCGGCCTTCGCAGGGGACTTCTCCATGCACGCAAACCGACGACGACAATGCGAAGTGTGGGCGGAAACCTCTACCATAGCATATTGCTATCGATTTAATGTGCGTAGTGCTTCCGTTCCATACCTCTCTGGTGCCACGCATTTCGAGGAAGTGGCCTTTGTCTTTCACAACTACGCCGGGCTTGGGTACCATTACGGGAAACCATTCACAGGGATGCCCGAGGCGTACAAAGTTCTGAGCAGACTGATGGCGAGCATGTGGGCGTCGTTCATCCACGACCTAGATCCGAATTCGGGCATCAACAGTTCACAATGGAATGCGTATGGGTGGTCCGCTCCGCCGGTTGATCTGGTGTTTGATGCCAACGTGACGAGCTCTCTGGAGCCGGACACGTGGCGCAAGGAAGGTATTGATTACATCAACTCTATGGCGAGGGCGTTCTGGCGATGAACGGTAGAGCATTGCCTCCAACGCTCAAAACCCGTTGGTTTCGACTTCTCTTGACAGTAAGAACATAGACTCCGGAAAAATGTTCCTGCCAGCCGCTCTGCGGTTTGTGCCTTCGTGGTTGTGCAGAGCAGATGAAGATCCTTATTTGCAGGGGTACCTTACTGTACCACTATCATTCTTACTACTGTCATAATACAACTAAGTACATACATACGTACATAAAATACCGAGTTACAATCATGTACCCTGAATGCTGAATGACATGAGGGAAAACAAAAGGAACCAAAAATGAAAAAAAAAAAAAAAAAAAAAAAAATTTAACCACCAAGACACCAATAATTCGATAGTTACGGGATCTGAAAAGAGCTCAAAAGGGGAAAGAAAAACGCAAAGCAAATGCCGAACCCACAAATTCCCTCATTGGGGAAGAGAGACCAAAATAGCAGCCCGACTATCCGTAGTCGTTGCACGGGTATTTATGTTTATCATCCTATTAATCGGAATATGATAATCTCGTTTACGGGACGACTAATTTGATTACTATATATAACTAAGTATTTGACCATGTTAATACAAAGTAACTACCGGGTAACTGAATATACGGATCTCGATCATGAGATCACCTACACCTAAAGAGATATTAGGATCGGACCTAATGAGTCCAGCTAGGCAGGAACCCCACCAGCATTTGGGGGAGGGGGAAACTAAGTAGAGTCTACTCTAGTCCAACGGAGCCCCCAAGGACTCCGTAGTAACACATTAGTAAAGCTGCTGCATGGTACCTTGGAAAGCATTCACTCTAAGGATATCCACTTCAATGCCCAACCTCTACGGAGTACACAGCTAGGTAAGTAGTAAGTACATATGCGTACCTAAAGAAGTAAGTACCTAGGTTCCAACCATCGGGGGTTTAAAGGGGAAGGGGAAGGGGAAGGGGGAAAGCACAAACCTCCAGTCCCACCTGTTGGATAACGGAGTCCATTGTTTCCTCTTCCCCTGCCCGCTATCCTGCCAAGTTCGGATGTCACCTGTCATTGAGTAGATAGTATCTCTGAGAGCTTTTAGTTCCATTATTGGTTCTGGCCTTGGTGCTCCATACAGAGACAAGTAGGTTGTACATATGGCATGGTTTGTACGACAATTAGGTAACATGGAAATTCAGCGCAACCAATTGAATTAATTTGGATCCGAAATTGAATTAAATAAATGATTAATTCCTATGAATGAAATTAAATCATCAAATACTTCCCGTCGGATCCATACCTTCGGTAAACCTATGGAATCCTTAATTAAGTCAAGAGGCGGAATAATAATCCAGGCCACAGAACCCAAATCAAAATGAAGGTTTTCGACGGGCAATAAAGGGAGGACAACGAAATATAACAGACAAAAGCTAGTCACCTACCCAGGAGAAGCCTCCGATAGAGGCCAACAAAGAAAAGGTTGCAATACCATCCGAGAAATCTCCATACACCCTTCGGGTTTTAGTAATCGACGCGAAGGGGAATCTCTGGTTGGTTTGATTGAGCGGCACCGATCCCCCATCGTTATAATTAATCTCCACTCATTTGCTGACGGTTGGGCTTCTAGATTGACCTTCTGATCTTCCATTGGAATTTCGGTCCTACCCTATCGGGGACCTCGTTTACGGTCGTCAGTTTGGTTGCAGGCGATATGGCATAAATTTTAATTTATCTGGCCGATTAACGCTTCGGTTTGTCCACGTGTTGTTGGGATATTCTTAAAGTCAATTTTTGGTTTCGGGTTCCGTGGGAGGAGACTTGATTCGGCCTCTTCTTTTGTATGCTTCGTAATATCAAGGTATGAACGTACAGGACAGCATCAATCAAGTATTTCCAAAACAGTACAGCCAGAATGCTAAGAAAATATGTCCCGGGCAGTACAGTCAGCATAGACCAGCTGTTTTAAAAGCAGGACCGCGGAAAGGACCCGGTTGGACAGCTGCTCGTTAAGACATAACTATGAGTTCGCCATTTAATTAGGTCACACAATCACGTCCTCCTGCAGGTCTTGGTACTTCATCCTGCTGGGCACTTTGTAGTACTTGGATGGGTGCACTGGAGTTGGTGCTAGTCAAGTAAGCTGTAAGTACGGAGTACACATGCATACATATGCTACATATGTCTATGCATACACTAGGTAGGTGGCCGATGCAGGGTTCCTGTGCCTTGCACTGAAATTAGCTATGGTTTACGTTTCATTTGCTTACGCCGGAGTGCGCGGATGCTGGTACAGTGCTGTAGGTGAGGATAGAGATGATCAGTGGGTGGATATGTAATCACATTTTCTGAACCATATAATCCATGCAAGTATGTGCCTATAAGATTTTTCAACCAAAAATTCACCCAGATCCCTGACCCTCGAATGAAAATAATGTCCAGGTGTGTTCCGTAAGTTTACCCAATTCAGCAACCTAGCAGGGTACCTAGATACTGAATAGAGAGCATTGCCCCAGTACCTTAGAGAAGCTGCAAAAAATAGAAACAAAAAAGTCTAACCAGCGTAGACTGCAATCCCAATGAACCCACGGTAATTTTTCGGACTTTACACAGCCATAGAAGCAACTTGCAATCAAGAATTTTATAGTACTAGATACTAGCAACGGGTAAGCGCCATTGCACTAATTCGCCAGATCATCGATGGAGCGGCGCAGAACAAGGACGAGATCGAGCGAGAAATATCATGATGTGAGGCGTGGGAATTCATCATTCAATATTTGTAAGTCAGAGTCCAGTTCCACTAACTATCTATGCCTATCTTCTTTTTTATAATCTTTTTTTTTTTGGTTCTCCTTAGTTCAATTCATCTGGATGGTCACGGATCATGATGAGAGACTTCTATCCTGTGTTATAGAGGAGAATTTGGGTGTTCTGGAAAATGTCGTGTCCAGACTTATGAATCTATGCGAATGTATCCACTTGGCCTCTTCCCGAGTAAGCCAAGTCAGCATTGGAAGGTAACTAGTTAGGGATGCTGACTGTAGAATCGGCAACGTGGGATCCGTAGTCCGTACTCCAGCTGACTGACAGGTATGAGGTCATGGATTTTCCTTCTCGATCTGGGATTCATCTTGAATACTACGTACGAGCCCGAAGTTAGTCTACGATAGACTAGGTAATCCTGCAGGGTATGACACCTAACCAATAAAAAAATAATAATAATCGACCTACACGAAATTGATTAATCCTTCCTCAATGGCATCCGTATATATCCCCTAATCCAACTCCCTGGAGCGCAAACCGCCGGCCACGCTGCAGAGTGCAGGCAAGTCAACGTCTCGCTCAACCACGCGCAAGTGGACCGGCGTCACCCACTGTGGGGCAAAAAATGAAAAAAAAAATCCCCGTTCAACAAAGGAAGTCACTCACTGCCTACGTACAGCGTTCCCAACCCCACCCCACCCCTCTCTAAGTCTTCCCTTCTCGGCTGTTGCACGCTATCGAAAATCAGAAATGCACTAGACGGATAGAGGTGAGACAATTTAATCTTCCGTCATCGGCCGACCGATCTAGAGGATCTTCGGACCCGGGCCACTGATTCATGGATTTGGATCCTGCCTATGCCATCGGTTAGCCAAGGTGCAGTAATTATTTATTTCTCATGGTGGACCCGATCTGTTGCTTTGAGTATTTCTGTCAGGCTAAAGATGCTGTAGGAACTTCGATAAGGGGACCAGCTTGTGTATCGAAGGCGCTGGGGCTTTTTATTTGATTTTTTATTTTTATTTTTATTTTTTTTTTGGCAGGCGTGCATGAGGAAATTTTTACAACTTGAAAAGTGGGTCTGTCTACCTAGGTATCCTGAGTTACCTCTATTGTATCTAGATACTAGATACCTTGTGTACCAGGTATATTTTGCACTTAGAGGTGCATCCTTGGAACCGAAGAAGGCCCGTTCGCGGCTGAAAACCATGTACTGCGCCTGTACTGCGCTTCAGGATAGGTGACATGCTACAGAGTAGTATTGCTTTTCTAGCACATTATTATTCCTGTAGCAACCAAAAATGTTAACCCTCGGGATATTTTAAAATAAAAAAAAAACCCAGCCGCAGGATATGTTACACAAAAAGAGTGGTTGATTCCTAGGTAGTTACTGATCATGATGGCCCCATACCTCTTCCCTGCATATGGCCCCTTAAAGAGGTACCAGTGCCAGCACTCCGTACCGATACTAGAATCCAGGTACCTATGTTCGCGCATGGGTACATCCGTTGTACTTTACTTCGTACTAAGTATACCAAAGGTACAATGCATTGTGCCAGGTCATACATATCTCAATGCAATTGCATGTTTGAGGATGATGCTACTATCAAAATGCATTAGGTACACACCAGAAAGAATGGAAACTGTTGCTATAAATTGACATGACTCGAGAGGAGCCAGTCATTTCGGACAGGGTTTCTCCAGCCAAATCTTGGTACACCAAAGACGGGATGTCACCGCAGCCGATCAAGGAAGATCCACTTCACGTGTCCCTCCAAGGGTGGAAGTGAGGAATGAACGCTGAGGGGGCGAAAGCAAGGTTCGTCCTGCTTGTCTCCTTACTTGGAAGGCAACAGAAATCTATTCCTTTGCCTGAGAAGAAAGGAGGGTGAGAGTCATGGATGTATGCATCATAGCTCTAGATCCATGTACAGTAGGTAGGATTTAGGAGCAGAAGCGGTGACTTTTCTCCCATCCTCCCGAAGTTTATCTGAGGGGTATGGAAACTCGGAGGGAGGAAAAAATAAAAAAAAAGAAAAGACAAGAAAAGAAAAGAAAAAGAAAACTGAAAAGGAAAGAAGGACTGGCCTAACAATGAAGTGGCCAGTGCACGCGACGAATTTGTAGTAACACAGTGCTCTTTGTACTGGGTTCCATCATAATGGTAACACTACGAGATGGTGAGCCTGGCAGAGCAAACCCTCCAGATACGTAAGTGCTAGCCTCTAGTTATTTAGTACTGCTTTAAATCAGTACAACAGCTAAAGCTATATCAAA